AAAAAAAAATATTTAATTATCATTATTAATAATAATAGGGTTTTTGTATTTTTTTTATTTTTATATTTTATTTTAAGCCTACAATTTATTTTGATTTAAAAATTGTTATGAAAAACAATAAAATTGTGTTGTTCTGTTTGAGTTTGTTGGATTTGTTAAATTTTTTATTTTTGGTGCCGGGGGCCCGCTATTTCGCGCCATACCTGCACTGGCCAAGCCGGGGTTACAGCTACCTGATATCGCATCACCGGATTGGTCATGATATCGGCCAGGTAAGCCGTTGAAGGACGGCCAACAGCACAATATCGGTATCATTCCGCCAAATTCTGGCTCGGAATTGGTAGAAGTTGTAATAGCTCGTAGCTGGGTTGACTTGGAAAAAATTTCCGCCAATTTTCTGCCCAACGTTCGCCCAACACAATTTTGGTGAACAAAACGTAGCTAGCCTAGCAACTAACAACTGAGTACGTATCGAGGCAGTTAGATATCGTCAGCTTCAGTCCGTAGTCTCGAGGGACCAGCTAGGAAGCACTTATTTAGGCATCAAGTAAGGGCTTCCTTCGGTACTCTAAGTAGTAAGTGAGTAGGCTTACACCAGCTTCCCAATTGGTACGTAGACTCTTCAATATCAACGAGACCAAATATATCTAAATTTAATTTCTATCTAATACCAACTATAGCGTAGTCTCGAGGGACTTCAGTTTACATTCCTTCAATCACCGTCTTCGCGATGGTTGCCCCTCCTCGGCGTCACTGCAAGCCAGTCCCTTCACGACGCTATCTCGCCCTCCGCCACGGCCGAAGGATCCTAAAGTCCCTAAAAGCTTCATCAGATGATTCAGAACCACCAAAAAAGACCCTCCCGTCGGGCTACGCCCAACTCTACTCCAGCGATAACCCAGGCGTCAAAGCAGGACCTCACGTGGTGCAAATAACTCAAACTATATCTGAAATCCAGAATGATCCAGCAACAATAACTAGATCCACAGAACAGAAGTTCACTGCTCTTGGTCCAAAGTTCGCACTTCCTGGGGATGGAATTTATTCTGTATTCCCTCCCCAGGGACATACTGGAAGGCCTGAGGTTCTGCCTCATTTGGTTACCAATGATGCTACTTTACCTTGGGAGCGACAGGTGCGGTTTAAGAAACCGACAGATAATATGGATGTTAAAGATTCATTGAATACTGTTCCGTGGATGGCTTGTTTGGTGTTTACCAAAGATGAGCTTTCGTTGTCTGATGCGCAGCTTAAGGGGGATACTTCCTTTTTCAAGGATACGAGCGTTAAAAACACTGTATCCCCGAACGAAACATTGGGCTTTGAAATGCCGCTCGCCGATATCCTCAAGGTTGACAAAGAACATGTCGCCAGGCCATTTACTACAATTTCTGGTGCAACAGAGACTACCACCAATCTTATTTTCATAAGACCAGAGCTCTTCAATAATCTCTTCTCGACGTACGGTAAAGATGGGAAAGTGGTGCCTTCGACGGAATCCGATATTTCACGGTATAAATACTTTGCCCATGTCCGACGGTTAAATACTCAGGGCATGGCAGAGGCCGACGCCTATGACGAGGACGAAATTCTCGATCGAGAGTTCGGTATCGTTGTGTCTCACCGAGCTGGTCCATTGACCATAGCCGAACCTACCCAAGTTTTTGTTCACATTGTTTCATTAGAAGAAGTGGAAGATTTGACTCCTTTCCCAGTAGACCCCTTGAGGAGTAGTCGGGTCGCGATGGTTTCACTATATAGTTGGACTTATATGTGTCTCCCAGCGAATTCATTGAATGTCGCAGATGCATTTGAAAGAATTGGAAAGTCTTGTGGGATGTTGCGCCCGATTGTACCCGAAGCAAGCGCAACAGATGAAAGCGATATTCAAAGCAGGTTACTCAAAAGAATCAACGACGGTTATTCTATGATCCGTTATCGAGTCCAGACAGGAGAGACTACGGTTGCATTTAACAGGAGTCCTCTAACCCCCACCCTTGTTTCCAAATATGATTGGGACCTTTGCTCGACATCGGGATCCTCGCTTTTGATTCTTGACCAGAAGCTTGGAATCATGGACATAACCTATTCAGCGGCATGGAATCTAGGAAAAACTCTAGCTATGGCAGACCATGCCTATTCGTCAGCATTGAGTCGTACCCGCAAACAGATCCTCCAAATCGCTACCCCATTGGCGCAACTCAAGGTTCTCAAATTCGCAGGCATCAACATCAAAAGCAAAACCGACATAATAGCAGAAATGGGCAAGTCCATCAGTACTTTAAATGAAATTTCTGAATCATTCGGTGCCATGAGTATGGCCTACCGTTGGCAAAAACATCAACCACCAAGAACTCCGGATCTCTCGTATCATAGCGAGGAGATGGGATTATTCCTAGATGAAGAACTACTCAAGGCCGCGTATCTCGTGGCAAGCAGTACAGACTCTAATCCCAAGTTACCTTACCTTCCTCCATATGACGAACATAATACCCCATACTCAGCAGACTGGGTCGTCATCCTTAAATTTCTCTGTGATTTGATGTATTTGATCAAGATACCGCACAACTACCTCCTCACAGACGCTTCTCACCTCCCACAAGAGACGGTTAGGATGTTCCATATCGATCCAAACTGGATCGATGCACTACTGGATGGCGCCCTAAGCATTGGTAATCTCGTGGACCGAAGGAGAGACAGGGTCCGAGATGCCATCAAGATGGCATTTAATCGGTATCTGGAAACTCCAAACTCAGAATTAGGATACCCTCCACCAGTTCCACAATATGGATTCTACATGCGGTCTATTCTTGTGGCAATGTTCCCTGACTTGAAGGTAACCATGGACCCTCTGGCGGATGATAAGGGTACTCCAACACTTATCCGCCACGAGATCGTGGATAGAGGTGTCATGCTTGGTTTCTTCAATCATAAGCCCTCCGGTACGGAATTGCAATCGATTACTTTTACGCAACCAGCACATCAGTTATCTTTCACCGCTGCAAGGGACCTCCTGATATCTGATATCCAAGTCTACTACAAAAGGATTTATACTGTTGTAGACCCAGACGACAGCAATAGAAACAAACCAATTGCACAAATACGGCAATCAAGGGCAGATGATCCCACAGTAGGGAATAGAGCACAGCTATTTATCTGGGGGAGCCCTAGCACAGATGATGTTCGAACTATCAATGCTAAACCATTTGTTCAAGATCTTTATGATACCCTTAACACAAGCATGAACCGCCTCCATACCGATTGGTTTACTGAAGTTTGTCCGTCTGCTGCCATGATGGCATATCAACTTAATGACCCTTGCTGGCAACTTGAGATCCACGTTCCAGAGCCTCCCGCAGAACCACCTTTTACGCTATCTCATACGTTCCCACCGGAGTTCCCTATTGTTACCTTAGAGCGTCCTGAGCCACTAGTTGCGTTAGAGAGTGCACCACATCTTACATTCGAAGATCGAGCAACCGCTCCTCCATTAAAGCTCACGAGTAGCCTACCACGTTTTAAAAGATTAATCCCTGCCGAAATCTACAACACAACTGAAGAGCTGCCGGTACTCCTTTCGGCACCGGGCACGCCCTCAAGCCCAGCGGAAATGATCCTCACCCCGACCTCCCCATCATTTTCGGAGATCGACTTCCTCACATCTGAATCTCACACCGATGACTTTATATTCGTCGCGGCCGGGCCTCCCGAATTCAAGTATAAAGTCGCCCCAGCCTCAAGCCCCAAATCAACCACCATCTCCATACTTCCGGAAGAACAGGACCTAATCTTCTCAATCGTCTACCAATCATCTGCCTTCGACTACGAACTCTCTTCGGTTACCATCACAATCCCTATGTCCCACCCCACAAAACCCAGCCTTACAAAAGCATACCGTGGACCTGGTGCAACAATGTTATCAAATCTGAGGTTTTATGTGAGAGCCTTATACTCGACAGAGAATAATGCGTTACAACTAGTGCTTTTACCCCGGAGTACGAGGAAAGTTGTTAGAGTTACTGACATTAAGGACATGAGTTTTATGTTGAGCAGAGTGTTAGTAAAGAGTTATAAGAAAGTGACGAGTATTGAAGCTATTGTGCAAGAGGTTTATAAATCTGGCAGGGCGGAACCGAAGACATTGTGGATTACATTGAACCCGCCGACGTCTTGACCTTATATTTTTTCTCAAGGAGTTGGTTTACCAGAATTTGATATCGAAATGTCGGATATATAAAGAATGCCATGCAGAGAAGATCGAAGAAAATCCAGGTTCTTTGAATCTTTTACAAATTTTTTACGTAATTTACGTAATACTCGAGTCGTCCCAAGACTCCACTTGTGAAACCTCGAATGACGACTGCAACAATTGTATCGACAATACAACACATTTCTGAAATACGAAGCCTTGTTGGAAAATTTTATGAGGGGCGAAGTAAACTAAAAAAAAACTCGTCGGTTGAAGAATGGCCAGGAAAGGATGGGTGATCCCCATGAGCTCTCCACGAGGACGGATTGGATTGAGGGCAACCGAGAAGTTTATTTCGAGTATACATGAGGAGATAGCTCCTGAAGATCGATCTACTTCTACCCAGAAAGCTTTTCTTTACGTCTGCTTATACTTTTATATTCCCATTCTATCCTTAAGCTTTCCTCTGCAGCTGTCAAGAGTCTACCACCGTTTGCGTTTATTCGATACACGTATATATTCCCAAAGTCGTGGCCAGATATATCTTTAGAAGTTTCACCGCGCCCTCCAAAAAATAATAATATGGCATCTTCAACCGCATCAACTTCTCCAACCACCACCACCCCAGCAACATTAACCCCACCAAGCGGTTACGCCATCAAAACCTTCCAAATCCCCGTATCTCCGACCTCTTCAACCAGTACCATCTCCATAAAAATCACCGAGCCAAATTTAACCGCCCAAAACCTTCCATTAGAAACATGGGCTTCATCCCACATCCTCGCCAGTCTCCTCCGTCAGATCAAAATCAACTTCCCAAGCTCTTCAAATAATAAGGATGTCGATGTCCTACCCATCCTGGAGCTCGGCGCTGGAACGGGGCTGGTAGGGATATCAGCCGGGGCGATATGGCAAAAACCGGTGATTTTGACGGATTTGGAACCAATAATCCCGGGAATTCAGTTGAACGTCGATATTAACAATGTCGGTAGTCAATTAGACGCCATTAATAATAACATTTCGAGTCCAGACCATAGTACTTTAGATACTACTACGGCGGCTACCAACCCAGAAAGTATACGGTGTGGAACATTAGATTGGAAATCTCCCACGATATTGTCGATGTATACCGACAAACGTATGTACTTCTCCACAAACACCAAAGCACATGTGATTCTTGCAGCGGATACTGTATATTCTGAAGAACATCCGGGGTTATTAAGTGATGTTATAAAAAATTGGCTGTATAAGGATCAGGAGGCGAGGGTTGTGATAGCTTATCCTATGAGAGTGGCTTATTTGGAGGAGATCAGAGAATTGTGGGATAAATTTGAAGAAATTGGGTTGGAGGCTGTGGATGAAGGGAAAGAAACTGCAAATGGAGAATTGTTTGATGATGAACTGTTGATCGAGTGGAGTTTGTGGAGGTGGAGGAGTGAGGTTTTGGAAGTATGAAAGCGGTAGGTCAACGTAGATACTTACAGGTACCTAAGTAAGTAGGTATAATTGCATATACTGGTTATTAATGTATTCTTTTAAGCGCAGAGCTAGAGTATAAGTACACTTCGTAAATTCGCCCTCCAAGATAACATGTGGCTATAACTAAGCTAAGTATGTAAGCTAGTACTTGAATACTTAGGTACTCAAGCAGGGATGTGATATGTCACGAAGTTAGCAAGGTCTCGAGGCTACGAATACATTAAGAATTAGTATATAGAGTATCGTGCGGTCATAGCTGCTTACTTAAGTAAGCAGCTTACACCAAGTTACCCGGCCAATGGCATTGACGGCTGCCCGATTGGGGGAATTTGTTGTAAATTGACGTCACAACACATTTCTTCCCAACAACAACGTAAATATTAGACGCTGAGTTCGATATAATTATGGTCTGTATATCATACTAACGTAACCAATCGACAAGCTCTTAAGACAACAATCGACACCATCGTCCGCAGATGAAACAAGACCCGTCAAAGAGGACATAACTTAGAATGTGAGCCATTGGAACTCCTCCAGGCGGAACGTTGACAATTGAGGGGGAGGATTTAAGCCCACGGGCCACTCGCCCGTTTCTGGCTTCTTTCCTCCCTCCTCTCCCCATCGTCACACTCCGGTACTGGCGTTCACGGACTTTCTAGAAGTCCACCCTTGAAACCCCCATCGATCTCTTTAATTCTTACCGTTTTCTTTTTCTCTCTCCCATCACCATGCGTCTCCTCACCTTTCTCGGGGTTCTTCCCCTTGTCTCCCTCGTCACTGGCCGACCTTACTTCATCGGCCGTGACCAAAAGCTTTCCGACTTGGATATCGTCGTTGGATATCCCGTCTCTGTTCCCGAGACGTTAAGCCTTATGGAACAAACCACAAGCGCAGTCTCTGCTCCCGAGACTTTAAGCCTTTTGGAGAAGTCAACAGTCTCTGCTCCCGAGACTTTAAGCCTTTTGGAGAAGTCAACAGTCTCTGCTCCCGAGACTCTAAGCCTTTTGGAGTTAACGACAGTCTCTTCTCCCGAGACTTTAAGCCGTATGGAGATTACAAATGTCTCTACTCCCGAGACTTTAAACCTTGTGGAGATAATTACGACCCGGGATGGGAATATCCTTTCCCCAGTTGACGTCAGGGCGGCCCTGACCATCCCGGTCAATATGACCGTGGATGAGTCTGAAACCCTGGCGGCTCTGCCCACTAGGTCGAGAGGCGCGGAAACCGCCTCGATGACTTCGGTGACGAGTACGCACGTCGCCAAGTCAGTTTCCACGGCGAGCGACACCCGGCCCAGCTCCACGGCCAGGGTAGGGCCTTTCCAGCCCCAGCTCCTCCTCACCACGACCCCGTATAGGGAGGCGATCCCACGTACCCCATCGCCAACCTATACGGGGGTCTCGCCCTACTCCCTGTGGAATGGAAAGTCCCTACCCATTTCACTCCCGTTTGTCTCCGCCCGGGTCACAACCTCTGGCGTCCTTGTCGAGCCCACGTCGCCATCACCAGCTTCCACTCTTCTTCATTCAACAAGCTGGGCAGAGTTTGCCAGACTTCTTACTGTTTCTCAGTTTACCATTACTTTGGATCAACATAAACGAACTCCTTCTACTACGAGCGGTAGTTCTGACTCCTCCCGACCAACTGCCGTAGGCTCTAGATCTCCTACCACTACAGGCATGGCCAGTGTCGAGCTTGGTTCGTATAATACACGGATTATTTCCTCTCCACAAATTACCAACCCACCTGTCACTACCATCCTCGTTCAGCTCACACCATCCACCTTGATAAGGCAACGTCGTTCGGCTGCTACTTCTGAGCCAGGACCATTATTCCTTGAATGGACTCCCGATTTCGGAGTTACGGACCTCGGATTAAAAACTAATCCTATCATGCTTGAATTAAGGGCACCTTCATACGTCAGCGAACATTATTACACAGCCCAGATCCCGGATGAATCTGAGGCAAGTTGCACGACAGGACGTGATCCTGGTATTGGTCCTTCACCTTTCTCGGCCTCATACACTACTATAGAGCCACATTGGTCAGATCCATACTTCCGGGAGCCAATTACCCTTTCTTCTCGTCAAGTTACATCGGTTACACTTTTCCCTTGCCCCCATGACCCGTCCTCGGACAGGCTTTGCATAGGACCACCCACTTCTTGCACCTCTGCTACTCTTAAAACAGAGCATCATGTCCGCACACCCAGTCCAGCTGAAGTATCACTGGTCCTTCCAACCCCTACAAGGGAACCAATGAGCTCTATAACATTTTTACATATTGATCTATCCCTCCCGGAGAATGGTGGTCATATGATGGGAATACGCGAACCCATGGAGAACACCGAAAGACATTCGACCCTTCCTCCAAGCCCAATGATGCCTTGGGATTCTGATTGGTTCGAAATGCTTTCGCATATTCCAGTCACCCATACTCCTACTACTAATCATCATAACGCTATACCTAAGGCGTCCACAGCAGTACAGCCGATGAATGACACCATTACCTCCCTGCCATCATGGTATAATGGGCCTGTGGCCACTCTTACGACTATTACTACTCGTCGTCAAGAGATTTGGGCATCCACTTGGATCGCTCCGATTCCTGTTAAAACGCAGACTCCATCCAGCTCTATGAGCAAGTATACACGCAGAAGAATGCCACCACAGCCTCGGAGTACCCGCTCAACCACGATCAATGGATACACATCATTCCTCGTAGACCATCAAGCAAGCACGGAGACTAAACTCCTCGGTGCTCTGATCAAGTTCAGCACTATTACTTTACCTCTTTTTGATGGCCGACACTCCACTTTGACTGTCTGCGAACCTTCCGTGACGAGAAATCCTTATGAGAATCTCACACATATTAAGATGACTCCCGAGGACATAGAATACATCATGGCCAGGCAACTACCAAAACCGGTCAATACAGACCCAAGAGCTGGGTACGGAGAACTTATTCTTCCAGCCGCATCAGTACCAGCGTCCAGGCCTCTGTCTCTACCCTCCATCAGTAACATTAATGTTAACAATATTCGTCTCAACACCGCTACCTCCATCGTCTGTTCGGAGTCTACATGGGCAGTCCTCATTGTTTTCATGGTTCTCTTCCCCATTACTTTCACCATTGTCATGACTGAGCTCTTGATTCGCCATATCTGGTTCCGTGGTGTTCCTGAGGATATCAAGATCAGGCTTTTGGCTGATAAGAGATACCGGGGGTATGAAAGAATGATCGGAGTCGGTATTATCGCAACAGTTTCTGTCCTCATTGGTGTTTTGGTAGCATGTTATCTCCGAAACGGAATGTGCGAAGACATCAAGGTATACGAAGACCTCGCTAGTGCTGGACAGAGACAATTCTGAGTTCTTTCTTTTGCTTTCAGAGGAATAGGTTCTGATGCTTTCCTTTTTACATTTTATTTCCTTTGTTCTGTTATTATTGAGGTTGGGCATTCGCGTTTTGGATTGGTTATTCGCACTGGGTTAATTGGATAAGGATTATATATGATGCAAGGAGTTTTTTTTCGATGGTTTATTGACGCTCAGGATTTGGAAATCGGGGTTGGGTATACTCTGATATGGATACTGGATATGCGTCTTCTCTGGGTGGGGTGGATGTCAACGTGAACCTTTGTAATAAAAACAAAAAACCCTTCTAAACAAAATTATATCTATCAAGTAGGCGTGACTGGGAATAGGATTAGAAGATAGCTTGTGTTCTTGTAACTCGAGAACACCGGGGTGAGGTGAGGGGTGAGTATAACACATGCCTGGCAGTCCGCCGCTCGAGCCTAGTTAGCCAGTGTGCTTCTTTTATAACTACTTAGTTACAGCAACCATAAACTACATGTAAGTCGACGTATTATATTATGTAAACCAAAAAACCACTAGATACTACATGTCATCAAATTATAATTACGCAAAGATAGCCTCGTATTTGGATTCGGGCTGTTTAGGATGAGATATATTTAGATATAGAAACAAGGCAGAACTTTTATGTGCAGATCCAGAGGCAGATTTATACCAAACTCCTAGACTAAACAGCAAGTTAGAACTTTTCATAGATATAAACTTTTGTCTTATAAACCCAGTCCGCTTATAAGGCCGTTGGAGGGAAAAAATTTAAGTTTATCCTGAATACTAGCTTGCGATATACTCCACAGCATTGCTCTGGTGTGGGTGTGTATGTGTGCGCGACTCGTATTTTTTCTAAGCTACCCATCAAATATACTTTTCTCTTTTCTCTCCCTGGTATCGACAAATCAAAAATACTATATATTCCACATGGGCGCGACATGTTGACATTTTCTGAATTCCGGTAGCCGGTAACGTGGGTGCATGTTATAGGGGGTGGCGTCGGTCGCGGTCCAAATCGCAAAATCGGAAATCCTTCAATGCAATGCAGCCGCACAGGTGTCAGTGCACGCCTCCATTGCAACGTGCAACACGCAAAGCTCGAGTTCGCGAATATCAAAAAGTTGCCTGCGGGACCTCACGTTAACTCTTTAAATTTAACAACGGGGGAAAAAACAGAATGATCATGAGCGGCAGATTGACAACTTTCTCATGTTAAATTTTTTGCCGAATAATTCCGACAATGAAGCCCACATATTCATATTCATTGGATGCAATTTAAACAGCTCAGAGCCAAGTATATCCACAATGGCCTGGACTTGTGAGCTGTTCGAAGTCTTTTCGTTACCATTCTTGGTCTCGCACTTCGGAATGGAGGAGTTGGAGCCCATTTTGGGAAACCAAGGTTCAGCTGAGCGCGCCATATCGCAAACCCTAAAATCTTGAGAGTGATACTTTGATGGCAAAGCCAGGGCGCGTCGGCGGGTGTGGATATAAATACAATGGGACAACCGGTAGGTCTAGTAGTATATATTTTTTATTTCCCATCCCTTTTGTCTACATTAGTGAAATTCCCATTACAACTTTAATTTTCTTACTTTCGTTGTAAACAATTGATTGTAAAGATCATGTTGTTTTCTCTGGAAAAAGCTGCGGCAGTAGCTGCCTTCCTTACGGCTTTGCCAGTTCAAGCTGTCCCTTTCCCTCTAGAAGAGCGAAGTAATAGTTGTAATGCGGATAATCTTCTTCGGCTCCTGCGTACTCCTTCCAATCTACCAGAGGCGCTCCCATTCTGCAGCAGTTATTTGAACCTGCCAGCGTCGACGGTGACGGTATCGACCGTGACACCGACTGCGTAAGCCGAATATCCAGCCGATCTATGTTTTTCTGTGGTAAACGCCAGCTCTAACACATATTATCTACTGTTGGGAATAGTACATCATACACTACCAATCTCAGCAATCAAACTATTCTTTTCACCGAAAATCCAATCTTTTCTTTGACAATTACGTCCACGGAGACATCGGTGATTGTGACTACAACCACGCTCACACTTAACGCTCAGGCACCAGCCCGCCTTGCCCGCCGCGCCGCTTCAACGAAGACCACGACTACTTTTGTCGACAAGGTGACAGGGACGACATATCCGCCATCTCGGATTTCCAGCGCCTGCGCGTGCCTTACCATTCCAATTGACGTCACTGAAGTCACTGCTACCGCTCCTGAAGTCACCGAGACCATCACATTGTCGTCGACTTCAGTTACTAGCTCGACTGTTACCCTCACTTTGACTGAGTCAACCTCTGTGACTGAAACTTCCACAGTTTACTCCACCGTCACATCTACAACTACCAATGCCCCTCTGATACCAACAGCGTACGCCTTGAAGGTCGTTGCTCCCGGAACACAAGATGACGGCCTCTACGTCTACAATAGAAATGAAAATGCCAATAACAACGGAATAGGTGCTTCTCAATCCTTCCCAATCACCACAGACCTTACAAAAGCCACAAAGTTCACCATTAGCCCCGACGGCGCACTCAGAATCGCTGTTTCAAGCACACTTTTTACAAGTTCAGTAGTGGGCCAAGAATCAGCTGATTGGGTCCATTTCAACCATCCAAATATTCCTTTCGAGGCTCTATATGCCAACAAGCGCGCTTCGATAGATGGGTGTACCAACTGTTACGTTGTTAAGTGGAATGTAAATCCTGTCACTGGATTTTGCACACCTTCGAACGCTGGCTCGAAGCCGATTACTGTCTGCAATTTCCCGGCTGCTGGATATGGGCGTGGGCTCTATGTTGGTTCGAGTTCGGCGACTGTTTATGCTTGTGTCACGATCGATCTTCGAGTGGTTCCTCTTTATTAAGACAGATGGATAACATTTTTGGAAGGTGCGCGAGTTGTATCGTATTGATATCATCTGCATATGTTGTTTCTTTAGCCATTGATGCAAAATCATAGAGATTAAGGGTGGTATTGATCAATTGAATGTATATTATGTTTTTTTAGCGATATTAGAACACTATACTATACTAATATAACGGCATCGATTCCAGAACACTAATACTGATGTTCGTATTCCAATAGAAAAGCTACAAAGACTGATAGATACGGGATACTGTCTATTAACCTCGAACCCCTAACGATGTCGATACTACTTCCGTTTATAATCCGGAGTGGATAGAAAATAGAGACTTTCTTGTCGTCCAAAAAAAAAACGCTTCAGAACCGATCGAATTCTGATCTATCGATATGCTCGGCTCGTCAAAAGCCGTGTTGTACGTGGTACCTTCAAAGGGCGTAACTGCCCGATTAAGTAGTTACGTTTAAACTTTAAACTCGAAAAGCCTTGTAGACGCCGCGTTCCAACCGACCTAGACCGGCTCATCTACAACCCCAATACTCCGACTTCATCTCCAATCAACCGGTAACACAGACACGATGCTCCCACCGTTCCTCAAAAGTAGCTACCATCGGTACAAAGCCGACACCAACCGTTTTACAGAATGGTTGATCGAGGCTGCCACTTCCTGTGGTACTAAAGTCGAAGATCTGTTTAAACCAGATCCCAAATCGTCCAAAAAAAGATCCGGAAAGATCACTAAGATCCCTCTCAAGGGATATGCCACGCTTGTCGATGTAATTGTGAAGGCTGGTGTTAAGCTTCCGAAGACTATTAGGCTCGTTCTTGAGCGTGCTATTGCTATTCGAAAGAAATTTGCAGTAGCTTTTCGGATGGGTGGTCATGAGGTGGATGATAAAGCGGATAAAGGGCATTTGCATTTTATTACGGTTTTGGAGAGTGCACTAGAGAGGTTGAGTTCGTCTGTTGCTGGTGCTGTTAGGGAGTCTACGAAACAAACCCCGAAGGCAATGAAAGGAGAGGTATCGATTGGACAGCAGATTCCAGACTTGTTAGAGCATCTCGCTTTGGATGACAACGACAATGATGATGGTCTCAACATTAAAGATGATGGAAAGGTTTGTTACCGAATCAGTCTTGTATCTTTTATACGATATCTTACTAACTCAACTAACAGGATGACACGCCAAAGGCGACAGTCCAACCTCAAACATTCGAAATCGAGGATGAATACGAACTAGAACTTCCAGAATCATTCTTCATGGCATTCTGTCTTTTAGATGATATAAACACTCTCCGAGACTTCATCAAAGAGACCTGGATAGAATACAAGGATGGGATGATAGACGCCATGACAGCTGCAGTTACCACGAATTCCGCGGTTATTCTTGGGAAGGAGATGATCGATGACGTTTTTTCCAAGATCGATCGGACCGATTTTCCAGACTCTCAGAGTATTTCGATTACAATGTACAAGCTGAGATGTTTGTTGGATAACGTCCCCTCTGATGCCTCACGGAGAGGAGCGAACGAACCTTTCGACCTTGGAACGCTGGACACTGCAGATTGGGCACTTGCTACGGCGACTATACTCCTCCAATCTTTCATACCGGTGCTTCAACCAGGCCACTGTCCATTCTATCGCAAGGGGCATTTCGGCCCTGTTGATACTTCAAAACCTTACACCCAACGATCAAACGAACAGAAGTTCCAAAGCGATAGAGAAGCTGTACTCGATATCCTAGGAGACTTCGTTTTCTTGGTCAGAATTAAGAATGTTATGTGGTTGAAAGATGAAATCACGGAGACGATGATGGATATGATGGTGTCCAAGAAAGTAACATTACATCACGCTTTCTGTATCCAAATCTTTCTAGATGTTGGAAATGTACTTGAACCGAAGAAGTCAGCACCATTCAATGATCTTCGAATGACATCTTTGAGGGCGAAGAAAAGCCTCACAAGCCTATTGGCATCGATCAAAACCCACCCATGCGCATCATGGCCAAAATCAATGACTGAGCAGACCCAAGGGATTCTAGAGTTCATCGAAACCCATCTTTTAAAGGATGTCTGGATTCCATTGAAAGAAAAGAGTGCCCCAGGCTTCAAACACGCTGAGTTCCATCTTTTCAAAGAAAACCCGGTCCTATCCGGCCTTACAATGTACGATTTGAACCTAAATCTCCAAGATATAGGTCTCACCACCATCAACACCTGGAAATCAGTCTTCCCAATACTCCACCTCTATAACCTTCTTGAGCACGCTCGAGAGGTGCCTACCTTGGACTGGAAGGACCTAGATCTTTTCCTGAAATTCCATGACGAGAAAACCATCTTCGTCGGCGGAAGGCCCGTGGGTATCGAAGATAGTTTCAAAATATTTCTCTTATTCTGGGGTATGCCAGCGACCTTCGTTTCAAAAGTTGTGAATGGGGCAACAAAACCCGAGAACAATTCAAGACTTCGTCAAGCAGTTGGTACGCCCCGTGCCATAGCACCCACCACAGTCCTCGCCACCGCTTTCCACGTTGCCCTAGTCGAAGACCGAAAGGCTTCATTCTCTCTCGCGATCGTTGAAAAGGTACTAGAATACCTCGACTCGGTCCCCGATTCCACAACCTCAACCCCAACCAATGCCTTCCGCATTCTCAAAAGAAAATGGAAGTCCACCAAGACATTGTCACCCCTCCAGCTGCTCGCTACCCTTCGTAGCAACCTAGCTACCGAAGAACCCAGGCTTTTATTCAATTACATCGGTCTTCATGAACGATGCATTGAGTTCTACGAACAGGCCAGAGCCCACCTTCACGACAAATTTGTCCAATACAATGGTCCAAATTACCTCAAAGATATTGATAAAGAACCCCCCTTTGTAGTATTCTACATCATGCACGCTGCTTTAATGTCCTCAAAGGCACAGCGTACCCTGTTTCCCAAAGGCCCTTCCTCCACTGCCTCGGATCTTGAATTCGGCAGCGTAATGTTACGCCGATCCGGTGAACAGATAAGGGAATTTATGAAAGGAGGTAAAGGAGAAATTGCATGTAAGGAATTAAGGGTGTTTAGCAAGATTTACGGCAAAGTAAGTGAAGGGTTGGAGGCAAAGAAAAAGGAGGAGAAGGATGTTTATTGGACGGCGATTGAGGATGTTGTGGATCCGAAGGCTTTGGCGATGTATCAGTTTGGACGGTTAGATGGGCGGATATGATAAGGGAACTAAATAACTTTTTGTTCTAAAGGTGTTTTATCACAGTTCGAGCGTTCGGTGCTTAGGTTGAGCTTTGTCATCCCGTGAATCCTAATAAAATAGCCAAGGGAGCTTATTAGGGGTCGATTAAAAGCTTGTGATATGCGAGTGGGGGGACATGATACCGCAATATCAATATGGAGATGTTAATATGTTTAATGGACGATATTATATTTCCTAGATTATGTCGGCAGAAAATGCAGATAATAGAGAAATACCAAGGCGCTTGGCGTGTATCGCAAAACTTACCGCCATCAGGTCCCATGGTATTTTTTAAAAAAAGGTTTTGAAACTGCAGTTTCAAATAATCCCCCAGGTCCGAGTGTTCGAGTGCTTGCTTAGGATTTGTTAAAACTGGGAGACAAGGGAAATCCCGGATAATATCGATAATGCGAGTAATGCAATGTTTACAGACTGAATCGGTTTCAACACGCCCGGCCGTTTTCTCCACAGGTTACTTGTATTCTTTTATCATTTTACTTCGGGGATAGGCCCGAAACTAAAGAGCCAGTATCTCCACCGTGGTACCGAACCTGAGCGGCTATAGTTGACCTTTTTTTAAATGGAAACATTGACGCTCGCGCTCAGGAGGAATTAACAACAGCAGCAAGTGCCAAAGCACCATTTCGTCCGATTGGCCTGGGTTCTCAGGGTCCAAAATACCACAGTTCCAACGCACATTGATGCTTCCTCGTAAGTAGTTCAACGGATTAAAGTTACCCCAAAAGATTACCTAGTCCCGAGGATCATATATAAGACTTCCTATTCGACGATTTTCCATCACAAAACTCGACATGTGAGATATATAATCATATGTACAGTTCGACCAGACCCCAACAGTTAATTACGGTGTAGTGGAAAACTCCGCCACCCAACAGTTCCAACATAAACTAACCAACCAGGCAGCCCCAGGCTGGAACCTAGTTCCTTGATGTGCTATCCTCGTATATCACAATCTACCTAGCCTAGTGGCATATTTATGATATGTTAAAAAAAATTATTAAAAGTTTTAACATGCAGTAGCTCCTGCGGATCTTGCGTAATGTACAGTAGATCTCGGATATCGGGCGAGTCTCGGACCAGAGGAAGACATAATTGGTTTCTAAAGCTGTAGATGCAGGACGCCATAAATTTCTAGAGAAAGTAATATTTGCTTCAAAAGCTGGGTATATAAGCGAGTGGCTGTGATAATTTCATTGCGGTTCTACAGGGGAAGACAAAGTGATCGTATGAGAATGGTATCATTTGTATATATTCCTATTCACGGAATATGTTGGGATATTTTGATGACTACTCGGGGGCTGGACGTCGACAAGAACATCTGATATGGAAGCGTACTGCTGCTTGCTTATTCTCCCATAATTGTGGAGATAATGCGGAGTGCATACAGTAGCCTGCAGATGTCGACGCCCTGTAATGTCGGTGTAGCCGTTCGAGATCGATCTGGTATTTTGCTTGAAATCACTAGGCCTCCGGGTCCCCGACTTTATATACTAGAACCGTATATGGCTACGGCACATAAACCTAGCATATTTAAGTATTTATAGTACGTATATATCATTTTCTAGAATAAACACAACCTCTAGCTAAAGGATTCATTACTGTTCGATTGTCAGACGTACACGCAAACGAAAGTTGTTTCGACTTTATACATACACTAGCAGCCTATATTGGACTATTTAGGTTGAGGAAACTATAAATTTCGAAGAAGATTGGGTCTAGGGCATATGAAGTATCTGATAGATGCTGCTGGCTTTTGAAGAAGAAAAAAATGAAGTTATGTAATTCTATGGCAAGGTTCTTTGAGATGGTTCCTTTAGAGGCCTGTATGTATGTATCCTCATTATTATCAACATACATATAATTATAAGATGCCCATACCCCGGGCTCCAGGTCCATCACTAGGAATTCACTTGGTGGTCTAGGAATAGCACGAGTTACATGGGACTCTAAACTTTGACTAGGAGTCTCCAGGTACACCATTTCGGGAGTCCTAGTCCGAAGGATAACTGTCCGGCCTTTAATGTTAAAGGTTCCCAAATCATCTCAAGGTACTGTATTCGAGCGATTAATATCGTCAAATATGCAAGTTACTATCCCGACCCGTCTACCCGAGGTTCATGGTCATAAATCTGATTGTTCTGTGGGAAATCTACACTACACAATACACTTAGGATCAGGTCTGCTGACTCTTCTGCCTAGGCTTTCCAATTGTGAGGCATTTTCTCCCGGGCTTGTAAAGAGTAATCTTTGTCGCCGCGCCGGAATTATGGAGTATTTTATACGCTTTTCCGAATAAATTGAGAGAATAATTCTGCACGAACAGTTTAAGCGACGATAGTTGAGGCCGCCGCCTACAGGAAACCGGACATCCCTGATCCTGTTCGACAAAAAAAAACTTGGCAGGGGGAGGGGTTCGAAAAAGCCGTTGGGCTTTTTTTAAAAACGTTCTTGAGGGCAGATAAGTCGGAGTTTCAAATGGACGGAGAAAATAAATAAATAAAAACGGCAACGTTTGGCGATATCATTTGTTCAATCGGAACATTGTTTCGGGTATATGGATACTGCCCTGGATTCCCCACGGGATCTTGAGACCTCGGGGTGTATTAGCTAGGATTCCTTAAGTTTTTTGATTTCGGTTCGCGCTGAACCACCTCGGTTGAGTGAAACGGTAAATTTGATGATTCGAATTCAGAGCTCAAGGCCGGGCATTGGTGGGCCCTCTCAGTTATATTGCAGTCTGGGTTTTGAACATGTGGGCACTAGTCTACATTTCTAGCTAGATTACGACGACAAACACCGAGCCCGTGCAATTAATACCTTTTCCCACATGGCCATTATGCTCAATTGATCAAAAAAATAGTAAAATTGGCGAAAGAAATGGGTAATCGGACACGTCGAAAAGTTAACGTTGGGTGGTCGAACTTCTTTTGGTTATGGTATACTAAACTGTCGGATTGCATGCAGGGCCCAGACTCGCCGCGCCAGCCAGCGGTCCTGCGTTGATCAGAAAGATGGAATATCATTACCTTGAACTCATCGACTTGTCTGTTGGAAAAGTCTTGATAACACTTATATTAGAGAATTCCCCAGCGTGCATAGTACGCGTATTATTCGCAATTTCGGGTGACAAGCATAACCGATATGTCGGCTCGATTCGTCGTATCGCCCCACCGATATATTCCGTCGACCACCTTTGATATATATGACCCTGTCTGGGGAAGCGCACCGTGCTGGTTCTGTGAGACAATCCAGGTTCCGAAAGAACAAAGAAAGATTGCAGGTGAAAACTCCGTGTTCGACTGGGGTTCGCCAGAGATTCCAAGTCTCGTAATTGGATCGAACCTCCTAAGCTCGCCTAATACCAGAGTCTTTTGAAAGGGAACCTGGAAAGCGCTGCCTATCTCAAGGATATCTAACCTTTGGAAAATCAAGCAGAAGAGTTAACTGACGAGGGGTTGTTCCGTGGCGGGCTGTTTTTTTGCGGGAAAGGGTAACCCTCGGTATAGCCCTGGTATTTGTCGTTCCCTTAAAAAATGCCGAAGTAATGCAGCTTGCATATATGTTAACATGCAAAAGATGCTTATGCCCAGACCTTACCCCGTTTGTGCAACATTCGCGAAAACCCCAAGATCAATATGAGATCGACGGTAGGCAAGTTCACGTGCATATATATATGCGCATTATCAATTTTCTCTGTGGCACCAAAGAGTAATACCGGGCAGCTGGGCTCATGGAAGACTATAATTATAACGAATAACGAATCCTCGTTTTTGGATTTCTGATCAATTAGTCTGCTTGAGCTGGCTATTTTTCTTGTACGGCTGACACAGTCCCTGTCAGATTCTGCTGCAACTGATGCGGCCAAGTCTCTGGGCACGATTCTTGGAGTTAGCTTCACAGTGAGGCTAAGCAAAATCTTAGGGCCATTGGCTCTCCGAGAAGAAGGAGAGAAAAGCGTCTCCCATTTTCAACAAGCAGTCCCTAGCGTTTGGGAAACCCCAATCATTCGTTTTGAGGCATGGTCAATACAGCCAAGAAACTTGGTATTCAAATAACTTTTGGGCTGCCTACGGCTGAGAAATTGACAATTGAAGATCCTGCTGAGAGAATTTTTGCATGGAGAAAGTTCTAAATAAAACACCAAGAATTGCCCAGGTCGCATGAACGTTTCTCCCCAAGCCCTTAGGCCCAGCTTGGTAGCGGTCTTGATACGGGTCAAGCTTTTGGTGATCAATACTTGGAAGCCTTGTCCCGTAAGTACCGAGAAGAAACTTTGTATTCCAGTGCTGCAACAAGCTGCTAAGCGTCGTTTATGGGGTTTTGACAGGTAACGGAGCCGCAGTCGTTAAGGAAGCATACTTCTCTCGTAATAGAAATCAACTTTTTTGACGACAGTTTAAGCTTAAATACTTGACGTGAACCAGGTATGCAATGCTCACCTTACCGGCCCCAAGTTCAGAATAGGGATTTCGAAGGGTTTGCCAGCCAGTTCTTTTTTGCTTATGCTAATAGTGCAGGTTCTATTATTGTTTTATGGGTGTGGTAGGCAATTAGAAATGCTCACCTGCGTTGTCGAAAGAGGATGTCTGAAGTCGCCGCGAGGAAGAGTGCTCGGGCAGGGTCCCAGAACAAGCCCACCAACTCTACGGGTGTAGGGCTGAGTGCTTAGTGAGTGTCAGAGATCCCTTTCTATACGATGTATCTTATAGATTACATGCTGTCTCTTGTAAGCGCATACGCCCCCAGCTGGCCAGGCCTCCCCGAATGGGCACGGACTATACGAGATACGGCCCGAGAACAGTTCACTTTGTTACCGGAGGGCTCCTCGTATTCACAGGCTTGACTCCTTTCAAATAAACTAGCTGAAGAAGCTGAAGCCTTGCTGTCCATAAATATGATCGTTCCTCCCCTCCACGATATCTCGTTTTTCTCTTCCCATTCTATAGAAATTTCTCAAGATCGTTCGACACTCTCTTCAAAACTTTTTATAATATATACCCGTTCTTCAACTATTCAAAAACTGTCTGCATTCCATATATATCCGATATATACTTTTTTTACCACCAAAAATCTTCAATATGCATTTCTCAACAATAATATCAATTGCTACCCTCTCTTCGTTATTCTATTCCGCCCTAGCATGCGAGTCGTGTAGTGGGTCCGCAAAGAAACTACACCGCCGTGAAGCGGAAGGTGGGGAGGGTGGAGAGCCAGCATTCTCATATCTCGGTCTTACTGGACCCGTCGATTGGAACCAGTTTGAAGGCGCCCAAGCATGTGGTGATGGAAAGACCCAGTCCCCAATCAACGTTGTATCGACAATGAACACAACTTCTGCCGGAGACATTGGGGACTATGCAGATATCGGTGCTAGTGGATTCAACTTTACCAATACTGGTCATACAGTCGAAGTTTTCTATAGGGGACAACCCGCAGTCTTGGGTGGTGTGGAATATGAACTTCAGAGGTAATGAAAACATCTTCACATAATGAAGGCGTAGAGAAATTGACTAATTTGATAATTGCGGATAGATTCCACTTCCATACACCCTCTGAGCACAGATTAGACAATGAATGGTTCCCAATGGAGGTTCACTTTGTTCATCAAGGTCGAAATGGTGCGTCACAATAATCAATACTATAACATGCGGTACCGTAAGCCATGACTAACGAGCCATATCTATATAGATCCAAACAGATTGGCTGTCGTCGGTCTCTTCATTGATACTAATGAAGAAAATACATCGGACCCAATGATGAGAAGACTCGCTACTCTTCTCCAGTCGATCGAAAACCCCGGCGACACCGTCGTTGCCACCCACGTTCCTCTTGCTGGTGTTCGTACCGGTATCACTGGTGCTAAGAAGTATACTTACCCTGGCTCCCTCACCACTCCTCCATGCACTGAGGGAGTGACATGGTATGTCAGTAATACCATTCTCGACGTCTCAATCGCCGACTACAAGATCTTCAAGCGAGTTCTTGGTTACAACTCTCGAAATCTCCAAACCGGCCCTGGAAAGCAAAACGTTGTCGAATTTGCTGCCCAGTTCCTTCCTGCCGTTGCCGAGCGAGCTGCTGCTAAGAAACAGAAGAGGACTGCCAGGCGGTTCGCTGCATAAGTGACCAAGAAAATTAAGTCTTTTACCAAGAGGTTTTTCTTCCGAGTTCCGGAAACGACCGTTTTTACCCTTTCTAGTCTACTTTTTCATTACTGTCTCTGTCTTTGTGTTCTTTTTGCGAGTGCTTTACTTGGTATTTAGGAAAAACTCTTGTCGGTTTGATATCCCCCAAAAGAGTTCTTGGGCATTTCTTGTCATCTCTTGATTATATTATCAGCAAAACTTTTTTTAAGCTGCCTTTATCATAGTTATGTGTGTTGGAATTGGACTCGGAACAAGCCCAGAGACACTCTTTCTTTTTTCTTTCTTTCTTTCGTTCTGTCTCGACATGTATGCCCGACAAATGTATTTTTTGGCGTTCTGGGGAGCAATTAGGATAGACTATCATTTGGTCAGTCGAGAAATTCCTACCGAGGAATCAAAATCTCTATAATAAAAATATTCATCTTCAAGAAACTATCCATTCATCCCATAATACTTTCGAAAGCTTTCCTCCTATCGTGATAACAGCTCCAGAGCGCGGTTACGTAACAATACTCGTAGCAAGGAGAAGGAAAAAGGGTTCCGATTGTTCCGAGCGCTCACAGAACCTTGGTTTGGAGAAAATAATTTACCCCACCATCCTCAAACATTCAAAACGGAGAATTTTTCTTGGGTTTGTTTCAATAGTGTTCCGTTCATCTTCGGAAAACTTCTTTTGGGGTTTAACAGCCGGGCGCTTTTTGAGTACGGCTGAGCCACAATTTCCTTTCCCCGTGTTGCGAATTCGATGTCGGAGAAATAATAACGGTTTCTGCCCAGGCGGGGACCCAAGGCCCAGACTTCCTTTCCCGAGCTCAGGAGTACTAGTATAGCACTGTAGAGTATATATTCGATGGCGGGATGATAATATAGCATCCCTCGTGAGCACATTCTATTTCTGTATTAAATTTGCATAGCAAAGGCCGCTAGTAATGCCTAGGACTTAGCTTACGCACAGACACAAAAACACTCGATGACGAAACCTTTCAGACTACGAGGCATTATGCTGCTTTGGGATGTGGTGCCCAATCGAGGAGGAGGATAGTAGAACCTTCATGAATAGGTCAAAGGCATAATGGAACGACTACCCTCAAGGAAATTTAACTTCCCGGCTAGGGCCCTGCTAGTTTTGGAAAATACCACCAAGATGATGGTCAAGCTGCCCAGGCTTCGAGAATAAAAACCCTAAGATGGGCTTTCGAAGTTCTATGTCGCTAGCTGGTTCCCAAGTTGGGTATATCACATCCTAGTAACTACTTACTTGGTCGCGATAATTTGATTCAAGCCAAACATAGAAACTTCGATGCAAATCCTTTTCTGGGATTATTGAAAACCTGGGAATCAAAACCATGCTTGGGTATCGGCCCGACCTTGCTTCGGCTCGGTCCGTATTTAGAAGCTCAGAAGTATCTATCGTGCCCACGTGGGTGTTTTCGTCGCATCTATTGACCGATTGTTGGAACATAAGTTTGGTTTTCGAGAAAGGAAGTTTTAAAAGATCGGAATTTCGCATTTTGTATAATACTTTACATGTTTTTGTATCGACTGCCGACTCCCGTGGTTTAACTTTGTGCCGTGCACGTGGTACCCCAGTGGTACTTGGTCCCTACGCCCGCGTGAAATTATACCGATTAGCACAGTGTAAAGCTCCAAGCGCTCTATCGACGCCAAACTGACCGATTTATTAAGGGAGTGGTAGATGTCTACTAACTTAGGTCTGCATAGAGTAAAGGGTCTGACGTCATTTATGGAGATATTCTGGACAACTTTGAAGGCGATAGGGTAGACTTTGTCTCGTAAACCAGACCCGGGAACCCACCTTCGCGAAAAAACCGCATGTATCTTGGCATGGTTCTAGTTGCAAAGTACATAGGTTAGTTACTGACGTAAATGACGAATAAAGTTTAATTTCATGTACAAAAAATGAAGACTTACCTGGAACTTTCATATATCACCAGAGCAGGATGGTTAATTGCTACTCGGGCTTGGTTTTCCCGAAACCAAGAGCATAAGTGGCCGGGAGGGGGAGCCAATGGATATATGAGGATATAAATTCTAAGATCGATTGTACACTAGAGTATAGTACCGTAAGCTACATGCATAAGCGCAATATAAAATTGTTTTTGTACGGATACATGTACCTCTCTTTCATACTTTCGGAAATCTAAAGAGTAAGATTTATAACCTATTGTTCCTCGTTAAATTCAATACTCAAGAATCTTCGGGTTTTGAACCTTATATCACATCTGTCAATTAACTCGGTACTTTAGTTATATCGGTCATATTGCCCTTGCCTCGCCTCCCAAAGCGAAGTCTATGAATACATCAATGTTTATATACATGTATACAGCTCATTGTTGGATTCAAACTTTAAAGAGGAGTGATCTTAGAAATAGTGTTTGATTCCGCTCAAGATTGCATCAGTATGAAACTTGTAGTTAATATATAAGATCCAAGGGTCAAAGCCAAGGTCGAGAACTAGCTAGATTGATGTTTTAAGCTAACGTTTTTAAAAACCAATAAGAAAATCATCTCAAATCTTTTTAAATAATATGACGTCTACGTCCTACGCAATGAGCTCGAGGCAGTGTTTTATGTTAGAGAGATCGATTACGCATCTGTGGACAATAAAGAGAAGCTTCAGGGATTGTGGCGCTATAGGTTCAGGAAAATGGATATAAAGTTGGAAGAGCCCGGAAGGGGGCAATATGTTCCCATATACGAGACTGTCGTACGCATACAAGTATCCGGAGACTGCAACCGTCCCTAGGGAGGTTGGATGAAGCTGCTGGCCCCGTTTATCCACTATGACTACTAATTCCGACCCATAGAGTAATAGTTTGGGAGCGCATGGCGTTCTTTCGAGAGGATATCCTTGAACTTGGGATTAATTTTAGGCATTTATAGGAATTTGAGCCGCTTAGCTTAATTGAAATAAACCAACCAATAATCTTTATGCTGGGATTTTAGAGCGGATCCATAGGGTTGGTAGAGGCCCTTCTGGCAACATATAGGACATCCAATAATTGAACGGCGCAGCGATGGGTATTGGTAAAGGAATATATATAGCATAAATCTTTAGACCTCCTCGGGTTTCTGTTGAATTGATGCGAGGGAAGATATATATTCGCCTGGGTATCCACAAAAGGCAAAAAATCGTAATAAATTGCTCTATAAGAACGCCTCTAACAGGATATCAACGACTTGACCAAAATCGTACTATTCTATTAGGAAGCCGAAGTACTCCTTAGAAAATAGTATGCTCGCCTACGTTAACCTATTGTTCCAATATCCATTCCTGAATTAAGAACAGGTGTCTTTGTCAGCATTCCAGAGCTCAAATATATCTAAATTGAGCTTAAACAGTGCACTATGATGCAAGGTTCTCCCCAAATCATATGCTATGCAGCCTAGATTCAACAAGGAGCGCAATCTCTTGGAGTAGCCCAAGTTGCCGAAACACTATGCATGTATTAGATCGGTGAAAGTTTATGGTACCACAACGAATAGGGTTGTTTATGAGGCGGTCCTGCGGATTCGAATTTCATCGTGTTTAGATGAGGTAGTATAACAGCCCGGAGTCTGTGTATTTTTGTAGGTGGTGTATCAATAAGGATAGGAAGATAACTTAAATATGCAGTTATAATAGAAAACTTGATTGGGTGCGGATATTTTGGGGATCGTAGTGGATTAATGCGCTAATAGGTGGGTTAAGGAGAAGAGGTAATAATTGCACGATAGTTTGAGAGGCTAAAGGAGGACAAACGACGAGTAACAATTGAATCGACGGTTTCGTAAAGTCAGGGCAGCTATAGTTTCTGGCCTGGGTTCAAAGAATTTTGGGAGAGTATGCTGTTAAGGGCCTGGGGTGCAAAGTTCTTATGTCTTTGCATATAGGAGAGATCTGGTGGACGGCTGAATGGCGATGGCTTGGGATTTTGAACCAGTTCTACTTCTGACTTATCCGACTCAAACGGCTAGGGAAATCGAAAGAATCCTTCCTCGAATTCCTCCGACTATGATGCTTCGGTGGAGGCAATACGAAGGGCCCAGCTCCCTAAGTACAAATTAGGCAAGCAGCCTTAGAGCCAACGGCATTCCTACCTCAAACATGATCCCATGCTGAACCCGGAAGTAGTTCCATTCGACTAACGTAACACAGCCGTCTGTGTAACGATCGGATAGGATGGCCAGCCGTTCGCCATTAACACCCCGCAAACAATAAACATTTAGTCAAAAAACCATCCCGCGAGCCGACATGAAATCACAAAAGTAGGCAACAGTCACAGATGAAGTCTCCCCACGTCTATAACGGTCTTGCGACCGCGACGAATTCATCCAATGCTAGGACGTCATTTCTTGTCCGCGTGTGAGACAATAGGGGAAAGCATGCACGTATGGGGCCGTGGGGGATCATCGCTGGGAGAGAGTGGGCACCCCGCACACTTGTTGCCATATTCAGCATCGAACGTTACGTTAGGAAGACGTAAATGACAATGGTCATTCCAGTGCAGGATGCGCCTGGTTCTTAATCCGGCTTCCTAATCGAGGCGGGGCGATCTGTGATCGAAAATAAATGTTGACAAGCACCTGCGAGTCATTAGTTCTAAATTCGCCAATATGTTTAGTTCGTGCTAGATTTATAATATTTGATTGATTACACGGGATATGAGCGACATACGACGGTATCATGCCACGAATTCTGCTCGTCGATTGTTGCCGTAGAATAATTTTGAAAAGACGGAAACGATGAAACGTGTTTGCAGGGTTTCTAGAGAAATATTAATCGATCCACGCTACTGCCTATTTTTAAGACGGGAAGGGTTCTTCGGTATCTCGGTGAAGCGGGATATATCTGGAGGGTCGTGGAGGCATATATGTTGCACGATGTGGAATCTAGGCCTCCTATTCGTAAGTTTGTCGGATTTTGAGCATGCACAACCCATGTCGTATTAGTACTGTAGTGGCGAACGGGAGCAACTAATTAGTTGAAGAATCAATGGCGAGGAATAGCCCCAACTAATAGACTTTTGTTTGGCGATACTTATTTGCCAACGGCGTGGGATGAGTTGTCGATTCGCTGGAGTGAATGATCCACGGTGCTGTATCATAGCATGCAGGCGCGGTTGTTTTGCAGTGTCGGAGTTTGCTTCTTGAAAAGATCAGATGACCTGCCAGGAAGTTGCAGATTCCACGCGTGTACCGTGCACTCAAACGAAAGGGTAAAGTTTCGCTTGACGTGTGACAGCTAAGACAGTTGTGATTGGAAAAGCGAATGTGTCGACAAAAGCGACAGCTGTTTTTATTATCTATCAGCTCCGTATCAGAAGGATCGGGACCCTGTCGGTGATACCACTAATTATAATCTCCGATCGCCCCCTCATGATAGATGAAATAGGGTTGTTGGGACGTCAATTCCAAGCACCAAGAGCCAGGTGAGCTCTGTCTTGGCTCGCGACTTGATATGGATGGGGGACGGAAAGTGGGGCCATACTCGACAGGCTAGCCCTAGCTCCTGCCAGAAAAGAGCTATGCATCGTGACGTGAAAATTGATCCAATGCCTGTTAAAATCGTGGCGATAGTTCGATCATGAGAAACCCAGATCAATGATCATCGATCTTACGTTCGAAAACGACTTTTGAGGCAACCTTGGGGGTACATGTACATGCACCTTGTTAGGCCGTGCGAGCTGGAGTGCAACATGGCAAATACCATGGCATGTGAGATTTCGAATACCCTGAATTAAGACGGCTGTTAGTCGTTGACGGCTGAGAGCCGTGTGCGATGGTTGCATACTTGACCGGGTGTCCCTATCCGAAAGCAAGTCCATGGTCTCATGAGATCTCAAGCGGTCCAATCACTGATATCTGCCCAACGAATAGGCGGTTTCTGTGATGTAAACGAAATCCAGAAGGCAGGTATCAGCGCCACGATGCCATGCCAGCTAGAGAGATACACGCCTGTGCATTATGCATGGGGAGCATTCCAATTTTGAACCAAGGTACCTTCCGTGCCCTTTTAGAGGAAGCACTTTAGAAACTTCGTCAGCTTCGTGTATTTGCAATTGAAATGTCTTGTGACTCCCTGACTTCAACCCGCTGGGCAGCCATTGGGTAAACTTCGAATTCACAACAGCGGGGGTTCTCGGCTGAGCAGCAAAACTGCCTGTATGTCCTGTCGAGTCCCACAACAGATTGCATTTCAGGTTATATATCGTGTGCACATGCATCAATCCGGAAGAGTAGGATAGGTCGGGATAGGTTGCAGGAGATAAGCACCGCGACTATCACTCTCCCTGCGTTCGGGTTTTTGGCGGTGCGACCCTGCCCATGATTCGACGGGGAGTTTCCAGCAAACAGACCCAAGCTGCAAGGCGAGTTCACACCATGTTGGTCTGTACCCTAGTCTGGGGACGCTTCTGTACCCATGTCGTCGACGATGGAATTTGGGAATCGCTGCCAAATTGAGTTCAGCCATTTCCGTTCTGACGGCCAGTGCTGGGGACTCAACAGAAATGGGCTGGTTCGACAGATAATCATTCCAGCAGAGTTCTCCAGCCCGCCATGTCCATGCCCTGCCCCCCCAAAACGTGGCCCCTTCAGTCACAATCTCAAAAAGGGCAGTTTGCTTAGTATATAAGAAGGGCCTCATCCCCCACGTTCGTCAAATTTGAACTTTGATTTTTATTTTCCGAATCTCAGAAAGTCGACCTTCTCATCGCTGTCGAGTGTGATATATTGCATTTGAATCTGTCTGTGAGAAGAATTTGAAAGTGTTCATTGATCATAGAAGTGAAGCTGCTTTCATAGAAGACCTTCACTACTGTCCTCCTGACCTTGACCACCAAACGTGAGTTGCAAGTTTGATGTTTAGCTGTCTCTTTATCACAAACACCACCAACCAGTCCGCCAGCATCCGTCCTGCCATTGCTACCACCACATCAGTCAGAGTGATTCAAATCGGTTCTGTATCTCAGATAAGAGCTAGAAGTTGTGGGACATTTGGCGTACAATACCTTTTTTGTTCTTAGTTTCTCCGTTTCTCCAGTTGCTGTTACTGTTGCTGTTGCTGTTGCTGTTACCATTATTGGCATTGTCATCGTCATCATCGTTTTCGTTGTCGTTGTCGTTGTCGTTGTCGTTGTTTTATGGTTGTCATCCCTGTGCTTTAGTTCATTCGTTCAGTCCAGTCCAGTCCAGTCCAGTTGATAAATCCAATATCAAAGCTCGAATTACTAACAAGAACTCCCAGCGAGTGCGTTTTATTGTAGTTGAGAAAGCCCCGACCAGGCAACGCCGTCCAATCTGTGTTGTCGCCGCAAGTCTCAGACATCCTCGCAACACATCTGCATACCAAGCCCGCTCTGCATACACTTCGGCACCTCTCCCGTCATCCGTACCACCTACACACAACCTCTCCGAGCTACTAGCTACTATCAGCTATTCCTCCTATCCACTAGCTTCTAAAACTCTCCACGGACTATTATCTACCTACGTTACCACTATTACTTCAAGCCTCTTTTTAACCCAAAATGTGCAAATACGTTAAGAACTCGCATTCTTGTCAGCATAAGTCTTACAGGCTTACCGATACCTGTCAATATGCTCTTTCCTCCTCACCAGGAAGCTGCGGCAGAATGTGTGTCGTCGACCGCAAATATGTCAGAGATACTTGCGAGGACTGCACTCGTAAGCGTGCTCAGCTCGATTACGGATACATTAACACCAAGATTGATGGCTGGATGAGAGGTCTCGAGAAGGAAGAATTCGTTGAGCGAGTCGGTTTGGCTGCTTAAGTCGAATTTTATCACTCTACCTCCTTCGATATGAAACCAAATATCCTATTATCTGAGGACTCGAAAGATACTCGGATGATCAAGATCGTAATTCGTTTTTTTATTTATTTCGGAACTCACAGCCTGCACCCATTCTCACGAACCGCCTCGATGGCTTGCTTTTACGACTGTCAGTTTGACTTCATCCCCTGCAGCTTCTTACGGCATTCGATCATTCTTTAAATTCGATACTCAGCACCTTGGCGTTATGACGGGCATGATTTCTTTTTTAGTTTTTCGGTTTTTTTTAACTCTCCTCGGGCAGATGTTCTACCATCTTTCTTTTCTTTTCTTTACGGCCGCAGGATCACCGGCTGGGTCCTCCTATGATTCGTTCTTCTGGGATCCTGCATTTCACGGCGTCACTGCATCTTTTGAGTTAGGTTTCTGTCTTTTATGTCGATGAGGTGGTTGTTCGTTCTTCTTGCTGGTTATTCGTTATGACTAGCCAGTTTCTTCCGTCTATGCTGTTTGTTCTCTCCATCCCGCCTATATTGTCGAGCGGTCCTACAGGGCCTTTTTTTATGGTCCTGCTTTCGATTTTGGTACAGCTGCATGGGTGCTTGCTTTTATTTTTTTTATTTTTTATCTTCATCTTCACCTGGCGTCTGTTTCTGGAGATCATGTTCGTTATCACATGCACACGGTACCAGTTACGCATGTCAATGGAGTTCCTGGGAGGGTTTCTTGTCTTCTTCATTTCAAGCTTCCTTTCCTTTTTCTTAGCAATGAGACATTCACGAGTCCAAGTATTGTGTTCTGGTCGTCCTTCTGTTCCCTTATTTCCTACTCCACTTTCTATTTCCTTTTAATAGGTGGATTCCGGGCTCGATGTATACACAGTCTAGCCGTCTCCTTCGCCTGTTGGCGCCTTCGTCTCCAGGGTTCTTCTTCCCATAGCTATACCTATTCATGTAGCTAGCAAATCCATTTTATTTCCTTATAACATTTTATCTATCCCATTTTTTAAACCTCTACTTTTTCTAAATTACAAAAATAAATCCCAGTATTCGAAACTAGCCCGCGGTTAGTATAGTAAATACCTTCCATACCTAATGCATCTTCGCGATCGAACAAAATGACGATTATCTTTGTGACTGAAGTTGATTTTCTACCTATACCAGTGTCGTCAAATTTATAGAAAAGTTCGAATGCAGCGATCGATAAACCCGGGGGTCTGATTGAAACTTAGCCAATGACTACTACTAGTAGGCCGAGTATGATGATGTATAATGTTTCTCCTCATATACCCTTTTGCTAGGGATCTAGTGGCAAACTAGGCGATGACTCTAATTATCTTATCAAGATACCAAGCCTCCCCAGATCGATCCGATCGTTCCTTATGACCCGAATGTTTCCGCCCGCCCGCATTGTCGCCAACCGAGCGACAGCCGCAAGAACAGCCAGCTAGGCTACGGATCCGGTCTGCGAGGTGTTGCGTTTTATGTGTTGTCGCTAGCTCGTGCATGTGCCAGTCTCGTAACCAACATGTGTGTTGTGGTGGACTGTGGCTTTTTTCTCATGTGTTGCGAGAGTGTCTATAGCCACCAGTGCGGATCAAGCTATCTGGAGGATAGCCCGGGTGGCGTCGTAGTCTCGAGACCAGATCAACATCAGGATGGTTCATCTCCAGCTGCTTTTGCTACTGGCCACCACGTTATCCCAGACTTCGCGCTTCGATAAAGCTTCATCGGTGATTCCTGCTTTGAAGTGCTGCCCGTTCGTATGCATCCCGGCCCACTAAAATACGACTAGTAGCTCAGCTCAGGTTGCGAGCGATGTTACCCTCAATGATGAGACGAACGATGTTTATATTAGGGGTCATTATCCGAGCAAACCGGATACCCCAGTCCGGATTGTGGGTATGCAAGTACCCTCATCTCGAATTGTTCGCCTTCCGAAAGGAGGAAATATATTGGCTAACTGATCGGATTAACCCATACCATCGGCGCATTCTTTAATATAAGAAGGGCCCAGCTTGGAGCAATATTAATTCAGAATGCAGAAGGCACATTTTCGGCCTAAATCCTGATTCAGGTCCGTGCCGCATCAAGCTGCGAGTTTTGTGGTCTTGTCGGCTGTTCCTGCAGTACTCCTCGACTTCATTTTGGTCCCAGAATGTGAGCTTCCAGCTATGACCTTACAAGGTTCCTGTCTCAAAGCACCCCGCCTGACCTGATGTTCTGATCTAAATGACGCCAAAATGACCCGGTTTGTAAGGGCGGGATGGTTGGTGGGTTCCCTCGCCAGCTAGCTAGCCACGGCTCCAGCCTCCTTTGTCCATTGCTCACCGCCTTTCTCAGTTTAGGGTCTGATTCCGTTGCTGGCTGTGATTTTGTTGTTGTTGCCAAAGATGTTTCGTTCCCCCCTTCGGAAGCTTCGAATGATATTTCTGCAAGACCTCCGGTTCAATGCAAAGAATCAAATGATTATCTGCATAGGTACTCCGTATGTAGATACATTTGTACTTACATGCAACTATGAAGGGCCTTCCAGGGTCGACAGGCTTCAGAAGATCGTCGGGTAAACCTTTCGGCCCGGGTAAAGCAGAGACCGATTCATCTAATTAGATGAAGAATTCAATCTTCGAAATTAACTGACTTGCCCTTCGAGAAGCCATTCTTGGGAGCTAGTGGTTATTGGGAGCTGCAGGGATTTTCCCGCTGCTTGAAGGAAGCTACATCTAGTATCTCCACTAATGGGTCCCGGACGAGGAATCTGACACAAAGGAGCCTTTTCGCTGCCTTTTACCCCTGCTGACCTGCCTAGTTACAGTGCATGGAGAGGCTTGTCAGAAGCATCTTGTGCTGTCGTTTTCTCCATTTTATTGCTCAAAAGACGCAGCAGCTAATCTTCGTCTCATCAGATGAGAAGGCAGAACATGATTTCGCATTTTTTTGTGGTGTTTTCGTTCGACGCATGAGAGAAACGAGGTAGAAACAATTGCCTCACATGGTAAAACTGAAGAAAGAGGGAGGGAAAAAAAAAAAAAAACCGTGCTGGATGTGAAGTTCCGTTTCCTTTGCTAGAGCTGCTACACGTCGCCAGGTTTAGTAGATTGGGCGATCGCGACTTACAGCTCTAATTTCATAAAGGAAATATGGGGGGTTGGTTCTTTCTCTCTTCCAGCATCAGTTTTCATGATGCCGAGGTGCTGCCCAATATTCGAACCCATCCATTCCAGTTAATATTCCGCTTACTTACCCACATCTCTGCAGCCACTTTTATCAAAATTTTGGATTTCGATCGCCGCCATCCATTACAAGGTTCGCCCTGGTCGCAGCATCGAATTATCTGTCTCTGAGGGAAGCTAAATGGTCGGTGCAGCGCATGTAACAGACCTTGAAATCAATAATCAATACACCACAAGCAAATATAGCTGCTAATAATACGACTAAACGGACAGACGAAGCTGCATGATTGATCCCCAAGTTTGGTTGCCTTTCTCCTTGGATCGCCTCATTCTTTGCATGAAGCAAGCAGCTCCGTTAGCTCGAAACGCAGCTGGTCGAGCTTGTGGTCTCATTTGTGTCTACATTGGATTCTTAGAATTCAAGCTTCTCCGGTGACCTTTCCCGCCTTTGGGGTAGCTCCTCACAAACAAGCTGAGACCTTCATCGCTTTCTGCCTGTTTGAGGTAAAGTTCGGTTACAGGCAGACCTCAAGCTATCCTTTTAGTTGAACCTCTGCTCCCATTGAGTTTTCAAGGTTAAGTTGCAGGTACCAGAGTTTTGCAGGCCCGCACAACCTTCTACCCTTGTACTTGTACACTCCATTTTTTTTTCCTTCTGAAAAAGCTGGCGAAGGTTTTTCTTTTCTTTTCTTTTCTTTTCTTTAATTTTTTTCTTCCTGATATGCGACTGGGTAACTAGTGGTCTGCGGATATCTCTCGCGGCCACCCTTTGCTCTCTGTCTTTGCTTGCAGACAAGCTAAGAAGCTCTGCTCAAGCCAACATAACCTCATTCCCGGTCTCATCTCTTTCGTTCTTTTTCTCATCCTGCTTTTCCCCCCTCTTCCCCCCCTCAGCTCAAAGCTCAAGTTTCTCTGAGTTTTCGGTTACCTTTCGGATTCCAAACGGGACACTGACCCATTAACAAGTACCAATTATTGTTTGCTTCAGTCACATTTCTTTCGTTCTTACAAGCAATCGATTCAATTCCCGCATTAGTCGCTACCGGCTTTCCGAAGACCAGCAAACGGCTTCCCATTCATCCGCTCAAGAAAACAACCAACAGCTCCCTCTTCCCTTTCCCTTTCTTTCCTATTCTACTTGGTCATTTCTGGCAGCAAAATTCAATATCTGGAGCAGCAACATACCTTTTTCCTCATCTATTCCGTGTGGCTGTTTATTCTCCGAGGAAAAGTGGGATTTGGGATTTGGGATAGCTGCTCAACCCTTGTTTATCCTGCTTTGGTGTCCTTTCGTTCGTTCCTCTTTTTCTTTCTTCATATCGCCTCTGAGGTTTAAACTCTCGTGAACAAGCAATATCTTAGCTCAAGCTTCCGTCTTGGGGGGATTGCTCTTTTATCTGTCTATCTTCCCTCTATTTACTTTCCTATCAGACCACATAAATTTCGTGCTTACACTCAGTCCTACTCTTTCATATCCACAGTTTCCAGCAGCAAGTAGGGACCGCCACTACCACTACTACTACCCAAGGAGATCTCGAGAGGAGGGGAACAAAAGGCTGCATTGTTTGTTTGATCATTGTGAGCTGGAGCATTTACTCGGGTACTTTGGCCCAGGTGTGGGATAGCACATAGCAACCAACAAACAAGAAGGAAGCAAGGGACGTTTTTGGCCAATCTAACAAGGAATCCATCCGCCCAAGCTTGGAGCCCGGTTCTGGTTTTTCTGATCTCGATCCCGACTGAACAGCGGTCTGCCTGCAAGTTAATTCTTTAACTCACCGTACCGCCTGCTAAATTTATTTTCCCTCTTCCGCCGACCGAGTTTTACGGATCCCCCTCCAACCCCCGGCGGGAAGAATTGACACAGAACTACTACTACATCTTACCTAAATAACTTGCCCTCGCGGAGTCGAATCAGTTCCTCCGTTTGCAGCGACACCCCCAGCCAGTTCAGCATTCCATGTTCCCGTCACCGACAACACATCTCGTCCTTTCTGCTGCTTCTTGAGCTTAGCTCAGCCGCTCCTGTAACCCCCAATACCGTCGATTTAGCTTTGGAACCTGAAGGCTAGCTCTTCGGAACCGCAACAACGGCTAGCAAGATCGCAATCCACTCCTTGTTGGAGCAATATAGTGCGAAGATGATGTCTAGGACTACATCCGCGGAACCTCATGTGGCAGGTGGCCCCGTAGATCCAGATGGCGAAGTTATCTGCCCGCTTATCCGACCGGACGGTCGCAGGTGTCTTAAAAAATGCACCGGAGTGAGTTCCCAAATTGTCGTAAATGAGAAAGCTGAAAGTATTCTTTGTTTCTTGCTCGTTGATTGCTAACTAGAGCTCTTTTTTTCAATCTCACAGGAGAGGAGATATCGTTCGATGCAGGAACATATTCGTCGTGCCCATCCCGACGACTATGTGCCCAGGCTATCGGCAACGAAGGATAGCTTCGATAGAATGGTCAGAAATGCTGCATTGAATGCCACCACAGCAAATATCTTAACATCACTACCGAATGGAGGAATGGGAGGCCCGCCCAGCCCTGGTCGAGGACGAAACCTTCAACCTGGGGGTGGAGAGGAAAGAGCTAAGAGCACCGGTTGGAGTAAGTTTGTTCGAGGTGCAGATTGGAGTTTTCCTGTTGCTTAAAACTACCCAATACAATTGATGACATACTTATACTTTGTTGCACAGGATTTGAAGACAACAGCTTTGAAACTCGAGTTGAGGACCTTACTCCTCCTTCTACGAATTCCGATGTGGATATGTCGAGTGCCAACACTTCTCTGAACTCAATGAGTATGGGTAGAACTGGTGCACCCTTTTCGAGCTTTGGAAGCGAAGTCTCGCAGGTGAGCTCGCAAGAAAGAAAAAATCGATCTCTCCCCTGGTTGGAGCTAACATATCCTGCCATTCAACAGCCACCACCACTCCCAAAGCCTTTACAAACTACTATTGCTAGGAAACGGAAGAATAATTCCTCCATTGATAATACTCGTCGTCACCATACATTCCACCCTTCTTCTGTATCAACACTACAGGGCCTCGAGCCTCTTCACATTCCCCATCCGCCATCCCGTCAGCGAAAGCGGCTCCCGATCATGAGCTCGCCCCACCTGTCACGTCAGAACACACCAATGTCATACGAACCTAGTAGTGCCGCCACCGGAAATGAATCCGACCCTGACCGCACCTTGGAGCACGATGATCTTGTTCGACCTGCCTCTTCCACTATCAGTGGAGATGATGAAGCTCGAACCCGCTGGGATGAGCTCGTTTTTGTTGCTTCACAGGCTCCTGAATTCCTAAATCAGCCACCCCCAGCAGCGTTTGGTTACAGTGGAAACACGCTTACCAAATCTCGTTCAATGGCTGATCTTGAACACCGGGTCCGGACCACCAATATCACCCCACCAATGTCGGACCGTCGTGATACCCCGCCTGATTCGGGAACATTTGAGAAGATGCAAATTCCGAATTTCAGTAGGTCGGTTTCCCCACGAGCATCCACAGGCATGCTCAATTCGAACAAAATGGAGACGGATTTCCCAGAAGGTGCCCAATTGAGCAGTTTGAATACTCTCAATAAAGCTGGTGGTCCGTATAGTCCACAGATCACAATTACATACACTCCAAAAGTTGAGTGTAGCGGCTGCGGCCTTTTGACTGCTATGAGTGAAGCTATGGCTTGTTCTGAGTGCATTGCCGGATTGTGCCGCAGCTGCGTCAGGAAGGGAAGCGATGGATATGCAGATGGTGATGAGGCCCATGGAACTTGCCCAAGTTGCGGAGGATTGGATACCAAGTTCAAGGCTGTCCGCATGCGCATTCGGTGATTGGTTCGCTACTACTATATATCAAAAAATTCGACGAATAACAACTCGATACACGCTCCTTTTCCCGACAGAATCTAGCATCCTTTCAGAACGGCCTCGATATGTTTGATATAGCGGAAACCAATACTCCAATATCTATCGTATACGAAATCGACTAGCAAACCACGACTTACTGTAATATATAGGGCTTTCAGTACGCCCAAAAGTTAACCCTTCGACTTTGGTTTTGTTCTTTGCTTTTGGTGCGATTCTCAATTCGTCTCATTGTCTTAACATCCTACCTTTTTCTTATTTCTTTATCTTTTTCCCTTAAAGTCTCTTTATTTCTTTCCGCTGTTTTTCATCTCAAATTTATCATTTCTGCTCTCTCTTTCCTCGTTCCCTCTCTTTTTAGTATCTTTACATGCAGTGTTGGATATTTATCCCTACATAATTTTCCGTGGGTGCGACTAATGCTTCCTGAACTCTATCTCCTTCTCCATATATCACCAAAACAACTCCACTATCATAACGGCCTTCTGTTCTTCTCGCAGTTTTTCCTATATATTATTTGCAAGCTTTTTTCTCTCTACCGCGCAAAGTCAGCTTGATTTCATTTGCTATTTACCCGTTTCTATCATTCCTCTCCCTCCTTTATTCTGTTTAACGGTCTGAAACTCTTTGCTGCAAGTTTTTGGTTTATTTTTTGCCTCGTTAGTCCATATTTTTTTATTTTTTTTTGTTTGGAAAACATCGGAGTGCGATAAGGGGCGTTCTATGATTGAAAGGTTATGTCTACTAACTACTATCTTCGACCTTTTTGTCTTTTTAACTCGTTGACGTTGAACTTTTCCGCCTTTCTTTTTTTTCTTCTGCTACTACTTCTCTTGTACATATTTATATATCATGCCAGTGGAGTCTAATTGGACGACGCTCCGTGTGGACCTGCAGCTGATTGGAAAAAAATATATATGGGTGCCTAGTGGGATTCTACTAGGTACCTCTATTGCATTCGATCACTTCTTTCGGGGAAAAAATAATCTGTGTGGTGATGTAGGGATTAGTTGCTGGCTAACACAAAATGGATAGAAATACTTGGTATGTTTTGGGTGCTAAGTGTAACAGGCATGCCCTAGTAAGATCAATTGCTTAATTCTGATGTTCCATATATTTATAAGTCAATTATCCAAGCTGGTAATATTTGGTACCAATTGTCATAACTAGAATTTCCACTTTTTCCTCATCCAAGACTTCGCTAAACGGCTCGTTAACAGCTACTTATAACATGTCCATTTCACTTTTCCCTTCCTTCATTTCTTCCTGTAGACTGAAGCTGGTATATCTACATGACAATAACACTCCTGTATCTGACTTTCCCGTTGTCGACAATGTCATAAGCCTCTTGAATCTTATCTAATGGGAACTTCTGAATGATACAATTAACCCCGAATTCCTTGGCGAAGTCGATGGCTTCCTCGGAATCGATTGAAGAGCCTGCAGGCCACCCTCTGACGGCGTGTTGCTGGGTGATGAGTGCAGTACTGTCGAATGGGGCGGAACCGACAACTATTGGTGTATATATCATATCAGTATTATCCCAATTGTCTTTCTTTACTACGCTTTTGAAGGCTGGTGATCATATAGATTTTAAACTTACTAGCAAGCACCAACAAAGTACCACCTTTAGCCAATCCGCCTTGCAATTTAGATGTCAAATCGGGACTGTTCGCGGTAATAACAATACAATCGGCACCACCCAATTTCCTCAATTGTTCAGCATTTTCCTCTGGAGAGCCGTAAATGTACGATTTAGCCCCAAGCTTCAACGACTCTTCTTTCTTAGCTTCGTTACGACCAATCGCAACGACTTTGTAGCCCATATTTGCGGCGTATTGGATAGCAAGATGTCCTAGACCGCCAACTCCGGCGATGGCGACTGTACCACCGTGACGGACGTTCATATTTCGAAGGCCGTTGAAAACTGTGACGCCGGCGCAGAGGATTGGAGCATAGGCTGCTGGGTCGACATCTTTGGGGATTGATACTACGGCTTCACGACGAAGGAGGACGTATTGAGCCACTATACACCATCATAGTAGAGTACTAATTAGCTTTGCTGGGTTGCTCATTATAATATGGGGGGTTTTTATGAGGCGGAATTGGAGGAACATACACCCTCCCCACATAGTAACACCATTGATGGCCTCGTTCTCGCAGAGTAGGAATTGACCACGTTTGCATTGGGTACAGAATTGGCAGTGACCACCGTGCCAGCCTCCACCGACTCTATCGCCAATCTTCCAGTGGTCTTCAGTTTCGGGAATAGCGGCAACTTCGCCGATGATTTCGTGGCCGGAGACGTGTGGGCTATATAAATTTCGATTGATTCGAGGTTAGGTTAACATGTCCCACCTTTCGATAAAATAGGATAGATCTATAGAGATATGTTTATATAGCTTTCAAACATACAATTGGGCGCCGACATGGCCGTTTAGAATATGGACGTCAGATCCACAAATACCCGATGCGATAACCTTAACCAGAACTTGTCCGTGGGTTGGTGGTTTGAGAGGGACGTCCTTCAGCGTGAATTTTACAGGCGATTCTTCACCGGGTTTTGCACCGTAGGTTTGGGTGTGACCGGGCTGGTCGACGACTGCGGCTTTGAAAGTTGATGGGAGTGAAGAGGACATGATGATTGGTATTGAATGTAGAAACTTCAAGTGATTCTGAAGTTAATGAGCTTATGAGGAGGTATTGCGGATTGCGTTGATTTTGTGGTCAATTGGATCGTCCGGAATAGGAAGTCGATCTTTCGAAGTTGGTTACACGATAGCTGTTGAATCGTTGAATTTGAAGCGGATGTAGATGATGGAAGTTGAGATAAAGACGGGGAGCTTTCAGCTTATTTATACATCTACCTACTGACTCTACAATGCGGGAGCTTACTCCCCTATCTCTACTACTTCCTGGTTGAGAGCTACTTTTTTTCTTCCTTTCTAAGCTTTTTTGGCTTTGTCACTCTCACATGCATATCCAATGGGAAGTAAAGTGTCATTAACGGGAAGATAGTAGGTGATGTCACTGGGAATGTTATGTCAGCTAGGAGGTGCATAAAGCATCCCACCCGCGTTAGTGCATGGAGCTTACTTTGTTAATCCCGACGCGGGTCAACCGCGTGTGTATGACCAACATCTACCATACAAAATTAAAAAAATAACCGTACGCAATAGATATCGATTTATAGAGTGTAGTGCTAATCGCATGGAAGGTTTTTTTTGAGGAGGCAAACATAATACGGCATGTAACTGCCGTAATCCCTGTTATATTTCCCTTTATCAATCTTAGAAGAGTCTAATACTTATTCTGTTTTGCATGAAACGTTGTATTATATTATAGTTAAAGCTATATACTCCGTGTTTTTTGAATTCATCCGCGGTCCGTGTTCAAACGTAGCTACCGATTATAGCTTAGGACCCTTGTAGATATTGTAGGTTCTATGCATTTCGGGTTCTCTAGGCTGTCGTTGAGCTCACAGGGACTCGGAGCGTCGAGCTCGGGGTTGCAGACGCTTGGATCTTTCGACTGGTTTCTGCATCTTTCAAGCGGGCGCCTGTTGGAGCTGGTTTCGTACCCAGTTAGAGCTAATATTTTATCATACTCGACGGTTCTTAACATGGTTACACAGGAACGCATATGTTGTAAATTAGCGTCCTGTAACGAGCTTTTGGGCAGTCATAGTCTCATTGAAGATCTTTACTTCATCTAATACCAACTTATAAGCCTAGTCGACAGTATATCAATCGAAGCTGCAAGAATATTCGAGTTCTGTCTTCGTTTTATTTTTTTGCGGGGTAGCACATTATCGATATCAATACAGTTACCCTTGTTCCGGGTTTCCCATTAAAGTAGGGACGATATCGAAAGAACCAAGGTACCGAAATAACCAAGGCTATTGATTACTGATAATAACGGAACTCTCTCACCTACAGCCTACCCGTCTGATATGCTTTGTGGTATAGACATAGGGACTATTAATATTTTCTTTGAGGTTCCGAGCTACTGATATCGCTTAGTTTCGATAATTTAAAGTGAAACCTGCATTGAATTAGTACATTAGTGTCGGACTTCCTCGGTCTTCCATATAATATGTGCTTTTTATTGTCGGATTAGTCAGGTGTCTTTGCATCGTGGTTGACGCCGCATTTTGTTCTAACTATCTTGAAGTTTTGGTGGTCCATGTGGGATTTGCCAAGCGGAGTTCTGTTAAAATCTTACTTTGAGATTGATATCGATTGGAGGAGTAAGTGAGAGCTCTGATGCGATGATACTGTTAACATGTTAACTGGATTACATATGCATTGTATATGTGTACTATTGAATTCCTTTTTTCTATCTTTTGAATTCATGAAGTCGTAGATGTTCACTGGCTTGTAATGCGAAAGTTAATGTTCCGTTGTCTCAGCGCCAAAATTCTCTTCAAGTTGTGGTATCTTCAAACGGGAGGACTTAAATCCCGAAGGCAACGTTTCGTTCCCACTCTGCCCAATCGATAATCGATCTTGATGATTCCTAAGAATTAGGGCTTTCCTAGAGGTTTATCCGAGTGGGTCGCCTATTCCTATAGTTGGTTCCGAAGGCCTCGCCGTGTGAGAGTTTAACGTTTAGTAATTCGTGGACATTATGGAAATATGGAGATGAGTAACCCATATGCATATATGATACGCATGGAGATTGGGGTTATGGAGCTAGCTAGTTTACCGGCAGCGCCCGAAAAGCTTGTCCAATCGTCGGCACAGCCGAGAAACCAAGACTGGCATGTTAAATCCATCCTAAATCCGTTTGCGATATTTTGCAACATTTTACACACAAATTTGAAAAACTGTTTTGAAACGATCGATATATATCAAAGAATTTCGTGGCCTGGAAGTAAATAGGGAGCTCCTGAGTAGTCGCCTTGCAGTCTTCCCCTAGAGTTCATCACTCTTCTCCCTATTAGCATTTTTTTCTCTGCTGAAGTTTTAGAACCATAGGCCCATTGCATAGGCCAGCCCAACGACGAAGAAATTTAAATAGAACAACAGGTAACGGTCCCAAAACGTCGAGACAGCGAGCCTTGGAGAAAAAGCCATGGTATAAGCTAGAGATTTGGATCTTGAGTTCACCTCATATGCTCTTCTTGTGAGGCGACGCAGAAAAAAATTAGATTCACATGCGATGGTTTGGGGAGCACAAGAATTGGTTTTCAACCATTTCCCGTTAATTGCATTCCGGAAATCTAGCTAGAAAAGGGCTCGTAGAAGCTGTTGGTGTAAGGATTATTAAGGGGATGAATCTTATATTGAGGTGAGTACAATTGTCCATCCGACGCTTCGGCTTACGAAACTAATCGATGACTTGTGGGCTTTATAAGTCCCTAGTTGATACTCCCGCCCGAATCGTAGTAAAGGCTGTACTGGCGCTCAAAGCCCTAGGTGAGTCCATCGAACTTCGATCCTTAAATTAATCCGTGATGGAAATTTGAGGTATTGATAGTATATTACAGGCGGCGACTTACCTTGGTTGATGGGGATATATAGTATACTTGGTATTGCGCTGGAAAATGCTCTTGTCAAAAGTCTAGAGACATTATTGGTCTGCATATCGGTTGGTTCTGATGTTCTTTACTAGTTTTGTTCACAGAAAGTTTACCCTTCCTATGCAATTGTTCTGATAAAACCCTTCAAAATAGGTTACCAAATATTCGTATACTGATCACCGGGGTCAATAGTAACCGAGGCGCTATAGTTATATACTAAATACTTGTGTGTATATCAGCTATTTGAGTAGCTGAGTATGCAAGTAAGTGGCCAGTGGTACCCAAATCTATCAATTGAAACACGGTAAATTTGATTTGCTTGCGAGCTAGCTAGCTAGCAGCTCTAAAACGTGGCGTGCGTGTGCATGACATGCAGCCTGTCTTTCAGCTTGTACTATGGCCTAGTGCAGGGCGAGTCTGCCTTCGGCCTTGAAAACCCGAGCTAATTGGCCAAGTGAAATCATTACGAAGTGCGAAACGGATCAGCTTGTAGACTGGCTCCGTGGTACATGCATGGCTAGTCGTTTCGCGATATCGATATTTACCACAAGAAGGACTTGTGGAAGTCTCTTTCCCAAAGAAATTCCCATTGGATGCGTGACGAGACTTTTGTTTGATTAAAATTTGATAATGGGTACGCTACGAGTTGGTGGTATATTGGCGTTATAACTAGGTTCCGGGATCCCAGGGGCCTCAAGGTCAAAATAAACCTTAGAACCAATGAAAAAAAAACTTGATTGTAACAAAAGTCCCGATACGCGTATACGGACCCAGTACTGTCAATAAAAAGAAAGGATCTTGTGTGTCGGACCTGCCGACTGCATAGGTAACACTAGATTGAGGAAATGTACTTCCAAAACTCGAAAAGAACTAAATTATAAACTAAACGTCTTAGGATCTTCAGGCACTAGTTGAACCGAAGCACCGTCCTGCGGGCTCTATCAATCTAACTGAATCCCTTCATAGTTAGGTTTGTATCAAACGAACCCCTCTATTTTAGCGGCCTTCGGCGGATGTTGTATCGGTAACTCAACGTCGGTCCCCGTGGAGTCCCTCTTCTCATATTCAACATACCCAATACGAATCGACGCTGTTGACATGTTTTTGCCATACGGGGACTGAGGGCTGACTGGAGACTGAGGATCGGAATGAACATGAATATGTGTTTTACCAGCCGCGGACCGGATTTTTGTCCCAGCGGACCCGCTACTGTTACCACCTGTTCGTTTGAACATGGATTTGATATCTGATGCCCCGCTGCTCCCATATGAGAGGAGCTTGGGGATATGTTTCATGAGAAGGGCGCGAAGAGCTGGGGCGCTGCTACATATTAGAGCTAGGTTAAGTTCGATGCTAAGTTGGAGTTTGTAAGCTTTGGTCCCATAATTAACGATATTGGTATAATATTGGGTGGATACTTACATTCCCCACGCAATTATCGGCAAAATAGAGTCTTTGCCATCGATCCCGAATCTAATAGAATTCTGTACGGCTTCTAGGCGAATGGCAGCAGCCACACACGCGCTGCGATTAACTAATATTAGCAACCGTTTAAGTCTAAATCTAAGGTTTTGAGACTTACATTCCACCAAACCCGAAGGTAAAAAATGCGATAATCCTCTCTCGAGGATACAACTGTAACCTCCACACCAACGGCATAGGAATCACCCATACCAAAGCATCGGTGATAATATTGACAATACCAGTACCCAGGATGGCCTTAAGAGTATGCACTTCACATTTCAGAGTCAGGTCAAACTCTGAGTCCCAGAAGTTTACCTTATGACATTGGAACAAGAAGGCAAAGAAACCACCCAATGCGTTCCCGATAGATATGAAACCAGTGACTAAGACGGCTGTACGAAGCGCGTTCCAGGTTGATAGTTGGTAATAGAAGATCAAGAGGGCGAGTTTGATAGATAGAACGACCATTGGGTAAGCTGTCATTCCGACGTTATAAGCCTATGCCAACATTTTAGTACTATTTTCAATAACCTAGCTTTAGAAGATACTTAAGTTGGCGCTTAAGAGACTTACAATTGACTGTTGTTTAATCTGGAAGTATGACCGATCACACCAACTAGCCATATCACCACCCACGAGACTAGCATGAACACCATATGCACCCCATGCGACTATTAAGAACTAGACATACCATTTAGCTAGAGCGAAAAGAAAAACGCAATTACAGAGTATTACACGCCTACAGCTCAACTTACATATGAAATTAAAGCAACCCAATCAAAGTTCTGGATCCTCCCAAGCAAAGACCATCTTGACCACAGCCTTAATGACATTACCACGGTACTGAGAATCGTAAAGACGATAAACAAAGGCAAAACTGATCCGGTAGAACGCGGATGTGGCGCTAACGGTAATAGCTCCGCTGCGAACGCCGTTTCATTGAATGGCGCAAAATTCATGGCCATGACGTCGTATGTTTTAATGTCCCAACCATAGTAGCTTGCTACTTGATCATCTGTAATATTTGGATAGTCAATATAGAGTTGCGCAAGTGCTTTTACGGCTTCACTTGTGTGTTCGTGGGTAAAACGTGGCGAAGAAGAGCCCCAGTAGTAACAAGTGAGCGTGATGTAGAATATATCACTTTGGGTGAGAGGTTCGGCCATGGCGACCCTGATTCAGGCTGTTAGAGCAATAAGGCGCCTTCCAAAGGAAATACTAAATGGAGGCTAGATCCAGACGGAAAAGAAGGGAATCCCGAAAGAAATTTGGGCAATGAATGGTCAGGAGCGACCCGTCCTTTTGACGGGAAGAATCGGCGAAAGCGATTATATATCCCAAATTCGTGCGCATACTATCGATTGCCGCTCATTTCCTCTGGTGGTTGAGAAAGTAAACCCAATCTTCGCGAAGTTAAGTGGGGTGTCTATCCTCGTTGGAGGAGAACCTGGTTGAAGTGTGGTAGGCGATAGATTGCCATCAAGGGTCGGTCTGAGTGCAATGTGGTATAACGCAATTTTTGCGAAATCTTTGTTATCAGTTGAAGCTTCCTAGGCATCGCTATGCATTGTACTTACATGGCATGCCGATAGGTATAGATAAGTGGAGACATCATATGTGGAGGAGCATTGACGGGAAAAGATCGGAGGCTTGGAAGACTTGCAGAAAACTGAGGGTCGACTGGTCGCGCATTCGCAAACCTCGTTATCAAAAAGTAGGACCGGACCTGCATATCATCGAAAACGTCAACGGCCTTGATTTCTGCGAGGTTGCAACGTCGTGCATACGAATTGCATGTAGAAATTAATATAATGACTAGGTTCTTTTGTTTCGTACAACGTGGCTTACAATTTTGAAGGGAAATTTTCGCATTAACCAGTTTCAATTTGATCAGGGCTGGGTCTAGAAAATGCCAAAGCAGAGGTGAGCGACCCCTAGCCCTAGACTACAGAAACTGGTTATTTTATGGTTAAACACATCGTATGGTCGACTCCATGGTGAGACAGACTAATTCGAGATTATCCCAGCTTCTTGCATCCTATAAGTCGGCACATGGTATGAACATTTCAATGGAACTGGTTGCAACCTGCGAGCTAGTCAACCATCATTTCGCAGGTTCTAACCAAATCGAGTAATGCGGAACATACCTGGATCGTAGCAACCGATGATGCAGGTTTGAAAAGGCGACCATAGAAGGGTGCTCTTTTTCTACCGTTCTCACCGAATTACCCTGTTTAGGAAGTTGGTAATGCAGCTCTGATCTACAACACGGTTTTTGACTACAAGTTGTTTTGGTTTAAGCTTGATGATATCGGGGAATGGGCTTGTTTAGTAGGTACATCCTGTAAGATAAAATAATAAAACTGCAGTGCTACGTTATAGAGGTTTCTGGTGTATACTATATATCTAGCCCACGTAATACACCGAGCTTGTGTTCTAAAACTGCAGGTGACCCGCCCTCTTCGTTATTAAACTTTCGATCGCCATATCCGCATGAAGCGAAATATGCGAGCATGCCCTGGTCGACATAGTCTTGACATGCTGTGTCTTGGATGATTCCGTTTGGCTACAAGCGAAAGCCTAGTTCCCCCAATTCTTCGTTTCTTCGTATCTTTCATACTGTTTCGATAAAATATATACATTGGATTGTATTGTACCAGGTCGATCGGAATGCGAATAGCCATATGGTACTTTCCATCACAAGTCGTTCCAGCCGCTATTGCAGTGCCGATACCACGCTAGGTCTTGCTTGTTTCTCTAAGTATTAACGAGTTTAGGAGAATGATCACCGATATAAATTTCCTAAATGCCGGTTTAAGTATCTTATAGAGTTTGAGGGGACTCGAGATCTGGCCATGGCAGCTTGCAGTTGGAAGCGGTCGCAAGACTACCTTGAGGCCTAACACACCGACCCAAAATACCACACATTCTGCCTTAGACAACATGAGTTATTAAGAGAGCTTATAGAGTCTTCGTGTTCATTTTAAGTTCACGCCACTATTTTGCAATATTTTGGCTGTGGGTAAAGTTACAATTTATGGAAGTGTCATGGAAGTGTCACTGTGGTGTTTTTGACTAAAAATTTGAGACTTTTATACTGTCTACGTTAATATCTGATATATATGGCGAGGAGCTGCATGTGCAGGGGAAATCTTGCAGGCCGCTGCGTAACGTATCGAGGCTCCATACACGGGTTTGGGTGCCTATCTATCTTGTGGTCATCATGGCGACGTCCCTACTGCTAATTATACCCGAAATCAAGGTAAAAACATGGCACCCCAAATGTCCCTGTGTGTAATTAAATATCGCAGGCGGTCCATCCTCATCGGTCATCGCCTCTTCCTCGCTTCGCAGCGACATATGGGCGGCGTCACCCATCGTCCACGTTTCTCGCTCATTGGCCGCTGCGACGGCTTTATCTCAAACAGTTGTGATAAGGCTAGTTTTAAGTCTGACAGAAAAGTGGATTAAAGGAGTAAAACAAGCCGGTTGGTCATAATGTTGGATCATATACTACATCACGCCCACATATAGGTAATATCTACCAAAGTCAACCATGGGTGCTAAATCCGAATTTGTAAAAAGCTTGCGAGCAGGCTCCTTCTATGATCGACATTTACTGTACTAAGTATGCCGCGGCGCCGAGATGGCTATAAGAGGTTAAAGACCGCCTTCCTGATTGCCCTGTTACAGTGTCCTGGGCTTCGCTGGATTGCAACTCGACCGATATCTGAGATACTCAGAGGGCCTGCTATAAATCATTTTTATAGATAAATATTCGAAATGAGCTTTCTATTATTTTCGCTTGTCTTCCTCGCATCTGTTGTTGCTGAAGCCCGCGCACTCACTTGTCCTGTCTGGGCAGGCCAGATCTGCGGCTATAAAAAACGCTCTGGTTTCGAAATCCTCAAGCGTTCTCCAGACTACTCGCTTCTTAACAGTGGATTGGTCAAGCGTGACGGTCCTGTCGCTGGCAGCGACCCCACAGCTACTACCTATCTTTACGCCACTCTTCCACAATGGGCTGCTCTTCCTGGATCTTCGTGTGGCTATGTTTACCAGAGTAACGGCGGCACAACGACAGCTATCTGCCCTGTAGGGTTTAAGTGCCAATGCCAACCGAGTGGGGATTTATGCGTTACAACGGCCGCGCCAGATGGATGCGCACAGTTTGATCCCGGCACAGTGTATGATACTTGTACCGTGAGGTGGACGACAACTATTACGGATGTGGCGTCTGCATTTGGACAGTGTGGAGGGTTTACGGAGTCCTCTGTTATCGCGGGCAGTGGTATGTATACACGATATATATATGCGAAGTTTTCGCGTACGTACAGGAAACTTGTTATATTAATATACTAATATCAATATCGGTATAGCATGGACGACCGCAACCATGTGCCCCCAAGGCTATGGCTGCGCCTGTCGAAACTTCTGGTACAGCCAGTGTCTTCCCACCACCTCCTACGCTTTAACTTGTCCACCCGCGATTCGCTACTGGGCTTGTGCAAGCACCCTTACGCCAGGCGCAACAGGCCGCTATCGTCAATGCGGCGGTATCTGTTGGGACCTCCTCGGATCCGCAAAAGGATGTGATGCCGGCGACTCCTGTTGGACAAAAACCTCAGATGGATACGAAGCGCCTGGTCAATATGCCATGTGTGGACCTACTCGACCAAATAATGAACCTTACTGGCAAGCTATGCCGCAGAGCCTGTGTTATCCTACGCCATATACGTATACACCTGGAGATGCACCTTTGTGCGGCGGCGGGAATGGGAATACGGCACAGGGCGGCGAAGAGAGTGGTCCACAGACACTGTGGGGACAATGCGGTGGGTCAAATTATGATGGTCCGTCGGATTGTCCGGATGGATCGGTGTGTGAATATCAGAATCAGTGGTTTTCACAGTGTGTAGCTGGGAGTAGGAAGGTCAAGAAATCGGCTACCCCTGCTCAGAATGTTAGAGCAGTTGTTACACCGGTTAGAAAGCTGACGCAAAGAGATTTGCTAGGACCGCCTAGACCGGGGATGAAGCCGCGGATGTATAAGTAAGCTGATTGTAAGATGTATTTTGAATGCAGTGTTACGTTGTGTATATAATAGCTGGTCTAAGTGGTACATACTGTGTGAATAACTATAATTTATATCAGCGCTGCAGCACGGACCTCTAGTAGGCGGTAGGCGACGTGGTTGGTTATAGTTATCCTTGTCTAGATGTTTGAGTACTCGATTACGTATGAATATTCGAATTCGTATATACGCTAAAGCCAATGTAATTCCAATGGCGTTATTTATCGTAAATCAGATGTATATCCTTTCTAAGGTTCTATAGGACGGAGATTTTTGATCAATGGTATCAATAATCCCAATTATTATCTTATGTCATAATTATCCCGCCACCGGGTATTGATCTGTCATTACTATTAACTAAGGAATAGTCAGGTACCCGCCAGTTACGTAACATGCTCGCTCTCAATCCCAATCATAAACCCGCCGTACAAACAAACTACTAACTCCAACTCCGCCAAATGCTTCTTTCCCTATCGTTGGTGGCTAGTTACAGCTTTGCAACAGATATATTTTGCGCCCCTCAATTGGAATTTAAGATGGAGGAACGGTTTCAAAAGCGGCCTCGGCGATCTTTGGCTGGAACTCGAACTTCTCCTTCATGTAGACCTCGGCGGCGACATTGAATTTATCGGCACCCTCGAGGAGGGCCGTGCGGACGACGTAGTTGTCAGCATTGACAGTCTGTGTAACACACGAGATAGCGTTAGAATACACGTTTTGTAGATACGAAGGTACTGGATTAGTAGGCTTACCTGATAGTGCCATGGGTGTGAAGTGCACTTTGGGCAGTAGAAACATTGAACATCGTTGCCGGAGTCACCCTTGTAGGTGTAGACGTTTGGCTGAGTCTCGCTGGTGATCTTGCAGTTGTCCTTTGGAACAATTAGGTTGAGGGTGTATTCACCACCACCGATGAGCTTGCAGGCGCTGCAGTGGCAGAGGATGTGGACCTAATTGCAATTTAGTTTCCCATAGATCGCGATATTGAGCTAGACCTAGGAATAGAGGTCTTACAGGAGTTTCTTCGGTAGTGATCTCCCATTGGAGGCCCCCGCAGTGACACTTTCCGGCAGTAGTAACCATTGTGATGATTTGTAGGGGTTTATTAAAACAGAAATCGGTAAAAAGGTAAGTTTTGGAGGTATGTTTGTTCGAGTACTGCTAGATTGATGTGTGTATGGATGTGAAGATAAAGTTACAGGATGGGCGGGTTCTAGCAAAGCTTATATAGCTCGAGGGAGTTTGCCGGCTCCAGACATTGTCCCATCAAGATTAACGATTACATCCACAAAAGTAAGCTCCAGAGCTACCCCATGCAACTAATCACTAGGTGATCCCTCCTAGCTTACTAGCTACCAAGTTCGAAAACTTCCTCATAGTGCCGAAGTAGAAAAAAAAAATATATAAAAAAAGATTAAAGCAAAGCTGAGCTAGATCGGTATGTGCGGACGGTTTTAGGATCCTGGCGGCACAAGCGTGGGTAGAAAGTCACACCGACGCTTTCGCCGGGTACTGAGCTATGTCCGAAACTAATAAAATTTGCAGGGAGGTACGATAACTTTAAAAGAAATGGGTAATTGATGATATAAGAGATACTAGGTACCCCCATTCGTTTTTTTCTGAGATTGAGCGGCCAGAACAATTCTCAGTTGCATGTCGGCTTCACATTCTATTATTTGTTTTTAAAAAAAAATGCACCTTTACCGAGCCAAACAATTGTGGGGACATCTGCGTCATTAGCCTAGGTCGAAGGAATTTCCCGGAAAGTGCGGGGGAAAGCTAGCTTGCAGTAGCTCTTCAATGATGGCATTACCTAGTTGAATAGGTAGACTTGAAAATGCATACCCGCCGGCGACTTTCGAATCTCCGGGTAGAACGATGTTTTCCCTGCAAAATATCGTATTGTCTTTTGATATCAATTGTGATTTCGATATTGTGTTTGGCGGGAAGGTTCATTATCACCCGTCGCCAGCTATCAGACCAGAAATGGGCATTTTGAACCGGGCATTTGTTGCACTTTCACATAACAGGCAAATCCAAGCGGATCGATGAGATAATAATCACTAGATGGCGCAGACAAGTTCATCCGATGTTGGCGGATTTAAGGCCCGCATTGTTGTGTCGGTGTCTCGTTGGGAAGGTGTCCCGGCAGATAAGAATACGCTTGTAAGGTTGCCCTGTACGAATACTAGTCCCTCAGAAGAAGCTCTCTTTAGTCAGGTAAATGAAGTAGGATCTTATCAAAAAAATCTTCTTCGGCCCTGCCAGAAAATCTCTTTGTAAGCCCTTCGGCCCATACATACATACAACTTACCTTACTAATATCTTTGTTCGAGAACGCAAAGCTGACGTCTGCATCCAACTTGATCTTGTGGATTCGGACTGCAATTGAAGGTTCTGTTTCAAGTGTGGTCACGGTCAAGAACCGTGTTGCATTGTTGAAGATGGGACGTCGTACGAACCAGGCCTCCGGTGTTACACCTAGGACCCTTACGAGACCAGATCCGGGTTTTCCGTGATGAATATTCGGAAATTCTAAAGAGCCGCTGCGAATTTATATTTAGATTTTTACTGGGAGTCGAAGTCAGTTAAGATTGTATTTCCGCATTCTTTGGTGAACTAAAGGGCCTCGAGGCGGTGCCGGTTTGAACGTTTCAGAGTTTGGACAAGTGCAAGGGTGCCGTTAGTTCGGCCCACTACGACATACGGTACCGTATAAGTATGATAACCTGCAATTCAAAGGGAGTACACTATAGAGTATGTCCCCATAGCCGTACAGGATCTTGAGATTTAAGTCGTTCCTCTATATAAGTTTCTGGGAGCGAAATGAATGTGGGGCCCTTACCGATAAGGGGCGAAATGCAAGGCGAAACATGACCCGAACGAATAAATTTTCCTTGAAGAATAATGATATCAAGCGTTTGGGGCTTCCAACAAAACTATATTATATCATCCTGATCCATGGCAATGCATCCGTCATCTCCATATTGATCCGATATCCCTGAGCAACTTGCGACTAGAGTCGGGGATGAAAAAACTTTTCGGCACCGATGTACTCCGTCGAAACTAATGTTGCCCCTGAGCGACCAATAGTCATACTCATTTTAATAGTTTGAATATAGAAAATTAAGCTGATATTCGGCTATGTATATAAGTACATAGCTTGAAGTGAATATATGTATTGGGACAATATAGGAGGCTCAATTAAAATAGGTCAATGTCGAGACTCGATGTTCAGCTAATTGATTCCTTTCGAAATATTTGGCTCACCTAGTACCTTTAACCGATTCTAGCGTTACGCGTATACAAAACATAAGTCCGAGTATTGCCCGATAAATTGTCATTTTGGGTACGCTTTCATCTTGTATTTTCGAGATCCGATCCTCGGCAGATGGTTGCAACGTTGTTAGGGTTATCAAGATTGTTTGCAGTCCGGTTCTCAGGTTTCCGTTGATGACAAATCATCTTAGGCTAATGAACACACGGGATGCAAGATCAAGTTTGGCTATCTTGGAGTGGATAGAAAATCTCTCTTAGAAGCTTAGGGTCAGGCATAAGATGAAGTATTATGCTTACAGTAATTGGGGTTTTCTTACATAACATGAATAATAAGTAATGTGGATTCGACTAGGTAAACACCGTGCATGTTGGCATGCTCTGTATTACCCCATCCAAGGGCTATAACCACAAGCCACATAGTCAATATATCTGGTCTCAAACGGGATAATTGACACGGTAACGAACCATATTTCGTCAGGCGAGAGCTCTTACCGAGATCTTTGGCGGATTTAGAATTGAGGTCTTGAATTGTTCGTAGTTTCTATGCCGTCGTGTCCTATATTTGCTACCTCCAAGACTTCGGCTGCTTTACTTATCCCCTTCCGACTGTTGGTACCTGGTTTTCTATAGAGGCGGAGCCCGTGCAAGAATCCGTATTATAATTAAGTCCTAGATTTAAACCGCCAGGATAAGATGCATCGATGTGGACGTGATCCCGTCAATTGCTGAGCGACTGGAAGTAATATCGTCGAAGTCGCAATGCATTTCTTCAGCCCTAAATGCGGGCTGGGCTGACAACTAATATTCTATGGAAGGTCTCCTGGTTTATTAAGCTAGGGCTCCATGCCATAGCATGCCGGCAACTAGTTTTGACTTAATTAGCGAGCGTCTCTCACAGGAAGTTTACTTAATTGATTGACCATTACTTACGTGCAGTGCAAATAGTAAATATCTCATGTAAGTCTGTATGTATGTATAATAATCTGGGGGTTATATGAGACGAAAGATATTTTTGGCTACACAATGTGAACAGCCCGGTGGCCATGGCTGGTCAAGGTAGGCTCAGCCTCAAGATCATGAGGTCTTGGCCCCTGTGTTGAACTCGAACTTCGACCGCACCAAAACCTCGGAACATGTTCCGTCGCGAGAATTCGAACCACAACTGCAATGCGCATGCGCAAATTAATTGGATGTCGGCGGGGGGCATACACTCCACGCGAGTCAAGCTTGCAATATGTCGAGATCGAGAGATGCAACCAGAACCGCATGAGGGCCATGCCAATGAAGACCTTGACGGTGGCAGCTTCAACAGCGTTTGCAGCATATGCCACTGCACCCTTGCATGCATGAGAGCCAGAAGTCGCGAGGGCGGTCGAGTCGCTAAATCAGAATTCCAAATCCCAAGCGGAATTACATCAGCCACGGTCCAACCACTAAATATCGAACAAACTGTGCAGCGGCCCATTGCGCCCAAGTTAACTTCGCTTTGCACCTTCCATTATCCCTCGCTCGGGCTGCTGCGCGAGGTCTCTTTTTCGACAACTTCAACCGAAAAGAGGACTGCTTGCTTGGCACAGACCTAGGGCTCGCCTCCTATTCATTTTAGCGCGGTTCAATGAAATGCAGAAACGGACAAGCTTGTCGGTCGATCTACCATTGTCTGGGATCGTGGCTCCTGGAAGGAGGGGGTCTGCAGGCGAGCTGGTACATGTTCTCGGAAACGCCCTCGTGATCGTTCCCGGCTCCCATGCCTTTCCTGGTCCTGGCTGTTCCTAAACGTTGGAACTCGAGATGTCTATCCTGTACTCAACTTATATCTCCATACCCTCTCTCGCTGCTTTCTGGATCGGCGGTTGTATTCAACATTACGTTCCAAATACCGGCTCTGACATTCCAATCCCCTACATCTGTTTTCCAATCCCCTACATCTGTTTGAAAAACTAAAAGCACACAATCGATTCTCTCCCCACAGGCACACGTAGGAATTAAGGTAAGCAACCCTCCCGCCCCAAACGGATCCCTTCAATTAGTTTCATAAGGCGTTTTCCTGTGAGCTGTTACAACCACTTTCTTTCAATTATCATCATGAGCATGCACATGCTAACTTCACTCTACCAACTTCAGTAAGCCTGTCTCGTAATACGAGACCTAATGAAAACTACAAGTTCCAATTTTGGAGTCTTACCAGTTCACTGCACAGTGAATTTATAAAATCCAAGGGAACTGCCGAATTCTTTTACGTTTCAAACTCCCAGCCGGCGTTGCAGGGAACCCGTGCTGAAAAGATGGCAGTTCGGCAACAGACTTGGGGGCCGAGTCCCTCTTCAGCCACAGATCCCTATTCTCGCCTGCGCGAATACAATATATCGCCAGTGTCTCCCGTGGGGAATGCAAGCCATTCAAGAAGCCCGAATGCGAGACCTTTGCTTTCTAATCATTCATCTCATGGTAAGTGTGGGGAATATTATAACCTATTGATATCACCCCGAGCCTTTCCCGGTCCTTTTCACTGTTCATCATATCAATCATACTCCCTTTCTCTTCAACCTACTTTCAAAAGATAATATCGAACTATAACTTGGTCAAAATCAAACAATGCTAAACTGATTCACTATAGGAAGTCGCGGCATGAGTGTTTCTAATATATCTTCCCCTCAATCTGGTACGCCAATAATTTTACCCCATGGATATTTACCATACGGCGGAGAGCGACGGCACTCATACTCAAGCTCAGATTTAAATCGTATTGGAACCGAACGCCGTGCATCTGTTGATACGACATGGGAAGCATCGTGGGGGGAGAGACCGAGGAGTTCGGGGGGTGAGGGTGGTTTTCTCCCACCGACTCCTACTACGACGGGTCCCCAATCGGCTGCGTTCTCCGGATTCTCGCCAATACACCGACAGTCGTCGATGCCAACAGACGCCAACTTAGCAATGTTTGCCGCGGTTCCGCTAGATTATCCAAGTCGGTCAAAGATATCTTCCGTGAGAGACCAATGATGGTCAAAATGAGTGCTGACTTATGGTTAGATCTTCTTCGCCAGTGGTTAACTCCTATCGACTTTCAATTGGAACGTCTGCAACTACAAAAGGCTAGAACAGACCGTACATTCGAATGGCTCGTCACTGTCGATGGGCAGTTTACAAGATGGGTGAAATCTAACAGTCCAGATTCAGCTGTATTATGGCTGTGCGATCGACCTGGGGTCGGAAAGAGTGTAGCAACTTCCCTGATACTCCAAGCTGTCGAAACTCATTGCTATTCAGAGAGACTCTCTTTCGCCTACATCTTTGGCAAGAGAGCTAACAAACTCAATCCAGCCCCCCAGGCAGTCGATTTTATTAAAAGCCTAGCGTTTCAAATTTTCAGATCGCATCCAGCTTCCGGTGGCCACTCCCCTCAAGGGTGGGATGTCTATACAAAGTATGGATCTGAAATACCGACATTCGACCAGGCGGTCGAGTTTCTCGGGGAAGTTTTGAAAAACCGAAAGACATACCTTGTAGTTGACGGAATCGACGAATGTTTTCAGCCTTCAGAAGTTCTAGAGGCAATTCTAGGTCTCCCTACTGTAGCGGATGGAACAACTCGCATTCTAATCTCTTCTCGGATGCGACCGGACTCCTTCGATCCCGATGGCCTATATCCTGTGATTCGATTAACCCCCCAACAAGGCGTTTACTCCGCCGACCTGAGGCATTTCGTCGAGGACGAAGTCAGCAAGATTGAAGGATTCCATAAAACATCTGAACGATTTACCGAAGCTGTAGCGAAGGTTATCGCTGCGTCTGATGGCAACTTCCTTTGGGCGTCAGCTTTACTGGCTGACCTCAAGGTCGCACAAGCCCAGGGCAGGTTCTGGGAAACCATCACTACTATCCCACTGGAGATTCGGATTTTGGTGAAACAAGAACTATGGAAGATCTGGCAAAAGCCAGAATCTAAGCGACGGCTTATACTTGAAACTCTTGAGTGGACCATATTCTGCATGGAGCCATTGTCGGTCGGATCATTCCCCTTTGGCAGACTCTTTGGCTCGGATGGCTCCTTTCTGGATTACGAACACCGACGCATTGATAGATCCCGGTTTCTTCTGCGATTCGGTACCGAATTCTTGATTTTTCCTACTCTAGATGGGAGATTCGAACTATTCCACCACCGACTGGCTGACTACATACTCTTGACAAGCATGGAAGAGAATCCACAATTCCAACTTACCGACGGTCCTACTAGACTAGCCCTTAGCTGCGTCCGATATCTATCTTCCCCCCAATTCCAAGACTCTTTAAACTCTGAGACATACCAATACACTGCAATCCATAGCTCAGAGGCCGGGGCGGCAAAGACATACCTTCGTTCAAAGTACCGATGCCTTGAGTACTCATCAGCGCATCTAGTACACCACCTGTTGAAGGTTAGCGATGTGACGACCGAGGACGGCTCTGAGCTTGTCTCTGCCCTGATAACTTTCTTTCTCTCCACGAATGCTACAACATGGGTTGAGGCGGGCCAGGTGTTCGACCCTAGCTTTTCCAGATCATTCATTAGTAGTTGCCCCGAGCTCTTGGATTGGATAAGAAGTGTGGTCGCAGTCCACCCTCGATGGAGGGAATCCTTACAAGCCGTCACTGCTCGGCTTGAGGGTCTCAAAGCGCACGCTAGCTCTTCTAGAAACCTGTTAGCCCGACCCCAGGTCCAAAACAGGCCACGTTCGGTTACATATGAATCACCAGTAATTCAAGTAACTAGTTATCACGGCGACGTACCTTCATCCACGACAGAGACTCGAAGCCCCCGAAGCAGGAGCCCGCGGAGCATTGGCAATCTACTTACCTCCCTAACCAGCAGTTCTCGTGAAGAAACATCAAGAAGTCCTCAACGTCGTACCCGAGAAGAAGTAGAGCAGGGCGTCCAGCGAAGGTCATCTGCCAGAAGCACATTCCCCCTTACCAACAATGAAGTCCGACGAAGTTCTGCCGGAGCCACCTTCGGTGCTATCACCAGCGCGATCGCCATTGCAAATATAAGTGCCACAAGCGCAATACCATTGCAGTATCACTATCCAGTGCGAGATGAGCCATGCAGTAGCTGGGGGTCTGCATCGCAGCCCTACGCACCACATGAACAACCACAGCTTTCTCATTCGGCTTTTGGACCTCCAAATCCTGCCCGACAACAGTCGGCAGCGCAGCAGCAACAGTACGCTTCTCCCTCTCGCCAACAATACCAACATCAACAACAACCATATCCCATGCAGGCGTACTACGGCCCTACCGGATATACACAAAATGAGTATACTCCTAGCGAACCGCCGCCGCCATATATGCGGTATGCTTGACTAAGCTCCTAGAGAAGAATATATATACATAAATCCATTCGTTTCTAATATTTTTATTCTTTTTTATTATTCTTTTATTATTACGAATTATTTACCATCGTTTGGAAAGGCGCCCGGGTCGTTGAAGTACTCATGGGATATAGTACATACCTTCGTCTATATTTTACCTTACCTACCTTCTTTCAAGCTGTCTCAGCTTCATTGTCTATACACTGGAGCGTGTATAGATATTATGTTCTTCGTTTCTTTAGCCCAGTTTTGTTGTTCTTCTTCTTCTTCTTCTTCTTTCGCTTCATCCCATTCGTCGCATGTATGATAGTATATAGCTATATAGGTCCCTACCTAGGTATTTAGTAGGATTTAATAAAGAGTTAATTGGAAATTTTCATGATGTCTAGATTGATTATTCCCGCCGGTTCGCTCTAATATGCGATTGATGGTTCCTTTTGTGGGTTTCGGGAAATGCCGCAAGCCCGACACCAGTTTGTGGTGAAGTCAAAAATATCAATCAAGAAACTTTGCTTCGATTGGTATGTATGGAGCGATTATAATCAAACTAAGGTAATTGTGCGCACAGCGAGTTTGTCGGGCAGCCTGATCGATCTTGAATGTCATGTTGGTTTTGAAAGGATGGTACAGTAGGAACAATTCCACGACGGCCCCATGGGCAGCCGGAGGATTTTAATGGAAAATTAAAAAGAGAAACTATTGATCTGGATGTTCAGCTTAGGAGCGAGACCGTTTATGATAGTCCGAGGCATGATCTTATGAAACAAGAGATTCGTCCCAATTGTCTAACCTTTAATTATAAAATTTAGAATTGACTGTATTCGGAACCAAATTTGAATAGTATATTGAATGTGTATGGATTCACATGGTCTTGTTCCCAGAAGTCGCAAATATAGGAGGCATGGCTTACAATAGAAATTGCCCTTTTGCTGCTTGTATGGTAAAATTTTGAGATACTCATACTTGATATTAAAAATTTTATCTTATCTGTTTTAGTTTGATGTATATAAGTATATATATATCGGGGTGGTTTTACCGGAGGAAGTTATAATTATTCAGGTCATTATCGACATATTATGGTTTAAATATACATTCCCCGTATCCTCCATTTCACTAGTATCTTCTATCTTCTATCTTCTACCTTCGAGCTTCTCCGCCTTCGCTTTTTCTTCCCACATCGTCCCTCTTCCAAAGACCCCCGCTATCAGCCTTATTAAGTCTCCATAAGCTGTCAAGATCAGAGTTTCCTTTCCCTCTAGGATTCGTGGGATCCTCAAAACTCGGTCCCTCCAAATAATAGGGCTCTTTAGTTCCTGGAACTAATTGTTTAAACGGTTGGCGATTTCTAGTATCGGAATTATGGTTATAGCCTGGATCAAAAGGTCCCGGAGGGAGTGGGCCGCGGCGTGAACGACGGTTGCGCCACCGAAATGGCAATTTTTCATTGTTGTTTTTTTCCCATTGATCGAAGTAGTCCCAGAGGGAGATATCTGTGCCTTTCGGATCTGGCGCACCAGTGAGGGTGCAATAGCATCCTGTATTAATTGTTATTAGCGTCAAAGATACGGCCATCATCGACCTGCACGGGATGAGCAGTGCAGTAACCACTTTTAGGATACGTCAAAGATAATTTTCTTTCAATAGTGGTCTTACCGAAGAACCATTTACATAAATTTAACATATCCCGGTCACAGTCGTTGCCCAGTCCCGTCCCCACAGTAAATATCTCGTCCGCCTCCGCTCCTATATCGCAATAGCACTGCCCGCATCTACTCGATTCCCATCGAATATCATCTTCCATATCATCGCTCCATCCGAATTCATATATACCGCTGATGAGGCGCCTGTTGGTAAGGGAATCACGGAGCTCGGTTGGATGGCTGCCGACACGTTTTGGTCCGTTGTCGAAAACGACCCGCGGCTCGTCGCAGTGGATCAGGTAACCGGTTTCTAAATTTGAACTGGCACCCCAGAAAGGGCGGCGATCGAGTTTGTGGGTTATCGGTTGCGGGGGCTCTGAAGTTACCCTGGAGGGGATATCAAGAGATCCTGCCGATGAAGGTAGTAGATTGAAAAAGAGGCAGAGGAAGATGAAATGGAAACCGGGAAGATATGAGGAGTGCATTAGAATATTACTAGAGGAAGACTATGCATGGGAATACAAGTCGAATATAGATGCATCGATGCTAGCATAGGATTTTATTCTGTTTTGTAAGGATATCTTCGATGGTACTACACACAGGGCTGGTTTTCCGCCTACAAGCAAAGGAAAGCCTTTAAATGTAGTATGGGTAGTTTGAAATTTAAGGGCTTTTGTTCATAATTAGCGTCGATTGAACGAGTATCAATTATATTTTAATGAATTTTCAATTTGTGGCTCTTCCAGGTCTGGGTATGAGACAACTCGTGGCCCTGTTAACATGTTGAAAAGAGTTATGTTAATGCCAACCAGACCGGTATCAATCGATCGATAAGTTGCACGAAAACCATATGGGTATCATTAAATTTCGAACAGGAAATGGCTTATTAGGTTGGACTGGGGTATTGGGTTTCATAATGAGGTTGGCTGATATTTTTGATGCGGCGAGGCAATTGCAGTTTAAATCCTTTAAAATGCTGTGCCCGTAGGTAAGTACTTAAGTACACCTAAGAAGTGATGAAAGGGTATGACATGTCAACTACAGAATTGAATTGCTAACCTTTGAATGATCCCCGACCTTAACAAGAGCACCTACCGTAAGATATATCTCAAAAGGTCAGTCGGATAAGACAACAGGGATTATTCAAAACTAGGTGCCCATATGGCTGGGGGAACTGTGATTCATACAAACGAGAGGCTACATATTATACTACTCATATGTATTCGAAGGCTGACAACATCTATCAAAGCCTGCGTTAACGGCTGTGTGGTAACCCTGAATAGAGGTAGTGAGTGACCTGGATCTATAGAGCCTTTTGTTTCGCAGAATGTTCAAACTGCGCCTGGTCTCGATTTCGAGGCTGTTTCAAAATATTGGAATTAAGAACTTGAATTACAGGTAAGTACAAGGGTCAGGGCTAATAATTCTATACGTTAAAATGCTAGTCACTTTCGACTCAATACCCAATACTTTAACCCCCCAAAAATAAATATATAAAAAAAAACCCAAAGAAACTCAGTTTCAATGGACCCCATGAATGCGTCAGATTATTGGGAACGACTTCGGGGTGTTAACGCCTTAATTTTGTTGTCGGTAGTGGTTTCGACTTCTGTTTATTAGGTTTAATAACGAGACCAAGTTTAATGGGCCAAAATACAAGACATTGGGAAGGAAGCAATAGGAGTCTGCCGTATGAAAAATTCTGTTAGGGTGGCACAAAAAACTTCCATGTGCCTTTTTCGGTTGCTTTGCTAGTGAATGTTGGAGCTTGTTATACGTTACGGGGAATGGTCCCTGAACCCGCAATAATTCGTAAGAGGGCTTAGATAAGAAGAAACAAATTCAACCAATAAGACTATTTATGTATCGAACCACAATATAGAGCTAAGTTTTCTCTTAGATAGTCTTGAATGACTTTTAGAATGCTATGGGGCAACTGCATGTTTTTAATTTATTAGAGTTAACCAGATAACTGTAGCTTCGAGACCAGGCGCAGGGTGAGGGCAGAGGCAGTGGCTCAGCTAATTTTGAAGCTGAAACATATGCTTTTTTCAAACGAAGTATTGGCCCGCACTAGAGATTCCTAAGATTCTTTTTGTGACGTGTCAATGAAAGTAGCTTTAATTTGAGGGTCTCGATACATGCATCTCGTCGAAAGACTCTACCAGTCTCGTAACTAACAAAAGTGTGTTGAAGTTCAAAATACAACGAGATTAGTCATCAAAGCGCAGCTAAATTCTTCAACCAAAATTTTGAGCTTTCAGATTCAAAACTTCTGAACATTTCACTCGACAGGACCTTATCAATCAACCCCAACATCACTACTTCAATCTCATCGCGCAGCTTTAGTCGCCCTTCAACAGCGGTCGCGCTGTATAAAGAAACTTCATTATATCATCAACAATGTCTACCGCTCCGCAAATCCTCACCTTCACCTCCAGCACATCGCTCCGTCACCGTCTCATCCAATCAACCTTAACCGGAAAACCCATTCGCATAACCTCCATCCGCTCCAATTCTTTAACGCCAGGTCTTCTTCCTCACGAAGTCTCGTTTCTACGTTTAATATCATCTCTAACCAATGGTGGTGTCTTCCAAATCTCCGAAACGGGTACTACACTACTCTACAAACCCGGTCTAATCGGTCACACTCCATCACCCAACTCCGCTACTTCCTCAGCATCCAAGATTATCAAACACGTTATTTCTGCTGAATCTTCAAGTAGAGGGGTAACCTACTTCCTCGAGCCGATATGTATCCTCGCGCCGTTTTCGAAGTCACCTTTTCATGTTATACTATCGGGTCCTGGATGTGTCACTGGATCTACGGACTTGGATTATAGCGTGGATACATTCCGAACTGCTATTCTACCGCTATATGCACATTTCAACATTATCGCCAAAATCGAATGTCGTATCAACAAACGCTCTTGTTCGCCCGGTGGCGGCGGGGAGGTGACATTACAATTTGGCCACCAGATACGGTTACCGCCTACACTACACCTTAGGAATCAGGGCAGGATAAAGAGAATCAGGGGAGTGAGTTACACGCTCGGTGTTAGTGCAGGGAATAACCAACGGATGATTCATGCAGCAAGAGAGGTGCTGAATCAGTTTATTAATGATATATATATCTACTCTGAAGTAGCGGGACATCCACCTGCTGCTGAGGGGGGCAAGAGGGGCACTCCGGGGTTTGGGATGAGTCTTGTGGCGACGAGTAGTACGGATTGCGTGTATAGTGCAGATTGGGGGAGCAGCACCGAGGTTATTAGAACACCTGAAGAGATCGGAAGGGGGTGTGCTTTACGGCTGGTGGAGGAGATTGCGAAGGGGGGTTGTATACAGAGGATTGGGGTTAAAACTGTGATCAGTTTGATGATGATGGGGAGCGAGGATGTGGGAAGAGTGGTACTGGGGAAGGGAGTAGTTGAGGAGGAAACTGTAGGCCACTTGAGGGATTGGAAGACTTTTGGGTGTGGTGAGGTCTTGGTGAAGGAGTGGAGCGGGAGTGAGGGGCTTGCAGGAGGTGGGATGGGGGGTATGGACGAAGAAAAGCTTATCAGTTTGGGGGTTGTAGGGAAGGGAGTTGGAAATGTTGGACGCAAAGTTGCGTAGAGTCCAATACCATCTATTTGATCACACCCCCCTGCCTCAAGGGAATTTGGATTCGAGGCTATGATCATCTATACTCGGGGATTTTGTACGATACATGTACTGTATAGCGGCGGGATTTACGGCGTTTGGGAAAAGTTTAGATTCATATAATAGAGTGTACCCCTCCATATCGATATTTACACTCACGATTTATTGATGTATGTCTTTAGACATCTATTGCCACTAATTGTATACGGTATGAATGTATCTATGGATATACCTCATGTCGGCTCAAGTATACGTACAGATCTAGATTGCCTTCGATTGATCGTGCGGCAGAATTTGAAATCCGTCCAGTAGCTATCCTGGTCACCATAACGTTATTAACTGCAGCAAACAACCAGGTTACAATATTCAAGTTGTCCCAGAAATAAATGGCGTCTTGTGTACCGAATGGTCTGAAGAACATGATAATAAGAGTGCTAAGCTTTCTAGCGTCTGCGATAATGAGTGACAGGTATCTTGGTTTGGTTCACCTGTTGTTATATATAAAGTGGAGTATTGCACACCCTATAATGGCCCGAACTTATAGAGTTACACAGACCCTGCTAGTTCTTCCAATTAACAGCCACAGACTGGTTTGATATGATATGGAATCGATTTGACAGCGGGGAAATGTATTTAAAAGATGAGGCTCCCCGCCACCTTCTTGGCTTTTCGTCTTCTAGCTCCCTCCGCGCCCGCCAAAACGAGCAGGTAACAGTGCAGTGTCGACGCGCATATCCGGCCAAGTTAAGCCTTTTTGACTCGATTCTAAAATGCCACACTCAAAACACATAACTCTCCTTCTTTTACTCTTCCTCACCACCCCGGCACTCTCAGTAGATTTAACCGAAGTAATCCCAACTCTCACCTCATTCGGTTCCTTGCCCGCGTTTACTCCTCCCGCGAACTGTTTTTCCCGTTCAATCTGGTCGACCAGTCGTTTCTACGATAATGTCAATAGCGCTAGTACTTTCGTCACAAGACTTTTTACGAGGTGGTATATAGGCTGTAATACCGATAAGGTCAATGGGGGGTATAATACCTGTTGTCCACCGAAGTATAATACATGGGGGTTTTATGCGCCGGGGGCGTGTCCAGGGGGGTACACGAGTTTGTTGAATGTTGCGGCGAACCCGTGGATTGGGGATCAGAGGGGGACGGTTTGCTGTCCTGAGTATGTGGGCCCATGGGCATATGCCCCCTTCTACTGATACATAAAACAAAGATACTGTTCATGGGGTTATAGTTAATGATATCTTGTAACCTTTGTAGTATTAAATCGCCAGCTGGGACGACACTTGGAGGAGCCGGATTTGCAACGTCATTTATAAATCCACTGGCGAGGGATCCGATCAGTATCTCGTGCTTCGAATGGGACGATGATGTTTCAACAAGTGGGACAGTGTTCCAGGCCAATTATAATGCGAGGGCGATAATTGTCTTCGGAGAGGAGATTACAGGGACTTTTCAGTTTCTGGGAGTATGTTACCTCTACATGTAAATATAAAAATTCATGCTAAGTATAATTCAACAACGGTGAAATAGTTAACGGATGACAGTGGCACTGCGACTCGAGCGACCAGTCCAGCGTCGAGTAGCTCCGTACGGAATACATCCGACCCGGAATCTACATCATCAACTTCGGAAAACATTAGTACTAGTACTACCACCCCTTCTCCGGGTTCAACTACTCCACCTATTCCCAGTCAAACAGAATCCTCAATATCTACCACAAGCTCAGGAAAGCCTACCTCCACTTCTCAGTCAAACGATAATGATAATGGTGGCGGTGGCGGCAAGAAGCAACTAAGTGGTGGAGCAATAGCCGGTATCGTGATTGGTGTAGCTATCCCTGTAATTGCTATTATAGCATTTATAGCGTATAGAATGGGGAGGAATAAACAGGATGTTCCGAGTATTCCGATACATAATGATCCCGAGAATAAAGATATGGGGTTTGGAGGAGTTCAGGAACAGAGACAGTGGCAGTGAAGTATCGGACTTACCTGGGGCCTTGGCATCTAAATGTCATGATAGTGGTAGTTGTGGGCTTTTCATGTACTTTTTGGAGAAGTACCGATAATTTAAAACCTTTAATGCTAAGTATATAGTTCTTAAAGCGACATGAAGGCGGTATATTATAAATTTACCACCGACCTAACTGTCCAGACCCAAAAGTTCCGACCCGTAGACGGTTCATTCTTTATGGTGTTGACTTCTATAATTACCCTTTTGGGAAGCCACCACCCAAACCCGGTTCCAAAAGTCTTGGCGCTGTCGCCACAAACAAGCTCCCCTTTCTCCTTCTACATCCTCTTCATCCTCTTCTTCTCCTCTAATCCACTCCATCTTCATTACACCTTCCATCTTCAGGATCAAAATCATCACCAATCCTCATCCTTATCTTCCTACCCCAAACAAATATACTCTCTCCAGAAGCTAAGAAGCAATGACACAACCACCTCCTCCAAGGGACTCTCTTCGACCCTCCCCGCCACCACGTGCACAATCCCACCAATCCGGGACAATACATCAACACTGGAATGATCTTCCAGCCGGCTATATACCTTCGCCGACATCCCTCTCTCGCTCTGCCTCTCGAAACTCAAACATAACACCAACAGCCGGTGGTTCACGTGGCATTAGCCCTCTCGGCCGGGCCACTCCAATCGATAAATCACAATCACAATCGCAATCCACAGAAGAACCTACAGAAACAACAAGGGAAGGTCAACATGAGTTATCAACCTTGCTTCCAGCGTTGTATACTCTTCCGTCTACATTGTCGCAGGCGGAGAGAACGCAGTTACAAACAAGGATAAACAAGTCACTACTTCCGAAGACGGGGGATGGTGGGACAACTGATGAGCAGAAGGAATGGATTAGGGGGATTTTGGAGATGTTTGTGGTTAGCGGGGAGGTGGATGGGAAGACTTGTAGAGAGGAGATTGTGGGGTTTATGAGGAGAGAAAGTGGGGTTGCTGGGTGGGCTGGGGGGTTGAGGAGGGTTGTTGAAAGTGTGATTGCGAAAGAGGAAACGACTTGAGATCGTAATCAAAGTAGTTCCAGAGACGGCTAGTGATCTATAGATGGTGGAAGCTTGATTATAGTCTGGGGGCACAGAGGTTTAGAATATTCATTTTATACCATCTAGAACGGTATACCTGGATGGCGCTTTGGGGGTTTTCTGTTTCCTTTCCTTCTTCCTTTTGCTCAATTCAATAATATGTTTATTAGACTTAGAATATAGAGATACACAGGTGCTTGTCAGAACATGGTTAATGTATTTGCCAGTCTGACCGACAATCCGCCTGACGCTTCAACTCGTTATCCGCGTCGTGGTTTAGATCTTATGCTTCGTACTCTTCATCTTAATCATTTTTTCCCTCTCGCATATCTTCTTCATCACCCTCGAATATGAGCCACGGCGGATCCTCAGAAGTTGTGACTGCGACTATCCCCATGACTCCACATTATTTTCTCGTTCCGCGTCCCAAGCTTTGTTGAATCTATCAAACTCTGCAAGCTCCGCAACCTGCTCTGCCGGACTCCCTTGATGACAAGCGCCTAAATCGATGAACTTCACATCACCGTTGGAAATGGCAAAAATCTCCAGGCTGACGTCTCCGTGAATTGTACCGGACTTATGTAATTCCATAATCGCCTCCCTTGCCCGGGGCCAAAAGTTTAGATCTATGTTTTTCTCCGATGCGATTTGGCCACAGTCCTCTATGACAAGGAACTTGAGCCATCCCCAGGTGGTAGTTCCGGCAGCGTAGAGTCTTGGTATGCATTTTCCTTGAAGGAGTTTGAGGTCGTTATAACTAGCACCGGATGCATTAGCACGAACAGCATGGAAGGGGGGACTCGAAAGGCTTACGCTTTGATTTCAGCATCAGCAACCTCCAGGTTGGAAGTCTGTGTTATGTCATATACTTTGAAAACGGCTTGTTTTTGATACCGAAAGTTGATTCCTGGTCGAGCTATTACCTCTCCTGTCATAACGGTTGCAATAGCCTTAGCAATGGCGCCGCTTAACCGTAGATCCATATTGGTCCATGGGACCTTTATGTCTTCGTCCCACGTTCCATCGACTTCTACATCTTCCAGGGAAAAGACGTGAGTTCCCCGTGGCTCCCTTTTTACGAGAGAGTTTGAAGAGTAATGGTATTCCGCTTCGACCACGCAGTTGCAGATATACGTTAAAGCTGCTACGGGACTTTGCGTACCCCTATCAGTATATAAGAACCGAGGTGATACTTGTAAATTAGTATCACCAGTTCTCCGAAACAGGTATAACGCCTCGTAATTGCAGATAGCACCGTATATAAGACTATTGAATGTCATGTAGCCGTATAACTGACTAATTGCCTGTACTACTGTATCCTGTGGGTTCCCCCTTTCGTTCCTAAAATGTTCTCGTATATCAACTGGCGTCGGAAAGTTCCATGGTGTTTTCCATTGCACTATAAATCTGGTCTTCCGGATATCATTCACCTCATCTTCAGCCAATGTATAGAAGACTCGATCGGGATCGCCGATATTAAAGGCGCACTGACGGTCCCCGAAGTCGCATTTAACAGAAAAAAGGTCTTCTAAGATCCCTACGGTAGGATCCTCGTATACATATGCTGCTAGTCTAATGAGTGACTTATGATCATCGCAGGCTGTTCGTTTATTTGCGCTAAATTTAAAAGCGGCAGCTAGATCACGGTAACCGTCTGACTAAAGGTGTCAGATGTTTTTTTTAGTGAAAGTACTCTATTAAACAATGAACCTCGCCGAAGAGTAAAATACCTCGTGGTTTGTATGTGGATCAAGCAGTCCTTTAATATCGTCTATGATTCCTGGCCACGGCGTCAAATCATCAAGATATTCCCGTGGAAGGACTGGTACCGTTGTTTTAGATAGAGTTGTAAAGTTATGTCCACTCCATCGTCGGATCTTCGGGGGTTTGATTGCGTCTAATAGTTCTGATAACTTCATTTAAGTTTTGTAGATAACCTGAAGGGAAGCTTCATTAATGCAAAGAAGGGGACCAGAACTGAGGGCCGGGATAAGGAGAAATTAATCTATTTAAGCAATTCCTTCGGGAAGGGCCTTGGGCCGCTCGAAAGGGACTGAAAAGGATCGGTTAGTTCTAGATAGCTTAGTTGGTCAGAGCGTGCATGATGTATGAAGGAAGCTGGCCTGGTAGCAAAATGCTTGCGGTAATTATAACTATTGCGCCGATTAATATTGAGTGCAGAACCTAGCCTCGTCGCGAGACCGGTACCAGTCTTGCAACACATTCTTCATCAAAATTCCAACAAACCTTAAACCTAGCCTCGAATCCCTTAAACCCAGCCTTCAAGCTGCAGGCTTTAGCTAATAGGTGCATGAGCCATTCTATTGTACTTCATAATTACGGTTACATTGCAATAACTATAAGTGTCTGATCATAACTCCTGCTATTCTAGCCGTAACTAGCCGAAAGTTTCTCATATCAATATCTAAGTTTTTAGCTCTTAGCTAGCGCTAGTTAGGACCTGCTTTGCCAAATTAATTTCCTGAAGCGATTCGGCTGAAACTGGTCTCGTTTCTGACAAACCAGCTGAAACCTAACCATGGTACCATGGTACCAACATCTGTACATACATACATTACCAACTAGTATTTTTACGCCATGTAACCGTTTTTAGCTTCCAAAATTTCGAGAACTCGACGAATATTCCAGTAAGTATCCGGGAAAAAATGTAGGATCGCTGTTGTTACTAAGTTAGCACATACACAAAAGTTGCAAAATGCTGTGACAAGAAGCACCTACTCTGATAGTGAGAGCCAAACCACCATGTTTCGAAGTGTGCATGCATGCATGCATGTATAATTTGTCACAAGTTTCCTGTCCAAGATCATTTGGCAAGCTAGATGTGATAGAGACTCTAGCCTATTTGGTGATGAGACCGCAGAATGGGCTCGTAAATTTATAACATGTTGCGTTATTCGCCGTACAGGTTGGAGCATATACGCATGACCATTGTGTTACAACCTTTTAATTTACAGTCAATGGCGGCTTAACGAGCTAGCACAGACCGGTGTATTGGCTGATATGCCATGTTGGCTGTTCCGCCGGTGTATAAATCCGGATGGATGTGCCATTTGATTCTCATTTCCGATTCATGATCAGTAACCTTTCGCGAGTTCAAGCTAACTACTCATAAATATATATATGTTTCGAACGTTCATAACTTTTCACTGATCACCAAAAAACTTAAATTTGAGATCAAGTTTTATAATTTTAGTCGAAAAGCATGAATATAAAGCATGGTTTTACGTAAATTTACCTTCAGAGTCTTCATGTTTTGGATAGGTCTGACAGCGAGCATAGCAAATGCATTGGTAAGACTTCGTTCTATGAATGACTTCATAAATTAAGTCTGAGAACCCTTCATTCTAACATATATATTCAGCCCCGGGGCCCACCCACGGCCACCATGTCCGCAGCAGCACAGGTCGATTCAAATCGCCCTACCCCAACAGACGTTCCAGCGGTGGATCTCAAAGAGTACGAGATATTCTATGACCAAATGCGTCAAGTCTACGTTAGCAACTGGGACGTCGACAACGATGGCAAAATTAATCCACGTAGCGTGACCACTAGTCGGAAAAAGATGCTAGAATGGTATAAACTGAGGAGCGCAATGAGAAATGCTCTCTTCTATTTCTACCAGCTAGAGCTACCAGAGAGACAAAAGAACGCTTTCTTAGCGACTTTGTTTGCCGATGAACCAGCCGACGACCCGCTTGTAGCCAAAGCCGATATAGAGTTGGGGTATAACGGTCCTCACAGTAATGAAACGAGGGAGCTCCTTTGTAATGTACAGGGATTTTCAGAATTCAAGGGCACGGATGGAAAGAGACTAGGTGTAAATCTCGATCCCATTTTATACTGTGATGAGTCGGGATATAGCATTCGGCTTAATAATCCGGAAGAGACTCCGAGGAGCGTTCGGTGCCTATCTGCTGCGAAATTGGCGTATGAACTATCTCTCCATTTATCTACTCCAGCAGGGGTCCAGGGTGAAGATGCGGAAGTCTGGATACACACAGGCAAGAAAATTCCGACGGGTCCGAATAGGACCTGGGAGACTATTGGACAGACATTTTGGAGTGACCGCCAGGATCTATTTATTTTTATTGCGAAAGAGGCACCGGGGAGTTGTAAATTTAGATATGATCCGAAGGGCCACTTGCCTTCATTCGACGGCCTTCCTCCAGATGAGCAACTGGAGCAAGTTGAACACTTATGGGACCTGATTGAGAATTAAGTCTGACACCCTAATACAATTTATATAACTTTTTAAAATTTCCCCGTATTATGAAATGCCAGTTTTTGGGGCTCTAAGGTTTTGAAATGGGGCTGAGGACGAACCAAAGCCACATCTTGATTCGGGCATAATAAAAGATCTTGCATATTAATTCATACCCCCGTTGATAGCCTCTGAAGTAAACTACGTATATTGTTTGGCTGATATGGCAGTCTGGACCGGTTTAAGTAGTCTAGAGTCCTAGGGTATATTATGGCAATGATCATTTTCTTGCTCGAGATACCTTTGTTTCATTGGGAATCTGCAGGTAATATGAACATTGTACAAGATCCTCGTTGGATAGGATGAACTTATATACTGCATGATCCTGGAATATTGCCCGCGTAATCCATCTGAAGATTGAATATGCCAAACGAAGGGCATTATATCCTATATGTAAAGTTTAGGAGAACATTTTGGTTCGGCCATGCAGTTGAACAATACGGACGGCCGCAGCATGCCAGTTTCGCAACATACTGCGGACCTTTCATGATGTTGCGCGGAGGCCTTTGATGTGAGTTGATTCATAGATCAAGATAGTATTATCACCGACCATAGAGAATGCATCAATGAATAAAATTTGAAACGTATCAATTGATAAAAAGCTAACACCTGTTTCTTTTTACCTCTTTCTCTTATCAACCAACCTCAACCACCTCTTCCTGCCCCGTTTGTGATCGATAATACTCTTGCTCAATTCCTACCGGCTCACCTACAAGTCTCTTTCGTATCCACGGACCTCCCTACGTCTGCAATAACTTCCCAGTTGAAGCAAATTCCATCAGCTCCAGCTCCTACTTCTCCCGATCCTGAATCTAACTATCCTTGATTCTTCGATAAACCAAATCGTCATTCATCATGTCAACTTTCAATCGCTCTTACAGGCGTTGCACCTGCTGCCGCGATAAGCCCTGTCTCAGCGACTTCGGACGCGACCATTCTGGTCATTGCCCTCACTGCATCTTCTGGGGTAACAATCGGCAACCTTGCCCTTGGGACTACTGCCCTGGTGATTGTAACGGAACGTGTCAGCCACAAGGGCCTCGTCGTGAGCCAGGTCGCGTCTGGACCACCAACGAAGCCCACCGACAGCAAGGGAACCAAAACTATCCCTTGACCGATTTCGACGACCCAGATTTGACTCTTTGTGCCGACAGGGCTGGCGCTGAACGTCGTCGTCTTATGCGCTTCGAGGCCACGTTTGAAGAGTTCTACCAAGGTGAAACTCTAACGAACCCTCCTCATCATCCCATCCGTCAACAAGAATCTCCACCTCCCGATTACTACCGTGATCTTGGATTCTCTCGCGACGTTCCACGCTCTGAACCTCGTGACATCATCTACCCACCAGGTAGACGTCACCATCTCAGTCGTGACTACAACAGTCTCCAAGATCCTAACCCTGGACCTTTCGGGGTCTCTTACAATGAGCCCCGCGATGCCCACCGCTTTGACCCTGAGAATCGCAGGCCATCCACGAGTGGCTTCGAAAGCGACTGGGATCCTTGGCCCGAGCACCAACGCCAGATGAGAGGTGAACTTAGATATGACTGAGACCAAGTTCATCATTACTCTACATTATCTCATTGTCGATTATTCTTGCACACCTCGAGGCCTCTTCCTTTTCCCGTCCTTTATGTTCAAACACAAGGATATTGGAGGAAGATTTGTCTCTTTTCTCTATTTTCATCTTTTTGTTCTTACTATGGGTAACACGGGCTTTGTTTTAAGCATGGATTAAATAATTTTCTATCCGCCCGGGTCTCTACAATCGTTGAATTTTTTTGTCTGCTTCCACATGATTACGACTTACAGACGTACATGTCTCTACTGAGTTTAGGGAAGTGGTTTTTCAACGACTACCGCTTTGTATTCTTACATTCTACATGTTTAGTAGCTACTCTGAACCGTAGTTGATTCAACCAACGTCTTGTATTTTAATCTCCTAATCCAATCAATTTCGGGCCCGGGAATATATGGAACACTACTACTAATATATTGGAGCGTCAATGCATTGCAGCTTAGTGTGTTTGTCAACAAATCTTCCAACGTCACACAAAGATTTTGTGTTGTGTGCCCGAAATACCACAAGATTAGTCAGCAAAGAGTCAACATTGGCTTGATGCACGGCTGCGACGCTCTGGCTTGCCAGGACTGGGACATCTTCATCTTCAATAATCTCCACTCTTCGGCGTCTCCAGTATCGTTAAAACTTGACGGAAGCTTCATCTAAACCAGATATGGCTAACCTCTCCGACCTGACATCATGGGCTGTCCCGAGGCTCTCCAATCTGCTTCCGCTTCCTGAGGATGAACTCCGACAGGTGGTATCGTATGCCGCGACTTCACCAGATCTCTCGAACCCATCTGCTATTGCCACCCACTTCACCGATCTCCTCGGCTCTTCTCCAGGATGTTTATCCTTTATCGAGGAGTTCAATAGACGGAGATTTCCAGCTGCTCCATCGGCTTCTAAACCGCGACAATCGAGTACGCGAAATGATTCCGATGCTCCTCCAAGGTCGAACCGCAAGGGAACCAAGAAGAAAGAACCTCTAAGCAAGCTACCACCAGTCCGAAAAATAGAGAATAATTTCTCGGGGAGCTCTGAGAATTTAGCAGGAAAGGTGTACAAGAAGGAGGATTTAGACGATTACATGTCAACATCAAGAAAGAAGATGGCTTCTAATTCGAACCCTACATCGAAGCCGACGTCCCAAACGCCGTCTCGATCAACTACCCCAAACCCACCAATGGGAACTTCAACGACTTCTACATCCACGTCTACCGCCCCAGTTACCCACCAGTCCCAGAAGCAACCGGCGCAGCAGGGTATGCTAACCTCCGACCTTTTAAACAAGAAGAAAGCTTCGAAACCGAAGCCTACAACTGTATCCGTCCCAGCAAATACCACAATGCGGGCTCCGTCTTCTACTTTATCAGATGTTTCTTCTGCTCTTCGATCTCTGGAACTACAAACAAATCCAACTCTTACCAATACGCACACTCTCCCCGTCGAAAAGCGCCGCTGCAATTGCTCTGGCCGAAAGCACGAGCTTCTCCTCGCGGCCCCTAATTGCCTTCATTGTGGAAAGATAATTTGCATCAAAGAAGGCCTGGCACTTTGTACTTTCTGTGGTCATGACCTTATCTCGTCCGAGGATATGGAAGCCATGCGTCGCATTCTTCGTGACGAGCAAAGCAAAGAGAAAATGAATGCGCATAATGCTGGACATAGAAAAGCTGAAACAACGAAGACTACAGCCGTATACGCAAGTAAAGTCAATCCTTCAGCTGGGGGTGTTAATCATCTTTCTGGTCCAACACCTGCACTATCTGCATCAGGATCGTCAGCTGCGCTAGCTAGTGCTATGGAACAGAGGGATAAGCTCCTAGGGTTCCAAAGCTCGTCAGCTAAAAGGACAAGGATCATTGACCAGGCGGCTGACTGGGAGACACCCGATTCTGGTGTAAATATGTGGGCAACACCACAAGAGAGAGCATTACAACTACGAGAACAGCAAAGAAAGATGAGAGAGCTTGAATGGGAGAATAGAGACGAGTGGGAAAAGAGATCAGTAGTTGTTTCTATTGATCTGAAAGGAAAAAGGGTTGAGAGGCGGATGGGTGCCATTGAGAAGCCAAAGTTTGAAGTCGAGGCTGAGAAAGAAGAAGATGAGGAGGTGATACCTTTTATAGCTGCAACCGGCGGTGGAACATTCTCAAAAAACCCATTGTTGGTAAAGGGCCTAATCAAGCCTGTTTGGAAACCACACAATAATACAAAAAATGCCGAAGACGACAATATTGAGTCTAGTGACGATTTAGGGCAATGGGGAAAGAAAATAAGAAGTGGCTGGAGGGTCGTACAAGACGATATGAATGACAATGAAGCTCTGATCTTGGATGGTGGGCGTCTAGGCGGGGAGACTACCAATGAAGAAAGGGGTACGGAGACAAGTTGTGGTTGACCCATGCATAGATTCGATTTTTAAATAACAGTAAAGACTAAGGCTACTAATTTCAAATTTCAGCCTTTTGTTGAAAAATGATCTGCAAATCGGGACCACGCATCATTCGGTATCAAAAAAAGCACCCCAATAGTTCTCCGGATCCCACTTTTTCTTAATACTAAGCAGCTTCTCAACCCGCTCCTTGCCGCCAAAAATATTTTCGAGGGGCTCATTTAGTCCGGAGCCTGTTGGATAAGCGCGAATCTTTCCTGGGTCGCTGCATTTTTGGATCAAGACATCGCGTACCTTACTCGTAAACTCATTGGCCTTTTGGTCTAATTTCGCATCCTTATAAGCAGGAGCAATACTCCTAGTAGTGGAACTGTTAAGATAGTATACGTACCGAAAAAGGAAGGGCCACTTACACTTCATACACAATACCACGATGGAATCGCGAAAATGCTGTCTCTTCGTCAGAAGTCTCGAGCGCCTTTTCCTTCGAAAACCTTTCCATTACAACAACAGAGTTTTCAGCATCTTTGCTCTGCCCAAATTCAAGCCATAGGTCCCAAATCTCAAAAAATGCAGTTATCTCCAGCCGCTCAATTCCCATTGCGATACCAGGTCTTCTATAACCTGCCAAGCATGTGGCATCATTGCTGTCATTCAACCTTTCTGCTGGAAGAATTGCAGTTTGCTTGAAATCAGGCCTGAGGGACGGGTCAAGCACACGTTCCCAAGCTTTCTCAGCCTGGCTCTCCGGACCGTAAAACCAAAGAGCGATCACTAGCGATGGATAGCCCATTGGTGGGACGAAAGCGAACGAGAATAGTACAAACATACTATCCCCATAATGGGTCGAGTTAATAGCCTTAAAGACCTTCTCGATAGTTTCCCTCGACGGATTGCTAAAAATCAAAGTACAAGTCCACGATAACCCACCATTAGTCTGCGGGTAAATCTTCATTGTGGCTTTTGTAATAATTCCAAAGGCCGCCCCAGCGCCACGAATAGCCCACCACAATTCTGGGTTGGTGGTTCCATTCACGTTTCTGTGGATAGTACCATCGGAATCAACAAGATTTACGGCCACAAGGTTGTCGACACCGTAACCGTATCTTCCAACATACCGGCCTAAGCCGCCGCAGAGGAATGCGCCAACAACGCCAACAGTATTGGCAAGTCCTGTGGCTATAAACTCAAGTAGGAGGCATTAGTTAGGTGACCGCTCAAGTTTATCTATTTGGCCCAAAGAGATACTTCGAAGCACTTACTAACATCAAACTCCTTCTCCGCAACAGCATTAATGAGTTCTCCGACAATTATGCCACCACCAAAGGTCACAGTCTGTACTGGCTCATCAACGAAGACTTTATTCAAGCCTCTCATACAGATAACCACATCGATGGTTCTATGGTTCTTAACTCTCCAGCTATGACCACCAGATTGAGCAAAACATTTCAAACCTTTCTCTCTGCAGTATCGAACCTAGGGGTATATTAGTCAAGGTTTTGAGGATGGAATTAGTAGGGAAGAGGAAAACCATGGTAACTAAATGAAGAAAGATTACAGGATAGGAGGCATCAATTGCCAATAAATAGAAGAGGGACTTACAACTTCAATCACGTCTTCTTCACTATGCGGAAACACGGTCATGACTGGGTCTGGTGCAGTAGATTGGTCAAATCTTTCCACTGTACCTTCCCTGCCTACGACCTTCGCCCCTAGCGAAAGACGTGATGTAATTTCGGCTAAATATTCTTGAAAATTCTCCATTGGTCTTGAGCAATTGATTTCGTGACTGGGTTCAATGTTGCAGAGAATTTCTAAGACCAAAGAAACCGATTGCTTCTATAGAGCAAAATAGGATTAAAATACAAGCTTGTTGGCTTCGAAGTGTCTGGTCATGATCGAATCGATAGGGCTTCGAGATATTTCCAACCTCTTAAGTAGCTCGACATCCTTTACGTCTAGCGGTTCCATAATAATATTCTAATTCAAATAAACCTGTAGGGAAAGTTTCAAGGCATTGAGAGTCTGGCCAGTTCCTACGCGTTAACGTCAATCTAGCCTAATTGCGATATCAGTTGCAAACCGACGTTTTAATTAATTACAGCACCGAAATTCCTTAAAATCGATTGCTAACAACAACAAGGGTTTTGTTGAGGCCGGACAACACCTTTGTATTTCTAAGCGCATTCTTCGGTGAATCTAAAATGCATTTTGATAGATTTGCCGTGGTTATCGCGATCGATTAATTTGTGTATGTGGTGCCCCTGGCCGGCTAGCAGGATTGACAAATTTAAATGCTAATAGGAAGTCCAGTAAATACTTGTTTGGTATTTTCTCCATGCCACCACGCCTTCTGCCCGGCTGTTCCGCTCTTTTGAGATATTACATATGTATGTACTTACTTACTTGTGTACCTAATATCTCACTTATCTCTTGTCCTGATGTGTGCGGGGCACCTGCGCCGCATACCGGAAGTTGTCGCATTTGGGTTAGTCGAGTCGAGGTGGGGCACCCAATCCAAGACTCCTCGTTCATCGGATCGCGATCGATGCATCGATAGATCAAGAAAAAAATAAGTTTTCGATACCCGCAGTTTTTCACGATCGCGGGGCAGCCCTATTTATCAGGTTATCTGCACCTACATCCATTTCAGTAGACGGGTATTAGTTAGCTAGACCATTGAAATAACGGCCGTTGAGTGGCAAATATGCAAATGCATGTAGGTGCACATGTACATTCCAGACCATTTCCTTGCATAAGGAATTGGAATCTTAAATATTTTCAGCAGCAATTTATACTTCCCGCTTCATAAGCAAATCCCTGCAAGCCAAAATATTTACAAGGGTTTCCGACTATTTTGTGGACGAAATCCTGCCTCTCTCAGATCGATTGTTTGTGATATCAGATTTATGGCATAATGCAATGTAGCGGCCGATGAGCATCACTTTATCATAAACCAATGCAGGTCTTTGCTTCGCGAATTGTCCGAATTCCAGCAGAATATGCGTGCCCCATTAGGAGCTAGTGCGCAGCCATCCCGCCATTCGTACTACAAGCTAGCTAACCTAGTGCCATTTGCAAGTGGGAAGGGCTAATGTCAGGGTTATCCACGTGAAAGCTAGATTTATAACCTTACGCTAATTGCGGCTGCTATCGGATTGCAGAATATTACGATAAGAGCACACCAAGTGTCAGTAACGTTGGGATTCGGCTTAACCAACCGTTAACCGGTTTCTACCTTAATTAGTTCTCTATCCGCTACCCACCTCTTGATCTCCCAGTTTAACTTAGTACAGCACCGACTCAGCATTCGAAACCCATTAAAATGATCGTACTAACTATTTTGACAATTCTGATTTGTCGTGTCTACATAAAATCTAGAGCATAAGCATACTAGTTGATACAAGAAAATAAAGTTCCTGTGTGCTGCATCCTCCTAACCGCGAATATGAAAGACGTCATGACGAAAATGAAAACGACGTTTTTCATATATCCCATCCGACAGGGCGGGATATTAGTTCTTAGCACCCCATTGATTGAGGTATCATGCAGATGAACGTATTTTGTATGACCAATATTAGCTACTTATCTATTTCCCAAGTTAGGCTTACTAATGACTAGCCATAATTCAGGGCAAACTACAGCTTAGTAGGGCTACGCTAGAAATTTAGCCACCAGGGCTGTTATCCTGTATTACCAAAAGTTTCATAGAGGAATTTACTCCCATTCATTTGACGTTGTTTTAAAATCTTCTGGATAAATAACTTACGCCCTCGGCCGGATTCGCCAAATCTTGGTCATATATCACTTTTTTAAAGACTGAGGCCTCCCAATGGCAATCGTAGCTCCAGATTCCTAACACCCAACTCCTAATTTCACTTCAGTTTTTGCAAAACTGCATTTTTTAATTTTGGTTGTGCGTTCAATTCGGGCTGGAAATCTTCTTATTAGGATACCAACATCATGAATACCGAAAAGTTCATCCGTGTTACAATGTATTTCCAGAAGAAGCCAGGGATGTCTGACGACGAGTTCAATGAATATTGGTCTCACATTCACGGCCCACTATGCATTAAGTGGATGCAGAGATACGGGGTTATTAGATGTGCCCAAGTGCGTATGAGCTATTACTGCTGCACTACTTTACCTTTGATCATGAACTAACAAAGAACCAAAGAAGCATATCAATAAACCTGCTATGAAATTTCTCAAAGACAACTTACCCGTATTTCCATTATGCGAGTTTGATGGGATTGAAGACTTTTATGTTCGCGATATAAAAGATTTTACGGATGCGCTCGCGGATGAAGAATATAAAAAGTTACTTAGTCCCGATGCAGGGAAATTCATTGATACCCCCAGTCTTTTTCTATCAGTTGGGGAAGATTACGTATTGATAGAAAATGGGGAAGTACAGCAGAGTCATGAGCACGATTATCATTCATCGTGATACGATTGACCTAGGTACCTTGGGGCAAGGGGTTGGGTATGCTTATCGTTAGATAGGCTGGACGATCGATGAGCTCAAATTACTAGGCACACAGAATGTATTTCGCTACTTGCAAAGTCTCGTTTGAGGCAACTCCCCTACGGAATTTTTGGTATTTATCTGAAGGTTAATGTCAGAATTACTGTAATTTTGTCATAATAGTTAGTCCATGTCAATCGAAATCTCACAAAATTAACAGACGCTAATATAAATAATTGCCCATTCTACTTACCTTGAACGCCTCTAAGCGTGGTCAAGTTTTAAGAAAAAGAAAGGTGTGAACAGACACAAAAAGAGTGATATGTTTGATTATTTTAGGCGGAATATATCTATGTACTGGCTTGACATATGACAAAGCTGGAAGGGGTTATGACCATAGTCAGCTGCCCCTAGGCCCCTTCAATTGGGTTTCCAATTAGATAGTGTAATATCAGGTAATACAATTACATAAGCCCATTCGGCCGAGATAAACGTGCTACCAGTGACTGGATTGTATAAATTTAGAAATTCTCATGACAAATCTCGACAATAACAAGGCCGACTAAGCTAAGCTGCCGAGCTATCCAGCAGTACAAGCCAGACACAAACGATCATCAACACACTACCGCGTTGCACTTTTGAGGTTGAGATTCCCAGTGTAGGAAATTAATTGACTTCTAAATTGTGTCACATAATTATACAAGCTGCTTTTTATGGCCTGGAATAAATATACATACAAGAGGGGGGGTCCTTCGGACTACCGTAAATTTCTTCTTGGTGAGGCCCTCTAGCCGCTGCCCATTGTGACGTCTGGGAATGAGACCACTCTAGCCCAAATACTGATATAGGTGTATAATGGCCGGATTATTGTTTGTGTACCCTAACCAAAAAAGCCTCATCTAAAAAAACTGATCTATTATTATTTATAAAATATTTTAATGAATAAATTATATTTATTAACTAACTAATTGACGAACTGACTAGGTATACTATATTAGAATTATTATAAAATAATAAATTAGTCCTATAGTATTTTAAATTTCATCGATTAAGTAAAAGAGAAAGTAAAACCCTCCTTTCAGTCGAGCACTCTAAGTACAAGTATGGTAAGTACCTAAGCCTCGCTAGGCTAAGGGCGATCGAACTTCTCAGCATTCCATGAACATGCATACATTTGCAGATCTAACAACCAGCCGATTGTGCCGCGCGCGGCGCCAAGTAAAACACCCCCCTAATTAACTTATAAAGATAATATTGTGAAATGATATCATGATTAGTTTTAAAGATTTGGAACAAAAGTGAAGGTGAGTCTCGTGTTTGACAAGCGTATCTGGATCTAAGGCCCAGACCATCTCGGTACTGGACAGGAAACATCCGGATCCCAATCAACCATCATTGTGAATCGAAATTTCGGCAGCAAATCGATCTTTGATCCCGAAGCTTCCACTTCTGAGGACTTTACTAGCGGATGTAAATTTTGAGCTCTGTGGTTCAAGTGGAGCTACTGCGCAGACGTCCACGCCTTGTTACTATAGCAGCTGGACTTAGCCCTGGCCTTAGGGGCGTGGGGGCATACAAAATGCTCCAGTCAGTCCATTTTACGAGGTTATGCTCCATGTTTATGAGGATCGCCGTCGACTTTTCAACGAATAATACTCACGAATTTTGCAGTCACAAAATCCAATTAAGGACTCCAAAGATCCTAGGACGTCGACGGTCCTGAATTTCCGGCTTTGTTGCGAATTACCATTGGCCTTTTCTCCACGTAGGAGATTCTAAAAGGTGATATATATCAACCTAGTGGCACGTGCATAGCGACTCGCTTACGCCTTGAGATAAATTGTTCCTGGCATTCTGGCAGGTGATATGCTGCATGACGCCCCGCGGTAAAGTTCCCTGGGTCCCCAAAACGTATGGCCGGTTCTAGAAACAACTCTGGAGGCCTGTCCTGTGGTAGCATTGAGGTATTTAGATGGACGAAGAATAATACGATTAGCGGTATCTCCTTTTGCTTCCGGATCAGCGCCAGACTACTGTAGAAAGAAATACAGATATATACTCAATTAAACTTTGGGGTGTATTCAAACTTCGATGATTGGACGATACACAAACATTCCATAGATGCTGGGATTGCCTTCGCTTGTAGCAACTTGGCCCCTGGTTTTAGTTTATAACTCAGACACTATGATGATTCATTAAGGTTGAACAAATGGTCGTAGTTAGACCAGCTAATTGGTTATCTAAATTATAAACCTCTAGCACGATGGGATTTTCGTACATCGTAATTCATTGCTCTCGGTTAGTGGGAGCCCTCAATCCCTAGCGCCATTTACCTTACAATTTACCTTGCGCGTGTGCCATCGGCCACTCGTACGGCCTACGAACATTACAATACCGTGCGATCGTGATTGCGATACGCCATGAAGTTGATCAACATCTTCGGAATATGCCGCCAAAGTCCAAAATCATGGAATTTAGTTTCGAGTCCGAACTGTGGTCTCTTTCAGTCTTGCTCGGTCTGAGAGTAACCTATACTTCAATATCAATATCGTACGAATGTACGCATAAAGTAATTATGCTGGCATCTCTAATCTTGGCGATACATGATGTGGTCCAATTGTTCATCCGAGAACTCATTCAGTTCGCAAATTCATGCAATAGCAAGAGAATACAATGGATTGCAGCGAGAAATAGACCCATAGACAATGCAAATATGCTCTTGAGAATATTTGCACCTATAGCAATATCCTGTTCCCCAAAACTATAAATATAGGTGCAAAGTGTCGATTCTATATCATGCTCCTCAATATACTAGACCGGCAATTTGCAAGATCTAGTAGTATCTTTCGCGGAGCTCTTGTATAACAGCTTTCATATTCCAAAGTCTCTAAATCTTCTCCTCAAAAGATCCCAAACTTCAAACTATGGCGCTTATTCAACGACCAGACGATCCAAATCCTATCCTTCCTAGTTGTGGTATAATAACTTTGTTTCTACATCAAGTAGAACGCTTTCCGTCTCGGTTAGCTTTTATCGACGCCACCGAAGATACAACAGTTACATATATAGAGCTGCTCGAAAAAGTGAAAAGGCTTGCTCGCGAGCTCCGATCAAAGCGACCAATTCCTCTTGAATCTCCCATTGCTATCTTGGCGGCCAAAGGGCTTAACCACATTATCGCGCAGTTAGCGACGGTTTTCGTGGGAGGGACATGTGTACCACTAGACCCTTCGGTTTCTGATGAACAAATCAAAGTACGACTGGAAGACGCCCAACCAGTGTATCTGATCACTGATGCAGAAAATCAAAATCGTTGTTTGGGTGGCTTCCCTACCATTACTGTTGCCCACCACCTTCTAAATTGGCCGCCTACCCCCGACGAAACTTGTCTCCCCACAGTTACCTACCCTAGCAGTCGGTCCCATATATTTTATACATCTGGAACGACAGGAAAGCCGAAGGGGGTTGAGGTTTTAGCACAAGGTCTATATCGTATAAACCACTGTTCTAATATCAGACCTGGTGACCTCGTAGGGCACGTTACAAATCCTACATTCGATATTTCAACTACTGATATTTGGGGTACTCTCACGAGCGGAGCTACTATTGTCAATTTTAACAAGGGCGTTTTAAGTAGTCCCTTTACCTTTGCCCAGGCACTCCAAAGAAAAAAGTCACGAGTTAATTGGATGACCATCGCCTCTGGCATTTTTAATATTGTGGCTTTTTCATGCCCCGAAGCGTTCTCGGCAATAGATATCCTTGTGACTGGAGGGGAGGCTGCGAACGCCATGGCCATGAAACTAGTGCTAGGGTCTAGCAGTCCTCCCAAGAAACTCATCAATGCCTATGGTCCGACCGAATGCACAGTTTGGAGTACTTACCATGAAGTGACTCTCCAAGAGGCAGCTTCTGGCAGTATCAAAATTGGAACCCCATTGATTGGGACCGATATGTATGTTCTTGATGAAAGACTAAGCCCTGTGCCAAAGGACTCTATAGGCGAGCTATGTGTCGGTGGTTCGTGCCTCGCCCTTGGTTACTTGAACAGACCAGACGCAAATAAGAAAGCATTTGTCAGCGTGAGGGGGCTAACGAAAGACAATGAGCCTATACGCCTCTATCGAACTGGTGACCTTGTCCGATATGATAGATCCGGAAGAATCTTAGAATACATTGGGCGCAAGGACAACCAAATCAAAATTCATGGTTTTAGAGTTGAGTTGGAAGGAATCGAGGCTGTTATTACAAATAACTGCCCCGTTTCTATGGCTGCTGTCTTAAAGATTCCGCCTCCCGAATCGGACCCAGGAGCATCCAGTTTCTTATTAGCATTTATCGTTCTCAAATCGGAGGGAAAGGAAGGAAACTTAACAGCAATATCTCAGAAACTTAGTCAAATTCTCCCTTGGTATTCGATACCCCGCCTGCGAGTTCTGGATAAGCTTCCATTGAATACCAATGGAAAGGTCGATCGCAAAATTCTCATGGGAGTGTACTTGAAATCCAAAGATTCGGCATTCAACACAGACTCGGATAAAAACTCTGAAAATGCGTGCGCTCCAACTATAAGAAAGCTTGAAGTCATTTGGCGGGAGACTCTCGCCCACCCGCCATCCTCAGTTAAGCCTAGTGACAACTACTTTGCTCTAGGGGGTACTTCGCTCCAAAGTGCAACTTTAATACTCAAAATTCGCAAACAGTTTGGGGTTGCCATGAGTACAGATACGCTATACGGCAATCCAACTCTATCTGCCATGGCAGAATATCTCGATAATGGTTCTGGAAAGGAAATCGATACAAAAGCAGCAATGCAAAGCGATGCTCTTCTTTCTGAAAATTTACGGCCACTAGACGGACCTATTCCAGACTGGAGAGCTCCTGGGGAAGGGGTCGTGCTTGTAACAGGAGCGACTGGCTTCCTCGGCGCATATCTAGTACAGGCGTTACTTCGGATGCCAGAGGTTAAAAAAGTTCACTGTTTAGTGCGGGCGAAGGACGCTACCCACGCTCTATCTCGGATGAAGGCAGCCTTCCCTCAGTACGGAATCTCGTTTACGAAACAAGACCAAGCGCTCATGGAGGCCAAAATAGATTTAATCCCCGGAGATCTCGGAGAGCAGAACCTAGGCCTCAGCGGGAGAGCTTTTGACGAATTAGCTCGCTCTTGCGCTACTATCTTTCACTTTGGAGCGATTATAAACTACGTACAGCCCTATAGTGCCCACCGAGCTGCAAATACAATTGGCACGCTTAATATTATTCGTCTTGCTGTAACCGGTCGACCGAAAACAATTCACTACTCCTCCAGCTTTGTGGTATATGGCCCAACAGGCCTTTTAAATGGGCCGATGAGCCTTCCTGAAGACGAACCAATTGACTCCTACGTCGATGGATTAATGTACGACCTGGGATATGCGCAAAGTCAATGGGTAGCTGAACAGCTACTCTGGAAATCTATCAAAAACGGTGTCCCAATCGCGATTTACCGCCCTGGATTTATTCTGGGTCACAGTAAAACCGGCTTCGGAAACCCAAATGATTTTATAGGAAGGTTTTTTGTCAGCTGTATTAAGATGGGAACATATCCCCTCCTACCAAGACAGCGCAAAGAATTCATTCCGGTCGACCATTGCATTAGAGATATCTTGCACATATCTTTTTCTAATGCAAATTTGGGGAAGGCATATGCAATTGTACCATTAAATTCATCTGAATCGATTGGATGGAATTCCACCTTCAAGCTTTTGAATAGATGCGGCAACTTCAAACTCAAAGGTCTTCTATTCTCAGACTGGCTTACGTCCCAACTCCCAGAAACATGGGATAAACGTTTGCTGCCGCTTATGCCTTTGCTAACGGAAAAAGTGTACAAAGAGAAAAACAGATGGGAGGTTTATGAAGATATGGCAGAGTACAAAACCGATAACACAAGATATGCCCTTAAAGATTCCATGAATCCGGAGGGATGTTCCCCACTGACCAAAGGGTTGCTTACGCTTTATTTGAAGGGATGGTTCGAACAGACTGATAATCTACAATTAATGGACCTTTTAACAGGCACTAGCGCGGAGCCACATTGCTAAAGAATAACACCCAGCTACTATATAAGTATTGACTAATCTTGGGGGGGGGGGGGGGGTACCAGTCCTTTTCTTTACCAATTCAAAACCACGGGGAATTGGTTATAAGACAATCGCTAAATTTATCTTATTCTTCCAGTTATTCTTACTTTCTGCATTTCCTACCACGAGAGCAGCATGATTGAACGCTTTGCTATTATTCAGTGGAATTGCTTCACGCATGTTTGAACACATTCGCTTTTCAGATTGCTTCACGCATGTTTGAACACATTCGCTTTTCAGTGACGTGTAATTAAATAGCCGAAAATCTTTTGTAACGCTTTGGTCGGTTCACCGGTGTGCAAGTGTCTGGCACCGAGGCTAGCAACCATATACATTCACTAGCCAAATTATCAATTCACATAACATCTATCATTGCATACTATTCAGAATATTTACAACGTATTCTTTGGTTCTCAACTCTCTTTGAGTGGCTCAGGTGAGTAACTCAATATAAGGGCCGCGATATTGTCTCCTGCGCAGCCACCCCTTCAGCCGCGGTACCCGAATGTCAGAATATGGGCAGGTTGTAGGAGGAAAGCTCCCAGGAAACATTGAATTGGTCTATCTAGTATTCAATGTTCAAAGGTTACCGGTCCCAGCTCTCCGTTTAGAGTAAGTTAGATGTACCAATTAGTATAATTCCTGGCATCGGTAGAACTAGCAAAGCCTATGGGAAACTTACTTTATGGACAGCGGCATTCTTGTACATTTTAATACTAAGCTGCTGTACAATTTTCATGGGCAGGGAGTAAAAATGTACTCCAAAGTTCGGAGACCCCTCTCAAAATTGATTTTCTTTTAACTTTATGGAACCAAGGCTGCATTGGTCTCATAAACCAGACAACACACGGAGTCCACGCCGTGTGGCTGCATCTATGTACTTAAATACCAAGGGAAGCTGGCAACGTTGATGTTTTTATCGGAAGCACCTGTTTTTGAGCCTATTGTATTACGCTAACTTATTTTTCCTAGAATATCATACACTCTCTCTCGCCAAGAGAGACCAACCCATGTTACCGCTATCAATTCATTTTGAGAACCTGCTTTATTCTTGCAAATATGAACTCCTCCATGACCTCGGCTTTATCAACCTCGTCTTCATCAACCTCGAGAAACCCCTTAACTTTTAGGAGAGTTATTACATCCTCTAACTTGACTTCTATTAGCCTCACTAATTCCCAGAGCTGGACCGGTTTCAGGCGCTTCAACCGCTCGACATACTCCTTATCAGTAATCGTCAACACCTCCCCCTCTTCATTCTCTTCCTCATCTTCTTCCTTTATTTGGTTCAGAAATTCATTTCTAATACCATAGTAAACCGTCCGCTCCTTCTTCAAATACCACAATACCAAGTTAAGAGCCCAGTGGAATGCCTTCTTCTCATCTGCTTGATTTTTTAAACCCATCCTCTCTATCATATCTAAGCGTTTGTGATATCTTGGAAGGTTGTCCTTACTCCTTCTAGGTGACCCCAAATGCTTTTCGAGAACGTATTTTAGAAGACCGGCGAAGGGAAATGTTTCGCCTTCCACAATCTGAGGCCTAGCAAACTTGGGTACAGCAAAACTCTTTGCGTCTTGTCTTCCGCGAGATTGTTCTTGACTACCTCCGATACTCTCCCCGGCAGCACTATTAGCCCCCGCAGCAACTTCTGCACTTTTGCTACACCAGATATTGAATGTGGTATGTTCTTCTGCATTGCCCACAATCACGGGTTGGTGATTCACATCCGTTCTTTCTATTTGAATACCATTCCCGTTGCTTCTTGCCTCACCGTCACCGGCGCCATTGCCATTTCTTCGTGGTGGATGCAATGCCATCTGCAAAAAGGCATTCGTTGAGACCCGTACAGAGTCAGCATCTATCATTACCCTTGATTCATGATAGTTTGGCAAAATCGACTGGACAACCCAATCAGTACAGTAGTGATGCTGTCTCAACTTTTCTTCAGAGTCCTCCTCAGCTGAACCACTGGGTGTATAGAAGTCTGGGATATATGAGATCTTCTTTTGCTTGTCCTCATAGATATTATCGCAAATGTCTTCCCAATGCTCTCCATAGACATTATCGAAGCTCTTTGCGGTCAGGCGAAGAGAATGTACTGTTGGAAAATCCAACATCCCCATAATTCTTGCGATTATGCCGTCTTCCATTCCTGTAAATAAAGCTCTAGTAGGTCGAGCCTTCGAAATCAAAGCACCCAGCCCCGGCTCAGCGGTCTGGGGCTTCTTGTATGTCCTCGGATCTCTTTTCGGAAATTTCACCTGAAGATAGGGAATAGCTTCGACCCATGACATCCAGTCAATGGGGTAGCCCCAAGAGTAGCACTGTAAAATATATTCCGCAATTTTCTGCGCGCCCGCGACTCGGGCGTAGTGACGTCTCCGAAGCTCTATCGCATTCCGAAGGAAGATAAGACGTTGTCGTTCCTTTCGGTCTTGTACGGGAACCTCTTCCACGGTCTTGTCTGCAGCAAGAGATGTATCATTTGACTGGGGTGAAGGAGGTCCTGTTTGGGTCGGTGACCGTTGATCGGTGATTTGATCAATCAAGTGGTCCGTCTCAAGGACTTCGGTCCTTAGGCGACGAGGTGGAATCCCATCCTCTATTTGCGGAGGAGGGACATGCTCAAACCGAAGTAATTGCTCTAACGCGGCGTCAAGGACGTCACTAGCCATACCCTGTGGATTGGCAGGCTTCGCGTATTCAGCCATAGGACAAGCCACCAACTAGGCCTTTTGGAAATAAATATTGTTTGAGTAGCCTCCAAGCCTACTTTCCTTGTCAAGGTGGATTTCTTAGAGGTTTTTTGCGGGATTGAGACTTGTATTGCATGAGATTTGGGGATTCACTGTATACTAAACCCCAAATCGTATTTGAAGAACCACGGAGTTTTACAGACTTATGTCAACCTGAGTGTATAGAAAATCTGAGTTCTGAGTAATTATCCCAAAGAACGCGTCGAGGGTGCACGGTGGGATTGGGAACGCTAATTCTGAACAGCTCTGGGCTTTGTATCAGGCGGATTTAGTGAATAAACTGGAAGAGGAGAGGTTGTTCGAAAGGAAGAGAAATTGTTTTGCTGGGCAAGGACTACGGACTTTATATATAAATGAATGACGATCTTTTAGAAGAATAAATTTTCTGGGCTGAAAACCTCTAAATGGTACTATATGAATTAGATCGGCAGAATCGCCGCCGTTAGCTTGGAGGGAAAGTTCTATAGATAGGGCATTCCCCGGTAAGTCCCTCCGCATGTCGAGATCATGGGGTTATAAATTCATCATCAATCTTCTTCTAATGTAACTCGGAACTAGCTAGAATGGCCAAAATTTAGTCTCGTTTTCCCCCAAATCCTGATTTTTCTTACAGTGATTTTGTGGGGGCCCCGTGTTGAGTATATAGTCAGGATAACCTCTATAGACAGTCGATGGCAATCTTGTAATCGGAGTCGATGGCGTGAGAAGAGACACTACCGATTCGTTATGTCGCACCATTTCACAAGTGCGGCCCAGTCTACATGACCTGGCGTGTTCGTATTTGCTCTCGCCTATTACTCAACTACTCGCTACATCGCGTTCTCTATCGCGAAGTCACCTCGCCTATACTAATATCCTCTAATATTCCTTCTAGTCCGGAATGTCGAGACCCTATGAAGCCCCCACACTCTCAATAGCGAGAAGCATCATTGTTACATGCACTATAGACCGCGAGATCGGACCGTTTGATTTCCCGATAAGACTGATCGGACCAAAACATGTCATTTATATATAGCACCTGCGCCGATTTCGCCAGGTACATCATTCAGGATCGCCCACGATAGTTAGCTACGGGGAGATAAACGAGACCTATTATCTCCGCCAATGAAAATATGAAGACCACCTATGGAACAAAGCAAAGGAGGGGGGGGAATTTAGCTACCTGACTCACGAATACTAAATGTTAACTATCAAACGTTGCAAACACCTGGGAACGAGACTAGCAAACACCTACCCGCCTATCATACAAAAACCGGTTGTCAACGCACTTGAGCGTGTTGTTTGTGGTATTTCCATTTTAGGTACACGCTAACCCAAAGTAATGCAACAAAACTATGTTTGGAACTCGCTGAAAATGGCAGTGATGTGAAAGATTCGACGAACACGACCCCGACCGATCCCGAAGAGAGAACCCATGTCGGTAGGCTGGACTAGGACAGGCGCGGGAGCGGCCGTGCCATCATTAGTCCCCCAGAATATGCCATCATAGCATTAACCTACGCACGCGCAACACTGGCTGGACCGAGAGATAAAATCTTCAGCTCTTCCACATGTATAGTGTTAATTATCGCGATATCTGCGGTAAGTACATCCTGTCTATAAAGCTCAGATCCATGAGAATTCGTCCAGAATAGGCTGATCAAGATAAACAAAAAGAGGATAATCCTTATACTCGACCAAAAGGCCTAAGGCATTACTAGTTTCTATTCATAACACACTTTGAATGCAATGGAATTAAGTCCCTGGGGTACCACAGTATCAACTACCTATTTGTTCGATGAAGGATAATCATAATCATGAATGGTAGGATATTTCATTACTGCTAGCCGTTTAGTACAATCAGGTTTATATAAACGTTAATTAATCAGTAGTAGAATACTCCCTATTGGTCTTGTTCTAAGACCATTGCTCCTTCATAGTCACCAAGCCCGACCAGTTGCAATATTCCAGGAAATCGGTACCTCGATTAGAGCGCCAAGCGTCCCATATCAATTCGAAGGAAACTTCAATGAAAAAGTATGTTCCAGTAGTTCATGCATAAACCACTCAGAAGAATCTTCCCTGTAGTATAAATCAATCAAAAGGTGCTTCGACCTGCATCTCAAATCCCGGATACCCGTATCAAATCACCAACCCACGGCTGCAATTAAATGGGATTTATGACCCAACCCTACCTGCATGCGCACGCACGCACCTCGTCACGAACCCCCTGGCCCATAGCGCCCTATTGTACTGGCCGGGGAAGGGCATTCTAAGACCCTTCTATGGCGTTCGAATGTCTGAGTAGCCGCCCTTTTATAATATTAATCCTCGTCTAATAGGCTAAAAGGGCATTGCATTACATATACATTGCATATACATTGCATATTCACGTTTCCTGATTCTGGATATGTCGGCGTGAGAGCGTGAGAACGTGAGATGTGGAATCTTTTTATTTGGCCTAGGAATTTACACAGGATTTGAGCTACAGGGCCGCCCTGACGGTATTTGAATGTCTAGCTAGACGATATCGATGTCGTGAACGACTGGTCCGCTTTTGAAGTATCCGGATCGATATATCCTAATACCCACAGTTGAGGCATCAGACGACGAGACAACCCAGTACGCTAGATACATAATACTATCTACCAATCTTCAGAAACACCCAAATTCTAACTAACGGCCTGCTATATGTGGAGAATATCATGTAATCCCGACAGCCCAAGGTGTCACAAGGTCTCAGCTATAATTCCATACTATATTAATAGGCTTGAATTTACTATATAGGAAGTTACCGGAACCAGGTTGAGGAGTCTTTCGAATTTGGTAATCTTAAGGACTGGGTCCCTCTGCACCTCACCCAGCTCTAGGATTTGACAACGGGATTAGAAGCCAGAAGCACATCCATGACCTATACAACGGATCTTCTCAAATTAGCAATTTCTTAGTTTTCCTCGTAGTCCTTACATACCGACAGAACTAACCAGCTAGATCCTAGTACAATTAGTCCAGCCGTTTTTACAAAAATCAAGGATCTACCTATATAATCATTTGCACGTCGAAAACACACGCGACTTTTGACAGCTCTTGATATTCATTGTGCTTGATTTCATATACGTATTCGGCGTATGAACTAAAGATATTAAAATGAAATCGACCGCGCCGCGACTCGATCTCAAAATTTCTATATATACAATAAATGCGACCGTGGCTATGTGTACATGTGTTGCAAACCCGCACAGGATGTTAGACGTTGCATTGGCGAAGGTCCGGTTGGTTCATCTTCTGGCTATTCGTAGATACAATTTTCAAAGTCGCAAAAGAAGCCGAATAGCCGTCGATGTAGCATTATATCACCTGTATCATTGGAAAATTATCGCCGTTACCAAAATACCACAGGATCTTAAGATCTTTAAAATTTCGAGCTATATCGATGTCATCGGTGCAGTGACGGCACCACATCCACAGACTTCTGATTGGTCAACTTCGCAGCCAACCCAACGGCGCCTACCCACACACACCAAAAATATCCATCCAATCGCTTGCCCCTAAATTACATTAGCGTGGCCAGGGTCCAGCGGTTAGCCTGCGGGCAACCTTATCTTCCGAAGACCCTCGACTGGTCTGGTCCTCGAGACACCATTTTTCTGCTTCATAAGGAAAAAAAAGAGGGTGTGGAGGAACTCGAACTTTTGGGAAAGGGAACAAGGACATTCCCTCTTTGCATCTCCGATCAAATCGATGCTAAAATCCCATTCCGTAGTTTTCCTCCAAAGGATTAGTGGAGCACTGGCACTCCATTTCTATTTTCAGAAACAACTTGCCCCATATTAAAAGAAGGAAACTAAAAAGTGGAGCAAGAAGAAATAAAAACCAAAAAGACTAAGCTGGCTTTATATGGTAACAGCTCTGATTGGATACCGTTCAACTTCATCTGTCGAGATTGCGCGTTTTCACGAAGATCTTTGGGTTTAACGTCCTATACTTTGATCTCGACATCCCAGATACTCTGCTTTTATCAGAGGGCGTTCAGGAAGGCCGAGTTATCCGTTTATACAGCATTAACTTGGAACATTTGGACAAGGAAATTAAGCGCACTTGTGAACCCTTGGACAGTTTTCTTATTTCGTTGCCTTATATTCTTTCTTGCAGATACAAAGTTATGAGAGACGGGTGGTACGTAAACCACAACCTTGAAGGTATTCCAGGTCCCCATGCAAGCTTCATTACAGTTGTGCAGTACGTAGCCGAACGAACATATCCAACATGCCGGTTCATTGAATTGATCCCTCCCGCTTCGTACGAAAGAAGAGAGTACAGTCTTTTTATTGCAGCACAGCATATGCCTAAGCCAAAAACCCAATCCAATATCCGGAATCTTGAAATGTCACTTCGAGTACTTCCCGTGCATTTGTTCAGCCTTGCATACATCTCGTATCTGTAAAAAGTTGCCTCCAACCTGTGGTAAACACGACAACAATCCTGATCAGCATGGGTGAGAAAAAAGAGGCTGCATGCGGCGAGGTTCATATGGTGAGCCAACATCGTTGTCATGATTAATCTCTGGATCAGCTCAAACCTTGTTAATCCCGGGGTGCTGGAAAAATACAATGTGAACACTGCTCAAAAGAACGTGTAGAAGATCACTTCAAGGTTGTAGGCGCCTCGGATACGATTCTGCGTGGAAGGTTTCTAATACATGCATATGACCTAGTCTCGAGGCCAGCTTTTGACCCTGCCCGGTCGCGTCGGTTCAAAAATCCTAGTAACTCTTCGAGGCCATGGCAAAACGTATGTCTATCAACGTGTTTTTTCGCCACATCTGGCTGCCCTTGTTCGTGATCAACCCCGGCCAGCAAAATGTCAAATCGAGAATGAGCAGCGTCCCAATGGCCGGCGACCAAACCTTTTGTTTAGCGTATTACAACTTAATCCAACAGAGCGGGATTAAGGACTTTTTCCATTGCCACGTTAGATAACGAAGACAACTAAAGAGGGCGGTTTTTACGACCCAAAATAACCGAAATTTGATTCTTATGCAATTTATTGTAGAACTAACGAGACTTTCCCGCACCAGCACGGCTGGACGGCTCCGTCGGGTGGAAAGAACTGAGTTGTAAAAAAAAATGCTTGATTCCCTAGCCACCATTTTAAAAACAGAAAAATCCAAGATTTAATCTCCTCATGACAGGTTTTCATGAAGGTAAACGAGTGAAGCTGGTAGAATTGGCAAAAAAAAAGGACGCTTTGGGTCGGGTTCACTCCGCTCAGAAGTGGAAGGTAGCCCTAGTTCGATAAGTCAGGGAGCTCATAGGTTATCGAGCTCAACAACAAACTACTTCTTCTCTAGTTGGGTGTTTATTATTGCAGAGCTTTTAGAATGAATTTCCTTGATTATTGTGCCTCCCAGCTAAATACAATTCTCTGCTGATTTCCAGAGGAATAAAAAATACTATCTAAACGACTGTGATGATGATGGGGTATATCCGTATCCTTTTGTGACTAACTCTCAAAACAATCCTTAAAAAGCAAAGACGACTTCTGCAACGACAGGATGGTATCTACATGGAAACCGTTGGTGAAAGGCTTTGGGTATTGGTATGTAAGTAGTATTACTGGTTAATAGTATAAAATGTTGCTAGCGCGCCGCCAGCTGTAATCATGATAATAGCGCGAAAATGCGAAAGGGGAAAACAAAGTAGCATGATTAAACAGTAGGTAGGAAGTAATCCTTAGCAAAACGGACAAAGAGAAATGAAGGAAAAGCTAGAAATTAAAATGGATGCCTTTTCTTATTTGCTCTTGTAGACCCAGTATTGAGCAGCGTAAGGGATTTGTTTCTCGCCAGCCCAGTCGCATGTTTTGGGAGCGACTCCACCAGCAGTGTGAAGGCGGTAGATGCTAGAGAAGGTGGATCCCATACCCTGCTTCGCGACCAATTTGAGGGATGGAACAGCACCGAAGTTCAGAGGACGCTTGCCGACATCAGAGCCAAGAAGAGCTGGGATCTTGCCACCGACGCCACCGATAAATTTAGTCTTGTCGACGAATTCGAAAGCTGGAGTGGCGAAGTCACCCTTGAAGTAGTGGACTCCAGCGATGAATTGGGCGTTGAACATGTTCTTTAGCATTTGAATGCCAGCAAGTTGGGCAGTTGGGTCCATCTGGACGGCGCCACGGGTGAGGACATCGGCCCATTCGGGAGAGACCATGAAGGCACAGGACAGGTCGTAGAGAGTCGCGACGGCGCCGTGAGGAGTGGGAACGCCATTGGTGCAGCTGTAGTTCTGAGAGCCATATCCTAGAACGATTTTGGCGAGCTGCTCATTTTGGGCGACACCTGGAAGTGTGTTCGAAGCTATCGATATAGATATTAGTATATTGCCATAGAGTCTATGAAGAAAGATGTTTTATAATAGGGCTTACAGTTATTTGGGTCGACGAAAGCCTCAGATGGGATCGAGATACCAGACAGCTTGCACCCGGTATATCTAGGTGTAGGAGCGGCCAGAACGGCAACGGCGCCGACGAGGACGGTAGCAAGGGAAGCGATTGTGAAACGCATTTTGACGTATAGAAAAGAAGTCAATCTATCTATTGAATGTCGAAAGGTAAGAGATGTTTTGAGGTTGGTGATGACTGATCAATTGAGCTGAAAGGATGGATGAGGATGGTTGCAGAAGGGAGGATCAACAGTCGTTTTAAATAAGCTGGCACCGAGCGGGAAGGAAGTATGTAAGAAGCTGCGGAAGATATAAAAAACACCAATCTTTTGACGCCACCAAAAAAATAATTATTTTCACCCCAGGGCGAAAACGTTGGTTATGAATTGAAGCTAAAAGGGATCCAACGAAGTGAAAAAGGAAAAAGGGAAAAAAGAAAAAGTACTTTCTACCCGAGAAGAGCACTCGCGGATTTATTTTGTAGATTACTTTTTTGGGTTTTTGGTTGGGGCTATAGAGGGAAGGTAGGAGAAGTTGGAAGTTGGAGGTGGGATCTTTGCATCTTAAGTAGGCTCGCCGCTCGTGTGCATCTCGAAATTTGATAGCGCGACGGTTAGTTTGAGTCGAAGATGCGAAAATAAGCAAATCGGTCTTCGAGATCGCAGGGGTGGTCCGGGTGTGTACTTCTTAGACTTTCGCACTAAGACATGCTGACTGGGGTAAGCCTGTGCCCTGCTATGCTCGCTGGCTCACGACCCCATGCAGTGCATCCTGTCCCAATGTAAGTACTTCGAGTACCTTTAGTGGTACCCTATGGAATAAGCAAATGTCTTCAATACGCATCGAAGGAATTAACAAGTGCTAACGACTCGACAGCTAAACAGGAACCAACGGTGGGGAAACAGCTGGTGCTAGCCTCTTTCGTGTTCGAATATGATATGATTCCTATCATCCGTAACCAAGCTTTTGTTGGAGAAAAAGGATATTAATAGCGTCTCTTCGCGCTTGGGGATATGAACAGAGGGAACCGATTTCAATACTGAGAGGGAACAACATCCCCCTCCAATCAGGCGCCGTTGAAGCGTGTTCAGAGGGAAATTTGATGCCAGAATTATCGCGTGGAACTATGATTCTAGCGGATACCGGCAAGATACCCAGAATCTCCCAAGCTAGTCCAAGCTGTCCAAGCTGTCCAAGAAGCGCGAGCAAGTTGACATTGTCAATGCAAAATGTCGGATTCCAGACTTTCTGGCCTGTCCTGTCGAGCTATCCGGCCAGCGTCCTTGCTTGGGCCAAAGTACCGGCCAGACGTGGGTGTGGGCGCGTACTATTTCTGGCAGCTCCTTCCTGCGTAATAACCACGAAAGTGTTGTAGACATGGGCAAAAGGTGGGCCGGAAAAGTTGGGCGAAAGATGAAACGCCATTACGAATGTGGTGGGACCCCACTTGGTTGAGCCCTGTGCTTGGTGGCCTGTCCGGACAAGCCCATTGAACGGGAGGGGCGACTAGTCGAAACACCACGGCAGCCAATGAGAGCCGTTGCATTTCGCCTGCAGCCTGTTCACGGGTCTGTGGCGTCTAAAAAAGCTTGTCACCATCCCAATGTTGTCGGTGTTAAGATGTTGCTGCTATTCCTGGGAGTCTTTTTCTTGTCTTAATAGTGATGTCTGTTGGTATGTGATAACTTATCGATGGTATCCTAACTTCAATATGTATTAGTACGCCTTGAATTGCGTCAACTTGCATTCTTTCTTTTGAGGGTGTGCTGGATGGGATCTATTGGCCATTCCTTACTCTTTCGAGAGGGCGGCTCTGTAGGAAGGAACACCGTCTTCGTTTTCAGCCTCATTCCCAACCTCTATTGTAAGCTAAGATTATGCAGTTCGATAAGTGATTGCAACGTTCGGTGTTTGTGGCTATTCTCGGGTCAACTAGTACTAATTGTCAGTATACGTCAGTTACTAAGTAGTTAGCTCTACTAAATCTCCGGGGAAGCTATCAATGTGATCCAGCCTCTTTTTCGCTGAGCTATTCAACCATGCATGTCTCAAACAGGAATTGATCATAGCTTTCCGTGCCACCCGTGCCGTTTGTAGTCTTGTGAATACTTCGCAGCTAGGTATAGCTCCAGAGGAGTGATGTAGTTGTTTCGCAAGGGGATATTTCTCCGCAAATCCGGTAGTTATCGCGATACGGAGGGGCAAGGCTTAAGGGGATGGCAAGATCCGCTCGCGAAAGGTTCCTTGCCTAGACTTCAAGTTTAGGAAGCCCAAGGGCCTAGTCGGTTCCAAAGCTATGTCCGTGACGGGGAAGATCAACATATGTTTTGGTAAACATCTCAGAGAAGGGGTATCTCGAGCCGTGCTGACAATTTCGAGTTTAGTTTCGATCGCGATTCTCGACTTGTTCTAGATACCGGTTCTCATAGCTAGCGCATTTTCATGGCTGGCCAGCTGGGTCGGACGGCGGAATAACATCGGGAGCCCAAAAGACAGCACCTGCGCTTGTTTCAACTTTCTAGTTTAAAACCTCGAAAAGTTGCTATGAAAACTTAATTAAAAGAGGCCCGGGCTTGATCAAGCATTTTTAACCTATTTAACTGCCGAATATCTTCGGTTTTCAAACTTTTCGACAAAGAAGTCCGGTTAGGCGTATTTAGAGAAGGACAATAACCTTCGGTTCGGCTAATTCCTTGAAACCGCATTCGCTTCATAACGGTGGGGATTTCAACGGGTTCTGGAAGCGAAAAAGACCAAGGCTAGAAGTTTCACGGCAATTCTTGTCGCAACGGTCAGCAAAGTCAGCGAAAGTGGATAAAATGTTGAAACAAAGGCTTGAAGAGCCTCCTTTTTTCCCTCGAGATTTCAGATATATCGGATTGTAGTAGTATGATTATCCGATTTAGTATATATAATTCAGATGTATTGATAATGACAGCTTTCTGCGAGTTTCATGTCATGAAAACAGGAAGTTTAGGCTCCTAATTAAATATGAATCCAATGGCAAGTTCCGCGTTTCAACACAGAATACGTAATACTGCGAAGTCCTAACTAGCCTCTGCTCATGGCCGTCAACTTGAAATCAGTAGTTCAAGGACTCTTTTCAAGCTTTGAGGGAATAAATATTTAGATCAGGGTGTAGTCTCACCCGTCTACTCGCACCGGTGATTGTTGAAAGTTTCATCGAAATTATCGATATATATTAATATTATCCGTATGCCTGCAGTGCCGGCTAGCGTCATCTTCTCTGAGCTCCCGAGCTCCGGCCGAGGCCTAAGGATATCTTTCCTCACATCGTGCAGTAATTAAACGAGTGTGATATCGACACCGACGGAGTACTTTGGTTGACTTTACAAGATCGACACCTTGCGGCCTAGAACTAAACATACATTTATGTAGATTCATCATTTTTGATGATCGGCCAGGTGCGGTATTCTAAGAAATATTAACTGGAGACTGGTACTAATTACACGTATAGAGTACCTCCCTGATCCAATACATACTCGTAGGTCTCGAAATATACCGTCTATCGATTCATCCAGGGATAAAGATCCTTCGACCTAAGAGTCCAGTTGGATCCTGTCGCCATAGTAGGTATTTTGATCTCGTGCTACTATATTGTCCCGGTTACATTGGAGATTCAAGTCTATATTACATTTTATATCCTGATTGGATATTTTGAAAGTTTGATCCCGCTCGCAAAATTCGTTCTTTGATGTATCGATAAAAGTTGCTAAATGAACACAGGGCATTCTCCTTGCCATGAACTCGATAGGTGCATTTACGTACGACCGAGTCACCTTATTTATCCTAGTTTGGTCCAAAGTATGCATGGAGAAATGTCGGTCTTAGGGTGATCTGTTTGCATTCGCTAGCGCTATAGCTAGTACTGTTTAAGGTACATTCAATATAATATGAGGGTACTTTAAGACTCCAACATTATGGTTTGATGAAGTCTCGAGTATCCACTCACTTCATGGAACTTTAACAGGTTCCGGCCTTGAATGACCGTGATCCTCTGGATCTATATCAGCCGTATCTGCAGTTCCTGTTCGCCACCATCGCCAGACCTTTTTCACAACTTGGTCACGCGATTTGCGCATATAGTCACTCGCTGAAGCTTCAGAGCTAGACCCACCGAAAGCAAGATTTGAATCGACAGACTCTCTTTTCCCAGACCGCCGCTTCTTCCCTGTTGCCACCGGAGGCTGTGTTGAGGCCACGGGCTTTGGAGTGAGTTCATTTGATTTACTTTGCCCAGGTACTTCTTCTTCTCTATGTTTAGAGCGCGGGAAGGCGTGTTTTCGCCCAGTTGAACTGTCAGAACTTGGATCGCTAAAAGCCATATTAAAATCGAAAGAGTCCCTCCTCTTAAGCGTCCGCTTGCTTTTTTCAACGCTACTCGAAGGCCCATCCGATTTTGCGTACGAGAATATCCTTCTGCTTGGACTTGGCTTAGATGTCCGCTTGTCACTAGATATATTGCGCCTTGCCCAGGACTTCAATTTCAAATGGAGTTCCGAGAAAGAAGACGGTGGCGTTGTATATGCATCGGACCCGAAAGCAGCCCAGCGAGGCGGCGTACCGAAGGCCATATCCGAGACTGAGCTCGTAATTGAGCTTGAATCTGAGTCAGAGTCGGATTCACTGCTGCTTGTATAGTCAAGAGCGTTGAAGCTGTTTTTAGGCACTTTTATGCCTCCTTTCCGATTAGGCCGTTTCTCAAACCCTCTGTTCGTTGTGAAGGGTTTGTCCCCACCAGCAGGAGCGTTAGTTGACCCAACAGCGTCCCTGAACACGATATGCAATGGTTTGTTTAGAGATCTCTCTGACCCGGTGTCACTCAATGTATACAATCGTTTGGCCCCCAGATATGCCCCCCTGGAAAAGGGATCAGCTATGCCCCTAGACTGTTTACCTTCCGTTATTTTAATCTTTCCCCCGTCGTGAATGCGCGGTGTTTCCCCATGAGGTTCCTTAGGGATGTCTTCTGGTCGGATGACGGCAAGGGCAATGGTTTCTAGGTGCCGGCCGACATGGCTCTCCGGGTCTGAAGTCTCTGTCATGCATAGTGTGCAAAAACCCGGCTCAGTTGCATTACCTGGTATCGAAAAGAGCGTAAAAGCTACTAGGGGATCGATTCCGCTGAAATGGAAGTCGTCATTATCATGTTCTGCAGCCATATGTGCGCTGAAATCGGTTTTATTGTTACAATGTCCATGCCCTTTTGTATTGCAAAACCAATTGACTCGATGTTTTGCCAGTTCGTGTTGATACCATTGTACCCTACTTTCGAACAAAAAATCTCCAAGTTCGCAATCTGGGTATGTGCAGACGTATGGCTGGAGATCTTGGAGCACATGGGCCCTATAACCGACAGTTGAGTAAGCAAAGTGCTAGTATTATCATTTCGAAGATTGGATCTATCAATAAACGAACCTCCACTCTCTTTCCCGTTTTATCTCTTGTACTGTACAACAATATGGACAGACGAACGTTTCTAGCTCTTCCCCATTTTCTCCTAAGGGCCTCCGCGGCACTGCAACTTCTAGATCCTCGGGAAGAAGGGCCGAGGCAATTGTTGAAGGTACGAGTGGTGTGTATTCAAGTGGCTCAAACAAACCCGAATTCCGGAGACCTTTAATCGGCCCTTCCAGGTGTCCAGTAGGTTTTAGCATTGTGCTTACGTTGGGCTGTAGCTGACGGCTTTCTCGATTTTTCCGGGAATGTAATATTTCACGTCGACGAGTCATCAATTTTCCGAGCCGGGTAGCAACACCAGGAGAAGATTTTGCCAATTCTGGGAATTTGTCTTTAACGTATAAGATATCCAGATCCTCAAAAGAAGTCACTTCTTCTGGTAGTTCTCCACGAAGCCGATCTTGAATGACTGCCTTACGAGTAGGAAGTGCGTATAACGACGAGACAGTCGTTTGTATTGCATGTCGAATTTGCGCCATTTCCCCAGCAGGAAAGTCTGTTCTCGTTCTCACGTTGGGGCCATGAATATTGACAATGCCGCTGACCGTAGGCCTTCTTGATCTATCGTTCCCGCCAACGTAGTCGTCCGGAGAGTCTCCATTGGTTGAAACATCGTCGGATGAGAAATCCCAGGGCGAGTCTTCTTCCGTATCATCATCTGATTCGCTTTGGGAGGGCTTTGTATCTTGAGTATTATCTTCTGGGTTCTCCGGCTCCGTGGATTCTCTAGTCAAATCCTCCCAAGGTACCCTTTCTCCTTTAAGTAATACTATAGCTACATTAGAAATTAAATATTAGCAACTCTTGGTGATATTGTTCAGGGTGTATGCAGCCATAATTTTAAGTTCATGGGAATATATATATATTGCTTATTTGCCGCGTCTTGCTTAGATCACTTACCATTTTCGATCTAGTGTTATAGAACATTCGGATGTATTAGTCGCTGACACTCCATTGTAGGACCGTATATATATCGAAGATGGGCCAGCCTTACATGTTCGCTCAAAAGTTTGAGTATTAAAGCAACCTAGTTGGTATGTTAACTCCCAGTGGTTTTCTAGCGGATGTCGCTTATAAAATTTTTGACCCAACTCTCCCAAATCGAATAAGTTTGGACTGATCGAATTCGAACACAAACTCACCTGATATCGCAGAAAGGATGCATCCCTCAATCTATAATCCAGAGAGCTTTCATAATTTTCCCCCGAATACCCGACTCCGACGCCATTAGCCCATATTTTATACCTTTCGATTTCGATATCCCAGTCCCGTCGCGAGACTTGTGTGCTAAAATCCCGTATCGGAGATTCAGTCAAAGCTACCAAGTTGGCGAATTTTTGACGGCATGATTGGTCCGCTCGGAAGAGTTCATCCATGCTACTTTGCGCTCGAACTCGGAGTGTCGAAGTCGAAAGGAACGTTAACCGGCTTCCAAAGGTTCCATATGCATGCTAGTTAGATGTGAATATCGTATGTCGCTGAACTAGATAGAGATTAATCACATTGATAACTTAGCTCCGGGGCGATGGAGGAAGTTTTCATGCCAATATTGCGATGTGAACCGTGACTGGTCCATCTATCCCCAACCTCTCAGAATAACGAATTTGAAACGACCGCGACCGCGATGCACGCCAATGCAAGCTGTGTTGTCCGAGTGGGGCTGGGACGTGGATCCTGCATCCGGGGCTAATCCACAAGGCTGCAACATCGATGTGGTTCTTCTCTTTGCAATTGACTATTCGTTCTCTCGAGATCTCGAGGCCATCGCGCGGTATCTGTATTCCCCTGTCCTGGGATGAATTGTTGTAATATAGCTAGCCTGGCACCCGTAAATTCCAATTCGTCCCAGCCTCGACTTCCTTCCGCCCAAGCTCGAGCGACACCAATCGAATCGATTTTCGACCGATTATCTGCGTCCTGGCCTCCAACCCCGCACAGCAAATCCCAACTGGCTCTAGTATCTATTCAGCATACTTTTGGGCCTAAACGCGATAATTTTATTATTATTTAAATAATTATTATAATACAACGATTCGATTAGATTAAACGGATATGAGTGGGCTCGAGGTGGTCGGAGTCGTCTTAGGCTCTATTCCTTTGCTTATATCGGCGCTAGAGCATTATTCTAACGGTGTATGACCTTTACGCGAGTAATTATGTAAAATGTGAACTTAGATGCTAACTAACATGTGTCTACCAATAGCTAACAGCTTTAGGCAATATGAAACAATATGAGCACGCATTTAAAGACTTATTAGCACAATTTATTGGGGCAGCGTCTTTATACCATGATACCTGCGAGTCAATACTTATATCCGACTTGACTGTGGAACGGGTTAATAAGCTTTTAAAGACAAGAGATGGATCTTTATGGCGACAAAGGGATGTAGAGGATCTCCTCAGAAGGAAGTTAGGGACGAATTTCCAAACTTATGTTTCTATTTCGAATATTTTGGGAGATAAGATACAGAAGTTTGGAAAACGATTAAAATTGGAGGATGATTTTCGTGTAAGTTCGATGAGCATATAAATCGATTTTTGTCATGGAGACCGGCTCGTTCGATTCTCATACCGGCCGCATACACTTTCATAAAATAGGCTAACATTCGTGAATGCTCTTAGCCTAGATGGGTCGGCATTGATGGAAGTATAGATTTTAAAGTACAAAGAAAACTTCTCAAAAGTGGCTTCGCACGGATCACAGGAGGAATCAAAATCCCAAGTCTTCAGCGAGACGTCGAAAGCATAGTACGAGATCTCTACTTCCTCGAAAAGTTCCAAACAAAAGCCCTCTTAATTGAGCCCCAAAGAATCGAAAAGCGACATCAATCTGTCACGAACTCCTGGGGGAAACTTAGCGAGCGTGCGAAATGGCTTTTTGAAAGTTTGAACTCGCAGTTTTACCAGTGTAGGTGTCATTGCGTACACCAGGCAGATTTGGAGCTTAAAGTACCTACGAGATCAACGGAAGAGTTCGAATGGAATAAAGAGCGGTTGGTTTTTGAGTTCTCGATCTCAGGTACAACACCGGTTTGTAGCTCGATGCCATGGAGCTGGAGGGGTGTGGAGATTGAAGCTGAAGAGAGTGATTTGCAACCGTGAGTATAGGACAGCTTCTGCCTCGTCGCTCTAGCTATCGATCCTATGAACCAGTATGATACTAATGTGACCAAATTAGTTTCGTAGGAGTAATACAAGCACCAAGCTGGTCCAGCCATGCGGGCATGTCTTTTATTCCTTCATTCCCTCCGGTGCCTACCTATTCGGCTGCCACCCCAATAGCGACTACCCCTCAATTTCAAACCAGAGTCGATGATCTCTGTAAAGCCCTATCGCTAATCCAACTCTCGAAACCGAATTCCTACTTGGGATTTCTCGAAAGCAAAAAGTGGAAACACCACATTTTTTGCTCAGATACAACAAAACCTACTTCTCATACAGACGGTTACTCATTGGAGGATCTTCTCTATTCTATTCGCATAGGGACGGCCTGGAGAAGTGGGGTTTTCACTCCGAGGGAGAGGTAAGTGTCTTGCGATTTTTGAATGCTAGATCGTGGGAGATTGATGGAGTTTATTCGATCGATTACTAATTTAGTTCTGCATCAACAGAGCTTTGGTGGCACTCAACATGGCTTATGCTGTTCTACAATTCCACAGCACCGCCTGGTTACAAGAAGACTGGGGTATCAAAGATGTTTTCGTCCGACAAGAGAACTCTAGAGCCTCACAAATCAGCACAATCTACCTCTCTCGCAAGTTTGATCGCCTAAAATCCGCACCTGCCCGACGGAATATGCCATGGATTCGTAATGAAATCATCTATTCCCTTGGACTAGCGCTTCTGGAGATTATATACTGTCAACCTATTTCCGCAATGGTCCAACAAACGAACTACGGGTCCAGCCCTGGGCAGATTGACCCGTCTACGGAGTTCGTGGTCGCTGGGGACCTTGCTAGGGATTTATCTCTGGAGAGAAGAGGCATGGTTTCGGCGAGTTTTGCTGCAGTGACAAGGATTTGTTTGTGGTGTGACTTTCAAGACCCTACTAATGATCTTAGTGATCCAGGGTTCCGTCAAAGATTTTATGCGATGGTTGTAGAGCCGCTAGCTGAGGAGTACATGAGAGCGAGTTGATTTAATGATCTATGACAATACCACGATTTTTAGAATCCATTCGACGAGTTGATTTCTCACCAGCAAAGGTGGAAGGAACATATGGATATATGTACACACAAATGTCATTTAATCAACCTCCAGACGGCCGACGGCGCCCGCTTGAAGGTTCTAGGAAGTCCCCTGGATGCAAGGGAAGCAAACTGCTATGAATGAAAGAGGCTCTCTGAGATCTCTTAGGCTGATACCATGAACTACGAGCTCATACCTGGATGGACCAAAGCTTAAACGTACGGGGAAAAGGAACGTATCCGGGACGTAATGGAAGCTAAGCTTCTTGCTGGCACAGCCATCCATCCGCATTTGGATTGTCACACAAATCCATGACAACGCCACCAACATAATCAACGCAGAACACAAGAATTAACTGCGATGGCCTGGTACCGGTGTATAGGTATCGCCAACCGGCATTCAGCAGATGTGATAGTATTTGCAATATTCAAAACAAGACTTAACGATAGCTTTCCAAGTAAATTTGTAAGTCTAATTTGTGACTGAAAGGTGTATCGTGCTATTTTTCAATTCAAAAAACCAATTTAATTATTGTCATTTGACGATGACAACTTTTGGCCTCCCACGGCCAGACGCCAGCATACCAGCTAGCTTGAGGCCATCCTATTCGGCCATCATAAGTTTAAACGTACACGAATTCAAAGGCTTTAATCTGTATGAAGGCATGACGCTAATACCTCCCCGAGGTAAAAAAGGGATAAAAGGAAATGAAAATGAAAAACAAAGGAAAAAAGAAAGAAGACAGAAAAAGACAAAGGAAAAGAATAAAACGAAGGAAGAAATTAAAAGTACCGGGACTTCAGGATCTTAGCCTTCATAACTCCGTCGACAACCTCTCTCATTTCCTCCCAGTCTTCTCTAAGTCGGTCAATCTCCTCCTGACTCTTTGGACTCATGATAAAGATTCTCTTCAACGCCTCAACTTCATCCTCCTGACGAAAATTCCAATGGGGAATTTTAACAATCAAAAGCTGCAACAACTGGACAGGGTGGAGCATCTCCAACTTCGTGCCCGGGAAACTGTCGCAGAGCTCCTCGAGGACATTCTTATGGATGGCGTGTTCTAAAGCTCGCTGCAACATATAAATAGGTTGGATATAAGTGCGTTCGGGATCGATTTGTTTGTTTGCCTCGAATCTCATATCCTCCTCCTCCTCTTCGTCCTTGCGTGGAGGTTTGACGTCGACCAAGCTGGCCAAGTACCTTTCAACACGCTCCGGGGCATCGCGTTTAACAACTCCGAGATAGAGACCAATCATCATCAACTGTCCCAATTCATGACGGCCGACATGTTCGATCTCTTCATAGATCCCCTTCATGGAAGGATAAACAGTGGACCAGTGTTTCCAGAATGACATGTATTCGAAAGCCAGAATATCCGACAAGACGAAATAGCAGCCGTCGTACATTTTGACGTTCCACCAGGTCTTGTAGAATTGACAAACCGGTCTGGGGGGAAGGTAGTAGTAGTCACGACCGTTCTCAGGGTCGGACTTTGGCGCGACGAACCAGTCGGGAAATGGAAGGGTCAACGGACAAAATTCGTACTTGGAGGTAATGACTCGGGGGTATTGTAGAATGGACCGGTGGTTCTCCAAAACGAGCTTTCTGATGGGCTTGTTGAGAGCCAGAAGACGGGGGAGAGATGAGAGGGGGACGTAGGTGAAGATTTTGAGGAGAATTGTCGACGGAAGGGTGCTCAGAGGCGAGCCAGAACCAGTCAACTCCCCAGGCCCGGTGCACTGGGGAGTTTCTGGTGCTCGCTCTGGCACCCTTTCCGGCTCCTCGGGCTTTGGGCCGGAGAAACTTGCGTAAAGATTCTTCAAGGCTGTGAACTTCTGCTTCACAGCCTTGATCCCCGAGTGGATATGGGACTTCAAGTCCCCAGCAAAGCTTCCGCTTTGCTCCACAAGGTGGAGGTGCTGACCCCTGTACGTTGAATATTGGATTAGCAATCGAGATCTAGTCTTAAAATCTTTGTAATAACTACATATCATTGGAACTTACATGTCAAAGCACCCTCCACCTTGGCCCCTCCCCTGTCTCTTCCCCTTCCCCCCCCGCATTCGCTTTTTAATATAATTGGCGACGCGGTACTTGGCTTTCAACGGAAGCATAAGCTTCGGAATCGCCGGTATAGCCATATTACTAAGGTAATAGAGGGTATAAGTGGTTTGTTTAAGCAAAGTTATAAGGTATAAGGTAGTATTGGTTATAGAGTGAGTAATGATGTTGCGAGGTAATGAGAATTTGAGTAGAGGGTAAGGAGACTTGGAGTGGAGAGTGTGATGTCAAGGAGTTCGGGGGGAAGGGAACGACTCGACGGCAGCACTTTTATACCTAGCTATGAATAATGTATAAGTTTTCTGTAATTATGCTATGTTTCAGGGCCAGTTCATATCGTAGATGATCTGTTGATTCGGGCGGCAGGTTCCACGTGGGCGAGGATTCTGGCTATGGATAATAACTATATAAAATATTAATAATTTCAAAGCTGGGTTTGTGTATATCACTTCATGGATAATGCCTGTATTAACTTATCATAGCCGTGGTACACGGATTGACCAGTACCGTGTTTGGGAATAGCTGTCAAGTATTAGGATCGAATAAATTAGAACTAGTTTAAGATACATACTTATACTGGCTCTGTATGGGTTCTATTTCCCTCTGGGGTCGCAGGGCTAGCTGCGTACCCCTTATTCTATATATTTCCTTGATGTTCCTGGTTACCTAGGTCAGTGCATATCAATATATGAGGGAAACCCCAAATCAACCATTTCAAAGTTGCTAAAGGTGCCAGATACATGCCCACAGGACCATACTAACATTATTCGGAATATCTTTCTCCTCATCATATCCCTTCAACCTTAACCATCCTCTTTTCCACTCCATTCTCCGAAAACGCAATGGTTTGGGCGACAATTTGCATCCTTCGGTCCCAGAGGATATTTGATTTCGGCTTCCTCGCCGTAATGAGCCTCGGACATAGCTGGCGGTCTTTGGGCTTCGCATTCTTCCTATTGATACACCAATGCTTTAGGATTGGTGTTATACGCCATAACTCCATGCATACGCAGGAGGAGCTCAGCCAGGTATCATCTGTTGATCCTTTGTCCAGACCAGCTTCGACTTCAGGGAGTATAATCCGGTATATTCGAGCGCATAATAGCATTCTTCGACTTCGAGAAGTCACCCGTTATTCGTATACAGAAGAAACCAATTGAATTTGGAAGCTTTGTGTCTATTGAAGCCGTCCAAAGTGGTAGGACAAGGGAAATGAAGTGGTCATGATTTTGGGGTTGCCGGTGGGTATTCGAAATCGAGCTCCCTGTATTTTATTGATTGTTTTCTTGCAAAGAGCAATGATTCTTTTCTTTCTATATCCCCGCGCCACAAAGCCGTGGATGGAAGCTGGGAATTTAATAGATAACCCCACGATCCGGAGTGATCGAGTTACTTCTGTCTCCCGTTTTTACTCACTACCCACGAGTCCTTGCTCTTCGTTTTGCCTTCCACCCTCATATTCAAGGGATTTTCTTGGTCGAAACTGCGAGATACCCGGTACTAAACTTATAAAGGCCATATGATTGGGTTTACCTCCGATCTCATCATCGTCCGACTTTTGCCCCAGATGATCTATCCGGTTAATTTCGATTTTTTCCATAGTCAAAACCACCCTATAGCCGCAATCCCTTTAGCTTTTACTCTATAGGGTGGGTTTAAGATGTTTAGCGGTTTCGATACCGTGTTGGAAGAGTTGAATTCGTCGAATTTCGAAATCTCGAACGCTCTTGGTATCTGGCAATCGTATCCTAACACTCCTCCTTATATTGATCCAAGGCATCTTCCCCGCCCCATGACACCGGGTTTGGGGATAAAAAGAATTCTAGACGTGGGAGTAGCCGTAATATTTCGCTTGAACTGCATATTTTTTGTTCCCTACACCATATTCTTGCAATTCGCCCCGTGCTGGACCACATAACCATTTTCTCTAGGATGTCCCCCACATGCACCTCCGACATCCTTCAGGCTTAACATAGGGTAGACCTTGAACCATACCAACTGGGAGGATAGGAGTTTATCAAGCCCGTAGAATCCCAAAATACCAATGTTTGTACCACCAACTTCTACACCGTCATGCAATCCTTGATGTTCCTGGCTCCAATAAACCGATCCTGCAATGCGACTCGTCTTTCTCCCCACCCCACCCCACACTACTCCTGTAGGTTTGGGACTCCTGACACCCCGCCTGTGGCAATGATACAATACTTTTCGTCCGTGCCCCCATCGTTATCAGACTAAGTAGTATTCGAAAACGGCTGCCGCAGTTTATTATATAAAGTTATTTAACTTTATATTCGTAGTTCTAGGCTGGTCTGGTAGAACTCCGGACGGCTTTAGATAAGCCTACTCTGTAGATGTGGCACGTTTTGAACGGCGTCTGGGAACGAGACTAGTCTCTTAGCAAGAATAGTAGAGCGTGACAGTCGCGATAGCCTATGCCGAAATTCGATAAAAGCGTTTCCTCCTAAGCTCTGTTTTGACTGAAAAGTAACGCTAGGATTTATTTCTCCACGCTCCAGCCCAAAAGCCTGAAATGTTGTTCAAGCTCAAAACACCATTCAAGCTCCAAGCGTGCAAAGTGTCGAAAGCAATCAGATAATCCGAACTAGGATATGCAACTACGCGCATAAGCACATAGTTTATTCCAGCACTAACTACCTACTCTGCAGAATTATTAACCCGTTAGCTTGCTGGAGAATGCCCCGGAATGCTGAGGTAGTATTGTGTGTGCACCTCCGTAAAAATATATATCTAGGATCAAAAATGAGTATGGGTAACAAGCGTGCATACTGTGAGGGGATCACACCTACTAAGCTTCGATAGAATCTAGTAGATAGTTTCTAAAAAACAAACTACTAAGCTACTATAAAAGCTTCCGAAATACACAAAATGTCCGCGAGGCTGGGTGCTGCGGTTTTAATTGTAATCCAAGAGCCCTTCTGCCGCTTTGTTCTATGAATTTTGAGAATGGGTGCTCTGCTTCCGGAATCGATAGACCCGGAGGTCATGACTCGGCCGGCCGTGTTTCCCGAGAGGAGTCCAGGACAGACGGCTCTGAAACAGAGGGGTCCTGTCAACAGGTACCCGGCGGCTTCATTAACTGCATATAAATGTTCGATCGTTGATAACTCCGGCTGTTTCTTGGTTGAATAGTCTGATATTCCAGTGCTCCAAAGGCAGGTGTATAATCTTCGAATACTCCTCGAAGAACATCCAGACCAACAGGCTAAGTCGCTCCGACCTCTGCATCTGTCGGAATGGAGAATTCGATGTCTGTGTAGGCTTCATTATTCTCAATACGGCCATGTATATATATATAGTACTTCGCCGACCCATGCCTTTTCTTTGCCATGTTCTAATCCCCATTATATTTCTATACTTTTTGGGCACTCAATTATATTGGAATTTCGGAGCACCATCTCTATGAAAGTAACATATATGTATTGTATGGCTTTACTCCGACACGACGGTTTCGATCGGATGCGGTGAAAATTGTAAGAATATACTTCCCGTCTATTTGATTGTGGCTATAATATAAGACTGCTTTGTTAGTATAAATGCTCCAATTCAACGCCAGAGACAAAGGTTAACCAATACTTACCGGGGTAGTGGGCTTTGAGGCTCTTCCGCCTAGACGTCCCGGAACTGTCACTTGCCTTCCATATACAGCATCGCGTATTTTTGTTCCCGGAAGTGTTTCATTGGATTGAGAGCTTATAGAACATCAACCAGAAATACTCATCCCGTTCGGGTACAGTTTTCTGGTGAGGCCCTGCAGTAAAAGTAATGCTTGTGTATATGATCTCCGAAGTCGAGAAAGATAAAAAGTTGGAGCGCGAGATAATATAGAAAGTAAAAATAAAGGGCCGAAGCGGGGGCCACAATAGACTTGGGCTAATTGCTCGAAACGTCTCGAGGGGGTAGTTGTAATGCCATGTTGAAGCTGCCTGAATCTGAACACCCACCCGACCCACCCGACCATAAACTTTGGAAGGTGAGGTTACCCTTCCAGAGGCTAGCATCCCGACTGTAGCTGCTCCACTCCTTCGATAAAATTGTATATTATTACCAGTGAGAAACTTCAAAACGAACTCTTGAAAGTGGTAATTAAGGGTCACAATCCCGGCTGCGTCAAACTTCGGTTTGGGATTTGAAAAGAAGCTGAAGACACCCCATAATATAGGAGCGTGTTCTTGGGCGGACTCTTTTGATGCGAATGAAAGATATCTTGATAGGTTTATCTTTGCACTGGTGGCTGAGTCATAATATTTTGTGTTCAAGGGGCCAAAAGGTAATGCCGTCGGTGTGTCTTTTCGAAAATGATGTAAGTCTCCCTCGTCTCGATCCGTTGAAACAACGTGGAGTTTTTCTGTGTACAGAGGGCCAGTGAGGCTGTCAAATGGCATTTTTGTGAAGACACTTCCGAATAGAGCACGGAACTCCGGCACCAGCACCAACTCTGACTAAAATATATAATTATTAGCATAGTTAAATCTCGCAACTAGGTATGTGAACAGGAAACTTACTCAAGGAAGAGCTGTGGCTATCAACCCACTGCCCACGGAGGGTCCAAGAAAAAAACAAAGAAGGCCGAAAAGAAACCGAAGGAAATGAAAATAGTAAAACAATTGAACCATCTCCCGAACTATTTGCCTCTTCAACTCGACGACAGACTTGCGCACGGTATCATGGAAGGGGTCAGGCATTGTGTAATGCCATTCCCCTTCCCTTCGGTATTTCGGTCGGCATTTTGGCTAAGATTATGCACCTTAGCCACAAAACCCAAATCGATCTCTCTACCTCTATTTTGTAGGTAGTTGATATCGATAAGGTCTTTGACCCTATCTACTTGTTTCTGGAAATATTTCAAATCTTAAATTAGTTCGCGTATTTCGTTAAAGAGAAAAAATTTCGTACCATTTTCAACTCGACAGCGTATCCGTGACTGGCTCAGAAGTGAGTGACACCAGAAAGATGATTAATGGCCTAGGGCAGTTCCTAGAAAGATTTCCCAAGGAACTACGGGTGGCGTGAGTGGTTGTGAGCGTGGAGAGTACCCACCTGGCCATGCCAGAGTGTGGCAGGCCGGGGACTATTTGGGTTGATGGACGCGTCATTGAAGAGGGATAAGAACGAAAAAAGTCTCGGCGGCTCGATCATGATGATGAAAGAAACCCGGAGGTCAAGGAGTAAATAAGAGAGATTGAAAGGATGCGGGAGAAAGAAGAAAGAGACCTAGCTCTGGGAAACGAGAAGCTGATCTGAGAATTGTTCAAAGGGGAGGATAATACCTTTAGAGGTGGAAGGATAGAGGAAGGATGAAAGAGAAAGAAGAAGAAAGTGGGAAATGAGAAAAAGAGAGGAAAACAAGAAAGAATGTATTTATTTTAAAATAGTTTTTATATTACAGCCATTGCAGACAGGCTAGGTCTCGGGCCTGCAGGGGAGCGTCGATGGCCGGGCGAGGGAAAAAAAAACTTTGGTTGCTGAGGAACCATAGAAGAATTTATAGGCAAAAAGTGGTCTCAGCCTCGAGACCGGGCATCATGATGCAGGTTCAAAGATCTAAAAAAAAAAAGGTCCAGAAAGAGATATTTTTGATCCGAAAATTCAAATTAAGAAGAGTGAATTATTTTCACGGTTGAGTCCCGTCAACGGTACACTTGTGTATCCACGACTAATGCTTGCGTTTAGTTTCCTATGTAGACCTAGACCATTAGAGACCTTTGTTCAATAGGAATTAGTGATACTATCATGCATTCTAAACTGGACTCGAGGGCAGCAAGACATATAGTTTCTGAGTATTTTTTATTTGACTTTGTTGGAAAAGAAGATTGGAACTCGGACGTTGTGGGGAGATACTCTCGTAGACGATCGGATGTGCCCAAGCCGGGTAATAAAAAGCCCGACACAACGGAATATTATCCTGCAAGACCAGAGATTCAACGGTCGCCTCGAAGTGATATACTAAGTGAGAAGCAATCTAGTTTTTCGTATATTATTCCCCAAATCTAGCCGATGACACCATGTTGAATGAAAGAAAATCGTACAGGCACACTAATAATACTTAAGTACTTCGATAGGGAAGTTGTATTCATGAATTCATTCGATTGAAATATCCCTTACAACAGAGCAGCTGCATTCCTTCAACCGCCCACCGAAGTTACAATCCAGATAAGGCGAAAGGTATAGGACCCCGGGTCCGGGCGGTGGATATATAGTTCTGAAGCTCTGGGATGTCCATGTAGATACGTATTTTCTCAAAGGCTTAGCTTGTTGGCGGTGTTATTTTAATCCCCCGTGTAACGTTACATATGGATTTTCACGCACCTCCGAAGATATGCATCACAAAGGTGCACGAACTTTAATGGTAGTCTCGCGAGTACTTTCATAGTGGAACAGGTGTTGGAATTAACTAATTTAAATTTAGTCTAAGCTAAGGTGTGTGGCCACTAGATACAAAGAGGAGCTCAAGCACAGAGCGTGGCTATTGCTGCAAATTACGGAGAGCAGTCATCTATATACATCTAGTAAAATGGTCTATTTTATCTTCATTCTCCATATATACATATACCAATGAATCAGGACACCTGCTTGGGCCACACGGCAGCGCTGGCGTCTGGTTCCGAGACTATCTCAGTGGTACGGATAACTAAATGGTACTATTGCCCAAATAAGTTCAGCAGACCCAATCGCTCACTGGCACGGGATGGTCAGGAGGCTCTCGCTGGTATTGGTTAGTATGGCTTGTAATAGAGCAAGAGGGAGAGAATCAACCGGTTGCCCTTTCAAAAAGAGAAAACTACCACCGTTATGTTCGCCACTTTTCTCTCCTAGGCCAGCCTATCCCTCACTCCTCCCGGCAAGATAGACCTAGACCTATATCCACGAGGCATTACCCGTGGCTCAGTAGCTCTTCTCCACCCTAGCAACCACAGCACAATGGTATCTGGACAGGGTGACAGAAGGGTTCATGAACAAGAAGTCGGATGAAGTTGCTGTGAGCATCCTCTCCCTCCTAGCATGACATGGGTTGCTCTTCACATATCTCTATCCACTCAGATTCTCAATACCCCTGCCATGTTTTCCTTTGACTGTAGGGCCCCATGAGGTCACAGTGGACCCCGGTAGACTTCGTGTTCTTTGACTAGCCGGCCGGGTAGGTCTTTTTTAGTTCAGATTTCTTAGCTATGAGGTTCTCTCGTATCATTGTGCTTCCCGTGATTTCTTCTACCAGGAGCTGGTTCCTCAACACAGTTGAGGAGTCTGGCGACGAGACAAGAGCCGGTGAGGTTCTCTTATTAGGTGATGCCGTTGCCTGGGTTAAAATGCCTTCCGAAGCTTAAGACGAGTAGGTCCTCTAGCATAGGTATTTCAGCAAAGAGTGGTATTTGTCTCGTCGCCAGACTCCTCAGCTGGGAGTATGGCGACGAGACAAGAGTGGTATATACGAGACTAAAGTCTCATTTTGAGGACCCCTAGGACAGCTGATAGAGAATAAACGTGTTAGATATGTTCAGCTCGTACAACATTAATAGATAAAAATGATGTTTACCACGAGAATAACTGTTGGAGGGTGTGGTATCCATGTTGTTATTGCGTTTGCCACGAGCCAAGATTGACGGATAGATGGGAGGTTGAGAAGGGAAAAGAGCTTGATTTCGACTATTGAGGAAACGTGGTCCAACCAGTGACGAGGGAGGAATTTCTAGCCTTCCCGTGATATCTAGCTTGATCGAGAGGGATATTCGGAAGAAATACGTTGCTTGAAGTCTATAGAAATAAAAGGGGATAGCAAGACGAACAAGAGGGCGTTTAATTAGGGGAGGTGAGCGTACCTAGGTAGTTAAGGAAACGAGAAAGAGACACCGCTGATGCGAGAAAGGGATCGTGATTGGTGGTGCAGAATTAACGAGAATCAAAGCAAACCGGGAAAAAAGGAAAAGATTATTAGTATAGAGGCAGGTCAATAGGGAATTGCAAGAAGATGGAGATTGTACTTATACGTAGAGGTCTGGAGGTGTGTTGGTGGTGTTGAAGGGAGACTAGGGAATATGCCTTAGAAGGTATCGTATACTACCTTGTAGCCAATACTCTGAACTCGCACCCGTCGTGCCTCTAGACCAGTCAATACCTAGTACTTAACAATAGTACAAGCTACCCAGATAGCTCAAATATGTACGTTATCTGATCAATTTCGAGAGTAGATTAAACCATGTTAACCAATTATGTTAGGAGTATATAGGATCTTAAGATAATATTATCTCGGGTGTAAAGTAATTATAACTTATCTGATATATGGAATAGCCATATCATCATTGATAATTGGTACGATATCCGGCATAGGGATCGTACAGTCTACAGTCTACAGTCTACAGTCTAAATGTATATGTGAACAGCTGCATGAGGGGCACAGCGAGTAACAGTCATGCTAAATGACTGTACAAGCTGGCTACTCTATTTTTTTTTCTTTTTTCTCATTTTGGTTTTCAGTCAAAACCATAAAAACAGAATCAGAACTAACAAAAAACAGGTAAAAAAAAAAAAAAAAAAAAAAGATCAAAAAGAAATCAAAAAAAAGATCAAAAAAAAAATCAAAATCAAAATTGCGAACAATTTCCTCCTACCTCTCCCATAAGATCCTCGCTTTGCATGGTAGCATCCCCCCTCATAGTGATTTCGGCCCTATTCCTTGTTATTACGGAATACTTTAATCTCATATTTCCACTCTTCGTTCTCATCGACGCTAACGATCTTGTGGACGAAATTCCAGTTGTCTTCGTCGTCGTCGTTTTCTTGCTTCTTCGGAGGGGCATCCCCGCGTGCATTCCCTCGGGCAATATTTAGGATGAACTCTGGAACTGATTCAGTTTCCGAAGCGCCCTCTCCTTGCTCCTCGGCGCCCTTGGGGAGCCCCTTCGCAGGTGATTCTTGACGTGGGGGGGTCGGGACAAAAACAAGCTCTTCATCTGAGCTCCCCCATTCTGCGTCTTGATCCCGATAGTTTCCTGAGCTCTTCGGGCCTCTATCTAGGCAAGGCGAGCGTAGGTACAATTCCTCTCGCCGTTCTGGTCGATAAAACTTCTGAGTTCGGCTGAGCCAACCGTCTGGTTTGCCTTGTCGTTGCGCAAAGTTCTCTCGCTTGTATCTCGAAGAGAGACCTTTTCCCTTGAAAAGCCAATACATGCGTTCGTTTTCTGTCAAATCGGACAAGTTCGAGATAACACTGGAACCACTCGAAGCCCCTTCCTCCGCTCCTCGCTCCTTGATCTCGGCGAGCAATTCGGAGGACTCTTCGTTATCTTCGTCATCGTTGTCGTCAGAAGTTTCATCATACTCGTCGTCTCCGTCTTGGTGTTCACTATAATCGTGTTCAACCCTTTGTTCGTTACCATCTTTATCTTCGTAATATTCCTCTGAAATTTGTTCATCACCCTCGTGCTGGCTATTCTCATCCAGTTCTTCCTCCCCCCCGCTCTGCTCATCTTCCGCTCCTTCATCTTCCTCGAAGCTTATGGTAGCTTTATTGCACTTTTGACGCTTTGGTTTCCCGCCTTCCTCCTCAATGGCTACGGCATGCGCAAATTGGACCAAAGGTTGCTCACTATCGTTAAATTCTTGGCTGTTTACCCATTGTAGTGCGTATTCACTGGCCTCCCTCTTCCGCTTTACTATCTTGGGGCGTGGAGAGAAGAAATACTTGTCCATCGGATTGGGTGTTTCTTCGACTTGCTCCCTAGTAGGTGGTGCGAATGGCGTCAAAACTTTTGGCATTCTAGTCTTTTTCTTGCGTTCGACCAATCGGCAGACTTCGGACCAAGGTGTGATGTTTGCTTCGTCGTCAAGAGGGGGACTGGATGGGATATTCTCAATTGGGGATTCGGTGACAGAGTCGACTAATTTTAAAGAGCAGTTAGTTAAGAATCCAGGAATTCAGTAGGTGATGAGGCTTACTTTTGACGGTTGAAGGCATTTTGTCTATTTTGGAATGTTCGGTTTTCGTTAAGAAGTGGTACGATTTTCAGTTTGGTGGGCGGACAAAATTGGCTTTGTCGGCGGTGGTGACAGAATAGTATCTGTAAGTAAAAGGAATTGACTGAGGATATGTGCTGACAGTCTTGACGATACTGAAGCTTTGTTGAAAATCTAGACGGAGTCCAAATTGATTGTATCTGTTTTCACTGGGGCCTAGGGAAAACTGATAGTGGTGTTCGAGTAGATAGTACGACTGTTCTTTGGTGAGGCTGTCTATGGCCAAGTATTACTAAGAACAGTGTCTAAGTCTGTTGGTTGACGGCGTTTGTAGTATGGTTATCGACTTTCTCCGGAGCCTGAAGAAAGAGACGATAGTGCTTTGAGGAGGTTAAAAAATCGTCGAGATTCGTTTTACTGAGAGGAGGTAAAATGAAGTAAGTGTTCAGGGACAAGACTATCTATGGTCTAGTCTCACTGAGAACGGTGTTCCGATATATGAATAGACCGAGTCTGATTCAATCGTAGTGAATTTCTGTAAGGAGCAGAGGAAGCTGATGCTGGTGCTAATCGCGTTGGAGATTTTGTATCGGAGCGGCAGGTAGCTAGCTTTTGGTGGGGATACAAAAGCAAGTTGACGGAAGTGAGAATGGAAAAGACCGAGTCTATATCCAATTGACGTATCGGGTTTCTCTAGAACAGACAGGACGTTGAAGCTGTTGTAGAGAGGGTGGTGTTATTGCAAAGATGTAGAAGAAGTTCAAACTAACGGGGACAGTTTGCTTGAACGGCGACTAAATGGTTGCTTGGTACGGTTGAAGCTTAATCTGAAGGGAGAACGCGAGGACTAGGAGGATACTAGTCTTCCTGAGAGAGAGGTCACGAAAAGGCGCTGAGATGTTATTCGAGGGGAGAACAAGAGCTGGAGGTAGATTGCTCTAACGTTAAATTTTCGTTGCTAATGGAGGGGTCCAATCGCGAACGGAAAACTATCGGTTCGAACAAGTAAGGAAGGCTCAATACGCAAGATACAAAGGACAGAGGATAATCAATCGAGAGGTAGGGAGTATCAATTGACTGATCGATGGGGTTAGTTACGAAGTTGAAGCGGTGAAGTCGAGATCGAAGGTGGAGGGTGATAGTAAAGACGTAGGTGATGACGATGGTTGTTGGTGGTTGGAAAGAGGAGTTGGGAGCTGGTGGGAGTTGTCTGATATTGAGGAAGGAAGACAGTTTGAGGGCTGCAATTGAAGTGTAAAATTGCCGTGATATTCGCTGATACTAGAGGCCCACTACACTATAGATACTACAATACTATTCCATCAGAACGCTGACACGGAATATAGACTTCTATGATACAATTATCCTCATTACATGACACTATACGAGATGTCATGGAATTGCAATCAAAGCGATCGATATGTATCGATATATAGAGGAAACACACTACCCGATATTAGTCCATCAGCCGGAAAACTTTTGGTTCGGATAGCTAGCTTTTGCTTTGGGAAAACTATACTGATACTAATATACATGGCCACAGTTTTGAACAATCGGTTTTATGATATGATACCCCAGTCGTCGAACAAGTTTTACTGCTAATTGTTATATAGTTCGGATACCTCATTGCATTGGAGTCAGGGGTTACAGGAGAAAAGGTAGTACGACTACAGAACCCAGAGCCTATATACATGCAATACAAAATTAGCCCATGGCAGCTTCCAAAGAACATCCAGATACTATACTTAGATCGGTGAAAGAGAGCTATGTTTATATATAAATGGCTATTCTTATACTCGAGTACACATACACGAAAAGGCTACAGGTTAACAAGAAAGCCATAATATGATAGTACGTATTTCAGAAGCTAGCTGATCACGTTTGTGACGTCTATGAGCTCGCGAGACTCTATACTAAGATTTACTCATAGTCTGTAAATACAAAGATTACCGCAGTGCTAGTGGGCTATCTAAGAAAATCATGTTCCAATTGCACGCCTTCTCTATCTATCCCATCCCGCCACTAGCTAATATAATCGAGCAGAAGAAACTACCACCCTCCCAAAGTTGCAACTGGCTCCATATGCAAAAGCTTCCGCAGCTGCCACGGAAGAATATTATTCCCCTCGAACTCCAACCAATCCTCCGTCTTATAAATAGCCAAAGCAAAATGATTGTGCGGATCCTCAGGGCATTCTCTAGCTACCAATAATATTCCATTAGGATTATGTCCTCTCTCGAGGGGATGCAAGTCCCCGATACGTTTTCCATTCAACAAGAAAGCGTAGTTATCATCAATGATAGATACAACGTGATCCTTCCCGTCGTCAGGTTCTTGGATTGTAATCGTCATTTTATGGTTGCTGGCTTTCCATGGGATGTTTTGAAGGATTCTTGGCGAGCAAGGTGCTGCTTCGAAGATGTCGTGACCGCTGTGCGGAAGTGTGATCTCCGTGATCTTTTCGGAGTTATAAAAAACGATACTTTTGTTCTTGCATAGGTTGATGATGCGAGCGACTTGTACGACCATTTTGATCAAATATGCAAACAAGCGATCTCGTATACGATATGTTTCCTTGGAAGGGTTATGAAGTGTTTTGGGCTGACAATTAATTAGGTATTCTAATTTGCGTGCAGAATCTGATCTAATTATCTAACTAACGAATGATTAGTAAGTTTAGACTTCTCTAAAGATATCAATCATAGTAAGGATTTGAAACCTACGGACTAGAATAACTCAGGAATAGAATGCGAAACTCGAGATATACCAGGCTTACAAGCAACTCAAAGGTCGTGTTGTAATTTTGAAAAGGATGAAGACTGAAATAATTTACAGCTGTGCAGACTCTCATATGCGGCCCCGTCATTATTTATATCCCAATACTCCCGACTGCCCCGCTATCCGATAACCCCAATGACAAAAAGTACAAAGCAAATACCCCTCACCAAGCCACCGACTTCGACCAAAAATCCACATTTCGAGCTGAATTATCCAATTTCCAGAGCTTTCGCATGGGTTAACGGGTTGCGACAGATAGCCGCTAAGCATGCAGGGGTACTAATTAGGAAAGTATAGGCTAGCGATCCTATCCACTACCCTTTCTGTAGACGCTCGACAGATTTCCGACCGGGATCCAACTATCGATCAGTCAAATCATCCGAACGGTAATGGGGAATTCGTTCGGGCCCGGGAGTGAAAGGGATTTAACCCAAAATCAAATGTGATTTCGATTCGAAGTGAAGTAGATACCACATTCTTATGAACATGGAAATTCGAAGAGAAGAACTAGCAGGAACCGAAGTCCACACAAAGTGAAAAAGCATGTATATCAATAAAGAGGCTAACAATAAGAAGCTTGAACGCAGTTTTCCATCCGAAGTTGCTGTGCGTGCGACGCTCTTCATGGTATAATTACATATGATATGAACATTAATGAATTCGGATATGGTGCCCCAGGCCATGACTCTCCAATCCACAAACTTCCAACTCCAATGACGTCTATATAACCGGTTATCAGAGCTCCGATAGATTGGCGAGTTGAATAGTTACAGATATAGGAGGGCACTTCTGGTTCTCAATTTATAAGAAGTCTAGGAGTTTCTGGCATTCAATATCGCATAATGTGGTCGGAGACGACGTTTAAGCGATATACTATCACGACCTATGTCGCATTTCCTAAATTTCGGAGGTTTTTAGGTTTGTAGAAAGTCTTAGCTAGCAAATTTATCTCTATTAGGTGGATATTGATGAAGGGCAAATTCTTTTCTTAAGCAGAAGAATTATTCAAACTAATATATCGTGAACGCCGCAAGTAATTGCACTATAGAATAGGCAGCTGCAAAACTCCGCCCCCTAGAAAAGATATAAGTACAGTAGGAAAAATAATGCGAGAGGACACTCGGGGAAGCTGTAGGAGGCTTGAAGGTTCTACCAAGGTAGATGAAATATGTTGTATTGCGGGATCTCTTCTAGGCCTTCGACAATCCGAACGTAACTTAAACACTCCCTCACTCGATATATCCCCGACAAGTATAGATAATATGTACGCCTCGATCTCCTGCCGCCTGCCGCCTTATATCAATATGTACGTGTGCGTGTATGTATGTGTACGTGAGTGAGTGTGTAAACTCTCTCCTCAACCTCTCACCACCAAATATATATAAAGTCCTCGTCCTTTTTTCCGCCTTGCCTGCCCTTCCCCGCCTCCTACAAGAGCCAAAAAACCCTCTCTGTCTCCCTCTCCCAAATAAGATACACACCAGCTGGAGCCACCAACACCGTGCCATACCACCTTTCAGTGATTAAACGGCCAGTTCCCCCCCTCCCCCCCTAATCTATCGTCTTGTTGCCCTCTGCAATTCCCCCGCCATCCCCGACCCCACACCCCAACCCGCTGAACAGACCCGTCGCCTTTTTTCGCGTCCCCCCCGCCGAGAGGTCAATTCCGCATTATCACCGGTGCCCTCCCCTTCATCATCGACGGAGGGACGCTTTCTTTTCTCGCCCTGGCAAGGGACATCTGCCAGCCCATTTGGCACCCCTCCCTCCTTTCTTAACCTCCAAACGCGGGTCAGTCTCCCCCCCTCGGGGTGCTGGTCCCTCGAGAACATTTTGTAATCCTCGACAGCTCCATTCCCGAGGTACCTGATTTGGATCGTGTGCCTGTGGACCCACTCCGTAGATGGAGTAGGTCTACTGGCATGTACCTCGGAGTTTTCGGTGAAGGCGGTCGTTGTGGAGGCTCGAGGACGGGCAGCGGGGTTTTGAGGGGGGATAGGAGGGAGTTGGGAAGTGAAGCAGTGGGTGGCGACTCGCGTCTCATATAGACAGTTCCAGTAGTGGTCCGAACTTTGTCACCATTGACTCGTACGGCTGTTTTGAGGAAAGAACGCGTTAGCCTCTGTTGCTAGTTGAGGTTTACCAAAAACGTAACATAAATAAAGGATATAAAGACAAATAAATAAATAGGTAGGTACTTACGCCACTCCTGGTTTTCCATCAAGTAGTGGAGGCGAGCCGCCGTTCCCGCTGGCGGGCCCGTTGCCATTTTTTGTCTCTTCGTTGGGCGACGGCGCGGGTACCTGGGGTTAGTATCGACGTCACTTTCGTCGTCGCTTTGTACTTTGGGGCCAGGGATGGGTAGGGATCGCTTTTCCCCCCTCTTCTTGTTCTCGGCTGCCCTCAGCAGCTTCTGCCGCCCCGCCGCTTGGGAGAACATTTCCCAGTGTAACAACCTCACCTCCACCCCGGCCCCCGACTCTGGGTCCAAGAACATTTCCCTTAGATGGGGGAATGTTTCGTGGACCTCGCTAGTTGTGGGGACCGGGGTCTTCTTTCGACTTTCCTCCTTCTCATACTCACTGTCTTCGGAGCCGAGGTTGACGGGGACGTGGGTGGGGGGAGCGGCGGGTTTGGCCGGGGCGGAGGCAAGCCTTCTGGAACTCCGAAGGGGGCGGCTGTTGGGGGCCGCTGCTGCTGTGGTAGCTGTAGTAGTAAGAGGAGGAGGGGCGGCACATATGGTCTTCCTCTTCTTCGTGGTGGTGGGGGTGATAGTGGTAGTGGTAGCGGCGGTGGAGATAGCGGTGGTAGTAGCACCAGCGGCAGTAGCAGCTCTAATCGCTGCGGCTCTACCTCTCGTGAGTCGTGTTTGGGCCATTGCAACCCCCATTGTGCTGTTAGCAATTTTTTTCGGCATTGCTATAGGCGTAGAAGCGTTTGTGGAATAATAGAGTAGACTAAGGTTGAAGCGGGTGAAGGTACAATAGAATAAGAGTAAAATGATAGGAGATTAATAGGATAGTAATAACGTGATAATTGATCAATTGACAGAACAAGAACGAGTTTGTGATGTTTCAGAAGGAGAATATCGTGAGATAGAATAAAGTGGCCTCCTAAGATAGAGTAAACCGTGTAAAAAGTAGTATTTCAATTAGTGTGATTCCCAGCTTTGCAATGTGATCGTATAGCTTGGAAGTCGTGGAAGCTGTGGAAGCCGTAGAAACTGTAAAGTTAATTGTAATGGTGGAAGCTATGGAATTTTATAAAGTTATAGAAGTTGTGGAAGTCTGGAAATCGCGGAAGCTTGGAAGTCGCAGTATTAGGAGATCGTTATTTTGGGAGTTGGAAAATTGGGAAATCGTGGAAGCAAAAAATCGAAGTAGTGGAAGTGCGAAGGGGTTGAAGAAAGAAGGGAGGGAGGGAGGGGGAAGAGTAAAAGATACATGAGGAAGGGTTGTTTTAATAGGCCGTTGCTGAGCGAAATCAATGTCCTCCAGAAGAAATACAATGGTACCATATGGTATGAATATATATATTTCCCTCGCCACCCCCCAATAGACCTCGGCTGGTTTCGTTGGTACATGATGAACTTGATCCTTTATGTGCTAATTGCTATTTTCTTTGAGGACTATAAAGACGCGAAATAAAACACGGCGTATCTGTAAGGAACTAAACTACGGTATCCCAGTATTCGGGCTAGCGCTTCATCCTCGACTATAGCAGAATTGGTACTCTTGCTATGAAACTACATCTGGAGTAAATTTGCAGCAGCGAGATCTAGCTAACGGAATTCAATCAGACCCCTCCGGATACCCCTATATACTATCCCTAGCTTTCTTAGAAGAAAAGTCGTTTTTACAGATACTCAAAGGCTGTAAGAAAAGTATGTTTATATTGTTCATCGACCTGCCTGTGAGTTTGTTTGCAACAGCGCACTTCAGATATGCGTTGGTAGACCAAAATCCAACAGATACAAATTCTCGTGGAACGGTCACGTGATAAATCACAGAAGCCGCTTTTGTGGAGGTCAAGGCTTCTGACCGCCCGCGCCCGGTCCCACTTTACGACTGCACAGATCGGATATTTCAAGTTATATCCTAGAAAGCAAAGCCTCGAATATGTTCTAGTCTCCATGTAGAGGCTACCTTTCAACTTGATTTTGTCTCATTTCCTATATAAAACAATATACCGTTCCCTCCATATTCATGTTACAGTGCTGGAAAACCCGTGGGGAAAAACCAGCACCAAGGGAAGTACAATCTAAAACATCCAATCAATGGCTTCTAGTTACGAGACTGCAAAAAAAGATTGCGGTCTAGGAACATATTAAGACCATCACTTAATAATCTTCTCCACGACTCAAGATTTCTTTGTGGCTCTCCCTCAGAATAAGAGTCTATCGTCGTCATCAGCATTCGGACCATCGCCGTCATATAGAGGTACGAACTTACATGCTCGAACTGTGCGGAATATGAACCCTCAATATCTGTCAAAGGTTTGTAGGCCTCGACAATACCGTGTTGAACGAGACAATTCATCTACAACTATGTTAGAGAGGCAAGATATAAACTAATGTTTTCGTATGCTTCACTCACGCCTGCGAGGTAGCGATCTAGACCTAGTCGGTCAAGATATCGACGACAAAACACGATCGTACTGAAGTTCTCCCTAATGGTCTTATGCAGTCGTTTAGCAGACGCAAGAGGAAGCGATGTTGTTAATGGGGCATCGTGGTTAAGTCCATAACCATAAATCCCGACCTAATACACTGTCAGAAAGGCTTTAAACATTGGTTAATTAAATATGGGTGCATACGTCGTCACGGGTATAGCCGCGACCGGTGGACCCAAAAGTCTCGATGGCGAATATTTCGCCCTCTTCCATTTTGGTTTGATCCGAGTTCTTCACAAATGGAATCGATTTCCCACCATGAATATGCCAGTGTTTGATGTCATGCGCTGTGAGATTTCGGACTGGCTTGACGGGGTAGGTTTTTCCACGGATCTCGACCTCCCAGCTTTCCATTGCTTCCTGGATAGCAGCACTAACATCCGAGATACGTACATCGATACCAGCAGTCTGTTATAATCTTGTTAGCGATTGTATGGCTAATACAAGAGTCAGGAGGTGTTACCTTGACCCCAGTGTTAGTTGCATCCTTGACCGCGGCTAAAAGGTCATCGTACGTAGGGTCAAAAGCCATAGTAAAGGCGCTGTCGACGATCCAGCCGTTAATGTGAACACCAAAATCGACCGTCATGACATCCTGATGCTGTACTACAACCCCCTTCCCAGGACTCGGCGTATAGTGGGCGACTTCATGGTTAAGGCAGATGCCAGTAGGGAAGCCCATTCCGCCTTTAAGACTGTCCCCTGTTTCTAACCCTGGGTGGCCTAAAAGCGCTCTAACACTATCTTCGATCCCCTCTGCGATCTCCAAGGTACTATGACCAGGTTTGACGTTTTCTCGGACCCAACGACGGGTCTGCCGGTGAACCTCGGCCGCCTTGCGGTAAGTTTGTAGGAATTCCCCGTCTTCCGCGTTAAATTGTAGACGAGCCGTATGGCGTTCCTCAGCGGTTTTCGTCCGGATTTTGGTATAGTGCTGGACTTCTCCTTCAGGATACTCCCCGGTCGGGAAAAGCTCGGTCAACGGAATCCTGGGGGGATTGGATTGCTTCTTAGCCCCGGACACCGTCTTCTTCTTCTTCTTCTTTGACTTTTTCTTCTTCTTCTTTGCGCTAGTGCTTTCGGAAGGTAATTGATTTTCAGTGGAGATGATAGTCACTTCACCGTGGGCGTCGTCGTCGTCGTCGCTGTCATCCTCATTTACCACATCTCCGAGACAGCCATCTCCGTCTCGAGAGTTATGGGAGCCCCGCGGCTCGCCGCCATCACGACAGGCTCCATTCGAGTTCGATGAATCGCCTAAGCAAAATTAGATTGGGAATCCAAGGTCCAAAACCAAGCGAAACAGGCTTTTGTTCACATACCATGATCATTGCGATGAGGTTCGTTTTCTGGAGTTTTGGAACCCATTCCGACATTTACAGACTAATTACTTATTCAGGTTCAGCGCTCCGTTAAACAGGAGTGGGTAGTTTCGACGATTTGGATTTAGGCGTTCTTCGTAGCGATTTTGATATCTTGTGTAGTTGGAAAAATTGTAGGAGCTTGGAAGGATCTAGCTGAGAAACCGTCGACGTCCCCGCGTGTGCCGGTCTCCATCTGCCGATCACGTGTTGGCTCGAGTCGTACAGTTGGATTTCCGATTTAGGAAACTTGGCAATACAAAACATAATGTGTTGCGTCTGTCCCCAACACACAATAGTCTGGCTAGTTACAGGACGGGATGGAGACTTGGAGGCCGATACTCCCCGAACATCAGGAGCAATATATACATACTATTTAATATCCATTGAAAGATACATACTAGTGGAGTATAGAACAATCTAGCAGAATCACACCCGTTGGTACGTTAATTGCGAAAAATTATATCAATAGCGAGGCCTACCCGAAGATCTATTCGACGAATACTTCATATCAACAGTTTCCACCTGCACCGCGCGTAGCGTTGAAGTATACTAGTCCCGTATTGCGGTTTTCCTCCTATAATTTAGAGCTAAATTTACTCCCATTTAATAGTAGTTAAACTCATGAACGATATCATGATCACTAATTTTATGTTAATTATATCAGACTATACATTTCCCGACCTGCAAGATCTGTCAATCTAAGATTTTAGTGGCTCAAAGCTAAGACGCCAAGCCGGATCCTGAACTGCGTCGAAATAACAGCCGGCTTCGTTGTTGCTTAGCCGTCGGGTTCACTTTTAAAACTCTCAGGTGCTGGGATCAGAGTTGCTTAGAAAGGCTTGTCTTCCGCCCAGAACCTTCGGAAAAGGCTTGCGATTTTAAAAAGCTTGAGAATATTACACCCTCCGTCATTGACCATTCTAAACGTGACATTTCCGTTATGGATCCAGACCAGCACCTATACCTGGTTCCAGTTGAAACGGTGAGGCCAAGGGTTCTTTGGGTCTGGAAAACATGATCCGCATGTTCCTGACAGCAATATCATAAACGTTATAAACCTGCCCGCGACACTATTGGCATATCCTTGATATTTTGAGAACCCAAAATTTTCGAATCTAAATAATGAAGGAGCTTATTTTCCTTCGTTTCAGCACCCTCTCAAGGAAATGTGGCGAAACGCCGGCTCCACGGGGAAATGACCGATGCTGTAGTCCTTTTCACACGTATTCTCCCGGTTTATCCATGAAAATCGGCGTGGATTACGTCCGGGATGGCAGCCCCGGTCTCCCCACTATATATTTAGTTCTGTTCCAACCTCTTCTTCCACTCACTAGGGAAAGCAGACCGACTTTCCGAATTTCAAAACACATCTTCATTTCAGGCAGGGGGGACGACCAACCCGAGAGAATGAACATCGCGATGGCACCAAAGAACAGAGCCACAATATAATCGAGCATCGCGAATGTTGGATCTAGAATATATAAATACTTTCGCACTCCTCCTTACCATGGAGCACGTTTTCTTAATTCCCCGTCATATCCATCCAAACTAGATCCCATTTGCTTCATAGAGTAGATTATAGAATACACCATCCGCAAAGATGCTTGCCCAAACCGCTCTTCTCGCCGCTGCCGCGCTCCTCCCTCTCTCATTCGCCCAAATCTCTGAAGATTTCGAAAACGGATGGGATCAAAGCAAATGGTCAATCTATGCACCTGATTGTAACCAGGGAGGTAGTGTCAGCCTCGATAGCTCTACTGCCCACAGCGGTAGCAATTCGATCAAGGTTTCCGGAGCTGGCGGCTACTGCGGACATATCTTTGTCGGCACAAAGCAAGTCCCTGCTGGTGATGTTTACGTCAGGGCCTGGATGTATGCTACCTTACCCCTAAATTTACAAAAAAGGTTTCGAAATTTCTAATTCTCGTGGAATGGATGCTAACGAAAATGATTATACAGTAAGGCTTCCAAAGCTCTCACTAGCAGCCATGTTACCTTCATCACTATGCCCGATTCTTCTCTAGGCACCAACAAGCACCTTCGTATTGGTGGTCAGAACTCAATTTTGATGTATAATCGTGAGACCGATGACGCCACCCTTCCGGATCTCTCTCCTCAAGGTGTCGCTGCTTCCACCGCCCTCCCAACCGGCAGCTTTCAGTGTTTCGAATACCACATCGGATCTGATGGCACCATCGAGACGTGGCTGAATGGCAATGCCATTTCCGCTCTGACCGTCGGACCTGGAATTACCAACCCCAACGGCCAGCAATGGGTGAGGTCTAGCTACAGCCCCAAGCTGACCGGTATTTACTTCGGTTGGGAATCTTACGGTGGAGATACCAACACCTTCTGGTATGACGATATCGTCATTGGCTCCAGCAGGGTTGGATGCAGCGGGAGCCAGCCAACTACTACTGCCAGAACTACCACAACCACCACCGCCAGAACAACCACTCCTGTTACAACCACTAGGACTACCACACCAGTGACTACCACAAGGACGACTACTCCAGTTACCACTATAAGAACAACTACTCCGGTCACCACTCCATCCACCACAACTACTGCCAGCTCACCCGCTCAATCGTAAGTTTTGTCCTTATTTTACCTTACATCAATACGAGAGTAGCAGCTAACGATCTTGCAGACAATGGGGACAGTGCGGCGGTGTCGGCTGGACAGGCCCAACCACTTGTGTCAGCGGAACCACATGCCAGGCCTTAAACCCTTACTATTCTCAGTGCTTGTAAAGAAAAGGAGACAGGCCTGCTAGAATCCCCCACTATGTAAATATTGACGATTGATCTACAAGGGAGAGATATGCTTCTTTCTCGTACATAACTACTATGGAGTTTTGATAACTTCTGTATATAGCTATAGCTATTTGCTATTTGATATATTAAATCGCTTGGATATCTGCGTAATTTCCCTGGTAAAAGTCACGATCTATAAGTCTAGACCGTTGTACGACCCTAAGGAGGCTAAATTCAGTGAGTATCTTGTAGACGGACTTGTCTACTAGTACTCGCCAATGTAGAGATCCGGAAACCTAGGGTATTTCAGCTACGTATCAAAACGGGTCAATGAAGGTGTATCTCGGTTCACAGATATTTCATGGGGCGGAGTTGGCCCGCGACTATCAGAATAGAGCTACTCCACATCTAGGTACCCTTATCACCTCTAGACCTGAATATACGTGTTATTGCACATGATTATTTTACGATTTTACAATTCAGGCATGCATGGCCCTTTTACGTCACGCCAAGTTTTGTACTGCAGTACCCGTATGCTGGCCGTATGCGCGATTGTGGATATTTCCCGTTCTCTGTTTGTTTGTCTACGATCCCATGTACATGTTCATATGCGACATTTATGCACTAAGACCGTAAAACGGAAATCCAATCCACACACACCTGGTCTCGTTCCCAGCACACACCTAAGAAGTCTAAGAAAAGAAGTCTGCAATATACTACCGTATCAAAATACCTCCAGAAGTCTAGGTATTTATCATAATATCATCACATGATATTTTTGTGAGTTAATACGCTATTTTCCGCGCAATATCATTATATTAGGGATATTGTCTGTTATTATTATATCAGGCCGAGGATGTTGAACGGGGTTGCCAAGTTTGAAGTGAACAAAGTACTGGTGTTTAATAAAATGGGAAGCATGTTAAAAATTCAAATTTATTCAGGTTGTGGCCGACTATTACCTTTTTCATTTACAGAACATTGGAATTGCAAAAAAATATCGGGGTAGCGGCAAATATGTGATTCAACCTAATACAGCGCTAGCTCTGGCAGACCTCCGAGAGCTCACTACATGTGGCTATACTCTTTCCCGTACCAACTAATTAGGAGAGGTGCTTACTTTGTAGAGCTCTAGATATCGATTAAGAGCGCGTTAAATTGGAAGACGCTATTTTCCCGAGCTCACCACTCGGAATAGGGTTCTTATTTCTATAGAAATCTCAGAAGACAATAATTGCGAAGGTTCTTTCTGAATTGAGGTAAAATAGGGTAATTCTACCGTTATCGCGAACAATGCATTCCTTACGGTAGTTTAATATCTAATAACACCCTATTTCCTTCTTAATAAATAGTAACATATAGTAGTCCCGTATTGTCTCGTATGTCATGGTAGATAGAAATGGAATCTAAAACGTCAACTTTCTTGTTGAGATTAGAGTTCCAGAATACCTTCCCCTATATGGCGCTCTACCTGGTTCAATGAATCCCCTTCCATCAACTCGAATTTGTCCCCGACAAGTCTTCGACCCGGAGCCAACGGTAAACGTCCAACTGCCTACATCGGGTAGATATACATTCGCAAGCAACCCGCTTCTTGCATTGAACCCGCTCAATTGGTTCGCCGCGGCGTACCTAGTGTCTATTGTATTCGTGTAAGTGCTTCCACTTCGAGTTTGATAAACATAATCCAAGCGCGACTGTCCGAACCGCCCGTTTGCCAAAGTATATAAATAGCGATTGGTGAAGTATCTAATAGATCCAGCTACAGGACTTGCGGCGGGGCTACCAACGCTTATGAAGAAATCAAGGAGATTTCTCCCATTTTTTGTTGTAGTAGATATTGGTGATGTGACGACAATGTTCCCACTGACGATCCAGTTTTGCCAATTGCCCTGGTTCCGACCATCAATCGTAACCCGATAAATAAGTGCATTGACGGTTATTGCTCTTTTCTCGAGCTGGTCTGAGCCCTCTGTGGTGCTGTAGCGTCTGCGTAGGGCTTCGATGTCTCGTGCGTGAAGAATATCCTCGAGGCCCTCGAGGCTTGAGGTTTCGTTGAAAGAAAGCCCAGAGAAGATATCTTCGTCTTGGGAGGTCTGTGGAACGACTACTCCATTAACAGCTAATAGGAGGTAGCTCAAGATGTAGAAGATGCATAGGCGCATTTTGAGGCTCGTCGCTATACTATGATATAAAATTTTATTAAAGCCGATCAGTGAATCGTAGTACCTGTATGCCTGAGGCTCCAGGATGAAATCACCAACCCTCTTCCACTAGGATATCTGCCCCTATAAATACTCAGCTTCTTTCCCTTCCATGGAGTTTATTTTCCACCACTTGGGAGCTGAACAAAACCGTGCGCAACACGATTGCATAGATCGAGGCAAAAATTTCGGTTGAAGATTGGAGGCGTATTTCAGCCGCAAAGGCGTTCTCATAGCTTTTGTAATGAACCAATCCAGTACAATAACCGACCTCCAAATACCAGGGGTTAATTGATTCAAGCAACAATACGAAAACGACCGAAAACTTTCAATTGCGTGACCGTCGACCTTTGCAAATTCGGTTGGCAATCGTCAACCGAGGGTTGCAAACTCTCCGTGCGCGGATGGGGACTACGCCGGTGGCTGGAAGCAACGCCGCTATATAGTTAATTCATTGACGAAACGCCCAATCTAAACTAAGTAGATAAATAGATAAATCGGTTATCAGCTCATCTCCAACGAGACCACTCATCTCTGAATCCAGGCTCCGATACTTCAAGAGTGATCTGGAGCCAAGGCGGATGCGGGCTCAGATCTTCTTAGAACTTTCTGTGATATATACGTAAAAGTTTTTGTCTTTTCCAAATTGCTCTAATGGGTGTAGATTGCACCTTGAGACATCAAGCGAGAATTTCAGCCGTTAGATATTCCTCGACAATCGTTATAGGATAAAGCCGATATACCCCGGCGAGACAAGATACACTCTACCGGCGTTATACTTAGCATATTGTATTCAAAGGCAAACACATCGGCTCAATACAAAGCTATCGGCTTAGCCAGTTTCATGGCAGTGTTTCGATAAAAAACGGCATCGCATGAGGTCGCAATATGCAATTGCGCAAACGGCCACCCCCATGAAGTATCACTATTAACAATTTCTTACATGATTGTTTTTCAAGCTCGTCAATTTTCCAATCGCCTCGGTGTCAGGTAATTCTCAACCACCGTGATTCAACCTCAGCTTGTGTTGGCTGACCTTACTAGTTGCACTTCAGCTTTTAATGTGTCTGGGTACAAAGCCAGTTCAGCTCAATTGATCAATTGTGCCAGTAAATTTTAAAATGATATTACGATGATGATTCACCAGCTATCTAACTAGAAGCTTCAATAAATTAATTCTACGGATACAAAATGTGTCTCGACAGCTTATAGTATTGCTACGGAAGCATGACCAAGGCTGACCAAGATCAAATCCACATTAATTGCTTGGAAATACACAAGCTTCAAAGCGACTGCACAAGCCTGCAGGGCTGGGTCCTCGTAGGGGATTAGTCAAGTCAACTGCCTGATTACTCTGCATGCCTCGTTAAAGTATAACATGTAGCTTAAATACACTTTTCTAGGATAATTCCTCCCGAGATCTCATTGGTTTCGGATGAATCATCAAGTCTCAGTATTCCACCTTCCAAGAAACCGTACCAATTATACCATGGAAATAATTTGACAACCTGTCCGTACGAAAGATACGGCACAATATTCAATGGTATAGAAACGAAACGGATGCTGGCCCGTGACACATGCGCGCATATGCGCAATCCTTGGGTAACAAACATTTTTGGGCCCGAAATATTAATGGACATGGAGCACATGAAGGGAGCGTGCGGAGGCAACCATAACCCGGCCATTCACATTAGAATAGCCGCTCCACTAGTGCCAATATTGAAACTTCATGATGCCTTATGTCCAATATCGCGACAATCAACATGGGACCGGCCGTTGCTGCATACGCTTTGACCTTCTGAGTTCCATTGTCTGCAGTAACAGGGCCACCGTGCAACCCAAGACCCGACACAAGCTTTGGCCAACCGAAAGGCTGTGGAACAACCCCAAAGGGGAAGTACAACATCTCCAACATTGCAACACTATCCCGAAAGTGCGGAAACCTCTCTAAAATTGCTTACCACCCCGGATGCCAAGGCATATTTTGAAGAAAAAAAGAACTAGATGAAAATTAAACTACCCACGAGCTCAGTCCTGCATGTCTCAAGATATGGATTTTACGGAGTTGGAATTCCTCCAGTTTGAACCCATATCAACGTGGCCAACGCAAGCAATTGGTCCGGCTTATGCAGTCAACAGTCGACATGAGGGTTAGCTTGCTAACATGGGACAGGATATTTTGCAATTCTATCGAGAGCGCTTTAATTTTGAGAGGATATGAAATTTTTTGCGGGTATCGCGACAGTCAGCGGGAGGCAATCACAACTGGTTGTAAGCAGTAGCCTAACACAGCTTACAGAGCTATCTATAGTGTATTCACATCTACCGGCCGAGATTTCAACTTCGAAAACTTTGGCTTCATGAATCCACTTATCTATACTGCAGGGTGACTTCGTATTCAGACTATATCGATTGCTTAGGCCGGCTACAGATATCGGTTTATATAAAGCGCCCTAAACCCCCCTCGAAATCAAATTTCCATCAGCATCACTCCCAGTATCAAACATAGAAGCCTACAGAGTTCAAACTCTCAAACCATTATCAAGCTCCCAAGGAACCACCTCGACTATAAAACTCCTACCTACTTTTACTACCAAAATGCGATTTCTCAATCTCGTAACTGCTCTCGCAGCAGCAAACCTCGTGGCGTCAGCCCCTGCTGCTGCCTCTTCCTCTGCTCCTCCCGTACCCACCACTGATGCCGTAGAAGGCCGTCTCATTCGAGTCAAAGATGTTTTCCCAGGCCATGCACAAGGAGATCTAGTAATTGGGCAAATCTTGGCTGTCAACGCTACTACCGATGAACCAGAAGCGAAGCTCCAAAAACGCTATTCTACCTCTTGCAACACTGGTCCATACTGGGTTTTGCAAGACCAGGCTAACCGTGCTATTGCCGGTGTGTGCACTTACATGCGCGACCATGACGATGTCAAGCCTCAATTTGGCCGTCAAGTGTCTATTCGATGGGATCATTATCAGGACACTTCTGGGACCTGGGTCCACATCAAGGATATTTGGGGTGTTGACAAGAATGGAAACTGGGTCCTCAAGGCTCCATTAGCCTCTACCTTTGACTGGGAATCCTGCTTCAACTCTTTCTTCGAGTTGATCTACTCATGCCGCGGTACTAATCCCGATACCGCCGGGGGTCAGCTCTGGGGATACGGCCTTGGATGGGAAAGCGGTCTTTCCTGGTTTATCTAAATATAAACCTTCAAAATATATATCTCGACTTGTTTGTCGCCCATGAAACGGTATATATACCATACTATTCAATGATATGAAGCCTGTAGCAAGCATCCGCGCTACCGAACCTGCAATTCCCTTTTCTTCTAAAGCCAAAATTCCCTTCTATCTGTCATATAGTCTTAATCCTCAATCCTGTATTTAAACATCCACCCTGATATCAGGCCAAATATCAAGTACATTCACTCATGGAAATGAATTCTCCCCGATGAATTGTAGAAATCGTATATTCGTAACTAGATCACGTGTATTCACTATCATGTTACACAGTCAATCGATCGAGAGTTTTGGGGTTCGATTTTAATTATTAGGATATTAACAGATATTAATTTAGAATATTGACCATTTTGCAACTGACTCTTTGCAGGACGTTTACATCATCTGGGTAAACAAGCAAATAAACTACCTATTAAGACGGGGGCTTTTATCAATGAACCATTGGATTCCTGGTGCCCGGTAATTATCCTGGCCCACGACAGTATTCCCGGCACCTTTATCAAAGACCATCTCATTGGCTCCGCTGCCGTACTGTGGCCAGTGAGGCAATCCAGCAGCGCCATTTGGATTTCCATTAACAAAGAATTTAATCCACGTTCTAGCCATCATTTTCGAAAGAGCGACATAATCGGCTCTATCGGGACCATTCATCGGATAAGAGGAGCTGAAGGGATCCCAAAGGTCCGTATTATGGAGAACGTAAACAATTTCCGTGAAATGAGTCGCACCGAGGTGGGCAGGATATCCGTTCGATACGCATTTGAACCTATAGGACCAAACGGGGACATTTCGCGAGGTGAGTTCTTGTGCGAACATACGTCTTGGCGCGGTGAACGTGTGATCGGTCATGATGGCAGAAGTTCTAAAAAATAAGCTTCCTATGTTAGAAGGAAGGGGAAGACCAGCATAATGTTCCTCAGGTGGGATTGAAATTCCGCTGTGGTAGTGGGTAACAATCTCATTGGCTAGGTTATCGTTGATTTCGAAAAGTGTTTCTAATGGTGACGCGGGCCTTGAGTTAGATTGAGTGTTCCCTGTTATGTCACTTTGAAGGGTTGTAAAATAAGTTCAACTTACTCATGACGGATACAAGTTGTGTCTCATCGTTAACGGCCCTAGAACCAATGGGAGTGAACGAAGTACCATCATCACTATTGTGACCGACAATCGTTGGCACTCTGACGAATTTTCCATCCTTGATAAGCTTGCTCGCGAATTCAGGGATCATATCACCGTCAAGCATTGGGCTAACATAATGAGGGGTTGCTTGTGCCCAAGCCCAGATAGCACTTTCAGGGGCATTTCGCATACATTGCAGCCTGTCGGTTTCGTCGGTGCATGCAGTATAGGTAGCAAGGGATTCAAAAGTGGACTGGAAAGTATGGGGCCACGTGATAGGCGTCATCATGCCGGTCCCACTCTGCAAGACTGCACGTTGGAAGAGGCCGTCATTTCGTCCGCCCCAGGCGAGTTGGTGCCAGTTCACCGAGGCGCCGCCGGCAGACTCGCCGAATATGGTAACCTTGAATGGATCACCACCAAAAGCTCGAATGTTTTCTTGGATCCAGTGCAAAGCCAAGCGTTGGTCCTTCAGCCCATTGTTTGCGTTTCGGGTACCCGCAATCTCTCGACCTCCAAGAAATCCCCAAACGCCTAGTCTATAATTGATAGTAATAGCAATTATTGGGGTTCCTAATGCCCTATTAGTGTGAAGCTTAATGGCATAAACAATTTCGTGTCTTCAACGGACGAATAACCCACCCATTTGTACAGACTGCTGAACAATGTTATTCATGTTATATGTGTCGCGGGCCCCGCTTCCACCTGACCACCCGCCGCCATGGATCCAAACGGCAACAGGAAGTTTCGCAAATTGGTTAACGTTTACGGGGCGAACGACGTTAAGAGTTAAGCAATCTTCTGACATGGGCTTGTCTCGATTTTCCTATTCAAAGTATTTAGATCGATTTGAGTTCCACTAAACGCCTATTTTACGGATTCTTAAACTTACCCTGCCAGTTCCATAACACCAATTCCCATATTCCGATGCATTGATGTTCCTTCTAGTGTTGAGGAATTGAGGAGGTCGGAACCTAAGATTGCCGACCGGAGGCTGGGCATAGGGGATACCAAGGAAGAAGTCCTGAGCGTATTCTGGGCTGTATTTGCCAGAAACTGTCCCATTGCGAAGATTCACTTGTGGAACATAGTTCTGGGGACGGTGTGGGCGCCTACCGGCTTCCACACCTGCAGATAACTGCAGCGCCAGTGGCAGCGACAATGACAAGAAGGATGAGATCTTCATGGTTGCGAATTTTGTCTGAAGGCCCCAATTCTGGATTCCACAAAGACTCTAGGACCAAAAATGAGAGTAACGGTCCTGGGACTTCGAGGTTTTATAGACTTTCATGTGGTAATGTTCACTCGGTGCTAAACGGAACCAAGAAACCGAGAAGTTCTCATGGTCCGTTATCGATTGATGTGATTGAATCCCAGACCATGGGCTGCATGTTCCCACCTTCCAAATCCTCATATCACTTGAATCATTGCGGTGCATTTGCCCCACTTCTTCATGATGATTTTCGTGATATTTCTTCTTCTTCCATGGCGGCCTTTATGTTCGTTTAAATTCATGAGCTATACTGTCCCTGTGTTGGGAATGTAAAACCTTCCGATCCCCGGCGGAGCGCCAGAGACTAACCATGATGAGAAACCACCAAGAAACCTAAGACTTACCGAAGGACTTAAGGAAGGTTGGAATAAAGTTAGGTAGCGAAATAACTCGGCTAGGCGACTACTCCGTACTCCATACCTCTAGGAATATAAGGTAGCAACAGATCTTGGTCCGAACTAGAGTTCCAGTCGCTAGGAATATAGCTATTGATTGACAGTGGAACAGTATCAGAAGACTGGGAATCGTGATCGAGAAAAAAAAAGCCTATCGTATCAATTCCATGCATGTATATGTGATATACCGTTAACCGACCGCCAAATTCCCCGCACACGTGTATACTTATCCGTACATGGCAGCTCCATTGATGAAGCTAGGTAATGATCCCGCCGAGCAGCCTAGCCAGCGCCTAGTCTGCTTCAACGAGATTTCAAATCCTATAATACTTATCTATATTACAATAGTCCATCCGTGCCGTTCTCACAATGCAATGATGCGCGTGAAGAGCTCTGTGGTCCTGCCAGGCCACAGTGGCGCATGCACTGCATTGACCTGGAGACCCCTCCGACTGGTTGGAAGGAACAGGTTTTACCCACAGAGCCCACTCACTATCAACGCCACATCAATGCAATGATGTTCTATAACCGTATACAGCCTGGTTGCCCAGCCGCTCAGATATCCGATGAAAGTCATGCAGGGTCTTTCTCGCTTGAACCCAGCTGTGTTGGCGAGTGGCGTATTTAGAGTTTTTCTTGTGTAGTCTGGGGAAATTCGAGCCTATGGTGCAGTCCCGTTAGAGTTAACTTATCGTATTCAACATTCGCTACGAGACAAATTCAATGTCTGAATTAAATGCGTAGGCCTATTATTTTACATAGATATCACCATAGATTCTCATTCTCCAGCTATCTGCTTTCTTGGAGTTCTCTCATTTTCTACCCCGCACGACCGCGCGCAGCCGACAGCCTACTAGTATACTGGGCATTGCGCTAAGACAGATAGCTATCAACAGTACCAAGCCTGTGATGATCATATGATAGCCTCCACTCAACATGCAACATGGCGATTTCTCGCTCGAGTCTCTAATACATCAAGATCCAGCTCAAGAAATCGTGAGGCACACCTTCTTCTATAGTCATCATGAACTCCGATAGACATCAAACTTGGCCGTTATAGCTCGTACAGTGTACCCGTGATTGAATTGGGGGGCAAAGGCTATAAAATCGTTATCGACAACTTTTTCGTACGACAGAACATCCCAATCTTGAACATCCTCGTCAAATGAGCAAGGATTGTGGGGTATGAGGTTCAATTCAGACCATCAATGTTGTAAATAACATGCCGATCTGGGTATACTAGTACGAGACGTCGAGACTATGCAAAACCAAGTCAATGATAACAACCAATTGGCTACCACTGCAATCAAAGTAATACCTAGCTGGCGTCCCCACAGTTTGGTGATCCTTCAAAATAGCATTAGCTACGCGTTTGTCATCAGAATGCACATAGCACACATAACAATGCCCCGTATCTCAATAAACTACGGTCATGGGCGGAACGTTAATTAACCTACGTACATTACGACAACCAAAGTCCACACCGTCCAAGGCAAAGCAACGAAAACTAAACTAGAACTGGTCTCGTTCCCAGACGTCACAAAGGGCAGCACTTTGTTTGGACTAGAACGCTAGCGGCCCAAGACAGCCTGCTACCCCAGACTATGCTAGCGCGCACTCCCGGTGCTTAGCTGGGGTCTGATGCGCATAACAAGAGGATATCACCGCGGGTCACCATGTTCAGTCTCGTAACCAAACTGTGCACCATGTTCACGAATCGAATCAAGATCCAACAATTCAACACAAGACTAGTTATGCACCTCACATGCGAGCCCTAGCTGAAACCGCGTGGCGTTATAACTGCTTTGAATTTGTACTATTAGAATGAAGAGTACTCTTGAAAGTAATCTAGCTGCTGGCTGCGAATCATTTGGAGGGCGATATCCAGATCAGACCACTCGGGGATTTTCTGTTTACATAATGCATCCATAGCTCTAATCATACACCAGGTGTGTTAATATTCGCTGATGAGATACCAGTCAAACGAATGAGCTTACTTCATGATTGCAGTCTCTAGCGAGATGCCAGCACCTCTGGACATATTTGCCATGCCCAAGCAATCCAAAACCACATTCCCAATTTCATCAATTTTTGGCTCCATTCTGGCAGTCATAAAGGCTACAAAATAATCGGTAGCGTTTGGTGACAGCAGGTTGCGTAACACTCTATAGATATATCGACCTATAGAAGCTTCTAACGAGCGGACCAGAATCAATGGGTCGTTGATACATGTCACTAAGCTCTCAATTTCCGGTGATATCCCTCCCGGAGCCGTCATTCCAGTGCCTATTGCAAGTCCGATCATTGTATTTCCGATGATAGTTCCGACCGCTGCTCCAACGAGAATACCGATAGCCGTTATCGAGGAGCTGGTACATTCCGCTATCGCTTCTGCAACTTGGTCCTGTTTGAAGTTAATTATCCCAGCTATTGTAAACCTAATGTATAGGATACGTAGACAAACCTCATTCCCTGGAACTAGCTCAGCACCTCCCGGAATATATCCTACCCTTGGAGAATCTTTTAACAGATCCGCTGTCTCAGATTTTGTGTCGATTTTTTGAGTTCTTTACATTAAGTCTAGTATCAGATCCGGTCTCGATCGAGATCCTCGAAGCAACACAAACTCGTTAACAGTGGACAGATGATACTCACCGCCTGGTAAATTCGAACTGGCCATCTCTGTTTACAATGGAATGGGCAAGGTTAATGTCGTTGTTATTCCAGGTGGTATGATTGGAGAGCCGTCTCGACCTCGGCCGCCACCGAGGATGACAGCGCAAATGACCCCGTAGCCGTACTTCCGAAGGCGACGGGCATAATTGAAATTCATCCCCAGTTTTGAAGAGGTGACTACTTCCAGATTCAATTCTACCTTCGATATTCCCGTAGTGCTCATCTAGATTTATATCGGTGTAATGAAGTTTTCCATCGTAGCCAAAGCATAGGCCTTGGAGGGTAGAATTGTTAAGGTTCAGGCATGCCGAAGATACCGTAATCGATTCGTGTCTATACTCTAGGTCAGCTCTTTAATGCTAGTATATTATTAGCGACCGCTTAATACGGACAGTTTCTGAAATTTCAATGTGCCATTGTCGTTTTTGATAAAGAGATTTAAATCTATCGACGTTCTAGGCCCCCACGATCCGTCCGGTCGCATAAGTTGAGCAAATAAGACGGTTCCTTGTAAATGGGAAGACCCTGGTCTGGACCATCCAAACCAACCTGAAGAAGCGACATCAAACTCGCCGTTGTAGCTACCGATGTGCTCGTTCAAGTCAATCCGTGACTGGACCCAAATATCTTCATCCTTACGAACCCACGCTACTAGCAAGGTATCTTCCTGAAGTGCGAAGTCGCTTGTCGTGAATGCGAATGCCATCGTTATAATCTATCAAATATTTGGCGGGGGTTATGTTGGTTTATTGATCCAGCGCGAAACTGACCTCAAATGCAGTCCATCTTTCGGTAAAAATATATTTATCAAGATAGTTCGTCGATACAGATCTTAGACCCAAAACACAGGGAACTTTGCCTACCAAGATATGCAATTCGGCGTCACCTCTCTCAAGCAAAAGTCATAGCGAAATAGAAATCTGCCACGTGCACCGAGGAAACTACGTTTTCAAGTCCAGCGCAGATTCTGACAGCAAGTCGCACAACTTGAAACTGACAGGAGCAAAAGCTTGCTGGCAAACCCCCCGCATCGATGAATCGGAACATATTGATTCACTTCTGTCGAATCGTGGGGTTTACACGTTGGAGACTTCGGTTACACCACGCATTCAAGTGGCCGCCATCTTTGTATTAGATACCAAGTCATCGTGCATATAAGGCGCGATTTTCTATGTAAAGAACTTCCGTACTTTGCCTAACATTATAGCGGAGTCGTAACAAGTTTACACTTACTCCTCGCTTCAAGTCACGGCACAGCACAAACTTTAGGACGACGCAATTAATTTGACGAAAATGATCTAAACTGTTTCAATAAAAAGAGTTAGACAGATTATTCAAAGTAACATAGCTTCTATAAAATTATTACAGCAATCTTGAACTAATACTTTCCCAAAAGCTGTGAAGGAAAGGAGCGATACCTAGGAGGTACCTCAACGAGAATGCGTTTTCATGTTGCAATTTTTGCGTTGTCCCAATACGGATGTACGTCTCCCCGTTCTCAGCATACTAACGGACGCAGCTTATAATAGAACGGAAGATGAGTGGGGAAGGAAGAGAGGCCGGAGGAATCCTGTAATATATAGATAGAGATCAACAAGAGATCTCTAACAGCTTGGGCAGCTGCAAGCCAGCTGAAAGAAAATAATTTCCCTGCATTAGCCTCAACAAAAGGCTTGATAATTCTTGGATTCGAGGCTAGACAATTCTTGGAAAGCCGTACTCTGATAGACCTAAAAAATGCATGGAATATATATATAGATGATGAGAAAATAAATCGGAATTCCGGAAGCGAATTTGAACCGGACCAGCTAAGCTTTAGCTAAATACCTAAGTACGATATATCGATGTTTATATCGCGATATATATATATATCGATATCAGCGCATGATGCATATATATATCTTTCTGTAGCTATAGATCTGCCAGCTCCTAACAGCCGTCCATAACTATGATTCTTATCGAAAGCGCTCCTTCCTAAAGGCATCTGCTACTCGGAGTTAATATATGGATATACATACTTACTGATCTAATCAAGAAACGGAGCAAGCCTAATACAATGTATGTACCGGGCTTGACGGAGCTCAGAGACTAAGTTTTTTGTTACTCGGAGCCCTCCTATACCAGTATGTTTAGTACCACTTGATGAACTGGTAGAGCTCTAAATCAAGGAATCAACGAAACGCCACGATACCAATTCTATGGGTATATTTATGCCATTGGACTACCGTATTCTAACAGGAGCGATGAGATATCAGCTTCGCAGTCTAAAGCCCGAAGCTTTTATAGAAATATTCTCCAGCGGCCTCACATTATATAATCTCGTAAACCAGAATTATTACACCAGGCTATTCTCGACATTTATATTATTGTCACCCGGGCAAAATAACAATATATATACGAAGCGAACTAATCTCGAGGCCAAACACCAGCATACCAGGAAATAAACTGGGGGTTGACTAAATTAACTATATTACTTCTAGACTATAATCGGCAATATTGTATGCTCATTACTAGTGCTATGTAGGTAGCTGTGAGACCATGAGAGATGCCTATAATACCTTGCAAAAAAAGCACAAAGACCCCGCACGGTCGATCTACCATCGCAGTCCATTTATAAACAAAGTGATGAGCGCTCGAGCTCGTCGTATAACGGATGTAATTTCCATATAAACAATTTGATGGATACTCAAGCGTCAGCCAGTGCTGTCGGGAAAGAATTACTCACCGGATAGGCTCACTGATGGACGAGTTCAACAGCGTTAATATTTAATACCAAACTCCTATAGCTGTAAACTACTTGTGTATAAATTTCAAGCACACGACGTCGACTGCGGCACCTGTCGATAGAAAACTAATTTGTTTCTTGTTAGGGTGGACCCAAAAATGACGCCGAGCCGCACATGCACTGATCAGCCATGTAAATGACACGAAAGCTCCTTTAAAAAATAGGACGAAAGGAGGTGACGAAGAAGATATAATATCATAGAAATTGAGGTGCTTTTATCCGGGATAGAATTCCGGAAGCTACGCATTCATATATGTGTCATAGAGTCGAATTTGAGACCTGAAGTACTTTAGTCTTAAGATCTTAGATCTGCTTGGAAGCCCGGCGTGAAGTTACATGATCCATAAGAAAAATACAATGTAGTATGTATATTATTGTACATGCAGCTCCCGGCAGCAACCGGAAGTACCTAGAAGAACTTAGCGATTGATATTTTATGCGGCTAAAGAACAACAAGAATATGAGCCAAAACGGTATGAGAAGAAACAGGAATACAATGGCAAATCTCTCAATGAGATTAACTAAAACGTCAGACTTTTTCGGAATTATAAAATCAATTTGTCTTGTAAACTAAACCCGGCAACGATAATCAGCTCATGACCTCAATTATCGATCTGCCGCTGAGAAAAAATCGTGATCTTTGTCGGTATCCCGAATCGTGCGGTTACCTCATTTATCTCCAGAAATCTCCCACTTTATAAATCTAGGATCACGGAATATGTCCTATATTGATGTGACCCTGATCTCGCTTCATTTCATTCGGATAGCATGCCGCATCTTTAAAAAAGATTGGAACTAGCCCATATGTGTGTCTGAAAGATCTTAAGACCAGTTGTATTACGTCTGCATGTTGGCAAAGGTTCCGAGTTCCCACGGCCCAGTCCCAAGCTCGAAACTTACCAATATCGCAGCCCGCAAATTCAACCAATACCATTTCAGAAAGCTTATCAAATACACCATCGCGACTAGTTTCAGTGCCCCACACTTGATAAACATAAATACCAATTATCTAACGAAAAGACTTGAGTTCGCCGCCGTCAGAAACGCTCGGAAATCGTACACGTACAGGAAAGGATGGCGTCTGTATATAGCCTTTCAGAGACTGAATTCGGCCAATCCAACACCCAGACCTATGGTATAATATGCACTCCGGATGTCGCAAGGGGTGCATAAGTATTCATTTAGCAAAGAGCGTCGGTATCTAATGCGCGTTCGCTTGTTTGTCAGATCTACATGGGGCTGGCAGGAAGATAGGGAAAAGGTTGGATTTCGATTCGTCTGGATCTGGATTATAAAGGAATGTGGAGATTAGTAACTAGTTTGCCCATTAATCCTGGATGAGGATCCTAGGATCAATCTAGGCGTTTATCATAGGTGCAGATGAGCGATATAGTCTGAATATAGAGTAAATTCATTTTATAACGCGTTACTTGATATATTTAGTAGGTTCCGTGACGAAGAGAAAGTGTCAGGAATAAATTTTCGAAATCGGGGAATGACCGGACGCTACGATTTCTGACAAATTTACTAGGGACTCGGAGTCCTAAGCCTTCTCTGCCACGGAGTCTCAATAATATCATCGTGTCATAGAAACTTCGAAGCCATTACGCTTTCATATCATTAGTCAAAGGAAGCCCAGAATCTCATTTCCGATCATTCAGGTGACTAAGCCCTTACGCCAGGGATCCGAAGACATTATTTGGTTTCTTTCAGCTTGCATACCATGTAGCATATACCGTTGCAACTTTTAGACTACATCTATGACCCCCGCGGCTCCAGTTAAACGGTGGCCTAGCTAGTGTATGAGGCTAGAGGTCGTCTGATCTAGATCAAAGTTTTCAGAGCTAAGAGGGGGGGCAACGGAAGATCCTTAAAACCTTGCCCTTGTTGAAAGTACTACCTCAGTCCCTTTTGCCATCACCATGGACTCGGGTCTGGGCTGTCGTGCTAGCCAGTTAGCTCGTTTCTCCGGTAAATCAAAATTAACATAGGGTCGAATCGTTCTCGTCGAAAATGCCAGTGGGAGTAGATGCTTTCCTAATTCAAATACTAGCCGGAAAAAAACTTGATATCCGCGGAAAGGAAAAACCAATACGAGGCGGTATGCAAGAGTGCGGAAAGGCAATCCTACAATTTACAAACCCACTCCGGACCATGGCCAGGTATCTTTTTCTTCGGAAAGGATCCTCCAGGAATGTCGCCAGGATAAACTCACAACCACGCGATATATACCCACATCACTTATAGCAAGTCCCACATTATGAAAGTCTCACGATGGAAGTATCCTTTCGGGTAATACATTGAAGTTTTATGTAAAAGTTGCATAAATTTGGAAAGTTATAACAAATAGAAAGCTCAATTCATGCGAAAAATCGAAGGTCAAATAGTGACAGGTTGAGGAATGTGGTTATATGTTATGGTACCTATATCATTTTTAATTGAAGTTCTGGTGCCTTGGTAAAAGAAAAAGAAAATAGCGAGAAAAGAAGAAGAAAAGAAAAAGAAAAGAAGAAGAAAAGAAGAGTAAGAGTAAGTAAAAGAAAGGTCCCGCATACACCCCATTGATTATGCACAAGACAAGGATGTGTCAAGAAGCATAAAGTGGAGAAATAATGAAGAAAATGGGATGTGTGTGTGCAACATGCATCCTGCAAGCGCTGCTGCACGGTTCACTCGTCAGCCGAGATTCCACAAGATCTTAATCCGACCTGTTAAAACACCACTCCCCACCCCAAACAACCTTTCTGAATACACCTTTCCAGCCCCGAATGATGCAATCGCATTTTCTCGCGACGCTACTCGTCGAAATCCCAAAAACAGCCCCCAACTTGGCTGAACGTGCGAATTGTTGGCAAATGTAGCCTCCCGGCTTGTGAACTCTTGTTATCTGCGGTTTTCAGGTGGTCAAGGCCAGACAAGAGTCTTGTCCACAGCAATTAATGGCGAGGACGAGAGAATAGGCTGAGCACAAGCTTTTGAAGGCCTTTGACAAGCATCTTGGGGGAATATTGGCAAATGCTTGACGACGGGACAAGAAATCGACAAGAGATCTATCATGTAGAAGGTTGACGACACTGCATAAATTCAATATATTTGTTGGTATTTCTCTGCGACATTCTGGAAGAATATTAGAAATGGGGTTTTCCAGTACAGGAAAAAGGCAAGAGGAGATCTCCGAGATCGCGAGCAGCTTGGACTCCACTTTGGTACCTTAATAGCCTAGCAGGAGTAGAAACCGGGCGCATACCAGGCGTACAGCGTGGAGAAGGAAACCTTCTTAGATGGAAAAGTGGGATCTTTTACTAAACCATTACTATTCCGGCGAGCTTGAACAGTCACGAATTACGATGTACAAGGCTAGTTACATTCGACGTTAGCGAGAAAAAGAACCCTTGGGAGGTAGATGTCTCAGGAGGGATAAGAGTCCATGCAATGCGTGGTCGATCGCTACCCTTCGAACTATTCGTCATTTAATGGCATATGAGGACGATATCACATCTTTGGCCGGTGTATTATTTCCTTGATTTTTTATTTTTTCTTTCTCGAGAAGCGGGAGATTGAGATTGTTTAGTGGCGTTTCCATTGATGCAGGGTGATACGAACTGCAACTCGTATGCTCTTCAACTTCTTTTTTGGAGAGCGAGATATGCGAAAGGTATTATTTGACATCCTTATGTTTTAGAGTGATATTGAGTTTGAGGAGTCGGTTAGAATTCATATGGAAGGTTCGGAAAAATTATTTTTTCCAGCAAAAAGTTTTCCAGAGCTAGAGACCGGTAATAATAGCCCATACAACGCGTATACGTACTAAGTAAGTAAGATCTGTAGGTATATGGATGTCGCTATCCTTGAAGCAAAAGCGACGGTGATATAACCATCATAGATCAGATCAGTTGCAGTTGCAGTTGAAGAGTCCTTTTTCAGTCGGCGAGGTCAATTGTCATAGCTCAGTTAAGGGTCTAGTCGGTAGAGCATCCCGTTGGCTACGAAACCCTCGCGGCCTCGTGGTTCCAACGTTTCCTTGGGAATTCTTGGGGGTAGCGAGTCACCCCTCATTTGCCATGGTGTACAGGTGTTGAATGTCGTTCGAATTGCCAGTTATTGCGTGATCTGCCTGATCCAATCATGCGGGATTCTGATTGGACATAAACGCCAAGATTCGCCAAGTCGCATCGTCCGATGGGTCCCGCGACGACCGGCTAGACCCCCAATAAGCAAAACACGACGTCAACTCCCACGCCAACTCCCATGCAGGTTACAGAATGTCGAGGGAGGAATTCCGTCGCGAACGATAGGCTACTTCGTTAGCTACGCAGTCTGGGTAATATCTCCAGGGCAAACGAGCATCTCGGACGGTTAGCCTTCATTCTTTCGCCTGCGCAGCGAGCCAGCATGTGAGCCAACCTGCATCAGCCGCCCCAAAGTAGCGGGTCCCATTATAATACATGGCAGCTTCACAACCACCACGCCCATGGCTGGTACTTTTAGACGTCTGGAGATAACTTTAAACATCCCTGTCGTGCTAAACTAGCAAGCTCCGGTTAGTGGACCTGGTCTATAACCTTTTTTTTTTTCTCTTGGGGCCAAATTTGCTGATCGTATTATCAAGCAGAATATGTATTCCCTAGAAATGCACAGTGCCTATGTACCACACCCATGTAACAAGATGGGGGAAAGGTGGTCGGGGTACATATAAAAGAAGGCACCTCCTTCTCACTCATCCTGAGATATACCGTGCGCAGCTGTCCAACATTCTAGTTATCTCTTTTGCACGCGACTCTGCATCCATACAGTAGACGACTAGGATCGGTATTGTCTTTTTTCATAATCAATACAGCCATCGTCATCATGGCTTCCTGGCAAAGGGGTGCCGCCAAACTGCTTGGTATCAAGCTTGATTCCGACATCAATGAGGGCGCCGTCACTCGAGGAGAGTCTATTCAGTCAACCGACACCTATGTCGAAGAGGAGCCAACCATCGGGGAGTGGGTTAGAGACCATATCCCACACAAGTCCGAGGTAGTCGAGTTTGTGACTTCGCTTTTCCCTTTCCTACAATGGATCGGAAACTACAATCTTCTCTGGCTTACCGGTGATCTTATTGCTGGTATCACTGTTGGTTTCGTTGTTGTTCCACAAGGAAGTAAGCATTTGCCAATCCTCTTGGGTTTTACTAAAGGGGTTATACAGAACCTTGCATATCATATTCTGTACTAACTGATAGGACGTTTTCTATAGTGGCATATGCCATCCTTGCTCAGCTTCCTGCCGAATATGGTCTTTACTCGTCTTTCGTGGGTGTCATGCTCTACTGGTTCTTCGCCACCTCCAAAGATATCACTATCGGACCCGTCGCTGTCATGTCTACTTTGGTCGGTAATATCGTTCTTAAAGCCGAGGAAACCCACCCAGAATTCACTAGACCACAAGTTGCGAGTGCTTTAGCTCTTATTTGTGGTTCTATCGTGTTTGCCATTGGTATCTTGAGGTTGGGATTCGTCGTCGACTATATCCCACTTCCAGCTATTGCTGCTTTCATGACAGGTTCCGCTCTTAATATTGCTATGGGCCAGATTCCTGGTCTCTTTGGTATCCCAAGTAGCATTGTCAACAATCGTGCCGAGACTTATAAAGTTTTTATCAACTTCTGGAAGCATATCGGCTCTGCGAAGCTCGATGCTGCCATGGGCCTTAGCGCTCTCGCTATGCTCTATATCATCCGTATCGTTGCAAACCGCATGGCCAAGAGATTCCCAAATTACAAGCGAACTTGGTTCTTCATCTCGACATTAAGAACCGCCTTTGTTATTCTTCTATACACCATGATCTCGTGGCTTGTCAACCGACACAGACGCTCGAAGCCAGCCTTTAGAATCTTGCAAAATGTCCCCAAGGGTTTCCAGCATATGGGTGTCCCACTTATCAACGGCGGTATCGTCAGCTCCTTCGTTGGAGAGCTTCCAGCAGCTGTCATTGTTTTGCTCATTGAACATATTGTAAGTTCTTACCTGGTTGACGATAGACGTAACCATCAGCTAACGTCATAAATAGGCTATTTCCAAGTCCTTCGGTCGCGTCAATGGTTACCAGATCAACCCATCCCAAGAATTGATTGCCATTGGTATCACCAATATCTTTGGACCATTCTTCGGTGCCTACCCCGCCACTGGATCTTTCTCCAGAACAGCTATCAAGGCCAAAGCCGGCGTCAGAACTCCAATTGCTGGTGTTATCACTGGTATCATCGTCCTTCTCGCCATCTATCTCCTCACCGCCGTCTTCTACTATATTCCAAATGCCTCCCTTGCCGGTGTTATTATCCACGCTGTCGGTGATCTTATCACTCCTCCTAATGTCGTCTACCGATTCTGGCGCGTTTCCCCCGTTGAGGTCGTTATCTTCTTCGCCGGTGTCTTCGTAGCTGTCTTTAGTTCCATTGAAAATGGTATCTATACCACCATCTCTGCATCCGCCGCTCTTCTCCTCTTCCGTCTCGCCAAGGCTAGGGGCCACTTCCTCGGCCGTGTCCGTGTCCAAATCGTTCCACCAGAAAATATCTCAACTGAGACTGTCGGACTCGGCGGCGGCTACGGTGCTACTGGCAAGTCTAAGACCGATCCAGAAATAAAGGGTATCAAGGGTGGCGAAGCTACCAGCGAACTTCCCGAGGCTCACCACCATGATGTCTTCCTTCCAATCGACCACAAGGATGGTTCCAATCCCGCTATCAACATCGATTCACCATTCCCAGGTGTTTTTGTTTTCCGCTTCTCTGAGGGTTTGATCTACCCTAACGCCGCGCACTACAGCGATCAACTCCTCGACTATGTTCAACTTAAATGCCGCCGCACTTCCCTTGATTCTTTCGCCCGTCTTGGTGACCGCCCATGGAACGACCGTGGCCCTAGGCACTTGACCATGGAGGACGATAACCGCCCAACACTTAAAGCCATTATCCTTGATTTCTCCGCAGTAAATAATGTTGACATCACCGCCGTTCAGACCCTCATTGATACCCGCAACACTCTCGATAAGTACGCCGCACCCAACCATGTCGACTGGCACTTCGCAGCCGTTAACAACCGATGGACGAAACGTGCTTTGACATCTGCTGGCTTCGGTTACCGATCTGAAGAGGTTGAATCCAACTCTGAGTCTGGAAAGGGACCCTGGAAACCACTCTACTCCGTTGCCGAAGTCAGCGCCCGCGTTGCTGGTATTGATGGTGCTAGCGACGACGGTGCCAGCGGTAGCAGCATTAAGAAGACAGATCTCGAGGCAGCACCTACCCATACCATTCAGATCTCGAAGAGAAGGGTTTTGGTACACTCCATTGCGAGACCGTTGTTCCATATTGATGTTAATGCAGCTTTGTTAGCTGCCCAGGAGAATCTTTGATTTCTCTTTAATTAGAGACAAGGTTACATGGCGTTTGTTTTGTTTCTGTTTTCAGTGTTTTTTTACTTGAATTTTCTTTTTATATTTGTAATGATGGTATCTACAAGATTGGGTTCTTTGGGAGCATATACTACCTACCGGGACCTACTAAAGTAGGTTGGGCTTTGGATGAACTTTTTTTTGAGGGGGTTTTCATACTTTTAAGCCGCTACATGGTATTACATTATATTACCACAGCATGCGTGAGAGTCTTTTTGTTCATGATGATAGCCAGAGTTTTATATAGTTATTATCGAGATAGCGGATATAATTCATAATCTTATCATTCACAATTCCTACTTGTCTCGTACCCAGCCCCACGCAAATTCCTACCCTGCTCATAAGACCTAGAATAGTGTCCGAGCATTTTATACACGTATTCGTTCCAATTTAGTGCCGTAATACGTAGGACCGAGGAGCTCGAGATTTAGTCAACATGCAAGAGTTGCTCATCAAGTTAAAAAAAACCCCTACGGCTCCCAGCTTGTGTCAATGCCTGTCAGCTTGGTTAAAGGGTCGATCGTGTGGGCCTATGGGCTGGTTCGTACCCCGCACAATGCACGTACTTACATATATTCTGCATGAATGGTATGGTATGTTGATGCACAAAATGCAACATGCGGGGCTGTAAACCCACACATGAAGCATTCCTACCTCCCGCATTAATTATCACCATCTCCATGTAACACGGCGATTCTATTAGATCTCGGAAAATGCGGAGAAATACAGACTGGAATCTTTTGCAAAGCGTGGAGGTGGGTAATAGAAAGTGTAACGTTGAGTTAAGCTTACGATGAATAACTGTTTTAGTTCTAGCTAACATGAAACCTACATCTATGAACTAGATTTAAGCTTACGGGGAACTTGGCATTCGGGTAAGATCATGTGCCTCTTGTTTTTTTCCTTTTTTCCTTTTTCTTCAGTTTGGCAGTAAATATTAATAAGTTTGATAGGAAAGGACAGAACACATGACTTAGAATGGGGGGATGCGAGCTGCCAAAGGTTGCACCCTTTGGTCATAAAATATTCAACTATCAGAATGTAAGATATAGCTAGCTGCAGGACACTAAGGTATATCAGTATTTAGGCCTAATAGTTCGGGTATTTCAGTAAGTAGTTTCTTTTTTGGCGGCTTCCAATCGACATATATTTTAAAACTCAAATGAAAATTTGATTGTGGTTCGAAGTGCGGGGTTTATTCGATCTTTCTTACAGATCCTCTTTCCCAAAAATGATAATAATAATAACACATAAATGAAAAATAGAGATGGGTGAGAACGTCGTTCAGCTATATGGAAGCGCAGGTTTTTTCCTATAAACCCTGAAAGTAAAGTTGGCGGATTTTTCAGACACCATCTTGCATATTTTCAGTCGACATGTCGCAGCCAAAGTTTATTAACAGCCGATCGGATTGATAACTTCGGATTAGGTATCCATTTCAAGCGGTAGATTGAAAAGGATTTCAGGGTTTCTTACCAATTAGATGTAGTTAATCAGGCACGTTTCTTCCCGGGTTTCTTATTCTTTCCGCAGGCCTTGGTGTGCAGATATTTTTGATTCGGAGTTCTTGTAGGTAGCGTACACCATGAATCTTCTCGCCGATAGGTACCTACTAGATAGAATCGGTCTGAGTACTACTAAAAAAAAATTCGGACAGCGTAATAGAGATCTACCCTTCAAAGCTTTGGAGACGAAGCTCCGATTCATTAACAGTTAAAAGATTTTCTTGTCGCCAGATTGGCTATTGTCAATCAGCGGCCCGATCGGACCTTCAACGAAGCCGGCATAGTATAGTGGTTAGTACGTATCGTTGTGGAGACCCAAAGGGTTATTACACTCCCGATACAGCCTCAGTTCGATTCTGAGTGCCGGCAAATCGTGTCCTTTCAACAGAAATTTTCTTTTTGTGCCCGTGTGTGTTATTTTTTGGTGAACAACCCAGCTGGTTTGGTTTTGTAATGCAACAAGAAATGAGTTCGTCAGGTCTGAGTTAATCAATTGAGGAGCTATGCTGTCGTAAAGGATCTTGATGTTATGAGCTTCGTTGGATTGTTTTTGTGCTTAGGTCTGTTATTATTGTTGCCACTGAGACTCGATTGAATTCCCTAAGCCATGATCTTGTCAGTCTGGGGCATGAGCCTCCTAGGATCGGATCCTTAGCTCCATTCTACCACAATTACAACGAGAGTGAGATATCGTGTTGATATCATGTCCTATTTGCATTTTCCGGGTATTTATAGATCTATAAAACTCTGAAGTCGACTCAAAAAGCTTGCTGTGAGAAATGCTTATCTATGTATCTATGAATGGTTATTAATTTCGCTTTCCCATCTAAGGATATATGGTAATACTCGCTATTCTAGGTATGGTTAACGCGCGTCATGTATGCATATATCCCAGGCGAGAAACTTGATCCTCCACCTTTTCTAATTAGGATTTGAGATCCTACTCCGGTGAAAAGCTTCATCATCATCATTCAGCTAAGCGCTTCGATGGCTTATAATCACTCTATAGAATTGTTTAATCTCTGTCTTTATAAATTCCGAAAATTAAAGGATTGACGATAGTAATCGCCTATAGGAAGCAATCCGCCAACTACAACCATCGATATTAAATTGCAAAATCGATCGATTCTAGCTAGCGATTTAAACCTAGAATAATTATAATTATGGGTTCAAAGTGGGACCTTGATCTTGCATTTCCCGATTCGCCCACCGACGAGTACTCCATGGGCAGCAATGGCAATTTGGCATATGGGTTCCCAACTCATGCACAGCAGTCAGGAGGTACCGCGTGTGAGTATCAAGATATTCCTCAAGGTTGGCTATTACTTCCACCTCGCCGGTTCCCAGATTCAGTTTAGAAGACGTAAATGAAAGATCCAGAACTCGATAGAACCAAATATTTAGTTGAAATTGTGTAGTAACTAACAGAAATCCTTGCACAAATCGCAGAAACCCAGCTTCCTCAAAGATTGTCCCATTCGCCACGAACAACCCTCGAGGAAGAAATTCCCGGCGGCAGCGGCGAACTCGTAGGTTGTATCATCATCAACGCATCATCAAAAAAGATCTGCCTCTTCCTCGAAGACACCTCAGATTTGATTGATTCAGAAGAGAGACTATCAATCCCCAAGTGTCGTCAAGCACCTAGTGAGGGTATCAAGCAGGCCGCCATCCGTGCGGGGGAAATGACGGGAAACAAATGCTACCTTTTACCAATCGGAGGGGATGAAATCTCTGCATACTCAGGATTTTACGTTCATCCTAAGGATATGGGGGCTATAGCGGCCGAGTCAAGTGCTCCACCGGCTGGACAGCAAGTCGAAGGTATCAGATGGTTTATTGCGGCAATCGATGAAAAACGTCAAATGATTAAAACGCGCGAAGAGATGAAGGCAAGGAGGCGTTCAAAAGTTCAGGAACCTAGAGGACATATATGGGTGCGATATCAGTCCGTACTCAACAGACTGTCAGATACTGATAGAGATGCCCTTGAGGCAGCAATTGATGCGACAAGATTAGACTGGCCGATTTTACTTGATGGCCGTCGAGTTAACTAGTAGATTCGAATTCAAGTATCTACACTTATAAGGAATCTAAAATTTAGATTTGCGGTGTCAGTCAATTCTAAAACCTTGCTACCTCAGCTTATAGCTTATGATATGATGCTAAGGGCGTAGGCGTCAAAGAGTATATCATGGAAATGTATGTATGTTATGCATCTATGTCATGAGCCGGGATCTAAGCTCAGACGCGGAATAGGCCGGGGTAATAATATACGCCGCCTATTCGTGCTAGGACCTAAACTTCGAACACAACCTGGACGCTAGATACCATTTAAGAACTCGACGTAAAATAGCTAGAATATCATGTCAAGGCTCTTTTTTAGCGATCGCAACGATACGAAGAAGTCTATACAACCGCTGCTAAATATAATATACAAAGTCCCATAAATAAAAATTGCTATATTCATCCATAACGTTATACATAAATTAACCCTCATTAAAAACCACGCTGAAATCGTAAACCTAGGTATCATGAATATCGCTTTAAAACAAAACCAAATAACACCCTTCTCTTCTTCAGGTTTATATACCTCTTGTAAAAATCCCTTTCCCCTTGACTCTAAGATCCTTCCCACCCTCCCACTGTTCAGGATCGCTTCTATCCCCCATAGCAGCCGCGCTCCAATCAGAACTGCCCCTTTCCTCCTCGCCTCCATCCTCCGCACCACTGCCCTGCTTTTTTCTCCTTTCCATATCCTTCCTCTTACTAGCCGGTAGTGCTCCAGCAGCAGACAAAATCTCCTCAATCTTCCCCCTTTTATAGCTGACCGCCGAATCCAAGGGCCTCCACCGAAAGATATCGCGTCTGTTTAGGTCATACCCCTCTTCGATAAGTTGCTGAACCTTCGAAACATCGTTATATAGAATTGCGGCGGACAATGCAAATTCGCGGAGTTTGTTGATATCTTCCCTATCCACCCCTACGGTTTCTAATATTTCTAACACCCGTTCATTACCCGTCGCACCGGTTAATAATGCGGGCGTTATCCCCCCATCTGCAGATTTTGCAACTCTCCCGCCGTTTGCTAGAAGCGTTTGTAAAATTTCGACCATTATTTCTGGGTCGGTATTTTTCTTTCGACATATTAATGCGATGTCCTTCCTGTTCTTTCTGATAGTGGCGTTAACGTCCGCGCCGGATCTTATTAATACCCCTAGGGCACCGAGATTATGTGCTGCAACGGCATGGTGGAGGGGCGATATACTGTCGTGATGAGAACGGGCGTTTATATCTTCCCCCTTTGAGATTAGGTATTCGATCATATCCGCGTCGGCGTACCATATGGCGTTCCTGATCAGCGTTTGAGTTTTATCATCGCAATCCTTTAGATTTGCACCACCGACTTCGACGAGTTCTTTTACAAGTTCGAGTTTGTTGAGGCGGATGCACATGTGAACAAAACTAAAGCCCATTGAAACTTCTGCAAGACCGAGACCGTTTGGTTTCGAAAGATTAGAGATGGTGGAGGTTAGGTGCGTTGGTGTCAGGTTTGTAGACGACGTGTAGTAACGCATTACAAGGTCGACGCCGAGTTTTAGTGATGTACGAGAGCCTATTGTAGATTTTTGCATGGACGTCATGACACTTCGAAGATTGAGGCGCTCAGGTGATGGTTGTGATGGAGGCGGAAGGCGGGATTTCGGTTCTTCTGTGGAAAGTTAGGAGGCTTGTGGTACAGTATGAAGGTTTCTTATTATCGAAGCTTACTAGACGACCTTGTCTTCGGTTCCACGACAGGCGGTGAAGCCCGAAGTTTTTCACGTTCGTGAACATATTTTGCAATTGCATTTATCTTTTGTCCTTCTGTTAGGCTAGAGTTTTTGAATTCTAAGTCGATTTGTCTGTTGATGTCGGCTATTAAGGCTTCGGTGTCGCCGTCTGATGGTGAAGTGTGAGTGAGCGATTTTGTGTACTTGGATATAATATTATTTGCTTCTTGACGGTATGAACGGGAAGACTGGGGGTTATTTGTGTTTGTAGATTGACCAGATAGTCGTGGAGGAGGCGGAGGAGGCGGTGATCTATAAGTCCAAGGCGTAGGAGTTGGGGTGGTCGTGGTTGTATAATTTGAATTTTCACTGTCGTAGAAAGAAGTATCTGTATCCTGGCTCCCTATCGATACCGGAATCTTGGGCGGAACCCTCGGAACGTCGTCTACGTTAAACCAGGTTTTGTAAACAGGTACCTTCGGTGGTAGTGCCGGTACACTGGGTCCTCCCACGGTAGATGTATAGCCTTGCGTCCTTGCCGATGGAGGTGGTGGTAGTATTCTCTTCCCTACTATGGTAACCATCTTCTCTGATACAGGAGACTGTGCAGCAGCTGCAGCAGCGAGAGGGCCAGACAGCAGTATGGATGTAGCGGGTGTTATATTTTCTGCAGCAGCATATTTGGCAGAATCTTTAACAGCACTTTCCATAGTGCTGTCCACTATAGCACCACCACTGCCAGCACCACCAACTGCCGTACTTTCCGTACCACCAATCCCACTACCAGCAGTGGTCCCTCCATTCTGAGCGAACTTGTAAAAGTCAATCGCATCAACATGTTCCTGCCGGGATTGCCAATAAGACAATTTAGCGCCCAAATCCTCATTTTCTAGTCCTCTTCCCAGTCCTCCCCCTTCTATATTGCCATCGCCACCAGCCCTACTACTAAATCTGACCGAAGTCTCTAATCTTAGTGAGGAACCGGCTGATGTTAAGGGTGCTTTCAGGGGATGTTCTGCGCGCTCATGCGAGGCCGTAGCACCTGCTAGGGAATTCTCGCTTGTGGGTGTATGAGGCTCCCCAGCGTGGTTGGAAGGCTGTGCTTGGCGTTGAACTAGGTGGATTTCATTGCTTGATGGGGATAAGTTGGATGACATGGTCCTGGAGGCCTCTCCGGTGTCATATTATAGCATTCGGATCCCGGAGTGGTGTTGGCTGTCGAAGCAGCAGTTGGTGGGTTTTTCGTGGGATTTGGAGGAATATGCCATGGAGAAAGCGAAAAGTCCATGCAATTGGATTCTTGGAATTCGTCTCTGCCTGGAGTGTTCGGGCCTGGTTAGCGAAGAGATAGCGGGGTTCAGCCATCAGCCACGCTATTGGACTATGTGGCGGTGCCGGATTTCATGTGTTGACGCGTTGATGTGTTGATGTGTTGAGATTGAGGTTTAGAAGTCACGGGCCTGCCTAAAAGGGAAGTCGTGACGGGAATCATATCTGTTCTCGTTACGATTTCCGGATCCGGACGGTACAATGCATTCAACACATTCACTCATAGTCTACGCATTTCATTCCTTCTCTTCCCGAGAAAGCCTTGTGACTGAGGTTGTCGACAAGTTATATAACTGCTCGTTGAATTCAGTATAAAAACCTTTGTCTTATTACAGCTGATATCAGACGCTACAAGCCTTTCCACCCTGACAGTAAGTAACATGTATATCCCAGCCAATACAATGCAATATCAAAGAAAAGCACCGCCCCGGGTATGCATATCCATTGAAATGCACATGCCATACCGTGGTTAACCATCGGCAAACATTTAAACTCTCTAAATCCCGGCCAATCGGTTACTTCCATTTCCCAGTCCCGGTCGTGTGCAACCTGCCCAAAACTCCATCAAAAGCATTCGTTTGCCGCAGGAGAAGGAAAAACTTGCCTCGGCTCAAATCGAAGTCGCTGGTGCTCTTCTCTTATGGGTAAATTTGGGCGCGGCCCGTAACAATCTTAGCTTACCCCAGACCATACGTACCTGATAGCTGCTACTGCATACTAAGTACTACTTAACACCACCAGCATCCTCCGAACGGCGTCGCCGATCGTTATACTGGCCTAGTTCCGGTTTAGGCTTCACGAGTCAAGTTAAAAGGCTCGGGACTCGGGAGGAAGTCTTAAGAGGCCAAGTAGTTGTAATAAAAAGGGTATTGATGACAGACGACCGACGCGGTTCCTCCTTTCTTCCTCTTTTTCTTTCAAAGTACACGCCCCATGCACGCAATACATTGCTTATGCATATTGACCAATAATAGAATCAAATAATCGAATAGACGGAGGGCCTCAAGTTTCTGAAATACATTGAAAATGTCGGCTGTCGGCCCCGTCCGCCAACCAATCGATGTTGCGTCGCTGGAGAAATACCTGATAACCCACGTTCCACGATGTTTTCGGGCACCTATAACGCTTAAACAGGTATTTCCTCCGTTCTTCCTTTCCGATACGCTTCAAGATTTTCATTTATACCTACTATAACCTAAATTCCTTATAAACAAAATTAACTAATAAATCCTCTTTGTGGTGATAATAGTTCGGCTATGGCCAATCCAACCCAACGTACCTCCTCCTCAACGGCGACGGCCGAAAATACGTTATGCGAAAAAAGCCACCAGGATCGCTTTTGTCGAAGACGGCTCATGCGGTGGAGAGAGAATATAGAGTTCTCCATTCTCTACAGGATACACCGGTACCGACGCCGAGAGTACATGTTCTCTGTGAGGATTCGTCGGTTATCGGGACCCCATTTTACGTACGTTCTCTTTTATACTACTAAAGAATAAAAGGATTATGGCTAACTGGGTATACATAAAACGATAGATTATGGAATTTGTAAAGGGGCGTATTTTTGAAAATTATGCAATCCCAGACGTTAGTGCTTCTGACCGGAGGTTAATGTATGCGCCCCATTCCTACCCATTCACATACATCATACCCGCTCGCACATATACTAATCACATATGATATCGCAGCTGGAAATCCGCAATCCAAACCCTAGCCCTCCTTCACTCCGTCAACCCAAATAACGTAAACCTCCAAAGCTATGGAGCCCCTTCAAACTTCTATCGCCGTCAGATCTCCACTTGGACCAAAATCCACGCTTCCCAATCAGCCGCCATAGACATCGAATCCAAAAAGCCCGTCGGCGATCTCCCCCATTTCCACGAAATGCTTAAATACTTTGGTGAAAACCTCCCAGAAGACAGAAACACAATTGTCCACGGAGATTTCAAGATTGATAATTTGATATACCACCCTACGGAACCCAGAGTCATTGGAATAGTAGATTGGGAATTATCAACACTCGGTCATCCATTATCCGACCTCGCCAATCTTTTGACCCCGTTTAGTTATATCAATCCCGAAGTGACGGTGCCGGCTGAATTCTCAGCTCATAAATATAATAACGACCTAAAAAATTTGCCGGGAGTCCCTAGTCCAGCGGAGTTGTTGGGATGGTATAAGGATATCGCCGGGTGGGATCCAACTCCGGATATGAACTTTGCATTCGCGTTTACGTTGATGAGGGGTAGTGCTATTTTCCATGGGATTGCTGCAAGGTATGCCATGAGGGTTGCGAGCAGTGCTCAAGCTTACGAGAACGGAGAGAAGAGGTGGGGGTATAGTGAGCTTGCGTGGGAATATACCAAGAAGTACGAGGAGGAAGTTGAGAGTAGAAAGAAAATCGAGCCCAAGCTGTAGGTGGGACATAGCGGTGTATTATATCTCGCGTGCCTCTTTCTTTTCTTAGGTATACATATATTTTTGTTTTTATCCGCCGGGCCAGGTTTTATCAGCCTCGAATCCAGGCGGCTTTTTTTATAACTAGAAAGAAATTCACAGGAAGCATGGACGAATCGCAGCAGCAATTAATTCTGGTTTACGAGATAAGGATGAATGCAGTTGAATCATGATTATTCATTATATGTTCGCTTTGAAGCTATGCTAAGGGAATCATCATATACATTTCAAGGAAAAAAGTACAAGGGAAAGGAAACCGCTTAATGCGTCATAAACGTATGTATATATATACCATGCATCCATTAGCCGTCCCGGTAGAAACAAAGACAAAAGAATCATCAAATCATAAACAGTCCGACAAGCATCCAGAACAATGCTCCTCCAACCACATAAACACCTTTATTGATCTCCACCCGTCCACCAGCACTACATCTATACCCCAAACTCTCCCAATAAGCACAACCACGTGGTGCATAAGTCTCCTGAGCCACAATCCTAACGACCTGTGGCTCTTGGTATATAATGGTAGTAGCAGGAGGTTGTTGGTATACCACCCAAGTAGTATAAACCTGAGGCTGATAAATCGTAACTACAGATGTGATAGGTGCGACTTGAACCACCACTGTCGACGGGGCAGGGTAAACGTATGCTACGCTTTGTGAGATGACAACATTACCGCACTGGCCATCTCCACCATTCCCGGGGGACCCATCACCAGAGTTGTAATTCCCACTGTTCCCGTTACCACAGTTGTAGTTCCCAGAATTACCGTTGCCGGTATTGTAATTTCCGGAATTACCACAGCCGGAATTTTGGATTCCAGAGTTTGTACAATCTTGTCGTTTTTCTAAGTCACTTTCCTCGCTGCCTTCTTCGACTTCATCTTCTTCCGGATAGTGGACATCCCAGGCTGGTGGAAGAGGCAGAGGTGTGGAGGTTTTGGCATATATTGTTGTCGTTACTGCGGGGAGGTGAGTTGTTACCAGTGTTCCTGGTTGTGGCTGAACACCTTCTTCGGATGGAGAAAGCGGAGATTGAGAGTTATCGACCCAATTGGTGTAATGAGAGATGGATGTGAGAAGACGGTTCCAGATTGGAGAGGGGGAAGCCGTGGCTGTGGATATGGAGAGGGAGAGGAGGAGGAGGTTTGTTGGATGCATTTTTCCTATTCTTGGCTTCTTCCTTCTTTTGTCCTTCTTCCTAGGTTGGTTAAAAATGAGCTGGGTCCCGTGTGTATATAATAGTTGTATGTGGGGGGAGGGGTGGTGAAGCCCTGAATGTGGATCGTGATGGGCGAGTTTGTAAGTGATAGAAGGTGTGTTGTGGTGTTGCAGTTTTTCCTGGACGGTATACGTTCGACTTGGTCTGAGCTTTTGTGGTGAATCAAAGTTAGGGCGGACTATTATGCCGTCGCCGAAAGGGCAGTATTGACGGATGCGGACTGTCTTTGGCAGACAGTTAAATGAGCTGAGACCGATCCTTGGATGGATGTATGTATGTATTCCCCCTTTATCCTAATTTTTACGTTCCTCTTGAAGTTGAAAGTGAGAAGCAGTGACCTTTTTTTTGGCACTTTAAATTTAGTTAAGCTATAAGTTAAGTTAACTATAATGTCAAGGTGAAGTCGCAGGTTGTTTGCTTCCCAGATGCCGGATGGTGGTAACCTGCAGCACGAGCGTCGCACGAAACGAATGTTTTCCCGTCTCAGATCTTAATGTTTCCCAAAAGATCTTTTTTCCCTCGCAGTGCGGAATTTGGGAAAATAAAACTTGGAGGTCGAGATGGATACAACTTGCTGGAATGAATATCCTGACGGAAATGGAATTGGTGAAACCGGACGGGAGATCAAGTCGTGATAAGGCGAGAGCACCTTGAGGATAGAAAGCTGTCCAAAATACTCAAATGCTATATGGTAAAGAAAAATTCGACGGTGGAAGATGAACAGGGAAGTTGCGTTCGAGCCGTGATGAGGTCACCAGGTGTATGCGATGGGTCACGGTCCCCTGTCTATCTGTACGTCCTCCACAATATCTCAACAAGAAGCTGCCGACAGGAAGTTCGAAATCGATAAGAGAAGGGAATAATAAGAAAGGAGAAACAAAAAATAAAATAAAATTTTAGACTTGACTTGGTGGAGGAAGAACTTAAGTACTAAACTAGTAGCAACTGAGGAAGTCGTAGGGCTGGGAAGGAGGTTTCTCGGTTTCTTGATTCCGATCACGAACGCCTGGCAGGTGGGCGCTGCTAGCTTGATCTAGCTCTGCGCTCACTCTCAGCGCAGCATGGCAGGTCTTGGTTGGCTAAACCCCGAAACTAGCATTTTTTTTTTTTCCTCTTTTTTTTTCAGTCTGATGGTGAATATCAAGGATTTCAAGCCACTGGCCATTGGCAGCAGGGTACTGCATAGCATAGGCAGAACACTCTTGAGTGTAACAGAATCAGGAGGTCAGAAATGGAGAAGCCTGATTTGACCTGTGAGCGTACGCCTTTCATCAAGAGCGCCTGCACAGTTGGAGGGTCCTTGCATCGTGCAATGTTCCAAATTTGGGGCTTCCTTCTCATGCTCAGTCCGATTCCAGATTTCAACGTGTACACGTAAAATCACTGGCCAACACAGCGGGTGTGGAGCTTACCTTGCCGCTCCGCTGTCTGGCGCATTTTTCTTCTGAATGGATGGATCTCAATGATGGAGGCTAGGCCTTCTTAGGGATCTTCTGGAAATCAAGGAGGTTGGAAATGGGGTGAGGTTGAGGATGTGTCTCGCCTGAATCGGTTTAGGCGCATTTCCCGGACAAACCAACCGAGGATGTTTGTGTGATCTGGTTCGCTGTCGGCTGCGGGCGGGAGTAATTTATGCTTCTTGGTGGACGTCATCGCATGACAATGCTGGCTAGGCTTATTGGCTAGGAATTGATCCGTTATATCATGAAGCATTCGAATAGAACTTTATCGTGAACAGGGCCAAAACCTTTGTCTATAGCCATTAATACTATGATTAGCTGTAAAACGGGAACATCCCAGGCCTGAACACGATTGACCATAACTTAAATTCTTTGACCTAATATAGAAGGCCTGAAGACCCTTTTCCTAGGCCGGCTGGGATTCGCTATCGACAAGCATAAGCTAAATATTGATTCAATGCATGCATGGTAACCCACGCGCGGTCACTGGGGAAAGGGCGTTCGCGTTTTTATCGAGGAAAATGATGAATCAGATAAGATGATGTAATAGATACCTGTTCAAGGTAATGGCCCCGCATGGAGGAACACAAGTCCGACCCTTTCTTTCTTTCAAAGTTCTATAATATAACATTAGTAATTATTCGTGACTCAGAATTCATTCGATAGCTGGATGGCCTGGCAGACAACGCGCGTTATTGCGAAATACAACATTTTAGTGCTGTTTTGGGTAGATGTCCCAAATAGCAAGTGACTACGCAAGGATCCTCTTATGAAGACTTCTAACTATACGGAGTTACGCGTATACGCGATATGGGATGAAGTTACTTGTATAAAACGATATATATAAAGTAAAAGTTTATAGAACTAGAGATTGAAATCACATTCATACTCTTCTATTCCAAATATATCAATATCTTATCTAAACCAATTATACGATCTGCGATAACTTCATATACGGACCACTCCTACTCATTTGTTAGTGAATTCGGTTTTCTCCTGCCGTCATGTCTTTCAAAGAGTAAGCCATTTTTATATTTGAAATTCTATTATGTGTTGAAATCGCCATATCAAAGCCTCAGGGCTAACTTGCATTCACATTTAGAACCCCATTTTACACTTTCGCCCCACCAGATATCACAATAGTCGCCAAAGACCAAGCGTTCCGCGTCCACGATTATGTCTTATCACCACAATCAGAGTTCTTTAAAACCGCATTGCAATCCGAAACAAAGGAAGCCTATGAAAGATGCATTAAAATATCCGAAATCCAGCCCAATGTCATGACCGAGGTCTTGAACTGGCTATACAGAGCACCACTCACCTCGCCCCTAGATACTGGCGACACCGCCTTCTCCACTTCCTCAGTAGCAAAGATGAAGGAAATACTACAAGCCCACGAGTTCCTTCAAATTAAAGGTGCTACGAGGGAGTACTGCAAATTCATTGAAGATGAGTTGCAGAAGTTGGGGACTGATCCGACCGTTCGTCATCCACGCGAAGACGGCAACGGAACGTTTCTTACATTCCACCGCAATTATACGAGCAATATCGCAGAGCTTTTGAATGAAATTTACAGATCCGGATGTACAGTTAGTAAGGAGGCCATTGCGAGATTGATTGCTACTATTTCTTACGATAACAACGGGAATGAATGTCGATTATCGAGGTTTGCGACTGCGGTAGAGAAGCTACAGGATCCCGATGGGAGGTTCTTTCGGGATATTTCTCTTGCACTAATTGCTCTGAGGATGGCTAGATAGGACGAACTCGAGTTGCCAACCCTGTTTCGGGCCTCAACTCTCGTGGCAATGGTTCCTCGAACGCCGCCATAGTGCCAAAGGTTGTATATACATGCAATACTTGTGTTTGACCATAGTATGTAATCAGAAACGGCGTATCGTCTTCCATCTTGCGGACTCTCTACACCAAATTCGTGTAAACTAGTTTCCCTTTTTAATATGATCCCTCCTTTCTTTTTAGCCCTGATGTTACACACATATATATTCCTTTCGGGCCCATAAGATATTTCTCAAATACAATACTTTATAAGCTCTGCGTTAATATGTCAGCATCCGGCTTTCTAAAAAAAAACCGCGGCGAGCTGGTCATCTGCGGCGAAAACATCATATCCGCGAAAAATAGTTAGCGGTAAATATCCAAGAAAAATAACATCCATAGTATGAGCTGTTAGCCCAATCTACCTGCTCACCGAACGCTAGCTCTTAGGATCTCTCCAACTTCTTCGAACCTCCGCTCCTTGTCATACATCATCATTGCCACCGTTTGTTTAACGTTCTGATCGACCAGGCCCCTGACCATCTTCAAAGTGACAGCCATGTCATGCTCCGGCCCAAGTATGTTTAAGATCTCGGCAGTCCGGTCAAAGTAGTTTTCCATGGATTGCCTAATCGAGGTATGTCCAGCCTGGCCAGGGTGGTGTGGCTGTTTGAGTGATGAAAACTTCTAGACTTTTATAAAGCTTTAAAGGGCTTATATAATTATGGTTTCGTAGAATAGGTACTCCCAAATTCTATAAGCTAATTTCAAGCGGAAAATTTTTTCTCAAGCGTGTAGATTTTTCAGGTCGCAAAAAAAAAAGTGGGGAGGGGGGAAACTTCCTAGTCATAGAGCTACAGCTACCTCAAATATAGATATTTAATATTATCGGCGGAGTTGATATGTCGAAACTACGTGTCGATCCCGGTATCTCTCTTGTCTAGGTTACGAAACTAGCTCCTGTCCTCCCCGTGCATTGCGCATTGATTGCTGAAATATTGCTGGGCATATTGAGAAACAGCCCAATTGGGCTGAATTTGAGAAAAGCACAGAGCTGGTGCGTCTCCCACGAAGTCATACCAATGCACAATACTAGACCTCTTAAGAATCGTAGCCCTAAAATAATGCGAAAGCTTTCCCTTTTTGTTGCCATGACTTTAATGAAAAACTTTGTCTCATGAGAAACCTCTAGCTAGGTCTAGGTACGAGACGAGGAAAACTTAACAAGCAACAGGATACCTGCGTTTTTCAGCCATAAACTAACCTTATCAATAAGCCAAGGGTCAACTAGATTGATTCTAGAATACTAACAAAGAGGCTCTTGGGCCCCGGCATCAAAAAATCTAGTCTCATATCTGTTAACTTTCAGTACCATGGTTGGAGGTGTTATGAATAATGTATCTGCGCGGTAATGCACAAGGATACGAGTCATTTTCGACAAAAAACCCGCAAATTTTTCTTTTAATTTACTTGTACTGAAGATTCACCTCGCTAAATTCCTTTATATCTATTGCAGTGTATGTATGCTGAGGTCATAATCTGTGCCGCCTCCTTACTCTGATGCCAAGTCATATAAAACCCCTAAATCCGGTACTTTCGTAGTAAGTATTTCATAGTGAGCCAAGTTTCTTAACAAAATCCAGTAAAGGTGAGTAATCTGAAGCACAGGAAGTGCTTATTGTATCGTGTTCATTTCCTACATTTGTAATCTGGATGTCTGAGCGCAGTTCGAATTACGATTGTTTTCACGAGTATGTAATGCGACTGCCCTGCGCCTGAATTGCCACCACTAGCACGCTGAATTAACGTGCCCAATTAGGTCTGAAATACTATTTGGACTCTCTAAAATATTATTAATAATAGGTCTAAAGGAAAAACGATTGAAAGTTCCCACTTGCAAGGCTGGAGCAGTAGGTGAGGGGGCCCATTGAGTGGGCATAAAGGAGCTAATGCGAACAAAGCTCCTGTCGCAGAAACAATATAACAAGAATCTGAGGCTCAAGTCTCGTTACTTCACAATGGATTCTGCACTATTGTCACAGTCGTTCTCCGCAGTATTTGCTAAGCCCTAGAGCCCTATAACCTTTTTGGACGGCACGCCTGCGACAACTGCTGGATGGATGCTACACGCAACGCAAATTGGGTGTTGGATTTCTGGCACAGCAAGCCCGTATTCTGCCTTACCACACAGCCTAAATTCTAGAATAAACTAAAGCATTAAAAGGTCTGAAAGTTGATGCGACTAGTGAGGGATCTATTCTCATTCTTCTAAGATCGTGGTGGAGATCCTAGCTAGAGTCTTATTTCAAGCCCCCACCTACAAAAATTTGAAAGAGTTAGTGATAATTTTGGTGTTGACCAGGTTTCTAGGTTTGGGTCATCTCGTAAACCGAGAGTAGTAGTTCGGGGTTATACGAGTTATCCGATTCTTTTTACTAGGGTGTGACAATATTTGGAAAGGATACTATAACATTGCTGCTGATTAAATCTATGACTAACAAAACGAATCAACAAAACATGTAAAAATAACGGCGAAGGAAAATGCGACGCTTATGTATCTAAGGAAACAGTACAGTGAATATTCTAGAAACGGAAGCCAGGCGAATGACAGTGGTGCAAAGAAAAATATCTGAGAAAAAATTTGGAAGAATTAAACAGTAAAGAGAATGTATGTTATAATGCTGAAGACAATGAAGCCGTTCAGCTTGGAGGAAATCGTGGTTGAGAAGGAAAATTAGAAGAATCGTTAAAAAATGAATAAAAATAAATAAAAAGAAAAGTTTCGTAGAAGAAAAGGAAATAGAATTTGAAGAGAGAAAGGAATAAAAGCTTGCTACCAGAACATGCTCAGAATACCCTTGTTAAATCTTGGCTACGCCTCTTTCTGGACAGCGTCTTTAGAGGTTTCTTAGTTTATTCAAAGCCATCTTGCTAGCTGTAGCCCTAGCCATCTTCTTTGACTTAGCCCAATCCGGGGACTCTGCTATGAACCCCCCATCGATGCTGACGGAACTGAACCATTCAATGAAATCGCCGTTTTTCTGATTGTCTGTATCTAAGTATACTGGTTGGGCCCAGCGTCTCTTTTCGCAGAATTCTTTCAGTTCCTGGATGTAATCACCCGCGCCTCGGCCAGCGCCGTGAGATGTACCATACGCCCCAAAGTCAGGGGCTGCAGTCCCAGGACGAGCGATCATATATGGATCCGCAAGTCCGTAGCCAGGATATCCGGACGAACTATATCCCCCACGTCGAGAAGGAGAGGCGAATTGGGCATTTCGGCTATCCCGGTGGGAGTCGATGTATTGGTCATAGTTGTTCTTACACATCATGGCGTAGGGCTTAATCAAAAAGTAGAACCAGTCTCTGAGACTTGAGTAGCCCTCCGCCCCACGGTTATGATATAAGCCCCCAATATATGCTTCGAAAAGCAAAGCGAGGGGTTGTTCGTCTGAATAACGGTCTGCAGGAGCAGTTGGAAGACATTGTGGGAGGTCAATGCGTTGACAAACGTTGGAGAGAACGACAGAATCAAGGAGAGCTTCCCGCATTGCCTATTATTCATGCAAACACCATGAAAGTTAGTATGTTGTGAAACTACGGCCACAGATACACCGCCTAGGCGACAGTGCATTGCAACTTATGACACCCAGATTCAATTCGAGGGAGGGAGCATGGATGAGGCTTACCAATAAACCACTCTCGGTGTATTCAATAAATTCGAAGTATAGAAAGTCACTGACAAGCGCCGTTAAAATACCATGTCCGAGGTACTCTATGCGCTCGTTTTGCCGGACATCAGAGGGATCCAATGGGCTGCGGCCAATTTTAGGGAGAACCACGAGACGCCAAATCTCGGGATCGGTAATTCTAAGCATTTGTGGGGGCCAGTTTTGAGAATAGTCATCCGCCGGGTCGATACAGGGGAACCTGGAATACCATGGCGAGCCAGAGCGAGACTGAGGGGGTGATCTGTTGCTAGAACTCGCGGAATGCATGATTCTTTGATTTTTATCCTTTGAAAAATCCTTTGGAATTTAGAGAGCTGGTTGCACAAAAGCTTGAAGCTAAGGAGCCGTCCCGAACAATCAGTTAGAGTTGACCAAAAAAAACGGACTTTTGTTAGCAGCCGATAGCTCCTGGAAAGGACTTACTATTGTTTCTCCTCAATTAAGGTCTTGAAATACTGGAACGTAAATACGAATTGTTTGGGCGCAACTAGCTGCGGAAAAGATTGAGAAAGATCGGATTAATCTTAAGAAGACAATGGTAAATTTGCGAGTGGTCTGAAACTAGATAATGAGATAATATAGTAATCGATGATTAGGGATTGCTGTATTCGAAGCGACAGAACGTGGGATTTATACCCATTGTTCTTGAACAATGGGTACCATGGTTGCTTTTGCACCGTGCCGTAGAGATGCCATGGTGATATGAGTTCGATTTTCAAATTTGACGGTCTCTGCCTGATGACATCGGATGTGAGAGGTATGGATGGGTATTTGATCGAGTGGTTAGCGGTCACAAGATTTCGAAAGGAGTAATGAGAATCCAAAATCTCCAGCGTCAGTGCCGCGGTGGCGGCGGGCGAGGCAGGGTACATTCGCCACTAAGCGTTCCGAGAAATTTTAAAAGTGCGGGAAACTTGAAGCTACGTAGCCTTAGCTTGGGTATGACTGTTGAATGGGCGAAACCGCACATTCGCCTACGCCGCGCTTTGGCAGCGAGTACAGAGGGTATTTTACAAGGATATAGACTTCTAAGTCGCTTCTACTGCCTGAGGCCTGTCCATAGCCGATATTTTCAGAGAATCGGTGCTAAATCTTTGATTCAAAATCATTTGAACCAATGAAATTTCATGCAAATTTTAGTGTGTGAAGCAGGTCACGTAGCTCGCAGGGACTCGCCTGTGCCGACGGTAAGAAACAAGGATCCTAGGATGTGAGACTCAATAAAGTGGTCTCAAACGCAGATATTCGAGTATGTAAGCCCCTCAAGTAAGGCCACCTTCAAGATGGCGTGGATTGGATCGAAATGAGTTCAATATGGACAGGGGTTCATCGTAGGTCCACATACAATACAATGCAGCTTGTACAGTGACAAGTGCCCCGGAATTTTACTTGGCAGGCATACTAAGATATTGAATCCAAGTTGTCGGGTCGCCAAAGGATTTCATTCGACACGCTTCAATTTGCTTGTAAGCAATATACCTCCAACCCAACGCAGTTAGATCGAAGATATCTAGATTCAAGTTGAGGCGGCGGATTCTTGGTTTAACTTGGCAGTACACTCTAGGGCCATGGCAGGTCCCGTCAGTATTGTTTGAGAGAAGCGATCGCAAAGCCTCATGCGCAGTGAAACTATGGTTCGATGTTGCTTTGATCATTGATAATGAAATCTTTGACGAATGAAATCCTTGCCACGAGCTGCACAGCCAGAAAGCTGGCAAACAACAAAGCTGAATTATTTTTTTTGAGCAGCTCGCAACAGCGTTCTGTGCCCTACAATTAAACAAGTCCCGGGCATGATAAATTTGAGGAAGATCGCGATCGCCCTAGGACGGATGTAGTAAGGGGACTTGGTGCAATGGATCTCTCAGCCCAGTGAGAAATTATCTTTTAACGAACAGGATGCAAACCCGACGAGGCAGTGACAATGACTGCCGGCTTTAGCCCACCAAAAATCAATTGTCGAAATATGGCACAAGACCCCTAAGCTAAGCTAAATCGATCCATGGCGTATGCGAAGGGCGGCCGCGGATACTCGTTTGGCTTCAAATGATATTAGCGTCAAGACTTATAACAGGGCATCTCGCCTGAACCATGCTAGATCCACTCTGCTAGTAGCAAACAGACTAGAGCTTCGACCGAAATGCGGCGTATAATATGAGAAACTCCAGAATGTCGAAACATATGCGAGGTCAGTTCGCTGCACAGCTTGACAGACGAACATGTGGGATGCATTCATGCGCAGGTAGACGTATAGGCTGCCTTACTTTCGATCTCCAAGCGAATAACCGTCAAGCAAACAATATGATTGTTTGCCGCGAGTCTACAGGAGCTCCCTAGTCCGCAGACGCTGGTAGGCGGTGCCGTATGGAGGGGAGTGGGTACGAACAATAGGCTTGTTTGGGTTCCCCGCTAAAATCGCCAACACGGTTTGCAGCCAGCGCCTTGTTGGAACCGCCCTCCTGCTTTCGCTTCAATCACGTGATTATCCACTTGGAGGCCAGGGTCGCATTGATCCGTCGCCCAATTTGGTAACCTCCTAGTCATATCCGCCAATAGGAACGTTGTACAAGAGAATCCTGAAGCAGCTCAGAAAACCGCGGCGCTACCACGTTTCAGCTTCAAAAGAAATAACTCCCAGCTCCAACATGATCATAAATGGTGGAGAACCTGAGGTCGACCGATCGCCTGTGAACTGACTGCGAAACGACTAGTTCACCGGCTCCTAGAATACATGTACATATACATGTGCCATTGTGTTGATTGGGAAGCTTTGAAGGATGTCTGGTTTCGGGATGTATGGATCTAGCTGATATTCCATAAATCTATATATGGCACAGCCGTACAGGTGCAAGTTCGGATTCTAGGATCCGAATTTCGGGGTTCCCTCGATCAGGCCTCAATTGTTCTACGAATCAAATGATATCATGCTTACTGTATCGGTCTATCCCACCCATGGAGGATCAGAATCCAGGCCAGCTGTTCGTTTCTTAGATGTATATCGGTGGCACAGATATCAGGCCCACAAAAGGTTTGATTTGGGTTCCGGCCTTAGCTTAGCCGATTCCCTGGAGCTCCTTTTCAGCTTACCCTTCGTCGAGGCGGTGAAAATTTTTTGAATCCACGGAAACTATTAGTGGGGATTACAAAAGGATAGGACTAATGGGAAGTGCGGTCTGGATGTAAAAATGCTCAGGTGAAATTTCCAAAGTGTTCATAATATCTCGAGAAGCAGCGGTAATATGCACATAGGAGGCGTAAAGTCCTTTGAATTTATATCCCACCATAATATAATACCGTTTTAAATTGTGATATGTACATACATACGACAGAACTAAAGGCACAATCGATCAGTACGATGTACTGCCATCAGGGATTGTAATTCAAATCAACGGATATATACATTCCTGCACCATAAGTATGCTATCTTTTGGGTGTACATGTGTGGACCGGGTTCTTCTGTGCCCCAGATCCCTTGATAATCACATGGCTCCTACTCAATGTATGACTAAAAGAGATGGTGTAGCACAGACTTAGGGGCCTTGCATTCGTATTCCATGGGTATATGCGCAGTACTGTGGCCTCGAAATCTCAAGATGTTAAAAGAATCCGAAATTATTACGAAGCTCCGTGACAATGAGTAAGGATAGTACGATACAGTATGGTGACCAATACCACCGATCCCGAGTTCGGATTGAAACTAGGCTAAAGGCTATCACACCCATATTTACGTAAACCAAATTTAAAAATATTTGTTTCATTTGCCCAAATAATGTACAGAATTAATTCCCCCAAAAGTTTACCAACTCGTAGTACACCATCAATGCGAGAGCGTTGACTTAGTATTATAGTGGCAGGCCGTAGCTTGATCATGATCATTCCTCCTTTTGTGGCATCTGTGAACAAGCCTAGGCTAGTGAGATAGTCACAGACATATGTATATGCCTACATCATTCTAGTAATCAACGCTAGTATTAGCCTATATATAGCTATACGAAGCCTCCGATAGTATAGGCCATACTTGAGCCTTAGGTCGTTGATAACCGACGTCATAAATACGACTTCTACCAAAAGTGCACGATTTTTATTTTTAAACAAGTTTTATACGTAGAAAATCCGTAGGCCAAGGCGAAAATACTGTAAGACCATAATCAAGGTCGATATCTACTTTAGCTGGGAAAAATGTGTATCTTTTCGCGTGCGTCTTGCCTTGCATAGATTACGGTTACGCCGGACGCGAATAAACCTAGCAGCCCTACAAATAAGACATCGTTACGCGGAGATCCATAACTTGGTAGCTGCCATCTAACCTCGGGGCGGTGCTCCAAGCAGCAAGTTCTTCTTGCTGTGCCGCGCGGCATCGGATCTTCTCAGGGGGATCCTACATACAGTCGGCAGTGCGCGGGGTGCTTAAAATCGAAATCACGAGGGTGCTCGAATAAGATATATATATAGAGATGACTCCGAATAAATACCTATTTTTTTTAGATATATATTTTTAATTTTAATGCACAAAATTACATATGCGTTCCATTTGTCATGTCGCAACAGCGAGGCAGTGGTGTTGCATGTTGAAGTTGTTAGCTGTATGTATGCTATATATGCATATTTGATGTCTATCTAGAAAGCTTAGACCCAGCCTATACGGCGAATTTTGAGCCTCATCAGCTCGTAGAACTCATTTTCAGAAACTACTGCCACAGAACTATTAATATGTATTGAATTAATGATGTTTCGGATTTGAGGGTCAACCAGTACTTTGTGTGGTCGGCCTGATTGTGCATGCGTATGCATGAGTAAGACGTTTCGAGTTATGTTCGCAACCTCAAGACAAGTCGACCTATGTTTGTGCATGCACAACCGATGCAGAGTCAAAAATCACATGAGCTCAACTGGGTGAGAATTACTTTACGATGACATCGTTTTCTGCCTGATATGGCGCGATGGTCAATGGTCCAATTAATTACCAGTATATCTTTATTAGCACTCCCAAAATTAGTAGATATTATATTATATTATGCAATCAGCCATGTTTTAAATCGAGATTTGCTTCTATATAGAAAGCTTAGTAGTGACATGATGACCTAGCCCCTAGGCCTGTCAATCATTTTGAAAACTCAGTTAGGAGCTAACAGGTGCCAGGTGAAGTATCGAAATCTGCCAAAGGGATTACTAAATCAATACTACGCGCCTGGGTTTCTTAATTTTACCATCAGTATGGGATCGAGGTGTTTCCTAGCTTTCCGCACTCCCTTAAATTTGGTAGAATGTTTTCAACCCATAAATTTATATAAAGTGTAGCTGCGACCGTGACGCTTTACGCTATGTCGGTAGCATTATATATGGAAATTTTGTGGCTTCCACAAGCGCAAGCTCCGCCACGGGGTTATGCAAAAATGCAAGAAACCTTCACTCAGGTTGTTTATTGACCCTCCATAATCTGACTAAGCTGATGGCTAGTGGTCCTTGGCTAGGGGTCCTGGGGCAGACGCGACAGCGAATGCATGCTACAACTTCGGTCATGACGAAAACATTCCAATATATTAAAATGGTCAAAATTGTGGAGACTCTGTATATATATTAAATCGCTAGACTAGCTAATCGACTCCCATACCTAGATCAATTAATAACAAGCATATAAACATAGCAAAAGAACCGGCCGGCCGCAAATCAATTGTCCTTTAAACACCGAGCGCTACAAACATACAATGACAAGAATTACCAATTGCGCAATGCGCATACCAAAACTACCTATCGTTTCCCAGGAGTTTCACCAACATTGGCTGTCGGAGCGTGAACAAGCTTTCTCAAGCTCTCTGTTTCGCTACCGCTATCCCTGTCCCTGTCCCTCCCTGTTATCTCTATATTCTGCTCAATCACTGTCGTTTGTTTTATACCCCCCATAGATGTCCCGGATGTTAATTGAACTAACGTAGGTTTTCCATGAACTGAACTCGAGTTTTTGTAAAGCGGTTTAATATCTTCACCACTAATCCTGGTGCTATACCTCGGCTGTTGGGTATTACCACCTGAAATCCCTACATCTCGAAACCCCATTTCCAGTTCCTCATCTGTGGTAGTGATACCCATGTTGTTGTTCCTACTCCGTTTAACCTTATCAGAGAAGACACGTCCACCGCCGCCACTGCTTATTTTCTTGCTACCATATGCATTCCTATAATCTCGATAACTAGGTGGCTGAGACCCAGCAGCGGTCGTACCGAAGATAGATGGTGCAACGAGGGAAACGAGTGGCTTAAGGGCCGGGAGGCAGGCGCAAACGATCGATATGTTCATTTCAATAGCGGACCAATATGCAGTTGCGGGCTGGTCCCATGTAGGGTCCGTAGATCTGGAGAGGATGATTAAAAAGCGAAGACGCAGGATTGAGACGATGCAGATACTGTTTTATGCAAGAGTTAGCTACTTCTTGTTGAATTTGATAGACCAGATAACTAGTAGGAGTCCTCACAAGAAACCAAGTGCAAAAATCATCATTAGTGGGATCTTTTGCCTTCTTGGCATGTTGAGTTTGACCACAACGGGCAGTGGGAGAATGGCAATGCTGAAGTCGGTGAAGATGTTGAGGCCGGCATTGGCGAACCACAGGGCCTCCCGTGGGATACATTTGGCAGTCTTTTTAATTGTTATTGATTGTTATTCATCGGTTTTAAACTTATGACACGAAAGGTCTAAAACTTACCGGGTCGCCTGTCCAAAACGCTTCCACCGGGATACAGTTAAAGATCGCTGTTAGAATAGCTTCGGTTGCATATCCAAAGACTATAAACATCATCACATATGCCGCAATTCTAAACACTTTGCTGGTGAATATTCTGAGGTATTGTAATAGGATCGCGGTTTTTGTGAGAGTAAGGCTGAAGTTGTAAGCGACAATACTGGCGAAGAGGTACTAAGAAGGCAGATAGGGTTAGCCGCTATATTCAGGTAGCTAATATCATGGAATGTATTTAATTTTTCTTCAGATAAAGGCCTACCTTAAGAGAGGTACTCCAGTCTGCCAGATCAACTTCGGCGAAATGTCTTCCAGTACCATATTGGACCTCTACATTACTTGGTCAGATCGGTTATCGATAAATTTGGATAGCATTGCGAATTCAAATCAGTGCGGTCCACTCACGGAAAACTTGACAGACACCTGTAACTATCGAGGCAGCCTATACAGATACGCCCAATATTTTGTTAACATATTAAATTTTCTGCCATTGATAATTATTACCAATTGTTAGACAGACGTACCATGGCTATAACCAAGAAGTAATCCTCTAATCCTGGTCGCCGAATGATAATGAATCTCGTCACGGCCCGTAACAGTACAACTACTAAGGCAAAGGCTGTAAAAGTGATAACAATCGCCGCTGTCATCGGCCCACGGCTTTCCCCAGAGGGAGGGGCAACTGGACGGCCTTCACTCATGTCTTCTTCGAAGCTTCTCGCCTTGACGCTCTAATATCTTGTCGGCTCCAACAAGAATAATTTAGATTGGCGCAGTATTGATATTGATATCGATATCGCTATAGGTGTTGGAAAGTCTTCTATCGGCCCTGTTGGAAGGCGACCTTACAACCGAGTTCTCCACTACCTTAAAAACGCCGACGCTAAAATTGCATAACCGACAGATATATAAAAAAGAAGAAATTCATACAAAGAGAGACATGATTTCAAGAAACAAGAGGGAGAAACGGAGGCTATAAGTCTTGGTTGAATACCTTTCTACACGGACCCTCACTTGGCGTGTCTTGACCTCCTTTGCTCCTCGTCATGATATTCTCTCTAGGCTGGTCCAGTAGACACCGCAATCAGCACAATGACCGCACACACGGCCTGCTTTTTTTCTTTCGGGTGCCAACCCGTCGACCTTGTTGGATCATGCAATAATCCCAAGAGGGAAAGATTTCACTGAATTTATCGCACTCCTTCGTCCCCTTGCGTTGATTTTTTAGTGCCATCAATCCCCTTGTCTCGTTCCTTCTATCCATTGGAGCCCTAGGATGAATGCGCAATTCATATCCCGTATTCATCCATAATTTTGCCTGTTGGTAGAAACCTTGACCATTTAACGATCAAGAAAGATAATTTTACAAGGTTAAGCCCGTCTCAACGGATAAGCGAGCCTCCTTACACAACAATATGTACAACCAGCTGGGAAGGAAAGGACAAATTAAATTTTAAAACCCCCTTCCTGTGAATAGTCAATGCAGGAGTGATGAAGATCTTTCAGGTCGAAGCAGCTGAACACTTACTAATTAGTAATTAGTACGTGGATCTAGATTCTTGACATGTGGATAAACCCCTTGGATGTGGGTATGTTGATTGTGGTACGTTTCGCAATTATCCAGCTGGACTTCACTTCTGGGCTTGGAAGATCTAGAGGTTTTCGAGTCCGTGGATGTTTTATAAAAGCAAGAGATTTGCAGCATGTTCGCGCAGTACATACCTAGGTAACTTTAGCCAGTTCTAACAAAAACGGTTAAAATAACGCATCTCAACCATGATATCAGACAAGTTTGTGACGCACCTGCGAGGGTGGGGATCAAAAAGTCGCTTGTAAATCTCGTAATCTACAGAACCTCTGCCAGCGAGGTCTATGATCAGTGCACATATCTCTACCACTACCAAGCCGCTTGTCTGCTATCAACGCCCCTGCATTATGGGCTGTGGCCAGGGCGAGATTGATTACTTCAGCAATTTTGCCACCGGGAAAATATGACCCGGATAAATGGTTCCTGGCATGCGAAGCTTGTCCGTGGAACGATTATATCAAAATTTTGAGATTTAAAAGCGGGGAAGGGGACGGAAGTACGGGATTAAGCTCATTTAGAGCTCCGCTTTACAACGTTTTTGGAAATGCGATTCTATACGCACGATCTGGGGTATACGGCAAGACATGGTTAAATTGATTTCAATTGCAAACTAATGACCGATTCGCGCGATATACATGTGCAGCACCTCAGACCGCAAATACAAAAGCCGTTGCTCATAGTAGATTCCTTGTTAATGTGTTCTCCCTAGTTAGGCCCTCAGGACAAAAGCCCAAATGGGGGCATCAACTTTAATCGAAATCTCAATACCACCTTTTAGTATAGAGAAGCCTGGTCCACGGATCCAGCGACCGCGAAATACCCAGTCCCTCAATTCATGGCCAATCATTAATTTTATCGCCTATCTCCGCCGGCTTCAAGCAAGGGACAAGGGGCTGGAATGTTCACACATCACCACAAATCACGGACCGCTACTCCCCAACTGCAAGGGGGTTCCAACGTCGCCCGAGCGCTGCCATAGCCAGCACACTTATACATATATCTGTATTCTGTCCTAAATTCTCGGTCGATTACTGCTCTACACATAACGTTTAAATTCGTCTCTGTTTGGACAAATTCAGTTTTTGGTCGCGATGTATCTCGATAGCCAAATGAATTAACTGCAAATATTGTTTGATCTGCCCGCACAGATATGTCGACGTGTGTCTGTACGAGAGCTCAAGAGCTTCTCTAACGATGTAGCTTGCGCAACTGGCATCTGGTTTCCGGATTCATGCCAAGTTAAAGACGGCACCACTTATGCTCATAACTCAAAATACTTCCATTAAAACCTTCAATCCGACCGGTTAAATTAAAACCCAGTCCCAAATCGCGCCTGGGTAGTTTTAAAAGTTAGTGTCTTTCAGTCAAGTTGCTAGTTGTCGAGTACCGAAACTCAACCACGGGAATCGATACCCAGCCTTATGCAACACCATACCGCGGCCGAGACCTATGACGCTCGAATCCATGAATCTATCGATGCTTTAATTCTAAACTTTTTTCTTTACGGCGCCCCCCCCAAATTTTATCCGTTCTAAGGAAACGAATCACATAAATTCGGTCCTACAAGTGGAAAGGAGGTCTTGTACTCTGCCATGTTATAAGCCTAAAGGTTTGCATGCCCGCCCTGCAACTCCAACGGCCAACATGCATGCATAATGCATAAACCTAATCCATATATGCAAATACTTTATATATGATTGTAGACGAAATACATCTACCCCTTTTTGTTGCGCAAATGTCTAAAGACATATATGCATCAGAAATTGACGTCCGCGCACCGCCTGTTTATGCCGTTATGGTCCCGGCCTTTGTACAAGGAAGCAGGAAGTAAATGCATATATTGTTGTAAAAATAGGGGTTTAAATTAGAAGGCGAGAGGCTTAGTGGTCGCGATTATAAGCCTAGTGCACGTGCTTAGGAATATATAAATGTTGCATAATCATTACCAGTACGATACTTGACATGTATGTTCGAATGTTCACTGCGATTGAAAAAGAAATACAACTCCAAACCCAGCGGAATAACTTGAGGGAGCTAGAGCTGGATAGGCGGTGGCATACAACCGCCACGGTCTGCTTATTCGACTAAAGAAGAGGAGAAGGAAGTGCACGTTTAGATCGATGGCACATTAAATCTAGACACCCCCCATGCTTACTTATGATCTATCCGTCGCATTGCATACCATACGCATATACATTAGACCGCCACTATACACTGTCTATATGCTCTCCTCATATACCATATTATATACCTTACAAATACCGGATACACGTATAAGGCCCTATAGCTACTTGGTAAGAAGCGCCTGACTATATAACAACCCTGATCTACAAGGCTAAGATGGGTACGAGACAAGCTAAGATTGTATAGAGCGCACCTTCGAAATTGGCTAAACCTTGTCTCGTACCCAGACCTGGAAGGCTAAACCCATCGAAAGCAATATCACAAGGAAATGAGTGCCCAGAGTCAAGGAAGCTCCAAGACTCCATATTTCTATGACATGAATTACTCAAAATTATTTTGACGCGCATCTCAAAAAAACACAATGAATTAATCCAAAAAAAAATCCACAAAAATATCGATCATGCGAGAACCAATTAAGTAAATCGATACAAAAATGTGACGGCGGATGTTGAAGTGTACAGGTAGCATAGCATTGCCATTCGACAATAGTTCACAAACTTTCAAAAAAAAAAAATTAAAAAAAAACCTCCATATGGCCATGCATACAAATATTGAAAGTAATGAAAGGGGCGAAAGGTAAGGGTAAGGGTAAGGAAAGAATAGAACTCTGGCCATCTGGAAGTGGTGATGTTAAGGATGATTCGAACCCTTGTTCCGCGTCTATAGCTAAGTAATCAGACACGTAGGGGCCATATAAGTTTTAATTTCCCCTGTGACTATCTTCTGCACCGTCCACGACGTTTCCTCCGATACCACTTTGACCATTGTCGCTGTCGCGGCGTTTCAACACTTCGCTTTTAGTGTCGTCCTCTTCGCTAGGTAGAGTCCTCTTAGGATTCTCTTTTACGGAGTCCTCATCTTTTAGAGCCTCTCGCTTCTGCGGCTTACCGCCACGCACGTCCTTCCCCCCTCTCCATAGGATATTGGAATTACCTGGTGGAGGAACACGGTTAGGCCCTGATAAAGGAACTTCTGATTCAGATATTCTTCCCGGATTGTTGGCCATCCATGGAGGTTCCAGGTCAACGGGCCTCGGTGGCGCTTGTTCACGTGACCAGCCCATAAGGTCCCATGGGCGCCGTGGAACAGCTAGGCCATGCATTTCCCACCAATAATATGGATTGTCGTTCCGGATAGTTTCTGGTATTCGATCGATAGCGTCTTGGAAATCAGCAAGGGTTGCCCCCGGTATATTAGCTGTCGGCTGCACTAGCACTGCGGTACAGTAGCACCCTATGTACCAACGAAATTATTAGTCCCGAATGAAGTCAATAAGGAGAAAAAGGACAGATAACTAAGCGTTTAAGTGAGATGCGGGAAGAGTTTAGTTGGGGAATATCGAGACGGGAAGTTCTTCGTACCGAGTGCAACCGCGCATTTATCAGCTTTAAACTTGCTCGAACATCCACCCAATTTAGGCCGGAGCTCTACTCCGCCATGTTCGTTACACTTACAATGGCGAGAGCAATCTAGTTGGAAATGTTCAATCTCGGCCCAGCCGTCTGGTGGATGAGGAAACAAGACTCTCCAGTGAGGCCATTTATCTAAAGGGAACCCTACTACATTTTCGTGCGGGTCTATATTATATACCACTTTTGGAGAAGCACACTTGACCCTCGCTCTACCCTGTTTGTAGAAGAAACTTGGACTTATAACTTTCTTTACCCTTCTTCTGGCCTCCTCAGGACTCGTTTTAGTGACCTCCTCGACGGCGATAGTCTTAGTGGGAGGCTCGCTAGATTTTGAGCTAGACGTTCTGATAGTGTAGCCGGTGCTATTCACCCCTTTTGAGATAGGGGATGCTACTGAGCTCGGCGATTGAGATTTCGCGTGTGATGGTGGAAGAGTATTATTGGGGGTAGCTTGGTGACCAATGGTGCTCGTCACAGTTTGGTTGCGAGACTGGGCGCTGGCGTAGTTCACCTGGGCGGTTGCATTATGATAATATATATCCTGGTGGCCATCAGTTGAATTCCCTTGGAAATGAAGAGTAGCATTGTGGTAGGAAAGATGTCCGCGGTCGTCTGCTCTTAGAGCTACTGCGCACACCCCATAGGCGGCAAATCTAAATAACAAGTAGAATGTGTTTACAAGTTTTGAGGAGCGCATTGTATCCCGAGCGGAAATTGAAAAGGTTTTCGTGAACATCTTCGTCCATGAGAACCTGGAGGCGTATCAATAAGTAATATACCACGAGCCTAGGTGGCATTCGCGGGGTCCTTACACTTATGTAAAATAGCACGGCAGGATCTTGCCTCCTGCGCAGCCACTCCTTCGTAATTAGAATAATGTTATCTTTCCAACGTCGCGGTTTCAAACGAGCGCCGGCGGAATGTTGTTTGCAAATCCAAACCAGCACTGGAGGAAATCTAATTCCAGACGTCTAGAATTGCATGTTGGTTGCAGAATCAATCAACCTTGCCACATGACCTAGTAGTATACAGCTTGTTCACAGCTTTAGCCATTTTTCAGTTGTCATGCACGCACCAGGCCATAATGGCCGTAGAAGTTTCAAAAGAAGTCTTTTTTTTTCCATTGTCTCCTGTGCAGGTTGTTCGGATATTAGCTCATGGCAGGTTCACCGCCTCCCGAAACCCCACGCCCTCTGATTCTTTACGTTAAATTTGCATTGATAATTTCTACATCTACTCGCTATTTACTTATGTTGCCTTCAAACATGAGTATAATCTAGTCTCGGGGCCAGAGCTGCCCCAGAGTATAATCCTAAATCTTTGACACTAAATCTAAGCCTCATTGAAGAAGGGCCCTGCCTTCTTTTACATGAGCCTCTTGGTGGGTTTTGGTCGGTTGGATTCTCTGTGAGGCGAAGCAACCCCACTCTGTGTGTCATTCAGTGTTGCATTTGGGGGTTGTGCTGTGTTGTCGTAACTGAGCCGTGACTTCAATAAAAACCGGTCATCCCCTTTTTTCGATTTATTATATGTATATATTTTAAAAGAATAGCTATGCATACGTATTTATTTACCTTTACAGACTACGTACACCCACCCAAGCATATGAGTTATTCAATATACTGTTCGAATTCATTTTTTGGCCCCAGGAAGGTGGCATGAATTAACTTGTCCGAAATTGGAGCGTTTGATAGTTTGTTTTGTTGTGTTGTTCATGTGTTGTCTGGTCCTAACAACCGCAACCGCCAGGAACTCCCAAACTAGAAAATTGGCCGCAGCTCAAAGTTCTGACAGAGAAAAGTTAAACCCTCCAATTAATTAATAATTACTTAGATAATACGTAGAGCAGTCTGGCTGTGATTGCCTCTGATGTGTAGACCAGCTTGGTTTCGTGCCCGACTGAAAAAAGGGATTTAACTTTTTTCTGTGACAGTTTTGAGTTCCGTATGGTCTCGTACACCAGACAACACACGGAGTCCCACAGAATCCAGTTCCGGAGCTATTTGGTCGCCTTGCAAACCAACATCTCCCAGTCTCCTGACCAGACTTTTTTGTGTTGTGTTGCTAGCTTGCCCACCAAACAAATTGGGTCCACCCAGTTATGAGACGGTTCATCAGTTCATCAGTCTCGAGTCTCGTGACCAGACTTTTTTGACTGAATGAGTCCCCAACACCGGTTGGTACTCGTTGCTACCAGACAACACACGGGGTCCACTCAACGAGACCAGGTCTACTTGGTACCCAGGTCCATGGTTACACATGGAGCTCCATCAGCTCACTTGCCTCGTGACAAGTTTTTTGTGATGGGTCGCATACTTGGCAATGTAGATCCCACCCTCTTTGGTCAACACTAGCATCAGTGTAATATTCGCTTAATTACTCCCTAACTTGAAGAAGATGTACGAAAAGAAAAAATATTTCGGATACTCGTTTTTTTCAGCATAGAAAGGCACAAGCAAACTTGAAAGGTCATTTAAATCGAGGGAAGCTAATTTCTATTGTTCTGTGATTTTTTTTGATGGAGATATCGAAAAGTCGGCATCTCAATGTAGTTTCTCAACTTACTGGAGCTGGCCTCCTGAGGAAATCGTAACCGAGCAGCGGGGCAGTCACAAACTTGCCCCTAATTATACAAGATATGGTGTCTTGCGCCACACATTTCCCCACGATACCTGAAATTCTGAAATAGGCAATAATGAAATGCCTATTTGGGAAGCTTGGCAAAAATCTCTAGGGCAGCAGCCAGCGGCCCAGCTAACCCACCGAAAACCCTACCACCAAAATCCCATCGACATGCGTTCTCTCTCAGTCCCTTCTGCTAAAGCAATCGGGCACAAAGTTCCTTTCTTCGCCATCAGAGCCATGGGGCTGGGATCCCGGGCCTCGAGGTAGGCATGCACGCACGGGATGTGACCAGGGGACCCTGTTAAGGAGTGCTCTGGCGAGGCTCATAGTGCTAGCCCGGTCACTAAGAAAAGACCCCGGTCTCACAAAAACCATTCCCAGATGCATCGCATCATTTCCCCGGGCAGCAAACAGGGCTGGCCCAAGTCGACCAGTAGCAAGCTGTTTCTTGACCATCTCGGGATCCGACTCTGAAACGGTTTGCTTAGCGGCCTTGTGCTTGACAAAAAGAAAACGAAAGCGAGTGACATGCCTGAATATCAGTCCAAACAATCCCTAATCTTTTATCTACTTAACCCTTTGATTTCTTCCACTGTGTCCCTTCCGGTTCCTTTACTTGCTGTTCTTAGAAACTTCACTCTCAAACATTATATAGATATTCACCAGATCGATTACCAGAATCCTATAAACCCTGCCAAACCAGATAGACTAGTTCTCTAGTCCTGAACCTCTCAAGGCACGTATGTATGCATGCTACCACCCACGTACCCCCTACAAAACTGACTGTTGTTTCGTCTACGCTGTTAGAATCTCGAGGCCTCTTACATCACAGAAGCATGTCTACCGCGTTCAACCGTGTCGTTGAAGCCGTTGGCTTAGTCAACGGCTGCCTTGATATGGTTATCAAATTAAATCAGCTTCTCCAGCAGTGGAACATTATCGGTGGTGACATTGACAACGAAGATCATGGTAAGCCCTCTCATCTAATAACACCAAGAACGCTCTTCGAATAGGTTAATAATACCCCACCGGCTGTACTACAGAGGGACTAGTCCCAGATGTTCCACCAGGACCCGGTCTAGCCGCTCGAGCTATCGCCGGTGGCCACCGGTTGATCCGCGTTATGCTCAACGCCCCATGGGTAGGAATTCGAATGCCATTAATTGGTTTCGCGTTCTAAATTTTCAAAAAATTAAAGATGAACTTATCAGTGCGTAAATATACAAGGCCCCCCTTCCTAGAACTATAATCTCCACCCCTCTCGCAGTCTTGTAACAAAAAGAAATCTCAAACCCCCCAGTGCGTGATGTATTGACGGCCTCGCACTAACCTCTTGTTGCGGTGTCACACAGTTCTACCATCTATCGCCATATGAGTCGACAAGACACTTCGTCGTCCCATGGTTCCTTCCCAAGCACCCTAGGTCGGTGTGAAGGGAGACCAACGATGCTTCCAAGGCTCGCGAGAACAACTGACGCCTATCCTTTGTGCTTTTGCTTTGATCTTAAAAACAACGGAAACCGGGTATCATTCTATTATGGAAGATAGATTCATAAAATAGAGCGGTGGATATGAACATTGTTGCTGTGGAGGATGGATATCATTTTAAGAAAAAACTGGTATCCTTATTAGACTAGAGAGATGCGGCCACGATCGGGCAAAGCATATGATCTATGGCTCCAGCAACCTAATGTTTGCTCGCTCAAAATAGGGTAGTTTGGGAGGTAGCTCGGAGAGGGTTTTTATGGGAGGAAGAGGAAGAGGAGATGGGTCAAGGCTTGGGAGAATCCTAAGAGTTTATCTGACCACTCAAGCAGGAGGTCCCATATCATGTCGCGCCAGCACGCTTTTATCCTCGATCAAACTTCCATGAGGCAATTTCCACCTTGAGACTAGAGCTTGAAGATGCACAGCATGCGAGGAGATCGAGGCGCACCTCATATATACTATACTTAGATTGTTTTCATCGTTGCTTCCTGGTTGATATTGCTTTCAAACTTTTGTCTTTTTTGTCTTCCCCCCCATTTGTGGACTTGTTGAATACTCTAAGAGCCCTTAAACCCTCATATATGCCTGCCTGCGTACCCATAACCGTAGAGGACTATGTGGCCTGCTAGTCGGTATCTCGACAGCTGACATATCGATCGACACTGAAGGGTTAACCACGAATTCATCAGCTTACAAAGTTCGAGAACCGAGCCGGTCACATTTTTCGATATCACCAGTCTCGTAACCAAACGATATCACTACTTGGTCTCGTTGGTACCAGACAACACGAAGTACACTTCGAGTGGTCACTACTTGGTTACGAGACTGCGATATCACATCACAACACGTCGAGGTCGCAAAATACAACACCATACTCGTAACCTAGTCTCGGTGACCCTTCTTGTGTTGGGTGACCCTTCTTGTGTTGGGTGACCCTTCTTGTGTTGCAATACCAATTTTTTGGTGGGCAAGCACATCTCACAGTCTCGAAACTAGAACAGCCACATCTCAGTCTCGAAACACATCTGTTGAGTTGTTTATCGGCCAACTGCTTGGAGACAGGGTAAAAGGGGACTAACTAGCCAACTGTGAATACATGGTAACTAGGTAGTCTGGTGATGGTCTGGGGTCGCTTCCTGGTAACAGGTAAGAAAGGACCTGGAGTAGCTGGTACGTAGCCTCGTTACCTTGGGGGATCTGCAGGGCCTGTACTCGCAAGTTATCTACAAACTACCTCCAAATGTACTCATGTCTACTGTCGACGCTCATAGCTATATTGATCTAGCCTCGAGGGTAATCCCTGAGGACGCATAGATGCGGAAGCTTCTTTACAATTCTTTATAGTAATAAAAACTAGTGCTTCTGCGATTATCGGTTAGATTAGTTTTGTGCGATGGGTAAAGTATGAGTATGTCGAACTGCAACTCTCATGGGCTCTAGCGCTCCGGAAATTTAGAATACAGTTGAAATGCTCTAAACCGAGTAAGTCGATTCGAAGTACCCGTGGTATAAAAACAAGAACAAGCTTCAGGGTAAGTACAATGAATCCTGCAATGTAATGCGACATCAGCTCTGCATGTTCATCATCGAAATCGAACCCCGCAAGCATGGTCTAGCGTCGACAGCTGTCATATCGAAGCATTGACATAAACTTATAAATAACCCCCTTCAAAATCAAATCGATTTGACACTAACGAATTTACCTCCATTATTATACTATGAAATTTGATCATTTGAGAGCTGATTAGGTGGTTCATTTCGAATATTTCCAGACTTGGACGCCACAGCCGTTCTGTTGCAGGAGAGACGAAGCCACTAAACCTTTCCCAGTAAATTTCCCGGTCATCGGTTGGGCAATCCCGGGGAAAACGCTTAAAACTGACTTCCCTAACAGAATACCCCACGCCCGCACGGGGACAGATGCACCCGAGGACCCAAGCTAGATAGCATAGTCAAACCAATCTTTCGAGATCTCAATGCATTATCGCCTCGGACACCCGTCCAGGGAGGACAACCTCAAACAAAACAATAAAATAAAAATTAAAAAAAAGAAATCGATGACATTTAAGCTAATTCTTGATGTAACATCAGTCAACCTATTTTGCACTATACAACTTGTAGAATAATGATAATAAGCTAGGTTCATCGGATAGCTCGCCTCCCGTCAAGCAACGATCTTCGATATCTAACCTCCTTAAGCTTGAATCCTGTGCCCAAAATTGAGACAGCGATTTCAGAGTATCTTTTTAAAGGTCTGACACTTAATTGATAATGCGACCAATTGAGAAACTGCATGCAATGCCTAAACATCGATTATCGACATCGATCCCGCAGTATACGATGAGAAACCGTGTATAGCTCAGTAGGAATGTTAAAACTACTATTCTTTCAATGTTCGCAGAGGCAACGAAAAATATGTATATAAAGGCTCTCCGGACAGACACTTGATATCTTTTTTTTTCATTCTATCATCATTGCATTAGATCCCACCAAACAGCTTGTTCTACTGCTCAACAGCTTGCCGGCCGGTTTCCTCTACATTCGTTATAGTTCGTTCCTTTATAAATCTAGCCCTCGCGAGAATTTAAATCCCCGTCTTATAATCAAATCATCGATACCCATAACCAAAGGACAAAATGCAGCCATTCACTACGTTGGCCCTCGCCCTCACCCTCCTTACCAGGTAATCTACCACTAGTTCCCCATAAAAAACACTAAGAAAGAAGCGAGCTCAGAGGCTAATAAAAAAAACTACTAATCACCGCAGCACCGCTCTCGCCGCCCCCAAAGTCACCACAACAGCCAGCGTCCCCTCCACGGCTCCCTGTGTAACCCAACATACCGTCACAACCAGCTATCCACCCTCGGGTGAGCCATACACGACAACAGTGTACACCCAATTGGCAGCTCTTCCACACAATATTATCTGCCAAGGTTGTGCTTTGGAAATTGTAACCAAGACGATTAATGAGTTTAGAACTCCTGACGCCACGGTGACGGCCACGACTTCGACTTTGTTGCGGATTCCTATGTGCTATGATCCACCACGGGCAACGAGTGTTTCTTCAAAACCGGCGTATAGGCCAAGACCAAAACCGTTTAAGAAGGTTGAGAATTAGACTTCTATAGTATATATATTCTCTTGATCTAGTCGTCTATTCTTTTTCTCTTTTCGTGTATTTTTTGTGTATGCTTATTGTTTTCCATGGGCGTTGGAAAATGGGCATTACCCGATGTATGCTCTATGCATTTTTGTGTTCTAGATCGGCCTATTTCGGGAATGCAATGCTGGCGTTTTTATAGGTGCTGCTACATCAATGCATTATATACTTTAGACCACCTTCAATCCCGTGGAACTCATCCCGTAAAGCACATGGAATACAACTTAGAAAATGGTAACCAGGATTAAGCTAAGCTATAATAGCATTACCAAGTTAATATGAATACTCCTAACGTCACATTCTTACGAGAGAGAAAAAAAGGGTGCTTGCAACTATTAATATATTAAGCTTAAATGAAAGTCTTGGACCTTCCGAGAAGGTTAAGGTTTGTAAAGTCATCACAGACATCACCCACGGACCACCAGATGACGATAAACTGACAAGCAACCTTTTAAGTTTTGAGGTAGTGGAGGGTTTGTCAACGCGGTAACGGGTTGTCGCTTTCATGGATTCACTTTAAAATTTAACCTAGGAAGCTAGCTAACTAGTTGGAGCTTATATCATGTTGGGTACTTAGCTGTTCGCCCGTACTACAGCCAAGCGAGAACCCGTTCTCCCCGACCAAAAACAAAGGGGCAAAAACCAGGCCAATTGACGATTAACCAAGCCGATATATAATAAAAGATGTATTTTTATCTTCGGCCCAATTCAACTCGATTCAATTCAATGCAATGCAACCTCTAAAATTATTGAAATCAAGCCCCAAAAGTAACCATCACAAACAGGGTGCCTTCAATTTTGCGGGAAAAATGTGCGCCTGTAGCCTGATAATACCAACTCTTTCTAATGGTAAAAAGAAAAAGCCATCCTCGCAAGATATCTTCGAATTTGTACTAGTTTGACAAGGAAACTAGCTGAGAGAGCCTAGAAAAAGCTTCACTCCACGCCACAACCCCCCAAAAAAAGTACCGACCGAGCCCCTGGTCTTTTTTTTTGATCTCGCCAAAGCCATCTTCCAGATGTAACCATAACCGGCATAATACATTCCACTCATATACCCAAGCAGCCCATATATACTTTGTACAGATGCGTCTCCTGGCTTGCTGCCGTGCGCATGTGACATGGATCATTAATTAATAAATTCGGAAAATAAGTTACATAGCGGCCGGCGCGTCCGAAAATAAAAACTGTTCGGTCGTGATTCCTTTCTTAGTTATGCACTGTTACGTAGCAGTTATCCTAATAACTTCAAAGGCTGACCTTTCGTTCTGGGCTTATGATAATGAAATATATTTAAGAAGGGTCTTTCCCCCCTTCTTCGAGTTATTCTTTTTTACTGCATTCTCTATCTAATATCAATCGATCAAACAGTATTCCGCAATTACTCTTTCTTGCCTGTATACCTATAAAGCTAGTTTAGTTTTCATTAAGAAACTCGATCTCAACAGTCACACATTTTATATTCCCAATCCCTCCAAAAACACATACAGACAAGATGCAACTCCTATCCACCCTCGCCCTCCTCACTTTGGCCAGGTAAGCAAAACATATCACTAAAATACATACTTCCTTAAAGATATATATAATATTTTCTAACACAATCGATCCTACCAAACAGCACCGCCTTCTCCCTCCCAAACCCCACCAAACCCTGCAAATCCAGCACCACAAAGAAGCCCTCCCGCTGCACCACAACCTACACCGTCACAACCAGCTACCCACCCCGTGGTGTCAAATACACGACCACCGTCTACACCGAACTCATCGCCGTGCCCCGCGATCTCCCATGCAACGGCTGTACTTTGAAAATTGTTACGAAGACGATCAATTCTTCTAGGAAGCCGGATGCTACTGTTACCGCTACTACCGCGGGATTGTTGCAGCCACCTATTTGCTTCGATTTCCCAACTGTTTAATTTATTTTTCATAGCTCTATTTTTGTGTTATGAGAGTATGTGAAGAGGGTAGAGGTAGATTGAGAGTGGAAAGGGAATAGGGGATTTTGGGATAAATCAGTTAATGCTGGGGGAATAAGGGAAATTAGTGCAAGAGGATATAATATATGGAAACGAATGATATATATGACGCGAGTGACGACGATACATAATGGGGTTAAGGGGAAGGGTTTCTTGATACAAGATTATATTCTTATACACCAACAGACTCGAGTTATAGAGCGAGCGCTATTTTTTGGGCATCTAGATATTGATAGTTACCTACCTAATTATCTAGCTTAATAAACTATAATTTTAATCATAACTTGATACATCATCAATTGGCGCACCAACTACTTTCTCTATACTTAAGTAGCTATCTACTTTCTAACATCGGATTCCCTAAAGGTAAAGCAAAGGAATTAGAATATATAATTTCAACAATATAAGGATAATCAATCCAGCTATCCCAAACGGGGAATCGGTAAACAATCCCAATGGCCTTCGTACAACAGCGTAACAATATAAAGTTCCAACATCTTATGCCACTCGAATTGCTGCATTACACTAGCGCTATAGCGTGCAACGTTAGCATCAACATCAACATATAACTACGGACCGGCACGACCCTTACGGACTTTAAATGTAGGCATGCACGTATGCAGAACCAACATCATCACCTCGAAACACCCACCCTCCATAACAGATCCAACAATCACTCAAAAAAGAAACCTGTGAATCAATCCGAAACGTATTCACAGTAACATAACATAACGTAGTCTAGTTGTTTAGACGGGTGCTGAACACACCAAAACGAATGTGTTAACATAACGTAACAAACATAACATTAGTTCTTATGGATCTACCTTTCTAACAATACGTTATAACCATAAAAAAATGAAATAGTATAAAAACATATATAACAAACCCACAAAAAATGCATAAAATACAATTTCAACAAGCTGCAAAGGGGACAGGCTGGTCCATATGCCTCCCCCACAGTCTTCCTATATAAATACACCCTTTCCGTCCCTTAAATCCTCTATTCATCCTCCTCATCCTCCTCTCCTTCCGCATCCTCCTCCTCCCCTTCTGCAACCAAAACCTCAAATCCTAATTCCTGATCAACATCAACATAACAATCACTCATCAAAAACGCACTAATCTTATGCGTCCCTTCCGTCCCCACCACAAACTCCAACCTCACCGCCGTCTTCTTCCCAAATGTCAACCGTTTGATAGCCAACAAACTATTCGTCGTATCATCCGTAACAACAACCCACCATCCTTCCATCTTCGTCGTCGTATAAAATGGTGCGTGAACCGTAAGATCTGGTTCTTCGGAAGCTTCGTCATCATCTTCATCTTCTTCGGCTTCGCGGGATAAGGAAATATTGATGTATGCCGGTTGACCGGCGGCGATGGATTCTTGATCTTCGATTTCCGCATTAAACTCCACGTCTGGATATTTTTCGTTGGTGAAGGATGCGATGGCCTGTAATTGATTCCGATCGAATGCCAACTTCTTAAGAAGTTTGTCTCGATTTTCACCATCCGGTCCCATTTCATCGATAAAGTCGAAGACTCGTTTGATCCTATCCTCAAAATATTAGCCTCAGTCCCTTCTATGCCAGAATATCCAAAAAAAAAGGGAGGAAAATAGTAAGAGAAAGTACGTACCCAAACCCATTAGCAATCTTAACTTGTTCCGCTCCAAAGTATGGTATCTGCTTCAATGGACTATCCCTACTAACATCCCACATCCCTTGCACGACCATTTGACTCATCTCCATAGCCCTCATAGCATTAACCGCTCCCTCACTACTAAGCACATCCACACATGCATTTAGCAGTCCAAGTACCTTCCCCACCACAAGTCCCTGATCGCTCTTCAGATCCACCGGCAATTGCAATCTCGAAAAATGTGCCTGCAGCAACACAAAGGCCTTAAAATGCGCAGACTCATAATTGACAGGTTCCTGCATCTTAACCGGTAAACTCTCATGGATCCTCCTCAACAGTCCTCCTTCTTTCTTTCGAATCTGAATAACTTCAAACTCAGTAGCCGAGGTAACAATCTCCAATAACCCCTTTAACTTCGTCTTCGCATTCAAACTCAACAAGAAAGTTTGCATCGTAATAAACGAGACATTATAATACGCGGCAATCATCGCAGGGTTCAATGGAGAAACACTATCGTCCTCTTCGTCAAGATCAATAGTCTTCGCCTCCGACAATTCTTTCAACGTATTCTCCACTAGCTCCGACAAGAACGTAGAAAGCCCCTCATGACTAACGTCCGTGAGTCCATAAAAGCTAGGATTCGCAAGTAACCTCCTGTAGAAGTAGCTATACGTAGTCCAATCAACAGCATCTTGAGTCGAAGTGATCATCTTTGTACTAATCTCTGCGACAAATGCATCGGCGAGATACGATTGTAGATGACTTTCGATCGGTAAGGCTTCATTGACAAACTTGCGGTAATAATCCTTCTTCGCAGCTGGAGTCATAAGGACAGCTTTATCCGTAGACTGTCCAAGCATCTGAAGCACCTCACTCAACGGATAATCCACATACCGGTGCTCTCGACCTTCAAAGAACTGAGTTCCCATAACCACAACAAGCGGCGCGGTAACATCCAATTCCCAACAGACGTCTCTAGTCGCAAAGAGCACCTGCACAGCACCGGCTTCAAACAGATATCGGACAATCTGCTTATCAGAAGCATTTAGCGCTTCGTGGAAATACCCAATTCCATGCCTCAAACTAGCCGCCAAAGTTTTCTCCGTGACCTTCTCCAACATCTTCAGGAACCCTTCATCTTCAGGATCAGCGTGTAGGAAGATATCCTCGTCGTCACCCGCAATACACTGCGTCAGCAAATCCATCGAAGAATTCCTGCACTCCTTCCGACTAGAGACATAAACAACCGCTCTTTCGCCTTGAGAATGCTGCACAATAGCCTGGTAAACTGGCTTAACCATAGCAAGCATCATACTTGGGTGATGTGGGATCGTAAAGCTCTGCATATGAATCGCAAGAGGAATCGGTCGATCGAATGGACTGAAGTTGTAAATCGTATGCGAAGTAGCCCCAATCCACTCTCCAAGATCTCTAGCGTTCGCAAGGGAAACACTGAGCGCTACAATCCTGGTATCCGTCTTCTCCAACTGAATGGCAATATACTGCATCCTAGACACCACGATTTCGTAAAGGTATCCAAGATTCCCTCCAAGCATGTGAAGATCATCCGCAATAAACAGATTGACAGTCTGCACATTCCGTCGTCTCTGCCACTGTCTAGAGAGCACGTCCCATTGTCCCGGTGTCGCAAGTATCAGATCCCCCCTTTCTAGAAGTTTAAGATCCGCAGTCGTCTCCCCGGTCAACTTCACAATCGTCTTCCCTAGATGTCCCATCCTCTTACTCCAATCCTTCAACCTCTGATCCACCAACTCCTGGAATGGCGCAATATAAACTGCCCTACCAGGCTCCTTCTTCGACCAATGCCTCAGCAGCGCAAACTCCGCGCAGACGGTCTTCCCACTGCCCACGGGAGCCCCCACAAACACGTTGTCATCCGTCCCAAACAACGAATTAAACACCTGTGTCTGTATCTTATTAAACTCCCTCCATTCCGGGTACAACGCCACAAACTCCTTCCTCTTAAGAGCATTGACCGGCAAAGGTTGCAAATCCAATAATTGAGTGTGTGCTGGGAACTTCTCCGGTAAAATCAACTTTCTGAAGCTGACCGCCAACTTTGTCTCAGAATGCATCCAGCGATCACTAACTACCGTGAAGAAGTAATTTGGTGGGACGGGCTCAGAGATCGGTACCGTAAACTCCACAAGATGCTGATTCTCATCTCCAGTGGTATAATCACGCTTTAGAATAAACTGGTCCGAAAACAGCACTTGCTCTCCATCGCAGTCCTCGGCAATAATCCAAAATCCTTCAGCATTGCCATGAACCGCCTCATCCCACTCAAACTCCGGCGTAATCGTCATCTCCACCCTCAACAGACTCCTCGTGACGGGCTGAACTTGAGCTTGAACGTCAACCCTCGGGAACTTCCTAAGCAGCTGATGAATAACCCTCCCACTACTCGCACTCCCCACCAACTCTCCCAACTCCGGAACCTCCATATCAAACATCCTACTCCATGGAATATCCATCTTCTCTAGCTTTCTTACAACCTCAGGCGGGCACTCCGTAAACTGTCGCAAAGGCGTCATAGTCGGCCACATCCGCTTCTCAACGGTCTTACAAAGCTCCAATGCAATCTTCGCAACACTGGCCCACCCTTTCTTCAAACACATCTCAAAGACAGCCCTTAAGATTCTGCCCGCACTCTGCGTAACATAAACCATATCAGCCATCAACGCCAATCCATCCAACTTTAGTCGTGAAATATATGCCTGTAACAGCACATTAATCTTCGCCTGTGGATCCTCCGCCCCTTCTTTCACCGGCACCGGCACCTTCCCTAACAACTTCTGCAGCTCGGGTGTCTCATCTCTCCTCACAGGGATATATTTGAACTCCTCACTCAACGAAAACAACCTAAACATCTCGATCGCAGAGATATTAGGTGCCAAATGCTGAGTATAAGTCTGCATACTCTTATGAGTAATATAATAATGACTTGCGATTCTCCCGAGCTCTGTCGCCGTAAGCTTCCCAGACTTGACATCATACTTGACAAGTCCGCACTTATCAAGCATAACCGCCGCAGAATGTGCCAAGTCCACCCTCTTCTGGAGTAATGCCTCATCTCCATCGTAGTCGTGCCCGACGTTGTAAATAACCGGTGATCGAAGCATTCTAACGTAGAGATAGGTGTATCCCAGCCACTCAACAGCATCATCCCGACTCTTAACAGTCCCCAGGACAACCTCAGCATTTAAATTATCAATCAACTTGCTCACAAACTGGCTTTCAATAGGGAGCTGCTGGTTCAGCAAACCAAGGTAATACTGTAACTCTGTGCTCTTCGTAATGATGATACCTTCTCCGTAAACATCATACTGAGGTCTTCCAGCTCTTCCAAGCATCTGAAGCACATCCTGTGGCGAAAGTTCCACCCAATCACCCTTTTCTGGAGAGTAAACAGTAGTGCCCTTGATGATAACCGTATGAGCCGGAAGATTGACACCCCAGGCGAGAGTAGCGGTACAGACTAGCACTCTCAGCGCACCGTCTGTAAACAAGTCCTCCACAATCTGCCTATCCAACCTCCTCATTCCCGCATGATGGATACCAATACCGTAGGGCATTAAATCCTTCAACTCCGCATTTTCAACTCCCTCGGCTTCTTCCCTCAAAATTTCCTGACTGGCTTCATCGCTCCGGATGATATCACCAATAGTCCCGAGTTCGATAGCCTTATCTCTGATATACTTCCCCGTCTTGCCAGTATCAGCTCGGGAATGTACAAAGATAAGCATCTGATTCTTGGTAACCTGCTCCATCACCTTATTATACGTGACTTCATTCATAACCTGCAGCTGTTTATGGGGCTTCTTTTCCGTCACGCCCACAAACTCCTGTTTGAGCGGACAAGGTCGATAACTACCGTCAAAGTGGAAAAGCCCGGAGACAGTATCAATCCGTAAGAAAGCAGCAACGTCGAGGTAATTTGGCAGAGTAGCAGACAATCCAACGATACGCACGGGCTCAAGAGTCTGTTCCTGCCGTCTGATCGTTCGGCTAACAATACTCTCAAGCACAGGCCCACGTTCGTCGTGAAGTAAATGGATTTCGTCAATGATAATCAATCTGACAAGGTTCGTATAACTAGTATCCGTAGCCTTTCGAGTAATAACATCCCACTTCTCCGGTGTCGTAACAATAACCTGAGTATCCGCAATCTGTGCTTTCGTCAATTGTCGATCTCCAGTCAACTCCGCAACTTTGATTCCGTAATGCTCCAGCCGTTGTCCGAAATTGCCGACTTGCTCTTGAACCAAGGCCTTCAAAGGGGCGATATAGATGATCTTGAAGTCGTCGAGTCGAACCTGTCCAGTCTTGGGATCAATATTCTTCCCGATCTCGCGTAACATCGTTAACATGGCCACATTAGTCTTTCCAGACCCGGTGGGCGCGCAAACGAGCATGTTGCCATCGCCGCTAAACGCAGTGGGGTAGCATTTCGACTGAATTCTGTTGAGCTTTGTCGATTTCGATGCTGTAAATGGATGCTGTGCCCACTGAGGCATGGAAGATACGTCCACCAGTTCCTCACCGGGGACGTCGCCCTTCTTCTTGGGAACGGGGATATGGTACTCTTCATACCCCTTGAAAAGTCGCTTTGTGGAACCTTGGGGGAGCTTGACGTTGGGGTTGGTCATAAGATGATTTCCCTGTTCGAAGATGAGATTTTCTAGGTCAAAGGTCTTTTTCGGTTGCAGTCCAGTAACAAATTGTCCCGCCTTTTTCGTGCCTTGTTGCTTTTCCTCAGCGGGAACATCAACATCCATCAAATCAACCTTGATAGCCTTCCCACCAGCAGAAGAAGAAGCGGGTTTCCCATCTCTTGCCTCGACTTCATCCAGAATCCCCTTCAATCCAGCCTCAATCATCTCCTTCTTAATTCCTTCCGCCTCGTCTTCTTCACCAGCCTTCGCAAGTCGTGTACACCAAACAATCTTTTCACGGTTCTTTGTAAGCACCTTAACTGTATCGAAATGCTCGTAGTCAAAAAGCTCCATAAGGTCGTTCTCCAGCTGTCGTAACGGAACTTCGCTAGCTAATAGATCCATGGCGGTCGTAGTCTTTGTCGCAGCCTCATGAACATCCGCGTAAACGGTACCAATCGTTCTTTGTAACCAGAAAGCATCGATCATATGTGCGGGTACAAACTCTTTATCCTCATCTTTGCCCTTCTTCTTTCCATCTGAGGAAACAGCAGCTTTGATGACCAACTCATCACCGCTTTCCTCGTCCCCATCTCCGTCCTTTTCCCCTTCGTCTTTGGGGGCGGCATCTCCTTCCTCTTCATCGTCACTACCATCATCCCCAACTTCAAAGGTCCCAGCACCTTCTTCGTCCTCCTCTTCATCTTCATCAAAGACCACAGCAACACCGTGACGATCATCCAGATCCTCGGCCTCTCCTTCACCAGTACCTCCCATCTCTTCATCCCCTTCGGCATCATAATCTGTAATCTTCTTTCCCAAGTTAACCAGCTTATTGAACCGATCGGCCTTCAAAACCACACCCAAAACTTCATCAATCTCCTTCTTCTTGTCGAAGTCCTTAAGACCCTCTGATTTTAAAGTCTCAAGGATGGCATCGGCTGCAGACCGTACGACATCGGATGGGACATCGCCGTGTAATTCGTCAAGAACGAAGGAGAGGATTAAATCGTATACGTCGCGAGTTTCTTGCGTTCGTGGACGGTATTTTAGGCCTTCGATCGCAAAGTCTGCGGCTGATGATAGAGTTGCTTCTCTATACCGGCAATAAGAATTAACATTAGCATCTAACCCACTTTGAAAAATCAAAGAATAATAATTAAAAAAGGTAGAGTAAGGGGAAGAACCAACATACTTCTTCTTCTTATCCCCCCTCATTGGCACCCTAATGTCTTCGACCCCGCCACTACCCCCAACACCGCCTAATTCACTTTTCTTCATCGGTTTCCTCTTCTCCTTAGGTGCAATATCACGAGTCGACCGCGTCCCCATATCCTTGATACTTACGCGCCCAGCAAGCGATTCAGCCTCTCCACTCCCTTCCTCGCCACGTCGGGGACCCGATCCAAATCTCCGATCAGCTTGGAGGACCAAATTCGACATGTTGGCATAATTATATTGGGATTGGTTGGAGGGTTGGCCGCCGCCGCCTCCCCCTCCACCGCCGCCGGAGCCTTGTCCGGACATTTTTTTCGATTTAAGATGATATGGCCGGAGGGTGGCCCGGTTTGATGATAGCTATGATGGTGGGTTGATGTAAAATGACGGTCGTAACTCGTGATTAGTCGGCAATGGATGAAATTAAGTTGTGGTGATGATGGCGATGAGGTGTAACGATAGAATCGATGACTCCAAGTGTCCGTGGGTATCGTAGCCTCTCTTTTTTTTATAAAAAAAAAAAACGTCTCACGCGTGCAAAGGAAAAAAACCGGCCTGATTGTGAGAAAAACAGGATACTGTAGCTAATTTAAAGAATGCTATAGCAATGATCCTGGGTATGATGATGGGTTGTATGTCGGTTTTGGAGATGGTTGAAGCTCGTGCACGCGGAGTTGTAGTTCTGGTGAAGCTCAGAGATTTTTTTTAGGCTTTGTGAGTCCAAAGTCGCGACGTTGAAGAAGGGCAGCTTGAACGCCAAGGATTCAACACACAGCAGCACTATCGATAGCTCCACCACACCGCGCTGACCTCATATGTGCCCACCAGCTGGCACCATTAGGCGTGTGAACACCATCACGGCTTCGAAGGGTCTTACTTATTGCGACGAAAAAAGAAAGTATCTTGAGAATCACATTGATTGTTCTTGTGATGCTTCATTCCTTCTAAATATCCTATCTTATCCTATACTACAAAAATACATAAGGAAAAAACCCACCAGAATGAATCCGTATGCCCACAAACAAGGCCGATAAAAATACTCTCTGCTTTTAAGTATCTCAAACAAACGTGTATGATACGTCTACCCCAGTGGCACTATGAGTGCACCCACTAGATAAACACTATAACCACGGCGTGCTTCACCGTTACTATTCAAATAAGTAGGGCATGTCCCGCTAGGTGGAAATCAAAGGCAATGAACAGCTCGCCCAAGACAGCTTTGAGGAAGAAGGAAAAGAAGAACCAAGGAGCCTAAAATATAGAACCCGCCAAACAGCCAAAAAAGGAAGGAAAAGAGAAAAAAAACAGTTGACAAAGGAAATGGAGATGCAGGAAACACTGAAATGAAATGAAAGGAAGGAGTGGGAGACAATAGAAATTAATAATAATGTCAGTTTTCAATAGTTGTTAGTAGTAGCAGTTAATATAGGAAAGCCCACCCAAATCAATCATGTCCGGAACGCCACGCTGCAACTGACTCAAAGGAAAAGGCCAACAAAGGAAATTGTTTTCTAAAGGGAAGTTTCAAGAATGGGAACGGGAAGTAGATCGAGACAGAAGTGAGTAGTTAATCGAAACGGAGGAGAGGGAGGAGAAGAGAAGACAGTAAGGAGAAAAAGATAGGAAGAGGGGGAAAACAGAGCAATTATGGCAAAGCGAATGCTGGAATGCCACATGATGTATGAAGAAGTCAAGGAGGAAAGAAAAAAAGAAATCGGTGACATGTGAAAAAGTATGCGAGATGAAAGAGAAGGAGCAATGGAGTCCATGGCAGTGTGAATCTAGTCCCAAATATTGTTTTTTTTTCAATGGTCAAGTTCACTCAATCATTTCCTCGAAAACAAGCCCTTCAGTCCCTTCTTTTTCTTCTCGCCACCGGATGACTTAAAGGTGTCAAAAATACTGCTGCGACCACCAACACTGGCGCTACCGGTGAAGGGGCGGGCAACCGAGTTCTTACCAACAGTTGTGTTACTAATCTGGGTGTCGGTGCGGTAGAGGGCGGTGGTAGCAGGAGCAGGTGGTGGGGGTGGTGGTGGATTCGGAGCGTAAGCATAGGAGCGAGAACGACGCGAATCCGAATTGAGAAGGTTAGCCGGGTCGACAGGGTACTGAGGACGAGGTTGGACCAATTCCGGATTTGAATCCGAGACGATCTCAGGAGAAGCCGTATATCCATAGCCAGGGCCCTCGAAATTGTGCTTGCTTGGAGGGATAGCCAATGGAGGGAGACGATGCTCATTAGGGAGGGTGAGTGGGAGGCGATGTTCACCACCAAGGCCCCCGAAAGCAGGTGGAGTAACCGGTGAAGGTGGTGATACAGTAGAAGCACCAGACTCAAGATCCATGTTGCTTTCGAAGTTGAATTGATTCTGATCAATCATATCCGGGACATCAATATCCAAGGCGTTTTGGTAAGACGACGAGGTAGGATTCGGAGCAGTCTTTGGGCGGTATGGGATACCAAGCAGACCGCAGACACGCTCGGTATTGGAACGAGTGGGCCAGGAGAGCTGACTAACGGCAGCTTTGGCACCAACAGGTGGGGAATGATCAGACCACCCAGCAACCATGGTGGTCTCGGGGCCAACGGAGGCTCTAAACTCCTCGACCGCAGAGGTAACATTGCCCCACCCCTTGGTGATGTCACCATTCCACTCCTTCTTAAGCCTGTCCGCGCATTCTCTACAAACACGGAGAGCACAGTGGGTACAGTATTGCATTCCATCAACAGCAACGCGTCGGCATGTAGTACACGGGACGGGGTGGTGATAGTTCTTGAATGGCATCATGACCTGGTGTCTGGTGTTGCATTCAATATGACTTGGCGAGAAAGTGATAGCCAGGTGCTTGGGTCCAGGAACAGGTGGGATGTTCGGACGAAGAAGAGATGAATTTGACGAAGGCATGGTGTTAGCACGTCTGTTTTCCGGGAGGGATGGAAGCATATTTTGTGAATTTCTAAAGCTGCCGGTTCTCGTGAGGTTCTGTGGAGGAAAGAATCGAGGTGGTGGGGGATGTCGTTGACTAGCACTATTAGGACGATATTGGTGAGGGGGATATCCAGGGGGAGGAGGGCCACGACGAAGACCGTTTGGGTTTTGAAAGTGAGGTGGAGGTGGATGAGGATAATTAGAAGGATAAGAATGAGGTGGCGGCGGACGAAACCTATTATTTGTAGGTAGTGGGCCGCCTTGGTAGTAGGTTCTCCTTTCAGATGGTGGTTGTTGGGGATACACTACGGAACTCTGCATGGAAGCAGATTCCGAAGGAGTTGGAGAGTGTGTAAACCGGGTATTGATGCTAGGGTCCCTGTCCGTCCACTCCTGGGGTAACGTAGAGGTACTTGGATTATCACGCAACGGTGGGGGTGGCGCTTTGCGGTTGATAGTATTTATAGCACCAGCACCAGCAGGCCCTGACATCCCTGTGACGGTCATACTTGACGGTCTCGAATCAAATTCCGAACCGATAGCAGACGTTCCTGAGAGCCTCCTAGGACGGCCAATATTTGACATATAAAACCCATCATCTGGCATGGTAGAAGTTGAAAGCCGTTGTCCATTCAGCTGCATCTGTGGACCACTCGTTTGAATAGGTGGAAGAGGATAAGGTTGAGGACCAGTCTTCCTAAAGGAGCTAACGGCAGACATGGCATCCACAGACGACGGGGCGGTAGAACGCGCCGGTGGAGCGTCAGACGGGTGAGTGAGACCGGAAACCTGAGAGACAGGAGTTGAAAATCCATCATCGATGTTGGTTCCAGTTGGAATACCACCACCACCACCACCACCACCACCATTACCATTATTTAAGGGCGCAAGAACCGGACTAGGACCAACAAAGCTACCGGCACTAGCTCCTCCTCCTCCAACAGCATTTTGATTTATACGCTGTGTATCCCGTGTCGCCAAATAGGTCGGCCCAACAAACGAAGATTTCGGATTAAGAGATTGCTGTGGAATGACGGCATTTTGAATTGGAGGAGGTGGTATAGCAGGAACCTCTGGTGGCAGTGATCCAGATCTCAATGGCCTCTTCAACTTGGTGGATGTGGTACTGCTGGTGGATCGCTTCCTAAACAACCCCATGTCGTATTTCTCCTTCTCTCGAGTCGTCCCTACTCTCTTCTTTTGTTTCCCGCCCAAAAAAATTAAAAAAAAATTATATTCAGCAGAAACAACCTAATATCCCAAAGACGAAAAAAACGGCAAGGAGGGGAAAGAGATCGACGAAACCCTCGACGGGTATGCACGAGGCAGGCGACGAGGGGATGCGAGATGGCACATGTATTTTTAGGCCGAAAAGAAGGGTGAGATATGCAAGGAGGCGTGCAAAAAACGTTCAAAAACGGCAGGCCGAGCTACGGAAGAGTCGAAAAATCGGAAATCGAAAGGGGAATTCGGAAGAAGAGCTGCAAGTGGCGAGCTTCTGTAAGATGGCAGAGTGGGAACGTGTTCTTCTTTGTCTGGCAAGATGCGAGGGTTAATATTAATTAGATCAGTTTGGATTCACACATGGCCGGCCATATGCATACTGTAAGTATTACTATGGACAGGAGGCAGAGAAGGTTGATGATGGAATAGTTCAGAAAAACGAACAGGAACAAACGCCACGAGGCGAACGAGATGGAACTAGGCAAATAACTTACCAGGGTTAAACGGACAAAGCCAACCGGGCCAAACGAACAAGGAGACAAACACAAGCAGCCGACCGACCGACGGAACAAGTTGAAGATGATCGAAGGATGATTGCAATTGATCGATTGATTTATTGATTGCCTATCGGAATGGCGAAGAAAAGTTAAGGATTCCAATTGACCGTGAGCAAAGTGCAACCGATCAATACTGCAATTGCCGGGGTGCCCGAAAAGATGACGGACAGCGATGCAAGGACGCAGCGAATACGGGTTATGCGTAAACCAGTCACCAATACGGACAGATCGATAGACAGACAGTCGACAGAGAAAACGGGACCGAATGATGGAGAAGTGGAGATAGGTGATGATGAGGATGGAGAAGTAGCCAGGGGAGGTAAAGAGGTACCTGTAGAGCTGGGTGAGGAAGAGGAAGAAGATGGAGGAAGAAGATGGAGGAGAGAAGAGGAAGAATTATTGGCAAGTTTAGGCGCAAATTGGCCGGTCAGCAAGAACGATCAGTTCATTAATCAATTGATTGATTGATTGATTGATTGAGCGCAGCGCCGCAGCAGCTACAAACACACTCCCATTACAATATAGTTATAGAATATATCAAAGAAAGGTCAAGATCAAGATCAAGATTAAGATAAATATCAAGATCAAGATCAAGAAACGCCAGGGAAGAGTTACAAAGGATGTAGTTGGGAGTGGTTGGTTAGGGAGGAGCGAGAGACTTGGGCGATAAGCTGCGCAGAATCACAGATAACGAACGGCAAGGCTTAAAATAACAGCCCCGAATAACAACAGCCCCAAAAGAACAGTATTATAGACTGGAAGGAAAAGGTGCAGGAAGAAGGATGAAAAGAGAAAGAAAAAAAAAGAAGAGGAAGAACTGGCAAAGAAGGGAAGGGAAGGGAAGGAAGGATAAAGGTTGCATGTAACGTCGTCGACAACGGTTGCAAGGCAAGTGAGTAAGTAAGTACATGTACATGTACCCAAATACCAGCCGGCCGGCAGCCAAGGAAGAAGAAGTATCCACTGACTAGCGTTGTTACTTCCAATATTAACCCTATCCCGGTTAGTGTGTGTCTCTGCCGGTGGATGGAAATGGAGATATCAATGTCGATGGATGATAGCGATGATGATGATGATGATGATGATGATATCCTGGAGGTTGGTAGTGTACTGTAAGTAGTTCCTTCCTTAACTTCCTTACTCAAAGACTGTCAATACATGTCGCACAGGTACAGTCCACTGCATCGCCATACATCGCCATGTGTTTGTCACCGAACCGAAAAGAACAAAAATAAAATGAGAATCGGATGATGTTATCCTTTGTCTTAAATTGAAAAATCATTAGACAAGAAAAAAAAAGAAAAAAAGGAAAAGAAGGGGAAGCCGGGGTGGGATTGAAAAGAGACCAGCCAATTTTAGCTGTTGTCGCGATTCGTAAGCTTTTAAACCCGCCAAACGACGTCAAGCCCCGAACGCCACCGACGATAAACACCCGACCCGCATAGGATATAAATACAAAACATCTCCGTTCATAAACATTATTCATGATTGAAATTATTCGTAGAAACCAAGTACAGATCTATAACATAGTCTCCACGAAAAGGCCCTTTTTTTTCCTGTCGTGTTCCTGGCACACACATCACAATTGCAATCGTACAGCATATTGTACAAATCATCCCAGGAACGTTGACAGGCCTTTAGTTACTCCTCTTATCATTTCTCGGCATACATCATCCCGTCAAGGTTCTAAAACACCCCCATCCCTCCTACCTTACTAACTTACTAACGATAGCCTTTTTTAATTTTGTTCTTCCGGGTCAAAAACAAACCTGTTTTCGGCTTCATTTTTCTTTTATCTATCCCAGGAACGGACTCTTATTTATAGATTCGAGATACTTACTACATAAGTAAGTACCTGCTTTACTAGTATGCACATGCATTCCCCATATCCTTGCATTGCAGCAGTCTATGACAGGAGAAATGCCCCCTCTCGTCTTCACGGCATTCGAGGTCAGGCCAGCAGTTTAAGCTTTTTTTTTTTTTAAACAAAAAACTCTTTTTAACCAGAAATATTTGATATGATTGAGGCTCTAAGCTTATTTGCAACGATTTGGACCAGCTTGGCAAATTAAACTAGAGACTTTGACAAACTAGTCTAAATTTCCATCTCGTTGACCTCATTGCATTGCATCGCCATTGTATTGAGTCATTTCAACAAAATCATATGTTTAAATGAAAGAGTAATTAAGCCTAGATTTCATAAATTAAGCATTGTGGGGTATACACATGCGTATGTAATGGCGACAGGAAAGCGCTTCTAGCTCCACCAGCCAGAAGATCTTATAATTCACTTCTTACTAATATAGCTTTTCGTTTTTGAACACTATGCTAAATAGCCCAATGGCTGTTTTGGAAGTGGTTGCGGCCTGGGTACCCGGATACCTTATACATCCGTAGTTAGGTATGTCTTGTCGATGCCTTCTAAGCGATCTAAGCTTCCCGTTAGTCAATTATTGCGTAACGAAGTATAGTATCTTTATCGATATACGTGCCGATAAGTACCATCTTCGCGCTTATCTAAATTCTAGACCGAGTATATATACATATACATACAATGCATCCGGTTCGGAATAGGTACTTGTTGTAACTATTAGTCCAAACAAAGTGCTGCCCTTTGTGACGTCTGGGAACGAGACCACTATTAGTTAGTTACAGAGATTCTTTAAAACGAAAAAAATAAATAAAAATATGAAGATAAGTATAGCAGGGCAAACCAAATTAGACCGTATACGTATTTGTTTCGGAACAATACAACCTTAGGTGAATGCTAGAATCAGAAACATCCATACTGGTTTTGACGGTTTCTTACATGAAACTACATGCGACCTTATAATATCTGAATACGGCTATCTTATATTATAGCATTTACATTTATGTTAAAACCACATTATTCTTTTGTTCTTGATTGTTCTAATCCACAGACCTAAATTATCCGCTTAGCAATATCTTTATCTAACTTGGTCGTTCTCTATAAGATTAACAAAGTATCTTGCAATCAATTCCGGACCCTAACCTTAGCGTATATTATGATAAGTCTTTTCCCTTCGGATTTTATCTCGGAAGAATCGCTCTTGATATTACCATGTTTCACAATCCTTAGTTGAAAAAGATTTATCAAATTAAAAATTCTCCAGTAACCATACAAAAAACACAGATACCTACCAAGGAAAGACTAACTCTTCTTTTTTCCGCTAGATCTAGAAGAGTCTTTCTACATTCGAGTCGTTGATTTAGTCCAGACTGTATACGAGACCAAGTCCAGACTATTCTCTTTTTGGTTAACAAAAATTACCACATACTCAACACTTTTCTGGTGACTGCGATGACGTCTAGAATCTAGACAGACGCTTTACCATTCCCGGCCCACAGGATCTCACTAGATTTTATAAAATGCTAAGTCTAGATACAAATGGAAAAAGAGAAACAAAGTTGATACAAAAAAGGTCAATTTGTACATCCGCATAAGTCTTTCTAATCGCATCCTTCAGCGTGCAAGTAGCACAACCTAGGCCAGGATAACACCTGAATTTCATAAATATCTTATTTCCTTCTAGCTCTCCATATGCATGCCAGTTTTCGTACTATCAGTATCCTATATGTACTCTGGATCCAAGTCTACTTCACTTAATTAATCTTCTCAACTTTTTAAATACTTTTCGTATCCCAACAAAAGAGGATATTCATCCAACAAATCAATCATCTTTTCCTGCGATTCGAAAAGAATTCCCATAGAATTAATTTCTGATGGGAATTGAATAGTTGGCGATACTATTGGAGATTTAAATCGTTGGTTTTTCTCTCTCGAATTGGTGGAATGTTGAGACACACCCTTAGGGGAACATGGCACGACGTCTGTAGAATTGTTATATTGACATGATATATTATTTAGTTCTTGGAATGTGAATCTTATTTAAATATTCTGTAAGATACCTTCTATGTCTAGGCACGAGACAACTGAACTATCAGTATCATCTAAAAAATGTTCAAGATTTTATTACTTTACTCGAGATAATTAGTCCTAGAATTAGAGACTTAGTGGGCTACATTCTCGGGTCAGCCCGGAATTCAATTTATGGTCCGGCGATGTCGCAATGGTTACATATGTGAAATAGTCTACGATGTCGATTCGTAACAAAAAATATGGCAATTGGAGAGGTTCTTCTCTTTACCGATGAAATCCAAGCTTCGGTCAGCCATAAATCTGATTCGCTACAGCCTCAGTACCGAAATTCGACAATTCCCCGCATTAATAAGGAACATTCAAGATTCCGAATTCAAGCGCCGATTCGCCAATAATCCGCTTGGCAGAACATTTACATGGATGTATACAAAAGTGCAAAATCTTGACAATAAGTCCTATCGATCGATAATCTTGATTATTTTCTCAGAGGTCTCTTAAAACCCGGTTCATCGGCCGTAGCCGTCAATATTGATACACTTTTATAACTTTAAACCATTCTAAATCTAAACCAACAAAAATGAGCGTATTCTCAACTCTTCCAGTCGAACTTCAAATCCAAGTACTTTCATACCTCTACCCTTGGGAACTGCTACCCCTCACTAGTGTCTGCAAGCTCTGGTACTCAATTATCACCTCCCCAGCCCCAGAATTACACTACACCAAGCAGAAATCCTTCCTTATCCACTGGCTTCTATCATATAGCTCCTTTATCTGCAAACATCCACCGGCATTCAATCACAAAAAATATCCTAACTCACAATCTTCAAGCCTCAAGCCCCCGTCCCAACTGATCTGCCATCGAAAAGTATCTTTAATAGGTACACTCCCTCCCAAAAGCACCCGCCGTATAATCTCCCAAGAATTTTGGATCGAGAACTGCGGCCCCACAACCACAAGTACAACAGAAAGTCGACATCTCCTTCCAGAAGACTTTAAAAAACTTAAACTACCATCATTCTTGTCCAATCACCCAGCTATCCTCTCATATTCTTTACACGATAATCATACCTCTGAGAACCAATTCCTCTCAATAAACCAATCATACTATCTAAACTTCAAACCCCACACCCTCGAAATCCCAAGCAGAATATCTCCAACTCCTGTTTTTCCACTAGCTATTAGTATTTTAAATTTAATGCATCAAACGTGGGAATATATGCGTTTGAGCTGTGCACAGGGTAGTCTTGATCGTTTTGGGACGGATGATAGGAATTCTGTGAGGGTTATTTCTTGTGTTAAATATAATATTAGTGGGGTCGGGAGAGATGGGATGCCGTTGTTGAAGTTGGTGGTGGATTGTGATAGCTTGGCTAATAGTACTGGACAGCTTTTTCCGGTTCCGGTGGAGTCTAGTCATCTGCCTGATCTCTTTTGGAAGGATGAATACAAAAAGGTAGAAAGAAATCTGTAGGCTGCTGAGGGGGATTAGCTTGTCTGGAGGCTGCGTGGGCATTTAGTGAGCATGAGGGGAGTTCGATTTCTGGGTATTCCGTTTCTTCGCATTTGATATTTATATGGACTTTGAGAATTGGGGTGACGATGTTTATAATTGGCTTAGAAATACTGAATGCTCTTTGGGGCTGCAAGGGGCTTTGATTGAGCAATCACGCTCTCAATTAAGACTTCTAGACTTATAAAGTCAGATATTGTTAAATTTATCTGGTTATGTCTGGTCAGCAATTAATTCTGGTTTACGAGATAATGTCTGGTCCCGAGACTATGAGTATGTATAAATCTCTAAACTGGTCAACAATAACCGCGACTAGTCTCACTCCCGACGTCGAAATGAGGGCATATCATAGCTAACTATAGTTATAGATAAATCGAGTACCTCTTAGATTTTCAACCCATCGAAGGTGCAGTTTCGGGGTCCAGTCTATGAGATAAGCTATATGAGAATGAATACTCGGAATCGATGTTTTGTTGGGATGCTTAGATAGTAGATAACTATAGTACTATGCCATTAGCTTTTCTAGCTATCGAAATACGCACACCCGGGTTGTCGTCTCCCGAATTCCATCATGCTACATACGCCATCAATCGACCCATGTATCTATCATCCGAGTTTCCTGTTATGAGAAAGACCGTATGGTCCTCACAGAACTTGTCATCTAGCCCGAGTGAGAATTACTAGAGGCTATGAAAGTAAACTTCATGAATCCGCTGGCTTTTCAGGTATAGGACTAGAATAAATCGTGGGGTGTAACCTGGGTTCCTCGTGAATGCTGTATAGTACTGAAAGGCTTCGAAGCTTCGAGGAGGCAGAACAAGAGGATTCAAGTCGCCAGAAACGACTATTTGGTCGCTGGTGCTTGATGCATGGTACCGGTAGGGCTACCGATGAACATACTTACCGCCCAATTTCTGTGCTGGGGGATAATGTTAATGTCAAATTCTCTCTGCTGGTCAGTACGCGGAGGCAAAGATATCAAGTTGATCCGGATTTGCATCTGAATTTACAGGCGCCTAGGCCAGTGAAAACTCAGTGAGTAGTGAAGAGGTATTATCCAAAGATAAGGAGGAAAAAATGGTTGATCATAGCGAGGATGATTTGCAAAAGGGAAAAAGATTTCTAGAAGAAGAAAGAAAAGAAGAAGAAAACCTGATCCCGGTCCCTGATTTCGCAAAGGGAGGCGTAAAAAGTTGTCAGTTGGTACCGATAGACCATGAGGAGCCAAAAGAGCATGACCATGATCGGACCACCCACTGAACTCCTTCAGTTGAGCGGGCCATGATTGGGAACGAAACGAGTCATGATAGCGGTTTAACCGCTTAACCCTTGGAGGGGCGAAGCTTAGATGGCTGTTAGTCATGAAGAACGTAGGAAAAGGGACCTCCATGACAAAACACCTAGGAGAGCTTTAGTTAGGTCTAGCCTAGATTATTCGATCTCCAGGAGCGTGCTTTTGCCTCTGTAAATCGGAGAGATATCGGTTGGACTACCGCTTGCTATGGACTGTGTCCTGCGGAATAGGTAGTTGATTTTTTGTAGGCTATACTTGTGCATTTTGAGCATCGATCGCAGGCCTGGAAAAGCCCCAAAAAACTAGTGTGGAATGTCGTTCAATAGGAAGACCAGGCTATATTCATAAAATAATTTTTATCAAACTTCGTATTCATGAGACGGGATATCTATACCCATATCATGATATATCTACTTGGGCACTATTGCATCTGCATCCGTCTATCCATTACCTGTCGACCTTGATTACTATCGTTATCTTCGAGGCCGTAACCGCCTCAGCGTTACATTCTCGTGAAATTCTTTATCATCGTTTGCCGCAGGAAACGTCATCAACTGATCATGTGCCCTATCGATGTATTGAAGAGATTCTTATTTGCTAACCGGTCCCTGATCAGAGCAACTGTGCGACAACCGTGGGGTCTGCGGCAATATCCGATTCGATTTTTATCATATTAATATTCTCTAGCGACGTACAATGGAACTGGGGGTTTAGCCTCCAATGAGCATCCCACGTTGCGATCCTTCGGCTTAAGGGCAGGAAATCAGTAGCCTCAGTACGAGTTAGTTGGTTTCGGATCGATTCAAGGCTATAGAGCTAATTCTTTGGGACGTTACCTCGTATATGTTATGCATATATGGCAGCTACAGGGATATTGGAGTCAAGAGGAAGAAAATTGCGAAAATATCCTAAATACCCGGGATAGGCTCCCCTTTACCCCCGTGTCCCGGCTCCAGATTTCCATGCATATTCTATCTTGCCTAACTTAACTACGTGGCCTAGGTGTAACATGGAACGTGCGCATGCGCTTCCGAAGAAAAAAAAGGGTATTATTCGGGTCAGGCCGATCGCGAATGTTCTTCGGAGCGAACATGCATTATGGAGCCGAGTAAACCTTGACTCGCGATTAATGGTAGAGGCATAGGAATACCGATATTGTGCCAATTAAGACCAGTACTAGATGTTTACGTTCTCGAGATCTCACAACCAGAATCTTGGTGTTGGATTTTTGTCGTAACTTTCTTTATTGTACTTGTATCGATATATCGGTGATATCGTGATTCTGTACTTGTGAATCCAGAGAAAAGCTTCTTAAAAAAAAAGCCATTCCAATCTAGTACGGATAATACTGGTTCTACCTCTAGTAGGTTTCATTTGCCACTTAAGAACTCGAAGATCCCCCACATTCGAACACCGTATCCCCTGTCATACAATCCGGGGCCGCGACAATGCTAGCCCTATATGTCCGGCCTTAGTATCTACATTTCGGAACTAAAACCCCTCAAAGGAAAGATATTCTCCTTAATTACTACCTCCTTTGCATGCATACGACTTCAGCAACCGATTTTCTGTGATTACTCTGTAATAACAAACCTATATCATGCTTCATTTATCCTTGCCCCGTTGACCCTGCCCATGTTTTCGCTTACTTCATACAACCCTAATTTAATGATTACTAACCATCTAGAAATATCTTTCATTTTATCCGTTTTCCGGGTTTTCCTACATCGATCTCGTTTAACGTTCATTGTTAGTCCACTAAGAATCTCGGTCGCTTCTCGCCGGCCGGACGCCATGTATCCTAGCATAGTCTTGGAGGCTGAATTTAATCTATTGACTTATAGATACGAGCTTTAACGTTTGAAGTATACGAACAATGATTAACTGTATAGAGCTCTTTTTCTCTTTCCTGGAGTATACGGGCCCGCGGGGTCTAGTATCCTGGGGTATATGTGTCAACCAGGTGGAGTAAATGTAACGTGCGACTCTTGTATAACCGGTGTCTGATTTGTTTTGTCAAGTATAACCGTGAATTTGCGAAAGATATCGATGAGACCTGGTTTTCTAATTGATCGCGGGGGTGTCGAAGATCTTGAGGTGAAGGATTGGAGTCGACAGGAGTATGCCGTTCTTTGTTTTTTCTTCTATCAGATATCGTAGAAGTGGTCTCGTATTCAGATGTAACAGCGGAATCATGAGTAGCTAGCTGAAGACACTTCTTTTACCGTCGGGCCTGGATACCGTCAGGTAAGGCAGAGCGATACTAATCCATTGTTTGAAGTGATTGACCAAGTGGACCGCTCTACAGCTTGAAACCAATAAGTATATAAAGAAGCCATCTCGACGCTTCTATCCAGAAAATCTAATTCTACATCATCATCCTCATAGCCTCCAATCAACAATCCAAAAACCACCTTCAATTCAAACAAATCACTTGAAAACTTCGAAGAACCACTTCTTCTACTCTAAACTCTATCAAAATGAAGTTCATCAGCGCCATCCTCATTGCCGTCCTCTCCGCCGCCGCCATGGCCGCACCAACCCCAGATGAGAATGCCACTCTCGAAAAGCGTGGCTGCGGTGCCGGTGTCATCTGCATTTCTGGCAAGTGCCGTTACTGGAACTGCAACGTCAGCGGATGCTCTGTTGGTCCTCCAACTGGCTCTACTTGTTAAAGGGCTGGCTTCCTACACGAAGATTTGGGTATGTTGATTCATTCTTGGGTGTCGCTTTCTAAACGTTTCTTGGACCGTGGAAATGTTAATTGCACTTTGCTAATGGTTGATTTTTTCTTGTTTAAAGTATGATCGCGAGATCAACTGAGATGGAGGATTGAGTGAGGAAAGACTTCGGGGTTTATATTTCCAACATTTAAATTCAAGTTTATAACTATTATATTTGGGTCAATGTATCTTATAATCCATGTTCGGGTCTTTGCGCACTGAGGATCGATGGAACGGATGTGCCAACAGAAGAATAGCTAGATACTAAGATATCGATAGAAATTTAAGAGGCCTATTACTCCAAAATCATCAAATAAGGAATAAAACCGTAATATATAAGAAATGTCTGAAGATTTTAATTCAGGATAGTGGTTATTATCATTGCCGGCTTTGTAAACATAATTAGGTCAATAGAATACGGATAGATATGGGCTGTGCATGCAGCTATTGCAAAATTAGTTGGCAAATCCAGATGGATTCTTTGATACCCATTATCTAGATTAAAGATCTGCTGTGGATACTTTGTTTGACATTTGCACATACTACGCTTGCTTCAGCTGCGCGTTAACTTATATCTTTCTCGAAAAATAGAAGGCGAAAAAATACAACATTTTCAACGCACTTACCGCGGTGGTTCCAATATTGACGCACTCATAAGGGATGACTACGAGAGGTTTGCGACTCTTGGGCGAGACATTCACGGGTGTTCATGGTTTTTGATCGAAGAAAAGGTTTGAAAGTGTGACTGTGGAGAGTTCGTTGGTATCTTTCGTTGGTATCTTCATGCATCATGAGGCTGAAAGTATTTATCTTGTGCAGTTTGCTTCTGCTTGCTTAAGTTTGTGTAACCGAATATAGTTGAAATCTAGGACGTTTTAAAATTTAGGAGCGGCATTAGCCTTGCATTGTTCCATCGTAGCATCAACAATCGATATCACATCAACTGTGCCATTCATATGCATTACCGGCTATCTAACTAGGTAGTTTACTCGGTAGGTACCTAATTATGTGTATGTATTAGTGGCAAACACTATAGGACCCCGCGTCAAGTTTGCTCTACATGCCTACCTATGTAAATATACGTAGTTTAGGGAGAGGAGCCTGTCCTGGACCATGTGCCACGCGCCGCGCTTATAAAACTCATATCAATGCAGGATTGATTATGGCACGGCGGCTTGCATCTAGACACGCACATCCCTATCTTCGTGGGTCGTTTTAAGACTAGGACAGCGCCAATCGGAGAAACTCACCGTCAGCCTAAATGCTTTAATTCAGCATTGTTTTCTATTGATATATTCCATATATATGTATATACGGAACATCTACCGTCCAAGTTGTTCCACATGGCAAGTGTAATTCTCAAAGCACCCGTTCCCCTCAAAAATCACTACCGGGGGCTCAATCACCCCAAAATTTGCGAGTATATTGGTGTCAATCAATTGCTTTACAATGGAACCGGGTGTAGAAGATTGACGGTCGTAAAATTATACTTGAGAAACAAAAACGATGTGTATATTCCGTCAAATCTTGGGGAGAAGTGCTTGGTGAAAATATTAAGGCTCAACTGATTAGCGTATAGTCATTTACGAATCTATACAGCCTAGAACCTGCCCATTAAGGTCTAATTTTTGCAAGAGTTAATAATTATCTTCCTTCTAGACTTCCGAGGACCCTTCTAGCGTCCTCACAAAATCGCAAGGCCGCAACTTCTGGGTAAGGTGTTGTTTTTAGTCTTATTGAATGATATCAGGAAACTAGGCAGTCTCGAAACTAGAAACTAGGAAATACCCCAAAGCCTTCGATTCAAAAGCTGGGTGAAAAGCCAATACACTTACATACGTTTATGATGAACAAATCCAATCTCTAATTACGCAAAATTGATATGGTAGAAGAAATCTGCCAGCGGCGCGATACCTTGCAACGCCACACACGTGAACACGCGGGAATCGAATTTGGAATCTTTCCTCACTACCAAAAGGCCGTGGTTTATCGCAGGGAGCAAATCACGACTGTACAATTCGGCTCTGCAGTTTTGTTAACGCGCTGGGACGTGAGGCTGAAGCCACCAATGACTAACCATGGAAGGATCCTTGAATGCATTATCGAACAAACAACAGCCTTGGCGGTCTTCCCGACTATAAATATACCGCGAAAAATCCAGTGTCGCAATCGCAATCGTCAAATTATATAACTTAGGTGTAAAACATCATTGTGCACGATATCAAATATGGCATCCTTCGAAAAGATTCCTGTAGAGCTCCAAGCTCACATACTCTCATTCATTCCTCCATGGCAATTGTCTGCCCCTCGTAGAGTTTGTACCCACTGGAACAAACTCATCCGTTCCCAACTACACAGAATAAGCTATTCAATACTTGAGCACCGAGGTGCAACATCAGGAATTCACTGGTTACTGTATAACAACTATCATTGCGACCCCAATTGTCAGACCTGTTTCGAAAAATACGGTAGGAAAGCTTGAACCCATCCGATTAAATTTATCGCCACTGAAATTGTAGGCGTAATAGAAAACGATAAGGAACGATATCCCACTCTATCCTCTGCTACTTTCAAGCGAGTCTACCTAGTTGGAACCCTTGACAGCAATGCCAGAATCTGCGGTTACCAGGTTTGGATCGAGAAATGCTCTAGTACGCGGGGGCTCTCACCACCTAACATTGACGATTTCAAAGTAATTCGATTCACTCAAGATGATTTTTCCGAATTCAATATCATGAGAGAACCTGTACTTCGCCCCAAGATGGGAGATACTACTGTGGATATTAGTTGTCAGGACGCACCGATTCTTGGCATTCGTTATTTCATTTGCTTTCCACATTGCACGACCAATTTCACAAGAAACCCGACATCCGTTCGACGCTCGCCAACTATTACCATAGCGTCATATATGACGCTGAAAAGTACAGTCGAGTCAATTTGGGTCTCGCTTAAGCGTCTGTGCTTTCGATATGCAAGGAATAATGTTCGAACTGTCCATCAAGTAAGATTATCGATTGCTGAAGCGTATACAGATGAAGGGACTCAACCTATTCTACGAGTTGATTTGGACGCGGAGGGTGCTTGTTGCGACGAAATTATCAGAAAACAGGGAGAAGTTTCAAATAGTGTTTTTTCGAACCGTTGGTGAGGGAACCAATGCTTTTTGTAGCCTTGGGTTATGTATTATCTTTTTCCGCCAATAGTCTCAAGGAACCCCAATTAAGAAAACTGAATTTTGATATCCCCTCGGTTTGCTACTAGTTGTACATATAGATAAGAAAGATTTTCTCCGCGTCATCTTACTACAAAGCCATATGGGATGTCAGAAAATTGTTTTGTATTGATTAATAATGTACTCGAGACTAGCCCCAGCTGTCAAAAACGAATCCATATTGTTTAAGACCTTCAAACTAGTTAGTTACATGACAGAAAATAGCTGCGGGCCGCTTACCCCTGCACTAGCGCTCACTCTCGCACTTTGGAGGTACTTAACTAATCGCCGTCTCTTCTAATTCACACGCGCCCAACTTTTCTTCTTTATGAAATCTGACATACATAATCTACTTTCCTAAGCATAGGAGTATAAAATTAATAATTATTGGCTGGTATACTCTGATACCCATGCCAGGTAGTTGCAAATGCTTTCCACAATATCTTTTACCTAACTTATAAAGGAAAGGGCTGCTTTCATTTGCTTGTTCTATCCCTGTGTGCGGGTGGCTATGAAAACTCGCTTAAACTTAAGTATGCAGGATTACCCTAAACTAGTTATTGGCGCGCATTTAGGAATAGGAACGCCATCATAATTACGGGTGGGACTACGGGTGCAGCTCCGAGTGCGATTATGTGACATTTAACTCTTATGCAGATTACGCCGTTAAGACTTTGCTAGAAGCCTTGATGTGTGATCATAATTAACCATATGTCACGTAGATACCTAGGTTTAGGGTGCAAATTTCCACAATAGTATAATGGCTTCCCACGATTACCTGGGACTCAAATTTGTGAGAAATGATGTTTTCAATGGATTAATCCGCTATCTATGACCAGATTTATAACCTGAGCGATTAAGATTAGTCACTTCGATATATATTTACATTAATAAGAGTTCAGAAACCGCTCTAAGTAATCTCACTAGTAAGGCAATAGAAGAGACTGGGCGCTCTTCGCGCTCTTCGCGCTCTTCGGCCCAATATCTACAGCTATTATAGATATCCCTGCCGTTATAAACAATCGTGACTCGCCTAGGTAGATGTGCGAATGTAAGTTGTATGTATATGGTATCGGGTTCTTGACTCTTCCTTAACTCAAGGATCTCATGATCACAATATATACATAGTGATATCAACATCCTTGGCTTTTAATGCACTTATAAGCGGCTGGGGTACCCAATGCAGCTGCTGCACTGGATGGGGCTGAACTTATCTCGTAAACCAGAATTAATTGCTGCTGCAGGTTGGACTAATCTAGGAAAAGATATTATTTTACAATATTATACAGATGCGGACTGTTGCAGACGAGGCACCATATTCCCCCTCCTCCCTAATTTGCTAGTGTGGCCGCTAGAAATATTGAATGGGAAAAGTGCCGGCGCCCTGAAATTAAAAAACTGTTGTCTTTTCGTAATAGGTACGACAATACTTTTATATAAGACGCATCTCACCACCCTTCACTTGTCTAGTTATCTCTTTCGCAGACTGCCACCAGATAACTATCTACATACCATCTTACCTTGTCTCGTCGCCAGACTTCTCAACTGTGGTACTGAGGCTAAGGCTTGCACTTGTACAAATTAATGGCACACTCTTATATTATAGTATGTATATGTTGGCTCCCATATGCAACTACCAATTGCAATCAGATACAAAGTATATAACTACCTATACTCACATATCTTAATTTATATTATCTTCCGTTCCTGAGGTAGTGGTCTCGAGGCTAGGCATGCTCCTGCATGCTGCAACGTCGCTTCGGCCAGCATGCAGCAGTGAAGTGTGCGTTGTCGCAAACAAAAAAACCACAATGTCTACCCCACGCACATCGGCCCGGCAAGCACTTATGTATTGAGATTCGTCCGCTTATGCTCGGAGCTTATCATTCGGAGTCTGGGCTGGCTTCCGCCGGACATGTCGACTCATCAACAGCCGGCCATGTAAAGTACGTAAACCTATATTACATAGGGGATCTTTGAACCTTTCGCTGGACTTTATTAGTTTCTGAAGATCGTTTTAAACGCACAATGCAATGTCAACTTTCAGTAACTTTCCAGTCGAGCTTCAGATCCATATTCTCTCGTTTGTTCATCCTTGGGACTACCCCGCTGCCCTCCAAGTGTGTTCTCTATGGCGGGCGGTAATTTCTTCCCGCGATATACAAGAACTTCGTCATCCGATATTCCATGGTGGAGATACGGAATTTAGAGTTCACTGGCTACTTTATAGTCGATTCTACTGTAATTCTCATTGTCCTGTATGCAAAACCAAATACGGTATGTTGAGTGGCTTAATTGCAATTCCCTAGCCTAGTTTTGATCTTAGATATACGTCAAACTCACATTTTATAATATAAGAATCCCACAAAGCACAATATCCCACGCTGTCAGCCGCAACTGCAAAGCGCGTATTCTTAACAGCAAAACTACACCCTTTGAACACGGAGCTCACCTCTTACGAGCTTTGGATAGAAAATTGTACATTTTCTCCAGCGAGTGCGGAAGCCAGAAGTGGCAATTTTCGAAAAATAGATATCCCACACCTTCACCCGCTTCTTAACGAAACAGTGGTATCATATGAGCAGTTGCCTCAGCATGACCTATCGCCTGAATATTACTCGTCAATCAGAGCCAGAATGAATACACCATTCTTTCGCCGACATAGCTCTCGTCTTCGATGGCTCTTGCGAGAGAGAGGATCCGGAGATGCCACTGCAGCGTCCTTAAGCCAGTATACACCAGCACTTCCAATAAGCGAAGGTGTCTACATGGCCGAGTTAGGGGAACTACTGTCGATTCCCAAAGGAATGTTAAAGTTCCATCTCCAATACGATGCCTGTTTTCCCCATTGCACTAAGAGGATTTTTGATAAAGAAACCCCTAACGCAAACTTAACTATTCCTATTCATCCAGGGCTCACGGTTCGCCAGCTCGTAGATGTTTTGTGGGAAAGATTAAGGAAGATATGTTATAAAAACCCTGCACGGGATATTGAAAAGGCGCTCCAGGTGAGGTTTTGTATTATTGGAGCTTCGGAAGATGGGTTACCAATATTGAAGCTAAGCTTGGATGTAGAAGGCATATGCTGCCAGGAAGTTGAAAACCTGACATTATGTGGAGGTGTTTGGGAGAGTGTTTTCTCGCGGTTCAATGCTCGGGACGCCGGAGTTATACTTTGGGATCATTGATATCGAAACTATTTGTCAGGATCAAATTAGGTTTTGTGTCAAAGCTACGAGAAAAGAGGGGGGAAATATATAATGGAACTTATGCGCTCGAATATGCATCTTTATTATTAGTTTATTTCTATAGAATTACAGGAGCTGGGCTAATCCGAAGAATTGGCGTGAGTAAATGAGATCTAAACAGAGGTGCCACACACACGCTAAAGAAGGATCCAGGATAATAGGTAATATCGATACCCTGGTCGCATCCCGAACAATAAATTTTATAAATGAAATCAGGTTGCATGCGGATGGGGATGTGATTCTTTATTTCCAAATACCCTACGATCTATACGCACAACTAGGTCGTGAATGCACTTCGAATTACCATTGTGGTCTCTCAAATTAACATCCTCTAATGTATGCTAACCTCAAACTTCATATTAAAACTCAATGAAGATGTCGACCTCTCCCATCGATACAATCCCTTCTGAGATTCTAACGCAGATTCTTTCTTTCCTGCCCATTACTTCACAAGTCGCGGCGTATCAGGTTTGCTCTTTATGGCGCGCACTCTTAGTTACCCCACAGCTCCAAGCATCCCGTTACCAGCTGTTTCCTAGATCAGATGGCAGTATCTCCTCTGTACAGCAGGCAGAGCCAATATACGTTCACCAACTTTTATATAATGAGATACCCTGTGCTAATTCCGCCTGCTCGGAATGTAATGAGAGACTATGTTAGTAAAGTTAATTCTGCTTTGATTAAGATACTTTGGCTATAGCACTAATTCTAAGAGAAATTGGAAGTGGATTATGAGTATATCTGCGGGTTTCCAAGAAGCGAAGGCTATTATCCCGACTCTGTCACCCGATATCTTCAAGCTTATTTACTTGGGATCCTCGGCCCCGATCAAAGAATTAGCACGTACGAACTTCGCATTAAAAGTTGCGTGCCATTGGACAACTCTAGCTCCGCTAGCGACCATATTCACATCCCGATCTCTTCAACTCACCCATTTCTAAATGAACCAGTTTTAGCACCGACATCTAGAAGGAATATGAAGAAAGGGGACCTTAGAAGATTCCCTTGGCTGCTATATATCCGAACACCAGGAATGCAAATCGGGGTTACCCCGAAAGATAACGAACTCTGTGTTTCGGCTTCGACTACTATACGAGAGTTTACGTTACGGGCTTGGGAAATGATGAGAGAGGCGATGTCGGAGGATACAACTGCAATATGGGTAAAGGAAAAGATGTATCGTGTTAGATTTACATTTCCGACTCATCATAGAGGAGAGAGAGATCCCTCGAAATTACCAACGCTGCAGTTTGATTTAGAAGCTGGGGAAATAGATTTTGACATTGAAGAGGAGGAGGAGCCAAGTCAAATTGAGAGCTAGTCCTCAATTAACGTACAGGACTTGATGCCATCACCAGTCTAGGTTTAGTTTCATAGCGCTCGACAAGGTCAAGGAAAGAAGTCTTCAGGCAGTTAACGGGCGTTAGTGTGGGGGTCCAATACCTATCTTACAATTCGACTGTCTGCTAGCGGCTGGTTGAAGCATTTGTAATTACATCTGTTATAAAACGGGTATCTTTGACTATCTGGAGACCGCAACTCCAGATACCTATTCATGAACACGTACAAGCATGTCACATCATATTAATTCAGATGTCAATATTTGGCACTTACATATTTTCACCATACAAACTACAGCTCTCACGATGGATAATTGATAAAAAATCACGACTTTCTGTGTTTCAGCCGTCGGAAACGTAAAGTACCTATATACTTACATTCGACTGTCAACACGCGCAATAAAATGTTATAACTCACCATGCCTGACACACCTCCTTCAATTTCATCTCTTCCGCTCGAGCTTCCGTCTCGAATCCTATCCTTTCTAGTAGAGTTCAATGCGGCCCTAATCGTATCCTGTGTGATATAGAAGGTATTTAAATCCTCAGACTATATTCACTTCTACGCAATGTCTCAAACGATTGTCAATATCAATACCATGGCCTAATAGTATAGGCCGGGAGAAGAAAGCGAAAATGACAGTGACAGTGCAATGACAGGGATAACTTCGATCCTCAGTACGACGAAGTTGGCGGCTATGAATACCAAGATTACTCATTCCTGTCCGCGAGGATCAGTCGAGCAATAGTGGATATATAATCAAGTATCATATCATGGGTTTTGGATAGCCATTGATATAGAATCTGAAAGAAGCTGGTCGCCAGCATTTGAAAAAAGATACTACAAACCTTGACTTCCGATTTCATCCCCACTTCTCGAAGACCCGTACTCCTACTCCCACTAGTATCTACTATCGAAACTAGGAGGCAACAAGGAAGAAGCAGGTGATGTGTTGAAGCCGCCAGCTCGCCCTAGGACTAGCCGACGAGGAAATCGATACCTTCGTTCCCGCCCGCTACAGGATCCGATTTTATGACTGCACTAGCAACCTTAACCCGGCTGAGAGGATTGAATTTCCCCCACATCTACTGTCAGAGAGTTAGTTTCGAAAATATGGGGGTGCTTCGTGGGGAATTGTTTGAATACCAATTAATATTCGCTGCATAGATCCAGAAGATTTGATATGTCAAGCTCCAATTTGGCACGCCAAGTCCACGACATAAACCGGCAGAAAGTGGGACCACCACCACGAGGCCTCGAGGCTGTCAGGATTCTATGTCGAGCTATACGCAGAGCGCGACCATAAGAAAGGCAGCGTATTTTCACGTGCAGCATTTAGGAGGCAGAAACATTTGGCCAACACCTCAGGGGTGGTCAGATATCAAACGAGGTCGGTATCACAAAGGTAAGGACGTAAAGTTACTTAGGATTTGTACTACCTACGCATATGTTAATTCATGACAGCCTGATACATTTGCATAAGAATGATTCGTGTCGGCCGCGCGATTGGAGGAATTGTATTGGCTGCCGCTGCAGCATTCCAAGGCGTCGCAAGAAGGATCGAGAGTTGGATTAATATGAGGCTTAAAACTTGACAGCGGATACAAGGCTGCAAGCTATCGACCCCTGTATCCCGCCTTTGGTGGAGTCGTTCTGATGCAATACTTAATCTATTGAATCCCCCACATTTGGCCCGGATTCCCGTATTAACTAAAACTAATCCTGTCAGTAGTCTTACTAGTGCAATCCTATTCCTAGTTTAAACCTAAAAAAAATGTTCTTGATAATCAGTCTTCCAGTCGAACTCCAGATCCAGATATTCTCGGAACTATCGTTCTATGACCAGATATCAGTAGCTCGGGTTTGTAGACTTTGGAAGTCTCTCCTAGTTACTTCTGGTCGGCTCCGAAGGGCTCGGTACAGTGAAATCGAATCTACCGGGGTTCATAATGATATGAACTTGGTGAATTATCGAGCTCGAGGCCTTCAGCAGGATACACCGATATGTTCGTCACGGTCTGATACAAAGCCTCAGATCCACCGGCTTCTTTATAATAAATACCAATGCGACTCGTCTTGTTTCCGTTGTAATGAGATCTACGGTACGTCGTATTATATTATATGAATTGATATCATTTTACAAAATAATATGAGTCGTATAGCTATACAGTTAATAGAACGATGATATCTAACGCGCGTTATAATGTAATAAATTTAGCGCTCCCATACATTATCCAAAACTATCTACGCGATACCTATGCATTCCCCACGCTCCATGCAGGGCATAAACACCAGCCCGCAAAGCCTCCTAAACCATATAGTCACGCCTATCTAAACGCAATCCTCTGTCAAACTACTTTACAAATAACAAGTTACGAACTATGTTTCGAAAAATGCCCTCTAGAATCAGGGAAATATCCAACAAAAATCAAACTCCCCGTCGACCATCCCTTCTTCGATGATCCGGTCTTCTCAACCCCTATCTACAACAAGTATGACAGAAGAAGTGATCCAAAATCTGCGAATTTTGATCAAGATGAGGAGAAAATGATCTCTGTCCTTCATTTACTTCACTTACCTAGGGTCGTGTGGCAAGTACACCCCGATGCTAGCTTGACAAGCATACATGTTTCACCCACTATGACTGTTCGCCAGCTTATCTCAAAAGCATGGCAAGCGATACGAGAAGTTTATCTATCCAAGCCGCACCCTTACGCGGAGATTATGGAGTATGTGCGGATATCCTTTAAACCATTAGACGAAGGTGTAGAAGGGGACGGTTTTCCACTATCACTGAGATTGGAAGTGGCTGTTGGAGAAGGTTATTGGGAACAAGTTAATCGAAAACTTGTCTGGAGGGGTAAGATGCCGGAGCCTGGACTAAGAGAGTGGAGATGCCCAGACCCAACTTTGTATAGAAGATTAGGAAACCATGTTGATCGATTATTTGCATCGTCGCATCATGGGCATGGGTCATGCTATAAACAGGAACATGTGGTATTACGCGGGATTCGTACCTAGGTTTGAGTATATGGGATTTTTGAGCAGGTCTTTGATAGTATTTCTTCACTTATTTACCTAGGTAGCTTCTCTCAGATTGTTTCCTCATTTGAATATTTCCGAAAGCATGGCGAAACTGATGAATTTAGCATATCAAATTGGAGAGGACATCTTGTATTAAGTATTTCGCCTGAACTTCTATACTGTCAAAATTGACGATGTCGAGTTATCTTCCAGACTGAGGGGTCAGAGTTACTGTAAAAAAAAAGCATTGATAAATTATGCCAAAAAGCATTTTCTTCCCTCGACATGCAACTTCTCCGTCGCCAACCACCAGAACGCTGTTTCCTCTTCCACTTCCTTCTCCCCTCTCTTCACCACTCTCTTATCAACAATCATATCCCTCCTCGGCCTCAAAAAGACCGCTATGGAATATCTCTCCCCGGCACTCCTCGGCACTACAACGGTATGCGCTGTTGGTAAAACTGTATCCTCCCCAATGGCCTCAACACCCTCATGTTGTTCTAACGGGGACTTTCCAGGTTTTGAGGTAAAAAATGGCATTAAATCCCCTGCCATTATGAGCACTGTTCCATCTATCGGTGGTGCAGAAAACACCTCTCCGCGACGGTTCCAAACGTAGAGGCCAGATGGTTCGGTTGCAGTGATGAGAGTAAGGATATCGAGATCTGTGTGGGCTTCTATGTGTGGAATTGCTTCACCATTATCATCGGCTCTATGGCTGTTTAGAACGGTGTTATATGTAGATTGATCCAGGTTCTGGGGTTGTTGGTCTATGACATCTGGGGAGTAGCGGAGATAGCGCATAGTACTGAAGCCCTCTTCTTCGAACACTTCTTGGGGTATTAGCTGCCTCTGAGAGTTGAATTGCTGGCAGATTTTTTGGAGTATCCCGATACTCTGATTGAAAAATTCAGTTGTATCTTTCCCGAATTCTTCATTATCGGGAGGCCCAAGTAACTTCTCGGCGGGGTTGTAGTCCCACCATTCTCTTCCACTGGCTTTTGCATTATTATACCCGCGAACGGTTGATTTTGGATCCCGAAGGGTATCTTTTATCTTCTTCGGGAGCGTCAAGAGTGTTCTTGCATGGCTGAATGGCGCAGGTGGAAGCCCATGATTGATTAGATAAATTGCAGGATATTTTATCAATGTATCTGGGATCTGAGAAACATCCTTGTAATCAACTATTGGAAGTTCTAGAGCTCCTGTTTCGGAGAGAGTTGAAGTTGACGAAGTCGCCGTGATGTTAGTAACCGTACCAACGGTACTCGTGTTGACATCGGCGCCACGAGGGCAGGTGCGTGCTGTCAGACCCTGTTCTCCCGACTCTTTTGATTTTGCATTTAGTTTCTGGTCCTTGTCGTTGCCGTTTAAAAACAACTTTTTGATGCGACTTTTCATAGAAGGCATTCCGGAAATTGAACTATGTGTACTGTACGTATAGAATACCTACTTTATGAGGGCGTGATGAGGGGTTGTTAATGTTGTAATGTTGCGTTTTTGACACTTCTGGCGTTTTGAGTACAAATTTGGTGTCTTTGGGAAGATGAAAAGTTGGTGGCGGACAGAACGGGTAAGTCTATGCAGAATAGCTATCTTATTCGATTTCAAATTCGAAGAGGCAGATTTAAAGAGGCAAAGGCAACGGATATCAAATTTGGATCCCTGTGTTATAATATAATTTCTCTCTCTTCTATTTAGATGTATTATAGCAGTCTTGTAACCAAGTATTATAGGGGCCGAGGATAGTGTCCTGTGATATTAAATCTAGAGCGCTCTGCCGGTTTAGAGGCAATGGTGTAATTATAATTCATTCTAACCCGGGTCTAATCGAAACTATAACATGTTGGTATTACGATCATAGTGTCAGAACCAGAGTAGCTAGGGAAAAATCTGGCCTCGACACTGTGACGTTAGAAGAAAATAGAGCCTGCTTTGGGGTTATAAAGTAAATTCCGTTGTAATCAAGCTAAATACTTTTCTTCTGCACCTAATATCGTCCTATTGCAGCCTGAATGGTCGTTTTTCAAGTAGCAGTGTATATCTAGATACTTTTGTCGCCACCTCTTGGAGTATTTCTCGACCTGGACATTATAGATGAAGATATCTCTCACCTTGTTTGTCGTGGCTATCTTTGCTGTGGTTCCGTTGGGGTGCTGTGCACCACTCGAGAGAGGTAACAAGAGTGAGACCGGCCCAAAAGGACGGACTACCGAGCCAGCAACAGCCCAGAAGGACGTTCCAGAGCCCGAACCATCCGAAAAATACCTACCCTACCTCGTCCTCTTCAAAGACTCCGAAAATCGACCATGGGAGACCATCCTCGCCAACATGGGCTTTGGTGCAGCGGTTAAAGAGAGCAAGCATCCTAAACGAGGGCCATTGGCATCAAGAGCATTAGACCAGGGTGACTCGCAGTACTTCACGACTCCCAACGGGCGCCAGCTGCATGCGTTCGGAGGCGGGGAGGGGACTATGAGAGTTTTGAAAATGAATATGACGCTGCCCGAAGTCGAACGTGTTAAACTATTGGAATATGTTGAGTTTGTCGAACAGAACAAGAGAATTCCGGTATTCGAACCCCCTCCGGAGGATAACCCTGGAGTCAAACCTTCTCTAGGACTGATTCGTCCCGCTACAGTCCCATATATTAACGCCCCCGGGTTTGAGTGCCGCCGTAGGGGGTTTGATGGGCGTGATCTTCCAATAATTGAACAATGTGGCGCTCCTTGGGGACTTTATAGAATTTCGTCTTATGAGCCTCCAGTGTTTACAAGTTCGGCTTCGGAACAAGCTTCGTTATCATACACTTACAGGTTTCGTGAGGGTGCGGGTATTGGGGTTGATATATATATTCTTGATACGTCGCTCAATGAAAACCATCCTGATTTTGAGGGAAGAGCGAGGCTCTTGTGGATTCCCACTGACGTGGATGATAACCCGGATATGGCATTGCACGGGTTCGTACTTTCCACATCTCAACTCCATATACCCCCAAAACATAGCTTTGAAAATCCGAACTTCTGTCTTTAGGTTGCGAGAACCATGTTAGCTAATATAATTACCTGGACGTTATATAGGACACATGTTGCTGGAATTGCTGCCAGTAGAACCTTTGGGGTCGCAAAAGGCGCCATGATATATGGAGTTGCGGTGATAGTGGGAGACGATATACTTGATGAGGATATTTACGGCGGCGGGAATGCCATTCTTCGTCATCATCGCGGTCGTCGTGATAGCCCTGGCTTTGCGGGTTCTATCGTCAATATATCTGCAGGTGTGGATGAGGGCTGGCCCGCTATAGAAATAATGGTGGGGCGGTTTCTCAGGGAAGGTATACATGTTACCGTTTCCGCAGGCAACAGGAACAAGGATGCCTGTGGAGCTAGCCCTGCTGGAATGTCGCGAATATTCCCCGTGATTACTACTGGTGCTATAGCTTTTGACGACCAGCGTCATCCCCGCACAAGCTGGGGGCGCTGTGTGGACATATATGCACCAGGGACCAACATTGCGAGCTTGTCTAGTACATCAAACACCGTTCCGGCAGTCCTGAGTGGAACATCGATGGCAGTGCCCCACGTGGCGGGAGTGATGGCAGCTGAGCTGACTTTTCGTCCTGAGTTTAAATTTGATCCCTCAGGTCTGAAGCGTTTCATCTTAGATAGGGCGATAAAGGGTGGGGTAAAGTTAAAGCGAAGCAAGGAGGATGAGAAGGTAGTTGGAGGAAGATTGCTGCTGAACAATGCCTCACCGGGGCCTCCTGTGCAGATTTCGCCAGCCAGATCGTTTCTGCCAGATGGAGGATTTTAGTAATAGTTGTTTTATCATGGGAGAAACAGCCGCTGGAGGTGGACATTCTGTTTGAGTTTTAATCTAGAGATCGATGATATATTAGCCTGCTAGTTACTATGCCAAGTCTGTCGCTAATATCCTATTTCCACCACACTAGACGATCTATAGTTACGATTAGTATACGAATCAATTCGAGGGCCATTTAAGTAATAAAACAGATGCTAACCACGCGCGAACGGAAAGTGTACAACACGGTGGTGTAGAAGTTTTTGTTGCATTTTGGGAGACATGACTGGCAAACTTTGCGTGGGAAGCCGCGACGCCTGTGGATGGATGTGTACTCGTATTATCCGACGAACCACGTCGACACGCGATAGCTCAATACATAGTAGAGATCCAGAGAGAGAGTTCTCATCTTTGCATGGTAGTCCACCCGTTATGCTTGTGCATTGGATCCTGCCAGCGGAAGTAACCATGTTAATACTCCACAGCTAGGTGCATGGAATCGAACAGTTACTCCCCAAGGAGCTAGCTCGCTTCGATAGAAAATGCTGTCAGCTCCCTCGATGGCATCCGCTAAAAAGCGAACCAATGGCGAGGTATTTACGCCAGTGACATCATGCACAGATGGACTGGGGTATCCCATTTTTCCGCAGCCCGACCCGTTTTAGGTATAACATTTTCTGGGAGAGAGCTGGGACCAGACGCAGACTTCCTCTCATGCGACTGCGATTTTTTCAGGAAGACGAGCTTTGCATAGGATATCATGTATCCTTGCTGTCTATCCGTAATCAGATATGAAAAATCTTTTTCTTTGTTTGAATATTTGGGATATCCTGTGGCGTAGTTATAAGCCTTTAGCACTTGTTAGCAATCATCACAATTGTTTACAATGTTAGCATTATTGTGACTGCCACTAACCTGGACCAATCCCTTTGTCTGCTTCGGCCATTAGTCAGTCCCTCAAATTTTTCCAATTTTTCCAATTTTTCCAATTTTTTCCTTCTCCATCGATCGAATGGATCGGGGAGGGTGCTCTGCGCTGCACTGTGGCTATACCAGCTAAAAAGTGGCTGGGTGTTGGTTGTATTATTGGCGTTGTTGCGCATTGTTGCCGTTGCCGATGCCCGTTTTGATGGTGTCGTTCTTTTGCCTGGCTTTAAGCCTTCCCACTTTTCCTCTTCCTCTTCCTCTTCCTCTTCTCCCTCTCAATTCTCCCTCTCTTCCTTCATCCTCAACAACCTCCCGGCTTTCATCAACCCCCCACCAACATCACCACCACTGCATTCACAATCGCCCGGTCAAGCGCCAGTCCAATCCAGCTTCGTCAGACACGCGCGATTCGAAGTCGCAATCCTCAAATCGTACCAAAGATCCGTTAGTTGAGGTCTGCCGCCTCCTCAGGCACCTGAAAAGACGCTGAAAAACGCGTCGTACACCTACAATCACCTGTTGGAAGTCCTCTCCACAGTCGGCCCTACTTCTTGCCAATCTTCTGTTCTTCATTCCAACCATATTTCGTCCTTTCTGATCGATTCAGACCACTTTCATCATGTCTACCGAAGATAAAGCAAAGTCACCAGCGCCACCGGCAACCACTGAAACTTCATCGGAAGTTAAGGAAACCGCTTCGGAGGTTACCTCCACCGTTGCACCGTCAAAGGAGGTCGAGGTGCCGGCTACTACCACCGACAGCAAGTCTCCTGAGCCATCTAAACCTGCAGATGCCGTCGCTGACACCACACCAGCCAAACCCTCCGAAGACGCGGAAAAGCCAGCTAACGACGATGAAGCTTCGGAAGAACCTGCTCCACAGGAAGCTGAGGATAATGACACGACACAAACCACAGTCCCGGTCGATAATAATGACAAAGACGACTCGATTGCCATATCCCCCATCACTGAGGCCAACCGGCCTTCGCGTGCTGCCGCCCAAAAGGCACAAGAAGCCACCAAACCACGTACTCCCGCTAAGAAGAAGAGTTCCACCAATCTCTCCGGAGCTGCTGCCGCCAGTTCTGCCAACAAACGCAAATCATTCGGTGGTAAGGCTGGTCCTGATATGGCTCTTAAGCCCGGTATGATCGTGCTTGCTCGATTGAAGGGGTATTCTCCTTGGCCAGCCATCATTGTCGAAGACGATATGCTTCCTGACGCCGTCAAGAACGCCCGCCCCAAAGACAGCACTAGCAAGCGAAAGGGCAAGTTTAGCATGTTGGGAATGGCAGAGGAGGATATCCCGATTGCTGCCCGTGGCAGCTCTGCAGGTCACTGGCCTATCATGTTCCTTGACAACTTTGAAAGCTTGTAAGTCTTACTCCATCCTTCCTAAATTCCTTGCTGTTTTCATGCTCTCGTTTGTTCTTAGTCTTTTTGCCTGACTTTACTGACCGTCTCCAGCGCCTGGACGATGTTTACAGAGATAATGCCTCTCGATAAAACCGCCATCGACGCCTTCTCGCCACGTGGAAAAGCCAAGGACATCGTCAAGGCTTACGAAAACGCTAAGAAGGGATATTCGCTTGAAGATATCCGCAACATTAAGGCAGACGCTTATGAGGAGGAAGAAGAAGCCGATGCAATGGATGTTGATGAACCAGAAGAAGATGAGGAGGAGGAAGAAGAGGTTGAAGTCAAGGCTCCTAAAGGCAAGAAGAAGGCCGCTCCAGCGAAAGAGTCGAAGAAGCGTAAAGCAGAGGAGGAGGTTGAAGATGTAAGCTTGCGCACCAAAAGCACGATGCAGCAGCAATTACTAACTAGAGAAGACAAAGGCTACGAAAACCCCGAAGAAGCAAAATACCGGCAAGAACGTCAAAACTCCAGCCTCTTCTAAGACAAAGACTCCCGTTAACGGTGCATCGAAAAAGAAGGCTGCCGAAGAAACCCCGGCCCCAAAGTCATCTAAAAAGCGAACCGCTGCTGTTGCCTCCGAAGAAGAGGAAGACACCATTGATAAGAGCGCGAAGAAGAAGACTAAGGGTGCTGAGAAGAAGGCTGTCGAAAAGGATGACACTCCAGACGAGGCTACTTCTTCCTCGGCTAAGGCGAAAAACCTGACTGTAGAAAAAGATCAGAAAGAGAAGGAAGTTATGTACCTTCGACACAAGATTCAGAAGGCCTTACTTACCACTGATAAAGTCCCAACTGAAGCAGTAAGCTCTTTTGACCCTACCCCAATGCTAGAATTTGTATGGATGTTGACTGATGTTTTGAAATATAGGAGGTCGTCAATATCGACCACTACTTCCAGAAACTTGAATCGTACCCCAAGCTTGAAGTTGCGATCATCAAGAAGACTAAGATCAATAAGGTCCTGAAGGCTCTTCTTCGTCTTGCCAGTATCCCATTTGATGATAAGTACAAATTCAAGGATCGCACTCTCAAGATGTTGGATGAGTGGAATCAGCTCCTTGCTAATGACCCCGAGGCATCCGGTGCTGAACCAAATGGTGTCAAGAAGGGAAGCACAAGCGGCAAGGACAAAGCCGGCAAGAGCCCTGAACCGTCAACTGAGCCTGAGAAGCAGAAGACCGAAGAACCGAAAGAGAAAGTCGAGCTCGCCGGATCTGACGCCAAAGAAAGCACTGAGAGTGTTACAGAGAAAGACGAGAAAACCGATGCCCTAGCTCTAGCCGAGGAAGAAACCGCTAGTGAAGAGAAGAAAGAAGAAGAAGAGGAGGTAGTAGCTGCCGCCGAGGCCAGCAAGGAAGTCGCTGCGGAAGCTTAAAAGCTGAAATTTTATGATCTCCAATCTCTCAAATTGTTGAGAGACTCTATTATGGTAATTATGCGCTGGCCCGGCCTTTCTTTTCTGAACTTGGATATACTTCTTTTTTTTTTTTTTTTTATCCACTGCTTGTTCTGTGTCAATTTGCAAATTTTCCAAGGCACTTTTTTATTATTAAGCATTTTAACTCACCCCTTTCGCCCTCCATGCCACACCTCCTCCCATACCACATTCGCATACCTACTCTCCTTTTTTGTCAACTCTGCTGTCCTGTAACGTTTTAGAGAAAGAGAGATCGGCGAGTGCGGTACATCTCTCTATATTTGGTTCGAATATTCCAGCGAAAGGCGATTAGCAGAAGGCAAATCAATAGTTAGGAACAACTTCTTCTCCTAACGGAATCAAAAAAAACAATGAAAAAAGAGATGGTGAAATTATCACGATCATTATTACTCCCACGTATGACCTAAGCCTCCAAACAAAAGCGGTGGTCGTATATCTCATGTGCTCTTCTTTTTTTCGCTTTGGTTGCTGTTTTTGTCCCTTCGTCGTTCATCGTTTGGGTGGTGCTTTCTTTCGAGAGGTATAATATGTGTTACTCGTCTCTTAAAAAAGGCTGTTCAAGATTCTAGCTACGATTATCTTTCTGAATGACGCACGTACTAGCTCTTTAGTGCCCTCCCCTTTCTGTGTGCACGGTTATGCTCATTGCACATGGATTTCTTCATGTCCCTTTGACGGTTGCGCTTAGCCTAGTGATAGGCTTACTAACTTTTTGAGCCCGCAGTATTACTTCTGATATCTCTTTATTACTCCTTCTCTGTTCTTCTTTCGTTTTGTTTTCTTTCATGCGGTGTATATATAGTTTACTTCGTTGCACGTTCTCAGTTTTGTTTTCTTTATTATTGTCAGTTAGGAAGTGGGGTATGATGGTATATGTAGCTTAGCTACTCAAGTAGGTAGATTGTTCACCTTCTATGATTTCATAACTTTCTTTCTTTTCTTTTGTTTTCTTTTCTTTTCTTTACTTTTTATTACCTTAGCTAGTGCTGTCATGTTTATGATAATTATATAAAGGAGAATGAATAAAAAGAGATACACAAAATAATTGCATAACTAAAGAATCTATAGATCTAATGATATGGAGATGCCCCGTCAGCATGATCAGTTGAAGGCGATGGATTGAAGTACACGATACTCCGTATACGCATAGGCAGTGAGAAGCTGGTGCCACGATAATGGGATAGATCGGTACATCAATTATAATCGCGAAATATTAACATCATCGCCTGATATCAGGGCGTTATCTATAGCTTGGAAGCGCGAATCATATCATAGTCGCTTTCTCATTTCAATATAGTTTTCTGCTTTTCTATATACATCTACTTCAATCAAAGATATCACCAAAGAGAGCCCACCGTGCCAATAAATCTCAAACCTTTAATGATGCTCAAGCAAAAGAAACGGAAACGGAAAAAGAAATAGAAGGAAAAAAAACACAAGGATTTAGACTCATGAATCCTTTGTCGAAAGTTTTTTTAGTAAGTTTCCATGCCAATAGCACTTGTAATCTTCCAAGTGATCAGACCGTGCATGCTTCATCTTACAATGGCTTTCCGCCAATAAATTCACTCCATCGCATAACTTCGCTTGGAATACCCTCCTTCCTGGGTAACTTCTCGCTCAAACACCTAGCAAACAGCACAGCCGTCTACACAGTAAACGTTAGTATCTATCTGAATTTATGCGATGAAAAGTATTTAAGATTGAAGAACATACCTTAGGTTCCATAAACAGCGGTACGTTGAAATCGACCGCATTCCTCCTCATAACATAATCCTCATCCAACAAATCTTTGCCTCGGGCAGCAGCAAGGTTGAAAACACCCTTGACGTCCTTTTCCTTGAACAGCTCCCTTAATTTCCTCTTATCCGTCTTTGGGAATTCGACAACCTCGATCTTGGCAGATGGGACCTCCTTCTCCAAGGCCGCCTTAACCTTAGGGTTAGCAGCAAGCAGTTTGTAACCCATTGGGGCGATGTATTCAACGATCTCCCTGAGGTGCGGAGCAGACACATCACCGCCAAGGAGTATACCACTACCAGGTTCTGGAACTGTGAAGTTCATGACGGACTGAATACTAGCCCAGTAAGCTTCAACAAGATCCTTTCCGAAGCAAGCAACTTCTCCGGTACTAGCCATCTCAACTCCCAAGAAGGGATCAGCGCCTGCCAATCTGGTCCACGAGAACTGTGGAACCTTGGTAGCAACCCTGTCAACCTTCTTTGCCATGACATCGACTGGCTCCGGGACAGCAGTGTTGGCAAGAGCCTTAGTTGCAACATCGACGAAGTTGACGCCAAGGACCTTGCTAACGAATGGGAAGGAACGAGAGGCACGAAGGTTACATTCAATAACCTTAAGTTGTGGTTCTCCACCTTCTGGGTTATCGGCCTTAATGATCTGCATGTTGTATGGACCGGTGATAGACCAGGCCTTTGCGACCTTGACTGCGATTTCCTTTACGCGGGCCATTGTGGATTCATCGAGATTCTGGGGTGGCAAGACGAGAGTTGCATCACCAGAGTGGACACCGGCTTGTTCGACGTGTTCGGATACAGCGTGGATCAACAACTTTCCTTCGTGGGCGACAGCGTCGACGTCGATTTCCATGGCACCTTCGATGAACTTAGTGATAACGACCGGGTGATCGGGTGTAACGGCCGCAGCATTCTTGAGTTTCTCCTCAAGCTCGCTTTCGTCACGGATAACGCTCATGGCAGCACCGGAGAGAACGTAAGATGGGCGGACAAGGACTGGGAAACCAACGGAGCGAGAAAAGTTAAGAGCCTCCTCAAAGCTGGTGAGTTCCTTCCATGCGGGTTGATCCACACCAATGCTATCAAGAATTTGAGAGAACTTATGACGATCTTCAGCCTTGTCGATATCCTTTGGATCAGTTCCCAAAACCTTAGCACCAGTCTCAGAGAGCTTAAGCGCAATGTTCTGTGGTAGCTGACCACCAACAGAAACAACGACACCGGCTGCGGCTTCAAGTTCATAGATATCCATAACACGCTCATAGCTCAATTCTTCGAAGTAGAGCTTATCGGCGGTATCGAAGTCGGTGGAGTATGTTTCAGGGTTATAGTTGATCATGACAGTCTTCTTGCCGAGTTCACGAAGGGCAAGGGTAGCGGAAACGGCACACCAATCGAATTCAACGGAGCTACCGATACGGTAGACACCAGAACCAAGGATAACAATGCCATGGTCGTCGAAGGTGACATCGTGAGAAGAAGCGTTGTAGGTGGTGTAAAGGTAGTTGGTATCAGCAGGGAATTCAGCGGCGAGGGTATCAATCTTTTTGACCCATGGGTGGATGTTGAAGTTCTTTCGGCGGGCACGGACTTCGTCTTCGGTGCAGCCTACTAGCTTAGCAATTTGCTTGTCTCCGAAACCAAGTTTCTTAGCCTTCAGCAGGATTTCCTGGTTTAGTCCGAAGAGAGAACCGATATTTAGAATCTCATGATGGCAGTCAACAATGTTCTGGAGCTTGTAAAGGAACCATTTGTCAATCTTTGTGAGCTCATGGACACGTTCTACGCTATAGTTTTCGTGAAGCATGGCCTGACCGACAGCAAGCCATCGCCTATCGGTTGGGTGAGACAATTCATAGTCAAGGTCCTCAAACTTGTCGCCTTGGAAGCCAAGGAAACTAGGGTCGACCTGTCGAATAGCTTTTTGGATAGACTCTTCAAAGGTACGACCGATAGCCATGACTTCGCCGACAGACTTCATAGCAGATCCAATATCACGCTTGACGTGACCGAACTTGCTCAGATCCCATCGTGGAATCTTGGAGACGATATAATCGAGGGAAGGTTCGAAGTTGGCGGTGGTAGTCTTAGTGACAGCATTTGGTAATTCTGGTAGTGTGTGTCCGAGTGCGATCTTGGCGGCGGTATAGGCCAATGGGTAACCGGTAGCTTTGCTTGCAAGTGCAGACGAACGAGACAAACGAGCATTGACTTCAATAACTCTGTAGTCCAATCCATCGGGCTGAAGCGCGTACTGCACATTACATTCACCAACGACACCAAGATGTCGAACAATCTTGATGGCAGCAGATCTAAGCATGTGGTACTCCTCGTCACTGAGTGTCTGGGATGGAGCGACGACGATACTGTCTCCAGTGTGGATACCTAGAGGATCAAAGTTCTCCATGTTGCAGACTGTGATACAGTTGTTGGAAGCATCTCGAACGACCTCATACTCGACTTCTTTCCATCCCTTCAGGGACTTCTCGACGAGAATTTGAGGTGCGAGGGAGAGGGATTGGGAAGATAGAGATTCGAGTTCGTCGCGGTCCTTTGCGAATCCAGATCCTAGACCTCCTAGGGCATAGGCGGAACGGACAATGATAGGGTATCCGATCTCTTCGGCGGCAGCCAATGCTTCCTCAACAGTATTGACAGCGATAGATTCAGCGATTGGAATATCGATTTCCTTCAATGCCTTAGCAAACAAATCACGATCCTCGGATGTCTCCAAAGTTTTGATTGGAGTTCCTAGGACCTTGACACCCATTCTCTCGAAAACACCCATCTTGTCAAGCTTGACACCAACATTGAGACCGGTTTGGCCTCCGAAAGTGAGAAGGATACCATCTGGACGCTCTCGCTCGATGACATGGGAGATGTACTCGGTAGTAACCGGGAGGAAGTAGACCTCGTCCGCGAGGAAATGAGATGTCTGAATGTTTGCGATATTAGGATTAATAAGGATAGACTGCTTGCCAGCCTCTTTTAGTGCCTTAATAGCTTGGGATCCTGTGAGGTTTTTTTATATTAGAATACCGTTCATAACCGTGAATAAATTCTGTTGATAAGTATTGGAGATCTTACCGGAGTAATCGAACTCTCCTGCTTGCCCGATACTCAAGCCACCGCTACCAATAACCAACACCTTGTTCACATCGACCAAGTTGCCGCTACCCGCAATCACCCCCGACTCAAGATACGCCTTCGCAGAAGGTGCGGCCTGAGTTGTATCCTGCACCTTCCTCGCGACCGTCGTGGAAAACGTACGAGCCTGCAGGATAGACTTGACCCTGTGGCCTGTAGTGAGCAAACGTTTTCCGGCGACATTTGGGGCCGCGGCAGGTGCTAAAGGCGGGACAAGCTTATGGATAGCTGTTAAGGAATTGAATGACCGAGTATAAGCGGCGAAGGTGTTAAGCTTCGAAATGGGGATGTTCTTGATCATAAGTCTTTGAGACATGGTGAATTTGATGGAGAATGAGTATGCTACCGAGGCTCCAGTTTGTTTGACTTGAGCTGTGTGAAGAGGGGTTTGGAGGGATTAGATGCTATGCAATATGCACGCTGTTGATACTTTTTTTGTTCCGCTTTTCGGCAGAAAACTATGAGATACCAATTATTGGCAATTAGGAGATATCTAGGAATATGAATATAGGAAGAGTGCTTGGGGGAGAGGGAATGGATTGAGGTTGGACAATTGGGGTGGGTGAGGTTTAATATGATGTAAAATTTTTGGTGGAAGGAATACCTTGCTGCGAAGCGGCGCGTGGGCAAGACAAAGAAAACTCCAACCTCCTGCTACATACTCCCCTCGTGTGCACTGACAATACAGCACAGGGCTCACGGGTACAAGCAATTGCTCATAATCGGCAGCGGGCAATTGGTTCCCTTCGTCCCATCCAAACATACAAATTGCAGCAATCTTGGAACGCAGGTCACACGAAGGCATGCTCGATTCGGGCGGGGAATTGCTGCAGCTGTGGAGTTTATCCACTGACGCTAAGGCCGATGCAGCAAGGTACCGGTCCCAACATACGGCTGTCCTGTGGTTGTCAGCCAGAACAAGCCGGACGGGGCCTGCTAGTTTCCTGTGCTAAGTCTCAAGGAGCTCCCTGGGCCGGAACAAACGATCAAAATTTTCTTCAGATCCCGCCCGGTTTGGCTCCGATTCTGCTTCGCCGATTTCTTGGGCTCCGTCTTTGTTTGCACGTTTGCAGACATCGGTGGGTCATTGATGTATCGCCCGTGGGGGAAGGCAAGTACAAAGGTCAATTGGCTTGCTTCTAGAAGCGATGATGTCGGTAGAAGCTTTATTGGCTACGTTTCATTCTGACAGGCGGTTTTGATATCGATACAGTCCCCTTGTCACAGTGACGGAGGGCGTCCTCAGGTGCTGGCCGATGCCGCTCCACCGAGTCTATGACTCTATTCCCAAATAGGAAGTCCCGAAATGCCACAGGATCAACCTCTCTCAACACATTTATCTACGCACAGTAGACGGTTACGAACTCGGGACTGATAGCGGACACGGCCCAACGGCTATAATTAACGAACGGACGGCCTTGTAGACCTACAAAGTCAACCAAGTATAATGGTCAAATGATTTCTAAGAGTTCCAGAATAGACATTACAACCCACTATTTTTATTTTGCTAGTGTGGCTATTGGCGTACGTACACGGGGCTGGGTATGAGACAAAGTCAGATAGGTTTCGATGATATATACATAAAAAACGTTGTGGGAAGGAGATCGATTATACTAGTCATTAGGTCGAACTCTGTAATGCCTTCCCTCCCGGCCACTTCTGGCATATCTTAGAATTTTTCGCTCGTTTCCGATATTGTTTGCGATCCTATGTCCATAGGGAAATAATCGTCATCAAGAAGCTCCTCGATTGATGATGGCTCTTCAAGATCAATTTCTTCGTCGAGTTCTTCGTTAATTGTATCGTCGGTACCGTGGACACCGTCCCTGACTTCTTGTCCTTCATGTCTTCCCACCTCTTCTTCAATTTCTACACGATTAGGATCCAGCTGACTAGTCATTCCTTGAGCCGAAGCCACATTTTGGTTCCTCCCATTTTGTCTTCTACCGGTATTCTGACTTCCATTGAGATCCAAAACTTCAGTTTGGCTCATACCTCCCGCACCAACTCGAACTCCCTGCCGCGCTAAATTAAGCTCGTTTTGTGCTCTCTCCCAAGCCCAAAAGATTCTCCATGCATTTGCTAGGACTTGTAGATTGTACGTCATCAGAGATTCGAATCTCAGATACCATCCCCGTTTCTCACTTGGGGTATCTGGAACCAGATTGAAACTATCTAGTAGTTCTCCCATTGGGATCTCTTGGTTGGCAATATCTTCTGCAGTCGCCCTCTTGTTTGCGATCAAAGCCTCAAGGTTCCAAATTAACGGGTTAATTTTTTTACTTTGCTCTGCAACTGCGGGGCCTACTTCTCCGATTTGGATATTACTACCCAGTCCTTCTGTCGCCACTATTAGTGGCTCGTAACCGTCGTCAATCTCCAATTTTAGTTGTGGTAGGTACTCCTTCGCTAAGGGGTGGTCTTTGATTGCGTCACCGGTAATTCCTAGAAACCCATTTATATTCCTCATAACAATCTTTGTATCTTCTCTTACCGGGTCCATTGCTACTTCGGGATTGACATGAGTTTCCACGACCTCTCTTAGATACTGTGATATATATCGTTTTGAAGTAAGTGGCTCGTATGGAATCGCGTTGATCCATTTTGTGGCTTCGGTCTCTATACTCCTTATCCCCGCTTCATTCCAATGTACGATACTCCCCGGTCGCAATTTGGAAGGATCGTACCCATACAACGCACCGCCGAACCTCAATTCTTCTCGTATCCTTACGCCCTGCCAACTTTTGCATTCCGGTGATATCCCGTACACCTTGAAGTTTACGACATGTACGCCGCGTATTCGATCTGGATCGAGTAGCATCATAACCCGCGGCTTGGCTTTACCAATATGGGATTTGGAACAGGAACTACCATAGTAGAGGGCTACGGCGAGAGTGGGTTGGCTGCCTGGGCGGTTCCAGACGGCGATCCCCTCGGTTGGATTGCTCAAAAGAAGGTCACTGGCACGAATGCATTCGTATAGACCTTTAACCTCGGGTTTGCCGTTACCGCTTTTAAGAGGATAGGGGCGCGTGAAGTAAGCGCCTTGGCTTACGGCGGCTTCTAGATAAAAACCGGAAGCTGTGCGTATTAACGGAAGGAGAAGTAATGAGATACGTGAGAAGTTCTTGGTAACCAGCGTGGTTGATTTCATGATAGCTAGCTAGGTCGCTTCATGAATTCATACGAAGATACATCGCGACGGAAAAGAAAGTGCATGTAAACTATAAAGACGTGGTTCCCCAGGTGGTTTAGATTGTATTCACTTCATTAACGGCTGGATCATAAAACCACATGCATTATGAGCAAGTTCCTTTGACAATTCACACGTGCAGTCATTTACATATTTCTTTTGCATTCTGGTTCCAGCAACAAATTTATCTCCTTTTGCCTCATATTCGTGGGTACATCAAAAGGCGCGTGCCAAGGAACGTTCAAATTACATGTAAGAGTTAATGATTTAATTAAACTATTAAAGTTACTGATGAACACCGGCATCTCTTGTCTGGAATAAATACTATTTACTCCGTAGTAGTATTCAGCTCCCAGATGTGCGATTAATGTAGAATATATTGTACAAACTACCTTCATGAAGATCGTAGCAAATACACAAAGTCAGTGCATTTAGCGTATATATCTGATGATTATATATTAGACTCGGACCATCACTCTTTGTCATATCTACGAAGGATTCATCTTCCTTTTCTTCACCACCAAGCTATCTTCGGCATCATCCCACCCCCAATCATAGTCTTGGGGATTCTCTAAAGCGTCCATCTGCTCCTCCGTTACAATCATACTACTATCAAATCTTGGACTCGACTCTTGATTTAAAAACTGAGGTCCAGCCCAAGAACGAATATCTCCTGGCTTCGGCCTCCTCCGTTGTTGGAACCTCGCCATAGCTTTCAATTGAGCCCGCCAGGCGTTCAAAGGGTCGGAAAGTAGTTCATTTTCTCTCCTTTCTTTCTCTTCTCGTAGCTGCTGTTGCGTAAATTCTTTGTCCAACATGGGATCAGTGTATTCGTACGGTCTGTCCCAGATTTGTTCTCGTGTTAAGTCAGGATTTAAGCTTTTAGTAAAGGCGGATGGGAATAATGGATTGTTATCTTCTTCCGAAAAAGGATTAACTGCTGGATTTGGTATGAGAGAGCGCAGGAATTGCGGTGTTATATATCCTGGAATTTTCTCAGCGTTTGGTTGTCTCTGGGACTCAGCAGTCTTTTGTAATTGGGATAAAATCCTGGAATATGTGTGCGCTAGATCAAGTTCCACCACATTGGGGTCCTTTAAATTCGGATGAGTGATCTGAATACCCTGGGGTGGCCGCCTCATCGGGGGAGGGCGTAAAAGTTGTTCATCACTGATCGCCGGATTGCGCACCCCTGGCAATATATGACTACCTCTCCCAGAAAATAATGAGTTTAGGTTTGTTCCTGACGAAAATGGTTTGCCCCATATTATATCACAGACCATATCTTGAAATTCTCGATCAGGGTAACTCTCTAGGTTCAGTTCTGGGGTAGCGAATTGTCGACCTGGGGTGGTGACTTGTCGACCTGGGGTGGTGACTTGCCGACCTGTGGTTTCTTGCTGGGCACCAAGTTGGGGTATATCCCCACTAACCTCATCGATGACCGATTGAGCGGATGCTGGGGTTAGTTCTTCTTGAATGTACTGGAAAGGGACCACCTCAGGGCTCAGTTCCTGGTTTCTGTCAAAGATATCTGGTCTCTGGTCAAGTTCGATAACTTCTTGGCCAATGTTGGACTCTTGGTTCCCTTCCTCTTCAATACCTGACGCTTCAAATACTTCAGCCTCCGGCTCACTTGAACCGGTTGCAGCCACAAGGTTGGGCTGCCGCGCTATACTCGGGTTTATTCCTCGTCCTTGTTGTTCTTCATCTCTAGCTGGAGAGGGATCTAGAGATGAATCGCTCTGCTCGACCCTGGATGACCCAGTCCCTCCTCGGGAAGGGCGCAACTGGCCAACTGAAGGCCTATTTAGTAGGCGCTGATTGTTTCGAACCGGTATCTGCCCCGGTGGACCCGTATTAAAGTTGGAGGGTGACGCCCGTTGAAACATGGCAGGTATGTTTCCAGGATTCTCTAAGGGTTCCGGGACATCTTCGTTTTGCCCTACGATTCGCGGCACCCTATCACCAGCAACACCAAAAGTCGGCTGTACATGTTCAAGTTCTGTTTCGTCCTCACTACTTGAAGTATCTAATTCAGGTGCTACGAATTCCTCGCTCCAATCCGGGAATATTACATCGGGGGATGGAACATATTCCTCTTGGTTTTGACCTCCTTGCTGAAGTTGTTGCCCTGCAGTGGGAATTTCTCGATACTCCGGTGCAATGTTAGAAGGCATTTGAAGTCCCTCCTGGCCTTGAATTGGTAACGTCGATTCTGTTGGTTCCTCTTGCATCCGAGGTTCTTGAGATGTGTTCGGGTTTGTGTTAAAGGAAGCCTGAGGATACCTAGATGACACAGGCTCCCCCGTTACTTGCTCTCCAGCGATATTTTGAGCACCAGGAGCTACGCCACTCCTTGAACGAGGCTGCTCTGCTTGCGCCGGCTGTTTTCTAAGTGGGGCTGCCTGCCCTTGCATCCACTGAACATTATTAATTCGAGGCTGAATCGAGCCTCCTCCGAATGGGTTTTGTCGATTCGATGCCACAATAGCCTCCGTTTCCGGGCGTGGGATATTTTGCGTACCACCTGTATCTTGCGGCGGTCGCCCGATCATAAATGGTTCAGATAAGGGTACGCTTTGATGGTCGTTCCTAGTCGGTAGGCCCAATCTATAAACACCTGGGGTCGAAAGTGGTTCAATTCCTGGCCCTTCAACTAGCATTCCACGACGTTCCGGGTTTTGAAGATTGTTCCTAGTTCGATCTTGTTCATCGTCAGAGACTTGCGGTAAATCTACTTGCGGGTTTATATTCGATGTGGTTTGAGGCTGTGTGCTCGGGATCCTCCCTAGGTAGCTATCTTGCCCTTGCGAAAGGTTCGGATTTACCGCCGGCGGCTGCGATTGTTGCATTTGCTGTCTCGCTATTAGTTGTCCACGAGAATCAGCTTGCTCCATTTGGCGACCTGCACCTAATGGCGCTGTTTGTATCTGTGCATATGGATCAGTTCTAGCACTTGTAGGGCCCTCGGATATGTATGGTTGTCGGTTCTGAGTATTAGGTGCCTGTTGTTCCCCTCCTGAGTTTTGCTGAGGAGCTTCCATTTGCATTTGGCCCGGACGATAGCCCCCCGCTAAATTCGATCCTACATTGAAGGCGGCTGACTGTTGGCTTGTATTAGGTTGGCTTCCAACTTGTGCGGCTTCATTATTTGGATATTGGCCACCCCTTGGCTGAGACTGTCCCCAGGTTGGGGGCTGATTTGCAGAACCATTTGGGGGGAGGTTTTGAGTCTGCGGAATTCCTTCCATTCTTTGGGATCCATGTGCTAAACCTTGATTAGGACGATATCCCGGAGGCGGAACTCCACCCCGCTCACCGAGCTCAAAAAGCTGCTGTGCTACCGCAACAGCCTTGTCTACATTCCTTTTGAATACTTTGAATGTCTCGAGCCACTTATGTTTGTCAGATTGTGGGTAGTAGGTCTGCAATATACCATTCATGTCGACTCCCCTTGCGTCCAGTATTCTAGGGTCGTCGCCTCTGACTAAAGCGCCGATCAGATCAGGATGAAGCGGAATCGGTCCTTGTCTTGGTAAAATATATGTATTCGGTTGTTCGGGTTGCCCTTGTCTAGCTATACCCGGTATTGTATTTTGACGATTGCTCTCAGTAGTGGGGACTTCCGCCATCATATTGGCTGTTGAAGGATTACTCGGACTAGATCGTGCCCCTAGTGCTGAACTCTGCCTAGGGTTTATTGCTATCGGTCGTTGAGTTCCCCCGGTCGAAGGATAAATATTACCACCTGCACCGACGCTGGGGTTAATTCTTTGAGATGCTGTATTTGGTGGCGGGGTACCAAGATCCTGCGTGTAATATTGGGGAATATTACCCTGCAAGCCCTGGGAGCTCGGAACATTGATATACGACGAGTATTGCTGTCCCCGCTGGCTTGAAGGCTGAGATGGATTTTGTAATGTATTCCCACCAGGTTGCACATTCGAGCTATGTCCCGGATATGGTTGGCCCCCCGGCAAAGGAAAATTCATGGAACTAGGATTGTTTAGAGACGTCTGCGCCAGATTTACATTGTTGGATCCCCGAACGTCTGAAGCCAATTGGCTACCAGCCACCGAGCCTGTGGCTGCGTTGGTAGCGCTCCCCATTGTCCCCCCAAAGGTTCCTTCCGCTGCAGCTGATGTTGCGGCTAGGCGTCTTCGAATCTCCTCTCCTCTCGCCTTTTCCGTCGCAATATCCTGAAGTAGCTTCTCCATCAAAAGCCTAGTCACGCTTCGTACCAGTTCAGACTTCGTTTCTTCCGTGGACAAAAGTGCTGTTTCTCCTGCCTGTCTCATTAACGCATTTATATCCACTGTTTTTGTCAGAGGTTGAAATTGGTCTTCTTTGAGAATCCTCAGTGCCTTTACCGGTGTCTTATACGGTTTACTTGGATCGGCAGGATTCGGATCCTTCAGGATGACGGTACCCGAAAGATTTTCTTCGACAAATTGGGCGAGAATCCTCCCCGGGTGGTACTCGCCCCGTAAATCAAAAGCTTGATAACTTCCCCAGAGAAACTCGAGGTTTTGAGACGCGAGAGTAAATGCTGATACTCCATAGGGATTATCCGAGCTCAGCACTAAAATGGCGGATGGCAGCGGTAGTTCCCCAGTATTAGGATCTGGGCTTGCACCACAGTTCTGGCCGTTGTAAAAAGCTACTGCCCTTACATTTGTGCCTCTAAGCTCTGGACGATTCCAGACTACAACTGCGTCCATCGCAGTGTTTTCAATCGGCCTATTGGCTGCAATGCATACGTACCCACTGCTCTCTTTTACCAGTATCTCGGCCGGAGAGGTGATGTCAGGCCGCGACCACCAGTCACTCCGGTCCTTGAACAAGTTTAACTGATACCATGCTGCTACACCATCAGTGAAGAACCCGAAGAGAAAAATGAAGAATAAAACAATGCTGTTTTGTGACCTATTCAGGCATTGACCTTGTCGTTTGGCCATTGTTATGGATTATCGAATACATGTGGCCTGTATTGTAGACAAACTTAGTGTTAACATTTTTACAAATTATCGTGGCCCACACCTTCAAAAACGGCAAGACCGTGGATGCGATATCTCCCACAATGCCGATACTAAAATAGCTCAGCGGGCTAACCTTACCACTAAATTATTTCACTCCATATATCTCAATTGAGCGGCTAGTTAGGCCATGCCTTGGGCCTCAAACCCCAACAGAAACCGCATTAACACCTAAAAAAACGGCTTCTCAAATCTCAAATCTATAATCCCAAGTTATAGTACTTTTACTAAATATTACGAGGTGCACGTATCCCGTGTCTTAGCCAACTCCAACTGCAACGGTTTTCCAAATTAAGTGCTTCCACCGAAACGAGATGTGTTTATAATTTACGATATCGTACGATCTCGATATGTACCAGTGGACAACGCGAACTCGAAGATATCGTAAAATACCACAATGCAATGTAATGTTTCCCGCGAGCCCAGAGAGCCCAAGCCCAGGCCTAGCTTCTATTAAAACTATTTGCAAAACGATGAAATTTGTAGTCTTTTTTAATTCGTAAGATCTTAAGAATAGATAAATGTATACCATTTGCCTTCGATTTCTTCCCGCTAGAATTAGTGAAGCGAGAGATAATTCCTCCGCAATGCAGGATTCCTAATTATCGTTGTAGTTGTGTACAGTGTTATAACTCTAACTCCAGAAAAGCCACAAATTGTTGGTATTTCTTTTACGATATTCCCATCCAACATTCCAGTAGCGTTCTATCGGAGTGCCTAAAGCGTCGTTGTCGAAAGGGATCCAACATCGCTTTTCAGCCCGAGAGCAACGAGTTCAAGACTGATGTTGCAACCACCAACTGCCAAGCAGACAACGTCTTCCACATTATACTGAATGAGGACGAAGTGTTCTCCACAATAGCTCAAAAATGGTATTTGCTACGGCATACAATGATTTGTTCAGGCGGTTATGTTATGGGGGTGCGGTGAATCATGGGAAATCAAGGCCTTTTTGGATTGCGGCCTCGAAAAATATCCCATCAGGCTCATCTGCTTAACTGAACTGTACTGGCACACCTTGACATGCGCATGCCTCGTCTATATAATTACAGAACCCCCAACTGTGTGATCCTAGTTCCAGCCAGAATGACATCTCACAAGTTACCTTTTAAATTTGATACCTTTACCTTTGATACCTTCAATTCGTAATTTACACCATTAATCGCATATTTTAAAGTTTTAAACCGTTTTGGGCCCACTGCCTAACCCGTCCAACCCCCAAACGGAGTCGAAGCAGGCATCATCCCTTGTCGACAATTGTTACACAGAAACTTTACCACTCAGACAACACAAAATGCCTCGTTCACCCACTTGCAGTCCAATTTTCGAATTCCCAACAGAGATGGCCACGAGCTTGGTGATCCCGAAGATATCCATAAGAACCCATTCGGAAATCAAGAGTCAAGCATTGTCACCAAGAATCAATCTCAAGTCACCACTTACCACGAAATCCAAATCAAGAACCGGGATTCCAATCATCATCGGAACAAATTGTGATACAAGATCTTCCGAACTTGGAGCGACCGGCCAGTCCGGCGATAAATCTTCACGGGACCCAACTCTTAGGGAATCTGATAATTCTTACTTCGACGTTAGTGCTGAGCCCGACGATGAGGACTATGTCGTTGACGAGTATTCTCATGCGGGTCAAAAGTCAACCGAAACAGTGGTCTATTCGAAGAGTTTGTCAACACCCCATTCTCCGGAGAGTAGTATCAGCTCTCAACCCTCTCTAGCAGAACAATGCTTGATGCAGAAAGAGTTTCGAGTTGAAGTTAGGGAATATGACGCCGAGAAAGCCGAAGGCTCGGAGCAAAACGACGGGTCGGAGTCGGATCAAGGATGTTGTGGCTGCTTCGGATGGCTAGCAGCCTTCTGGAAGCGTGGGACCTGACTCACCAATGTCGGGGACGCTGAAAAGAGGAGTTATTACCCCTCAAGTATCTAACTATGAGTAGATACTTGAATATATACTATCGTATTTGGGGATGTATCATGATGTCACAGAAACAGACCCTATCACAAAAATTTGACATTCAATGGTTCTTATCTCTGCTTGGGAGCGTTACATATAATGCAGGGGTCAGCATGCATAACGCCTCAATGAAAGCTCTGGCGATGAAGTTCGCCCCACTTTGTAACCTTGGGATAAGGATTTATCATTGCATCGCGAGTACGATAGATGCGCTTACGCCACCTTGTATATAATACGATGTGGAGATGTGTTGAAAACAAGGAAGCTATTCGTTGAAGTATACACATATGGAGGAGCTCAAGCACTTTCAAATTTTATTATTGCAGCTATACGTGTACGCTATCTTCCGTCGCTTTCTGTTACTTTAGTTCATGTTTTTGGTCAGCCTGGTTCAGCTTCCTAGCATTTTTTTGATTGATATTACTTTGCTCGGAATTTGGTGTTATGGATCCTTCTAGCGGAATACTGCATTGTTTGACATTTAAGGCGTGCCCTTCCGAACTGTGATGCATCGGTGCGGCGCAGTCTTGCGTGAGGGGATGATATGCTTATGTTTAATGGAATTTCACTTTTGGCAAGAGACTAAACGCGACCCTATCCTCCTACGTGTACTTTCACAGATCCTACATTACTGGTTTTTGCATTGATCAATTGACTAGGGTTTGAATATCAGGTCTAAGAAGTTTTTTCTATAAGTGAAAGGTCCCTGCCCGCCATTTTAGTTCGGCTAACTGACATCATGATACCACCCCGTCTGGTCGATTAAACCAATTTCAAGTCACCTGTTTTGTAAAGGTCGTACGATATAATACACATTTTCTATCAGGTATTATCCTGATATTCTCCTCTAGACAATCAAGACCACTTCCACACAATAAACACCGCCCCGAGGCAAAGCTTTTCAAAATCAATCATGGAAAAACGAAAGCTACCTCCTGCGCCATTCAAACTAGCAACCTGGAAAACAACTACAGGAAGCTGGACTGACGCAGATTTACAAATATCTGATCTCCTCGAAAACCCAATCACTCGGGCCGAGCAAACAAGCGGCTTACCATGGATATGCACTTCTGATACTGTACTCAGGGACCATATCCACAACCACACCACCGCACTCAATAACATGCCGGAATTAGACGGTACCGGGTGCAAATACTTTCTTCACAAGGGAGGTATGACGGCAGAGCGTGGAGGGGCATGGGTTTTACATAAATTAGCAAATGCCTTCGAGGTATTTCGAGCAGCAGGTGGCGTTGGCTACCACGAGGAGGAAATCCTGGAAACTGGATGCTCTAGTCGGGAGCGTGATGGTTCTAGCGCTAGTTCTACTCGGTCGCGGTCAAGCCTTTCGACCCCCTATCTTATCCGCGACCGCGACTATCGATGAGGAACGCGTGGTGAGATTACCTGAAGGGTGAGAGATCAAAGGACATTGAATCTGGTTGCATATTTTGTATGTAATGTTTAAACCATCTTAAGGGCTTGTCGTGTGCATAGGCAAATATCTTAGCTCTCGACGTATAAAGTCAAAGTTTTAGCCTTTTAGTTAGTATTACAATGCAATAAAGCCAACTGATATGATTTAAATTTCAATCCTTAAAAGAAGAATCACATATAGATACAAGATATAAAAATATAGAGTAAGTCCCCAGTGTCTTTTGTGGATTAATTGTCTCGTAAACCAGAATGCACCTCCGGTTGGGTCCAGCAGCGGGCAAACCGAGCCAGTTCAACCGAAAATATATAGATCTTGTCAGGTAATTAGGCAGCACATCGTAGAGCTCTAAAGCTCTTGTTTAACCTGGCCGATAACTATATCACAGGTTAACTCTCTCTAGATCCCGCACCTTCACCTCCGTCCCTCCCGTCCTTATTCCAATTGTATCCCTGTCACTATTATATTTACAAGTCACACAATATTTTGTGATACCTGAAGCGCCCTCATTTCCGCTGCAAAGAAAAGACAACGGTCCCTCCACAAACAAACTCGACATATCGCGATGGTTGTCAATGAATAAATCGCATTTTCAGCGCGCCGCTGCAACTAGAGTAAATACTCAAGATATTTGTGAAGTTGGGTTAGATCCACGCACGCTCCAGACTTCTCTTTGCTGTCGTCTGGGTTCCATTGATTAGTTCCCATGCTTTGGCGTCAAGTTTTTGGTTGTTGTATATAAAACGCTAGAGATATCTAGCGCTTTTTGGTTTATTGCTATATCGTTTGGGATACTATAGACCTAGTTCCGAGGACAAAAACTTCAGTCGTAGATATGAAACCACCCTTTTGCCAGTTTGTTCTTGTTCTATCCGACATATTTTTCGCACGGATATTAACCAAGAGTCTTCGTACTCCTAGTGATAATAATTGCTGGAGATTATGTAGCTCCATTGATTTTCTTATGTCTGCAGGAGTTGGATGAGTCGATATAGTCCTAATTTTACGCTGTGACCATTTTATGAACAGGGATACCGCTTCGGTTTCCATCTGTTTTATGACCCGCAATCAATTGAAGAATCCCGGGCAGGTGTTCTTGAAGATTGTTTATTCTTTTCCCACCCTACCCATCTGTATTCACAGAGCTAATTGATCGATAAGAAAAAATCGCAACAGGGGCAGCCAAAGCTGTGGTTAAATTTTCCAATAGCACAGGTCGTACTCCTGGCAAACATGTTTCCCATCCACATTTCCATTTTATTTGGTAATATGCTTGGCTAAAGGCTGTGCTGTAGACGCTGTCCAATCGGCCAATACGATGTTCGGTTAGATTTTTAGGGCACGAGCCTTAAAGGCTGGATCAATTCCATAAAATTGGTACCCTGCAGGCCAACGAACCTGATGGCCGATATTGTACACTTGAACCCTTAAAGGGACAGTCTACAGAAGCTTGACATCTGTATTATAGTCCCTCATAAGTTAAGTATGCGCGTATAAGTCGATTAGTTAGCCGAAGGAGGCCGAGGACTGAGACAGGGAGAGTAGAAAGTGTCGAAAGCGTCGAAACAATCCATTACTAAATGTCGTCCGCGGCCGGCAAGATCTTGACATACATGCACACACGTAGCTGCCCCAACCCGACAGGATATATTATAAGTTGATTAGGTAAAAGGATTGTAGCATATGCGCATTGCATGACCAATCTGCGTTTCAGAAACCTGGGGGACTCTCCCCATAACTCGGTTTGCCGAATTAACACAGCTGCGCAGGGTTTACAGTCTCGGGTGGTGGAAATAGGCCATCATTCGAGTTGTAGTTAGCCTGTGTATTATTGTGTTTGTATAGACTTCAACCTGTGGAAAGCAACGTCCCAGAGATATATCCTGTGTAAACTGCTCCAGTGAATTGTTAGGCGTCGTACGGCATTGAATTTGTGTTAATCTTCCCATTGTAACGGCGCCATAAATATTTTCATCGCTTCCAAAGGTTCCCAGCTACAGCCAGCGGACAAAACCGAGATTCGAAGGGATACATATTTCTGAACTGACGGAAGAACCTTATCCATTTTCCCAATCAGCAACTGCTATCGTGTCGAATTTCCGAGTCCTTTCCCATTTCGTACGCAGTTTCCCTTAGGGCCCTTCTCCAATAGGCGGATGTTAGGGCAGCAAAAAAACCGTCGATTTATCAACAGCAAGTCGCATGAATCGACCGTGCGTGCTCGACGAATACAAAACACATCACTCGATCCATTGAATAGGCTCCCAACCCATCTCAGGGTAATTTATAGGGTGTAATAGAGAGGGTCTTGCCATATTAGCAAAAACCCCTCGTTTAGCGGGACTCGACTCCCATTTCCGGCCGTGAACTTGGTAAGGCTAAATATTGACCAAGAGGGTGCCGATGGAGGAGCAGAAACAGAAGATGCCAATATTTCGGCAGGAAATCTCTCCCTTAGTGAACCATTTAAAAGAAAATTCAATATTTCCAACTGGCTAAACTATAAAGAGGTCCTGCCCACGAATTTCCCGCGCAATCAGGATCAGGAATACTGAATGCTACAGTGTGATCGTATGTTCGATGATTCGTAATCGCCAAACGTCGATAAAATCTGCCCTGTCTCCAGTATTCCTCGTTGATCTTCATTCAGAAGCCATTCCAAAGTCATTCCAGTTAACGTTGACTGACTATTGGGTTTGAACTTCAAACCACATGTTATGCATGTTGCATCTTAGCGCCCAGGTCGATCCCGTGTACTCGAAATACTCCATTAGGCGAAACAGGCGGGCTCATTACCATCAATTCTCAGCTGCGGGATTGATCGAGATAGACATATACTTGGAGAAAGGTGGAATCAGGGATATATCGATATTATAAGACAAACGAGGAATATAATGGGTCCGCCAGGCACGCCGTTCATGACCTGGGATGCGCGCTAGCGCTCTTGGAATGAAATCCTCTATCTTTTTGTTGTTATATATCGTAGAGTAATAGTATAGTATAGATGTCATCGGATAAGTTAAGATAAAGTGAAGTGGTATATTAAATTAAATTGGCCGCAGGAAGATCAGCCTGGTGGCCAAATTTGATCTTCCTATAGACCAAACAGAGAAATCCCAGAAGGCAAGGGATGAAGATGGGATATATATCCTTTTCTGTGTCTCCAATACCACTTAGCATCTGTTACATACGTTACCTCCCTTTTCAATAGACCTAAGAGAAGAAGGGGCTCACTAACTGATCCGATATGTAAGTAAATTATAACACCAACTTCATGATCATAACATTATAATCGAAATCTAAAACTAGACTAATCGAAATCAACAACTTCTTGACATGAGATTACATGATCATGGTAAATACTTACTTAGTCATGACAAGAAATTACATATTTCAGCGCCCTAAATCAGAAAACTCCCACCCTCGCCACTTCAACATGTCAGCCGTGCTGTTACACAAGCGTTTTAGATCTCATGCTCTGCATGTGAATCACATATATCCCACGGGGGTACTAGTATAACCATGGGAATAAAATCTAGATCTCAATCAATAGATCGATTCTTTCCAACTACTGTTTAGAAGTTATAGTTAAACACTATCTGGTAGCCATGCCAACGTTGGTATCTATATACGTCGGCGTATATTGTATCGCGACGCCTCCAACTTACCGAGTATCTGATGACGTCTAAAACTCCCCCAAACCATGTAGCATTGCACCTAGTCAGACGAATAACCCCTACAATCATCGATTGGACAAAACACCTTGGCGGAACCCAACCCAGCTCCCTAGAGATTCGGAGCTATCCAGAATCAATCCCTGGTCCAAAAAAGCCCAACATCTTCATTTCTTGATCTCAAACACACACCCTGTGACGATAGTCTGAATATACCCTAATCAAGCCCTACACATCTTAAAAACCCCTGTAAAAACTAACAAAGATGTCAAATCTCTATCACTGTGTAAAAATGTCCGGAGATCATGCAGGACCGATACGGCACATCATACCACACTAGCAAGTTCAATACAGATACCGACACTCTAGAATTCTAACCATCTTATCTTAACATCACTTACTCGCGCAGCGCTCTAGCTCTGATCATTAGTTATACCTCAATGCCTCAAATACAACTGTCTCAATTTTTTCTTTAAAAAAATAAAAAAAGTAAGAAGATAATATGCATAAGTAGATATCTATCACATCATGAAACAACCTCCCTTCACCACCCCACCAACATCTCATAATATCTACCTCTACCTCTAGTCTTTCTACTTCTAGACCTCTATCCCCGCTTCTGCATCTACCTCCCACCGGCTGCAATCGCTCATTACAAAAGATTTTCCATCAAAAAGGGGGAAAAAGAAAAAAGAAAAAAGAACATAAAAGGTCAAGCTAAATAAACGCCCAACCTGACAATAAAAGCTTCAAAGAGCATCAAAAGAGAAAAGAAAAAAACAGCAATTTTTGTTTCTTCAAAAGGGACCAATCGAAAACATAACAATTGCAAAGCCATGCCGAAACTTTTTCCAATTCAAGAAATCAATTCAGTCATGACTTTTGATTCAACGCAAAAAGAAGGGGAAAAAAAGAGAGCAAGGGGGGAATCATAGTTAGTAGTTAGGTTGACAAATGAAAAGCGGATACATTAGACCATTACAACAATGTTGTAAAGAATATTTTTTTAGAACAGGGGTCCCGTGAGGAGGAAGGAGACATGTCGTGTGTCAAGTTACAAGAGTGTCGGCGGCGAAGGGAATATACATGTCGAGTCGGTGTCGGAGAGGGGTAGAAATAAGAGTGAAGTATGTGTATCCAAAAGCGAAAAGCGGGAAGTAGAAAAAACCTTGTTATCCAACCAACAACCGCCAATCTATCACCAAACGTGACATTTGTGATCCGTCTAAAAGTCATCCAACGGACAATCGACGCTGTCATGACCGTCCCTCTCGCACAAGGCACACCATTTCTTCGGATCCATAACCCCACTGCTCTTCCCAGCCACAGGTGGCAACCCTTCATCATCATCATCATCCTTCGCCGCACTACTAACATTACCCGATGATCCAGCGTTTCCACTAGGAGTCGTAGCCCTTCCCAAACTGACCCCACCTCTTCCTTCATCCTCTACATCCAACGAACTCCTTCCTGGGTTGACACCAGCGGCATTTAACGGCAGTGGTGTCATACCAGCTTTCTCAAGCGTGGAGAAAGTAGCAACGCTATCCTTCTTATCTCCACTAGTAGAGCTCTTACCAGTGAACATCTCAGTGCAGCTCATTAGATCGTGACCAGGTTTCTCACACAAGTCACAAAATTGTTCTTTCGCTGGAGGTGGTGGAGGGGTGGCTGGCAAGGGGGCATCCTTTTTTGGTGGTGGAGGTGGCGAACTAGACGCAATGATTGTTGGAAGTGGTGGGAGAGCTGATGTTGGTGGTGGAGGCCCACCGAATCCTGGACCGTTGATGATATCTTCTCCATCATCATCATCGATATCGGTGAGTGCAGGAGAATCCTCCTGGAGTCGTGCCTTCAAACCATTCTTCTTGGCTACGCCAGCAACATCTTTAGTAACAACAAGGCTCTTCTGTTCTTCTCTGTTGGCCGGCATCGTGATCTTCAAACCCAATGGCTCAGGAGTAATACTGGTGGCACTAGCACTATCAGTAGTAGCAGCAGTAGCAGCAGCAGCATCGGCCTTCAGTATCTCAATCTCCTTCTCCAATTCTTCCTCCCTTGCGTTCTTTCGGTCCAACAAACCCTCCAAATCCTTAATCCTCTCTTCCAACTTCTTCTTCTCCTCAGGATTGCCACCAGGCGCCCTTCCGCGTGACAAACTAGTCATCAATGCCTTCAACCCTCGGATCTCATCATTCTTCTTTTCGACCTCGGTATCCCCGTTCTTAACTTGGTCCTTCAGATCGTCCATTCGTCGTTCGTAGGCTCCAACCTTTTCTTTCTCTCGACGTAGCTCCTCCTTTAGTCGTTCGCTTTCCCCCCTGCAATGCTCGGCTTCAGCTCGAGCCTCCGCTTCTCCCCGTCGCGCGTCTTCCAAGCCTTCCTCCAACTCTGCCACCAACCCTTCCAAGCTCTTCAGCTGCCTTGCAACACTCTCAACCCCTCCGTCCATGATTCCCCTAGCCATCCCAGTCTCCTCTTCCCGTCTGTTCTGTTCCTCAACCATCTCAACCCTAAGCCGCTCGCTCTCCCTAAGCTCAAGTAGTAGATCTTCAACTTTCTTCTCATAGACTCTTTCGGTTTCCGTAGCCGCCATCTCTAAAGTATCAATCGTACTTCTAAAATCGGCACGGTGGGCATCAAAATCCACTTGTAACTGTCCAATTTTGTCGTTCCTCTCTCTCAACAAGTGCCTTAACTGTGCAAGTTCTAGTTCCTCTTCGCCATCACCGCTATTGATGCTTATAGAACTAGTCTTTCTTCCTAATCCCCTAGCTCCGTTCATTTGTGCTGCTTGTTGTGCTGCCTGGGCTTGCTGTGCTTGTTGCTGCTGTTGTTGTGCGGCAACACCATCTGATAACAACGACTGGAGCTCATTAAGACTACTTTCCATCTCAAGCAGATTATTCGCCTGCTCCTTCAATTGATGATCTTTAGCGCTCAGCTGTGCTTGGAGGATAGCAATCATTCCCTTATCTTCCTCCTCTTTACTCATTCCTTCTTCTCGGCTCATCCGTGTAAGTTTTGCAACAAACCCAGAAGGGGAATTGCCATTAGCTTTAGGAGTAGCCATAAGATCTTCGACAGGTGAAGAGTCCGTGAATGACATCGAAGAGCTAGCACGAGGAGTTGATTCCCTTTGGAATTGTGAAGGTTGTGAAGGCTTGGAATTGAAGCCTGGACGAAGCCCACGTGGGTTCTGTGAGACTATTCTGCGCCCGGGGGTTCCTGGTGGAACATCACCGGCGTTGGAAGAAATACTGCCAGCCCTTACACGGCCACCAATTGGACCCTGAGGACCCATGCCGGGTGTGGGAGATGGCGAAAACATACGGTTGGAAAGGCTACTTCCTGACCGTGGCGTACTAGGTAAGAGACCTGGGCGCGGTGTGGCATTTCTTTGAGCTGGTGATTGTGGTCGCGGGAGGGATGGGCGACCGAAGGGCTTCTTAGGTGGCTGGAGGGGGGATGAAGCTGTTGGCTCAGCTGGAGAAGTGACGACCGAGGGGGTATCAGACTTGACAGAGGATCCGGAGTGGCGTAGGACCGCTCTAGACAGCGGGAGGAAGATTCCAGAGTGGGGGATTGATGTTGTGAAGTATCTCGTGCTGTATATATAAAAGCTTCATTAGCCCTTCCCAATTCCAAGGATCTTCTTTTCACCCCTTCATCCTCGTGAGTGCTTCAGTATTTCAAAGAACGGAGAAGAAACTCACCCTTCAACCGTCCCATCGTTCTTCCCATTAACCGCATGCGGCCCTTCAAGTTCAACTCCAACAAAGACACCGGGCTTCCCTTTTACCGTTCCAACAAACTTGACAACTCCGTACATCCCACCGGGGACATTAACCTTATCCCCAATCTCCAGCCCGCCATCGCTGTCGCCGCCATACCCACTATCCTTAGAAGAGCTATTCTGGACTAGCTGGTTAAGCGACTGTTTCCGCGCGAGAACCGTGTCGGGCGATAGCATTGGTGGCGATATCTGAGGCGGATTAGGCGTGTTTGCGCCAGACGGCAGTCGGAGACGGGCGAGAGAGCGGCGTGGACCTGCGTTTGGAGTTCCCGGTGTCGTCATCCGAGACTTTTAGGAGCAAACTTAACCGTTTTAAAGCTCTTCTCACTTTTGCTGTCAATAATAACAGGTATTATCGATAAATTGGTGGAGAAAGAGGGGGAAGGATATCTTGATTGAAAAAGGGGAATTGTTGGAAATAAGAGGAGGTGGGGTGAGGAATGTGAAGTGGTGTCCGAGATTGATAGGGTCGATGCGAGCGAGGGTAAGCGAGCTAATAGCTTCGTTCCTTTCCCCTGTGGCTATCCGTTGGAGACGAGCGATTAAAAGGAACAACCAGCAGCAGCAACGGCAGATCTGGAACTATAAACAGGGTCAAGAGAATATTAGCAGCGACACCCCGAATAAGACTGCGACAATACAAGGTTGAATAGTTGAAAGATGAGACAATGAAACACTCAAACACGAGAAAGTCAATGCATACACAAACAAGTACCAGACTTACCTAACACCCGTCCGTTTTAAGAGGTACAGCTATTGTAAGGTACCTGATGAGGTAGCAATGCTTCGTACACCCGACGGGAAGCTCAACGACAGGTTCTCGTTGCAGGTACTAATAAAACCCTCCTGACGATCCAATCAAAGACGTATACATGCACGTGTCAGCGAACGAGCCAATTGGAGAGGTAAAACAACAATATCATAAGCGATTCGTCAAGACCAATGTATCAAGATCGTGAAGTCATTCGTCAGAGGGTAATTGGGATGGTGATGGTCGCAGGTTAGGGGTACATGATGGAAGGGAAGAAGAGTAGGAAAAGAAGGTAAGGGAGGAAAGCGATGGGATGGGATGAGGTGAAGTGAAGTGAGGTGAGGTGAGGTGATGTTGATTGGTGATTGGAGTCGAATTAAAGGGGGAGAGCAAATAGAGGGTAAGTCGGTCTCTCTTTCTCTCTCTCTCTCTCCCTCTCCAGAACTCGCTTTTATTTACTTATCGTCACGGACAGACAGACATAAATTACATCTACTAGTACTTACGTACAATGTTGACATATTGGCAGTACGATATCCCCGGATCCGATTCCGCGTTATCGATGTTATCATCATGCATTTGTTCTGTTTTGTTATGCATGTTTCCAGAAGGCAGGTGTTCTCGCCTGGAGCTAATGCGACTGCGACCACCCAAGCCGGCTGTTTGTAAACACGCCAAGCTGCAGCATGACAACCACAACCTTCACCCATCATGATATGACTGGGGGGTCAACGCTAGATAGATACTCGAGATGTTGTGAGATATGTGAGATAGTGGAAAATAGAAGAGGGAGAAGTAGGAGGTATATGTAGTAATCGCAATTGTATCTCTCAACTCCATACTCATCATGCAGGTGGTATTATAAACAGCTATGTTATATGAAGAAGAAAAAAGAAGAAAAAAGGAACAGAAGAAAGGAAAAGGAAGAAAGGCATGCGACAACTGTCCCCGGTAAAGTACATCCCCGGCCATACTCTTCTCTTGATAAACAGAAAGGGTCCGAGAGGTCGGGATAGAATTGAAAACAAGAATTAAAAAGCAATAGGATGAAAAAAAAAGAACAATGCTGCCGCTAGATCATATGGCTCATAACTTCGTCATTTATAATAAATACCAATACCAATACCAATACCAATACCAATTCATCTCTTGATTCTCTCTTCAGAAATGCATTTAATGGTGGTGATAGAGTCTGTTATACAACAGACTTCTTCCTTGAGAAACTCAACAATCCCGGTTTCTCCTTCTCCTTCTCCTTCTCTTTACCACCCTTCTTCTTCCCTTTATCTTCTTCGTCATCATACTTCTCTTTCCATATCCTAAACGTTGGGTTAGCATTCTGTGTATTATGGAGAGCGAAGAGAGCGAAAAGAGCGAAAAGAGCTTACCAACTATTCCCCACCATACTAGCCCCATTCTCCGCCGCCATCCTATAGTACTTCGCACTCTTTTTCAAATCCTTCTTACACCCTTGCCCATTGGCATAAGCATACCCCGCCTCGCTAAGCGCATCAACATCCCCCCAGCTTGCTGCAATCTCAAAGTACCTCAATCCAACCCCCTTATCCTCACTACAGCCCCATCCATTTGTATAACCCATCCCCAGCTCATAGGTCATCAACGCAAATTTGCTCCTCATACTCTTACTCTCCCACCAGCCTGGCTTTGGTTTTGTAGGATCCTTTTCCACAGACGCCATTTCTTCTTGTGCTATTGATGCTGCTTTACGTAGCCATGTGAATGCTTCTGCTTGGTTTGCTCGCATTCCCCATCCGTGTCGTAAAGCTAACGCGTACATCAGCATGCCGGTGGTATTACCACCCATAGCCGATAATCTGAAATGGTACGTTGATTCTGCATAGCTGCCCTTTTCGTGCAAGGGAATACCGATATTAAGGTGTTCCTCTGGCGTTAACCTTGGTGCTCCTGAAGTTCTCGGGCGTAGAGTCGCCGAAATATTAGACTCGGCACTTTGTGAGGAAAGCGATCTCCCCAAATTTTGCTGCGGTTGCTGTGGTTGTTGTTGAGGTGTCAACGGTGGTCGCTGGCTATCCTGGCTAGCCCTCATAGCTGCAAATGGTGACGGCCCAACAGTACTACTGGGGCTAGCATTTTTCTCCTCCGATTGCCTAGCTTCGCCTTCCCCGGGCTCAAATTTATGCTTGTCACCATCGAAGAATATAATACTCGACCGGTCAACAGCTCTCCCCCTAGGAAGCGTAAACGCAGAGTATGTATAAGACTCGGTTGGCCCTGCCCGCCCAGACAGCCCGCTCCCCGTCGTTCGGTGTTTTGGTGTAAAACTACTGGGGCCACGCATTTCGGTATTATCTCCAAAGTTTTCTTCTTCCGTTGTATGGTTGAAATGGCCTCGCTCGGCCTCTTCAACAAAGGAACGGTAGTCAAGGCTATCAGTTCGTCGAGGATTACGTGGGAAATCCACAGATGGTGACCTTCCGGAAGAGTTCCCGTCTTCATTATAAAACCCAGTTTTACTCATTGGACGAGAAAAGTTAAAGAGTCGCTTCGTGCCACCAACGCTATAAATCGAGGCTGTGTCACTCATAGCGCTGGAAGGCCGAGGAGTATTTGGCGCAGATTTCGCAAAAGCTGGTTGTGGGGGCAGAAATAACGAATCATCTTCACTCACAAGGCCCCTAATCGTTGGTTCTCCCGGCGTTCGGGGCATAGGAGCAAGGGGATCCGAAGCAGCAGACCGTAACAACAGATTCGGCGTAGAAGTCGATGCGACCGGTAATGTAGGAGCCGCAAGATTCGATCCCTGTCTGGTATGATTTGGCGACTGCCTCGTCTTCCCAGGAGATTCATGGAGATGTACAGGAGAAGTCGAAAGTGGCGGCGTGGAAACCCTTGTTTGATACGGCGTGGTAGGTGTACCACTCTGCCTCGCCGCATTCGAGTCCAGACTGCCCTTTCTCGCTTGTTCCACTGCGTCCATCGGTTTCGGCGACGGCGCCGCACCTGAAAAACTTCTCTGTGGCACACTGCCTTGCGCTGAAACACTAATTCTCGCACCAGCACTCAATGGAGGATTCAATTCCCCTTCCTCCCTTACCGGCGACGGATCCATCCTCCTCCCAGTCGACACCGGTCTCCTCCTTTCCAAATCCCGTCTCCTAGCGCTATCCCTCCTTCTCCTCCTTTCTTCTTCATCATCGCTTGAATCATCATCACTCGTGAAAGGCATCCTCGGCGACCTCGGCGAAGAAGCAGTAGAGCGGTTGACGCTCGACCCCCGTCTATCAACCACGATATGCTGCGAAGTCCTCGGTGGCCCTAGCTCATCTTCCAATCCCACGATCCCACTAATTCTCGGATGTTGCGACACAGGTCTAAACCCCGGTTCCTTAATAAACAGGGTCTGTGGCACTCCAGGAAGGGGAGCAGTTCTAGGAGCTGGAAAACCAGCATTTGTCATAGGACCTCCAACCGAGACTTGTGGTATTTTCCCCCCATTTGCGAAGGGACCAGGGTTCCCACCTGTTCCCGGTCGTCCGGTAAAAAAACGGGTAGCCCTATCACCTCCAGTATGGGACTTCGAGTTTCCAATAGCCCACTGTTCGACAGCAGCATTCAAAGTTCCAACACCAAGTTGCTGTTCTGCTCCCGCGCTATGAGAGCGAATAAACTTGCTCGGCGGTTGTTGTAAAAACTGGCCTGGCCTTCCCTGTTGCTGTTGCTGCTGCTGGTTTTGGTACTGTTGCGCCTGCTGCCCGTATGAAGAAGACGGGGGATTTTGAGAAACTGGCGAAGAAGCAATGGCACTGCCATCGGGACTTTTACTATTCGTCCCTCTACGCTGCAACTCCCGTTCTTCAAGTTCAAGCTGGCGATAAAGTTGTCGACCACGAGATACAAACGCGTCGAGCGGAGAGAGTTCTGGTGTGAATTGACCTTTTGAAGGAGGAGGTAGGAGATCGGAGGGTTTACGGGTTAGAGATGGACGAAAGGAGAGTTCATGGTCGGTTGGACGACGAGCAGCGGGAGGTGGTCGGAGTTCATTCGAATCATCTGCCATGGCGCATGCTAAATTCTATCAACGATAGTAATCGAATTTGGATACGGTGGTAGTAATACTGGTAGTGGTTGGTATTTTGGGGGGGCAATTAATGGATGGTAGTCTTCGTCCGTCGAGTAAGGAGGCCTCGGAGGTAGATAGTAAGTTAATGCTTCTGGTATCAGAAGAATGGTGAACAAGTTCGAGGTGCTGAAGGAGCGAGGGAGGCGGAGAGAGATGATGGAGAGGGTGAGTGAGGTCGAGGTCGGGGTTGGTGTTGACGTTGACGTTGACGTTGACGCTGAGAGATGTGGATGCTCTTGATATTGGCTGGTGGTGGGTTCTGTGCTGTGTTGTTCGGCCAAACAAGGGGAAGCCCGAAAAGGAGCGACGACAACGTTTTCCTTCAAATTCGAATTTCCCGTCACGAGAACAGTTAATATTAAATCCAACTAACAGCTGTTAATTTAAAAAAAAGAGAAGCCCTGAAACGTTAACGAATGAATGTGAATGTAGCAATATAAAACGAATAAAATGAGATTAAGGAAATGAAATAAAATGGCAAAGAAACTCCGAGAAAAGATAATCGATTTCGCAATATAAAGTCAAAAGCTTTAAAGGCAGGCCAGAGATAATATATAAGAGAAGAACCTGCCAATATAAGTGCGACGTCAGCGGTCAAATCTACGAAACAGCCCCTTGATAGAAGGTCTTTTCTGTTCTCTGGGCTAGTTCTGCATGGAAGAAACAAAGGAAACTGAAGCTAACCAAAATGCGCCCCTTGCTGTTTTCTAATCTCAGCCCGGTCGCAGTCTCTTCTTCTTAAGCTTCCTGGCCGACTCAGGTCAGTCAGTCAGTCAGATTATTTGAGATATCTACGCGAGAGAAGGATTACAATTGATTGATTACTTTATTTATTTATTTCTTCATTTCTTTATTTTACATCCCTTGTAAGATCACAAGAGGCTGGAAAGGCTCAAATTGAAGCATATCCGAACTGCTCATTTTTGCGCCGGAATCCCCACACCCTTCCCCTTCTGACGAAAGAAAAGTCCCTGCAACATTCCCATTCCCACGTGAGAGACGCCCGCTTTCAGTTTAAAGCACCCTTTTCAATCGGTGGCATGTCTGGGGTGGCCTTTTTAGCAAGTAAGGGGGCAAAAAAAAAGTCGACAAACTGCGACATTACCGTTTTGACGGAGGCGAACCGACAAACATGCAGACCAGAAAGGAGGGACAAATATAGAAACATCGCGAAACGATGTTACACCCTTTTTGCAGGAACAGAAAACGCTTCGACTTAGTCAGTTAACCTTTGCCGAATTTGCGAAGTCTTGGAGGGGGCTGATATACTATATAAACGCAGCCTGCAGCCACCCCGGCATAGTAGACATACAACGTTGAGGCGAGAGAATATTCTTACTTGTTCTAGCCTACAGATATCTATTATTGAGCCTCGCCCCGCCCTTCTACCATTTTTGACACCGCGATGAGTGAGCTCAATGTATCTATTTCGGCGGCTGAGACCCTTAACTCCAAGACATGTCGACAAAGGCCTAAGCTAGGATATTCAACTTTTGTCCCCCCAAGCTTCCAGCACGAGAGCTATACTCAAAATTGAACCTGACCCAGCCGCAGCATCATACACGATACCCTCCTCGACAAGAATAGAACTACAAAAAGACCCTGGGAAATTTCTTACCTATATGAAGCCGCTTTTCCAGAAAATAGTTGTCCAAGAGCAGCAAAAATATTCATCGGGCTGGGGTTGTGAATAAATGCAACAATATCAACGCGTTTAGGGTAACCCATTCGATGGCAAACACGCAAGCACTTTCTCCGGCCACGTAGGCCATATATGGCCATAAAAATGTAAAAAAAATGGAATCCGCCACAACATATTAATATTTCCGCCAAAAGTACTGTTTCATTAAGGTATATTTGGCTTGCTATCCTGTCTCATGACGGCGACTTTGACGATATATTCAGATATATGCACCCTAATTCGTCCAACATTTTTGCGTACTCGTCGTCGACTCCATAAAGTTAGGACAGCCCCGTGCGATAAATAGTCTCGAGCTAGCTAAGACCTGGAATTAGCCATGAGGTGGGACGTATTTGTGAAGGATAAATCTTGATATCGAGATCTCACCTGCTGATACTAAATTTAAAGCTGTAAAGACACGGATTGTTACTAGACCAAAGAAATGACGAATCAGGCAAAAATAGAGTTGATACGGGCGAGAAATGCAATACATACATGCGCTCATTTTAGAATCAAAATCAGAACTCCAAGTTTTGTCACACGGCTGCAAAAAGTGGATGCTACAGAAGTAAAACCCTATCAACTGATCAATAGCAGCTCTGGCGATATATGCATGTAAATTTAAAAATTAATCGTGAAGGATCAGACAAGAATCACAAGAGTCACAGTCTAATTATACCCATCATTAACTCTGCTTTTGCGTTAAAATCAGTAAGGTACTGGACGACCAGGCGCCCAAACTTGACGGCTACGGCACCTCGAGGCTGAATATTTGTGCCAACTTCTTCCTTTGATCCCGTCCTCTGGCACCAAATATCCATTCTTGGTCCAAAATGCAACAAACCCAGGCGTTGCCAGAGCGAGCTGCATACCAATGATCTAGGAAACCAATCTAACCCCACTATGCTACTACTATTTTGTATTTATTATTCTGCTACTATAACTCGTAAGTCAATCTAGTTATTTACCAGATTCCCTTGGTTGCTATAAAGTTTTTTTGACTAATTTCGGTTATAGCTAACTTTTTTGGAACCAACGAAAATCGTCGATTGAAATCTTTATAATTTGGTTATTTTTATAACGTAACATATAAATCAATAATATCTAATTTGTAATTTCATTACTTATTCGGTCATAATTTTGGGTTGTGAATAAATATAATTAGAAATAAGATCTCAATTTCAATATTTGTTATAAGAATTTGTAACTAATAACCGATGACCAAAATTATGATTAGTTACAGCTACAGATTACCTTTCAAGTTTGAATAGCCCTATTAAATATAAAGACGCCTGTAGACCACGAGCACGGGCACTTAAACCTGGCTACCGTACATTTAAGTCGTAACTCTGTGCCTGGTCGCTGCTATGATACTGCCTACCCGGCGGCTGGAGTGCCTATCAGTCTAGTTCGTGAACTGCCCGCTAGCTACTGAGCTAGCTACCCAACTGCCAGCGTGCCTGCTAGTGAACTATCAACCTAGGTACCTAATCGGTTACTGAACTGCCTACCGACTAGTAAACAAGCCCTTATCAACTAAGTACATACTAAGTAGGTAAGTACTAGGTAACTACCTCAGTACTTAAGTAGGCCTTACGTAGGTAAGGACTTAAGTACCTACTTAAGTACTTACCTACCTACTCCCTACTTCTTACCTACCTCTTAAGTACTTAATTCTCTGGCCCATATGCTGGCACGCCTGACAGCCACTAAACCAGGTTCGTGTCAATGAACTATCTACCAACTAATAAACCATCTACTAACTATGTACCTACCTAGATACTTACTTAAGTACTTAGGTATTGAGCTACATAGGTGCTTACCAGTCAAGCTCCTAGGAATGCGAGCAACTCATTAGCTAACTAGTGAGAATTTACCGTTTCCGGAGATGAGACCAGGTAAGTACACCAGCAACCAAACAAGCAGTCCACTAGCTTATAAACACTAGCAGCTAAAGGCCCAGCTCAGTAGCTGAATGGGCAGTTCACTAGCTGGCAGGTATGCCGCCAGCTCTTCGCCCCGTACAGAAACCTCCATCAACATTTGCTATAATGTAACTAGCATCTTCGAAACTTCTGGAGAGTCTTGGCAAACCACGTTTTTTGATCACATCCCCGATCTTCCCACGAGTTGTATCGGATTTGATAAGGCTCGTCTTTTGCAGTTAGGTATATTATGACTCGGATCACGAAAACAGCCTATCTTTCAAAGTGCTAATGAAGATAATAGCTCCCCTGGTCAGATATTCGTATTTTCAAGCGATTTGCACAAGAATCCCGGGGATATGATTACATCAAATCGACGCATAATATCATTATAATTCAGCAATTTCTATATAAAGCATATATGGCGATCTAATGATAGTCGGGAAACGCACACAATCGACATGCTTATGATTGTCGTGGTTCCGGTCTATGAGCTACGATCACCTGGCTTATCAGTCATCCACCCACAGCTCCTATTAGGTAACAACCCCTATAACTCATTATATAAATACCGCCCCACTGAAACTAAATCTAGTTAATACTACTTTACAGAATCCATCATCCTACAAAATGCATCGAGGTACATTATCAGTTATGAGCAGTTCAGGGTTGTCCCTGTTACTGATAAATACAATGTCCGCTTTCACCACTGTTGATGCTCAATCCTCATTGACGACGACGACGACGACAACTGTCTTTGCAACTGTTGGGAATCATAAGACCGTAACATCCATCCTCGGAGACTGCGCCACCTGGAACGGACTCCCCGGGTGCAACGAAGTTACATGGGTACCTCGTTCATCCCCAAGCATGAGCTCTGGCTCTGGCTCCGGCCCATCTACGTCGACCAGCACTACCCGTTCGATTGCTCCCATTCCAACGCTAGGCGAAGCCTTTGTCTTGCACGGACAGGGTATATACAACAGCCTGTACGTCCAATTCGACGACAACACTGGAAGAGCCGTTCTCGCAAATATAGGCACCAGTCGATTTGTCTCATTTAGACTCGATGAAGAGAATAACGGGCTTCTTCAAAACGCACAGGATCCTACAGAACTGGTCTTCGCACACTTAAATTCTTCGGCTAATAGTGCTACCTTCGCGGGGGAATCCAAAAGGGTTCGATCCGTGCTAAGAGAGGTACATTATGCTGTTGGTGTACAAGAGAGCCTTACCCGATCCGATTATCTCACGAAATGGTTTTGGAATTCAACGACTGGAGCGTTGGAATTATCTTACAATGGCAGGAAATCGTGGGAATTTTATCAAGTTAGGGGCTCTAGCTCTCACCGAAAGCGTGCACCCTCATTCTACTTATACCTACTACCGGCCGGTTTTACCGTCCCTAGGGGTAGCTCCATGGAAAAAGTTCTACTCGCACCGAAGGGTACCAGGCGCTATTCAAGTCTCTTATCCTCCGCTAGTCCGACTCCGACCACCCGTATCATATTCAGTGGGACAACTAGACTCGCTTTAATCTCTTCAGCTTCTAGTACTAGTTCTCCCGCTACATCAATATCTTCAACGAGTACGAGTTCCGAGTCTAGCTCCAGCCCAAGCTCTATCCGTAGCTCTAGCAATGCTATCGATGCCTACGATGCAATAACACAATTTGGCCTCGAGAACTTCTGTACCGAGTTTCTCTCATATACAGCGCCCGTGGCAATTGCAACGGTAACATCTACGAGCTATAGTACATCTTACTACGCCGCTGCTACAGAAGCGAGTACGAAAGTAACTAGCACTAATACCGTAGGGAGGAGCACATCTGTCACTATAATTCCCACACGTCGACGCTCAATTCGCTCTGAAATGGATCTGCTGCAATTTCAAGAACGGGCAACACCGGTCCAACTTACCATGTATGCTAATGAATCCGTCTCATCAGCATGCTCAAAAGTCTTAGCCTCGTTATCAACGACGTCTACCACCACAGCTTTTGCCGATACCGTCGTGGCGGAAGAAATCCAATCAACACTCATTACCAGCACGGTCTATGAAGTAGCTACAGCTACCGTGGATGTTGTAGCCCAAACCGCCAGTAACGTCGGATACGTAAAATTGATCACCCCAGACAATGTCAAAGACCCATTTTACCCATACTTCGGACTTTTCCTAGTAAACTACAGGAACCGTGTCCCGGATCCGGGAACGTGCGGGCGGGTTTTAGCCTCGGTCAATCCCAGCTATCTCCATACCTTTAACTTTGGATACTCTACTACCGCAGATGCACATCAGTTCTTTCTGAACTCGAACTGTGTCATGGGGTTCGTAGGGAGACCGCCAGTGAGTAACTGGACTGTTCATGCTTCCAAAGCGGCATTGAACCTATGGGAATTGGACTCTGCTCATAAGCATGTACCGTTTTATTGGCAGTATAATGCTACGACTGGTATTGCTCGCCCGGATTATGACAAAATGCCGGAGGTGTTGAGAGGAGGGACTTTTTGGATATGTGTGACGTTTCCGGCGCTTTATTCTGTGTACTTTTATCCTGCCTTGAGCGACCTAAATGGGTATAAGAAGGATATTTGTTCGGATACTGGGATGAATCATCTTCTTTTTACGCCTACTGCGGATTGAAGTGAGAGTAGCTGTTGTGGGATTTATTGTGTTTACTGCACTGGCTTTGGGTGCGCTGCCAGAGAACAAGGGCAGGGAGACTGCAGCACGAATACTAGGGTTTAGATTTTGGTTGCTCTGTTTTTGTGATTTTTTTAATCTCCCATGGAAGATATTTGAGATATGATATATTTGTAGTAGATTTATACGGTGGTATTTATGTTATAGGCCCAAGAATCCCGGCGTATCTAGCATTTGTTCATACTAATTCCATTTATTTTGCTAGTTACATCATACGTAGCTCATTTCGTTATCTCATTGTAGAAGCTAGTCCGTTGAATCATATCACTTAAACCCTAGCGATCCTCTCAAACCCCCTCTGCTGCCTTCTTTCATGTTGAGGACCATTACCAGGTGCAGCTGCCTCCCTTCTCTCTCTAACCTGTTCCTCAACCTGTCTCCTCCTAACCGCAAGCTCGGCTCTTCTAGCAGTTCTAACCTCCTCCACTGGAGCAGCAGCAACTCCTTCCCCGACTAACCCCTTCTTAACTTTACTTCCGGGGGTATCCCTCAAGTAAATAACGTGATCGGTGACTCTATCCGTGTCATCGAAGTAGACATCGGTGGGCGCCGGACCATCCCACCAGCCGGCTGGACCACCTGGCAACGGTGCTCCGGTAGATGGGACGCCGAACCAGCGGACTTGGAGGCGGGAGTATGGGCCGTTAGGACCGCTGAGGGTGTAGTATATGTAGGCAGCTGAACCGGCAGCTATGAGATTTGAGGTTCCACCTGGGAGGATTGGCTTTGATGGGGGGCCGCTGGGGTTGTTGGAGATGCCGAGAGGGTTCCAGGGGTCGCTAACGTAGGTGAGGGTCACGGAGGAGGTGAGGTTTTTAACTTGGAAGGTAAGAGACATGTTGGATATTTATATTATATAGATGTAATATATTTTGATATGGTGTATGTAATTTGCAGCTTTATAGGTTTATAAAGTAAATATCTGGTTGAGGAAGTACTGATTGGGGATAGATTGTATGGGATGATTTGAATGAGTGTTTGGGAGAAATGACTGGCTTTTTATAATCGAGGGAATCAGGAAGGAAAGATACTGTCATTCAATTGTTTCAATCGTATGATAACTTTTATGGACTGTGACAGTATCATGATATCAAGGAATTGGTCGAAGACGACATAAACCCAGAATTATCGTGCTATGGAGCCCAAGGCCCTAGGCTACTTCGGTACCTCAGTGACTACGTATCACAATACGAGTTTCTGCCACAACCTCACTTGTAGTCCCTCGCATTGGCCAGGTCAGTTATTTCCAAAGTTAAAAAATAAGAAACTAAGAAGCCCACTCATGATTCGCTTCCAAGCATTATGTCCCCACAGCCCTGCTTATGGTAGCGTGGAATATAAAATCCAACAACTATAACCTCGTTGTGCACTTTTCATCCTATCAATTTAGCCTAGTTCAGAAAAAAAAGACGCAATATCGCGGCACAGCTCGGTTGTTTTGGGAAATTCTTTGGTACTGACGCAGTGCGTTTTCTGCAGTATATGCAGTGCAGTGTGCAGGTGTGAAAGAAATGTTAGGCTGGCGACTGGCACTTGGGTATGTATTTGTGGAGCAAGCCGACACAGCTGGTTTGAACCATTCGGCGGCGTTCGCGATATCCGTCAAGCGCTGGGGGTGTGCCTTGTTCGGGTGTGCAAGATGTTACACACTAGATGCGCGGGAGTGGGGAATCGTATACGTAGCTTTTAGCTAGTTACGGATACGAGTTCGCATTATTCACTTTGATTAAGAGTCCGCCCGCTGTAGATGTACTTGGGGGTTCAATTATTATTATTAGATCGGTGTGGCGTGCGGGATAGGTGGCCATTGGTTCGGTTTCGTATTAAACTGTGGTGGCCACGTTATATATGGGGGGCATTTATTTTTAAACGGTCGATTTGATTTTACTTCCTTCTAAGATCTCACGATGATAAGATACCAAAGTATTCGAGGCAAATAGTACTTTTAAACCCCCCCCCCCCTTATGAGCATACGGCACGGGGATGCTCTAAAAGTTGGGTAAAATTTTTAACTTAGAGCTCCCCTCGCCCCCCATGGGCTATAATATCGGATAGTATAGTTTTCACAGAAAATAACTTCTGCATGCTACAATTCCCATGCATTTACCACGAGGTTGAACCCTGTCTGAACTACAGAATATGCGCGGCTGCGGCACAGCAAGCTCTTTTTTTGCTGATTATGGTGGGTCGCGTCTGCACCTTAGGATCAGAATCGGAAATCCGGCAATTGGGACGGTCATTCAAGGCAGTGGCTTAGAACGAGCGTGTGATTAAACTCGCGGCACGGAATACGAAAGTAAGAGAACCGAAGCTTTTTCTATTGAAGCTGAAGCTTTGTACATGTGTGCCAACTCCGCGTTACTGCACAATCGGTGCACAATCGGAACGTTTTGGATAAAGTCAGCAGTAGGAACTAAGCTAAAACGAGTTGAATTCTTAGCAGCTCCGAAAGTCTATGAGACTTTGGAATATTCGGGTTCGGAACCTGTATTGCAGTATTGAGACTCGGTGATACTTCGCTTAGTTAAACTCTTATAAACTTATCTTCCTATAATAACTGCGGAGCTTGCAAATATATCTAAGCTACCGTACTGACTACAGGAGTTATTGCCGTGGTCGAGATTGAGGCTTTGACTAGTTGGCTTGTATTCTCAGGTTTCGCGCCTACAGGGACAGTTCTCCATGCATGTACAGCACCCACAGTGTAAACAGAAAAAAAAGGCTAGCCTCGAAAGAAGTCTGAATAGAATATCTGCACAGTTGCTTGCAGGGGGTAGTTATGGAGCTTCGAATTTCTTGGCGTTTAAATGGACTAACTAAGTTCGGGCAAGCTGGGTCACAAATCCACTATTCAACAGGGGCTCTGCGGGTATTGTGTTCGGTAGCGTTATAACATTACTTTGAATCATACATCGCGCTGGCGATGTATCTGGAAGGCGATATCAGTCGGCCTAACTAGTTAACGATATAATGATAAAATAAGCCATTTGCCTTGGCCTCCCTGCTTTTGCCTTCGAGTATTAATGTGTTCATCGAATGCCGGGAGTAGTTGAGCTCCATCAGTAGCTAGCTGGCTTTCTGGGTGCGAGACAAGCCGGCTTCTAGAATAATAATTTTTTTTTTTTTTCCAGAGCTGGAGAGTCGAGCACATATGACAAGCTTCGCTTTACAATCAAAGCTAAGCTGGCGCGATATCGGTAAATGCATCACCGTTTCCTCCGGCCCGTAACTTATGGGAACGAGGCAAGCTCAACGTAAAGTTACTCGTAGAATAGTTGATATCATGTTAATTAACATTCGATAAACTGCTACGGTTGCTAACCGTAACGTTGCTGCCATGAAAGCCTCGACTCCATTAGCTTCGCTTCCAACATAATAAGGCCTGCCCAATTCACGGCACGTGATCCAGCCTCTTTCGGCCGTCGACGGATTTTGTAACTTTCCGAATCAGGCATTTGTCGGCAAACCAAATCATTTTCCAATATCAAAATTTCCTAAAAGAGTTACAATCGGGCGAATTTCCCAACGCTTTAGTAATGATCATATTTATCGTGCGCATGCATAAGCGTGGAAATTCTCTGAAGTCGCGCTTATAACGGGGGTAATTTATGGTTCGCAGTTCGGAACGACGGAGCACGGAGGATATTTGAAGACCGACTTTTTTCTTATCTTTCTAATAAAATTTAATTAATATCATTAAGGGAGTGGATAATTATAAATGTCAGAGAGGTAGTATTCAGTACTAAACTAGACTGACCAGCATGTTGGCCATGTAATCGCAGCCATGGGATAAACAAACCCCTATAAATGAATAAACCGAGGCTTCAAAGGCCCATTGAATAGATTTAAATAGGGGATTGCTATCGCTAGCCTCTCTTCTTGCTAGTGCCGGGTCCCTTGTGTAATCTCTAATATCTTCTTGGTGGTAAACTTTTTAATATAGAAATTGTAAATAAAAATAAATAATAATAAAGATTTTTATTATTGATTTTATGGGCCGGTTCACAGCTGTGAATTGGCACTTAGGTCACCCAGCTTGTGAACTAGCTTGTGAAAGTGAACCAGCTTGTGGACCAGCCAGCGAACCAGCCAGCGAACCAGCCAGCGAACCAGCCAGCGAACCAGCCAGCGAACCAGCCGTCTGCGAACAAGAGTTTAGATTTTTGATACAGGTGACATATATATAATCGGGATATTATTGAACAGATGCTAAGAGGGGCTGGCACTAGTAAGAAGGGGGGGGGCGGTGATAGCATTCCCCTTTGGATATTGCGGGTTCATGGGTTCAATCCATAACTATCCGGATATTCCCTGAGTCTCTTCCTGCTCCGAACCTCAACTTGTCCTTCAAGAGGCTGTCCAGCTCCCGTGATAACGAATGCGGTAGTAAACTGGCCACCGGCAACTTCAAACCCGCTTCGACTGTCACTAGAACCTATTTTACTTCTGAAACCTACACGACCAAGGAAGTCGTTCCTGAAGCCACCGAGTGGAATATGCGCCGTGACCTTTAAATGATTGTTGCAATTGGCGCAACCGGAAACGTTCCACCTACTAAACACCGGCTCGCAACCAAGGAATATCTCGGGCTTATTCGGCTCCTTAGCCCAGGCAGATATGATAAACGAGCCCGAGATGGTAGAGCGGTCGATGCCGGAAATGCGAAGGTAAGTATTTTGACTACGTGGGTATCTGAGCTGTGGTGGATTAAGATCGTAGGCAAGTTCTTCGCCGCCTAGTGAATCTTCAATATCCTCAGATTCTATCCCAGAATCGGATTGTGTTTTCCTGGGGGCCAAATCAGGTTTGTCGTATCTATACGGAAGCAAGTCCAGACGAGAAACTTCCTGGAAGCCGGCCGGAAGTGGTCAGCATGGTAAACGATCGATCAATGGATCATAAAGGTAGGCAGACGACTTTTCAAAAAACGTACCCTCGTTGTCCAATATTGACCGCCGCGACCAGACCAGTCGTTCTCGGGAATCTTGAACGGATAAAGAGGAGTATCAATTGTCAACCATTCATGCGCTGCAATTCCGGGAGTTGGGCCTTGATAGTCTACTGGGCTAGTTCCGGGGTATTCAGGAATAATATTCACACCATCCACAGTATCATGGCCTTTGGCATTAATATGCCGGCTTTGCCATTTCCAAAACACTCTGTCGATAAAGCAATGATGATACCAAAAGACTGGATCGAACGCCGCGGTATCATTCTCACCCATATCTCCATTCGCACCATCGAAGCTAGGCCGGTCTGGCACATCATACCCGCCAACAGCAAGATGCGCTCCATTGTGCGGGGACTCGACGGAGACAACCAATGCTCCGGAAGTGGGGTTGTCATCATTCCACTGAGCTGCGGAAGTTGTATTGGAGAAGACAGTATAGTTTGGGGCTTCCAACGACATTTTGTATTTTTCCCGCAAACCCATAGCCCTACCCTGGCTAGCTGTTTGATTAATCCTGTCATGGAACCAATTTCTGAGATTCAAGTTGAGGAGATCAGTTACTTCGTCGTCGCTAAATCTATTCATCCATTCGTTGTGAACGTTCGTCCTGCGTTCGTCGCTACTACCTACTAGGCCGGAATAGGGATATCTGACTCTCTTGTAGCCCTCAGGTTTACCGTAGTCCAAATCTGATCTTGAAATTCTATCTTTGAATCCCTTCACGAACTTATAGGAATAGAGAGGATTATCGATCGTATGGCCACCAGCTGCAGCACTAAATTTGTACTTTCTATCAGTGAAGATTTTGGGAATTATCCTCTTCTCCTTTTCTCCATATTCGCCATTCATCTGGTCCCAGTAAGGGAGAGTGACGTCCGCGTCGATTTTTTGGAGGGCTTCCTCGAGGCGTAGAATGTAAGCTCGATGCCATGTTGGAAAAAGGACATTGCCATGGTGGCAGTAACCCCCCCACCACATAGCGTTTCCGTAACCAGCTCCCCGGAAGGGTTGGCCGTGATAGCCAGCTATAGCAAAAAAGCCATCTTGGCAGTCTGCAGGCTTTTCTTGGATGCATTTCCACGCAAAAATGAGTTTGTCGGTCTCTCCTTTTGAGAGATTGAGGATGTTTTTCCTCACTTTTTTTTGAGGCATTCTGGCTTTGGTAGAGGCATCTCCTTCGATAGAGGCAGTCATTAAAACAGTTTATGATATGCCAAACAGCTATAGCTTGGAATTGGTGCACAACTCTTAGATCCGTAATGGCGTAGATAGCTTCATTGACCTATCTAGTTAGAGGGTCGGTCAAAAGTGCTTCGTTTGGGAAGATGACCTGAATGTAGTCTAGTGAAACTGCCAGAACCCCATCATACAATATATATTTCCTAGTCATATCAAAGCTAAGAGATCTCGAGAGCGTTTCAAAATCTTGGAAGCCTCACCAAGAGGTCAAATGCGGGGTCCGATGCCCTCCTTAGTTAAGTCCTTACTAGAAAATCTATTCGTTAACCAGAAACGCTAGTGATAATTTCAATGCGGGAACATCGGTCTGGCCATCATAGTCAATGTTCCGACTAATCCCCGACTGCTGCATCAATGAGCTATAAATCTGCAGCAACATCGATCGAAGCTGACTATATACTTAATTTTATGATTGTAAGTTTCCGGGTCGTAGATCTTGCATATATTGTGTTAGCTGCATCTAGATAATGCGATGAGATAATGTATAGCAGTGTGTGCGGGTGTCGATGGGTCGTATCGGAATGCGGAAACAACAATGCCTCTTTACGGTGCATGGCTCTATGACGTTATGATTCCTCTCGCGGAATCGCGAATTAAAATGCTCGAGTAAAGTTAATAGCAGGTCAAGCCCGGTGGAGTATAATAAAGGGGTAAATTTTCAATGTCTGATAGGTATGTAGGCGTGCCGAAGTGACATGTTTTGATACAAGACTAAGCTATGTGGGCGACTGGAAGATGCATGAAGTTTAGTTCCGCTGTGGGTCCGGGCAGTGTAACGTAACATGAGTACATACAGTTAAAATTGATCGTTTCGGCAACACTTTAATGTGTCTGGGCAGCTGGGGACGAGACCAACCCGTTCGAATCTTCGCATACCATAGATCTATAGACCGGATCTCTCGGGAGTCCTACCATTCCAGTGGCTATGTATCGACAGCTGTCGGGTCAAATCGATAATCTTTGTTCTGTAGCGGGAGCATGCTAGTAGTATTGCATATATATATGCATAATAGAAAAAATGCAATTCGCGTTGCCCTCCATCCCCATCCTATTGGTCGGATGCCAGGATCCGGAGCTCTATTTTAACGAAAATGCCCAAAAAAAAACAAGGAAATATGCGGGCCGATGCCTTATGCATATCGACTTGGGCTAGCGCGCAATTGATACGAGTTGAAGGGATATCCAGGTGTTAGAGCCTTTCAAGTCTCATAACATTCTCTCACGTAATTAGATGCATATGCCGGAGACATTTAGATACCAAAAATACCAGAGCGAAAGAGATAAAATTTAGTTTTCGTTGGCTTTTCCCCACTCAAAACCCGTATTATACAACGGTAAATAGATGAGCTACCGTATATTCGGGTTGAAAGTTAACGTAGGACAGAACCCGCTATAGTTTTACGTAATGACTATACAACGTACTTGAAAACTACTTGGTGGCGGCCGCTGTTCTCTCTTAAAGTATGCCCAGAAACCTGCCACTAGTTCCTCAGTTTATTTTACAGTATGAATTTGGTAAAAGTTTCTATTATTTACTTTCAGATTCTTATGTTAATTTTGAATTTAAAGCCATCTTTAGTACGGGTTTATTTGTCTTGCAGCTTTCTCGAGAAGCAGGAAAAGTTGAGAAATAACCTTTTGTCTATTAACTGTTCGGTAATCGTATTTTGAATTGCACTATAGTAAAGGTTTACGAAGTACCAATTTTTAGTTTTAAAACATCCATCACAGCCATGAATATCTTCAATTCTATTCGTGCGATTATGAAAATATGATATGGTAAGTCCTTAGTGACGGGCGCATGAGCTCGGGATGTGTGGAGCTTATTAAATCCACGATCATCTATGCGATTCTTTTAAAGTTTCATAATTATGCTTATATGAGAATTGATAATATATAGTCTGGAAAGAGTGTGGTAGTATATAAGCATTTTGGAGTAGGGGTTAAGCGTTCTACGAGGCGTACAATAGGAATCTACAGAACGAAGAGAACTAATCCGCATATCACTATTACCTGGGACTATACCACAAATGTAGAATCAATTGGCATCTAGAGTCATGTGCATGTTTTGCGCAGACCTATAGCTATATACGAATAGAACATACAAGGTGCCGACAAGAATGTCCATATATCAAAAAAAAAGTAGTTATACGCCAATTTCGTTGAAACCCTGGTGTCGATAAATAGAATCATGCATGGGGCTTGGTGCCATACAAATATAAATCTCGAGGCCTCCTTTGGCCACGGAGGTTCAGTCTCGCAACCAAACTGAGGTTACCCCAACTCAAAATTCAAACAGCCTTCACAAAATCCAACACATTGTAAGTTCTCTACCCCAACCATGGCGGCAACTGAAACACAGGCTTCATGGTCTAGTGGTATGATTCTCGCTGAAAGTACCCCCATTCTAATATATTCTTTCTACGAACTATAAACTAATACCTTCCACAGTTGGGTCGCATTACATGCAATCTTGCGAGAGGCCCCGCGTTCGAATCGCGGTGGAGCCCGTTATTTTTTTGAATTTTAAACTTTTTGTTTTGTTAAACTTCTGGCTAAATGTAAAGCGAGCACAAACCTGGGTCGATTAATTAATCCTCGCGATCCCAGCCCTCAGGAAGAGCCTTAATCAAAAGCATAGCATCTTCACTATATTCTCCCAGATACCGTCCTAACTTGTTGACCCTATCGAGATAGAGCTCTACTCTAGCCAATAACTTCTCTCCCATCACAAAAACCATGTCTTCTTTAAACTCGTCCGGAATATATATTTCCATAGCGGTCTCTACTATCGCGTCCCTAAAATTTTCCCAAGGGCTTGACCATATTGTGACTGAATCATCTATTCCTTTTGCAATAGACTTTAATATTTTAACACGAAGGTCAGCTTTGTCGGGGTTGATAGACCATGTTCCCGAGGTACCTGAGGTATTTGGTTCGAATGTATAGCCTAACCATATCATAGCACGCTGAATAGGATCCTCGATGTCTATATTAAGCGGTATAATGAGGCTTTCGAGCGCTTTCCAGACGACTAGATCTGGACTATTGGGCTCTATTGGCGTCAACTTCCAAAAGTCGATTGGGGTGTCTATTGTAAACTTCGTGATCTGTGGTACCACTGATTTTATCTTCTGAAGCGCAGCCAATGCCTTTGCATGTTTAGTATGTAAATCTGGATCGGCTTTATAGTCTTTATCTGTTGCATCGTCTTCGAATTTTATGACGATATCGAGTAGTTTTTGTATTAACACCCCTGTTTCAGTGACTATTTCAAAGATTGATTCTGAACCGAATGCTTGAAGGCCGGACGGCATTGCTCCCTTGCGTAATGGGGTTTCTTTTAAATAGTCCTTTAAGTTCCAGGACATTATTTTGATATTTAAGAGATCATTGCCGATGTTGGAGGTAATTTCTTGACTTGCTGTTGCCTTTTGGGGGGGTTGTTTTAGGCCCGGTTCGATGAATTCTTGGAAGATTTCGTGGGGGATTTTGATGGGTTCGAGGGCTTGGCTATATACGAGAGATGTTAGGGTTGGTTCTCTTGGGATATATACGCATGCATGTTTAATCAACGAGAGCGGTTAATTCTTACACATTGCAATTGATTAGTACTAGGCTAATAGTCCCGATGGGTAGCCAAAGCCTACACCACTCTGGCAGGCGTCGCATCGTACACAAAGTATTTTTTCCCCGAGATTTTCAGGCGAAAACAAAGAGACTTATCGACATCGAGACAGCCCTCATGGATTTCACCAAGACGGAAAAACATGTTTTTGTAGGATCGGAATAATGGTCGCAAGCATGTGCACTATACCTAGCGTGAGCTCTGGAGAGGGGATTAGAGGCTTTATCTTATACCACCACAATCTCAAGTAGGCATATTGCTATAGTAGGTTAAGTTTTCAGAGTATACGTAGAACGGCCCTGGTGGGAATATTTACTCTCAATTTGTCTATATTTCACTTAAATAGCTTTTTCCGAGCCAAGTGTGCAGTCTCGACACTAAACCAGCTTAGCTCAGCGAACTGTGTTGCTTCCGATATCTTGTCACAAAATGCAACATTCGACTACTCGATACGAGTCTCGAATACATTAAAGTTAAGTTGTTGATGTAGGCAATTTCATGTACTAGGGCTTCCTGATTTAAATGTTTATTCCATATGAAAAATTATTTTTGCGGCTGCTACAACGTTAAGTCTTCAGGCGCTTGACGTAATCATGTTACTTGAACCTCATGGTGGATTTGTAAAGCTCCAAGCTCCCGCTGAAGCCAAGACCGACACCCTGGGCCCCAGCTCCGGAACTCGGCATATTTTTCGTTCCGAGAACATACAACCAGCTCCATGACTTCCTCTTAAGCTCTTCCGGCAGGTCAGAAACGAAAAAAGCTTGTTTAACCCATTCATACCCCGGTGTACAACCGTTTACGCCATACTCGCGCAAGCTTACGTTTTAGTCTTTTAGCGTATGTAATTTGTTATTTCCTTCCCTAATCCCGGAGTATGGGGAATTATTAAACTAGGAGATTGGGCACACGGGCAAGGCGCTAGCTATATAGGGCTTCGGAGATCTTGATAACTTAATTTGGAGCGGTCGGGGGAATGTTGTCGCGCGTGTAGGGCATGCATATTCATATGGGAAGGTTCTATAAAATGGAGGAATTCGAGCTGTTAGTTCTGTTGGTATGTTGTATTATCAGCAGTATCGCTTCATTCCTCAATCGATATAATAGTCTTCGAATCTATACTTCAAAGAAAAGAAAACAATTTCCCTTAGCATTGATACCTTGAAAATATTTCCAAAATGTCAGGAACAATGAAATCTCTCGTCGTTAACCCCGATACCACAACTACAATTTCAGAAATACCAATCCCAACACCAGGGCCCCATGAAGTCCTTATCAAAGTCGTGGTCGCCGGCTCCAATCCAAAGGATTGGAAACTTCCACTCTGGTGGAATAAGTCCATAAACACTGGTGATGACTTTTCTGGGTATGTTGAATCTGTGGGGTCTGAGGTTTATGAATTCAAGAAAGGGGATAGGGTCATCGCCTATCGTCATTGGGAGAATCCGTATGGAAGTTATGCGGAGTATGCAATTGCTTTCGACTTTATGGTGGTGAAGTTGCCGGAGAAAGTTAGCTTTGAGGGTATGTAGTTCGGTTGATCTCTCAAGTCCTACATGAGTAGATATAGCTAACGGCATTATAGAGGCTGCAACTATTCCTCTCGCAGCACTCACCGCTGTCGTGGCACTCTACCACACACTCCGTCTTCCACATCCATGGGTTCCAGCTACCAAACCGACCCCATTAGTCATCTATGGTGCTGCTACAGCTGTGGGCGCATTTGGTATCAAGCTTGCTCGGCTTTCCAACATTCATCCGATCATTGGTGTCGTAGGTCGTGGCAAGGACTTCGCAGAAACCCTTATTGATCGATCTAAGGCCGATGAACTAGTCGACTATAGAGATGGAAATGAAGCTGTTGTCAAGGGTATCAAAGCTGCCTTAGAAAAGAACGGCTTTGACAGTGTCGATTACGTCCTCGATGCAGTTAGCGAGCATGGTAGTGTTCTTGATTCTGCGGCGGTATTGAGCAAAACTGGTCAGATTACTGGGGTCTTAGGATTGGAACTTGATCCCAAGGCAAAGAACTTGAGCAAAGACGTCAACTGGGTTCGAACAAGCGTTGGATGGGTATTTCAAAATAATTGGGAAGAAGGGAGTGAAGAGGCAAAGCAAGGGGTGAGCGTTGCAACTACTGGAAGGGAGATTGGATTTTTGTTTTTGAGGTGGCTCGTTAGAGGATTAGATGAAGGCTGGTTCCAGGGGCACCCCTATGAGGTCATTAAGGGCGGGTTGAATGGGGTTAGTGGAGCGCTAAAGGATTTGAAAGAGGGGAAGTCAAGTGCTGTGAAATTTGTCTATCGCCTTGAAGATACTGAGTAGAAGTGCCAAGAATCAAGCGATGACTATTGGTGGATAGATCTATCAGTGTATCTTGAGCCGGACAGTTGGGTCGCTGTGACCAAACCAATAAGGCCGGTCGTCGATGGTATCGATATTGAATTTTTTTGTTTCTCAATGGGCAATACAGATAATCAAGTCCACATTGAAAGGAAATCTTTTCGGTTATTAGACTTCGAGACCAAGCGCTCAATTGCAATATATAGTATACTAAAAGAGTTTAGCTATCAGCTTTGGTAGAGTAGTCATCGAAGATTTTTGAGAATATGAGAGGAGGTTCGACAATCCTGGGAGCAAATCCAAAGTCATTCTGATTGCGCAAGTACCGAAATTAAAATACAACCCTATTCCGAATTCCAATGCATGCATGCAATTAATTATCCAATCTGAGTATGATATCTCGCGATATATATTGTAAGGAGGGGGCATTTTAAAACATTAAAAGCGTATGAGCTAGTGAGACTCCCTGACCGAAAACCAATATTGTCTAGCACTAGCTACTCCCGGTCTGAGTTTGGGTCTAGACTGTTCAGAGGTTCAAATATCAAGATCACTTGGGCAAATTGTATATCTAACTTGTAGGATTGAAGCCCCTTTCGTGGGGTCTGGGGAGGTCTTGCAAAGCGAGTGGACCCTACTTAGGGGCTAAAGTTCGCTTCATTCGCCGTGGAGCTGTGAATTCAACATCTCACCACGGAGCGTCAAGTATTCAGCTTCAAGTCGCCCCTGCCTTATTTCCATCTGTCCAAGTTTTTCCCACAACTCCGCGTGATCGGTACCTGTGTTACTCTCTGCATAAAAGCTGCTAGTACCTCCTCTAGGGACGCAGAGTGTCGGGAAGTTTGACGAGCTTGGTGTGCTGGGTGCTTCGTTCGAGGTTACAAACGGTGGGCCGGTTCGCCCCAAAGTTTCCACCACTTCCTGTGAATCTTGACACAAGGGAGTCGAGTGGGGTACCAAGAATTGGAACGGGGGCACGTTGGACACCGGGATCTGTGCTGTCAAGCCCTTACCCTTGGCACCAAAGTGTGAAGCGTGTCGACGTCGTCGCCGACCAGCACCATGACGGGAAGTTATATGGGGCTTTAGATTATCGTACCTCGCAAACATTCTTGGGCAGATAGGGCAGGAGTAATTTTTTCTGCCATGTTCGCTCCATACGTGGTCGTCATGGGTTCGGCGGCTGGTAAACTCCGTGGGGCACTCGGTGCATAAATAGGAGCGGCGATAGCCCTTGGTCAGTTCATCTTCCAGACCCGGATGTTTTTCTGGTGTAATCGCAAAAAAAGATATTCATCAGAACGAATTCGAACATTCGCTGTTAAGGGATTGGGTTAGTTGACGGGATTTATGATAGTTATTTCCTTACCCGGGTGTTGGCAAGATGCATAAACAAGGGGGTTAGGCTGTGGAGGAATGAGATCATTCGACTCAAAGGTCGCTGCACCAAGGTTTGTACCAGACTCAAGTTGGGGGTACGAGGCTACAGGAAGCGGAGATACGGTCTTGCGTGTTTGAGGGCTCTCTGATGAGTCTAATAGACACTCAATGTTAATATGTCTCCTCCAGAACGTTACTTAATCTATGACATTGACTTGCAAATCATGCATAGGATAACTATAGATGCTGCGCGGTGTCTACATATATATTGTAGCGTTTACTTACTAGAGAAAGCCTGTGGGCTAGCGCTAGCGCTTTTGATGGAAACCTCAGGAGAACAAATAGAAGATGAGTGTAGAGCTGCAGTGCTACTACTATAGGCGCCATAAAGCTCTTGCACTGTGACCCCATGAGGAAACCCACCTAAAGGGTTCAAATAATTGGCAGAAGACCGTGGGTCAGAAAAGTTGATTATTTTATGGTCCGCCATGTCGGTGATAGCATTGGGGCCACCTTGACTATTTGCTCGGGGATTTAGTAGGGCCCGTGGTGGTGCGCTATCAGAAGTTTTCGCATCGCTAAGCAACCCTTCACGCCACTTTGTGCTCATTGCGCAATTGCGACGATGATGGATACTTGAACTTAATCTTGATAAAATTAATATTGATTCTGTTTAGAATATCAGTGGGCGCAGATTCCTTGAACAAGTAATACGCAAGAAGTTGTAGCTTGCATGCGTGCCAGAAGACGCGCTACAGGTATACCAGTAAATAAAAGATCGGTGTCGTATATTATATTAGAATTAGAAGACCGAAGGGACGTATCAAAGTAGAGAATAGATTTCAAATAAAGATCTGAAAAGTAAATCAATGAGGGGTCTCATCAGTAGTGGGTTTTCTCGTATCCAAACTCCTCGACCGCACACTCAAGTATGGTACAGTCGAATTCAGAATATCAAAAGGGATGACAAGTAGTTGACATCTACGAGGGCGCGGGCGCTCCGGTACCATTTTATAGATATTAGGCTCTGAAAAAGAGTGGGCTAGGAAAAGGAGAGTAGGCATGTTCATTATCTTGAGCCGCGTGAAATCCACAATCCCGCTCCTTAGCTACAATCTATAGATCTAGAGTAAGTAGTATAGTAAAATAATCAAAAGCCTGAAATCCGGGCCCAAATTGGGATGCAGGGCGGTCTCGATGCAGGACCTGTCGTTCCTAAACTGATATCCGTAGCCATCTATCCATCTAAATATTAATTCTATGCTTGATTAATATTGATCTATCCATATGCATGTATGATTGTGCCGTGCTCCATGTGCATTCTACGTATATATGCACGGGCTGATGGGTGTTCAATCTCCTCAGGTTAGCTGCTACCTGGCTGCACCATATTCAGGCGAGCACAGTGTGAGAATTTTTCGGTAATCTCAAATCAGGTGCAGGGCTACCATACATATGTAACCGCCCCGTGACTCCATTCACCTCGAAACTTCAGGAATGACAGGTAGCTGTGGCCAGGCCTGGCAAGGATACTCTTTTTCCCCCACCTTTCAGGTCGATCTGGAGATAATATTTAGAGTATTTATTATCCCACAAATATCGAACCTAGAAGAATTAGAGAATCAAAAGCAGCAGTAACTAAGATCCTTTGTGATTTTTGAATATAAGTTGGCTACCTCTAGTGAATAAATTCAGGGAAAAGATGAAAAACAGAAAGAAATCAGGCGCAGAAGGAGATTCTCCATTCAATTGACACCTGGTTGGTCTGAAGGCCCCATCGGCTTTTCGAAAAAGAAATGAATGTGTTAGAAATTCGAAAGGTCTTCCGACCTCCTGGCTCTTTGATTCTAGGAAAGCACTCTTAGCAAACAGACTAGGAAAGGAGAAGAGGCACACACGGCCCTCACATGCCTCCTTCGTGACGTCTGGGAACAAGACCAGTCCTCACTAGTCTCGAAGTATACACAGACACATTAAATTGTTTTGGTTTACGGAATATAGGGCTAATATTTCTTGACAGCCTCTTTCGGATATCAAAATCTGGCTTCTGTCTCAGCACAGAGCTCGAGATCTAGAATCATCGAATTAGTGTCGAGTAAGCTTTCAAATTATAAATTGAAAGCTACCCGATTCTAAAACAGTCCACAAGTTTAAATTCTCTAGTACCGACAGAAACCGGCCGACTATAATTATATATAATAGAGATTACCACTCGGAAGTTAGGCATTGACCACTTACCGCGAATGGTGAATCGAAACGAAGAAACGGTGGTTGATTCTCACAGTAACTAACGTCGTGAACATGTACACCGAATTAAATGTTTAGTTTAGTATCGTACCACAAGGGCGGCTAACACTGCCTAGTTGCGGAGAACGGCCCGTTCCTTTTATTGTTAGATACTATAAAACGCTGTTATGCATGCGCAAGCGCAGTTGCGCAAGGGTAGAGAGATTCTTAAATCATATTATTTAAAAAGCCACATTATATTATAGATTATTTTGAGTTTTCAAGATCTTAAGAAGCCACGCGTATACGGAGGTTTTGGAAAGATTCGAACTGTGGTACTATGTATGCCAAACAGGGTTCTTAGTGACCCCTAACTAATCTTCCGTTTTTCTCCTCCAGATGCTGGCTGTATCTAATGACGGAAAGCCAAAGGCCACATGAGGTATTAAGCGGCCGCATATCTATTCAGCGGTAATTGCCAGTGACCTAAGGATGAACAATGCAGGGACAGGCAGGCAGGCACAGGGTGACTACATTGGAGAGATTGCATTGACATCCCTTCCAAAAAAAAAGTCTCTGGCTGGCGTAACATGAGTAGCCTCTCATGCTCTCAGGAATCTAGGTAATTAAACTGTCTACCCCTTTCTAATCTAATTTCGTGTTAATATTAAAGAAATCGGGAGTCTGGGTGGATAAAGCTCGGCTTTTGCACTTTCCAAGGGAATTGGTGAGTATTGTCTCATTAGACCAGTGCTGGTCGGTGGTGCACTATGTCGGTATTGTATGTATACATGTAAAGAGAAAGGGTGTTCCTTCTATTCTCACAGAGCTACTAGACGCTCACAAAAATCACTAAAGCAAATACCCGCTAGAACTAGGACTCCTCGCAACCTTATGAAGGAGCTCGGGGCGGATTGGGCTAGGGTAGTTTGCATTCCAGAGAACTCGAGAACTTAATCATCCTAGGGGCGATATAGCCGGATTATGTCCTTCCCTTTTTCCCCCATTGGTCCGGTCCATGCCTCCCGATAATATTATAATGTTTCCCGCCATCCCTACTAGTACTAAGTCCTATTGCGCAAACCCGACCCTTGCCATGAATTCAGAAGTTAGGTTGTACGTAATGGTGTTAGACACAAGACTTGCATTTGCTGATAGCCAAAGCCAATATCATCATGGGAAAATTGGCGCATGGTCGGTTTAAGCATCGAGTGTGTGCTCAAGTACGCGTATACGACATCCTAATGCACTATTACGAACTTTACTGACCCAAGTTCCCGTCTAGGAAACATTCCACGATCATTTACCACATCAAGTTATGCTGAAATGCTTTTAGAAAAAGCATGAGCCGGGAGCGCCCGAACATAGTCTAGTTCACTATATACACAAATGCCGACTGTTCGATAGCTATATAGACTTAGAAGGGTGGGCTCAACCGGCCACCCTAATCCAAGATACCAGCAAATTTCCTTTTCATAAATGACATTCTTGTGGCACAGAGCCCATAGAAAGTTAGAACATGCAAGTACATGCGAATTTTATACAACCGATATCGACCGCGTTGCGTATCGGCGAAAAGCTGACAATGCAGGGCCTGGTTAACGATCGCGAGACAAGATGTGTTGGTTGTTGCAATGCTTCCTTTGAGATTGTAAATATACAAGTCTATAGTAGCCATGCGCATGCATATGGCTATGCATATGGACTCGAGTACCCGTTAGTCTTCTACCTCTCTCTCTGTGCTATCAATATTGTATATTTAGAATTCATGATTTCCATTTTCATCCTATAACTTAACTAGTGGAACTCCCGCTCTCGTCGAAAGACAGATTAAACTTAACTTGTTAAAATCTAGTCTCGAAACCAGACGCCGGGTCAGCCACCAAAATCTATGCATAGCTATGCGCATATATGCGCCCCGCCCGACAGCCCTCGTGCATGCAATTGCATTAATTGGATGAGAGTACGTATAACAACAAACCCCTAGAATCAGTATGGCCAACTAGGACCCCACAATCAAGCAAATTACAGAAGGGCGAGTTCTTTAATTCTAATAAGATTAGTCGACCACGGGAGGAAACCTTCTTAGTAAAGAGGGTGAGCAGGTGCTAGGTGTTTATCGATCGATCGGTCTTTTTACGTTTAGAATTAATGTTAAACAGCTCGACTTGGTTGTCGCCATCGATTTATAGCACCTCGATATCGCTTCCTCGAGGTTTCGGCTAGCGCGAGACCATCTAGCCGACCGACCATAGTACTACCCAATGCTCCAGCCCGTCGTCAACAGTATAAAGTATGTAGTAGTTCTTTGAGCTTTAGTATTTCCCCCTGGCTTATACCTTATTAAATAATTATTTTTACGTTAAGCTCATATGTATATGTCAACGTCTTCGCCAATCCATACAGTCAACCCTACAGTCCGTTGATTCCAAAAAACGAAGAAGAAGAAAAGAAAACGCCTCATATACAACCGTGATGCCATGAACCATAATATTTCGCTAAACCGCCCGAACAAATAAAGGCTTCAACCAAATCAAACACTACTAGAGACAATATATATATATAAACATGGTATGTATTAAGACCCGTCACTTTGGTGTGTCTATGTCCTAGCCTCTGCGACAACCTGGAGAGATCTGGCCAAAGATTTACATACTGTCTTTAGTTTTTCGACCTTCTTTGTAAGCCTGCTCACTTCTGCCTTGAGCCTGCTCACTTCGGTCTTAAGTCTTGCGTTTTCCCGCTCAAGGGAGTCTCTTGACGGTGACTTGGGACCAACCTGAGGTTCGGGTTGGGAATTAGAAGAAGCCGCTTGGGTGTTTATGGCAATAGAATTACCATTACCCATTGAGATGAAGGGTGCATTGTTCAGTAGGCTTGCTTCCCCCGTGTGAGGTGGGAGTGGAGGTACTGTTTCTGTAGGGGAAGGTGCGGTTGGATAAGGCGCAGGCATATCTGGAGCCTGGGGCATCTGATGACTATTTTGTAAAGTCGAGTGTACAAAATCGGGCTGTTGCGCGATCGTCTTTTCTATTGTACCTAGACCTGAAAGGATCGTTTTGGGTTGCGAGCGTTTGGTGCCAAGCCATAAGCGTCTCAAAACCTGTGTTTTAGTAGGTAAAGAGACTGGGCGGGGCCCGCATTTACATTTTTTCTTGTGAGCGTCTAAGTTGTCCTTTCTTGGTGTTCCATAGTCGCATCCATTATTAGGGCAGCCGAAAGCTTTTATCTTGTGCTCTTTGAGGAGATGCTCGCCAAGATTCCTTTCGTTGGAGAATACCTCACCACAGTCAGTCTTTGAAATATCCCGACAGGCTCGTTCTATTGGCTTTCGCCGTTGCTTAGTCGTAATAGGTTTCTCTGGAGAGGTTTCGAAAGAGTCATTTGGGGTTGGATCTGGTAAATTCAGGTCTTGGGCGGAAATGGGTCGCGGTAGGTCGGTGGCGGGGGCTGAGCCCTGGTCTTGGGCGTCAAACTGGTGATTATGGGTATCTTGAGTGGGACGGGAAGGGTCCGGGCCGCTGGGGCCTGCAAATACGCCGCCATGGCCCCCCTCCACAGCTAGTCGTGAGTCTTCCTGTGAGGCCGGACCTCTAGTGTATTGCTCCCAGTATCCTGCCCAAAGCTTAGTACCAACCCCATGTGGCTTCAATGGTATGACATGGGTGCCTACCATCATTGAAATATTGGTCGAGAATTGGACCATATGCATCCCCGGCTGTTTCCGCGTGCATTGTTGATAAGGCCACGGGATCACCTAGCCAATCCATCTCCTGGGTCAAATCTGCCTCCGGAAGACTCGAAGGAAATTGGTTGCTAGACTGGCTTTGAAGGCAGTTCTGAACATCAATCGCAACCATATTGGCTTGCTGCAGGCCCTGGCTGGGGATGCCATTCTTCCGGTTATGCATAGATGAAGGATTGCGTGAAAGGGTAGCCCAATTCGCATCATCATCTGAGGGCACGAAAGACAGGGCCATGATGGTATATACGCACACTGTATGGAAAATAAAATAGTTTAAAAAACGGAAGAATACTATGCTGCGTGGGTAAGACAATAGTTTCACTGAATGAAGGTCAAGTAAGGGTAAGCTATGCCTGTATGGTCCCAAGATAGCTAGGAGCCAAACAAAGTGGTGTCCTTTGCGACGTCTAGGAATGAGAACAGCTAGGAGCATAAATTTTAAGTTTGAGAGAGTCAGGGTATAAAACCTCGGATTCTTCAACATCAAAATAAGATGTTGATGTGATACGTAGGTAGTGGTTATAGCTCGATAGATGGGAAGATCTTCGGAAGTCGCAGAAATGTTGTTTTTGACAGGTGATATATCGATTGATGAAAAAGCTTAGGTTGTAAAGGGGGGGTATGCTTCTTGAATTAATTTGAATGAATGCAATAAATATATACCTATGTAAGTATTTATTCTACAATTGTGGGTGCGGCCGAAGGTCGAGTGACATTCGACATATACAACCCTTCCCCCCTCTAACCTTAGTTAACCTCAGAACATAAGGTACATGTACATAGCCTAGCTGAGTTTCTGAACGCCCGACAATGAGGGAAATAGGTGTGCCTGATTCCTTTCCTATTCGAATAGGCTAGGTCGACGGTGCCCAGTTCCTAACCTTGGCAATGCACATCGCCTTCGCTCGCGTTTTCGCGTTCGTGGCGAATCGAACGCGAAGCAACGCAGCTTCTGCAAGGCCGTCATGGACTCTCGCGGAGGAGCTAGGAGTTCCGGACCGGGCTAAACTCAGGGTGAGCCAGGCCTTCACCAGCCATATTATATATGGCCTTGGATACCTGCGCGCGGTTTGATTGCGGGTTTGATAGCATGATTGCAAGACTACTTACTGAGAGAAACGGGAAAAAAGCCAATAATATATAAATGTATATACGTACCAAACGACCTTTTTTTGATCCCAATTTTAATTTTGCAACCTGTTAATACTCCAGCCGTACGGATGGCCTACGAAATATGGTAACCTACTAATTAAAACCTCGTTTCCCCTGTCCAGGCTAAAGGAATGTAATATGCGCCGATGCAAAGATTTCCATGGGTCTAGAATCGAGTAACCTGTGGATATAGATGCTCCACAGTTCTCGGTAACCCTAGTCTTAGATCTAAGCTCAAGTGCTTAGTCGAAAGTATATTTTTATATGTATACAAGATATCGATTATATTAAAAGGAAAATACATAACTTTGAGACTTCAGATACAACACTAATCCCCTTCATTGATGGCTCATCTCTGTGGGATTCCGACGGAATATACTGAGTTAATACTGCGCGGTGCACGAGAGATATGTAGCCGTCCATGAACTGAAAGACTGGTTAGAAACGATTTTCTAGCCCTCCCATGTAAATTAGCCATCACCGCGCGCGCATGACCACGTAGATCATCAGGTTGGAACTGTCGACCCATATCTTTAAAGAGAGAAAAAGAAAAAGGGACATAATCTAGAAATAGAGAGAAAAAGAAACAGAAAAACAGAAAGAGAGGGACATATAAAGACAGAGGGGAGAGAAGAAGGAATAAAAGGGTTCTGGTGCGTCAATCGATCAATTGACCTCGGATAGGTTTTAAGTCAACTCCAGGAAGCTTAAGTCGGTGTTATAAGAAGATAGTCTAAAAAGATAGTCTTTCCCAAATGTGTAAATTTTTATGAGTTTTCTTCGTTTGTGTCGAAATTTCGGAGGCTAGCTAGCTAGCAATGCTACATGTAGCTACAGTTTATTGCCAACAGCCATTGGGAGGGGATACGAGACGATTTATATATTACTTTAGCAAATAAAAATCAAGCAATCAAAGTCAGTCTCGTATTAGGTATGCCACCTATAGCGCCCGGTCACAGGGCTAGCAGCTTGGCGTTCCTGCATCAAATATCAATTGCAAACACCCTAGATACCAATTAGGATGTACTCAATGACATGTAATCCAAGGCGTATAGTAGCATTCTCCTAAGTTAGCGATGTCCGAACATAATTACAGTAACCAAAGCCTTCGAAGGATATTCAAATCTTAATCTAGCGAAGGGTATATACCCAAGGAAGGACGGCCCATAAATGCAATGCTGGCATGCAGTATAGCGTACGTATCCCGAGGCGATCTCACCCGTGAGTACCTGGAACATGCAGCTGCAACTGCACGGGCCTAGAAAAGATATTTGCGTTCTTGCATATCGACCCAACCTGCTTTCAATTGCTATTATTTGCTTTTGAGTTTATACGCTAGATCAAAGAGTTTCCCAGAAGGGTGCATTGCATCCCGTGCTGCGCGAATCCTTGAAGCAACACAAAAATCTAGGATGCTCCGATTCAAATCCTAGCACAAAGTTTAGGACTGGAGGATCTCGGGCTGGCTAAGATACATAATAGTTCCAATCGGTCACCTGCGCATCTGATGAAGCTATAGCAGGTCAAAACCTCACGAAAATTTAAAAGACGAAATAAACCCTGTTCCTGTTCCTATTCCTAGTCCTACGTAACTCCGTAACTCCGATTTTGTCACACGCCAAGAATTCAGGATCCTAGATGATGCAATCCAATTGACTCGCGGTATCTTGCGTATAAACACATTTGCAGGCGAGCTATGATCATATGATATCGTTGAAGTTGTGCGATTCATTGGTTTTTTACTGTGGACCTACAGTATGCACAACGATAATAATTACCGTGATCGAGCAATCTTGCCTAAAGCCTACAGCTAGATTATCTGCAACTGCAGTGATATATAGCTCTACTAGTATACTTGACATGGTTCTGCGCAACCGAATGTCCGTTAAACAACTCATGATTGCGTGTGTATTTTACCTGTATATCTATAGATGGCGGGGGTACCATATTTTTTTTTTTTTTTTTACCATGAGTATTCTCGAAAATCCTGGATCCTGCAAAGATCCTAATCCGTTTTAGTACGGCCGCATGCATATGGTATGCACTTCGATCACTGGCCGGGACTAAAACCGTTGGAATGTCACATTATATGATGGGGGCATACGGTGACAGGTTCAGCAGAGCTGATGTTCGAGGTTTTACGGTGTAGACATTGGTAAATTCGAAAACTATAGCCGCCGTAATCTAAAATCTGACTAGGGCACCCGTGGGGTTTCCTGTCCGATTTCGACCATATTATTCGGAGCTAGCTAGCTATAGCCCTGCTCTCTCATACCAGCTTAGGCTCCGGATATTTTGGCCTAGACCGATGGAAAGTTTACTCACATATATATATCTCATACACTTACACCGCAAATATATTCTCGTCGGTCGTAAGGATTGATTGTAACATGCTAGCGTAGGGATATGTATGAGTCCTTTGATCAATATCACTTGAGAGTCGGGCGGCCTTAAACGCCACTATCAATATCGAGAGTTACCAGCTCTTCGTTCTTGTGGTTTAGGATAGCGGATACTATCTTGGAGAGGGGGTAACACGTACGGCGCTTTTAGGGCACGATACAGGAATTAGGCTTGTGAAAGTGGCGTGCTCTTATAATTATAGAAGCTATGAAAATGATATATAGAGGGCTATATTACGAGAGTAAAGGCCCAAAATATAGGCTCATCGGCTCTTTAAGCAGCCTTGCGGTTCTGGCGACTTTTCGAGTTGCTGCAAGCGTAATATAGCATAACTAATGCTAATCTATGACCGGAAGAATGGGGTGCGTGAGGTGAGCAGGTTCTATAAATCCTGCCTTTCCCGCGAGCCCTTCGAAAATTTAGTTGTTATTCTAGCCTGCTATGGGCCAGGATGTGCTACGATTGGTTGTAGCCTGCATGGGCTAGAACGTGGTGAGTCCGCAACTAACGTGCCGTTCGAGCTCTCGACAAGCGGTGGATGTTCTGGTTTCGAGACTAAGCCGTGGACGGCAATAGCGGTATCAATAAAAAAAGAAACAAAACTTAGGATGCATGTACATTTAATTCATTTCACGAAATTGAGTTTGCTTTTTGTGGGGACGTATAAAAGGCATTATCCTTTGACAACTTCACCCGCGATTTCCAGGATTACTTTAATTTCTGAGATTCGGGTGATTTGACAGTTATGCTTAATAAAGGAAATGTATAGTACTACAGCCCAATAGGCTACTTTTCTTAGGTTGGCCGGTACTGGATATTCTTTTATCTCCTTAAATAGATACTTTCTAGACAACAGGTATTCTAAACTTAAAGATATTGGTGATGATGCGAAAGAGAGGGATGATTCATAAGATGCTAGCTTCACAATTTAATTTTACCAAAATATGATCGCCGTCGCGTTAATTGATAACTTCAACTAAATTTTGGAAAAGTATCAATCTTTGGGGACTTCCTCGTGACCAGTATCTCACTAACATCGATGTTTCTTAAAATGGCTTATTAATCTGACCTTTCGAGCAAATGACCTCTATTTTCGGGAAACATGGTAATATGTCAACCTGAAAATCACTTGATAGTGTTCTTGAGATCAGGCTGGGCTATCAATATCTAAAGCTCGAAAACGGTGGGTGTAATACCGTTTGATTGAGGTCGACATGAGCGGTGCCCTATCGCTAAGATCTTGTATTATATTACAATTCTAGGTATGATATATTTTTGACTCTGGTATGTATTCTTAAATCTTCCGTGGGATCGATCGGCAAAGCTTTAATGTGCCTGGGATTATACGAGATCTCGAGATCAGATTGATCCCTCATGTGGGACTTCTGAATTCATGAAGGGGCACCTTTCAATGACACCACGCGATCGTTCTCGCTGACACAAAGACCTAGATTTTCTTCAACTACAGCACTGTCCAAAAATCTTTAAGGCCATTTAATTTCCCTGCTCGGTTAGCAGTAGATCTCATCCTATCAGGCTATATATAGTCTCGTATTCGAATATTCGTATTTATCGCTTTAGCAGAAGAGGGTTAGGGACACATGTGCGATGCGTGAAACTAGGACTAGTGGTTGTAGCAAATTAATTACTAAGCCGCTGTCTAAAAACTTTTGTCAAGTTCCCAAATAAACATTTCATGACCTAGTATACGTAGTATATACTATTTCAGCTTTATTTTTCACAAACAAACTTACTCTTTTAATCATCACACAAGTATCTTTCATGCTAAAACAGTAGGTTGCCAACAGTACCGCATAATATAATACGTCTTCTGCTGCAGGGCGCCAGGGCGTGAGCAATTGCAAGCGTGGGGCCCTAGGGGTAAATGTATGTGTGTCGCAGGACATCGTATAGCTCCGTTTTCCTCGCCTGGAGACGAGACGCAGCCATTTTCCAACATTAACAACACATATGGTTAGCAGGCTCGTGATACAAAGTTATTGCAACATGGCAACGCAGTGGAGAATGCCGATCCTGTAACACAAAGCCTAACGAGCATCCTGGTCTTGTACCCACATCAAAGTGTTGCCACTTTAGTAATAGAATCCCAGTCTAGTTACGTACGTCTGTACTATAGAAGCATCCCATTAAAATGCAAGCAAGGAGACATCAAGACCCTGCCTTTTACTGTCCATTTGAGGCTGTACTGCCGTTTCCTTGCCTGATACCTCTCTCAGGAGATCTCATTAATCCGTTTCACAGGAAGAGTCTTGGGAATAAAAGCGAGGGACTTCATGACTACTTACGAGAGTTAATATGGTATATAACATGAACATTTTCTCAAGAGCTATAAATGTGTAATTAAAGCTATATTACAAATTAATCCCGCAATAGAATCCCAAAACCGACCCAAAACTTCAAAAAGGCCGATGTGGCAGAATGTAAAACCGTACAACTGACTTAGAGGCGTGTTCCCTCAATTTCACCTCTGGCAAGGTGGTCGATCCCATATTATAAGCTGATGGGCTTTTGTTACTGGATCAGTGCCTGGGTGATAAGCCAGCGACAAGATAAGTGACTAATATGACAGAGCTATCTTGCATTAGCCTCGAATCCGATCTGCCAATACATTGATGCCTGTTGGCCGCCTTTGTAATGCCAGAACTACTAACTAGTTTCAGATGTAGGAATCATTTAATCTTGAAGCCAGACGCCGGGTCAGCCACCAAAACAGGAAACACTAAATAACCCCAAAAAACGTTTTAAGCTAAGTCACATTGAGCCTAGACTAGCCGCCAAGGCAGAGGAAAGCATGGCTGGTCGGCCAAGATAGTTAGCTGAGAATTGTAGAGCCAAAATTTTCTTTCTAGTCAGGCATCCATAGTTGTCCTTTCTGGCTTGGACGGCATATGTATACGTAGCTTGCAAACTTTGTGTGTGCCTTCTTTTTCGCTCTACCCGAATTGGAAGCTATTTTCTACTAGTTTTGTTTTACACTGTTAAGAATACTCTACATATACATTTGCTAGATGTCGCACAGAGTCGGGCTGTAGCGGTAGCATTAGTTCTAGTTTACGAGATAAGGTCGTGGACATCAACATGTGGATATTATCCAATTAATCTACAATAGGGCTTTCGAAAGAGCTCAAAACAGAGGTAGTCTTAAAGGCCGGCGAGTATTCGAATCCAGGCGTGGTACCTAGGTCATTTATTATACTTCCTAGAGAAAAAGAGACCTAAATTCTTTGACTTATTCTTCAATACGAACGTTTGGTAATATGAATTGTAGTTTTAAGAAAATCTCTATGAGGTTGTGAAGATATCATATGGGTCTAATCGTTCACAATTCTAGACGACTATTAATGTGCTATCGTTTCACATAAAACTCACCCTAATAGGAACAACCACAAAAAAGAAGGACAGAAGAGTGAAAAATATTAAATGAAGCTAGCGAGGGAAAGGGAAATCAAGGCAGTAACCGACACTATTTTGTTTTTATCTCCAAAAATTTAGGGGAAGAAACTTTTTAGAGCTGTCATATGTGAAAGGAATTGGAATAGGACATCAAGTAAAACTTATTTTATATCAACTAAAATGTAAAAGGGGATAGTTGGATAAATATTTAGATATTGGGACGCCTTTAGGTTGTCTTTTGCGTGTATGGGGCCCAAACGTCAGCTTCGGATAAATGCACACAATGAAACCCTTTTGCTTTGCAGGCCCTATGTCCCTTAGACAATTTCTGTCAGTCCAAATGATGAAAATTCCACAACTCCCAGAATATGAGAAAGGGATCGCAAAAACATTTAAAGGCTTAAATAGCAGGGCAAATATTGCTCCTAGCTAGACCTAGGAACCTGACTATCGTTTTCATCCTTTTTCTGCTTTGTGCAAGGACCAATTTTGTGTAGCATGTGACCCAGGCTACCGAATACGTAGCATAAAAGGTTTGGACCGGGGATTAAAGCTAGGAAAAGAGCTATTAGAAACATCCAGTTCTAGACGAATACACGCCGAGGTTGCTATTACCACGAGATTAGATGGCTGTATGGCTGCTAAGAATTATGTTTATAGAGATTCACGTATTGCCTAATCTCGTAGCGCTAATCGGTTGACAGGAGCCTCGAATCAGCTTCAAGTTATCATCTGGCATCAGACTTGAATACGCAAGCCCGGCAGAACCGATGCCTAGAAAGATTTATGATAGTTCAAGGCAAAGAGCGCACGGTCTGACTTTAGCTATTTAAATATTGCGACGCTGCTGTATACATGAGCATATTCCCGTGCTAGGACATAGCCCGCTAGTCCGTTAGGGCTTGAATTAATTCAGTTAAGATGCTACTTTTCAAGGGTCGACTGACAACGCCTTAGTTTGTCCGGGAGAAAGCAGTGTGTCGAGATAGGAACGTATACATACATACATAGGATCTGTTTGCTACGAGTCGTAGCTTAGAGCCAATAGTGTAATTCAATCGACAAGCTCTTAAGTTCCCTATCTAGAGAACGATAGTCAATCTAATACTAGCCTTCTTTTGGTATGAAATAAGTGTCTATTCGGTGTTTGGGTTTCATTCCGTTCCGCGAACTTTGTACAACTAGAGCTTAGATATCGATATATTCTTCAAATTTTGTTAAGCTACAATTTGGGTCCCGTGTTGGCTTTAGGACATTTCGTGTGGTTTGTTGCAAATTGAGAACACCGAGATTCGATTCATTGTCGATCGATTCCTGCTCAAGCTGTTGGTTTTGTGTAACATCGGTGGTAGGATGACTTACTAGCGCTAGCTTAGCACTGTGCTTACAAGGGCATCGTGAAGTGCCTTGAATATACCCAATTTGACAGATTGAAATCTAGGATCGACACTAGTCTCGTTCTTAGGACAAACAGATAAAACTTATTCCCATTGATTATTGTTATAACGTTATCCCCTCGTTAAATAAAAACCGTTGGTCTGCAGTGAGCACGTGAGCTGAGTCTCGTGCTGAGACCAGTCATAAGTGTTGCCCTTATGCAATGAACATGGCATGGCCGAATTCGAATGGTCTCGTCGCCAAAATATGTGGGCGCTAAGCCTGGCCAGGCCTTTAGGTGATTGTAAATAATTTGAATTCAGCCTGAAAGATTTTCAAGTCTTCGTAGTTAGATAGCCAAGAGTACGCCAATTAGATTTGTAAGGTCGCCAGAAAAGGAAATAATGTGCAGATAAACATAGTTTCCTGACACCAGATGAGATTGTAGAGGTAGAAGCAGGAATGATCAGGGTCTATTGAAGACATAGATAGTTCAAAAACAGGATCTAGGTACTATAAGATTTGCGCCTAAATTTGTATTTTGGCGAGGATACCAGGTTTTCGTGCGTAAATATCCAGAATCAGCTAGCTCTGTCGGTAGGTGTATCCATATATATGTATTTCTCGGTATATATGACGCTAGATAGTTGGTTGCTAAAACCACGTCACAAACCCTCAAAAAAAAGCCTCATATGTCTCAAAGTTCTGAGCCTTTTGGTTCACAATAGCCTCGTCATCAAGTATCACAGGAATGACTTCACACCGTAGATCAGTAGCTATTATATTAAAATACAGATCTGTACGAGAGGAGTGAGTTGATGGACTTGTTGGGGCAGTTTCGGAAAGGATATTTCTGCTCCCCTTGGAAATTCATGTTGCTCTTGATTCAAATAATGATCAGCGAGAACGATGGGATAGCTGGATCTGTCGGGGGGTATTGTATTCACGGAGGCACCGCCCATAGATGCCTGTAGACTTATAAGCTTTAGGTAACTATAATAACTCTTTTCATATGATCATATATCGGATTCATAAAGTCCTAAACTCGGAATGTCACTCAATTTCTACTCACTAACAATCGCGTCATCAACTCTGTGAGAAAGAGAAAAAAACAAGAATAAAAGGAAAAAAGGGCGCAGGAAGATTTGAAAGAGCGAGTGCGAAAGGGGAGAAGAAGAAAAAGAATAGACAAGGCTGGAGAAAAGAAAAATAAGGAGGAAGAGCACAATCACCCCAACCGCCGCCGAAACCTTATACGTAGGCTATGCAGAATCAATCTTCGGATTTATAATTATCGGGCCTGTAAGCAGAAGCTAGCATTTCCCTAAGGATCCATTGATATTGGTGATTCTCAGCCCTAAGTCTTTCGTTTTCGGCTTTTATAGCGCCTTTGGACTGTGCACGCGGGTTACCAGCAAGATTTGCTTTAGACTGGAGAGAGGGAACCTGGGAGAGAATGGCACCTCCCATCAGTGTGGAGGACAAGAAATGTAATAAGTTGGAGCCATTGCCCTGAAATTGATCGAAAGAGATCGTTCCCTTATCATTATTTGCAGCCGTATGAGAGAGAGGAGAGGCTCCTACGGATAACGACTGTGGTCGCCGCTCGAATGCCCTGGCTTGTGCATTCTTAGCGTTGTAGTGGCGCTTTGACCGCCGGCCTGTGCTTGCGGAGGAAGAATCGGGTAACTGTGATGAAGCGCGGGGCCGTTTCTTTACGGTAGTCTCAGGGCTACAGTACTTCTGATGGCCAGCGAGATTGTCATATCTTGCGGCTCGGTATGTACAACCAGGCTTAGTGCATGGATATGCTCTCATTCCATGGACATCTCTAATATGATCACCAAGAACCTTTTCGCTGGTGAATTTCATGTCGCAGTCAAGCTTGGAAACATCTCGACAATGTTTTATTTTTGGCCTTTGGTTGACTGGCATCCGGGGACGCAGTTGCTTGTACGGGCCTATCGCCAACTTGCTTGGGACTGCCTCTTGCTGTTTCGGCTGCAGGCTTACACAACCAGCGGGCAAAGTATCCGCACCAGTGCCAAGGACGAGGTTTTTCTCCTCGCCAAACGTCTCAGTTTGGGGGCAGTCATTATTTTCTGTAAGCCGAATAAAAGTGGCGCCATCAAGAGCGCATAGAGGGTCTACTTAGCTTTTAGTATCAAAATTGTAATGCTAAGTGTGCATACATATATTTGGGGAAAACACGGATGTCCTACCATATTGTACACCAGGGATGGCGGCCTCAGCTTGAAAAATAGCTGCAGCAGACTCTATAGAGTTCGCTTCGTCGCCAAGCCCCGCGGCCTGGAGCTGCATATAGGCCGGTGATGAAAGGTCCATCATAGCCACGTCAAGGTCTGGTGAGGGGATTAGATCGAGATCTGGATCAATATCTAGGCGCGGAGAGCTTGAGGTAGCTGGAGGCCAAGATTCGCAAAATGATAAATTCATATAAGAATCCTCTCGAGAAAAATATTCGCTCTGATGGTCTGGGCAGATGACATTGCTGGATAGAGATTGGTTCTGACTTGGGGAGGCCTGACGCTCTGCTAATTGGTCTGTAGCCATGTCCTCCCCCGCGGAATGATCTAAAGATGTTGACACGCGATCGTAGAAACCTAGGTTCTTAGCAGCATAGATAGACTCTAGATGCAAATCTGAACGGTGGAGGGTGCGAGCGGATCCCATTTTCAGATATTTCGAACCTCAATTGAAGTTAACAACCAAGTAAAGAGTCTTGTCGAAACCGAAACGGGAGAGCAAACGTGAAACTACAAGAGAACTAGCACTCAACGCCTTCATAAAAAAATACACAGAATATAATATACATCGACAGCATTTATTATTCTGGAGCGAACTGGGTTGGTATTGAGTATAGGCCTAATCAGCAGTCCTATATAAGCAAAGCCAGTATACAGAATCCATGAATCCAGTGGGCATACTTGGATAGAAATCGCACATGTTTCTAAGAGCTGCGCTGCCACGTCGTCAATTTTAAGCTATTGATCGTACACATTGATACTGACCTCGCCTTTCAAATTTCCTAGCGAATAAACCGATACCTCCGTCAACTACGCCAATCAGGTGCTAGTCAGGCAATGTGCTTTGGAATAATTGCATGGACGGAACCCCCTTAGCAGAGCTACCTGAGCTGAGTATTAGTTGATAATCGGATTGATACCGTGATTAATGTGTTGAGCTCAGTGCCTGATGGTTTCCTAGCTTGTCCTAGTTAGGACGCCCAACCACAAGATCTTTCGCTTGGACCAGCGGTTGTATTAATACGTATTTGCATTGTCCAACTCATGCTTGCAGCCAGCGGGACATCAAGGCCATGATGGAATGAAGGTTTTGAGTGGAAAATGTTAAGATATAGGCTCTATCATAATATGACTAGAGATTTCATGAGTTAGCCGGATACACAACTGTGACGTTGGGGTGGAACAACCTAGATTTGAGACAACTATTAGCTAGGTTTCGCGTTCCTATGCAACAGGCCTCATATTGGCAAAAAAAAAGAAGAAAAAGAGAGGAAAATGTAGGAGAAGATAGAGACGGGGAAATCTCCAAAAATCGAAATATTATTAATGCTAATAAGAATTTAGACGAGGATAATGATATCAACTAACTCATTTAAGCCAAATATCCCTATCCTTGAAAGGCTCCAAGCTTCAGGCGGAAGGCGTGCTGAAGTCCGTTGGCAAGGTTTGGATTCCTCACTGATTCTGCAGCATGCCAAACTAGTGTGCGCTGCAAAATAAGTATATATTATCGTTATAAACGTGAGATACTTCTATGTATATTATCATATCAGTAAGTAGGCCGTAGAAGGTTGTGGAGAGGCCTGCAATTAAAGGATTGGAGACGAACCTGCATACGCGCATAAGCTTATTGGCAAGCTTGTCCGCACCGGTACCAGAATCCGAATCTTTTGAACAAACTCCGGGCGTAAATATGCAAAAGGTGCGCTAATAAGCCCTTCGTCAGACCTACTAACGCCGGAACTTTTCGTTGGAACCAAGGTGTTAATTTTTCTGATAGTCATTATGCTGTACGTCGCCAATACATATCCATGAATTCAGTACCCCATATAGATTGCCTGTATCAAAAGAAAATTTCGGACTGTTCAGAAGCGCCCAACTTTCCATATAACCCCCAAAAAACAAAAGTATATGGCAGCGCAGTGTATCGTCTTCTATCTGCACTATCCCTGACTTAGCTACTGTAAAAGTAAGACGTTGGGCGGTCAGCTGCTCAAATTTTCCGCTTACCTGTTTTTCGGGAATTTTTTTTTTTTTATGAAATGCCCTCGAATATATAAATTCTGGCGTAGATCATATGACTTGAAGCAATCAAAATCAGCAATTTTTTCACTTACAGTGTTTTGCGAGTTTATATGTCATAAACACGAATGGAATTCGGCTACTCTTAGGACTTGGGAATATTGATCGCGATCGCCCCGATTTATGGATTCCCAAACTCAGCGTTTGTAACCAGACTCTCAATTCAAAGGACCCTTATAGGACACAAAAGTGAAGAAATGAGATAGGCGGCTTTGAGGTTTCGCTCAGAAAATCAATTCCACACACAAAGCACGGGCGATATCTTAGTAATTGATATTGCGATGTCGTTATATATAGTTGAAAGTCGGTAGGTGGTTTCGCTTAATTGCGAACCATGGGCATGTATAATTGCCGGATGGAAAAGAGGTTGATTAATTGATCTGGAGTGGTCTCACGATTCAGCGCTAAACCTCAAGAGTTGAAACTGGAGCCATAGTTCCGATAAGTATATGTGATTATGGGACTAATTAGTCGGAAGAGTACTAACCGATATTAATTTATTATAGCCTCTAACTCTACAAATTTCTATCTCAAGCGTCCTCGCGTTACACGGACAGCTTCTCACTTGGTCTCACGTCTTGCAAAGATATTCGATTTCGTTTATATATCAGCCCCCGATAAATTTGAACAACGCTCATTTAACAAGTGTCATGATCCGATGGATTCTAATCCAGTTTGTCTGCCTATTTACGCCTTTCGACAGGCCTGGCATATGCCAAGTCGAAATGGAAGTCGAAAAAAACTAAACAAACTCTGTCCATAACACCAATTCATGTTTGACAGAGTTAGAGATTTCCGACTTAAATTTCATATCTTAATTAATGATGCTGGCGGAAGGATAGCCAGTACTACGTGCCCAGTTAAACTAGTGCTCGTGCACTGCCAGACAACTGAAAAAAGCAAAGTTTGTCGTGCAGCTAAGATAGCCTATCACCTATTGGCCCACGTCAGCGATCGAAAATCTTGACCTATTTTGTATGCATCGTTGTGGAAACCCACAGCTAGAGGTTACTTAGACTGGGGTTTCGAGGCTGGATTATTTCGTGTGCTCATATGATCAATATGTATCTTGCATGCGGTTGGTCAACGGAGCCTGACAACACGGGAGTATCTAGGACACAAAATCTAGATCTAGGTTGTCAGGATTTAGTTGAAATGGATTGGAAAGTTAAAACCTAATACCCGCGACCATGGGGATGAGTCAAGGAGCAGTGGTTAAAGCGTGTGCATATTTATATGGCTCGAGACAAACGTATCTCGCAATACGTAGCTCTATAAGGTTCTTGGCTGGATTTGACCTTCGAAGCCACATATATATATTTATATAGTTAGTCTTGTATTAAAACGCTAAGGGTTTGAAGCATTTTCGCAGTCTTCAAATCTAAAAAATTTATTTCCAGGTAGCGTTCTGAGTCCCCAAACCCGAAGATTGAATAGGAAGATCAAATACGAGCTAGTTCGCGGCTTTACCGTCTAGCGCTAGCTTTAAAAGTAGGTGCAAGAAATATGAGATTTGCAAGACCTTCTTTTAAGAGCTTTTACTGTGCTGTCGTATTCTATTTTTATAGCAGCTATTTATTCGGCCAACCACTTGAATTTGTAACATAAAACAACAACTTAAGTGCAAGTTTACGTATCCCTACAGAGTAAATTTAGGCGGAAAGAATTCTATCCTTTTTAGCTGGCATAGCTCAAAATATTAGTTATCGGCCGGCAAATACATGGATACTAGCCTGGTTTCATGTACGCATGATATAAATTATTGATTATTTTAAATAATAGCAGACAAGCTAGCGAGCGCTAGTAAGATATTGATGACGATAATGCCGATTGGGATTCGTCGTACGTCTAGTTACATAAACCTAAAGTTTGCGAACGCCAGGGAGTGACTCCCAGACTACCTAAAGTTGGGTCTAGGCTTTCCCCATATTTGCTTAGCTATGTTAGCTATAACATAGCGGGTGCTCGCGTGGCACTAACTGTACATACAGACATACATGCTGGCCCAGTAATGCAGACGTACGCATAATATACCAATAGACTTGGGTAGCAAAACTCTGTATTTAAACTATACCCGGTTTTGAGGCTAACATTCGATATGACTAGTATGTGTATCCCGACGGCTGACACCCTTAATCCTCAGCTGCGGGCTGAAGCATTTGATACAAAACCGGCCTACCGACCATCGCACCTGACCGGAAAATACGTATTTCGGTGAGATTTAGGTTCGACGTCTATGTAGGTGAAGTGTTGAAGGTTACGCAAATCCACACTAGTCTCGTTAACCTACACCAGTGTCCGACTGTTTACAGGAGGGATTCCTAATAAATAACCGAGCAAAACCGAAAATTTCACCTGAAAATTTAAAGGGGTAGCACAAAAATATAGTATTTTCACATGATGTAATTCAAAATCAAATCAAATAAACCAATCTTATAATTTATTACTATTATAGTATACTAAGCTCAAGTACAATCAATCAATCAATCAATCAATCAATCAATCAATCAATCAATCAATCAATCAATCAATCAATCAATCAATCAATCAATCAATCAATCACTAAACCGCCGACCAGAACGGTGCTCTGGGAACGAGAGTACAAGCAACCTTAATAATCACCCTCTAATTTGGAATTATGATTTAAAGATTTAGCAGTCGGGTTTAAGCGCCGCCGCAGGCCCTACAAGTAAAACGTTCAAAAGGATAGTGAATGCCAGACCGCTTTAGCAGAAGGGACTGAGAGAGAACATATATACGTATGTGGATGCACAAGGCTGGGATTTTGATGGGTTAGCTGAGCCGCTAACTAGCTGCCCCAAAGACTTTTTACCAAATTCTCAAATAAGCAGTCCATTGCCCTTCCGGGTACGAGACAATCCATTTCCTGTTTCAGCTTTTATTTTTTCATAAATAAATTTACTCCTTTAATCAATCTTTTTGTATAAAACAAACGTACTCTTTTAATTAAGATAGGAGTGTATCTTTTCTGCTAAAGCAGCCGCCTGCGAGGTGGTGTAGATGGGGAGTAGTATAGCGAAATGTAATGCTATGCTGTGGGGCACGAGCAAGGAGGGGAAATGCATGGCGCAAGAGTCGAGTCGACACCATATCAAGCACACGGTGCCACGTTGTCGTCGGTCATCTCTGCCCTGGTACGTGTTGTAGTCCGTGTTGTTGTATCCCTCTTAGCTTTGTGTAACAAAAGTGCATTCTTGGCTTGCTGACAAAGCCCAAATACAGTCTAATCTGATAAGATAATACACTGACGAGGCAACAGACTGGGTGGCGCCGTGGCGCCGGCAACCTGCAACCATGCATAATACGATACATGATATCGATTTGGTATATTACGGATATGCACATGCGCGTCATGCACGAGCAGGCATCGGGCATCTACACCAATAATTTGCATCGTGTGTATCACAAAGCCATTTTCTGGGAGTATGCATACATTAGTTTGGTGGAGCTCCCTAGATCTCAATATCCATCTCGAGGTTAACGTATAACGACTAATACAACGGTACGGGTGCTGTCTACCCCATTCGTGCATGTTGCCTTTGAAAATATATTTCACATAGTCTTGTTGATTTGACAGTTATATACTTTATCGATGTGTGCTGATGTAGTTTGTGTAGGACTTAGAGCGTGCTGAGCCTCGCTCGCGGCATGGTATGGACCTCTGATGGGTCAATGATATATCGCGCTAGATATAGCGCATGGGATATCGGATAATGTGGCCAGCCGGCGTCTGGGACTAGCTGTTTGCCAACAAAAACAAGCTTAAAAATTCGTGCTACAATCTGTCCTCGGCACACAAATTTAATTTTAAATTTTTAGTTTAGTTGCCGCTGCCCAAAATATAGGCTATCAGTCTGTAGAAGGACATGGCCATGATAGACCTAAATACAGATGCGAATAATGTTAGCAACAATTATCTTGGGTAAATAGGCGAATGCGTTCTGAAACCAAGCATCGAAAGTTCCAGAGAGCATATGATCCCACAAGCGATTTTTCCTGATGAATCTCATATGTAGGGTGAGAGAAGTTTTGCAGGGAAGTATAAGTGAAAGAATTCTAACATCGGCCCGCGCCCAGATTTTCAATTTCCTATAAACGGTACTTTCCCTCGTGACCATGCTGCAGCCCTGCAGTAGATCGCTAGTAACGGAATTTCCTAACCTTAACCTATTCGTCAGAGTAGCGCCATGAAGCGCGTGTTCTAACCAAGTTTGATCACAGATACAATCTAATATTATCGATCCCTGGTCGGTATAAGGAGAGCGTTGTTTTCCGCATCTACTTGCCTATAGGGCAGTCTTGCGATCTTTTAGTTAACCGAAACGAGCTAACTCCAAAGGCAGGTTTTGTAGAGATATGACGGTTCCAAAGCCGGGCTACGCGCATATATTATGGCTAGGGGGAAACGTCAATCAGCAGAATGGCCCCTCCCTTGATATCTACTTTGATGAAGTAGACACCTTTAATAGTATAGATAGAAGTTCTCTCCCGACCTGGCTCTCATTTCCCCCCTAGATATCGATAGCCTTGTGAACTTCTGGATTGGATCTGAGACTCCACTCCATGTTCCCCCCGGACAGGCTTTTTACCTCTCGGAAAGATAGTTCTAATGCCTTGCTGTGTACCTGTGACCTGTACTCAGCGTAGCAAATAAAATCGGAACCAAGAAAGTAGGGTGTATCAAAGCTTCTCCTCATTTCTTAGCACCAGTTCAAGGTACGAAGCTCAATAGCCTTACGACTAACGAATCATGGATAACTTTCATAAAGTTATAAGGCTAGAGCAAATTTTGTAAGTCTGTTAAATGATATTGAAATTACTCGTAATCAACTAGGTCTATATGCAACACCCCATGCATGGCCTTAGCCTAGATCTGTCGGCTATTAACCCATTGACTTGGATACATACCATGTATGGTCATATGTCAGTATTTCATATAGATAACTATGTGGCTTGTTGTATACATTACGAGTGGTCCACAAATGGCATATAGTGAAATGAAGGGAACTTCCGTGTCTTCTGCGCAGGAACAGCGAATGCTAAGGGTTACATAGTGTAACCGATCCTAGAAATCGCGAGGGAACCATAGACAGAGTAGGTATGCGGGATCGAGCTCCCACAGTCTGCGGTAATACAGACCACCAACAACCAATCTATCCTACTGGCTTGGGTGTTCCTACCAGGAAACCAAGACTTTTAGGCCCGGACACATTTCGAGATATTCGGGTCTATTTGGGGCTTTAGGAAGTGTTTAAATGTTTCCGGGGCCGTTTTTAGGCAGTTGGAGGTTAAGGGCTGTATGAACCAACCAACCTTAAAATGACATTCCAGAGACTTAGCGCGAGTCGATACATGCATGTAAACGCGACTGCATCATTTCGTTCAGAAGTAGCATTCCCGTAAGCAAGCACAATCACCATAGGTGGGAAAGCAATTACGTATAACTATAGCCCTAAGTTAGCCTCGTATCTAGATAGTGTGCTTGCACTAAAAGAGTTTTAGCCCTAAATCTAGTTGACGAGATAAGGGCAACTAGTTTTTGAAACTAGTTTTGATATATATATTGGTGGTGGAAACGACTGGGACCTTTAAATTTAATCTTAGGGCGAAAAAATCTTGTATTAATTTGATTAGTCTATGAATCATGCGCATTGGATGTTCTGTTAGCTTAAGACACCGAAAGCACGCCCGTAGATCGTGGCGGCCGATTCGATTCAATCAGCAGCGTTATAACAGCCAGAAATTCTACCTAGTTCCGTTTGTGCACAAACCTAGCGCTCATCAAATATATTAAAATAATTGGTATTTTGCCTCGAATAAAAACTCTGGGAGTTGATTCTGTGGGTACTAAGCACACAGTAACTACTGGTCTAGTCGTTTCGTGAAACGAGCAAACTTGTATACATGTACCACAACTTAGATCCCGGTGGTAAGGTATGACGTGTAACACCTTGCATATCTTGATCAGGAATACAAGAAATCGCAATGCAATAATCCTTGGCATTCCTAGAAAAGCCGACAAAGTTAGGACGCGGACGCATATGGCCGCCCTTGTTTGTCCTGCAATACTGAACCTTGGATTGGTAAGAAAACTGTGGTTGAAAACAGGGAGTGGTTTTTCTTCTTCGGTTCGAGAGTGCACGTGTTCACTGAAGGCAATAGGCTACATGACGATGGGATGACATATGTACACGATACCGCCCGTGATAGGCTTTGAGGCTACCTCAACATAGCCTAGTTACTTTGCGCGTATATGCATCGATCATCAGTTTGCTATAAATTGAGCGCATACACGAGGGAGCAAACGGTTCCGTGGAAGCAACCGAGTACCTGAAGACTCGGCACGCCCCGACCTGGCATCTTTTTGAGGGTTCTATTCGAGCGAATCGGAATGTATTTTCAGTCGAGGATATCCGGATGGGGGTCACCTATTTTAGCCCCGGCACTGAACAACCGGCAACCACTTCAACAGCTAAGATTGATTTTCGCCAATCGAAATCCTCCCCCTTTTTTTTTTGTCCTTAGCCTGATCTTCGCTCCAGGGTTTCTAGCACGCGTCCCGGCGTCCCGCGGATCCCGAAGGATGTCGAGGGATCACTCCACTTATGGTGCAACAAGACTCAGCCTGAATAAGGTTAGTCATTTGCTAGGAGGTGGATTCGGAATGTTGCAGGCTAGCTTCTTAGGGAAGTATGCTAGTCTGTTGCATGTTACACATTCGACATGTAAATTCAACGTCAATCCTACCAAATCTTGTGTTGAGGTTGGCACCTTTTCTGTGTTGTCATGTTGTAATTTGAGATGGTGCCCCTTCTGCCTCGACGGCACCTGTTCGTGGGGTCCGGTAGGGCTTGTGGCCCTTTGATATATACCGGTAGCTTGACCTTTATATTAGCATTAATTTTGTTGTTTTTTCACGCTTTTTTTCTATAAAAATAAATAAAAAAAATACAAGTTTTCCTTTTGCAAATTTAGCTTTGATTATGAGTTGAACGACTGGTTAACCTGGGCCTGGGAGTCCTTAATTAACCACACTATACAGAGAGTACCAGGTCCTGCTCAACGGAGGATCATCCAAAAAAAAAAAAAAGATGAACTAATTGACCTTAAACACTTATAAAGGCTTCTCTTAATTCAATATATTTAGGCCTCTAGCTGCTAGATATTATCGATGTCATTTGACACCAAAATCTCCTCCCATGCAATACATGTACATACATGCACATTTGTGGCCAGAGTAGGCTCGATCCGTGGAATTATTGCAGTCAGTCGAGTCCCTTTAAGTTTGCTGACTTGTCGATTGCAAACATTAACTGAGTCACATGAAGGGAATACGCACTAAATCAGGTATAATTCATGAGTGAACAGATATTCGATGTCAAGTATCTCGCCGGAGATACTTGATGATTTGTGTTCCACTTTTATGCGCAGGTACTATTAATAGCTTTTCTAGAGACACGTCATCAAGCAAGAAAGTACAATTCTGGCATCGATGCATCAACACCTAGGCCTGCAAAGGGGTTTGCGTAGAGATAAGTGCGAGTGTAAGCAAACCAGTAGTGTCGATAGTCACCAAAGGTTTTCACGAAATCGAAAATAATAAACTTCAAAAGATCTAAGAGACTATTGTTGAACTATATATGCGATAGAACTATGTTAGTTACTATAATTACAAGTAATTCTACCTAATAGCTACAAATGATTGAGCGCCCCGTGCCCGCTACCTGTACATTACCAAACCTATCGCTAAAGAAAACTGGAGAGAGAAAGGGAAAATAAATGGGACGCCGTAATGCTCAAGCACGCCAAGCGCCATCTATGAAATACCTTCAGTGATTGCATTCACAATCGCGGGATTCGCGATAAGGTGCAAAAACTCTTCTGAAAAAGAAGGAGTATGTGTCGTTCTGACGCTTAAGGTGTGCAACTTCCCGCTTGAGATTCGCATTCTCGCGTTCAAAGCGTTCTAAAGCGTCCTTCAGACCTAGCTCATCGGTGGCCAAACTATCCGGCAGGGATGGGGCTTTTGGATCATCCACGGCCAGTGAGCTACCATTTCTCATCTTTAAGAAAGTCTGGACATCTAACAAGCTGGCTCCGCTACTCCTAAAGGTGGGTCGAGAGTCTGCTCTCATGGTAGCATTTGTACTTGCGGACTTATCAGGGGACGGTGGAATTTCTGAAGACTGTGGTTGTTGGGTCGGTGCTCCAGGGTTTAAATCTTTGATACTGCAACGTGGTCGCTTTTTAGGGGTTTTCTTAATAGTAGCCAAATTTAAAGCGGAAAGTCTTTTCTTGACCGCGGCCTCGGATTTGCAATTTTTTGCTCGGTGGGCTTGTGCGTTGTCATATCTTGAAGTCTCATGGTTGCAGCCCGCATAGGGACATTTATAAGCTTTAATTTTGTGAACTTCGTATATGTGGTAGCCGCGCATCTTTTCACTATTGAAAACCATATCGCAGCCTGAGTCACAAATATCCTTACAGACTTTTGGCGCAGGCTTCGACTTTGGCCGTGCTGTTCGATTAATAGCGATTGGGTTCGTACTCAATTCTCCCTGGGCGGGTGCACTCAAACTTCGTGGAGAGGATGATGAAGGGCCAGTGATGAGGGCCGGCGCGCAGCTTTGACCCTGTAGGTGGTGTTTATCGCTTCTTTGGATGGGAAACGAAAAACCCGGGTCTGGTGGCCCAGCAAGCTCATTGCCGAGCTTCTCAAAATTCGATAGTGAATCTAATCAATATTTAGTATACTGCCTTCAGATTTGAAGATCTGAACATCGGCACTTACCATAATCAATGAAGTCATGAAAAACGCCGTGATCTTCGTGTGCGTGCCGGTGTACGTGTGCTGGCGGTATCGATAGAAATGTGGAATTGATGGCATCTAGATCTTGTGGCGCAGCAGGGCTACTGATGCCTAACTGTTCTAGAATTTGAGACCAGTCGTAATCACTAATTGGCGAAAGAACTCCATCCCCCGAGAGATCTAAATTTGAAAGATTGAGACTGTGAGGCTGGCTTTGTCCATGATTTCGAACGCCGGCACCTCCCAGTCTAAGCAATGGCGAATCGAGATCCATGACATCGCACCCCAAGTTACTCGATGACTTTTCTAGATTACCAGAATTATCTGTGCGACAAATTAAATTGGAGGAGGGGGGGCATTCCGGTTCCATTGTGGAGATGTGACTTGATCGCGTGATACAGAATATGAATATCTCAATATTGATGCTCAAGCGCTTTCGACACGCAAAGATGATTTAATTTTAAGTGTAAAAAGAAACCGCTGAAAGAATTAAAGGCTCAGAGAAGAATTTCGGCTCCATACAAGATCAGTAACGAGGTGTGCAAGGCGTAGGCTAACTTGGTTATCCAAAGCGAATTAGATAGCCTAGGAAGGGGGCCCGCGGCCGCTACGGCTTTTAAATCAATAATTCCAACAACCCAGAGTTTCTGCATACAGACGGTTCAGTTGATAGATATTTGCAGTGCTATCCATATACTTAGTGTCCTAGCTCGTAACCTACCTAAGCAAATACTCAAGTATATCCCTGCTTGAGCTTCCGCCTGGGTTTGTATTCCTGACAACACATTTCCCCGGTCCTAGTTCGCTTATGATTGGTTTGACTAACGAAGGCCAAACAGCACGAAGCTAGTCCCTTTTCGGCACTAGCGGTAAAATCACCTGCCAGGCCTTCACAGGCCTAGGTCTCGCGGATCGGGCCCAGTCTATAAACCACATCATGACTATCACATGAGATAGACCCATATCTGATCTCGTCGTTTGCTTCGGATACTGAACCGTCGGGGCGGCTGTTTTTTTTTCGGAGGGAAGCGCTTAAGCCTACCATTTCCAAAAAATAGTATGAAAACTCGTAAATTGTTCGTAGCGCTACGGCTCTCCCCAAAAGGTACAAAATCCAATTTCTGACGGCTATAAAGAAGCCAAAGGCCCTCTAACAAACAGTCCAAAAAGCTCTTTGAAACTCCGAATGGTATCTTGAAATATGATTGAGCGGCTGCAAATTTAGTTTGATGTCTAGGAAAGTATCAAAGTTAGTAGTATTTCGTTGATGGCGACTAGCTGTTGCCGGACGAAATTTGGAAGTGGGAATACGGCTCTAATAAGCTGGTTAGTAATTACGAGACTGCTTCAAGAACCCAAAAATCGATCTAAACGTTTCGAATTCCTGAGTTAGCAGTGAAAGATTAATTGCGCAGAGACTTATAGAACGAGGAAACACAAAATAACTCTGTGTTCTCATAAGAAGCGGTATTTAAAATCTTACCAGTGGAAGATCCAGACGGTCGATCGAAGCATTATGGTTTGCAATGGGTGGGCGGTGCAATCTATCATGATGGGGAATCCACAATATTTGTAGGCAATTCGGCGTTTGCACGCAAATCAGCCGATTACAGGCCCGCATTAGATTAATCATGCAACACAATCCTAGAAATGAGCCAAGATCGCCTTGGCCTCGTTTAAGCTCGAATTATGGGCTATCGGATTCCATTTCTGTCGGTATGGCACTGGCGAATCATATGAAATTATGATCGATCGCGAGTTGCAATTGGTGCTCGCCAATTCCAACAACACAAAGGTGTAGGATCTGCCAACCGAATCCTGATCCTGAAGGCGCCAATCCAAATCCTGGTAGGACTACACGACCAGATCTCCCGTGGCTAATACGTCGCCACCCTCAATCATGCATATCTTATCCATATGACACTTCTAATCAAATTATCTACAAAGGCACATACAGTACGGCCGATTGTATACTTCCTCGAGTTTCTAGCATCAATCTACGAAACAATTGGCTGTATAAATGTAGTTCTTAGAACTGTTTTCTTTTTTTTTCTTTTCTTTTCCTTTTTTTTATGCACCCGCGCGCGATAAGTGGTAGATAATAGAAATACAAATGTCTCAACTATATACAGTTGTAGATAACATGAAAGCTTATGAGGTGTCCGTACTCATACCTTGACACATTCTAGCGCAAGGGTTGAATTGCACTGTGAACGCCGGCGGTCTGGAGTCGAGAGAACGTTTCCTTTTCAGATGCAACAATGTGTGTGACTTGGCATCGTGTGCCATGTGGCGCACTCGCACTGTATGATTTTGGTGGCAGTTCACGGCTATAGACTGACTGACCAAGCGTAGTGGCTAGTATGGTCTCCTATGTCCCGACAAATAAACAATTTCAAGTTTGAAAAAAGGTTGTTGACACTTTGTCTCGTCGCTAAGCTGCTCAGCTATGAATTGTATACGGGTATATGCTCCAACCAGAACTGATACAGAAATAAAAGTTGGTAGAGCTGCAATAATCCGGTAGATGGTATGGATATTTACATTTATATTTATAGTATGCTTCAATATACCGATAATGGGGTAACGTTACTGGGTGCTGACGAACTTAAGTATTCATGGTCCCCTCCGGCCGTATAAAAACCTTTTTCTCTCAGATCTAAAAGCCAAAACCCGAGACACCATAGCCACAGGCCCTCTTCATATATTATATGAATCAAAGAATGAAGTTTTATCACAGGCCTTTGGAGAACTATCTTAATAGTGCATCAGATTGTGGATTCTAAGGCAAAAACCAGCTCTTTTTAACTTTAAATTGAGCGATAATCCATTGAACTATACTATCGTTCGCGACATTTATATTGCAATGTCGTTGGGGTGGATCCGACCAATAGCACCGAGCCTCCGAGGAGAGCCGAGGTGTCCCGACGGATCCGGTTGTACGCAAGAAGTGCCTACGTTCAAGGGCGACCGTAGAAGCACACGGAAGGAAAATGATTGGGGGAATCCGACTTGGCGTGAAAACCTCATTTTTTCGAAGATTGGCACGGTTAGCATTATTGTTATTTTTGTAGATGCATGCGCTGCGTAACTACTTGCGAGTACCCAACTTAAACTTGTCATGGTAATACTTTTTAAGGAATACAAATCCATAGAATTCGGGATTCATTCGTAGCAAAGGTACCTCGAAAATCAAAATCACTTAATCGACACCGTTCCGCATCGATACTGCTACATCGGATACTATGCAGAATGGTTGAGATGGATCTTAGTCCGACTGGTAAAGTTAAGGGCAATAGTGCCTCTTTTGAAATAATAGTACAGGTATCTGCCTACTTATGTACAAATTTATATTTATACAAGCGGATCTTAACGCCAAAAGCAAGTGCGAGTAAAGGAAATATAAATATCTTTTCGCCGTCGGTATCGATATCGCGCCATGAGTGCCTTGATCTATAGTGTGTTGTTCATATTTTCCGCACCAAAAGAATAAACTAGAAGAGCGAAAGGGAAAAGAAAGAAGACAAAGGAAAATAAGGGGGGAAATCGGTAAGGGAGAGATAGGAGAAGTTTGTCTTCTACATGACAGCATCAGAAAAGAAAGAAATCGTGATAAAATAGGAAAATCAAAAGACGGAAAGACGCATTCATCTGTCCAAAAGCGACTGTGTCCATGCTCATGGCTATTTTACACAACTATATTTCCGGTTTTGTTTCAAGGCCTTCTTTTTCCAAGTTTTCAATTTATACCTGGTATCCTTCAGCTCGTCCATCAGCCCCGAAATCTCTTGCTTGTGTCCCAAAATCTCTTGCTTGTGTTCCAAAATCTCTTGCTTGTGTCTATCTTCATTTTCCTTCAGAACCCTAATTATTTGATGCAATGTAGCAATATCTTCAGCGGTTCCACCTCTTGCTTCGAAGCTGGTGGTTTCTGTAACCTGATGCTCAGCGCTGATTGATTGACCTAATAGGCTGATCTTCTCGCCGGGATAGGAGGGAAAGCTAACGGATTCATTAACCTCGTTGGCCAGTGTTTCTTGTGAGCTGGGGTAGAAAGAGGGGGAGTTACTCCCAGACCGGCGCTGGAGTGAGACCGGCGTAGACGCCATTGTGGATACTACAGAAAACATTTCTTTGGCAATTCCAGCAATTCGCTTCCGCTTCCGCTTCGAACATTGAGAGCTAGTGGATACATCAGACGAAGCTGAGAAGGCCCGAGGTCTCTTTCCATTTCCAATCTTTAATTTTTGTGTAATTTGGAGACCCCCTTCTGGGGGATGAGAATATCTGGGCCCCATGGGGTTGCATTTTCTTAAGTGGAGTTTTAGATTGTCATATCTTGCGCTTTGATGTTCGCATCCTTCGTTTGGGCATTCATAAGCCCTCTTGTTGTGGTCATCCCGCATGTGGTCTTCGAGTTTCCTCCTGTTTGTGAATTTCTTGGGGCAATCCACTTCAGAATATTCTTTGCAATTATATTCCCTGGTCTTCGACTCGTAAGGTAGTTTTCTGGGAGGGCTTATTGCCGGGGAGTTTAGAGCTGATACCTCAAGCGAGGGAGAGTCCGTATCCTGAACTATAAAGGGTGGATCTTGAAGAGAGGGCGAGCTGGAAGAGAGGTCTGGTCTTCGAGAAAGGGGACCGTTATCGGTGGTGAGTGCTTTATCGTCATTTGGGGCAGGTTGGAGAAGCGGTGAGGTAGGCTGCTTAGGATCGACCTCCTGAAGGGCTGCTGATGAACCTGCCTAATACTTAGCATATATGTCTATAGAATATTTATGCGTGCTGCTTGGCCGCTTGGTGCTGTAGTTGATTAATTGATGGTAGACGTAAGATCCTCTACATATACTTACATTCAGGATACTTCACGGGGATAGGGACTAAGTTGTCAAAGGCATATAAAAACGCCCCAGGTACGTCATGGTTGATGTCAGAGGGGAAAGCCCCGACCTCGACCTCGATCTCTCCCCAGCAAGCATCGACATCATCCATGCTAGTGAAGCTACTGAACATCGATGACGGCGACATTGGGGTTTGGGTCAAGGTAATTTCAGAATCAATGGATTGTTTCACTCCAACGTGTTTGTTGTAGATGGAAGGTAACGGGCAGCCTTGATCCATGTTTACAGCGAGGGCCATGACATGGGTTTCACGTGTTTGCCTGCGAGGGGTATGAAGATAGTATATGTATATAAGTAGATATGGATAAAGCTTTAAAGTACAACAGGATGGATTAAGGTAGATAAGTATGTATTGGTATGTTGTGAGGCAGGCTCGTATCGGTATACTAGATGGCTATCATATAGTGAAAGTATGATAAGAGAATGGGCTTAGAGGGTATGGGGATATGGGACAACTCCTTCCTTTATGTTCTTAAGTGGATGATTACCTAAGTTACACAGTGAATGGGGAGGCAGGTCTTCTGGTCGGAGTTTGAGTATGCCTTGATGGCTTACGGCCCCGTTTAGGGTGGACTATTGACTCGGACTTTGTCCTGAGGAGCCGTGTCCATCCTCCGTGTATCTAACCGACCTGGCCTGGATGGGCATGGGGTCGGAGAGCCTTGGAACTCCGACCCTTGGAGTGCATCTTAGGGTTCTTGGACTCGTCCTCCTAAGATAGGGCCTGGTCTGAGCCCGAAGATTATAAGAACCATTGGTAGCACTATTGTGCTTTTGCTGTCCTGGACCTTGCCTTAGACTGTGTGAAAAGAGGGGAGGAAGAAGAAGCGAGGAAGAAAGAATACTCGAAGAACGAGAAAATGCCAAGCAAACCGAAAAAGAAAGAGTGCGAGAACAGGAGCAACTGCGAAGACAGAACGCGAATGTTAAAAGGTCGTGAGTGGTCCACGAACAGATCGAAGTGGCCGTAAGTTGACCTAGGGCAGTTGAGGAGTCTGGCGACGAGATAAGGATAGCACGATAGTCCTCTACAAACTTGCGGCCAACGAGTGTCTGAAGCGACACAGTTTGGTTAGTTACGAGACTGATCTCGAGGTTAGTGCTATGCTAGTATAGCTGGCCACAACACAATTCTGGGGGAAAAGCCTAGATATATATATCTTTTGAAGAGTCACGTGATTGTGTGTTGCCCGATTTTTGGTCGACAAGGAAGTCGTTCTGCAGATTTGGTGGAGGAACGGACCCTGCAGGGTTTGAGCACCTAGGATTGTAGAATAGCTCCAACCGAGGAAAGGAACCCAAACTACAGTGGGGTGTAGAATTTTACCTGCACCCAATCCAGGATATCTTCAGGCGCAGGCGTCTTCTAAGGCTGAGTTTCTCCTGCGAAATGACCCCATTGACAAGAAGACCTCCTGTCTGCCTCGCGCAAGTCTACCAAGTTTTGATATCCTGTCTTGGCTAGTTAGGCGGTTCACAAGCTGAGGCTATGTCGCAGAACAGTTTGGGGACCCTAATTAGGAAGTAACAGGTCTACAGGCGGACAGCGGTTGTATCCTGGAAGATCGTCAAGGCTAAGCTATGCGGGTACGCATGCCTCCACGTTCTCAGAAAATATGTAATAGCGTCCGGCTTTGCAAAGTGTAATCCTCCGGCATTTTGACCTACAAGAATGTGGAAAGCAAGATCTGAACAGCCTTGGGATCCTCAATTTGACCAACCAAGCTATTTTATGGATGCAGGACTAACGTAACGTTACTAATGCATTTCGTAGATATTCCTCAAATCCGCATCAGCAAAATCAGAAAACAGGCGAGCCCTACAGTCGTATTTGTTCAAGGTGTAAATCCTGAGCCAGCGACACATTCCGATTAGACTAGTGGTTCCTTATGATCCTAGGGAAAATGAGGCTTCGCTAAAGCTGCAGGCAGAATTCAGAGCGCTCAGGACCAGAACCGGCACCGCACCCAGCTAACTTTCTAGAAACATTGAAAATCTCTTCAATGCAATCCTTCGATAACCAGTTGCAACGTTGGTCCTTTCGTGAGCTTATCGATGACTTCCTCCCCAGTCTCTGCTCCGTTTATCATGGGGCAGTGTTTGGGTCGTTTATAGTTTTTCTTCAATATTAGATGTCCCAATGGATCCTCCGGCTGGATCATAGACCCGAATCAAACTCTGACCATCATTATCGCCGCGCGTGTCAGGCTGACTGAGATAAACAAGAGACGCCGTTGTAGAGTTGATTGGTGGTGGAAGGCCAAGAGAAAGTCTTAAACCAGGTGTCCGTCAAAAATCCGAGGAAGCGCATATCGAAAAAAGGATGCTACCGCTTCCTTTGTAATATATGAGGACGGGACCAGACAGGACCTTATTTGGCGATCTTATGGATTATATCGATTAAATTGTGGGGAGAAGCCTTGTGCATGCCAGGTCTTCGGTGGGAAGTTTTAGCCTAAACTAACACAGGGACTGTGTTGAGCTGTGGTATTTATAGCATAGACGAGCTATTGAATTCACTAGCCACTGTACTCAATGGCGTGGCTGGTAATAGCCACAATATAAGTTCAACATTAATATTATGCTATGCGTATGCATCTGCATGCAAGTTAACATGCAAAATGCCACAATTGAAGTGAAAGATTCGTAGATCTTATATATGAAAATTCATCGAATCTCTAAAATAATCGACGATTCCGCGCGCGTGCCTACAGTACACGTCGCGTAGTCTCAGTAATCCACTCACGGGCTAACAACGCTAGAATGTCACTATATATTACTACTTAACACGACTCTCCCTTGAATGGCCAGCCTGTTAGATGACTAACCAACAAGTGGAACTACAAACGATATCTATAATAAGCTATATAAGGGAGTGCTATCGATAGTAGATAAGAAGTAATCAATCAAACTTGGAAGTCTTGACGAATTCGAAGACACGACGTAAGAAAAAAAAGGATGTCGAAACGATCTCAATGTCTACGGAGTTTAGTGATGGGTAGTTTTTTTTGTAAAAAAAAATTTCTATACTATCATACCTATATATATCCAGATATTTTTGGATGTACATGAGTAGTTCTATCTGCATGTATAGTATGGAAAAGACAAGACTCGAAGATGTAACAGGCGATATATGATCCTCCTATTACACCCCGCCTCCAAGTACCCCCGCATGCTATTCCACTCTAAACCTTTCACCCGCCCCTTTTCCTCATCCCGCCCCTTTCCAGGTCTGGGTTCGAGACGACCCCCCCTCCCCCTCCCCCCTTATTTTTCAGTTTTTTTTTCTTTTTTTTTTAACAAAAGGAGCGGAGATACAGGATGTGTACAGTAGTGAATGGTTAGAAACCCAAAATATCAATACAAAGAATGTAGAGAGCAAAGAAGCGCGTGCAGGCAGTGATCTATGCGAAATGAGACAAAATGATAGGTAATGCCGAAAACAAGTGCAAGAACATTCCGAAAAGGGTTAGAAAACCAACTTTTGTCGCTTCGTCGCTGGTGTTGATACGGCAAAAAGAGTTGAAGACATCAATCGCGATATGCATATACGCCATCAAACTCGTAGAACAAAAAGAAAATACAAAAGAAGGACAAGATAGTTATGATGATCTATTTGTTACAAAGTAAAAAAGAACGGTCATGTTTTATGGAGTGATAAGACGAAAAGAAAGCGTATACATGTGAAGATTGGATGTTGTTTGTTGAGGGATAGAATCTATGTCACGGGAGCTCTAATCAAATATTGAGATGGTGGAAAAAGGAGAGAAAATGTGAAGAAGAAGAAGAAGAAGAAGAAGAAGAAGCAGAAGAAGAAGAAGAAGAAGAAGAAGAAGAAGAAGAAGAAGAAGAAGAAGAAGAAGAAGAAGGAGGACGACGACGACGAGGACGAGGAGAACAAGGAAGAGAACGACGACGACGACGAGAGGTTGCTCTCAATCATCGGGTGTATGCGGAGCTGTCAGCAGTTGTTTAGTAAAACTGAAGCTACGGTTTTGTGCCCTCGCCTTATCCCTCCATGTGTCTGAATCAAATTGAGCATCCTCCAGGTTCTTTTGGAGCAGGCTTATTTCAAGCCTAGCATCATCGAGCTCCTTCTCTAGTCTCGCTATTTTGGCAACGGATGATTGCTCTGATAGACTAGGGTTTTCGATCCCAAGGGAAGGTGAACTGTCGATGTCCGATTCCGTGATATTGATGGTCCCTTGTGAGCTAGTACAAAGTATGGGCGGCTTAGCCATCGGCTCAAGTGGTAAGTCCACTGGTGTCGGTGTAGCTGGCAAGGGTTCGACATTCTGAGCATATCTTCGACGCTTCGACGCTGACTGTTCCGGATTATCGAGCATATCGTGGGGGGTCAAGGCATCCACAGTTCTTTTCTCGGCGGCTCTGGATTTGATTTTAAGGTCGCATCTTTTTATATGAGATAATAGATTGTCTTCTCTGGAGCACTTGTGTTGACATTTTTCAAAATTTGGGCACTCTAAGTATTTTTCAATCCCGTGCACCTCCTTCAAATGTCCCTCAAATACCTTCCGGTTTGTGAACTCTGTTTGAACACATGGACCAGTTGGAGCATTTTCGTGATCCGTACATTTATAAATCTTTCTGGGAGCTTTAGGAGCTTTAGGAGTCCTAGAGGCCTTGGATCTAAGAGTAAGTGGCTGCGTTGGAGTATCGGTGGCCAGTGAGCCCGGAGTCGACTGTTGGGTTCCAATCGAGTCCGTAGTAACAATAGTGGGCTTATTAACAGAAGTTATGGTTGTCTCATCCCCAGCGCTAGCCCCACCCAAAAAAAATCCCTGGGCGGAATTTATGGGTGGTTCTAAGTTGTGAGGAGTCTGTCTATAAGTATTTTCGGTCGCTGCTGTATAAGAAGTCGAACCAAACGGGAGAGGCTGCTCAGTAGTGGAGAGTAGGCCGCTTTCGAATTCATTAACTGGAACATCGATAGCTGGGATGTTCTGATCTGTGGCTAACGGTTCTGAGACGTCATTCAGCAGCCGTGTATGATACAATGGCGCGAGATGTTGGTGTGGATCTTGATTGGCAAGATTTGGGTATAATTACCTTGTTCAGAACTATTGATAGGTGGGAAATTCGAAAAAGATTGGTCGGTAAATAGACCCGAAGGACTCCAAGGCGCGTCTGTGTCGCTAGGGGAATTATAAGAGCTCGGAGGAAACTTGGATTGGACTTTATCGTTGATTTCGTAAGGGTTGTGGCTCAGGTCAAGATAAAGAATATCAGAGCTACTGTCGGACAAACAGGGATTATCATTTCTGACTAAAGCTTCTCGATTCTCCTCCATAGCAAAATCCGATTGTCGATAATTATGCATATTAAAGTAAGGGTATAAGATATATTAAAAGAGGGAGGTATTATAAGATTAAGTTGTTAAGTTGAGTTGAGTAGTGTTCAAAGGAGTGTAGCGGGGGTAAAACAATAAGGTTGTGAATAGCATATATTCGATAAGAGAGTGAAGATGTCGACTACGTGCAAGTAAGTACTTAAGCAAGTAAGTACCTACCTAAAGTACTTGCCGTAAGGGAAACTGAGGGTTTTCTGGGGCGGAAATTCCGTCTTAAGTTCGCTTTTTGGGCAATTAAGAGGTCTTAATTAACTGCTGGATAAAGCGTCTTAAGATCTAAAAGCGACTCCGAAAACCCATCAAAATCCCCGTCCGGAGGAAGTATAAGGTAAGTAGTTACTACTAAGTAGGTACTTAGCAAGTAGTAGTATACGGGAGGGTGTATTCAAGGAAGGAAAAAAACGAAGGTGGGCGGCGCCCAATGAACGGTATTTATATTTAAATATTTACAAAAGGGAGCAGCCTTGACATGGCTAGGTGTATATCTTTTAATTGTACAAAATCTTAATCCCATTCAAACCTAAACTATGCCCAAATCATTCACAGGCCGGATGGAAAGATCCCCATCCTTATAAGTAAAGGTCAAAACTGTGCAGCTGTGCCATGCCCAACCTTGAACGGCGCGGCCTTAAACTAGTGAGCAGGTCCGCTTGACCTAACAACACATGTCGGGCATTACCTGACCTAAGGAGGCATCCATCGAGGTAGCTAGGACAAAATTTCTGCCATCGATGTCGTGGTCTTCTTTTTCTGAAACGAAAAAAAGGGGAGCGATAAGAAGAGCTAAAGAATAACCCGCAGTGTGGTTCGGGCGTTCGAGGTCGAATCGAGGTAGTATACAGTACTCAGGAACAAGAACCCAAGAGGTTTGAGCTTGAGGCACGCTTAGATTTGGCTGGTAGAATGCAGTCTTTGTCGTTAGTCTTATAAGATACCAATATTGTATGTGCTGGTAGCAGGCTTAGGCTTTTTCATGGAAGTTAAGTCCAAGGTTCAGTATTTAGGCCAAGTTTGCGCAGGTCAGGCTAGGCCCATAGGCCGGTTTGATCAATCATATTGCGAGGAAAAACCTAAGCTTTCGACCCGGACGGAAAATTCGAAGCTAGAACGATTTAACCCCATAATCCTTGAATGATGTCACGATGCAAGAACCTTTCAAGGCAGAAAGTTTGGCTAATTGCCCGAGTAAATGGTCGTATACCTCGTTAGGAACCTAAAATACGATGTTCGCAAGGCTTTGGCTGTCATGAAAATGTGTACGCGCGTCTAGGTTTTTGTCACATCGATATGCTGCCTATAGAATGAGTGCTACCTTGGAAGAAGAACGAATCCACTGAGTTCTCAATTTTTTGATCCTTTGTCGAAATGGCGATTACATTACCCCAGTTTCAAATATTGCAGATACATCAGTATTATCGATCCCAAGGAAACCTCACTTTAAAGCAGGCTAGAGCTCATCTTTCGAGATCCCGGAGTGCGTTTAGGTCAAATAATTTGAACATAGGATTGGAACTCCCATCGTCTTTTTCTCTCTCTTGGTTTTTCTTTTTTTCCTTTTTTCATTTTTTTCATTTTTTTTCAGTTCTGTTTATTTTTCTTGCAGAAGGCTGTAGCACGCAGATCAAATGCAGGGGTTTGTTAGAACCCCAAGCTGGGCGCTTCTGTGGTCATGCGTATGCATACGACCACGAGTAACGATGAAAGGCGTCTAGACGTCTTCTGGAGGGGGGGGATTGCCCGGTTTTCAGAGGTCTAGGCATATATCAGTAGCTACTGAAACTTCTTCTGAAAGTTAAGGTCTCTGTCTAATGCCGAACTTGCATTCCTGGAATATTCCTATTGCATTGCCCTACTGTGTTGCGAATTTGACCTGATGATTGACGTCGCGGTCTTTGATCTAATGCCTACGGAATCTGACGATGTTATTTCAGTAATCCCGCGAGGCTACAACCAAGGCCTTATGAAAGAAGCTTCGAAGAGGGGTAACAAGCTTGACTAGTACCTTAAATTCTGGCTTTCAAAATGTATCTTCGAATCTGCATGGGGAATACGATAATGGTCAGCGATTCTGTAACATTTTAGTGCTCATGCATGTATCATCATTGATCATAGACTAGTCTTGGGTTAACGCTTAGTAATTCTGTGGCTTCAAAGAGAGGCTCTCATACGCATGCTCTCCAGCTGGCCCATTGTGAATCTCACATGAATTGGCGTTTGTCTTACGATGAAAAACTTTGTGGCTTTGTCGTCGACATCTCCGTGCAAGGCTGGTTTTGGAGCCGAAAACTTGAAGCCTCGGAATATTAAGCCGGATTAGTTTGCAAGCAGATGTTGTATTGTTGTTGTCGTGTGTTGTGCTATTTTTAATTATCACGTGACTAACTTAGTCATCAATATTGGTATCAGGGCAAATTGTAGGCGAGCACGATAAAAACACCATCATCGCGACGACACATCGTAATCACCATCACACGACCCATCGACTTCCATTTGGCCGTCGGTACACATCACCAATCCTTCTCATTTTGATCCTTGTGCGATCAGGAAGATCGTTGAAGTACTAATAATCTCCTTCAGGGGCGCCGTACCCGTCAGGTCGCGCGTCGACACAACCTCCCAATCATGTCGGATAGTAAGTTGACGACCACCCGCCTCCTGAATCAACGTATTGTTCTCTGCTAACTCTGGATAACCGTCATACAGGTGATTTCGACCAAGTTAAGCGTCTCCAGCAGGAGCGTAATGCTACGAAAATAGGTTCAAAGCGCGCTCTCGATGCCTCCACTCAGCGTAAAGATTTCTCAACCAAGGCTTCCCTTACAGACAACTTCGATAAAGATCTCTATGGCGACTCCAATGGCGATCGATATGAAGGTTACAGCCGGGAAGTCGTCGATGAGGATGAAGAAATGTCGGATGCTCAAGGGGGGCGTTTAGTCGGGCAGTATACCGCCACGAAAGAGATGATGAATGAATTTGTTCGTGATGACGAAGACCCGTTAGCTGGAAGAACAGAGGGCAGCAGAATCATGGATCGCGAGACAGATTACCAAAAACGACGGTTTAATCGAGGACCTCTTACACCAACTCGTGCTGATGCTTTCGCGAATAACCGACAAGACGGTGGCGAGGATGGAGGACGCAGCTACCGCGAAATTATGGCTGAAAACGATTTTGAACGTGAAAAGGCTCGAGTTATGAAAGCTATTGAAGATAAGCAGAGGGATGGCGAAGGAACCGATGCCGATGAACATCAAGCTACGCTTTCCAGCAAGGATGCCGACGCGAGTGCGGATAAGGAAAACGCCCCCGAAGGCAGACGGAGGAAGAGAAGGTGGGATGTCTCGACGACGGATTCTGCAAGTACAGCTACTGAGACTAAAGCAGAGGAACCCAAGAAACGTTCACGATGGGATGAGACGCCTGCGCCTGTTGCTCCTGGAGATGCTCCGAAGCGGTCGAGATGGGATCAAGCACCCTCTCTTGCTCAAGCTACTCCGGTTGGCAACCAGGGCCTTGTGACTCCGATGCACCCATCCTCAGCCCCGGCTGCCCCGGTCGTTCCATTCGGCGTCGACTATGGCCGCAATGCCCCACTCTCTGACGAAGAGCTCGATGCTATGCTTCCCAAGGAAGGCTACAAAATCCTCGAACCGCCAGCAGGGTATATGCCTATTCGTACCCCAGCCCGGAAGTTGCTAGCTACTCCAGCACCTATCGCTTCTGCTTCGGGTGTTGGTGGTTTCATGATGCAAGATCCTGAAAATGCTAAACTTTTAGGCAAGCAGCTTCCTACTGATATTCCTGGCGTCGGTGACCTCCAGTTTTTCAAACCAGAGGATATGGCCTATTTCGGAAAACTAGTCGAGGGTGGCGACGAGAATGCGATGTCAGTGGACGAACTCAAGGAGCGTAAAATCATGCGCCTCCTCCTCAAGGTCAAGAACGGAACGCCTCCCATGAGAAAGACTGCTCTACGTCAGTTAACCGACAATGCGCGAGCCTTCGGTGCTGGTCCCCTTTTCAACCAAATCCTCCCGCTTCTCATGGAACGTACTCTCGAAGATCAAGAACGCCATTTGCTAGTTAAGGTGATTGACCGTATCCTCTACAAACTCGACGATCTTGTCAGGCCTTATGTTCACAAGATCCTTGTCGTCATCGAACCCCTTCTCATCGACCAGGACTACTATGCTCGTGTTGAGGGACGGGAAATTATCAGTAATCTGTCTAAAGCAGCCGGGTTAGCCCATATGATTTCGACTATGAGGCCTGATATCGATCACGTTGATGAATATGTGCGGAACACTACTGCTAGAGCATTTGCGGTTGTTGCCTCGGCGCTTGGGATCCCAGCATTACTACCCTTCCTCAGGGCTGTGTGCAGGAGCAAGAAATCATGGCAGGCTCGCCACACGGGTGTCAAGATCGTTCAACAAATACCCATCCTTATGGGTTGTGCTATCTTGCCACATTTGAAGGGATTGGTTGACTGTATTGGACCAAATCTGGAAGACGAACAGGCCAAGGTTAGAACAGTTACATCACTTGCCATTGCAGCATTGGCGGAGGCTTCTCATCCGTATGGTATCGAGAGCTTTGACACCATCTTGAATCCTTTGTGGACTGGAGCCAGGAAGCAGAGAGGCAAAGGTCTTGCTGGTTTCTTGAAGGCTGTCGGATACATCATCCCTTTGATGGACGAAGAATATGCGAATTACTATACTGTGCAAGTAATGGAGATTTTGCTGAGAGAGTTCAACTCACCAGATGAAGAAATGAAGAAAGTTGTTCTCAAGGTTGTTTCACAGTGTGCCTCGACGGACGGTGTTACCGCAGCTTACTTGAAAGAAGAAGTCTTGCCTGAATTTTTCAAGTGTTTCTGGGTTAGAAGGATGGCACTGGATAAAAGGAACTATAGACAAGTTGTCGAGACCACGGTTGATGTTTCACAGAAAGTTGGAGTCTCTGAAATTATTGAACGTGTGGTAGACCACTTGAAAGACGAAAGCGAAGCGTACCGAAAGATGACGTTAGAGACAATTGAAAAAGTCATTGCGGCTTTGGGGGCGGCGGATATTGCAGAGAGGTTGGAGGAAAGGTTAATTGATGGTGTGCTCTACGCTTTCCAGGAACAGACAGTCGAGGATGTGGTTATGTTGAACGGTTTTGGAACCGTTGTCAATGCTCTTGGTACAAGATGCAAGCCTTACCTTCCACAGATCGTGTCAACAATCCTCTGGAGACTGAACAATAAATCCTCAACCGTTCGACAGCAGTCTGCTGATTTGATTAGTCGCATTGCGATGGTTATGAAGCAGTGCGGCGAAGACGCATTGATGGGAAAACTGGGTATTGTGCTCTACGAGTACCTCGGTGAAGAGTACCCGGAAGTTTTGGGATCTATCCTCGGCGCTCTACGTTCTATCGTTACGGTCGTGGGAATCAATTCGATGCAGCCGCCAATCAAGGATCTCCTACCACGTCTTACGCCAATTCTCCGAAATCGTCATGAGAAGGTCCAGGAGAACACTATCGATCTAGTCGGACGTATCGCAGACCGAGGACCAGAATTCGTATCCGCTCGAGAGTGGATGCGTATTTGTTTCGAATTGCTTGATATGTTGAAGGCGCACAAGAAGGGCATTCGCCGTGCGGCCAACAATACATTCGGTTTCATTGCCAAGGCTATCGGTCCACAGGATGTTCTCGCCACGCTACTCAACAACTTGAGGGTTCAAGAGCGTCAGTCTCGCGTTTGTACCGCCGTCGCCATTGGTATTGTTGCCGAAACCTGTGCGCCGTTTACCGTCCTTCCGGCTCTGATGAACGAATACAGAGTTCCGGAACTGAATGTACAGAATGGTGTTTTGAAGAGTTTGAGTTTCCTGTTCGAGTATATTGGAGAGATGGCGAAGGATTACGTTTATGCAGTGACACCACTCCTCGAGGATGCATTGATCGATCGTGATCAGGTGCACAGACAGACTGCAGCTAGCGTGGTCAAGCACGTGGCTTTAGGTGTGGTGGGACTCGGGTGTGAGGATGCAATGATGCACTTGTTGAATCTCTTGTATCCGAACTTGTTCGAGACATCGCCTCACGTTATCGATCGTATAATTGAAGCTATAGATGCGATTAGGATGGCGATTGGACCTGGATTAGTTATGAATTATGTATGGGCAGGATTATTCCACCCAGCGAGGAAGGTTAGGACACCATACTGTAAGTCCCCTCTTCGCCACTCACTATTAATTTTCGCAACAAACGCTAACTATCTTCGAAACAGGGCGACTATACAATAATGCGTATGTTCAGTCCGCCGACAGCATGGTTCCATTCTATCCCAACCTCGATGAAGAGAAGCTTCAGAGGCATGAACTTTACATTCTGGTCTAATGCAAGCAATTGCTCTTTACGTCTATCTTTTACAACTTTTTTTTTTTTTTTTTACGTCTTCCGTCCTTTCCCCTTCTGCTGTACACTTTTTCTCCCCCTGTTACCGGTTCGTAATACCTGCCTATCAAACCGACAAATACTCTGCGGTTAAAGGTGTTTACTTTGTTCTCAAAAAAATTGCTTTCCCTCCCCCTTCTTGCCAAATCCCCCCTAGCTCTTGCTGCGTTCATCACGCTTTATTATTATCGATATGCATTTCATGGAAAGAGACAAAAAAAGGCGACTCTGCATCTGTATTATTAGGATACGGCGGTGAGATGAATCTAATATTCAAATTTTGAGCATTAATTGATTAAGTGATGGTTAACAGCGGTATGCTGCTAACAACCAGAATTGGATTTCAAGTCCTATCCTCGTCATTATCCAAAGTAATTAAAAAAAAAACGCCGGAAGATAATCCAAGTACACCCCATGAATTCCCGAAAGGTGATCAGTCTCTCCGAGCACCTGTTACCCCGCTAAATTGGTGCATGGCTCAAAATCAAATGTGCATGTAACATTTTTTACTCATCAATCGTTATAAACAGCCCAAGAACTTGGCGCCATACGCATCCAATCTTGCGTTCTAAGTCCATCATAACACGGATCCCTAGCAAGAGCCAACCTATTGTTCGTCTCCTTTTCAATTCTTTGCTGCCACACCGAATGGTTTTTCGAAGAACGTAACTGACGAAACAAATTCCAATATACCCCCGTCAGGTAAACAACATCTTGAACACAATATTCTAAGATATCAGGTCGAACAGGTCTATCATGAAAAGCGCATATCCCATCTGACGGTGCCAAAAGAGTCTCGCCGATTTCTCTAAAACGCTTCCACCGATCCATCTGTGCTGGCGAAAGTACACGCGACTGATCTAGAGCGGTGTCTAGGCTTTTCAGGTATCTTCTATCACGTTGTTGAGTTAATGCGAGTTCTATTAATTGTAGATCGATGACGCCACGTAAATAGACATCGAATTTATTGAAGATTGCATCGTTGGCGTTTCGACAGTCGAACATGATTAGACAAATTTGGGGGTCTTCAAGGATTTTTTTCAGAGTTGTGTCCCTAAACGTTGAACCGGGTGTAATGAATGCTTCTACTCCCAATGTGTGGATATCTACTACATAAGTAATCCCTCTAGCTGAGAGGTAGATTGTAATCAGGGCGACCGTTCCATATCGAGAGAGTTTATAGCCTTTGACACCTAAGCAAATCGATGGTAGTTTTGGAACTCTTGCGGGGACATTACAGATGATATCCACGAGGTTGCCAACCTGGGAAGGCTGGCAGATCCAGAAGTGGGGTGTATATCCAACGTTATCAGGGAAGAAAGAAGCTTGAGTTGATGTTGTTGGACTGTTTGTGCTTCGTCCCGCTTCTGACTGCTGTGGTGATACTTCCATTGGGTTTGAAACACTGCCCGCAGATTTCTCATTGCCAGGGGTCGAAACAGTGGAGTTGGTGGTTTGAGCACTGGCTATGTTTTGAGTGTTGGCGGGGTGAGATGAGGCGGACGGCGAAGCGAGGGGTGGGCTCAAAATTCCGGGCGTTAGACCTGGCGGTGCATTTGCTATCGGTTGAACGGCTGGCTGGAGAGGGATAGTTTGGTGAACCGGGGTGACCGGTGTAAATGGTAGGTCAGGATCATCTTCCGGAGATTGCTGAAAGTGCGTGCTAGGTATGCTTGTGTCTAGGGGTGCTAGTTGCCTAAACTGCGGCCTATGGGCTGATGGCGGCCCGTAATACGGCGTACGCGTATATGGCGGTTGAGATTGAGTCCTAGATACGGGTGTATGACTGGATGGTGGCGTATGGTGTGGCACATATGACGGCGCAGATGCAGGCGCAAATGATGGGTTATGAATGGATGGAAGCCCTGAGTATGGTATCCGGTTGGATGGTGACTGACGTTGAGTCCCAAATGACGGCGAATCAGCTTGCCGAGGCTCAATTGGAGGTTGAGGTGGTGACATATCGTCGGATGGCTGCCCAGATGGTAGTTCAGGTGATTGCCAGCTGGGTGGGAGCCCGGAAGAGGGCCCTGATGGCGATATGTCATCGGATAGCTGACTAGAAGATAGTTCAGGTGAGAAACCCGGTGGGAGCCCAGGTGGAGGCCCGGAAAAAAGTCCATAGACGTCTGGGGGCCCAGATGACGTCCTCCTAATAGGCGACCCACATACTGGCCTATCTGGAGGGTCAGATGACGGCCTTTCGTAAGGTCGCGGTTCATATGGCTGTTCGGACAGTTGCTCAGAGTCTTGGTCAGACTGCTGCTCAGACTGCTGGCCGAATTCTGACTCGGACTGTTCTTCAGATGGCTGCTCGAATGGATGTAGTTGATCATTTGGCGATACTGGTTGTGCTGAAGACCGTATGGCGCCGGTACCCCCAGGTTCAAAAGCTGGAGCAGAGGGTCTGAGACCAGTAGGTGAGGCATCTGAAAACCGCTTACTCATCTTCTGATTAATGTTAAAGGAAGCTATGATGCATACAAATTCTTACTATTGGGATCGAATTCGGACAAAAAACTATCGCGATGTTGATCAGGAAAGGTAAGGTTCGCGGGGTCGATTTTAGTGAAGTTTAAGAACAAGATAAATAAGATAGAAGAAAATCTCCACTCTCCACTTAATGTTACTAACTCGGGCTCTCCGCGTGCATAGACTCTTTCGAAGTATATACCTCCTTTGTTCTTATGATTTCCCTAAAGATTGGCGGATCAGCTAATGAATTTGTTGGCTGTATATCATACTGAAATTGATAATATTTCCCATCCGTCACCTCGGCATTCGGCGGTCTCGTCGGTCTCGTAACCAAGTGTGTTGGGATCTCAAAATGCAACGAATGCTTCGCTCCACCTCAGATTGAACTAATGCCGTAGCTTGGGCAAGCCAGTAGTTGGATCTGTAGGGCATTTAATGCGCACTTCGTAAATGCTTTGCCGCGTGTAGGACCCCGCCCAAAGCCGCCCATCTAATGATGGTAAGGTTTGCTGAATTCATTAAGAGACTCAGCTGGCTTTAAATTCTGCCTTGGAATGATCACAACGCGAAGTATTGTTGCATTTCTAAGCCATTTCGATTGTGTTGTTCGTGATTCCCAAGGTTTCATTGGTTGCACCCGATATGGTTGTGTAACGTGGTCAGATCCTGGTCTCGAATCACTGCCTATAGCTCTAGAGCTATAGAGCTACTCCTTGCATGTATGGGGCTATACAGCCATGTAGTAGTTACGACGTACGACTTGCGCTTTTTAGCCAGGGTAGCCTAGCTGGAATATCCACCGCCCCCTGAAAGTTTGGCGATACTCGATTTTAATATTCAGCTAGAAGAAGCTTAACTTAAGGAGAAAACTGCAGGGAAGGCCTCGAGGATCCGGAACGTTCGAACGCGAACTAGATTCAAATTCAACATCAACTCCCTCAATTAATCAAGGCTAGAAATACGGGCTAATTCGAACCCCTTCAAATACTAACTCTGCGACGAACTGATTATTAAGTCAAGATTAAGCAAAATTATGATACAAATATAAGTAGATACAAACATCATATACAAAGTACAGATCTATTTACATGTCGAAAGATATATACATATAATTCGGTAAACGGGATTTCGGCTAACTCTCGTCAGGATCTAGACTGCATTGAGTCAAGCCAGATCGAAAGTTATGTTTCCTTAAACGACGGAAGTATATTTTTAATTTCCGCGGGAGCAAATACCGCTTGCGCCAGGAGGGGCATTGATTGGGGTCTTGCAAGTCCAGCCAAGTGGGCACTGAATCGCTGGGAAGACCGAATAGTTACAAATAGGGTCTTTCTTGACGCAAAATCCGCTTTGTCCGGGCATTGGGTTCGGCGGAAGTTGGCACTGGTAACCGTCTGGACAAAGGATTGGTGGCCAGACTGAACCGTTGCATTTTTGCTGTTCCTCAGGGACACAGGTTCCGCTTTGGCCGGGCATAGGGTTCGCAGGAAGCTTGCAATTATACCCAGCTGGGCATAGGAGTGGTGGGTTGATGGATCCGTTGCATTTTATTTCGGGGGGGCTGCTATCGCGGACACAGATGCCGCTTGCACCGGGGGGAGCGTTTTGGGGGAACTGGCATGTCCAACCAGGCTCGCACAGAAGCGGTGGGAATATGGACCCATTGCATTTTTTCGCCTGTTGTGAAAGCGTTATTGTTAGCTATAGAATTTTAAAACTGGCTTTGAACTTCCACAGGGGCCTGTAATCGGGAATATCTTACAGCTGGAACCGCGGCGACCAAGGCGCTTAAAGCGGCGAAGATAACAATTCCCTTCATTTTAGTCGCTTAGTTGGGCGGATCTAGTGGAATAAGTTGGAGGAGATAGTATGCAAAACTATAAGAAACGAAGCTTTTGAAGCCTTGAAGAAGAAAAGTATTTTGTTTTTTCAATTGATCGACAGTAGCCAAGGAGATGTGGACCTGGAAGAAATTCTGGGCAATCTAGAGCATCGCAAGTAATTTATACTGCTTGACTTCCGCCTCCACGAGGTATAGTGTATTTTTGCATTCATTCCTTATTCTCATATGATCTTCACGATTGCTGTCACAATAGTTGATTGTACTGTCTTGGATCGGGTGGCGGATACAATTGCAGAAGGAGAAAAGACGAAGTAACCTTCCTATCTATATGTATCCGCTCTATGGAACGATGGTATATCCGTTATAGGGAGCTCGAGAAACGGAGACTAAATTTGCCGCCGGGCTAACAATGCGACAGACGCCAGGATACTCTAACACAAAGCACAAATGCTAGATCCTAGACAAAGTTTATAGCATGGAGATCGTAATTGACTGATCCTGAGTTTCTCTGTAGCACCGATATCAAATTGGCTTAGTGTACTCGAGCACCTAATATAGGCTTGAGATTCCAGGTTTGTCCTGAGTTACGTTGAATACTAGCATATATAGCCGATACAGAGTATTTTCTGGTTCGAGAAACAAGGCTGGCTAAGCCTGGTTGCCAAAGCATGGATTTTTAAAATCTTCTATTCTTGGAAATACGAAATTCGATAGTCAGAATCGCAAAAGGAAGGCATTTGGTACCTATTAAACGGAGGTGTCAATTTCTCCGCGTGGGTCAACGCCAGCCATGAAGTGCGGCTGAAACGCAGTTAGGACATGTGAATCAACAAACTATGCTCGAGATTTTAGACCTATTCCCCATTTAAATCTCCGATTGAACCCCAGACCATGGCCACTGTCAAAATTTAGAGTTTTGGCTTGCAGGGACTAACTTAGCATCGGCTCTTAAGTCTCAGCGAAGCAATTCACGTGTATGTTGAATCGATAGCATATGCAGGGGGTACCCACTTCCCTATTCAGGCTCGGGAATCGAGTACTACATATGGCGGGCCGCACCGCACCTTCAGCTCGCCCATTTAATAGTTACTGCAGTCTAAGGAACACATCCCGAGCTGGCTTCTGAAAAGGACGACAAAGGTTCGAGTCGAAGGATGACTTTCTTGCTAATAGTATATGCTACGATGGGTCGATAGCGTATATACAAAAGAAGAAAAAGAAACATACACCTTCAGCTACCACCAGTTTCAAGGAAGGACGTATATCGCGCCTCGCTGTGAATCTCTTTCCGTGCCAGCCACTTGTGTTGCTTAATTGGTTGAAACTGCTGAACCAGTACCGGTCTGGCTAGATCTAGCCGACGAGACCAGTCCGGTCTAGTTCATTGGAGCAGCCTCGCAACTAGGCTTTCTTGTGTTAGGTCTCAACTCGCGACTATTCGATCATTATGAACCACTTCAGTAGCAGGAATGGTGATAGGTGATCCAGAATGCGTAAAGTGGCAGAAGACAGCTGTTGAAACAGCACCTTCTATGGATAACTAGCTAAAGTACAAAGTTTTAATTAATCCGTAAGTCTTAACAAGAAAGGGCTAGAATGTTCTAAAAAGAATCGTCTCGACATGAAGTGATCTTCTGGCCTCCGTATAGTCATTTATCTCCCGTCGTAAATGTCGGTAAATCAGGTCGTATCAGTGTTCATTGTGCTCTGGTTAGAAAGTTCTAAGCAGAGTTTCTATTTCACCTCCCTTTTTCTTCCTTTAGATATCCACCTTTAGGACTTTAATTTTGCAGTTGTGAGGGTACTTCGTGGTACTCTGGACTATCCCCAAGGATTAACAAGGCTCCTTCCGATATCCAAAGGTGCAGCCCAAAGCTGGCTCATGGTGAAAAGTGTGAAGATGATGGCGAGTTTTCGGGGCCCAAGGCTCGGGAAAACAAGGTTCCCCAAACCAAGGATGGTGGCAACGATAGCATTGATGAGGAGGAATTCCCTCGTTGGCTCGCTGAAATCTTCCGGCCATATCTTGAACTGAACCGCTTTCATCAAAATAGTGCTCCCAAGTACCGTAGTAAAAATAGCGAACAAAAACTCTCGCAATCTAATTTCTCGAGGATCCATGATGTCCGGACTAGTTCTAGCTCCCGAATATACAGGAAGTCTTGAGGAGATAAGGAGGCGTTGACGCGTTTTATAGCGTAGTTTCTGGAACTTCACTAGATATATTATATGCACGATGTTAGTATATCTATCGCCACAGTTACTTATAATAATATCACGAAAATGATAAAATACCAATACCATACAGGATTTACACCTGAAAAGTCTTTGTAGGATCTCTGAAGGGCCAGATTGAAAATTTTATCTGATTGATAAAGTTGATGGAGCTGAGGGCTGACTAGGAGGTATTGACATGTATATCGGATCTCGGGCGAGTTTTCTGGACAAAGTTTGGCGGTTAAAGTTCATTCGCTTTTACGAGATTCTACGAGTCTATGACTCCGATACAATTATCCGCCTCCGAGCAATTATTGACGGGATCAGTATATATATTGGAGTGTGATGTAGCCTCTAGACATCAAAGGCTTATGATTGTTTCAGGGTTTACCGTTGTACTTGCTGAAACAAGTTTAACGAGCTAAAGACTTAATTATGCATGGACAAACTGGACTATGCATCTGCTAAACCTCGAATCTCTAACACTTAAACATTTTTAATTCGACGGCTGGCTGTACACGACAACTAGACTGGATAGGAACATATCTCACCAATTACCTAAAAAAACCTCTCTAGGAAGCTCGGGATGCAACAATCAAATGATTTTAAAGCTTCGACATCTACACCCATCACGGGGAACAACCGTCGCTTACAAAGGACGAGGCCCGTGACTGGCCGCCGCATTCTAGCCTCAAGCTCTCAACCCAATGAACCCTCGACCTGGAGAAGACTAAAATATTTCCTAGCTGGAATTCCTCAGAAAATAAGATCTATTATCTTAGATATCTTTATAAAGAGGCAGGGTTTAAGTACTAGTGTTTCAAATGAGGTCGTCCCCCGAACACCCCAAATATTTGAAACTACCACAACCAAGTCTCCTTGGAACCTTCAATCTACAGCCCCTACGATCACCCGGCGACAAGCGATCGGTAGGTTTTACATTCTACATTGCCTTGTATCCGCAAAAATACCATTTGTAGTCTGGGGATTGGAAGCACTGGCCTGTAACTTCGTCCCCACTCACTTTCGCGATCCCTTAGAAATTCTCGTTCCTCGGGAATACTTAAACGAAGCCGCTAAGATAATCGAGAACGATAAATATTCTTTCTATCGACGGATCGAAAAATTTGACCATGTCGACGATTATACATTTCCAAGGGAGGTTAGTGTCCTGGTCCGGCGAAACCTTAGGAAATGCGAGTACTTGCAAACTCCGAAAACAAATATACAGTTTCAGCCATGGCAGATAATATTAATACCTGATCATATCTTTAAATTTCGAGCGAATGCTTCCATAACACAAGGCTTTGCTCAAACTAGAAAGCTTCCGGCTCATCTCGGTTTTCGTGGTATTTTGGCGAATGTCAAGGTTCCCACCTTTTTGGGAATGTTGAATTCTATTTACGCAACTATTGATTCTCGATGCGTAGATGATGGTGATGGTGCTATGAAAGCACAACTTGAGGAGCAAGCCGAAGCTTTAATAATGTGGCGAATACGAAGAGACGAGTCTGCTGAAGTTTACCAGTCGGTCCAAGACTTGCCCGAGGACTTGCGAAGCATCAGAGACGGATTATACCCTCGAGGTCGAAAGTTTTTTGATGATAAGTACTTGGTGGCTCACGATTCCTATTTATAAAATCAATAGATGCTTGATAACTTTGGGTGCCATCCGATATCTTCCCAGGTCTAGGTATGGGGGAGGGTGCTAATGGCAAAATGATTCGGACTTGCTTCGGGTCGGGCATCATGCATCAGGTATATCAACGAAATTCATCATTGGAATTTCCTCTTGCCCTCGATCTACGTCGAGCTGCAATTTTTCGCCGATGCGTGTAGCTTCTCTTCTGGCTTTCCCACTTGAATCGTCATTTCAGTTACACTGCTATTGCGGTATCGACTACAGCTGTATAGGATCGGTATTTTGGCTCTAGGGTTACTATATATGTCTTTATGAAAATCATTTTCTGAGGTATAGCAGATGTAGTTACCGCTTTTATATTTAGGTGATAGCGAGGCCCATAAAGCTAGCTTCTTGACGGGTGCTGATTGCTTCTCTGGCCGTCTAATCGTTATTAACTATAGTACGGTGTTTTGGTACCTTGAAGCAATTCGTTGAGTTCTTATAAGTCAAAGATGCTCTATACAATATAATAAAATCAACGAAGCAATTGCTGATTCGCACCAGTGAGTCTATAAAGCGAATTCTCAAATTTCTGACACATAAATAATTATAATACTAGTACTATAGTATATCTGTTAAGCTATATCCTAGCTAAAGTCCGAGAGCTAGGTCCTATAGATACAATCGATTGGGTAACTGGCGCGATATATACATGTTTGATCTGTTACACAATTTTCGCTTTTCAGTTTAATATAAATCTCTATTTCTAATTAGAACAATGAAAAGCCGAAGAAATCTGTCTATTTCTTGTATGGGATTCGCATAGAGCAAGACCTGACAGCGGATAAATCTCAAGGGGTTAAGGTTGACGAGTAATACTAGCTTCTAATGCGACCCGAGACGTAACCTCAAGGGTTCAACTAAGCTAAAGGAATGCATCAATCCAAGTTCGAGCCTTGCGACCTGGCCTCAGAATCGAAGTTGCTGGAAATTTCCTTAAAAAATCATCCGCACTTAGAATGTTTACAATCGGGGTCGATATATATCTGCCAGAATCTTCCCCCATTTTTTCAGTGGATATTTCGAATATCTTGAAATGGTACCCAATATCATTTGGAAGAGAAAGCCCTTCGTTGATTATGATAGCCGTCAGTCTCCGTTCGCCGCCCTCAGCTGCCATTATCTGTTGGGCAGTGTAACCCCTTGCCAGCTCGTAGTCAGAATTTGTGGGGTTTTCAACACCAGGACTTGCGCCCACCACACTAAGAAATTTGAGGCAAGGGGGAATGTAGAAAGCAGGCTATTCAAGAGTCGTGTCAGATTTAGAAAGTCAATTGGGTTAAATAATGAGGAGTGGGTGGCGGGATTGACGTACTAGGGGCTCACCACAGTGAAAGGTCAGCTCTTCGAGCTTCTGCCACTCTCTGAAGTCAGGTTTAACGGTCCGGGGGCTTAAAGATCGAAGCTTCAAATGAGAGTCTCCTCGCGAGATGGCTTTTTCCCCGGTTAAAAAAGCTAACCGCTTTATGCTACCCTTGTGTTTTTCGAGGCACCTATAATCGAACTCTTCATCCTTTTGTATGATTGAGATATATAAAGATTCCAAAGGGCGCAGTTGGCTCAATGCTCTTTCAAGCATTGATATATCGCTTTTGATCTCCACAACTTGTAGGCATCTTAAGCTTACAAACTTCACAGATGTATCGCAGAGCATTGCATATGCGTCATGGCAGTATACTAGACTTAACACCTCAAGTACTTCTGGCCTAAAAATATTCGAGCATTGAAGCGACCCACAATACGGGAAAGATTCAAACTGGAGAGCTTTCAGACTGAGCTTAGTAGGTTGCATGCCGGGAGGAAAATATTCGCGGATAGTGAACAGTGTTGACAATTTGGAAAGATATTCGTCTAGAGTTAATAAATATGGAACCTTGATCTCACCGCTAAGGGCACAGATTTCGGGCGACCAAAATAGGAAGAAAATCCGTAAACATTTCAAGGTATTTGAGTTCAATCTGATCAGCTCCCAGACGGTGGAGAACTCTTTTCGAGGCAAGGATATCAGGCAGCAGAGGTATCTTAATTTGGAGGTCACTAAGATGCCGTTTTTCTCTCTGTTCTTTCTAGCATTCCTAGTCTTTCCAATTCGAACTTTCCGCGTGAGAATTGCATGGGTAATAGGGATTGTAAGATTCACCAGGTTTGGGAACTGCTTGAGAACCTCAAAAGCCAGTCCAGCGAAGGAATCGTCGAAGATTCCTTTTGCCGCGCCGCGCCTTTGTGTATAGTCAAGGCAGAATTGGGGGTTCTGAACCTATTTTCATATGACGACTTATAATTAGTTCAGCAGTCTCAAAAAGTAACCAAACACTAACCCCTTACGTTATAGATCTAACAGCATCAAAGCAAATGTTTCCCCGCCTCGCAAAGTTCCTTTTCAAATCCTTGACCGTGTATTTCGAATCTTTCCTTTTTTCCTCAAAGGCTTGAGAAGGGATGAATTTGAGAGCCTTAGGATATCGCTCTTGACCTCTAACAGATTCTAGCAAAAGTGATGAAGCGTAGGGTTTCCATTTAAAGCCACGGACATCAAATTCTATGGAAATACTTTCGTAGCGAGATTGCAATGCTAGACTATAAAATTCAAAGCATGTAAGACTGATAGACTGCTTATACTCGTTGTCTCCAAGCTGGATATAAATTAGCTTTATTTGGAAGCCGGGCAATATAGCGGGGTGGGGTGATTGCGTACGAACATAAGCGAAAACCATTCGAAGAATCTCTGGAGGCAGATTTAAGATGTTCTTTGTCCGATGTAGATCTGGACTGAATGAATCCATGACGGCGGGGTAATAGACTAGGTAGCTAGTGTTCCCGTGATATGATGTTAAGGGGTAGAGCGGGGGGAAGAGGGGGTGACTGTTTCGAATACTCTCAGTCTAGAAACTTCCTCTGAGATTAAGTCCTCGATTTTAAATGACTTGAGGATTTTTAAATATGTCGATCGAAGCTTATCATTAGATTATACCCCTGCGACCGCCTACCCATGTATCACGATATCCCTCAAGTAGTTATCGTGCAGCTGAGGTAGCTTGTTGATATGAATACTGTTTAAAAGAAATTTCCTAGGGCGACTTATTTTTAAGTTCCCTGATATATGCGGTACATGGTGGTGGCGATTGAATAGACACGCATTAAATGTACTAGATTAGAGTTTGTGAGTAACTATTATATTGATAAAAAGAGGAGTGCGAAAGCCAGTGAGCGTACTGCACAAGAACTCTTCATGCCCAATCTCGAAACTAAACTGTGAAATTAGTTCGATGAGACATAGCCTGGCCTACCTACTAATTGGGTCCGTAGTGCTAGCCTCGAGACCAGGCGCAGGGTGAGGACAGAGCCGTAGTGCATACTTACCACTAAAAATGCTCAAACTGTTCTCAGCATATGCACATATATGGCGATTACTAATATGAGCTAGTTTCTCAAGCCGTAGGAATATGGGCAGAGATAAAATATGGTAGGGATGGCACTAATCCGCGCATTTGGGCTTTCGTCAACCCTCGAGGCTTTTCTTTGCATCTAGCAACAACTAGACTACATCTAGCTATAGATTATCCCGTGGACTAGAAGTGTCGTCTATGTATAACTATGGTATCTGCAAGTAAGAAACGGGCTGGCCTACCCCTTAAAGTCACTCGACGTCATATCATTTCTTGCCTTTCAATATTGATTCTAGGCGCTACTTTGAATATAATCCCGTCGGCTAACGCATATACAATAACATATCGCTCGAACACAATCGAACGGTACAACACGTGGTTTCGCGAGGAATATCAAATAATAAGACGAACAGGCGAAATGGTTGATATCCTAAAACGAACACGTCGAACTGATTGTCCAATCGGAGGTGAATTTGATCGTGTCTCCCTCCCTCGGGACTATGGTAGATCTTTGACTTATATCATCGATACGCTGATGCACGTCCTGGATTCTTTCGACGAACGACTCGTGATCTTGAGAGATAACTATGCCGCCCTCTGTCCCGAACAAGGTCTTTCGTTCGAGGTTGCTGTCGAACTAGCAAACTGGGAATGTCAGGACCTTGAAGAAGTAAAGGATATTTCGGCTACGTTGAGTGAGCTGGTCTCTACTGTTACAAAAGCTCGGAACAGGATGTCGAATGTTGGTCAAAACATCGATGGGTTGATCGGAATCGAATCAGGAGGAGGGAATATTGACAGGATAGCTGAACTCGGGCTTGACGTTACTACACCCCAAGACAAGAACCTGGCCGCTCTGGCATATATGATAAATTCAGGACAGGTAAACTACGGACGAAAAACAATCAAAGTCGATTCGGAAGCGAGAAAGGAAGTTGCTCTCTCTTGGCGACGCGTGATATCCCAGCTTGTGGTAGAGATGCGGTATGCACAAGAGTTGCTAAGGTATGCAGAAGACTTCTTAGATACAGAGGAGTTTAATCGGATTGTTCAAGGCTGGGGTGGTAGAGGACGTGCCTCTTGGGGAATACCCGATGTTCTAGAAAGCTTAATAGCGTGGTATCGGTGCTGGATCGATCCTCTGGGCTGGGTAGTAGATTTAGTTGGGAATGCTCTTGCAGACGTACCCGATCCCGAGCCACGATGGAGAACTGGAGGCTTATTAAGTCCGTAAAAACTTGGGGGTGCGCAAGGAAACTAACTCAGGAGAGAAATCTACACCATCTTTTCTGCTAGTTTACACTCCCTTTCCTCGTTCTTTAGAATAGCTCTCCGATAGACCGCCCCAGCTAACCTGTACCACCACTTCCCAAGCCAATATTCACTCTCTACAAGCCATTCGAAGTCACCCAAATCGTGTCGGTGTTCTCCCATGTCAAATAAAGATACTGACATCCTCCGATTGGTAATTTTGTCATGCGAAAATGCAAAGATGGAATAGAATAATCCAAGGAGCAATGAGCAATTATACGCCGACCTTAAAGTTTTAGAGCTCTCCCATCTCTTCTTAACAGATTTTGACATCAAACTAGATATCGCAGCGATAACCATGGTTGCAAGCACTATTACCACTGACACGATGATGAAAGACCGCAATTGAGGTATCTTGTCATCGGCCTGCCATTCCCTAATGTTCATGCCAAACAACGACGTTGCGAATGTCAAAGGCACGAAAACAAAAGCGAGTCTCGTTAATTTGTTCACACTTTCACTCTGAGCGATTGACTGCTTAGCCTCATTTATGGATTCGGTGGCGGCTTCCCTATTCAGTGCATCCGTTACCGCTTGCTGGACCAACGCAGCCTTATCTCTCAAGAAATCTAAGTCTTGAAATGCGCTGTCCAAATTTTCCTCAACGTGAACAACGGTTTCACATTTCGTATTTAGCCAAGGGCTTCTCATGTGTGTTTTGAGAGAAGTTGTTGTAGTAAATATCTCCTGCTGAAACCCTTCGCTCGTGATATATGCGTTGTAAGGGTCTCGCTCCGCGAGATTATGTGGTAGGCGCCGCTCATACAATTTCTCTTCTGCCCACGTCAACAGCATAGAAGTTTCTAGTGCACAGAGGTGAAGAAGTGGAAGGACCAAGTATATTGGATGTTGACACGATAGATTGATTTCCTCAACCCGGAACTCAGATAATCTTCGCAGATATCTATAGGTGAGATTCATTCGGGACGGAACCGCAAGTGATACAGACGACATCTGGGGTTTTCTGATAGTAGGCCGTTCAAAATCTCGCAGCGCAGCCTCAAGATTTTCGGCCGGTGAATCCATAAGCACGAGCACTAGTACCGGTAAGTTGACGAGTCATTGGTGTGGTACCCCCCTGTCTTATATGTATAGGGGTCCTAACCTGTATTTATGCTGACCTTAGCCTTCCCAGGCTCAAGGAGTGCAGCAGTGCTTTTCCCGCCTCCGAAATGAATCTCAATAGGTGACTTTGCTGCCTCCGACGGAAGATACGGCGTTGCAAAATATGTTGATGTTTTCGGGAACAATGTTCCCATATGTTCGATGAACAATCTAGGGTCAATATCAAGCTCATATCCAAGAGTCTTGAGAATATTCCTATCAATTGCTTTGTCGTGGGAAACAATAATTAGGCGTAGTTCGACTACGTCGTCCTGCTCATCCAGCATTGTCCGGACGTCCTCCGCATTGGCGCAAACACCATGAATTATCGGCTGCCAAAGACTTCCATTCGAAGATACGAAGTCGACGAAATACACCGCCGTTGGTTTTTCATCTCCAGCATCATCGTGACGCTCTAGATAGCACTTTAATGCATCAATATCTGGATGTTGATGCACAACTCTGCATATGTAATCGTAATAGTCTTCATACAAGACCTCGGGTGTCTGGGTTTCTGGCAGGCTCAGATCGGATCCCGTCCGAAGAGCCGGGGTGAAGTTGATAGTGAGTGATTCAGCGCTCCCGTGGTCAATTGCATAGCCTTCGATTTCGATTTGGACATCTCGGGTGTCTCTCATGCTGATGACACCAACAAAATACCCTAACCCGTGAGATCTATGAACGTGGACGTGCTGAAAACCGGCCGGAAAGATTCAGGAGTCGACTTCCTGAAGTCTTCGTATATTCTAGCAGGTGTTTGATTCAAAGCTGATCTTGAGAGCGCCAGCTCATCTTTATAGGAAAATTGTTTCTTTGCTCCCGCATAATGGCTGTGCAGGATTCGGTTCCGAGACTATGCAGATTTGGGGTGCATATCACAGAAGTCTAGACATGGTTCGCCGCTGCGGTTTTGGTCTTCGCCTCCAGCTTTGTCAACCGCATTCTCCAATCAGGCCGCACCTTGAAGACCCACCAGCAAAGCCCACCCCTCGAAGGCCAGAAATAGAAGCACTAGGAAAATACAACGCTACAACACAGTTAATCCAACACAAGCAGAGTTGGCGACTTTTCGCATATTGTCGGCAGTTTCGGCTTCGAAGACAGGACATGCAAAGATCCCGAGGTCAGACTGTTATGGTCAATTTGAGGCACCATTCCGAATCAAATTCTATTTTATCATTCGTGTGTATCTAAAATCATTTCCAAATATTAATGTCAAGCCCGCAGTGCATGTGAAGCAATTGCAGGCGATATATACACAGCTGTACTGTAGAGGTAAACAAAAACAAAGCTGGCCTCAATAGAATTGATCAAGGCTTCCCCATATGAACTATATTGATCTTGATGTATTTGACCGATTCCATCGTTTCGGGAGTAGCGTCCGCGTAGAATGGGGCCCACATCCCAGTATGTACAACGAATTTTCCGCCTTTCGCTGCCAGTGGAGGATAACCCCGACTGTGCCTCGTATACTGTACGTACAAGCTTACAAAATCGCGAATCTTCATGATTTTTCGGGGGTTGAGAAGATTCGTGGTATCGTAATCGGGACCTGGGGTTCGGGTAGCATTTTTAGTCGCGAGAAAAGAATGTCCACTACCTCCACCTAGGGCCGCCAGGGCGACAGATTCCGGATCGGATAGGGCCCATCCAATGTAGACGGGGTAGCGAAGTGCGTCGGTCCTGTTAGCGTCTGCTATAATGACAGGGTCATTGCCACATTCGTAAAGTCTGAGGGTTTCTGCGACGACATCTGGGTCGTCTTCTGGGCCGAAGTTTATATCGATTGGGTAAATATTCTCAGTTATACCGCTCCAGTCTTGGCTAGTACGGACATAACCAGTGAAATCGCATATCGCTTCGTGGAGCAAGAATGGTGTCAGCTCTGGGCCGGGCGCTTTGTGCGATTTACCGAAGTATTTTTTGATTTCCGCGTCATCGGTGTTGGGGAGTGCTCTGTATTTCTTTTGGAATATCCTTGTTATGCTAATGTTCCAACGCTTGCAGACAAGCCGAAGAACGGGATATTGGGATCCACCTGCGGCTTCCAGAATGAGGTCTTGGATTTCGGGTGGAATAGACTGATGCATCTTTATCTTATTCTCGTTGGATTCCTTTTTTGCTTCGTTCTTAGCTCCTGTGGCAGTCTGGTTACGAGACTGCTCCTGTGGGTCGTGGCGAAAAGATATCTCTGTACAAGAAGTTCGCCAGATCGCCGCCTTTTATCTACATGAAATTAATTTACCATTCTGATTGAGAGTCAGAAATTCCCCCGTCGATTTATAGTAGCCGTTAACCGCCGACGCGCACCCTTGAAATTTGAACAAAACTGCATTTCAAGGATAAAGATTAAGCATACTAGGCAAAGTATAAAAATCAACTAGTCCATATAGCGTAGGTGCCTACATATTTTCTCTATTTCCATACTAGTGCTTTTCCAGCTTTATGACTGCTGATCTTCTATCGCATTTAGCCTATTAACGCGTATCTCAAAACCACTCGTAAACACTATACGCGAAGACATCCTTCCTTGTATTTCGAGACCGGGCAAATTTGATTAAGGTTTTAGATACTTGAAGACTCCCATGTATTTTCTGTATTCAAGCCTTTGATAAATTGCCTATCTAAAACTTAAACACCAGCTCTGAGTCGACATCTGCGCTAGGTACATGGATAGAAAATCAATAATTCCAAAGTATATGTGACTCCTCCGAGGAATTTTCCACCCGGTATGGTGATATCAGCCTCTATATAAACTCCTATTCATAATCCTCACCCTGCTGACTGCCACGTGCCAATCCACCCTTACGACCGATTTCTTGGACTTCTTCGGTGGGACGAGATCCAAATCCGTGATCAGAGCGAGTACGCTTGTCTTCGGTCCCATCGCTCTTCAGACCGCCATGCTCTGAAGGTTTATAAATCTCATCTGGTTGAGTCTGACCGCCTTTGCGTCCCATTTCGCTAACATGATCGCGATCTTGACCACCAAAGCCGTGTTCGGAATTGACGCGTTTATCTTCGGTACCTTTAAAAATTAGGAACAATGTTAATATCAATACTTTTATTAAAGCTTGGGATTTTTTTATGAGAGAAAAGCGTACCGTCTTCCTTCAAGCCGTTGTTTTCAGTTGGCTTATACTTGGATCCAGAAGACATCTTGAATTTAAGATTTTGGTAGTGTTTTTAATTAAATTTGAGTAGAAGATTTATCTTTGATGTGTAGCTTGTGGATGTATGAGATGTATGTGATGATTGAATATTGTAATTTAGAAAACCGTAGAATTCACTCCCTTTTATAATCTTTATCGGTCACGAGAACTTACCTCAGAGTCTCATACCGTCCTATGAGAGCTTGACATGTCGACACCGTAATGACCATTTAATGTTTGAATTGATCCTGCGTTGCGTCATGGTTGGGTGTTGGATTGGAATTCCATGATATCACGATTCAATCAGTATTGACCATTGATAACGTTGTTTGCAACTCGGATCACGGTAAATGGAGAGCTGTGATATCAGAGCTACGAAGTGGAGTCTCAGTGATCGAGGATCTAAACCAAATGCAACACGGGATGGCCCTACCCTCGAAATTCTCGATCGCGATCGATGTTAACCGAGCGAGAATCTCATTGACCTTTTCGATCTAATCGAAATGTCCCATGTGTATCGCATTCGGATAAAGTGTGGTAAATTATTCTAATGTTCCTGGAACCTGGTTTTACCAACAACGTTACATCGTTGGTTGATATATAATCTCTTCAATTGATTACCTCAGCTTTGGAAATGCAAAAGCTCCAGAAGACGCAATCACGAATGAAGGGCACTAGTATATTGGTATCAAAACTGTCTCTCGATTATCGGTGGTTATATATTTGACAGGGGTACTAGGTGTATGTATACTGGAATAACGTCTGGGTTTTGTCACGAGAATAATTATGATACGCGCGGGAGAGTCGAAACGTTTGAAGCTGACGTCTTTACACTAGGAGAAGTCGTTACAAGTCAAATGTACTAATATGGCTTAACCCTATGTTAACATGTTCAACTCATGATAGCCTTGTATTTCATGGCTTAACGTCGCAATTCTAGTATTCTAGTTTGGGACGAGTTTAAACGTCTGGAATTCCCTTATTATAATGCAATAAGTGATACATTAATTGGCTGCTGGGAACAAGACCATGGCTACCCAAAACAACTAATAACCATGACAGTAAAACAGCAACCAATGCAACATGTATGCACAGCATAATACCTAAGAGTTTGTTTACTTCGAAGAGACAAGAACTGGAACAGCCTTTCCGACCAATCTATGATTTTTGGAGGTTGGAGTAAACGCCTTACACTTTCCTTGCTTCGCCGCTTCCGCCCCTAAAGCTTCGACATCTTCCAATTGAATCTTCTTCTCTGGCAATTCATTATAAATGCCTTTGGCATAGTCAGGACTGATCGCCCAACATTGAGCCAAATACGCCTTCTGCACCTCAGGTCGAGACCACTTGAGGCAAACGGCAGTATTCGAATGTAGCCTAGCTCTCTGTTCGCTACTCATGACACGAAGATATAGCTCTCTGGCTTGGTCATACTCACTTGGGCTACCTTCATGGAAGTGATGGGATTGACGAGAAAGGATGTTGTCAGCAACTGCGACTGGACACTCAGCTTTGTCCGGAGAGAACTTGTTGACAAAGCTATTGGGAACGTAATGCGGATTTCCACCAGTATTGGCATCAGATCTCAATGGCCCGTCAAAATTGATCGAGGAGTATGAGGAGGCCATAAAGGGGCAGTTGACTAATACATCGTTAGCTTACAATACGTAACCGGATCTTGGAGGCGATGGATACATACCGGGAACTTGGTGAAGATTGACCCCAAGTCTGTGATATTGCGCATCACGATAGAAGAAAGTCCTGAATTGCAACAGCATATCAGGGCTCGCTTCAATACCTGGGACGAAACTACCCGGCGAGAATGCCGCTTGTTCAACATCTCGATGGTAATTTTCAGGATTCTTGTTTAGAACAAGCTTTCCAAATTCATGGAGCTGTATTCATGATTAAAATTTTGCTTCTAGTTCTGCAGCTAAGGATCAAGCCGTTCTTACTGGAAATTGCTTTCGAGGCCAAACTTTGGTAACATCGAATGGATCAAATCCAAGAAGCGCCGGATCAGCTTCTTCTGGCGTCATTACCTGGTAGCAAGCAGTCCAGGTCACAGGAGTACCACTTTCAATCGCCTCCCACAGATCGCGCTTTGAAAAATCAGGATCCTCCCCTGAAAATACCTTTAGCATAGACGTCGCGGAATACTTGAGATAACTAGTCGGGATGTTCAACACATACCTGACATCTTGACGGCTTCAGGCCACGTGAATTGTTTCTGTCCGTGATCCGCCTGGAAATGATACTTGATGTAAACGAACTTTCCCTCCGCATTAACCCTGAAAATAGTTAGATATGCAATGTAGAAAAAAAGACGTTGAAGATACAAACCATTTGAAAGTGTGACAACCGTAGCCGTGATTGAAGCGCCATCCAACCGGGGTACCATGATCACTGAAAAACATCATCCCGGCATGATTACTATAAGAGCGGGATCAGTCCTCTATCCCTCAGGGGCAAAGAGTTGAATTGACCCAATTAGGCAGACCTTTCTGGAACATTGGCCAGAAAATCGAAAAGGCTATTGAAATCCAAGAGGAAATTGGCTGGGTTTCGTTGTTGGGAACGAATAACGTCCGGTCCTTGGATGGGATCTCGGCAAAAGAAAATCGGCTAAACAAATTAATTAGTTAGATCTGCTCACTAAACTTCCAGCTTTGGCTCCATATGCATATAAAATACCCAATTGAGCCCAACAATATCATAATTTCCTTCGCCGGTGTAAAATTTGATGGCAAACCCACGAGGATTACGACCCTCATCCGGAAACTCTTTTCCAAATGTGACAGTCGAAAACCGGACGAACACAGGAGTTTTTTGGCCAGTTTTTTGAAGGAAGTCAGCCTTTGACATCAGTTAGCTTTCAGTTTCAATTTTCGACATTCTCATAATTCCAATGCGATGTACCTTAGTTAAATTTGAAACTGGTTTTGTGCACTCGAAGTATCCGAACGCACCGCTACCGCAAGGATGGACCATTCCTATCGCAAGGAATAAGCGCTATGCGATAAATAATTTTCGAACGAATTCCGCTACTTACGCTCCAATGTTTTACTCCGGTTGAAAGTTTGTTGCTTTTGCATAAGAAACGTATCGCTTATGACGGGAATGCCACCGACGTTTAGAGAGTCTACAATTTAAAAGAGGCCGTCAGTGCCAGCTTAATAGTACCCATTGTATAAAATGAAGATACATACGTGCTGGGTCAGGCCAAGGGGCGCCTTCGTTGTTCGTAAAGTATGGTCCATCATCCTTTCGCTGGTGCGCCGCGATAACACCGGAGATTTTGGCAGCAGTAATCGCCGGTCCGTCGTTAGCACCTTGGAATAGGCTAGCTCTTTGCGCAGCTCTAGGATCTACTCCAAGGCTTCCGGCTATTTCTGAGGCCGCTTTCAAAGGATGTTTGAGAGGGCTTCCCGTTCCAGTGTTCGACATTTTTGCGTATTCTCTGTTTTACAAAGTAATATGGTGGTCGTCCCGTTAGATAGACAGTTTCGCTAATTTCTAGAGGTAGGAAAGAAGCTGCGCAATGTGTGTTCTCTTATAAGTTTCTACTTTGAAGCGCACAGGCCGGCCGCGGGATCGTTTTTTTCTGAGAGTATATGCTTTTGAGGGGACTATTGCGTTTTATTACGTCTACAAATGCGTAATTGTGGGTTCACAAGCCAGGGGAATGAGTGGATATCCGGATCACGGATAGCTAGAAGGAACTGGAAATGAGGGGAATATGCTTTACGGCTTGTTATAAAACTCTCTAAAAGGTGGGTGTAATAGACGTATAAGTGCTACTGACGGATGTTTCCGAGACTCCATAAGTCAAGTGGTTGGTTTTATAATTCATAACATTTATCCCCGATGTGACGTATTGCAAAAGACTTCACAAACTTATTTTTTCGAGCGGCTAATACAATCTCGGAACGATGGGATCCAGCGTCGATGGTTTACTGAAGCTCGAAATTTTGGTTATAGCTGCCTCTCTATGAGCTCAGTGCTGGCTTATTCCGTAATCCGGATTAATCCCATGAGAATGCTTTCATCAACACCGCAGAATATTTTACACATAAACCACTCCAGTTTTATTCGATAAAACGAAGGAAACTAGTTTTGGCTCTCAAAAACCCTATAGTAAGGTAAAACAGGGATTATGCCAAAAAAAAACAAATTTAGTAAGGAAACGTCTTTCATCCATCTGTCCCATTATGCCAGCATATACGTATCTAGTCCCAATTATGGAAACTTACGGAAGACATCCATAAGCTTATCGAGCGGTGCAGCCATGAGCCCAGCCACAGTCTCAAATGGAGGTTTATCCGGAGCACTGGGATGTGACCTCGTTGGAACAAAAAGCTTGGTCCTTTCGAAGCTCCTAGCATAGCCGTCTGACGAATCGGAGTCTAACTGTCGCTCTAGGGCTGGAAGGTCGTTATTTTCTTCGTCTTTGATATGTTCATTAAGATCCTTGAACAAATCCTGAAGAGTTTTCAAGAACTCGGGATCTTGAGCCTTCATCGATTGGAACTTGTAGAGCATGTTTTTGACCTATAGACGAGGTGTATTAGATATATCATTTGTATATTTATTTGGAAAACCCTCTGAATCAGCTTTATCTCACCTTTTGATGGTCTTCTCGATCTTTATCAGCCATTTCCTTGCCCTTGGCTCCCAAGTGCTTTTCAAATGCTGGATAGACAACCAGTTCTTCTCCGATGCTATGCCTAGCTAACTCCCAGGTAAACAAGTTTTGATATCTGTAGGATTGGGACCAAATTAGCTTCCGGACTGATAATAGAAAAAAGTATTGAAGGCTTACCGGGTCTGGGTGTCTAAGTCATCCGTTCCAACGATCTTTTCATAGTACTCATTCAATTCTGAATGGTCGCGTTTAATGGCGTCTGTTAAGGCTGACATCATGGGCCGATTTGCAAAAGCCGTTCCGTTGAATTTTGCTTGGTTTAGAACGAATGGCCGTTGAATTAATCTGCCACTATATCTCGGGGCTGTTCTAAGGAGTACGGAAGTCTGCATTTTCAAATATAATACCGGGAACCTATTTAAATAAAGGTTGATTAAGTAAGTTGTGTAAAATATGGTACGTATAACTCAGCCATCTGACATGTCCCGTACCCCGGATTAATGTATTATATATATCATTTTCCTGTGATAACAAGTTGTTCGTACCTATTTGCTTTGAATTAGCACGTCACTCAAGCGCAATATTTGGAAGGAGCTCAAGAAAGAAATCTATCACCGACTGAGTTTCGACAGAGTATATGCATCTGTACGTATACACGGCTGCGACCAATAATGACAAAGGAGTTTGTAATAGCTCATAGTTACGTCCAATTGACGAATTATATACGTTCTATATCATCTCAATTGACGTCTAGACATTTCTGTATGTTGCAATGTCGTCATGGAAATGACGTATGTATCTACCCAAACATTCGGACTGAGTTGGACGAAGCCAATTACAACGTCGTCAATACTAATAAAATTTTGGCACAATTTCCGCCAGGCTAGCCGTTTGACGTTTAAATCGTCTTGGGGGCCGTTTTGAACCCCATATTTCGCTGATCTTTAAATACCTTAGATTCCAGTTATTAAAATTTTAATCCGAGGTTCAGAGACCAGATATGTGTCGACAAGGATGCTGTCTTCCTGTTTGTTTGACGGGTCGGCTGGCGGGTCGGCTGGCGGAACCTGCCGATCCCCTCAGCAATACATCCGGCAAATTCTACGATGGTAAGACCCGATACTTTCTCGACCTCTGATTGGATAATTAATACTAATAACAAGTGACGTTGCACTATTCGCATATGCGGCAGCTTCAAACAAGTAGTAGCTATGTCTGTAGTCTGTAAGCTTTTCGTGCCGAAGTTCGGTATAATCAGCCGATTGCAATGTGCCGATTATCCTGAATTCATGATTAAGGGCTGGTGTATATATAGAGTTATTAAGAAAAGACACATAGGAAGATTCCTTATATAGCGTGCCAAAACGAAAAAAATAGGTTAGATACTCAAATCGATTGTATACACTCAAATCGGCACCAGCCACAGCTATATACACTCAAATTTACACCAGCCACACAATACTCGGCCTTAACACCCATAGTAAATCCAACTTAGAGAATTTCAAGACTTATATATTTTTACCACGCATGCTGGGCAGGCGGGGTTCACTTGCAGGAAGTTCACTAGCAGGCAGTTCACTAGCAGGCAGTTCACTAAGTAACTGGCAGGTACTGGGACAGCTACTGGGACAGCTACTGGAATAGCTACCGGAACAGCTACCGGAACAGCTACCGGAACAGCTCCTGGAATAGCTGCTGGAATAGCTAGCTAAGCTACTAGGCAGGCCAGTAAACAGGCCAGTAGACAGGTTAGTAGATAGGCTAGTAGACAGGCAGGCAGGCAGGCAGGTAGGTAGGCAGGTAGGCAGGTAGGTAGGTACCTAGGTAGGCAGGCAGCTAGGCGAGTCGGAAGATAGATGTTTTAAAAATTTTCTAAGTTAGCTTTAGTATGGGTATTGTAGATACATTAAGGTCGAAGACTGCGTGGCTAGTATAAACTTGAGTGTATATAGCTGTGGCTGGTGCCGATTTGAGTGTATACAATCGATTTGAGTATATACCTACAATCGACTTGAGTATATAGACTATTTTTTTTCGTTTTGGCCCGCCATACCTTATGTTAAAGCTGTGGTCAAAACATTCCTACATTACAAGTGCATCGCACACGTTAAATTTAGAAGCCTCCACTCCAAGCGCGGATACATATATTAAACTAACACTAAATTATCATCCAATCCATCATAACCTCCTCAATAGAAAACAAGTCTGAAACTCCAAAATCAGTTAAACTCTCATAACTTTCTTTTTCAGTCATCGATTCAGATCCTTGAGGAGCTAGACTCTGTCTCGAAAATTCCGCACGCTCTCGCCAATAAACCCTTTTCTGCTTATTTTCTAGGTGATCATAAGATAGAGAGAGCATATACTCAAGGCGACAAAGCCTTTTCTTAACTTCACTGTAGCCATCGCGGTAGAATGATGTAGAATCCCAAGGAGAAGAAGAATAGTTCGTATGAGCTGTCTCTAGGTTGTGACTATAACGAGCGAAGATACAGTCGTAGTCTTTTAGTTTGCGCTGGCATCACCTCAGTATACTGATAAGAGGTTTAACTACTTACATTGCATCATCGTGTTTACGGAGGTCTCCCCGTACCCATCCGAGCAGAGCGTTGGCGGTAGTAGCATAGTGCAGCATATAGTCGATTTCGCGACACTGCGCGAAAAATAATACTGCTGATCCAATAGACTTTTCAGCAGCCTCAAGCTCCTTTTGCCCAATTTCAATCATCCCTAGGGTAATATGGGCATAGCCGCTGAATTTTAGAGGGGAATAATTGTAAGCCCGGATTCGACAACTATTCCTCGAGACGTTAAACTCACCATCGATATGAGTTATAACAGTCCCAGCTCGTAACGTCCAACTGTTCTTGAGGAACACTCGGCATAAACACTAGTTTCCACTCATCAAACCATGTGCCTGCCGAAGCACTCTCCCTCTCAAGCCCATACACTGCGGCTTTCTGTTGTCCTAGGCCGTGAAGGCATCGTGCAATTTTTGTACTGAAAACAATCAACCTCTTCATTGGCCACATAACCACCCTTTTACCGTTGGCTACAGAATGGCCTGCGAATAAGGATTTGAGACTATCGGCGTCACCTAAAATTCCGCTACTGCTCAGTTCATACCAACAGGTTGCCAAAAGTTCACCTGTTTGGCTATAGTGCACTATCGCTGCATCCCAGTCACAGTTTCTTGAGGCGTTAGCTCCATAAATTGTACGAAAAGCCGCCAATTCAAACGCAACGCTGGCGCCTTCTCCGAATATGTAGGATCCCTCTCTAATTCGACGCAGTACTGGTCTAATACCTGTAGGCCAATTCAAGTATCCTGCAACCTGGTCTAATGCAGACTCATTACTTCCTCCACGAACAATAATGGCCCTAAAATAAAGAATTTTATCAATATAATAAACCTTCAGTTAAGCTCATGAACCCCACAGTGATACAATACTAATACTAACTTGTGCCAAAAAAATAGGCTGACCAGCAATTTATGCACTTACCCAATGTCCTGCCGTAACCTTGTAAGGGAGGTCCAAATAAATACCAGCCGGTATGGAACATTAAAATAATTGACGAGTAAGCGGTACGCTTCCGGAAAATACATAGATCTCGATACTTGCTTCTTGACAAGGCTCGTTGAAGATGTAGGGCCCGGGCCATTAGTCTTTCTGAATTGGCGCAGAGATACGATGTCTGACATAAATGTAGATGACAGATTGGGGGAGCCTTTTTCTTCAATGCAGGTGATCTTTTCAGCCAAGTATCGCCGGAAGGTACCACCAAACTGATAAAAATTAGAATAAGATCTTGGGAAGCCTCCTAATAACCGACGCGCTCCCCGTAAGGAATAGGTCAATTTATCCCAGCAAAACTGGCCATTTCAGTTGCACGATTTGACGTTTCCTTTAACTGGGTTCCGCCGAAAATACTAGTTTCTGTAACCAGTTCATCTACTTCTTTTGGTTGTAAGCGTGCCGCTATCTGATAGCTGATTTCATCTTCTAAAGGATTTGAGGTGAAGCACACAGCTAAATGGAGTATAGAGGTATCGGTAAGTTGGGCGGTCATACGGCTGATCTCATCATCCCATTGAGATATTATCTCCCTATATCGCAATTTTGGGGTGATGGAATCTGTACTCTCACGTTTTGTCGTTTGGAAGTGATTCTCTGCAGCTGCCAAGATTTCAAAATCCACGTAGCCCTGCCCACAGATATCCACGATACTAATGAGACCCAAATTAACAGCTTCTGCAGCAGCATATATTAAAGAAGGAGAGCTTCCTATCGCCGCAATCAATCTCGCCTCTTGTGTTCTGGTGGTGAGATCAAAACTACTAAAGCTGAGACTCTTAAATAACTGAATTGCAGAATCTCCGACCAAATCAGATACCTCCTAATAAAACCATGATTCTGGGAAACAGGGCAGTCTTTTCATATTTATTTGTCCTTGCATAGCCCCATCAGAAGAAGCTTTCCAGGAGAGGTGCAAACAAAGTTCAGGATCTCTGGTCGTGATAATAATAGAGCCCTTCGAACTGCGGGGCCAGCAGCCTTCTATGGCTTCAACATCAACGACATCGTCGAATATCAGAAGCCACGGTAAACCTATCTCCATAATGTGAGCAAACTATTCCTAGTATCGGAGCAGTCTTATTTAAGTTGAATTCGACATACCACACGAACTAAGATAATCGACAATTAACTGGGCCCCTGAGGTTTGAAAATCAAGTTCGAGGTTCAGACTTTTAGCAAAATCTAAAAAGGCACTTTTTGCACTCTCCTTCGTTTTTGCGTCGATCCAAACAATGTAGCTATATGGTGGATCTATTTTATTGGCGTGTATACTGGATGAAGGGCTAGATATTCTATTCTCTGAAGCTGATTGAAGTGTCGGTAAACCGCCGCCTACTTTGTGGGCATATTCAAGTGCTAATCTCGTCTTTCCGGTACCAATTCCACCCCAAAGGACGAATACACGAGTGTTTTCCTTGCAATCAATCTCCCCTTCGGAATTTATGATTGGAAAAACCTCATACTCGGTTTCCTTGAAAACTGTTAAAGAACCGCGTTGAACAACCGTTTTAAGGCTGAGGTATGTTTCAAGCCTGGCCAAAATATCATCGCGCCCTATAAGTCTGCCATTTGGAAGATTAGGTATTTGATGGACAATAGGCTTCTGCCGCCGAGTGAGTTCTATCTTCCTACGCCACCATTGCATTGCAATCGTAACGCTACCGGATTCGGTAGCAGTTACCCTAGGCTGTTCGGATAACACATATCCGTGATTGGGATAGTCATAATGATATCCGTTATAGATGTCAGTTTGGAATATCGGTAGGCTAAATACCGAGATATTGGATACCCTAGTCCATGTTAGTTGAGATAGGGTGGATAACGCAACGCCGCGTTCAGAACCTTCTCTACTCCAAATTGAAGATTTTGATAGATTAAATCCAGATCTCCTATACACCCAAGATGTAGTTAAATCCTTCTCGAAAGCTAATGAAGAACTTTGAGGTTGTCTAGTAGCTCTTATGCTCAACGGTAGGGACGGTAATGAAAACTTCGCAGAAAGGCTGCGCGTAGTAGACTTTGTGGTCGAACTGGTCGAGTCCCCATCCTTGTTATCTGAACCACGGATTGTAGCGATATCTGGGGCAGGAAGAGCTAGCCCCCCAAAAATGCTGGCCTCGTGGATGTACTTGCGATGCTCGAGTTGAGCTAGCAGGCCTTGATTTTGTTGTAAGGCTCCTTTAACCGATCGGCAAAGATTTTCCGTTAATTGTGCTGCTTTCCTTTGAGAAGAACTACATAGGTATATAATCCACACGGGATCCACCGAAAGTCAGACTGATTAATTGACCCTGGAAGAGGGGACTCACGCATTAATGATATTAAGCATTAGCGAAAGAGAGGCTTTATGATTTTGCAGCCTTCTGACAACGTCTAGAATGTCCTTCTCTCTCAATACCCATTTACTCCTGTCGAAAGAAGAAATTTCATCACCAGTCTTTACAAAATCGAGGTGCTTCTCAAGGTCTGAATATGTAACCACAAATCCAGTTAATGTAATTGAGATATTTTCAATTGAGATTAAGGACTTTCGATAAGCCGCCACCTGTTCTTCCTCGTTGATATAGGCTTGGACACCCTTGAGAACGATGCTCGTCTCATTAAGTTCAAGCATCATAGTTCTGACAGAGTCCGGGACATCTGCGATTTTGTTTGAGATGTCTACGAGCCATGGGATGAACTTAGCGCTAGCGGCGATTAAACCGACTATCGACGCCGCAAGGCCTATTGCCTCCATATTTTAGCTCTGCAGTATCGATATCGATATAAACGAAGGGTTCTCAAAAAGCCGACCGTGCGCGATCGATCTTTAAAGAATTCGTTGACAAGACCAATATTTTTATAGTAACATTCAGAACAAGATAAGTAATATAGGTAGATACCTAGACGCTGTGGACTCGGGGGTGGGATGTGTAACAGCTGGTATCGTGATATCGATGGAATAAATAATCGACACCACCGATCGAATCTTTGATCGTTCAGCCTCGAACGTTCGAACGCGAGGACAACTTCGCGTTGGCCAATATAGATGTCCACAAACCTTGCATATGAGGCTTAATGTTTTCGGTGTCCAATGCCGTCGAGAGGTCTGCGGACTCGCAAGCTCGAAATATATCTCAAACTTATCATTATCCTACGAAAAACTGTTCATTGGCTCTAAAACGTCTAATTCGCTCCCTAGCCCTGTCGCTTACATGTGGTAATCACGAGACTGGCTTGTAATTAAGACCTTGTACAATTATACAATATCAACAATTATGTTCTAACGCTACCTATAGCCTACCTGCAATTAACATGACAATGAATGCCATTTAGCTGAAGTTTCCAGTGACACAAAACTCGGGCCCAACTAAGCGGGATCTTCCACTCTAGTTCTAGGCTTGACCTTTATATTTATCTAGACTGGCTCAGAAGTTATATGACCACGGTCTCTACGTGCATTAGATTTAGGGTCTAGTAGTTTATAACATAGCCTATGTCTCGATCAATAGTAAGTTTTATAAATAACGTATTAATTTTAACAAGTTATTTTCTACATTAAAATTTAGATTCTACCGGGAAAATCAGATCCGCTAGGCCGCCTAGTAAAATCGATTTAAATCAGACACATCCTAACGATCTAAATTCGTGAGAAGATTATTCGAAGCCAACAAATGGTACATCGAAAGCTTTATCTCTAGTATACTTGTCCCATGACTCCTTTCTTCGTAAAGAATAAGTTTACAAATTTAGCAGCATATGTTATCACCAAATTAAGAGGCACAGAATTCAATCATGCATGTCTCCGCTGTCAGTTTGTTGCATTTTCCGCGTTGGCGCAATTGCGCAAACCGCCCAGACCAGCATTCGCAAGCTGGAATTGCCCCTGCGAACGTCTCTTCGACAAGCAACCTGCCGCCAGCACAAACCGCCAGCCTTGTACGCGTAAGACAGCCTCGTCGTCGTCGTCGCTTGCCTGCCCACCGCGCCCCCGATAGATCGAAACTAGTACTTTCCAGGCCACTCCGAATAATCTTATAAATCCTCTTCCTCATCTTGATCATGTCACGACGGGAGTCCCTTAATCCCGTTTATCGCAGGCCGAGTTCTTTAGACCCTAGCTAGTGTACAGCATCTACGATCTCTGTCGACTGCAAGATAGGTACATACCTACATACCCCTCAAACGGTATCAGCACATATCAATATCAACATCGACTCGGCCGTCTACCAACCTATCTTTGAACGGATCACCTGTCAACAATCAGCCCTCTTCATCGTCAAGACACCATCGCAGCTTCATACTACCCCTCAGCCGTCAAAATGGTCACCACTCACATTCTGAACGACCCGGATGCTCTAATCGGGACCTTCTTCCACCTGACGAACTACCCAAATGCTTCCTTCGCTATCCAAACCCTCCAAAGGGTCGCGTCGCTCGTCAAACCCATTATGCGTCGCCACTCCTTCCGAATCGCAAAACTCGCAGAGTTCTACCCAGAAATGGAAACGAATCTTCTCGGTCTGAACACTTCATTTCCCGGAACATCGAATCTCCCTATCATTCAGTTAAGATTACGACAACCACGTGATCCTCGGATTTTCTTACCATATGAAAGTATAGTGCAGACTATGTTGCATGAGCTTACACATTGTGTTCATGGGCCTCATGATGATAAGTTTTGGAAGATGTTTCGGTCCTTGCAAGGGGAGCTTGAGACCTTGAAGTATACGGGGTATACTGGAGAAGGGTTTATGGGCAAGGGAGAGGCGTTAGGTGACGTTCCCAAGGGGCTCAGTAACCATGAAGCCAAGAAGAAAGCGAGAGAAGCAGCTGAGAAGAGGAGAAAAACTGTTCAAGGAAGAGGGAGGATACTCGGATCAGGTTCTTTGGGGCCTATTAAATGGTTGATTGAGGATCGTCCCGGAGGTTCATCAACCTTGAAGCCAAAGGACGGAGCTGGGAAGAACAGGAGTGGAGCTGGGTCTGCCCCTCCAATCAATAATGCCCCATCGCCCTACGCTACACCCCAAGGAACGGCCGCAGAAGCCGCACTTAAGAGGCAATGGGAAAAGGAGAGAGAAAAGGATAAACGACGTGTCTCGGGACCAGTTAGAGAAATACAACCACCTTCACGCCCACAAGAAGGACTATGCTCCGGCGTCCGACATTCAACGGCTGAAGCCATCGAGCGAGAGATCGCACAAATGCATGGATTCGAAAGTGTCGCACATATGGAAAATGCGAACGAGCGGGCTATCATGCTTGCAGCAATCGAGCTTCTGGAAGAAGCCGACCGAGAGGAGGAGAAAATCAAGGCAAGGGAGCGAGAACAGCAAAATCAGTCGCAACCTTCGTCATCATCACATGGGCCCCGTGAGGTCATAGATCTCACGGGTTCTATCACACCAAGAAATATCCAAAGAACACAATCAGCGCCAGTTCTCCCAGGCCATTCTGTATCAACTGTTCCTATCGTCTCACCAGGCTGGAGCTGCCCGGCCTGCACCTTCCGCAACGAAGAGAGCCACTTACAATGCTCACTGTGCAGAGTTGAACGTAACACGAAATTGCACGATGACAGTGAAACGAGGGCACAGATAATCGCGCTCAGGGACTTCGAGAGGCGTAAGGCAGAAAGAACTCAAACCTTCAACGCTGGAAAGGGGAAGGGTGTGGATAGATCTATGCCACAGTCAACTCCAACGCCTTCAGGATCTAGTGGTGGCGGTTCTGGAACGCTTAGAAGGGATATCACTATCCATGGTCTCCCAACTTGGAAGTGCCACTCCTGCGGTTGGTTTGTCAGGCAAGAGTGGTGGACTTGTAGCAATTGTGGGACCATGAAACTAGAGCCCTAGACACCTTCTATGCTAGAGCTACAGCTGTGACCAACTTTACGGGTATTTTAAGCGACAAGCTCTTTGTTTTGGTATTTTCGTATCACTCATCATGGCATTCTCTTTTTCACTGTATTATTCAGACTTGTCATCATTGATTTGCATATTCCAGCGGCGTATTACCCTCCATTATTTGTACAAGAGCATAAGATATATCCTTCCATAGGGCAAACAACTTCCTTCCATCTTTGTCATAGCCTCATGTATTTCGCAAACAGCCTCGTACTGGCAACGTAATCAAGCTTACGTGGGCCTGCAGAGGCCCGACTTGAAAACCCATACAGAAAACAGAACACCCCTACGCTCTGACCACAGTGAGTTTGGATTGCGAAGAGTTTAAAATTATCTCACTGCGGAGTTTTCACCATCAAACTCCATATTCTTCAGTATCGTACACCCACAAAATCATAGACTTTTAACGAAGGCTAACGAGCTAATCATCTTCCATGAACCCTCCAAATCCTTTCCTAAATGCCTCAACCGTGTACAACCGCTCGTTGACTGAATCTACTGCTGTTTCTTCAACAAGTTGCCCCTCAAATGGTTTACCTCCAAAGAAATCACTTGCTATTGTCTCCCCTTCTGTGAGGTCCGCATACGAAACTAGAGTGCCTTCCTCCGAGTCGGCGCCGAAGTATACTCTAGACCCTTGTACTGTGAGTGAGGTTACTGACCCTGCAGCTTTTATGTATCCTGCGTATTCTAGTTGGTTATCTGTGGTATGCTTATACCGTAATATCGCGGGTATTCTATAGGATCCTCGTTAGTATTGGTAATCTCAGGGCTTAAAAATCCCAATACATACCCTTCTAAAACTACAATGACCTCCCTGCCATCTACCTCCGATATTTGGGTAACCGCAATCGTGATATCCACCTCAGGCTCGCCTTCCTCTTTTCTCTTTCTCTTCTTGTTGTATCCTCTTAGCTTTTCTGTTAGAGCTTTGGCCTCTTCGTGATCCAGAATTGCATCAACATGGGTCTTCATGTCCGCTCTTTGAAGTAATTTCCCTGCTTTCCAATCCCATAGACCAAGCCAATCGTCCCCACCACCAGAAACTAGTAGATTGTTTTTCGTAACCAGTAGACAGTTTACAAACGCTGTATGGCCTAGGCAGAATCCATGAATGACATGTGTTAGTGGATAATTTGTGATCCGAATATGCTCGTCCCTGTCGGCTGTGATTATGTATTTCTTGATGTCACCTGAGCTGCCATTTTGCTGATGTGATGGTGGTGAGATTGCCGTTGTGAGTGTCGTAAGCAATGATACGTGGCCTAATAAGAGTTTTCCTTCGCTGCTTTCTTCTAGTTCTGATGGAAATGGAATTTTGTATGAGAATACATCGCCGAACTTGTCGCCTACCAGTACTGTGTTCGGTGTTAAAGTTATCGCTGAAGGTCGTTTATGAAGCACCCATTCCTTTACAACCTCCAAAGTATCTAGATTGTGCAACCGCAATGTTTTATCCTCCAATGTTGTTATTGCGAGTAGATTCCTATTGATAATTGGGACCACTTGACCGATATAGTTCGGTTGAGGCGGTGTAGGAGGTTTTGCAGCATTCTTGGCCTTTCTCTTTTCACTCTTCTTCTGATTTCTTGTCTTTTTATCTGACTTTTTGGCTTCAGCGCTTGTCTCCACCGATTCTGAAGTCTCTACAGGCGCATTTGATGCAGCGGAAGGGCTTCTTTTCCGCTTTCCAGCAGCTGAACTGACAGATGGTGGGGAATCCGTCATCACGACGTCGGTTGATTCTACATTTCCCTCTGTTTTTGTAGTTGTTGCAGCGATTTCTTCTTCTTCGTTGGTCGGTAATGCTTCTGCAGCATCTCCACTTTCTTCGGGTTTATCAGCGACATCTGGAGCTTGGGATTGAGGTTTCCCTTGAATGGGAGCAGGTGGCGCTTTCCATGTTGCGACGGTCTCGTGAGTGGTTGCTGATATTGCATAAACGGTTTCAGCAATAGCAATGAATAACTTTGGAGAGTCGGATGGGGCGAAGGCAATTGCCTGGACTGGATGTCGCCGCGATGTCATCTTCGTGGTAATTCCTTCCCGCAGTATTAAGTATTGTGATAGCCAAGGAAAAGTTGGATATTGAATTTAAAGAAATCCTGCTGCTGAGTCAGCCGTGTCACGTGATCGGGCAGCTTTGGCGAAAGGACACAATTCCATTCTGGAAAACACCGACAAAGAAACAAAGGCTGCGGGCAGAACAGGCCATTTCGTCCTTTCTTCATCACCATCTCTTCATCGCCATCCCTCCCTCCGTCCGCACCTACCAGCATAGTCTTGCTGACTTCAGTGCTATTCCGACCAGCCTAGAGATCATACCATATTGTCACTACGGACTACGTATTATAGAAACTTCTTCTAGTTTTCTGCCCACTAGCGGTCTTTTCTTTATCGCAGAGTCGATAAGCCAAGTCTGTCAAGATGATTAACCTGACGACTTTGATTCCTCCAATTCTTTACATTGTCATCATCGTTGGTTCGATGGCGACGTTCTCTTCACTCTATAGGAAGAGGAAGGCTCGTATGTTTTTTCTCTTATCTGCACCTATAATACCTGTTGATAAGAATATCCTGCTAACCGCCATTATCGAATTTTATAGAAGCCGCAGCTTCCATGGAACCCTGGTTCCCACAATCCATCGCTCGCGATATCTACCTCACCCTACTCCACCTTCCGGATACTCCAAACCCCCCTAAGGTCCCAGACTCAGTTCTCCGTGCAGCTCTTCTTCGTCGCGCTACAGATGTCATCCAAAAGGCCATTGTCATCCGTCAATCCAAGGGTCCCCTCCAGGCTCTCCTTCAAAAGGGTTCAGTTGGTGATGACACCTGGGCTCAATTCCTAAAAGCCGAGCAAGACATCGACGCTGAAATTAAGGAAGTCGCCGAAGATGCTATGGCTCTATCCAACCAGAACCAGCAGTGGGCGCAGTTCATCTTCCAGTCTGCAGCTGAGATGCTTACTAACGAGCGGCTACGTACCAAACTTGAGGAACAAAATGTTAAGTCGCAGGAGTGGTCTGAGTGGTGGGGTAAGAGGAACGAAAAGGTTCGCAGCGAGTTTTTGGCGAGTGAAGGAGTCGAGGAGATCGGACAAGGCACATCGGTTAATCCTGCTGCTGTTTTCACTGGTTTGGTCGAGAAGAAGGCTGGTAATGTTAGCGATGAGGACGGTGTTCTTGTTGAAGCCGAAGTCACCTCGCCTACCACACCAAAGGAATCGAAGAGCAGCAATAAGAGCACACCAATTGCCACACCTACCAGCACACCCAGCGGTAGCGTCAGGAAGAAGAAGGGTAGAAAATAAATCAAGATTCCTGTACGATTTTCTTCTTGAGCAGAAAGCGCTACAAGGGGTTGGGTGGAAGTTGTATATGGTAGTGCAGTGCAGTGCTAGCATTTGAGGAATGCAAAAAACTTTTTTTCTATTCTAGATTAAATGACTCTTTTGGCGATTCTTGTCTATTTGTTTCCTCCCTATGAGTCTGATATCACTTTTGGCATGTCGTTCGGCGTTCTCTGTCCCCTTTCCTCGAACCTTTTGTATTCTTTACTTGTCCTTTAAGCTCATACACACCCTTCACTTCTCTGTGCATATTGGACATAATATAATTGCTATATGTAACACGATATCTTTCATATTGTGATGCCAAAATTTCTAGAATTCTATCCTTCCGGTTACACAAAAACCAAAATTGCAAAACAAATATTAGAGCTAAAGAAAACTGCATAGGCCCTATCAAATCTATGTCATTTCTACACCCCTACAACTCTCCCGACCACCACACTGATATCATCCAACTTTCCCCCTTCCGCTATCTTGCCTTCCTCAATCGCTCTTTCCATCCAAGGACTCTCAGCATAAGGATCCGTCGCCACAACCTTCGCCGCCTTGACCAATTCTGCCGCAATCCCCGTCATTAATTCTCCACCTTCAATAGGGTCCTCAGCACCCGGTAACAAATCCTCATTTTTGGCCAAATACTCTCTAAAAGCCACGTTTACACCTTCTTCCACTCTTTTCTTCCCCTTCTTCTTCATGATCTGACCCAATTCCATACCCCATGGTTCCTTTTCTCCGCCTGGTGAAGAGGTTTTTGTCAAAGTATGTAAGATTATGGATATTACTTCTTCCTCCCAGAGGTTATCTAGCATTCCGTCGGTGGCCAGGATTATGATATCGCCGTTTTCGACGTCGATTGTGGAGACTGTGGCGTTGCCGAGTGGGGTGTCTGGACTATCTGTTCCTAGTTGACGGGGACAGTCGAAGTAATGCCATTGCTCTGTGGTTCTTAATAGAAATCCGGGATCGCTGGTTGTTTCGCTTTCACTTCCACTACTACCTTCAGATGGTGTATCAGATGTAGCAGTAGAAGTGTCGGCAGTGGTAGAAGTTGACGAAGGCCTCAACACCAAACAATGACTATCCCCAATACTAACCACGTGCAACTTCCCACCATGCAACAAACACCCCGTAAAAGTCGTAGTCCCATGAAACCTTTGGGTTTTAGACGTAGGACCGGTAACCAATCCGAACGGGGACTCCTCCGGCTGCGGTGGAGTCTTCGGTGGGGTTATGTATCCCGTAGCCTTTACGACTGCCTCGAAAGCGTCGTTGAGGATTACACGAACATCCACTGGATCGTCATGGTTTGGTGGTGATGAAGCAGTAATGGGTGGTTGTGGTTGGTCTGGTGATGAAGAATTCTTTCTACCGCGTCTACCGCGGTTGAAGAATCGTTCGCAACCGATTGAGAAGTAGTGTACTAGTAATCGAGACCATAAGGCCGGATATCCCTTTTCTTTCATGTTCCAACTTCCAACACCGTCTGCGACGGCGAGGTATTTATCGTGAATTAGTAATGCATCGTCTCCGTTTGTGTAACCTCGAAGGAAACGGGTGGTACGAGCTGATGCCTCGGCTGCAGCGTTTTCATTGGGAGTTGATGATGCGGGGGTATACAGTTGATGTTGGTGAGGATGAAGAGGTCGCCGGGAGAGGGAGGTACTATGAACACTTAGCGGTTCGGAAAAGGATGAGGTCGGGGGGTTTATCCATGGTTTTGGGAATGGGCGAGGGGCACGTTTTGCGTATAAGGAGAATCCGGTTTGAAAAGTTGGGATAGTTTGAGGATTTGAGGTCGGAGATTCTGAAGTATTATGTGAAGCAGTAGAAGTAGTTTCAGTCGCTTCTACTGCTACAGCAGAATCCCTACTTGACGTTGCAGAAGAAGAGAAGTTATAAACCTTCAGTCTTGGAAGACCGCTCCTTCGAAGTACATTGCAAGTATGTGTTGAAAATGTTGTATTTTGGGGGACTCTCAACGACCTTGTGGAGAAAGAGTATGGCCTGAGGTTAGCCAATACCGGCCAGTAAGAGTATCGGGCGAGCATTACAGCACTCCGAGGAGTGCTGTGTATGCATGGAAAACTAATTGTCGATTTCAACCCTGATGTTATAGACCCTACTTATAAGCAGGGCACAAGGACGATCACTTCAAGGGCAGGATCCTAAGGGTCTGACATGCGACACTTCGAAGCTTCGGTCAGCGGCCGACAGAAACTATGTTGAGCTCGAAAAGCTAAATATCCAGACCAACGGTATCGTTCCTTAATATCTACCAGTATTTTAAAAAAAAGAGAATCAGGCGAGAGTATGTATTTGAATAAAAGAAATTTATCAGACCGGTCCGCGTGTCTTCCCTTGTGATAACAGTTCACAGTCCCGCGGCTACTTTCTTTATCGATAGCCAAGAGCTCACCCCAATTCCAAAGTTCACACCCCAGTTCCGCATGTAACGTCTCCAGACCCTTGACTCGACCCGACTCGACTTTTGACCTTACCTAACCAAAAGAACACGTTGTCGTCGGTGTGAAAACCCCACCGTCTAGCTCCGAAGTCCATCCGCACAGGCTTCATGGTCTAGTGGTATGATTCTCGCTTTGGGTTGCATTTCATGCAATTATGCGAGAGGCCCCGCGTTCGAATCGCGGTGGAGCCCTGTCCGCTTCTCTTTTTGCTAGTTCTTGAGGTTACTTTTGATCTTGAGATAGTACAGTCCTATTTTCTTTTTGGAGATTGAAGCTTTTACAATGGTTCAGGGTGCAGTATTTTTGCTATAACATGGATTGGGGTTGCCATTCATATACTGCCTGGCGTAGGTCTAAAGCTGCTTCGGTAAACAGGGCAAACAAACTTGGTCTCGGGCACACGCATCTATAATAATATATAATGTAAAACCATTACAGATGTAATACGAAACTAGTAATTACCACAACGTCCAAAATAAAAACTTAGAGGTTAATATCAATGGGATCTACAAAGGTGCAAAAACCTGTGACTATAGCATAGCAGCTGGGAAATTAAGTCTGAACTACGTAACATGTCATCCATACATTCATCCAGCCACAAAACGATGGTATTGACGTTGCCTGTCACGGATAATCTATCGAACCCTATGATCTCAAAAAAAAATCATCCCAAACCTGAAGAAGCGTGAAGGAAAAGTAAAAAGATAGGGCTCCACCGCGATTCGAACGCGGGGCCTCTCGCAAGATTGCAGGTTAATGCGACCCAACTGTGGCAGGTATTAGTTTGAAGTTCATTTACATTCGAAGATATCGGAGTGGGGGTACTTTCAGCGAGAATCATACCACTAGACCATGAAGCCTGTATGTGATTGAAGGTCGCGCCGAGAAAATCAGGTACAAAATGCCCTCTGGAGTTGGAACTCGCTGCAAAATGCGGGTATCGATTTCGACTACTAACGATGATTTCTTCCCCTATCTGTTTTTGTGATGGTTGAGGCCATGAGGTGCTACCATAATTTATTTCATCAATTGGAACCTTATCAATACCTGGCTGTGCTTGTCCTAAAAGAAAATCTGTTTGGGGTTGGTTCACGTGACATAATTCGAGGTCGAATCTGCGGCCGCCATGCAGCATTCCGGCTGCTGTCAGCAAAAAGCTTCGTGTTGCGTGTTGCACTGTGTTGGTAGCCAACACAATTTGGTCAGCTCGTTAAGCTGGCCAAGGCGGAAGTATGCCAACAAAAATGAAAAAACGAAAAGCGAAAAAAAAGGAAAGGGCTCCACCGCGATTCGAACGCGGGGCCTCTCGCATAATTGCATGAAATGCAACCCAAAGCGAGAATCATACCACTAGACCATGAAGCCTTTCTTGAAGAAATGATCTACAAAGCGAGTAAATGACCGTGCACTTAATACTCGGTTTCTAAAGCACCCAAGATTGCAACGAACCTTGTCTAAGTTTCCATTGCGTGAGAGGCCAACACCGTCTTGTTTCTAGATTACAGCAGTTCTATTAATATTCCTCTCAAGTTTAAATATCTTGCCAAAATAATATGTATTCAACATACCATCAATTGTAGTACCAGTACTCTTTCATCTTTCGCACTACAAATGGTACTGACGTAAAAGCGATCTTCTAATATAACGCCGTAGATAACAAAGCACAGATTGCAGCAAGATGTGTATCAATACGATATGCACAAACACTTTTCTGGTATAGAAGCTCTCGACTTAGATAATTAAAGTGCTCTCCTATGAATAACATGCCTCGCAACCAATCGGCACAAAGACAATTTCTAGCTATCGTGTCGCCTATTAAATACTTAATTCCCAGGAAACCATCATACATTTTTTTTTTCGAGGCCACCCTCTTTTAACTAACATATCACACAGAGAGCATTACGAACAGTCCCCCTTAGATCTCGAAATTTACGGCCTTGCCGAAAGTTGACCTATCCAATTTTTAGTTATAGTGATAACCAAGCGCCGACATGGGGCGCTATGTGTCTATCTAAGCGTGGGCTTAGATTTAATATTTTTATCATCTGCGGGAAACTACCTTGATGCATATAAACTTACCATTTGGCAATGTAAATGTACCTATGTAATATCTACCTAGCTTTTAATTAATTGCATATCTGGAATATGTTCTCCATGGAGCTCCTCGACTATATATATCAGCACTCGCGACACTAGTACTGGTACTAAGACCGATGTTTATATATGATACAGCTTTATGCACTACGTAGTTGCACCTTCCACAACCTAGGCCTCTGGTCTTTCCAGTATCTAGATATTTTCGCATCCTAGGGCCGGAAAAAATCAATGGTTTCTCGTAGATGGTGGGCATGCGGCATGGCGTTGTAATCATAGCTTATAGATTTTTGCGGTAACATCTCCATTGTTTTTACACAACTCAGGAAGAGGAAAGCTTAGGTCGATCGTTTCTTTAAAAATTATCCTGCTCTCCTAGTCGATTAGACGCACATATAATCCATATAAAAGCGTTGGGGTCAAGGCCTGGTCTCATCCCCGGACGTCATAAAGAGAGGGATTACTTTGTTTCTTAGCGAGCCATAGATACTAGATTGAAGGTATAGTCACATCTAATCAATATTCCAGTATTTACTATATCTATATGTACATATAGTACTAGATACTATGAAGGAATCGTTTTTATCCCCAGCGGCACTATGAGCCGGGAGTACTATGAGCCATCGGATTTGAAGAGTAAACGATCTTGCACAGGCCAGCTTGTACCCTCTTCACCTGTGGTATTCTTACCAGATCCAGACTCAAACCGGTATTATTTACCCTTCAATTGCGATGCGTAATCGGATCCCCATTGGCGTCACGATATCCGGATTTAAGGCAGAAAAAACTGGCCAATTACATATACATGCACCAGGATCATTAACAAGGGAAAATGGCGGTTGACCTGCTATATGACATGCGGGGTCTATACGAAGGTAGCGGGGATTAACAGAAAACTTCTAGACAGTGTGAACGATGGTAATATGATTTCAAAACAACAGAAATTATGCAAGATATCAACGCAAATCCAAACTTCACCAATGCAGCCATCATACCCACCACATCCTCTCCTACCCTTCAACATACCCAAAATATTTTCCCAACAACATACCAAAAAGGAACTACCAAAAACCAATCAACCCGTAGCACCATACCCCAGGCCTCTTACATACCACCAAGCCGATCGTCATCTTCATCAGGATTACAGATATCGCTACAAAGACCAATTTCGAACTTCCGCAGAGACGATGACATACCCGCCGGTAGTACCAAATCGTTCTATGGAATTTCTCAAAAGCCCAGAGTATCGATATCTATATCCCTGATAACTATGATGACCCGCTTAGCGGCATATGAGAAGCTTTTTGTTCTAGGGTAGGCGATAGGGAGACCGTGGAAGCGTCCTGTTTGAATTCGTGATAGGTTTAGAAGGGTAGTTCTAGGGTTTCTGTGGAAAGGAGGGTTAGGATGATGGCACTCTAAGAGAGTGAAAATAGTTGCTCAGGGCCTTTAGCAAACCAATTGCTCCTCACTGAGAGCTTTTTTCTTGGATCAGCCAAAAATCGTGGGATCAAGGGATGAGGCATATATGGGGAGATACTGATTGCTAGGGTGTAGTGCCAAAAAAATTCAATCGTGGATGCGGGGGTGGGTGGGGAGGGGAGAGGGGAATTGTATTGAAGTCAAGAAAAACAAGAAGTCGTGATAGTGCTAAGAAATAAAAAAAAGGAAATAGAAAGAATATTCGTGAGTCCCAACAGCCAATGGCGAAGCAAATAGATTCCATGCTATGGGGTCAGAGATTCATTGTTCAGAGGTTTTGATGTATGATTGATAGGCTTTCATGGAGTGTTGATTGCCCACAGTTTTTGTGCTTCCCTATTTCTCGTAGAACTCGAGATCTTAGGATTTGGGGAAGTCACGGCCTTCTGGCGGCTATTCGTCTTTTGCCCGCGGCCTTTGTCTTCTTCTTTCCCTGTCTCTTTTTCACACCGGCGCCCCCTGATGCTTTTGCCTGCTCGGCCATTTTTTTGTGTCTATGGCTTTTAGCATAGTGGTTCTTGTAAAAGTCATCCCGCATAAGCCTTTTTTGACAAATCTTACACAGAAAGAGTGGAAACCCTACACAGGAATAGAAGTGTGCCATGAAATCCCGGGCATGGTGGTATGGTATTTCACATTTGGGACATTCGTGTGGCGGATCTCTCGGCCTTTCTATGCAACTCAATCTTTCTTTTGGCTTACCTTCGGGCGGTGGATTTCGTCGGGCGGTCTCTCTGAATTTATATTCCGGGGTATTGGTAGTCGGGTTTTTGGCAGCCTTGTATTGTTCCAAGGCATATTGAGTTAAGTTCGAGGGGATATAAGGGCTATCATCTGGGGTAGCGAGCGTCTCATCTCTAGGAGGGAGATCGGCTCCTGATTCCACGGGAGAGTTTGCAGGGGTATCAAGTGTCTCATGTCTAGGAGAGAGGTCGGTTCTTGATGCCACTGGGGAGCTTGCAGGAGTTGTGGATTCGGTGTTTAAACCAGAATCTGATTTTGGAGTAGAGCCATCACTAGAGCTTGAGGAACTTTCACTGTCGGATAGCGCAGGACCCGGTGGATCCTGGAGGTTAGGAATCGGCGATGAACGCTCAAATGCGTACCAGTACTCATCTTTGTGCAACCTTGGTGGTTAGACGAAGTTTCAAGCTCTTTGCTCTTCATAAATGCGGGGTAGATGCGGGGTTATATACCGACGTGGTCATAATTCGAGTTAGACCTTCTTAAGATTTCTGTAGAAGCCCCCTCATGTCCAGAGATAACCTCAGAACTAAAGAGACTGCTACATGGTGTAGATAATTCATCGGTAAAACAAAATTGTGCGGGGACTATATGCAGAGTTAGTCAACGTTTAACATTAATCAAGAGAGAGGTAAAAATCCAACATACAACTGGGCCCGGCGGAAGCCTCAGTTACAAAGTTTGGGAACAGCTCATGGTTTTGGAGAGATGAACTAGAGTTAACTAGTCCTCCAATGTCGTCATTCTCCGTGTGATCCTGAATGGCCCTGTATTCTGGATCCTCGGAAGAACTACCACGAGGTGACGGGTTTTTATTTTCTCTCTGATAAAAGTGGCTTGAAAGGTCCAAAAGCAGCGGATTGACACAACAATTGGAGAGATCACTGTTTTGGTGGGTGAAAATCTTGGTAAGAAAAGAAGTAGAGGCCTGGCGGCCACAAAGGTTGAGACCTAGACAGGCAATCCGTCACCAGACTGCCGGATCTGAGGCTCAATTGTATGAGCGAATCCTCGCTCTAGCTCGGTACTATAGCGCCGGGACAAACTAAAGTAAACTAGGTAAACCAAATGCCGGTATAGGGACAAGTCACCACAATTGGGACTGTTAATAAAAGGAGAGAGAGGAATTACATTCTTTGTTGGGGCAGTCATAGCATATATACTACGCGCGTATAAGCATTGCATTGTGGGTTACAAGGATTAAACTTCAGGCTTTCAATAAACTACCTCATTAGGAAATTCTGAGGGAAGTGTTGTTGTTTTGATTGTATCGTGCAACTTACCTAATCTAGACTAAGCAATCTCCAAGATTGGCACCAACCCTAATACAGGTTTACGACAATAAAATTACAACATCAACAACTCCACAGAGTCGACAAGATATGTGGACTTGAAGCAGAGATTAGAAAGATTCTCCAAAAATCGCAGTTTAATCCTATCTACAAAGGCCAAGCTATTCTTTGGCAGTTTTACAGACTGTATTGGCTTCTATGAGGATGTAGCTGCCTAAATGTTGGAAGTACGAAGATCGGAAAAACAGCTATTGATATATACATACGCATACAATTGTACAACATGCAACATGTTTAGGCATCGGAGCAAAATCTATGCTGAATTCATGAAGGGTGGAGGAAGATTCGAGAAAATAACTTCTATGCAGTCAATTGGCTATTCAACTTGACGGTGTCAGTTTTATATTAGGCTGACAGCTCAGCATAGAGAAAGCAGGGATACTGTGGGGTGTTAATTAGGTCCATGGACAAGCGGCTATGCAATTTTAAGCATACATTGGTTAACTTGTCCTGAGGCATTTCCTTCTACAAGTCGACTAAAAAGGTTAAGAAAGAAAGAATTCTATAAATCTATATAGGAAGGGTGGGGAAAGAGGGGTGAAGTGGTGACAAGAATGAGGGAGAGTTCTAGTGAGCCGAAAACTGCTCGTACCCAAAAATATGCAGCCATCCAACTGTGCCTTTCGAAAAGCAACTTGGAAATCTAGCGTAATCTCAACTTCTCCAATGTGGCCATGGTGCCCACTATCTCCTCCAATCCCATAAACGTCTTAAAAACTTGGGTATTTCCCAAAAACAAAACCAAAACTACCACTAGGTCCCCTACCATATGCCTCTTACACACAAATGAACAACTCATCAAACTCATCAAAGAATATAGGGCTTGCCGTGACCAGCATCCTAATCATATCAAAAGCAATGAAGACCCGCCGGTATACTCCGCGATTGAGAGAAAATGATGCGGTGTAAGTAATACCAATACATGGATAGAATGATAAAGTGCCTACCTGTATGTGAGAGACCCCCAAAATTGAGTTCTACAGCAGACAACCTAGGAGTAATTTAGAAGAAATACCAAAGCCAAAAGCGGATTGCGGAGATTATAGGTGGAGTAGAATAGGTGGGATCAGAGCACTCCAAGAGATGGCAACGCTTGCCTCGGACCTGAGCTGACAAATGTTCCACCGTCTTATGAGCTTCCTTTTTGGGATGTTGAAATATAGCGGTGTGGGTGTCGGTTTATATGGTATGGCGACCTCGTTTTATATCGTGACTCGCTCCTTAGCGGGCCTGTTCCTAACCTCTGTTTCGGTTTTCCAGTCTGTTTAGACTGAACTTCGCGACCTTGACCGGGCGTCTTAGGTATCAATGTATTTTGTCGACCTCATGTCGACATTGGCAGCAAAGTCGTTGCTTTCGCATGCCACTGGGCTTTCTAGAGCAGCCTATGCTCTACAGGCATCCGGAACTTTATGTTCCTTAGATATTTTCAGAGGTTAATTGGTAACCGCCTTGGCAATTCCAAGCGGTATTAGGTGTGTTAATTGCCCTAATTTTTTTTAGCGCCGATCAATTCTTTTTGTATTTCTCAGGCCGGCGCACCTAGCTCTCCTGAGCCTAGGATTTTCAGTTATTCCTTTTCTGACCCTCCATCAGTTTTCTGATGACCAGGGTTGGAATTTGAGGGTATCTCCTCGAGTACCCGTAACCGTTCAAGGTGTTCCGTAGACAACGAGTGGGCCTTCATATTATGACGCGTGGTGATCCCGGCTCCACACAAACAAGTATAAAAAGGTCTGCCTAAACAGCGACGGAAGTGGGACTCAAAATCGCGCTTGACAGTGAACTTTTTCGGGCAGCCAGGGCACTGGTGTTTAGGCTTGTGATGCCGCCTGATGTTCGTTGCTCTCTTCGGCTTTTTCTTGGTGTGTGGAGGTTGAACTGCGGATACCTTTCTGAACCCAATTCCGCCTTGGAGTATGTCACCCCTCTTGAGATCTCCACCGAGACCGTTCGGCGTTTGCTGGCCGCCATCCTTGACGGGTGAGAGACTGGCCGCTGGGGAGGAGTTAGCCATCTCTTCCGTCCCCACTGACAATCTGGGTGAGTTCTCCATTTCTGAGCTTGAAGTACTCGGAGATAACTCAGGCATGTCAAATATGCTGCTTGGGAGGTTTTCATTCTTGTGAGGTTCCAAATGAAAGCTGAGAGGCTCAGGTGGACTGATTATATTGTCATGCATCTGCTCAAAGCATATATCTAGAGTGATATTTAGATTAGCAAGGTATTCCATCATCATTTTACATCTATAGAGCCACCAAGCTTAAGGAAATATTGTCTTACCTGTCCAATTAAGCCATTCAAACTCATCCAAAGGGAAACTAAAATCAATAGGTTGGGGGTGGCTTGTCTCAACTATGACTTGTTGATCATGGATGCCGATACATGGTGTCGTAAGGTCGGGATGGTAAAAGGGAAGTCCTGAGGAATCTGTCTGCTCACCTAGATTTGGAAGATTAATTAGCTCTATCTTGATAAGTATGTGGTGAGATAAACAAATAGTTAGACTTACAACTAGACCCGGCGGAAGACGTAGCTGCAACTTGCGCGAATATTTCAGTGAGACTCAGCTCAGGACAGTTTAGAATTGGGATATCATGTTTATGAGGATTGAAGCTACTAGAATTAACTAGTCGCTCAGACTCTGAAGTCTCCGAATGATCTTGGGTCCGGTGTTCGAGATCCTCGGAAGAACTACAGAAGAAGTTTGGGGATTGGTCTTCTTCGGACTCGGCGAATATTAAGTAATCGCTGGCCGAAAAATAAGATGAATCAAAGAATAAACTTTGTCTTAGTTCCGCGGTAATGTTTGTGTACCGCCAAGAACCTGCGGGGAATCGATATCGGGGTGAGACCCAGATATCGGTGACGATATCCGAGTCTCAAAATCTTTAATATACTGAGGCTGATCTGGACCGCGGGAATTTGGATTTTGGGTCGCCTCGGCGCTATAGTGAGTTTGCCTTTTACGAGGACTTACAGAAAGGAAAGAGAAAAGAAATCCCTCCATCTTCCTGAGGGGAATCCGGGAATTTAAAGTCTTTCATCTACATTGGAATGCGACATAGCAGGGATCTTGATGCAGGCCGTTTTATAGTTGCCAAAGCTGGCTATTTCAGCTTGTGAATTATCTTCAGGGCGACTGGTCCTTGAAAGGAAATATAGAATTCTATAGAATCGCTATTTAGGAAATGTTAAAAAAATATCGCAGACGAACAATGCATATGTTGGTTGTAAAGTGCAGGGGGATCCCCGCCAGATCGTATTACCGCATTTAATTCCGCCTGCAGCGAATGAATCGGATGAGCTGTCAATAGGAACATGCCGATGGAACACTAGTCTGGGGCTTTTGCCTTGGTGCAATACATCTTGCATATACCGGTTTTAGCTAGTACTTTTTCTAAATGTTCTCGGCAACCATCCTCAGGTGCCATGAACAAAACCAAAAGAAACGGCTTCAGAGACGACAGGTAGGATTAAAACGTTCACAAGGTTGAGTGATCGGTACATAAAGTAGTAGATAATTGATCAATTAAGTCAGGACACCCTCAAATTTCGAAGTATACTAGTATCAATGCTCGATACCGCTATGAGTAATAGATGTACTCTCAGCCCTAGACCCCGTTTTAGCCACGACGTTCTAGGAACGACATCATAGATACGAAATACTAGTACGAAAACAAACTTGACAGTACTTGATCTCGACAGCGAACTGTCTGACGGGTTTCGCAGATATCGATATCTAGATTTATGCGCACAAGCCCATAGGTATATACCGCGAGGATATATCGATACTCGTATTATTTATGTAAATCAAAGATAATATATATTCTAAGATCAGGTTATGTATCTGAATTCTACTTTTTTCCCGTCATTTGTAAGTTTCAACTATTAATATATTACCGATAAAGCGGGGCCAAGTCTCTAGGAATATACAGACCTGAATTGAAATATATAGTCTATATATCTCTCAACCGTTGAACGACTCTAGGGTTCAATCAATTGATATCATAATATCAATCTATCACAAGCTTTGTAAGAAGCCGGTCGAGTATCTACTGGTGAAATCAATCGTCCCCTCCGGGGCTCCCCATCTTTGTATCGGGATATCGCCGAATCGCCGAACACCTGATCTGAGATCTTATACAAGAATAAAGTTTTATACAAGGAATAGCTAGTTCCTTTAACTCTCCATTGCATTGAAGTTCTATGCATATCAATTGATATCACAGCTATAGTTTTGCATCCCGAATATAATCTAAAACGCGGGGTATGCAACTGAATCACCGTTCTGCCTCGTCTCGGGGCACATGCATAATATACGACCGGACCCGCGCCGTTGGGTTGGATGACATAAAAGCCTTGGCAGTCTAGCTTCACCACACGAAAATGAGTGCGACACCACAAAACATCCACCGATTCGCCTTTGATTCCCATCCAAAAGAAACAACTTCTACTTGCTGTTCGGTAACGACTTACCCGTCCTTTAACCCGATAAGAAAAGAACCAACCAATCCTTCTCGCTGCCGTTGCAGGGAACAATGACGATGCCATCAACCGCCCCAAACTCACGAGTTAAACCTTCTGCACGAGCTTTCACTGATCCAGACGATGAGGAAGATGCATTCTCAAAGCTTGCTTCACGAAATAAACCATCCACGAAAGGTCTACCTCCTGTTGAACCAAAGTCGCTTTCACGCCCTCCGACTATGGTCCCTAGACCTTCAGCCGGAAGCAATACGGTCAATAACGATAACAATAATGACGATGACGATGACGACGATTACATGTCCATGACTGTCGCCGATCCAACGACCACCGAAACTCCCTTACAGAGACTAAAACGTCGAAAAGTCGAGGCTTCAATCCGAGGAAATCCACTCTCCAAAGCAGAATTAGCAGAACAGGAAAAGCTAAGACGTGACCTGGGACTGGCAACATCAATACTCAACAACACTAATTCAAAGGGGTTAAAAATGATGAAAGCGATGGGTTATTCGACTGGTTCGGCATTGGGTAAAGCTGCTCCTACGCCGACTGGAACAGCGGATGTGAAGGATAGTAGGAGGTTAGAACCGATCAAGCCGATTGTGAGGGAATCTAGAACGGGTATTGGCCATGAATCGGACTTGAAACGGAAGTTTGGAGATATAAACCCCGTCGGTGGAGAAGGGAATGTCACAAAACGCCAGGAATTATCACCGGAAGGCTACAGGAATAGACTTACACTGGAGGCCCAGCAGCGAAGATACGAGGCTCAAATCTTCGCTGCTCAATCCATTTGTGAGAAACTAGTGGCACAAGATCCACCGGAAAGCTACAATGGCCCACTAAAGAAGTCGAAAGAAGGGACAACCGAGGATGCTGCAGCGGAGGGCGAGCAGGAAACCGATGGACAAGCAGAAGGAGCATCAAAACGTGACTTCTTTAACGAAAAACCGACATTCACACAAATAAAGCAAATCAACTTGATATACCGGGGTCTTCTTTACCGTCGTGCAGTTTCGGACCTCAAAGCTTGTCTGAAGAAGAAAGAACAAGATAGCCTCACCTCTTCGAAGAGCTCATATATCCCTAACTTGTCTTTGCCCAAGTATAACACGACCGGGGAATTCAATGCGGACGATGAAATTGCGATGGGAGCTGAGTCTGAAGATATTGTGACAGAGCAAGAACTAGAAGATCAAGAGTTGGAAGAATTCGAGAAGAGAGAGGCTAAAGATCGACTGGATGAGATCGTGAGATATCTTAGGAGTCAATGGAGGTATTGCTTTTGGTGCAAGGCCCGATACGCTACTGATGAGGAGTTGGACAAAGAATGCCCGGGATTAACAGAAGAAGATCATGATTGATTGACCTAAACTGCGGTCTATGTCAAAGTTTAAGCTTCAAACCGGTGCAACTAACTGAGGATCCTTTTTCTTTTTCTTTCAGGATAATCAAGGAGCGACGATACGACTTTCTGTTAACCCAGATGAATACATATTTAACCACTGTCGATACTGGACTCCTTCTTTTCTTGTTTTTTTTATGTAGCCTTTTGATTCTTTTGCCCCTGCCCGTTCATTCTGCGCGTTTAGTCGGCCTCTTTTTATCTACAGTTAGCGGTTCTTTCTTCCCAGGTGTTCGTTTTCCTTTGCATGATTCTCAACGGTCTTCTTTTTCTGCATGTATCATTATGATTTGCGATGTCAGATGTTAGCAATATACTTAAGCCGACAGGCTCCCATGTGCATTCGAAACAAGAGTCTTCTCTTAATACATCTCTTTTTGGAGTTCAAACTACGGCGTAACTTACGCTTCAACAACCGTACCAGGCTAAGATCGATTCAATTATGACGAGAAATGGTAAGCCGCCTTCGTGGGCCTGAAATGATCTTGATTTAAGATAGCATAGCATCTGGAATATACCTTCTAGGACAAGAAATCTATGTATAATATAATATAATCTGAAGACAGAGGGCCTCGGGGGGACCTTACCCCGATACAGAAATATTTATGTAAGTGTGCTCCTTGTCTCGTCGCCAGACTGCTCAACCGTGTAAAGAGTCTGGCGACGAGAAAACATAGGTCCAGTCGATATTCAAGTCTGGTTACGAGACTGATTAATACGAGAGTAAGTCGGGCCTTAGTAGTGTCATATATCAGCAATTAGAGGTTGGAAGTCGCCCTTTCCTCTCGGCTGCCGTCCATATACCATGCTCCGATACCCCAACGCCTTCAACCGATACATCAAGGCAACTGTCAAGTATTTAAGCAAATAGGTATGTTTCGGGGTTCCTACCAATCTCCACTAACCTCCTTTCCATCATTGCTCCCGTCCACGCGTCAAAATTCTTCCATGTTCACGGACTAAGCCCTCTAATACATAGTCGAGAAGCCGAACCGTAAGTTAAATCGAATCAAGATGGTTTTGATCGGCCGGGTTGAACTCGGGCCGTATTACCACCCCCAAAACAATCCCGGAGATGTCGCGATTGAAGAAATTTCACCAACCTCATTGGACTACGAGCCTGTCGTTACAGCTTGGAGAACCGCTTTAGCAATTACGCGTTCTCGAAAGTTTCGCAGAGCTCTCTACCATCTCGCCGACAAGGTACAAAGAGACAAGGCATTAAACATCATGGATGCTCAAGTCGATGAGTTTATTCTTGACTTGAAGAATGATTACCAGCAATCACTCCACAAGTACATGATCATCCTCGATGGCAGGCTTCAAAGATCCGTTCTTAGAACGAACGAAAGGCCCACTTTTGGAATCCATTTGAACAAACACGTACGTACGCGCGATATATAGTTTCCTAACCTCAGCCCAAATATTAGTAAATACTGACTTTTGAAAAGTACGTCAGGTCGCTGTTACTCACCACTGGACACGAAGAGAGCCGCCTTCGATGCCTTCTCGCCACGGCCATCGTCCACGAGTTTGCTCACTGCTTTGTCACCTTCATCGGCTACCAACGAGGCCAGGTTACGCCTGAGCGGGTCAATCACAACTCTTTCTCCCAGTCAGCAAACGGACAAGGAGAGGCCGGTAGATACCTCGAAGGGAAATTGTGGGGTGGAACGTTGGAGTGGCAGAACCCAGCCCCTGGTTCCATGATCGGCGACCTCTATGTTCTTGATAAGGACAGCAATGCTCGTCTTGTCCGACGCACTCAAGTTCTCGATATTGGATCTTACCGAAGTAATAATCTATACCAAGCTGATTCCCACCCAATCGTACCCGCTTCAGTTTTGCTAACTATTAAACAGTGTTTGGTATGCCTTACGAAATCTTGAGCGCTAGCGGTCTTTATCTGGAATTGGCGCCAAACGATATCACATTCCCTGGATGCGTTGGGTTTCGCGGCTTACGATCCTTTGAGAGATCTCCAAACCCATTGCCCGCCGAGTTATTACATGGTAGGCTTATGGCTGCTAGAGTTTCCAGCTCAGTTGACCCTGAGCTTCAAAATGAGGAAGAGGTAGAAGAGAATCTTCCAAAGGGTGGCTAAAATTTGACTTAGTCAGCGTTCTGGAACTTGAACTGGTACTTCACATCATACTACCTGTGTTTCGTTGCAATCTTACCTGTCTCCCACTACCATAACGCTAGGGCCCTGTCTTCAAGGCTAATGTCCAGAGCGGTATCATATTACTGAATGAAGATTAGAGAGAGAAAGAGGTTACGATCATAGTGATGTTTCCAAGAATCTCACCGAAGGAAGTTAGGATGATATTCGATTAGAGAAACAATACAAAGAGATTCGTAACAATTAATATAACAGAACATAAAAAGTGATAAGACGCGAAACTCATTCCTGATGCGAAACTCGGCCATCACCTATATTGAATTTTAGTGCAGCTTAACCACCCTTCATCAAAATACCAGCTTCAATTAATGCCGGTATAGCTTGATTAATCGTCCACTCCGTACACTTAACCATCGGCGGCCTCTCCTCCCCGACTTCATAAAAAACCCCAGGACTCTTATGTTGCTCAGTCCTCATACTCTTCGGATTAAAAGACTTCTGCTTCGGCGGCGGAGGCAACACCTCCAAAATCTCATTTAACCTATCAGGATAATCCTTAGCTTTCAAAAATCCCAAAAAATGCTTCGCGAAGAACATTTCATCGAGTTCGGGATCTTGATCGACTCTGGTATTGTAGGTCATTCCGGTTACTAGATCCCCAACGACATGACACGTTCTACCGGATTTATAACCGTCTTCCCAGGTTTCGATGAAAATGGTATTATGGTAGCGAGGGGAGGGCATTTCGGGGTCTACCATTGTCATTTTGTTTTCGATTCTGTAGACTGAATAGTAGGAGTTGCTGAGGTTCGACATGATGTTTTTTTTTTTATTTTTGTGTCGAAATGTTCGAAGCTAGTAAGATTTGAATAGTTGTGCCACTATGGAAAAAGCGCCTTCGAGCTCACGCACGATACTCCGGGACGGATTATCAAAGGTGAGTTATCGCAATCCCAAAACGATTTATGAAATGGAGATCGAAAAAGCTAGGAACTCTTTATAGCTTTAACATCAATGCGGAGTCTTATGCGTCTGTGCCACCAACACAAACTGTTCCAAAATCCAACACTATAGATCGTCTAAGCCAAGAGTTGATGGATCAAGCACTTAAATTAAGAGGCAATCGTGTGCATATCATAGTCTCGGAGCCAGAGCTGCCCCTGCATATCATATGCATTATACACCAATTTTGTCACATAAGCATTCTGTTCCGCAATACGAGTGCAAGCGATCTAGGGAAACAAGAGGCCTATCTCCTACTTAGAGAATTTACTCCTGAAATGCCATGGAAACTCACTATTCTAGCTGTTATATGACGATTTCCGTATTAAGGGTAAAGCTGATTGTCGCAAAAATCATAGTGAAACTCGCATCATAAGCCTGGAGAATAACGGAAGCTTAAAAAAGCTGACAGATACCCACCAGTAGCCGAAAGCCAATACAGGTGTCCAAAAAGCAACTGTACAGATCAAAACCCTCACTACGATTGAGAAAGTGTCTCGACTCGCCACTACAAACGTCGCGATAGCCGCGGCGGCTAAAGAGACGAGTAGGACTAGTAATTTGAATATAACCGGCCATTTCTTGACTATAGATTCGGCCACGAGCATCCACCGAATCGTGCTCTTTCTGATGCGGTTGAGGCTTAAAGTGCTCATTAGGTTGGAAAGTTGTTGGAAGCGGTTTGTCATTTTGGACCAGTAGAGTAGGATGTAAGTCAAAGAGCTGGAGGAGACGGATACGGCCAGCCAGTGCCACCATGTCAGTTTGTTTTCGAATTCCTACTCGTTGACGAAATTCGGTATTAGCAAATTATTATTTCTAAATTTATGCTTGAAGCGAGATATGGTGACTTACATTTATGTTCATACCGAATATCGCCGCCACAAGACTTAGCGGGATAAAAAAGAATGCCAGTTGTGTTAGTTTCGAAACTACTTCAGTCTCGGAGATGGCGCGTCTGCTTTCAACTATGCTCATACTCGACATGAGCGCTTGAAAGTCACTCTCAACACGCTTGTGCGTGTATTCGACGGCAATGGTGAGTTCTCGGAGTTCTTCCAAGAGTTTAATCATATCCTTTTGGTACCCAAGGTTACCGGGGTTGGTTCTGCTCGAAGAAGATGTTTGGTTTGATCTATTTCCGACTTTCGATTTGATATTACCTTGTAAGCGACGTAAAGATATATTTTCGTGGAATAGCATATTGCGACAGGCGCCCAGTTGATATCTCCACATGGATAAGGAATCTTGTAGGACGGTATCATCATGAAGGGATAGCTCGATCGTGTCAAGCATATAACTAACTTTCTCCAGAATTTGCCTTAGGTCTTTACAGGCTAGTTGTATAAGGGCCCTTTCGACTAGATATTGTGGATTTTTGTCAATAGATTCCTTACCCAGGGTTTCTAAGATATCTAAAAATTTCTTAAGGCGTAGGTCATGGTCGTTATTGGAGGTCTCGGTATGATCAAATATCATATTTCGGTTTGCATAAGAAGGTCTCTTGGACTGTTTTAGGAGTTGTCCTTGAATAGTAGTTGGATCAAGAAAACAAGGCACCAGTTCCTCGGACCAATCGTAGTTGCCGCTACGGAATTGGTATGTTCCAGTGGAAATATTGTGATAGCGTATCGGGTCAAAAAGCAGGATACCTAGTCCCAGAATTAGAGCTTTGAAGTGTACAAACCTTTTCGAAGGCCATTATACCTGTAGGTAGCCCTCCAAGGTTCCCAAAGCACAGTGATATACGCTCTTTCGCAGCATGATATAGAAATTTATCATCCTCAGACGGCGAAATAAAAACGTATTCTCGATAAGGGCTGTCAGGCCAATGTCCATACCTCTTGTGGTTAAGACTGAGATCCATCGGATCGCGGTAAGTATTCAGATCGTAAGGTTTCCCAGATAATATCCTATATTCGATCTCATGTTGATCTTTCGACTGAGCCACCAATCTCTTCCAGTCCAGAGAAAACACATTTTCATTCTCTCGCTCGAGCGCTTGAATCATATCTTCGCCTTTGCTACAATGGGCGGTGAGAAAAGGATGCCAAAGTTCCTTATCAAGTTGAGTCCAGGGCCCCAAAGCAAGTTTTAGGTCCTCGCGCTCGCTGCCTTCGATAACAAATATTTGAGTAGTCACATCTGGATGTGATTCTAGGCTTTCCGGGGCCGAGAGTGCGCAATGAGAAACATCTAAAGACCCGGCGCTTGTGATATTGATTTTGCACACCCGAATCCCCCGATTCGGGTTTGATGTAAGTGGAGGGCTCTTGAAGCTCGTTCTTAAAAAACCGAGTTCGATGGAGGCCAACTCTGAGTACGCCATTGCACTACAGGTCCTCTAGGTTAAGGCTAGATGCAATGGTATTGGTGCGTATCAGCTGAATATATGATATGTTTGGTCAGGAGCTTGAGCTAGCGCTAGCTGTATGAAATTTAATCTAGGAGCTCTAAAGTGGTCTCGCCGCTGCGTTATATAAAGTACATTAAGACAATTTTTTGAATTTATGATAGTTATTTTTTAACAAAGGATGTCTAAGATAGCTTAAGTAAAGGCCGGAGGAAGGAATGTCTCGTTTCATGAGCAAGTAAAATCTTGGAGTTTATTGGCATTCGTTTAATATTCGGCAAAGAAGCGATCTGTCGGATTGTACAGGGGTCCCGTTCAATGCCCAATTGAAAGATTCGCTCGGTATATACCAATTGCAAATTAATTTACACAATGTCGTCGATTTCAAATTTCCACTATTATATGCTTAGGTATATATGCATGCACATGTATTTTCCCCAGAAATTAGCTCAACGAATAGCTACTTATTTAACTGCTATGTCGGCTGGCTCGCGACTAACAAGATAACTTATCGACCTACCTACTGTAATCTCAACTAGCTTCGTCGCGAAAGTGTGTTGGGTTTAATATTATAGAAGAAACGTTTCAATTGATCAAGAATTCGCCTCAAGTCAGTTTTTGAAGGTTAAGATGCCTTGTCCGCCGGATAAAGCGCCTTAATATTTGCTTTAAAAGCGATCCCAAAAACCCTTCAAAACCCATCCCGTAACAGCCGGTCTTGATCCACAACAAGTCACATGATCACTCTGCTTGATCGATTGAGGCGTTGCAGTTTTGCTCTGTGATGTGGTTGCACTTTGGCACCTTAGTGCCAAGTTTGGTATGCATATGCAGATGCTTTGAGGCGCAGGATCGGCTGAGAAACCTCCAAATTTCACTTATTGTACACTACCAAGCGTATTTTTCGAGACAGCGACATGTATATATCAATACCATCCCGACATATATATCTCTAATCAGATATTTTGACTTATTCTCGTGTTCATCAATTCTATCAGAAAGTGTTATTAGCATTTCGGATCCATAAGTTATCTGGTTATCAATTACGGGCGTAACCCCCTGGTATCGTTACCGCAGCCTACCCCCCATGTCACAGCCAGCCAAAAGCACCTTCCAAACCCTCCCCTACGACATAATCCACGAAATATGCACCCACCTCCCAAACACTGCTTTCCAAAACCTCAAATTGGTCTGCAAGGATGTTCTCTCAGCTCTTCCAGTGTCCCGTCTCAATCCACGTCAGCGAACTATTTTTTTCGTCAAAAAGGAAATAGAACTACTCAGAGCCCTACGTTCCAGTAGCCGAGAGCATCGAAATCAGATTAGTCATATAGTATTCGACTTATCGTCTCCTTATGTAAAATTTATCGACCAGTTTTCGGGTTTCGATAGAAATCTTCTGAAATATTCGAGGTTAATTCGTTCGTTAGCGGTTTCTGGGAAGTGGTTTGCGGGGGGGCGTCGTCCTAAATGGTTACCCTTCCCTATCCGCAACTGGGATGATGCGCCAATTTTTGGTTTCGACGGCAAAGGTGTCAAAAAAACGATTGAGCCGACAAATACTACAATCTCCGGTCTTCTATCCGCGACCTCATTGAATGAATCAAACTCTTCGGCCACTGAAATTGACCACCCAGACCTCCAAGAATTTTTCCAAACTCTAACAGAAACACTCAAAACTCTTCCCAACATTAGAACTTTGGAAATCCGTTCGAATAACGCCAAAACGGCTTCAGTAATTCAGACGTTCTGGAGAAGATACAATCCTAATATAAACGATTTCTTTGAGAAGTATCCGGAGTTAGAAGCTCCATTGTCAGAAAATCCGTCATGGCAGAACTGCTTCGACCTCATAAAACCAATCAAAAACGAGCGAATCCGCTTCGACGACGCCTATATAGGCCTCCTCGACTCTGCTGCAAAGGCTCAATGTCAAATCACCGAAGTCAGAATAAATGCGACCAACATCCTTCGATGTGAAGAGACCAATCTAGCTGAATACGCCCGAGAGCTTGTGACTAGGTCTAACTTTGATCAATACGCCGACTTGTACAAAAACAGCTTCGCAGATCTCACCAACCTTGAATTCCCTATTTCTTTGTGGGGATGCTACGATGGAGGATTTAGAAAGTACTCTCAGCCGTCGCCAATATTCTTAACCCTTCTACAAAGCATCGAAGAGTTGACCATTACCCGAGTACGGGCTCGGTACGCCTACAATTATGTGTGGGAAGTCCAACCTGATCTTTTCATTCCCACTGATTTGATCCTACCAAGGTTAAGAAAGTTGGAGATCATTGAAATTGGAATACTCGTGCCAGTCCTGGAGTTTCTAAAAGCTAATAAGGCTTCATTAAAGAAGCTAATTTGCACTTCGGCTTTCAATCAACGAGTCTTGAGGGTGGATATAATACATATTCTCTCTATTGTACATAACGACCTCGATCTTGACTATTGCCGGATGGACTTTTTGACGAACAAAAATATTAGGAAGCTGTGTTATCTTTGCATAGAGATCACCAAGAGCGCTGGAGATGTCCGCTCTAAAGATGGCAAGATCGGGCCCAGCCGTTATAGGTATAGACTAGGTACGAAGTGCCAAACCGAGTCGAAGGTCGGGTATAAATACTCAAAAGAGCCAGAAGGGGGGCAACCGACTTGGACCGACAAAGGAAGCTGGGAGGAGTTTACTACTGCAATAGAGGAGATAGGAACCTCAGGAATTTGCGACCAACATTGGGACGGTGATCAGAAGCCGGCTGCTGGTTTAGTCTACTACTAGTTTTATTCCTAGCATGCATATTTATACATAAAGTACTTTCACTTGTTTATTGTTTATTTGTATTTATACCGTTTGAGTCTTTAACTAAACTGCCTGGTCGTACGAAGACTTCTCAACTATTAACTTAGTAAGCATCTACATATCCCATGTCGAATCCCGTTTTGGTATGCTCAGCACTGCCTTGAAACGAGACTAGAAGGTATCCAAGTTAACTAAGCTAAGACGTGTGAAACTTAGCCACCTAGTAGAGTCACGTGACAACTTTCGACTCCAAAACGTGACAGCAGAAACAGCAGTCAAAAGCTAGGAGTTAAGCTTAGGATTGAAGGTTAGGGTTAAGGTTAGGGTAGAGGTTAGGGTAGAGGTTAGGGATTAAGATTAGGGAGACAGAGGTTAGGGTAGACAGGCCAATTCCGAGGTCGAAAAGTGTCATGTGACTTGCGTATACAGCGGCGTTAGTTAGTGGTTCTAGTGGTATGGTTCCTAGCTAACTAGTTCTGTAGCTCAAAATCGTCATGTGACTTTTTCTTATCCTAAGGGGCGCTACTATACCCCCAAGGCTAGTACTAACTGCAGTGGCGCTAAGTTGTCATGGTATAGGAGCAGAATATATGAGCAAAGATTTCTCATATGAGAAATCTCTCATATAAAATATCAATGTACGTCGTTACTGAGTGCGCTCGGCGACGTCTTAGAACTAGTCACCTCACAACTACGACAGGAGCAACAGTCTTGTATCTTGTATCAAAGCGCTGAGGAACAACGAGGAGAAACTGGGGGTTTCCTGGAACAGAAAAATCCACCTGAACTCAGCCTATAAAGCGATCAAAGGATCTTAGGTTCTGGATAAAAAGGAATACTGGTAGAACTTGCAGTCTCGTCGGCGGATCATTGGCTGTTAATTTTATACGTATCCACACACAGATAGAATATAGACACACAACTACTCTAGTAGCTAGATCTAGGACTATTTCAAGGTATTTAGATATATATAATAAATCAATCATGATGTTACTATATATCATATCCTTTCGTAATAGGTGTGCACTTAGTATTGGTGGTGGTATGGAATCGAAAGCTTCCTAAATAGGTAAGTCGAGGCATCTTCGCTGATGATCACATGACTTTTTTGGCCTTCAAAACTACAGGATAGGGCATAAGACGGTTAACAAACAGTCAGGAAACGGTTAGGAAACGGTCAGGAAATGGTTAGGAAACGGTTAGGAAAACGGTTAGGAAAACGGTCAGGAAACGGTTAGGAAAACGGTCAGGAAACGGTTAGAGAAACGGTCAGGACAACGGTCAGGAAACGGTTTGGCAAACGGTTGGCCTTACGGTCCGTCGGGGTAGGACAGCCTTTTGAAAGCCAAAAGTGTCATGTGATCTCGAATTTCAGGATCGACCAATACTTTGTCACATTCACAAAACCTATCAGGCTTTCAATTCCAACCTCATTTTTAACAGGTTCTAACCTTAAGATCTCAGCTTGAAATTTTGTCTTGTACTTAGACTTCCTGCCTTCGTTAGCAACTAGGGAACGAACGTCGATTTCAAATGTGAAAAGTGCCATGCGCCTACAACCCAAAATTTAAAATTGCGACTGTGATACCTCAATTGCTCAAGCGACCCGCTGAATAACTAAACGGAACGAGCATTTAATTATAATGTATACGCTCGTGAATGCCAGGCTTATCAACAGTTCCTGACGAATTTCTTTTTTCTTTTTTTTTCAAACTATATAGCTACAGGATGTTTGTCCTCGCGTAGCTCGTTTGTCAGCGTCTGCTTGTCTGCACATTGTGTCGTGATATTCTCTACTACCCCCATAGTCTAGTTTACTACCCCATCCAAACCAACCAACCAGTTCCACAACCAAAAGGAACTTCCGGAAGCAAAGACCACCTCCCCACCTCCAGTTCCTCCATTCACTTCCGCTTAAACCTCCGAGAATTTTAACAGCCAAAAGTATCATGTGACCTGGTAATTCTGTTATGTTGGAAGTCGCCGAGCACAAGTTAAGTTGACTATACACATCTCTTCAACACGACTAGCCTCGAGACCACATGTAGTTCCTAACACCATTAAAAACAGCTTTCACTTTAAAACCTCCGAGAAGGAAGTATAGAAGTATATTGTGACGGGTAGGCTTTTAATCTAGGCCAGGCTCTTAATACCGTTCGACCAACTATATTTCAAATCCCAGCCTTTAATTCTGTCTGGGACTACAGCGCTGCCTTTCGACTCAACACGTCAGCACCGCAACGTTGGAAGATAGAAGTCAAACTGGGCGTTAATTTAGCTGTCAGTTACACCAAACCTTGCTCCTCGGGGAGCCAAGGTGTAACTCCGAACCGTCCCATTAATTCCAGCTAAAGGGCAATGCGCATTTATGCAATTTGCATATTTATGATATAGCCATGCGCAGTTATCGATAATCGATCACCATACCATAGATACCATAATGGCAAAAAGTGCATACTGTATTATAATATAATAGTGTTCCATGAAATATATGTAATGAACGGGACGCATACACCGGTCCGGCCATCGATCGGGATTTCCCGCTATCAAAGGTTGTACTGTCAAAAGACCTATTAACCGGGAAAACTCGGGTTCGATGTGGACCAATAATTAATAAATCACCAAATCCAAGTTTTTTCGGGCCGAGATATTCATGCAGAATGTATATTATGTAATCTGCAAATAGGAACAGGATTTTAGGACTGCATGATTATAATTTTGCCTAAGCTGAGATAATCCTTTTTTTTGGCTTTTGTCTCGTGTTCGGTTGGTATTCGTATATGTATGTTAAGTGGCGATACTCGATTCGAACACTGGGGAATCCCCCAGCCTTTCTTTTCTTTGATAATGCAACGTAAACTAGTTCGCGATTGGTCGACCCCGCAAATGGCGAAAGTCAAGGGAATGCGATCGGATAACGAAATAATGGCTAGGAAGGACCATGGTTTCGCCAAAAAAAAAAAAAGAGGATCCGACTTCACATAAGCCGTCCTGAGTGTCCTAGATTCCTAGAAACGAGAGGGGTTTCTTAGGATAAGGATGGTCTTTATACGATATCTACGAGAAGAAGGTCTACGCTCAGTTCCGCATACAAACCCCCCCGCAAAAAGGTATAAGCGAGGAATTTCAACCGCGAAAAGTATCATGTGATAAAGATATTTTGGGTTTTATATTCAATTTCTGCTATAGACGTTATACAAATTGTCTGTTTTCTTAACAAAAACGGATAACTGTAAAAATTGATGATATCGATAATATCTCTGCAGAAACAGACAAGAGAAAAGAAAAAGGAAATGTCCTTTTGGGCATCGATCATATATCGCCCCTATCAACATAAACGAAAAGAAAAAGAGTAGAAAAAAAATAGAATACATGAAACCGCACCTGAAAGCGCCAGGAGGAGTAAAGCTATAGACTAATGATGTTTTAAAACGCCCTTTTTTCTTCAAAAAACGCCTTGGAACCGAAGACCCCTCCCAAAAAAAAGGCTAAACATCGCTATAGCGCAAAAAAAAAAAAAAAAGCAACAGGGAATCGCAAAGTAGAGATGGGAAAAGCTATATATATACATACGAAGAGAAGAGATCGGAATCATGATATCATTCTTGTCTCCCCCACCACCAAAAAAGGAAAGAAGGAAAGAAAGAATAAAGAAGGAAAGAACGAGAAAGTAGCGACAATAAAGGCATACTTCAACTCAGATTTCCAGACCAAGTATTTATGCCCTCATGCTCACGTCATCTTCTCCAACACTAGAACTCGTCTCGGAGTTAAAATCATCACCATCCATCCATGCAGCTTCGAGAACGTCTTCCCAGTCTCTATGCTGCTCTCCGTTGATCTCATCGATAATCCTGGCAACTTGTTCCGCGAGTCTGTTGCGTTTTAGGATCATTTCCGCTCTCTCCTGTCGGTCTGTGGGGGAACCGTCTTGCTCATTATGATACTCAGAGATCTTATCTGTGAGCTCGATAAGGGGGATTTGTAGTTGTTGGAGACGGTAGGTATTTGTGTTTGCGGAACGGTTCAGGAATTTGACCTGGTTATGGTCCCGGAGAGAGGTACAGTGACGACTCGGCATTTTATAGTCGTCCGAGGAAGTACTTGAGGTTACTGAGGAAGGCATTTGGAATGAAGTTGTATTTTCTAGAAAATTGAACAGAGTGTTAGTTCAAAGACCACGTTTCGGTGGAGGTGGGGAAGTAAGGGACTAACTATAATAGGCTTAAAATGTTTTGTTTGAAGGTTTTGTTATGTAAACGGAAGTAACTCAGTTACTTGTTTGGTATATACCAAGATGTATGAATGGATGTATGAATAATGTTTGAAGTCCTTTAAGACAAGATGGTGAAGACAGAAAGCTTATAATCGGTATGCCGACGTCGGGAACTAAAGTCGAACCCGACGGGGACTCTTATATAGACGAGGAAACTGCTCTCGTGCGGAAGACAGCATAAAGAAACACCGAGTGTTTATCCCTCAGGATATCATTCCACGCGGGGAGTGGGTTCTAGGATTAATTACCATATCGGAGCCAGGGGGTGGGGTAGGTGGCCAAAACTGCTTGTTTGTGGAGGTGAGTGTAATATGAAGCGGGAAAAAGGGTTGTCAGAAAATCCCCAAAAGAGGATACGAGATTTCGATGCGATCAGTTGTTCGACGTTGACGTGATTCCCGAGGCTCAGACACCCACAGATTAGTTGGCATTGTATATATTAAGCCTGGGTCCTGTCTAAGACACGAGCCATACTTGTTCCGGTATCGTGGAATTTGGTCATTTGTGAACAGGGGTTGTTGGTTAGGCTAAATTGGAATCAGTCGGACAATTCGGGCGGAATGTGTGGGTTATTCCTCATGTTGGGTGTCTTTTGCGGGTTATGCATGATTGCACGTGAGGTACATTTCCCTAAGAGACTTTTCCTTCCCGGGTCTTTTTCGTTAATTTTCTCATGTTTGAAACAGAAATATTACGGTTTCATCATTTTAAATGTATTCCGTCATGAAATATGGTGTTTTCGAAGCAGGATTATTTAGTTTCTACGTGTCCGTTTATGACTTCAAGTTGAAGAAGAGCTAAAGGATGTTAGGATGGCCTGACGGATTCTGCGTTGTGCTGTTGGATTACCTTTTGGGAAGGTCCACATGGCACACTGCGATTCGCATCATATCATGCGCATGCATGATACATTGCAGACGGGATGTTCTGTCCCGTAGACGCGATGCTATCGGATCGAGGGAAAAAATCATGTAAAGATATATAAAATAATATGGAAACTTAGAGCGGGTTATATAATTATCCGTCTGACCCATGCATGGGATGTATACGTGAACAAGTAGACGAAACAGTATGTTATTCAGAAGTCTAGACGAGATTTGATGTAAAAGTTGCGCCAAGGTGGCATGTCTTCCATTTCGCAATCCCCAAATCCGTATATTTGCAAATGCGAAAGTGGTATTATAATCGATAAGAATGAAATAAAAAGAGAAGAATGTAAAAAAAAAATGTAAAAAAAAAGAATCAAGAGCCGATATCGCAATGACTTGGGATAGGTGGATATGGATGTTGTATCAAGAAATAGACTTCAACGGCAGCCCCGCGTGGTGTGACCATCAACTCGAGAATATCATCGAACATTTATATCGAAAAAAAAAATGTAAGTTCGATCGTCCAAAATTCCGGGTGGTATCGATTACTTAGTAAAATTGCAAGTGTGGACTTCGGCTGTTTGAACTTTGCCAAGCTGACTCCGCCGGAGGTAACTGGAGTTAATCTTACGTTAGCAAAGACCACATTATTTCCATCCTGAGCTATGCCCGAAGCAAATGACATCACATCAGCCAGCTGCATAGCGCCCATGCAGACGCGGATTGATGACCTTTGGCACTCTTTAGGCTAGACTCGACGACAAACACTGCTGGTTTTGGAAAGTTTTCATGATATCAACGTCTCGAGCCAATCGGAGTGGACTCCAGAGTGGAGCTTTTCGATGCCGTAGATTAGGTAGGAAACAGCCACAACGCAACCTTCAGGTCTGCGTTCAAACGTTCAATTAATCAAGTGCATGATGTTCCTGAAGAAAATGCTTCCGAACAGCGATATTTTGTGATATTAAGACTGCAAAAAGCAGTTAGTTTCGTCTTGAATGTGGGTTCATATGCAGTCCTTAGCGTCTCGTCAGCAATGCACACCGTTACCGAAGAAAGATTGAGGGACAGTATTTTGGTAAGCAACCCAAATGTTGTTGCCGGGCGCTAACTCCACACCAATACCACAAACTCCGGCGACAACGGAAAGGGACTTATCCACCACTGCAAAATGGTGTTATCACGGATATTCGATTTTTAGATGCCTTATTCAATGCATTTAAGATAATATATCATAGAAGTCTAGAATGGGCTTTGAAATGAATATAAAAGAGCCATTGCCTGTCGTCGATCAAGTCTAATCTCACTTATCATCATCAGCATCAATATCTAAATATCTACAACCAACAGTTCGAAAAACAACCAGAACTTCCCAATAGCTCTCTTCAACTAATTCGATTAACTTCTTCAAAACTTCTTATCGTATCTTTTATACTTTATACATCTTCTCGGCTTCCAATATCGAATAATTAAGTAAAATAAATTATATACTACCAAAGAACAAAAATGACTTCCAACGCCACCTACAACCAAGCTACCTCCGGCGCCGAAGTTGCAGCCGCCTATAAATCCCAAGTTACAGGCCGTAACATTCTCATCACTGGTGTCAGTCCCAATGGTATTGGTTCCGCCGGTCTCGAGGCTCTTGCAGCTCAATCTCCAAATCTGATCACTGTTACCGGCCGTTCGGTCACAAAAGTCAACGAATCCATTGCTCAAGCAAAAGCCGCTTTCCCAGAGGCCAATATCAGACCATTGATCATGGATCTCTCTTCTATCGAGTCTGTTCGTAAGGCTGCGGCTGAATTCAATGCTACATCTGAGAACCTTGATATCCTTATCAATAACGCTGGTGTCATGACAATTCCCACCCGCACCCTTTCGGTCGACGGCATTGAAATGCAATTCGCGACAAACCATGTCGGACACTATGTCTTCACCTGTTTGATCCTCCCTAAACTCATTGCTGCTGCGAAGAACTCTCCAAAGGGTGCAACTAGAATCATCAACGTCTCTTCATACGCCCACGTTCTCAACCCCATCCGCTTCAGCGACCACAACTGGGAGGGCCGTGAGGTTCCAGAAGAAGAAAAGGGAGATGCGGATATGCTCCTCTTCTTCCAAGAAAACGATGTTTCCTTCACAAAATACACCGCAATGGGGGCATACGGACAATCTAAAACTGCCAACGCCCTTTTCAGCGTCGAACTCACCAGGCGTCTTTACGAAAAATATGGAATCTTGTCATTGGCTCTTCACCCCGGTGCCATTAACTCCAACTTGGGTCGTCATATGACTACCGAACAGATTGAATATTGGAGCACGAAGATGACTGATGTCATGTTCTTCAAGAGTACAGATCAGGGAACTAGCACAACCTTGGTGGCGGCTTTAGACCCCAAGTTGAATGATTGGGAGAAGAGTGTTGGGTATTATTTGGTGGATTGTCAATTCTCTACCCCGAAGGCTTGGGCTGTTGACGAGGATTTTGGAAAGAGGCTGTGGACTTTGAGCGAGGAGATTGTTGGAGAGAAATTCGACTATTAGAATACAAGGCCTAGTAGTGCTCGCTGGAGAGAACATGTCTTGAGCATTAGGAGTTTACTTTAATTGTATTCATTTATTTTTAGCTTTTGTTATTTCCGGCCCCCGCTTTCATTATATTCAGCCTCCTTGTCAAATAAACACAAAGCTCTCACGTTTTGATAACAAAAATTTAATTGATACCTGGGCATTTGTCAACCGTCGCGTTAATCTATAATTTGTACCACATTATTTCAAGTTACAAACTTATTATTTACAAACACTATTAACCTGCCTGTTTATTGGCTTACCTGTCTAACTATCTACCTACCGGGTTGTTTACTTGTTTATTAACCTAATTATCTACCTGTCTATTTGCCTGCCTGCCTGCCTGCTATTGGCCTGGTCGTTTACTTGCGTATTTATCAGTTTATCAACTAATTGTATTTATAAATAAAATAACAAATAGTATTCAAGTTTGAAAAAAAAAATTTATTTATAGATTAGCTCCAATTGCGGGGGCCGAAGATAACCAACACGGGGGCCGGAAATAACAAAAGCCTTGTTTTTTGTGTGTTCGAATTGCACGTATACTACATGACCTTAGACAATTTGCAATTGACTTATCCTAGTTCAATTTAGAATTTTAACCAGCTAAAATCCAAGAGACTCAATACCATTGCCTTTCCTCAAATCAGACACTTATCATTCCCAAATCTTAAACTTCTCATACTCAGCCGCCTCCTCCGTGTGAGTTTTATAAAATTCTTCCGCAGACCGTTTGAGCTATGGATATACCATGATTTAGTACCGTTATCAGATAGCAGCCATACCTAGGAATATATAAAAATATTTACCTCGCCAAGACCGGAAATAGTTTGATCTACGCCGTCAATAATCCCACCGGCGCGAGCCTTGTAGCTTGGTTCGTCCAAATTGCTCTGGATGTAACTGAAATTATCAACTAAACCGTTAAAATAGCCCGATTGGCGATCAAAAAGATTGTAAAGATGTGCCATAGCGCTAATGGCTTTGTCCATGGACTTCTCGATGGTCTTGAATTGGGTCTCAAGTGCCTCCACATAAAATACTAGCTCGGCCACTGCCTTCTCTTTTGCATCAAGGCCGCTGACTTGCGCTCGGGCTTCTTTTACGGAGTGGTTGAGTTCATAATCGCTGATAAGATATGCACCGCCACTGATTATCTTCTTCGCTTCGGAATCAGATTTGGCAAACGCGTATGATATGAACTTCCAAAAAACCTTCAAGAGTATTTAGGTTAGTAAGATCTAGCCCTAAATATTTCAAGTATGGGGGACGCATTATCTGAGATGTAAAGCTATAAATTATCCCAAAGTTTGTATACTGACCATATCTTTCGACTGCTCGTTCTCAGCCTCCTGAGCTTTGATCAGATCCTTGACCGCATCGGCGTGTTTAGAGTCAGCCATCTCGCTGATATTCACTTGCGAGCCATCGGATAGTGTATGCTTTTTATCATATGATGCAGCAAGATCTAAGACCCCTTCTTTCAAGCGGCCAGTATTCGTTTTGAACTATATATATAACCAAAATATATTATTTAGCTTTGTTTTCTCCTTTTCTAAATCGAGAGAGTCAATATAACCTACCGCATCGAGACCAGTTTTGATGTCTGCGATATCGGCTTTCGAAGATTCAGCACTCCGCCCAAGCTTCTTCAGAGTTTGATTGATTGTGGCTTCGGCGTCTTTGTAATCCAGATCTGGCGGTGTCGTCCTGTACTTTTCATCCAATATTATGAGGAGATTCTCTCGAAGGTTGATGACTTTAGCTTGAGAAAGATCACGGATGGCAGACTTCGCATATTCCCTAGTGGTAGAAGCCGCATTTACTTCAATAGATAGCCACAGTTACTCATCCATGTTATAAGGAAGTATTATCTTTAGTCAAGCTAGACGACTAAACAGAAATACATACGGATCTTGGGTAACCGCTCATCATGGAAAGTTTGACAAGATTTTGAAATTTTGACGAACAAATCTCGTGTTCGCTAGACATGTAGCGAAATCAGTAAAACCCCGATGTAATATGTATCATAGAGTGAAGCCCCAAGGTAGGAGGTATTATTGAAAATTTATATCGAAAGTGATAACATACCCTCCAAATTGTACCATCGATTTCTGAGACTATATCAAAGTAAGATTCGGGCATCTTCGTCTCAAATGTATCATTGTCGCTTGGGAATTGCATCCCCATAAGAACGTACGCCTGGAGATCTATTTCGCGAAATAGTTAGTTTAATCATATTAGTTGGAACAGACACATCTCTGCTTCAGAATGGGTCGTCCGATGAACCCAAAAATCAAGAAACCTCAAACATTAGAATGTTGGACGATTGAAAGTACCATTGATTCCCGGGGAGTTTAGGACAAACTTGGTCTTCACTTCTCCAGACGGTTCTTCATAAGTAATGAAACAATCTGCGGTGCTTCCTGATAGCTTTGAAATGGTATCCGACAATTTCTTGTCCGCATCAGTCTTGGGATCCCATTTTGGGGTCAGAGTTGGGGCCAGAGTCGCGGTCAGAGTTGGGGCCAGATCTAGATTTGCGGTCAGAGTTGGGACCAAATCTAGATTTGCGGTCCGAGTTGGGGCCAAATCTAGATTTGTGGTCAGAGTTGGGATTAAATCTAGATTTGCGGTCCGAGATGGAGGTTTGTTATTCGGGTGAAATGTGACCGTGCCCACGCTAAGATCCATAGCGTAGATCTACCTCGTAGAGGTTGATTAAGAGAATGATATGTGGGTTAAAAGGTACTTCTGCGCTGGATCCCAAATTATAAAGGATGATATTGGTATAAGGATAGTATAGAATTAAGTCAAACAGCTGGAAAAAGCACCTTTTATAGTTAAACCCGACTCTTACGTACGTATTCCAGTGTAGGCTGCGTCAACATAAAGAACAGAGTTAACTTAATCAATGTACAAAAAGTAATATACAAGATTATGTTCTAAGCCCTGGACAAGTTTTGCTCTAGGCTTTGACATTCCCCGCAGACTCATATTACGATTTATCGCTATTAGTAATAACTGGTGTGTAAACCTTCGAATCATCACGCGCGCGCACGAATGAAGTTCTGAATCACATCAATATTACCCCTCAATTCGAATCGTCCCGAATCCAGCTACGAACATGTGCCTAAGATATCGACAAATACCTAACTGTTTTGGAAAATTTGCTACGAAGTCCTCATACGCTTCCTTAAACTGCCAGTACCTTCCACCAGCGGCTTCAGCTAGATGTATTTGTGTCCTAATGTAATAGGTTTAAGGTATATTCAACCTTCAAAAACCGGTATTTCTGTTCAGCTGAAGATGTATCAATCGCACATCGCCGTAGTATAAAGGCACCAGGATGCATGATTAGTGCACAATGCCGTCGATCGATCGACATTAACCTGAGTGACAGCGCTGCAAACATAAAAAGTCAAGGAAGACCCCTTGCAGACTAGCTGACTTCGTCGATCTAAGTATTCTCGTCGTCTTTTGCTCCCCACTTTAAGGTTCTAGGCCATAGGATTTGCAGGCCTGGAGCCCAGTTAGAGTGCCCTGGATCTCCGCTTCAACAAGCCCCGCTTAATTCATGCTTGACGGGATATATTTTTCTTTCTTTTTAGTCAAAACTCAACATGTATGAATGCATATTCTGATATCGCAATTGTATTAGTATGGGCGCTTATACTGGGCAGGATCATCCGAAAGCGATCAGTCCCGTGCAGTAATGCATGCAATCTTGATTCTCTAGATCTCGTCTCGTTTATGCGCATATGCATGTACCCTGCTCTTCTGACGATGCGACGTCATGTTACAGGTACTCTAACTTGAAAATATATCACTTTTCATCCATTATAGATGTAATAGGATAAATTACGTACCGCTACTAATACTTCTCCAGAATATCTATATTATTGTTAAAATCTTAATTGAGATATATCGATACTTACACGTATATACTCCACACTAGCAATAGCGCTTAAGTTCAAGACTTTCAAGTTGAGGCTAGCTATTAGATGCGGTTGTATTGAAGTCTAGATAAATAAAAAACAAGTTTCAGTTCTTGGAAGATCCGAATAGCTAGTCAAGGTTTTCGGGTCGGTCCGTTGACTGATCGAGGCTGAGTTTCACCATGCATATGTATGTTGTATCACATTCCAGACATCAACATCCGGCGAGACGTCCCGCTCAACTCGCCTATCCTGACGAATCAAAAACAAAACCCTGAATTAAGAACATGCCCGAACAGATGGATTTAGTTTATATTCCGTACACATGTAGTAGAAATCAAAATACCGACATGCACTAGCCCAATTCGAAAGATCGCTCCTTCTGCATGTCAGATTTATATCCCTCATTTTCCGGATTCCTGTTTTGAGGACGGGATGCCATTTAATGTTTCTTGGTTCGCTTTAACCTAATTCGATTGGCGAACCTGAGAGATATCACAGCTGTGGGCTCTAAACTTGGGTAGTGCTACCTGAAGCTGTAAAAGAATTTGGTCGAGGGTCACTGATCGACTGAAAAGTTACCTAGCCAGCTGTGTAAGAGCGGGGTACAGCAAGGGGTCGGACTTTTTTGGTGCTTTGAGGCTTGGTGCCATCTCCCCGCCAGCTTACCACATTTGATCATTGAGCGAAGGTCCTAGTTATAGTCTGGGGTCCTAGTACTAGTTCTATGTAACAGCGCTCCTCAAACTTATTCATAGATTTTCACTGTTGAAAAATAACACTCTTTTTGCCTGAAGTTTTAATGATGATAGTAAATCTCAGTTATAAATATAATGGCTTTGCTTCCCACATATGTATATAGGGCCGTAGCTCACCATTAATATTCATTCAAATGGACAACAGGCACACGTTGACAGCTTCTTCGGAGCTAGAAAACTCTCTAGTTTTCCCTACATCTATAAACTCGTCTATTCTCGCCCTCGAAGAAACAAATAGAGCTGCAGCATCACCGTATATAGCACCGATGGCCAAAGTCCAGTTCCTCATCGCGGTCGAAAGCACCGACGATACTATTTACCCATCATTCCCCAATACCGAGTTCGGATCTGGCGATCCTTTCAAAATCAAACTCGAATCAATCCGTTCCAAATGTCGAATGTAAGTTCTATATACTTGTTGGTTTTAATTTTGTCTATTCAACTGGTAGATGCTAATATATTTGGGTTCATTACTTCAGCTCGGAAAAACTGTTCTTTACCACGAATGGAAGAACTTGTCTAGATAATTCGACTACTTTGGGTTATTACATGTCCCTCCTTCCGGAGGTATGATATCTCGAGATCTCGACTCATCGATTTGATTATCATGAAATCTCATAAATGCGCTCTAAAAACTGATTTTTGAACAGGGGCAAAAAATTCTCAAGCTTTTTAAGAATCCAGAAGAAAGTGAAGTTTCGGTGGTGAATCTCAGGCCGACAGAAGGAGAATCAAGACTGGAGCATGTCTCTATCGAGGGTGGCGCCGACAGTGGGGATCCTAGAAACGGAGAAACGGAGAGCCCAGAAAATAAATCAGAGATCGGCACCGAGATACTCCAGGTGAAAGTTACAGATGGGAAGCTCAAAGAAAGTCCACTTATCTCAGGAGCAGACCAAACTGCCTTCAAATCCTTCGTGGACAAAATAGCAGCGTCAAGTCTTACCCCCGGAGTACTACCAAGTATTAACGAAAAGTATCGTCAGCTGTCTAGCTTGACTAGCAACTGGGCTACCAATGCATCGTCGAAGGATTATACGGAACCAGCTGACCTCACAGAGCAACAATGGGACAGGGTTTTATCTAACAATCGTGCATTGCATGGTTATTTCTATAGCCCTGAGGATTGGACTATTGTCAAAGCCCCAAAAAGAGGTAAGATTTTAAGATCGTTTCGTTAAAATAGCGTAAGCTTGTTAATGATAAATTTCTGGGTATAGCTTTTAAGCTTAGGTCGAACGAATCTTATGATCACAAACTGTCAAGCCCAGTAACTCAACCGGCTGACAAACCGGCTGACAAACCGGTTGACAAACCGGCCCTCATAATTCATAAATATTCTCAACTTCAACCTGTCCAGGCTTCTGTCCCGCCCCGGAATTCGAAGCTTGCGACAAATGAGACAACTAAAGATCCGGTACCCGCATCCAATGAAGAACATAAAGGGACTGCTACAGAAAACCCTTTGCCGTCCATTCCACCATTTTACGTGTACGATGATGCGGATATCACGGTGACGGAGATTTCTCACAATTTCCAAAAGACAATGCTCAAAGAAGGGTTCAGCAGTCAAGCCATAGAAGGGAATGTGTGAGTTTTGAAAATATCCCTCAACCTTTAGCAATCAGATTTCGTGGACCTTACTTAACGCGCTGTGGAAATAGTACTTTTGGAATACCGGTATCTATCAGCAGCTCATTAGCAAAAGAGCAGGGTACTATGAATCAAGACCGCAAGGAAACAAACGTCAAATCGCTGGCTGCTGTATATAGTGTAGGTTTTGTCCAGGGTTCTTACACGAAATGGCGTTGGAGACAATCAGTCAACCTATTAAACTAATATATTTACTACCAGTTCCCTCGAGTCCGTGTAGAACTTGATTCCGATGCCCTGGAGTTGACCGACGAATGCAAAAGGGACGCATATCTTGTTACCAACGAAGATGATGTGGAAAATTTCGACCGAAAATATGGTATGTTGTTGGGTTTTGTAACTTTCGAGCTCGAGAAAATCACAATTCTTGATTCATTCGCTTTGCACAGCTGACTATATTATTAATTGGCTGTACAGGCACCGTGTTTGCTACAAGCTTCACACTCGGTGGATATCTACACAGCAGTCAAGATCTATCAACCGAGGAGGTTGCAAACCTCGCCCAGACCAAGAATAAAATGAAATTCGCCGCCGGGCTTAGTATTCAATCTTCTTACGGTGGAGGAGGTGGCAATTACGGTAAAACTGAGTCGGACGGTAGTAATGGTAGCAATGTTACCCTAGACCAAGATTCTCGCTTAGCCTGGAGCGCTAGGGGCGGCGACACAATCCTTTGTTCAAAGTAAGTATAATATCTAGAGATGTCCCTTGATGCCTAAGGGTTTTTGCGGCGCTGATATATATAATCTGCAACAGCCCGTCAGCATGGGCGGCTACAGTAAAGGATTACCGCCTATGGAGAGTGATGGACGTAAGTTACGCAAAACTCCAGCAGCTAGCTTCGGCACAGGATTTAAAAGCTAACAACGAACGGCATATTCCTAGCAACAACGGTTTGTTGGTGTTAGATATCTGATTCGGGATCTCGACACTCAAGCCTACACACACCTTGCGAACCCCAAGTCGATCAGTATAGTCGGTCACCAAGACATGCTGAAAGATGACGTGTATTTCAGAATATTGATCGCCGGCCTCGTTCGCGCGATGGACAAGCCTGATCATAATGTGCTTGCGCAAAAGGTCGAGAAGTTTTACAGGCAGAGTTTCGAGAACCTCAATGAATATAACAAATTTTGCGAGGAGGCAAATGACCCTAGGGCGGGGATCCCATCCGGTAGTGATTGGATAAACATAAGTAAAGGCAAGAGGGCTATGTTTGGGATGTTCATGTATTATACAAACAAGCTGGAAAAACCTACTCTCCGCGAATGAATCTGGACCAAAGAACGGGTTTATGCTGGACATCGAATAAATAACACCATTTATTTAGGGGTTATTGTTTTTTTAACTGGATTATTACAAAGAATGACAATTGTACCAGCTCCTTAGGGCAGAGCATGCGTAGAGTTTCTTTCCTTAGCTAATCTAAGTAGATAGATATCCATTCCTTGACGTTGTCGGGCTGGGATTCCCAAACCAACTACAAAAGTCGGGATACAAAAATACCCATATAACCTATCTTTAATCTCGTAGCATGAATTTATGCTCCAACAGTATACTATGCACCACGCTCATTCGCCTGCTGAAACAACAACGACACCCACCTACCCTCTTCAAAAACCGCGTTGTTCCTAAGAAAAATACCACACGCCAAGATGTTTCCAGCAAAACACCATGAACACGACCACTTTCCCAAAGCATGGCTGGGAACCCGAAATTCGATACGGGAACACGATTTTAAGCTTTTTTTTCTTTCTTTCTGTCTTCCCCTTATCAATTGTTGCCTGAATGTCGAATATATTTTTTTAATCTACTAATCGCGGGATACTTCAAGGATCTTGATGTTAGCATCCTCGAGGGGTCTAGAGTTTCTCAAAACGAGATTTTCTTTAAGATTTGGTGCATTGCTGGCATACAAGTACCTTCCATCTTTGTTTATAGTTCGGTTTTTCACCCGCGGCTTTTCCCATGGAACTTGGGACGGGATTTATTTTCGGCGCAGATCTTAAGCTAAGATCCCCAGTCCGAGACGAACATTGATGATTGTCAGATTCTTCGGTCACGGCGACGGAATTCCTGCAAGTTCCAAAGATTTAAGTATCAAATCTGGCCGGAGACAAGTTACCATTATCGCACAATATTAAAAACCTTTATTCCCCAAAGGAGCACAGGACGAAGGGGGAAGAAGAAAAGCTGTTCAAATTCTCAAACAGACGCACCACACCATCGAAAAGTCTCACTGCTCGACACCAAAAAAGTGAAATTCAGGGTCTCGTGTGCATCGAATCCGTGACCCCTGCAAACATTTCCCTTCTGGGGGGCGGCGCAATCTCCCCGCAAAAAAGCATGCTGCCAATGCCAGAGAGAAAGGTCGGCTCGAAAGAAATACGGCACGGAAAACGCCCTGTTAGCTTCGCAGATGTGTCAGCTGGGGCTTGTGAGTTTTTGTCTGGGCTGAAGCCGAAAAAAAACAAATTGAGGAGAACCATCGAACCAGAAAGGAAGAAGGGCTGACTGATTGACCAGAAACCTGGGTTGGTTTTAAACTAACGTTAGGGCTGGAGGCGCTTGGGAATTGATATTAATACCCCGTCTGTGCCTCCTAGAGAGCTGTCAGTTTTGTATCTTTCAGTGTACTTCCTCTATCTTTTGTCTTCGCCACTTTCGACGTTCCTTACCACAGTTCGCGACATCCAACAGGCCTTATCGGCCATAGATTACACCGACATAATTATATACCCCGACTATATATACGCATTATTAAGTTCAGAGTACAAAAAATGTCTAGATTCTACGAATTAAACCATATCTCCCCAACCCACCGCCAATCTCGCTACTTCAGCTCCTGGATCCTTCCATCCCCAATCTTCCTCGCCTACCGCGCTCTCCTCTGTCTCTACTCCGTCCTAGTAATTATCATCGCCAACGCTCTTCGTCCCGACCTCGCAGGCACCCGTTTCAGCTATTTCACATGGCTCACATACTGGGGGATCACTTTTTACCTGCTCATAAGTCTCGCGCACACGTTTAGCTATTGGAAGTACGGAAAAGCGTGGTTGGAGAGCTGGCCAAAATGGTTGCAGCTTTTGCACGGAGTATTTTACACGACGATCACTGTTTTGCCGTGGACGGTAACAGCGGTTTATTGGGCGGTGTTGTTTGATGGATTTGGAGGGCAGTATGATGCATGGAGTAATGTGAGTTTATTTTCTTTGCTAAAAGAATTTGACTTTTTTTTTCTTGAAATTTTTTTGGTTTCGCATGCGGAGGAATGTGGTATGCGCTATGGCTTTTTAAGCAAATGGGTGCTAACGAAAATGGTATTCTCGAAATTAGATTTCGGTTCATGCTCTTAACGCTGGCGTGGCGTTTCTTGAAGTCATCATCCCACGCACAGAGCCAATGCCATGGGTTCACATTCCCTGGCTCATTGTTATCCTCGGTGGATACCTTGGTGTCGCGTATATCACAAAATCCACCCAAGGATTCTATACCTACTCCTTCCTCGACCCCAATAGCAAAGGCTCCGGCATCACAGCCGCATATTGCATCGGAATTCTGGCTGGAACAACAATACTATTTTGTATTGTGAAGGGACTGGTCTGCTTGAGGGTTTGGGTCACTGAAAAGAAGTTGGGTATGAATGGGAAGTTGAGCAAGAAAGACGTCAGTGGAGAAACTGAAGTTACAGAGAAGCTTAATGTCTAAGATGTATACTTCTCAATTGTGGGAGTCTGGGATGGCTAGCTGGTTCGAGTGAGACACGCTTTTTCTAACCCAAGTTTCTTTCTTTTCAAGGTACCATAGCTATACATATGCAGGTTAATTTTTAATACAATTTTTTGTTCGCGGTACTATTAACCTCGATCAACTACAATTCACCATTCTGTAAATGCGTGGTGTGATTTATTATTATTATCGATAATGTACAAAAAGACCGCTGAGAAGCATCACATTTCATAAAATACTGTAAGGCAAGAGAAACCGGCAAAGAGCGTTGTGTATCCAGAGCAGGCTTTTTTTACTGCAAGTTACACTTTAACCCACAAAACTTTTCTGAGGATCTTCTCTCCTCAGGTTCTTCTGCTACTGGTGGTTGTTCCTCCTTATGAGTACCATTTTTCGCAGAAGGACCCGCTCCGTTATTAGCGGAGTCGCCGGTAGCCTCAATCCTCTCGGTATCGCTAGCTAGTCAGAAGTTGACCTTGCTGACGGTTTCGAAGAAGCCCTTGCCCTGGATTCTGGCGAGTTCCTTCTCTTTTTCGGATGGTTGACGGGATCCGTCGGCACCCTATATGCAAAGAACGACCAGTTTAGCCAATGCTTCTAGAAAGAATACTAACGGAAATAAAATTCATATATTGGAGGTAAGACTTACAGCGAAGGTACCGCTTCCCCATGGGGAACCACCGTGAATCTCAGACAAATCAGTCATCTGAGGGAAGGCCTTGGCGTATCCCAATGGAACATAGATCATGCCGTGGTGGGCGAGGGTGCTCATGGCAGCAATGGCAGTGGATTCTTGCCCACCACCAAGGGTTCCGGTAGAAATGAAGAGACCGACGTATTTGCCGTAGTAGCCTCCAGTCTGCCAGATACCGCCAGTCTTGTCGATGAAGGACTTCCATTGGGCGGGGAAGTTACCATAACGAGTGGGGATACCGAAAATGAAAGCATCATATTCGAGGAGATCCTTGGGGTCGGAGACGACACGGTAAGATGGCTTGGGTGGAGCATACATCTATGTTGAATCCATACTGTTAGAGAGGACAATTGAGAAAGATCTGATTTATGATCATAAAGCATCGACTGTACCTTTGTGAGGACTTCCTGTGGGAGAGTTTCTTCCAATTGAAGGATTTCGGTGGAGCCACCGGCTTCCTCGACACCCTTCTTAACCTCCTCGGCAAGTTGGGCTAAACGAATGCATCTAATCAGTATACTGTTTTTTCACTCTAAATTATATCGAAGGAATAGATGATCCCACATACCAATATGCCCGTACATGGAGTAGATGACGATAGCAATCTTTGGAGCCATTGTGTCTGATATTATGCAATACAGGTATCTCTTCGGAGGTAATAACAACAGGAACTGATCCGTTAACCGGAGTATCGAGGAATAGCTTTAAGGGTGGATATGGAAGTGATAGAGCAATGTTTCGGAGGAGAAGAAGTAGAATTCAAACCTCCAGGCGGGGGAACATACGTCCTTTATAGTCCACGTCTAGAGCTAACTAAAGCTTCCTTCCTTCCCAATTGACTTTTCCCTTTTTAACCCATGGCCAAATGCATAGATTGAGAACTAATCCCAAGAACAGCCCCGCACAAGCTTCCGGCTCGGCTAGTCAAAGTCAATCAGGCTTGTATTCTTTTTTTATTTATTTTATTTTATTTTTTTATTTCCGTTGGGAGGGTTTTCGGAGTGTAGTCCGTCATCATACCCCCGCTATCAGTTAACAGTAACTCGAAGTGGTGGGGTCGGCCTGGTGTTACGAACGAACTAGCTCCACCCCGGCCCCGCCATGACATGTACTCTGCAGTACGACTGCAGGGTTCCTGATTAACTAACCGCCACCGAAAAGAATGGGTTGAAGACGGACTAACTTTGGCTGGCCTAAGAATGGTAAGAACTCAGGAGAAGGTGACTAAACCATTTGCTGTGGTATAGTAATCAGTAGTAATCGGTTCCCACCGGTGTTGAGTAAGAGGTCGGGTGGAATGGGCCGTTTGAGGAGATATTCCGGTGATACTACTGTCTAATCGAATCGAATCTCGGGCATCTGATATTATGAAAAGGCTCACAAAGCATTGGAAATATTCTAGCGGGGACACCTCTTTCTTCCGGCCGTATACGGTCGCAGCTCGGACTCTCGAACGTGACATGTCCATGTCCATGTCCATGGTCATATACATCCGTTTACCGGCCGGTAAATTTCTATCGGGTTGGACTGACAATATCCAATGGATGCAATGGATGCAATGGATCTTTAATTTGACTCCCTGCATGCAAACATTCCCGAATACGGTATTCCCGACGCGAATACGCTATTTCGAACGAATGGAATGTTGAACCTCTATCGTCGTTTGAAGTTGTGTAAACTGCAGCTACCCTGGTCCGGTTAGGTGAGCACCCTGGTCAGTTTGTCAGCCGCCGGTCAGCAGAGTTACCAAGCGTTATTAATTGACACATAGAAAGTCAAATATCATGACGAGGATGAGAAAACTTGGGGGTATGACAAAAGGCTGACTATGCAGCAGAGGATCATGGTAGCTGCGTGGAGACATCTTTGTACATTCATTCCATCAGGATAAAGCGAGTCAGTCAAGTTCCACATGCGCATTCTAAATACTTTTGGGTGTATCCCGATTGATATTGCGGTTAACGGATGTCGGTTAGGGTTGTGTTCCTGAAGTTCTTCGAAGCATTGAAAAGTAAAAGGCATCTGATTCTAGATGCGATTAGAGCCCCTCGGGAATACATGAGGCTCAAGGTAAACAATAATCTGTTAGATACTATAGCCTAATTTCTGTATACGACCCGCAGTTAACTAGTGCATCTGGGCGTTGGTGTTTGTGCGGATGCCGTTTACCAGGTGGCAGAGCTAAGTCAGCAAAGGGACGGTGGTGCACCAACTGATTACTAACAAAGTCACGGTTATATTACCACTAGTTCTAATATGAAGTTTGGAGTGCATATAAGCCTTTAAGTATTGTTCATGAATTGTTCTTATTCATCTCATTATCATACGGTCGCTCATAATCCCACTTTTTTATAAATACAATGGGAAAACGGGTCCACGCCGAATCGTTAAAAATGTATATAGACATTGAAAATAAAAAGATAGAACAATAAGAGGTTTCACGAAGCAATTATCGAGAAATAAGCAGCAAGTCCGTTTAGTCGAAGAGACCGAAGCCCATATCGTCGTCAGAGGCCTCCTCATCCTCATCCTTCTCAGCCTCCTTTGGAGCAGCATCAGTGGTCTTGGTCTCCTCAACAACTGGGGCGGCCGAGGCATAGGCGTCAGGGTTGGCGATTCTGTCCTTGAGCTCCTTGATCTCATCCCACTCGTACTCAGTCTCAAGAGCAACAGCAATGACGTTCTTGTAGCTGTTGACGAGAGAGTGCATGACAGAGACGAGAGTTGGGTAGTTGGCGGCGAGGGAGATGCAAGAGATGGTCTTGATGGCAGTCAAGAATCTGTCGATCAAGTCCTTCTCATCAACGTCAAGAACGCTTGGGGCGAAAACTTGACCCTGGTCGTAGATTTGCGCAACACCCATACCGTAGGTGAAGGGAGAGATGTTGAGCAAGTTGAGCAACGAGGCTTCGGAAGCTCCGACCTTGGTGCCGGACTCGACGAGCTTGAGATCGCTGGTAATTTCAATGGTACCACGAGCAATCTTGGTTGGGATACCGAGAGCCTGGAAGAAAGAGGTCTTGCCGGGTTCCATACCAGTGTTTCCAGCTGGGACCCAGACATCGACAGGAGCGACGGCACCAGCACGAGCTGGAGCAGCGACACGGTTGGAAAGAATCTTGTCACGGGTCTCCTTCAAGTCGGCGTTGGTGAAGACGAAACCAACGTTGCCCTTGACGTATGGCAAGAGACGTTCGTACTCCGGGTTGTCGCCAACGAGGGTACGGATCACACGGCGAACCATGGTGTTCTTGCCCATAAGGACGACACCCTCGCCACGGAGGGCGACACGGATCTCGTGCATCTGCTGGGAGGAGACCTATTCATTCGATTAACATCCTGGTTCTGATTTTCGATATTTTTGATATCAGATAATACATACATTGTCGACGGTGACAATGAAGATGGACTTGTAGTCCTCAAGGAGGCCCTTGAGCTTTTCGAAGTAGATTGCTTTGTTGGCCTATAGTCCTCATCCCATCAGCATTCACATCCTCCAAGGGCCGGTTTCGAAGCCGTCAAAATTCGCAGAGTTGTTGAATCTAATCACCTTGGAAACCCCCATTGCTTCTTATAGATGAAGTAAGGCTATTTAAGGTCGTGAAGGCGATTGTCGTAATTGGCAGTAATAAAGCCGATAAGTTTATTAGTTGATGATATCGAGATGTGGATTCGGGGCTGCGAAACACATAATTTTCTTCAGATGTTTCCTGCCCCACCAAATCCGGTAAGCGAGGGTATTTGCCCTGACAAACGCCAAGATATCGCCACTGCACTGTGCACCGCCACTCACAGCCAAAAATCCAAGCTCCAACACCAACACAGATTTTCTAATTCCGAATTAGGAAGTTATGAATTCGCTGATGCTAAAATGATAGCCATAACCTCCAATATTTTTTTTTTTTTTAAAAAAAAAAGGTACAAGTAGAAGACAATGCAGATGAGTAACTAAGGCTAATTCACTACTGGGTAACTGATATGTTCAGAAAAATACTGTTATTCTAGCTATTCAATATGCATTTATGCAGTGCTTAGCCCACCCCGCTAAATGTGATCTTGGACCGACAACTTCAATAGCAAATCCCAACTATCATCTTTCATCTACGGCCATAGGATCCGGACACATAGGGTATCCCGTCCGCTCTGCCTTACTCAAGCCTGATACTGGTTGCTTAGTACTACGGTCGGTGACGACGTGGGAATCGCAACTGCTGTAGATTACATTTTTTTACTTCTTGGTAGATTTTTTTTTACTCTTTAGGAAAAGATCTTTTTGACAGAGTCCAGGGTCCCCGGCACTCTTGCAATAAACACCGATAGTTTTTTCTATAGCTAGCCTAAAACTATGTGGCTTTCTCCCGTCTATATTTTTATTTTATCCCACTTTACTACTCCAAATAAAGCACTCTAAGTCGACAGCTCCTGATGCCGCATTCTCCATTCCGATGGCAGTTTGTCCTATATATATTTTGGCCGGACGATTTTGGAAACTTCGAACTAATAAGAACAAGTCAACTTCCAGAAGCTCGTATCTATTATTTATGATATAGTATAGGCTACTCGCGCTAGCACGCCGACTTGGTATTTTAGGTCGATATTTGCCTGGACTTTAATAGTAGCTGTGTGTTTGCCGTAGGTGCTGCGACTGCAAATATTATTATATTACTCCCTCATACTGCACGTTCAATTTTCTAATTACATTCGGCGATGCTTTGATCAATTGAGCGTTGAGACTGTTTCTAAATATGTATATATGTATATACTTTCTACTATTGACGACAGGTTTCAGCGATCAGGTCATATGATGGTATTCCAGTTTGGGTCTAAATTGCTTAGGTACTTTGCACCGGCGAGTTTAAAAACCTCAAAATGGTGTGCCGTTTTACTGTCACTATCCACTACATTCACTACATACGTACAATTAGGGTATACAACAGACGCAGACTAGATTTCTTATGCTCCCTAAAATGGCGAAGGAAGAAATACCACCGGCGGACGGGCCTACCAAAATTTTCAGACTTGAGCTTACCCATCGAATAGGCTAGCTCGATTTGCGTTTCCCCTCCAACTCCTATCACGTTCTCAGGGGATGCTGCTCCGGCTTCAGTAAGGGATATAATATACCTTACGCAAATCCGGACCCCCCTCACTCTGTTCTCGAATCTTTTCTTAAAGACCACGCCGCTTTTAGCTACTACGTTGCAGCTCTGTATAATCCGGTCACGAAGGATCTCATAAAATAAGATGAAATTGATCAAATTCCATCAATGATTTTAGGAAGTCACCCCATCCCTTCTTCCAAATCAAAGCTCGCGGATGGTATTACTTCTACCTACGACGACAAATATAGGTACAAATGGTGTCCTGTATATCGAAGGTCTAGCTATACTTGGTGGGAATGGACTTTATTCGGGCAATGGGACTATCACGGATCATTTGAAAATTTCCTGTCCTTATGTCTAGGGCCCGAGGACGACGTACACGCGGTACTTTGGATTGAAGACATCGAACAAGGCTACCTCTTACTTACTGGTAGTGAGATCGTGGGTTTCCATATTATGATGGCTACTACTTTTACGTACCAAATCGTGAAAGGACTGGTATTGAAGGCTTGGTTGCCTGTACTAGTTTATCTTGTATTCGACAGATTTTTCGCGAGTGCACCTAAACAACAGATAGTGCGAATAGATTGGTAACATAGGCGTGTCGTTCCGGTGTAATCATGTTCTTTTACATTACATGCTGGGGCCACCGATATGTTCATATCTTAACATGCCATGCCCTTTATTGATACAAATATACTCTAAATGATGGTTTTTATTATATCAAGAAAGATTCGATGTGGAGTTTAATCATACTCCCGTATCGTTTAGTCTCATGCTCTCAGTCCTATAAGATAAACTTTACGAGGTATTTAGTATCTTAAAAAAAGCTTTATATATGTATTTGTCTTATTGAAAACCTCAAACTGATTTCATTCCCCCAACTTATCATGACCCTATAACTCGAGTACATGATAAGAACATAAGTTGATCAATCTGTCTCCGGAACCCCCCGCTTCTATATAATCTGAAATCCAATATTTTGGTCCTGGAGTTGAGAATCCGTGAAGATTGGGGAGACCTAAGCGCGACGCATTCTAAGTCTCTTAAAATAGCTAGTATCCTCTGGATGGTCTTCCATGGTTTCATCCTTATTCTTATCAGCCTCGTCGAGCAACTCTTTGTTCTCATCGCTGACCTTCTCTTCCTTGAGTTTTTCTTTTTCCTCTTCACTAATATCTTCTCCACCGATGGCAGCCTCAACCTCTTCCTCAGTAGGCTTCTGATCAGGAGTGCCATTCTTGCCGCCAATATCGTTGCCAGCATCCTCAGTTCCATCCTCAACTTCACCATCCTCTCCATCATCGTCATCATTGCCCTTTTCAACAACCTCGTCCTCGAATACCTCTTGTTCAACGACAGTAGTCGTAACGGTTGTGACTGTTGGCGCTGGGATAGTCTCGGTGACGGTGACGACGGCACCCTTCTTGACTTTGGATGGGATCCTGGTATTGTTTGGACCCCTGTAAACGTAGATAATAGTGTCCCGGGCGGTAACGACGACAACCCTGACTCTAGGTGGAGCGGGCTTGCCGGTGGGTTTGATTGGAACTTTAACAACCTTGACAATCGTAGTTCTAACGGTCTGTGGTTTAATTATGATCTTCCTGCTAGAAGCTGGTTTGATCGGAACCTTCGACGTCACCTTCTGGTTGCCAACCTTCTTAGTGACAACCCTGACGGTAGGTCTGACCTGCTGGACGGGAACGCATCCACCGAATGGTCCGTTCCTATTATAACAGTTAGTTAGTAATTCACCACAAACTCCATTAGAAGAAGGCAATGATTTGGATAGGCTTACGCTGCTTTATTCTCACATCGAACGAGGCAAATATTGAGAACTTTACCATTTGCTCCATACTTTCCTTGGCAGTTCAAGTTGGCTGGCATAACAAGTTGGAAGGAAAGTCTCTTGCCGACAGTATGCCAGCTGAAACTGCTGTTTGGATCACCAGGACAATTTTTTCCCCCCTTGTGAAGCTTACCATTGACTCTGCAGGATACAACTTCAAGGTTTCTAGTCCAACTTTGACCAACTCCCTTGTAATCGATCTTACAATGGAATGGACCACCACCATCGAGATTGACTTGGTGCTAAGTATTGGCACTCATTTGTTAGCATACCCAAGGCAATATTTTTCTGGGATTAGAGTTCATACGTACTGCAATGATAGTAAGCGTTTTTCCGGCAGCGACCTTTGGAATACCATTCTTGAGTCCCTTCCTCCCGGTAGAAATACAATTTCTTGTGCTCCCCTTGCTTTCCAACAAGCTCAGATGATTAATGTGATTTCTCACATTAATATATGCGGCAGCTGGGGTGATTTCATTAAACAGCCAGTTCCCCTTTTTAATCCACAAGCTCTTGTTGTTCGCAGCATACCAGTTGGCAGAGCTTTGGACGGAACAACCGCAGCCATTTGGTCTATACTTCTTATTGCCCCAATGATGAACAACTCTGTCATCAAAGACTGCTACGTCACGCTGGAAGGGGACGAGATGAGTACCCTTTCGTGGAGTGAGGTACCCGTATCCGAGGCCGTGGCCGTGGATTGCTGGGTTGGTGCTTCCCCAAGCATCGATGAAAACGACGTGGCCGGATGCAACGTCTATGAAGCCCACAAGGGCAACCGTAGCGGCTGTGAAAAGAGTGGAAAAATGCATTTCGAAAGAATGTCTCGGCTTTTATATATCCGGAAAGTTAAATGAATGAAGCGGTATATCCACAAATGAGTGAAAGGATGGCTTGGGAGCAACCAAGGAGTGACTGAAAGAATGACTGAGCCAAAAGATAGGCTCTACTCTGTGCGACCGGAGGGAATGCAGCGCTGGTGGCGATTAGAAGGGAAGGTAAAACTGATCAAATGTCATGGCGGCTTTATATAAACGTCTATCTGATATCTCGACGCTCTCTACTTGTGATGTCAAGTAATATGTCGTACTACAAGGCTTTTCCGTTTTCGGATGTCTAGGCCATTGAGTGATGATACACCCACCGCTTGAGATTAACAATCTGGTTGAAAACGCCATTTTAGTTCATCAACCGTCGACATGTGTTAACACCCGTTATCCAGATGTTATCGGTAGGCGTAATCAGAGCGGGTACTGTCGCGCGTAAACAATCCTAGTCAGGATTAAAGATATGCATGTATGTGTTCAATCCGAAATATCGATAACGTCGTTCGGATATGGGTCCCTCGAAGTGGGGAAACTCCTAGCAGCTCTGCACACATCCACTATTCCCAATGCATTGTGTTGAACCTGTTGGATTCTAATCGGGGTTTTAACGAGGTCAGCCCAGACTAGTTCGACGTTTTGGAGGCCCTGATTAGGGGACTGCTACTATCACCTAGCTTCACGTTGATCAAGAAGGTCACATCTCCAGCTTCGAGGCCATATTACTCGTTTAGGATGTCTCGATAGCCCCCATTTAACTCATTCAATTGATTGATATAATATCAAGTATATTATTGATCTAATGAGAATAGATCTATACCTTTCCGAGATCTCTATTATAGTACATGACCGACATTCCAGTATGGATATACTTACGGTCTTAAGATGGAAATCCGAGAGACACGAAATAAGCGACCCCAAAACGGATTCACAATCAGTCCCCTGGCCACCTTCTGGCGTGCGTTTGCATGGTGAAGCTACTAAGGCCTGAAGAGTCAATTGGCTAACACAATTGAAGAATATCAAAATATTCGAAATTAGTGGTCGCCCTCGGCAGTGCGGTTCGGCTATGTTTTTCTTATGACCTTCTGGACACCTGGGGTGAGAAGAGACAACCGTTTATGCCTTCCACGATACTCCATACTGCGTCATGCTGGTAGACAGAAGCGCACCATTTGCGCTAACCTAGTATACTAGTACCATAGTGATGCGCATACGTAAACAGAAACTAGATAAATTTTGTCCATGATGTACGCATACGATTGCCATGTTTACTCTACACGGAATGTTCCGGTTTTGAGATCTCGATATCGAGACCGGCCATGCGATGCAAAAGAACAAAAAAATTCTGCAGGATATCAAAACTCTATTTCAAATATACATCTGCAGACAATATCAATATCAATTCGTAGGATTCTCATGTCCCTGCGTTGGTAATAAATTGGTGTAATATGCACAATCCTCGGATGCAGGGTTCGGCTGTGTAACTGTTGGGGTTCGCTATCTTAGTGGTATTATCGTCAAAAACCTTCCAGCTTCCACTCTGGGGAGTGGGTCCATTTGTGTGACCGATGGTCAGTATACAGTCGGAACCAAAAGGTCAGATCATATGCCAAAAACTCGGCTGGAGGCTCCCGAAGAGTCGTAAGGCATTCTTCAGACAGATGCGGATCTAAATCCATCCAGTTGGCTTTTTCCCGTTCGTCGTTTCATTCCCGCAATCAGACATCATATTCGAGAAAGTCTCCACCAGCTGCTACTAAGCCCTCAAATTGGCATGCCAAGATATATCGCGACACAAGCCCGCGGAGAAGCCTAAAGAAGAATCTCGCTTGCATGCCAACACGTCGATCTAAGATGGTTAAGCTTATTAAGTTTAAGTACCGCACTATAGGTGTGTGATAATAGCAGCGACCTTAGTATAGATGATAAATCTATAGGGATCTAATGTGATGTTACAAACGAAATAATCCTGCATTAAGCGACAATTATGATCAGTACCGTCCCGACGGTTACAGGAGAAGGAAATCTAGTATGAAATAGATCTAGCTGACGACTAAACAGGGTGGACAAAAATGATGCCGTCGGGGAGAACAGCCCTCGGCCACTAAAGGGATTTGAAGCCAACTTGGTAAGTAGACCTGGATTCGGCTAACCGAGAGTCAATGCCATGCGTATGCACCGCATCATTGTCATCGTGGATATTGTATACAATCGTATCCCTTCTGAAACATGTGTGCTTGGTGGCCCGCCGGATTTTCCACGCTAGATTGAATTACGATGTTAGGAGTTCTTTTTCTCATCCTTTCTTCAGATCTTTTCTTCACTTTCTCCCCTTGAACTACTCTCTTCTTGAGAGATTCCATGCATGGAAGGTAGCGGGCGTATCTGTCCCATTTGTAATGAGCATGCATATTCTTTGGACGAACAAATCAGTTCCAATTGACAATAATTTCCCGGGCCGTTCATTATACTTTGCAAAGGTTTCGGGGCCCCCACGCCAGGCCGCAAAGACACCATGTTTTTCTTTTCCCCAGGCCCATCAAATGTACACTCAAAACTGTCCACTATGTAAATGCGAAATTTTATAAATTCCTAGATTGAAAGAAATTAACGGGATTTAACGCTGAACATAGTTCTTCCAAGCTAGTTGGATAAGCCTGAGAAATATACTAGATCAAGAATTTTCTGTAAATATTTTCCGCGACATTTCCCCGCAAAAGCATCTTAGATCTTTGACATCTTTCAATCGGCTCGACCCTCGGGTTACCACGGGGTTAGGGAGGCCCCAGGGATAAAAGCTCTTCCAACCCGAGAACTAAGTCTGTACCACTTTCCTATAAGTATAGGTCACTGTTTTCTTTTTTTTTTCCTTTGAGGACACATCGACCTAACTGTTTCGCCTGTGCATATCCAAAATGAGTACAGTGGCGCCGAATCGCGCTAACTGAAGAATGGCTGGGTACGTAAGCGATGTCGTACAGAACGGCTCTTCGGGCCCGGGGTCCTCGTGAGCCCAACGTGTATGCCTTATACTTTCCACACGAAGTAGGCTTTCCTCCATACATAGTTTAGCGAAGTGGGGTGCTGCCGAATATCCGATATGAATACGCTTCAAATACAAAAGCAACAATACGTACCATACCTGTCACGAAAATTCGGAATTGTTATTCTTAAAGAATGAACTTTCTATACCGGTTCTTGAGGCTAATTCGGGAAGTGTTCCTTTGTACATGTCATGTAAATATAGATATGACTTTTTTTTCTTTCGCGACGATGTATTTTGGTGTAAAGTTTGCATGAGAATAGCTACCAGTGCATTTGGGGGCTCATGTATTTCCGAATATCGCGTCAGCAAGCACAAACTTCAAGGAAAACCTGGGTCGGGAAATTCCGCAGTAGCCTAGCACTTAGTCTCTATGAGATATGGTTTGTGGCCAGATAGCGGTTTCTTTTTCTCTCATTAGAATCATTTATTTTACAATAATAACGTGATGCTTTGATCTCGATCGATAGACTGGCTGACGAGGCTAGGCCCTTGATTAATGGTTGAATTGATAGGGGGAAATCTCTTTCACCCCCCCCGAAATATTGAACGCATGATTACCTGTTTCCCAGATGAGACGTTTTCTCAGTCGGGATCCTCGAGTTTAGTTAGACTTTGAATAATTGGCCATATCTAGTCGTACGCATAAATATTATCATATTCGGCAGCTCTTTTTTGTATCAACTTTTTCGCTTCACTATCGCTGTATAGATAGTTGAAACTCGAATTCATTGCTGCAGGCATTAGGTATGCCGTTTTAAGGTTTACCAAGCCAAATAATGCTACTGATCCCATTCGGCGCCCGCCTGTTCGATTATCAATCAACTTAATGTTCCAGTTCTTTGAAACTAGACTAAACTAGCCAACCGGATTGATATCTACGTGCATTTGCTGAGTCCCATGAACCAGACCCTTCCGGATCAATACATGATCTCGGAAATAACTGAACCAAAGGGGAAACCGAGTTCTGTCATTTCAACCCTGTTGATGAATTAATTGGGACCGTCTCGCTGGGTCGAGTGCCCCAGTATTGCATTGTTGTTAACCGAATTTTAACTTTTTCTCTTTTATCGTGAGCTATCCAGCCCAATTTCCTGTTCTATTGTGATTATTTCTATTTTTCTATTCCCCTTTTGCCTTCGTGTACCTAGCTCTAGCTAGGAGGGCCCCCTCATTGTCCCCTAATCCTTGATCTCCACTGTATACCTTCTTCGCCCTCATTTTTATTGTATTTAAAATATATTTTCATTTCTTTACTTTAAATTTCTGCCCATTTTATTCGTCTTTGCTATCTTCGCTTGTCCTCTAAACATAGTCAGGTCCCTTTCACTTCGTGCTCGAGCGCTGTTGGATTTCCACGAAACCCTACCCTACCCCGCAGCGGGATCAGCCGCGTCATGTTAGAAGTTATCCTCGAAGATTCGAGATCATAATATCGGCTTCTATTCTTATTATCCAGTTTCGCATCGCTAAGAAATACTCCGGATCTCTCTCCCCCCGTGCATTTCTTTGAGAATTCTCACTATTATAAGTCCGTTCCCAGAGATCTCCCAGCTCTTTCGATCGTGTATACATTCTACGGACAGTATCTTTGCACTGTTAATAGCATATGAGGGCTACATACACTAAAATATCACAATACACTATTACCCTCCGAAATCTTAAACCGAAAGTTTCAAAGATGACCTTCTTACCATAAATCTGTGATGTTTATATCTAATCTCTTCTCGATAGAACAACAATCGCCACGGCCGCCTCCATTCTTCGCCAACGGTCTCACAAAACAGGCCTCCCTTAATTACGGGTTTACGAAGATTCTATATATACTAGGATTACGAATATTTATGGTTTCGAAAAAACGAGAATGCAAGGTTTGAGGTCAAAAAAAAAAACCGTCTTCCAGCTGTTAATAATAAATACAATTACAACTGCATTTGCTATGTATACCTGTACATATTGGTTTAGGGCCACAGGAAAGGATATATAATAAACGTTAAACCCGCTCAACGCCTCTAAATTAAATCCTAGTGTATGGCATCCGAAAAATAAACAAAACCGTACACACACATGATCCATAAAATTAAAGGGACAGAAAGAAGAAGATTATATGATCAATACGGATCCCACTCTGTTCTTCTCTCCAGTATGAACGACTCAATCGGAACACCCCGAATATTACCTTTCTCATCCAACAACTTCGGCTCAAAACTCACGCTCCTCCACCCCTTTATAAACTTCCTCCAATAACAAGCTTCAGCAGCGGGTGTCAAATACCGCTCTCTAAACGTTTTCACGGAGTTATCCGCAATTCTTTTGGCCTTCTCTTCATCCCATCTTAATTCCTCCATCACAGCTTCAAGGTTCGAAAAGTCTCTATTACATTCCACATAATTCTGATTCGGGCCGTCCGGTATCAGCAGGGAGTGATAGTGTTGTATCCAATCCAGTTTGTGCGCTACAACGACAGATCGACATTGTTGTAGGTATTTTAACCGTCCGGAGTATGAATGGCCTTCCGTGTGGGCTACAAAACGGTAATGACAGTGATCCGACATACTCAGCAAGTTCTTCTCCTTACTTTCGGCACTCTGCCAATCGAGGGCTTTAACATCAGCCCACGCTGCACCTTTAGTCTGGTTCAGAAGAGCTAGACGAACGGGGAGCTTAAGCGTGGCGCCTCTCCAAACAATCTTTGGAATCTTCTTCTCCCAGGGAATAGCTTCGTCAGCAAGACGGGCTTTAAGTCGAACTTCATTATAAGAACCGACTTTGGGTTCCGGCCAGGACCAGTATCCAAAGTCCGGCATAAGCCAGTTAACAGTCTCGTTCGAACGACGCGCGTAAGTCCACGTGGCAGCCGATTGTTCGAAGTCGATATAGTCGGCGGTATTCAATGTGAACTCGATATTCGGAAGGGGTTCCGGAGACGTCACGATGGCACGGTGCATGGCCATGAGAGTTGCAAATCCACGGGAGAAGTTCGGGTCCAGCATTTTGATCACATACAATTCCTGGTTGTAAATAATCCCCCTGAAATATCCAAATGCCGAGTGCGTGACCGATTCCAGCTCATCCAGCGTGATGGGCCTCGGCCTGCGATCCTCCACTGCACGCTCAATTTCAACATATAGCCCCGGGAATGAAGCCTCGCATTGCTGCTCGGTCATGATGAAATTACGCTCATCGTGAGGTGAGAACGGGGTCACCGTGTCGTTCCCCGAAGGCTCGATTTGGGTATCGTGTAAAATAGCATCGACAACAGTGTTATCGACATGATTCGGCTTCGGCGCGGAGTATGTAAGATCTTTGAAACGATCGACTACATGGAATTTGACGAGCCGTGGGTCATACACCGTGAGCGCGACAAAGGAGGTTGTGAAGATGGCCAGGACGGCGAAGAGCAAAGTCTTGGCGTTTCTACCCATTTGGGCTCGCTTGAGTATCCGGTAAGGAGGAAGAAAATAGGAAAAAAAAGATAAAGATATTCTTCAAGTCCTCCCGGCTTCAATTGTAAGTCGACTCCAAGCTGTATTATAAATGAATGGAAGTCCGGCCGATAGGGAGTGAAGTCGAATTAGCGTACGCAATCTTCATCTCGAAACATGGAAATGTAACATCGGCAAATGTTGGATGTTCGATGTTAGTGGCTCAGCCTGCATCAGATATTATAATATTAAGCTTCCTTTGCGGCACGTAACGTTGGTTGGCCCACGTTCGGTTGTAACTGCTCCCCAAACCCTGTCGGCACTTGTACACTGCAGGCACGTTTTCCCGCTGTATTCACCCGGTACGGCGGCCAGCAAAATACCCAGGGCGGCGGATGTCTTTTTTTTTTTCCCCCAAGAAATACTCTTTTCATTCCCTTAAGCTCTTACCAAAATTGCAGTTGGATGGCGCGAATCTTTCCACTTCAAACATCACGTCGGAAAATATATATAAGGTTTGAGCACTAAAATTTAAAACAGGAAGGAAATCTCTCCGCATGATAGCTCGAAGTTGTATATTCAGGGGGGAGTAGTGGCAAGCCAATACAATAGCTCGTCTCGGCGAGCCTACTATATTACTATTCTTGTATTAAAACGCTTCGGCACGCTGCTGACTATATTACTACTTCCAGTGATATAATATAGTCTGTGGCAAACTATTACCACCGACTCCACAGATAATACGAACAATATTAGAGAGCAAACAGAGTTAAATAATTGGAGGAGGGTAGCACAGTCGTCGCTTAATACTTAAACGTGCATAATGTAAGTAGTTATGTGAAGGATCTAACATCGGTTTTACGAGAGGATGTTTATACACGAGTTAGGCTATCGGGTCGCAGGTTTGGCACTGTTACACCGAACTCTAGAATCGAAACATATTGTCCTATGTAAAGTAAATTAGCACGTGTACGTGTAAAGATACAGGTTTACACAAGGCTATGTGGGGAATTATCTTAATTCATTCGCCTTGATTTTGGTTTCATGGTTGAAATCTCTGCATACGAACGAATCTTAAAAACTTAGGTGAAAGGTTGCGATAACGTATGAATAATGAACTGTCGAATCGCTGTGAAAAAACAAATCGACCGTAACCGTTTAAATACAAAAGGCAAAAGCTACTAAATATAAGTACTCACAAAAAACATGGCAGTATACCTTAAGTTGCAAGATCGATGATATATTTTTTACAATCTTAGCCCACAAGAACGAACGATATTGGCACGATAATACTTAGTAGTTATTCAGTACCCCTCTTAATACAAATCTAGTTATACACTCATTGAATTAAGCTTCCACAAATGTTACGTATAGGCATCTTCCCCTCAAGGCCGAGGGAATATCAGCCGCGTGGGATAGTAGCCTTAATCTTCTGAGACTGACTCAACTCCTTTGGCTTCGTAGGAGACAAAGTCGCTCTAGCCGGTAACTTGGCCCACTTCTCTGGCAACCACTTTTGATTCTCCGGAACACCTCCATTTGGATTCTCAACGAATCCTGCATAGATATTATGCTGCTGGCTTGGTTGATGAGGGTTTGGTGGTGCCGGCGCGCTAGAATCATGAATTAGATCCCAGTGTTCACAAGTCTTTCGTTAGTTGGATTAGAGGTTAACTCACCCATTATAATGCAAATCCACCAAAAGATCTCCCCGTTTATTAAATCTTGCATCCTCCATCAAAAAGACACCATTACCCGGGAGTACAAGTTGATTTTGGTTCTGAAGAGCAGAGATCAAAGCATTTGTAACCGTGGAGATGTTGTTATCGAAATAGTAGGAGAGAGCATTATCCACTCCCTTGCAGTAATTGACAAAGTTTTCTTCATGGTAGAAACCATAGATGAATTGAGTTCCTGTTGTGGTGCTGGCTGGTACTCCATCGGGATCTGGGATGCGGGTGATTTGTAAACCACCGTCGTTGACTGCGCCCAGAGCGAAGTTTAGATGCCAATCTGTAGTGGCAGTGAAGCCGCCGCTGTTTTTACATCTGTTAGTTTCCTTGACTGGTACACGATAGGGTTTGCGAATGTTAAGCGGTGTATACTTACGATCCACCACCCCAAGAAGCCTCATCGTGGAATTCAAAGTGGAATTGATTCTTTCCGACGACAGAAATCTTCTGACCACCTTCATCGAAGGTAAGTGTCGTGCTAGATTGCGCTAGTTTTAAATTTATATTAGCAAGGGGCCCTGAAATTAGAGTATAAGCAAAAGAACTTACAAGTCTCAGAACTCGAAACAGTCCAAACACCATTTTCATCCACAACTTCATTACTAGAAGGCGGAAGAGAAGAAGACCAAGTCCAAGAGGGCTTCCCATCCCCATCAGTAGATCTTGTCCAGGCAAAGGTAGAATCCGAAGCAGAGACGCTAGGATTATTATTCCCCACATGATATTCACAAGTCACCCAAACGGACCCCGAATCGTTTGCAAACTTAAGGTATGGAGTCTCAGGATAAACTAGCGTTTGCATGTTAAGTTCTTGCAATAATGGAAGAAGCCATGTATCCCAGAAGATATTTGAGTTCATGCAAAATGTGGCTCCGTTGTCTTTATTCACGAATGGGCCGGAGTAAGTGAGACCCGCGATTTCTGGAGGTTTGCGGAAGTCGGCCATTGTTAGATAACAGAATGCGTTCTGATCGAGACCATCTTGTCCAGAAGTACTGGAGTAACCTGGTTCGATCCAAGGGTAGTTGTAATGGTCGATAGATGTTGGAACGAACGTAGGTGCAACCCCGTTAACTATACGTCGTCAGTCTCTATCCTATACACCATGCGGGGTTATATTGGGAATTGCAAGAAGGGCTTACTCTGCGACGGATCGTTACCAACAATTGAATATCCCAGGATATTTTCCTTCTTATCGCTCATAGTATTAATCCATTTCGAGATAAACATCCCAAAGTTCTCCTTAAGTTCACCAGGCTGATTATCCCAATCCAAACCTCCAAATGAACTCCTCTTAGCGTCAAAAGTTGCACCGCCAGAGATAGACGACGCAGCGAGGAAGAGTTTTGCAATTGAAAAGGTACCATTTGGGAATCCATCTTTGCTAAATTTGGCTGCGTGCTCATCATACCCCGAATCTCCGGGTTTATATGTCTCGCTCCCTATAAAGATCCCGGGCTTAGTCAGTTATATTTGCCTTGATAAACGCATATGATCTTTCGAGAAATTAGTATCGAGTCTAGTATTTATACGAACTAATTACAACTGGGAACACAATGTCCCACCCAACCAGGCTAAAATCCTTAGTATCATCACTATTAGGATCAATATAAAGTTCCATCTGCCCCGTAAGGAACTTCAGATGATAATAAAGCTGAACTGAATTCTGCCCATAAATGCTTAATTCGATCTCAGGAGCATCTAGATCTCCACCAAGATACTGTCCATGTGACTTGTAATTAAACTTGACGAGAGGAGATGACTGGTCGGCAAGAGCCCACATATTTTTGAATGATTTGTTGATAGTATCCTGCGTCACCAGGAAGATTTGGTCGTATGGGGAGGGATCAGTGTCCCGGATCTGACTGGTTGTGAAGTCCGGCATTTTTTGTATGCTTTATTTGTATTGAAAAGGATAATGGATTTGAATTTAGTGATCGATATTGTTAGGAATAGGCTTGGGTAGAGGAGTCTGATGATTAAAGAATAGGGAACCAGGAATGAGTTTAATGAAGGGGAATGGCTACGCTATATATAATTCAATTCTTCGTTCAGCTAGTATACGATCTCATAAACATGGACATCGTGATATCACCGATCCGGCCGAGCTCATCACCTCGATCGAACTCGGGCCAGTACTAGTATTTATTTTCACTAGGTTGATAGAATCTCAAAATACCTCAGATACATATCCGGGATACCCGAATACCCATGTATCTCCTATGGCGAGCGTCTAACCCGGCCTCCGCGTGAACAGCTTTTCTATGTCCTCAGCTGCTAGCAGCTACATTGCATTCATAAATTACAAAGCGGTAGACCAGACACCCATATAAGTCTATATATATACGTACTAGTATTTACATAAATTACGTCAAACCCGGTCAAAAAATATGCAAGGCCACTACCGCGGTTATATCCTCATAAGCTCAACTATTCCGAACCTTTGACATGGGCTGTAATGCCAGCAACCCAATAACATCTCAACATGCAACAAGCCTCACAAATTCCGACTGCGACATCCAGCTCAACAACCCCTGTCGCAGTCACCCTCCCCGCCTTCAACTGCTGTGGATTCGAAGCTTGCGAAACCGGCTACGGAAACCTGCGGCCCGTTTGTACTAGTTAACGGTTGTGTTCAGCCCTGATTTTGGCAAGCATAAAAAGATCTTTCGCTTATTTTCTGGCGTGCATGCGGGCTGGTTTATGTTGTGCATATAAAACCTAGTACGTCCTACGTATTACCATGTTCACCCGGCTGGAATCCAAAAACAGAACTAGCTGCGAGTGCGAATAGGTTGGGCCATACATTAATTCCATTAATTGGGGTTGCGAATAGAGGAATATCCTGATGGTTATCTAGCTAAACAGACTTATCTCGTAAACCAGAATTAATTGCTGCTGCCAAACAGACTAGGGAGAAGTCGAAATGTGCAATTTAATAATATATAATAGAAGATCTAGTGAATAATATACCTCAACTTCGAAGAATAACCGTAAATACATAAATGCCTAGCTAGAAGAATAGATAAGAATAAAAATCCATCACGTAAACTATATACTACCGCCCGTAAATGCTACCCCCCTTTTTTTCACGTGCATTTTTTTATATTTCCATTACTTCCTAGAGTTTTCTTTTTTGACAATTTCCCTCCAAAGGTCCAAAACGCTCCGATATGCAATTAACTAACATATGCCAGAAAATTAATTAAAAAAAAATCTCAATCTCAACTTCCAAGGCAAACCCACTCCGCTCCAAAGATACGTATGCATACTCGCACCCTTTATAAATACTGCTCACGCGCCTCACTGAAGAAATTAAATCAATTTTTTTTACCCATAACGCCATGAACCCCTTCGCTCCGCCATTTGTTGCTGTTGTGCTTGTGCCAACGCTATCTGCTGCTGCATAATCATAAGCTGTTGCTGTTGTTGCGCATTCCACGCTGCAATCGTAGCCGCATTCTGTTGTTGCTGCTGCTGCGGTTGTTGCTGCGGTTGTTGGTGTCCGTAGAAGCCGTAATGCTGTTGGATTGGTTGTCCCATATGTTGTCCCGAGTTTCCGAAACCAACTCCCATTCCCGTCTGTTGTTGCAGTTGCAGCTGTTGCTGCTGTTGATACTGTTGATACTGGTATTGTTGCTGCTGCTGCTGCTGCTGTTGGTACTGGTACTGGTATTGTTGCTGTTGAGCTTGTAGCTGTTGCTGTTGGGCTTGTTTCTGAGCTTCCTGCTGAGCCTGTTGCTGCATCAAACTTCCCATTCCAACAATACTCTGTCTTTGACGCATAGCATGCTGCACAGCCCAGCTGTTTCTGTTGGTTCTTTCTTTGAAGTCCTTTCTTTCCTTTTCCCTCTTTTCCATCTGACCTAGGAGACCCGCTTTGTGTGGTGGCGCCTTCCCGATTTTTGAGGTTTCCGAATTCCAGTTTTGACCTAATAGTGGTGTGCCAGTTGAACGGGCGATGTACTCTTGTTCTCCAGCTGAAAGTCTCCCGTCTGGTGCTCCGGAGTCGCCGCGTTCCCGCTGACGGTAATTGGAGTAGTGATCTGTTACGCCGTACGAAGGAGTTGAAGGGCCAGATTGGAGGTGCGGTGGGGGGTGGTAGATACTTGCCGTTGGAGTGACCTGGGGTGGATGGTAACTACTTGGTGGTATTGGCGATACCATTGGCGGTGGAAGAGAGTGAAGCGGTAATGCTGAAGTTGAAGGGTTATTGGTATTCATTAAAGCGGATGGTCCACGGCTTGCAGGACGGCTGAGTAGATTCCCTTGGCTTTGAGGCCGACTTGGAGCAGTCGTTGCGAGTTCTCTATTCGCAGATCGGCTCTGAGGACGACTTGCGAGGTTGGGACTGTCGCTTCCGGTGCTTCCTCCACCGCCGGTTCCGTGTAATAGATCAGCAGCACTGCCTGCTCGACTGATTCTTCTTAGCTGTTCCGCACTGACGCTGTTAGTCCTCGAGTGCAGCGCTGGCCTATTCGCGGTACCGGTGGCACCAGCGGCGCCAGTGGCGTTCCCGCCATTGCCGCTCCCAGCAGGTTGTTCCCCTTCGTCGCTTGGAGTCTTACTCTTTCTCCTGCCGACGTTGAAGTAGCTCAAGAACTGCCCGGTGCCCAAACTGCCACTCCTCTGATGATGTTGATTCAAAAGTTTATTCCTCATGACGTCGGTAGTCTGCTGTGCCAATTCGTAATGTGCTCCAACGTAGCTATGCGCGTCGAACTCCTCCTTCTTCTCCTTAAGCTCCATCTCTTCCTCTTTCTCGTCTTCTCTCTGCTTCCCCTTATGTGTATTTAGTGGTTTCCAAACATTCGCATTCCCTGTTGTCGCCGTCCCCGTTGCCCCCAACGACCCCACCTCGCTAGCATTGCTGTCCACATTCCTTCCCGCATTCGTATTAAAATTCACCATTCCAGGCGCCCAGGCAACGCTTCGGCGCTTACCAACCCCGCTGAGATCGGAATCCCGACTGGAATTCCTATCATGCGCCGGTTTCCTCCTCACCACATTCTTCTCCTTCGGCCCCAGTTTCCCTCCCAAATCAGCCGTGGGTCCAAAGTCAACCTCCACACCACCAACACTCATCCCCCTCCCGTGTCCCAAAAATACAACCGTACTCTCGGGTTCCTGTAATTCCCCACCACCAGTAGCGGGTCTCGAACCTGGTTTCTTCGGCGACGATCCAGACCCAAATGCAGACCCAGACCCCCAATCTCCAGAAATCGGTCTGTCGTCATCGTCCATCCCTTTGACCTTAGTAACCGCGTATTTAGTCTCCCCGATCACAACCTCTAGCATATCCTCCGTCGGTTGTCCCACAAACTTCTTAACCCCATACCTCTTCGGCATGTCATCATCATCATCACCACCTTTACCAAAGAAATCCTTCTTCCTCAACTTAACATCCTCAACAGGCGACTGTACCGCAGAACTATAGTTACTAACACTACTAAGACTACCGGTCCGAACGGAGTATACGCTGCCCCTGGACATAACACTATTCATCCTCCCAACCCCAGATCCCACGGGTTTTCGAGAAATTACGGAATTCGATTTATTAATTCCTTTCCCTCCTCCTAATGACGATATTCGATTGAAAACTTCGGAATCAATCCGAGATATTCGATCTGCTACTCCGTCGGCACTAACCGGTGTGGAAGTATTCGACGTTTTTTCTTCGTCAACAACGACCGTAGTGACGACAACGACGTCGTCGTCGTTGGGATTCTTTGCGGTGACGTTCGAGTTCGAGTTTGGGTTCGTGTTACCGCCAAGTATTTGTGGCGTAATATATGTGGTGGCACTAATTTCTCCGGTTCCGTCCGTTCGCGGAGATTTTTGATTCGTGATGCCGTATAGTGTTGTTGTTGTTGTTGAGGCTGCGGCGGCGGTGGCGGAAGTGAACGATGATGATGATGTATCGGGTTTTAAATGTAAGTGCGGCAGCGGTGGTGATGATGATAGTAGTGATACTGGAGAATGTACAATGTTCTATAATTTACGCAAGAAAGAATGGCCCCCAAAAAACCCTCATTGGTTCATAGGGGAGTAGAGAAGAAAATTATCAGGAAAACCGTCTCGTTATTTGGCGTTAAAAGAAGTTCAATATAAGAAGAATGGCATGGTCTAAGAAGGGGTCATAATTTTCATAAAAGTCACGCCAATGCCACGTGGGGAAGTGGCGGAGTGATCCGGTTGCAACGTTGGAAGCTGGAAATAGAAACAGGACACAATGTACAGAAATTAGGTGTATCTGGTTAAAAATAAGGAGAAGGAAGAAGAAAGAAGTTGAAATATGAATATGAAAAGAAGATTAAAGGAAAGGGTAGACATCTCTGTGTACGTACTCTCCAGTATTAAAAGGAAAATTTCTAGAGTACTCCCCTGTTCCAACTTCAAGTGGGAAATCAAGAGTATTTACTTTTTTGTGTGCATGGCATCCAAGATAATCCGTTTTCAACAAGCTCAAAACACGAGGACAAAATGAAACAAAAGTAGCTCAACCGGATTCCAAAAGATGCAATGGGAATCAAAAGGAAAACAAACAAAAAAATAGCAACAAAGAAAAAACTACTGGTAATATCCACGTACACTTTGTGCACTGCCATCATATCCGTTCGCGTAATTCCCACCATATCCCTGCTGGTATCCCTGCTGGTCTGCGTTAGGCGGTAGAGGAGGAAGTGGGTGCTGCCCATAAGGGGCGTGGTGTCCTCCGTTCCTTGTGGCAGCTGCAGCAGCTGTCTCTAGCTGCTTCCTTCGAAGCTCGTCGGAAAGGTCAAAGTCGTTTGGGTCGGTGTGAAGGTCGTTCGACTTGGGAATTCTAGAAGCGATTGCCCCCGTAGCTGGGGTAATCGATGCCGTGCTACCATTTGTTCTGTGGCCCTGTGTTGTATACGCTGGTCGAGGAGCAGCTAGATCGGAATCGCTAGACAGTTCAGAGTCTGTTGAGGTGTCAGTTGAGCCATACGACCTAGCTCTCTGGGCTGTTGCGCCATCGGCCTGGGCGGGGAAGCCAAGTGTTGGTGACTGGGCTTGCGCATGATAATCGACCGGAATAGGCCTAACTTCCTGTCAGTGCATACGTCATAGCCGTTAGGAGGTCTGTTCTCGCCTTACCCAGCATTATTACCGTGCATCATCTCAAGTGTTCCAACAGAAAGTCGAGACATAGCGCGAGCATTCGCGACTGGTGAAAAAGAGTGAGCTGGAACCGGTGGCCCTCGCGAAGTGCTTGGGGACGCTGTCGGCATAGGGTATGTGTTAGCAAGATTAGCCGTTTGGAGTTGTGGTGGTTGACGATTTCCAAGATTGGGATCAAATCCGCCAGGCCCGCGAGGGTCACCACGGAAGGCACTAGGTGGACCTCCTGGAGGGCCTGGTTGCCTATATCCCATTTGTTGGTTAGGAGGGCTTTGTCCATGGCCGCTTCTTCCGCTCATCTGGCTGCGCTGGCTCCGACTGGAGGGCGGTCGTGAGTTTGGGCCGCTATACCCGTTTGTGTAGCTCTGGGGAAGCGGGGCGGCAGATCCTTGAGGCTGCTGATATCCTGTATTCTGAGGGGATATGTATCCTGCTGGTGGATTGCCATATGCCTGACCAGGTGGCGGTGGTGGCGGCGCTTGTGGTGCATCGGGGTACCCTGATTGCTGGGGTGGGTAGAACTGAGCCTGTGCTTCTGACATGCTTCTCGTATGACTGGTTTGCCGCGAAAGCTGAGGGGGTGCACTATGGCCCTCCATTTCCCCATTTTGTTGTCCATAGCTTTGTATTGTTGGCAAGCCAGGTCTTTGTGTATTAAAGCTGCTCCTTCCGGTATTGCCATCAAAGCTAACTGCGGACCCAATCTTCATCTGGCCTGGTAGGCTTGCCGTGCTGGGGCTAGCTAGACTAGCACGTTGAAGCCGTCCGCTTAGTTGGACTTTAGAGGTTGTCTGCTTTAATTTCCTTCTCCACTCGGCCTCAGACCAACCACTGCTCCCATTCTCGTTGATAACACCCACAACATCGGCGAGATCTAATAGCCTGTACGGCTGTCTGGGCTCCCTGGGAAATGCGAACATGAGGCTTCGAGGATCGATGGAGTCAGCAGCTAGCCTGTTGGGTCGCCCATATAGGTTGAACACATCATAAGTCGGGATCAAGAATCTCAGCATCATCTCAAACCCTGTAACAGCGGCATGGTGATCCGGCATCATAAAAACTATTCCTTCGCTTGTAAAAGGCGGGTCGGAGTGAATCACGATGTTACCCTCGATTTTTACCAGAGTGCTTTGATCTATCAAAGCCTTCGCCTCAGGGTATACCGCATAGGCGGCGAAGGCTCCGCTGATGGTGGCTACCGGTATGGTCTTCTTCTTGACTTTACTATTTTCGTAGAACTTGATGTCACCAATGATTACCTCCATTTGGATCTGTGCACCGGCCTGTTTCGATGCCTTCCTGGCGACTTTCTTAGCCTTCTGAAATGACTTTTCATCGGGCGGTGTGATAACGGCCCAATACCGCTTCCACGGTGTTCCGGCGCCGAAGCGGACTCTTGTCCAATCTTCGATCTTGAACTTCGAACGTTCGAGAATTGTTCCAATCGAGTTCAGTGATCTTCCTTTGGCAGCGATGAGTGCCCCTGTGTAGGCTTCTTGTAAACAGTTGTGCTCGAACATAGCCAATCGAATGGCGGCTGTCCATTGTGTCAACTCCGGCACTGAAGCAAAATGTAGAAGATACCGATTTCGTCCAGCAGTGGATAAGCTAAGGACGTTCTGTAACGGTGTTCCTCCGGCTCTTTGTGGGAGAGAATCAATCTACAATCAATCAGTCAGCGGGTATGGTCTAGTGAGAGGTTTGATGGTTTACACTCTACCATTTTCATAGAAGCATCCGTAAGATTCAAAAAGGTTGGTTTCACGGCGCCTCCCTCCGGTGGAATCCCTCTCCTCGCCCTTTCCTCCTCTTCTTGAATAGCTCTATCATCCCAGATAGTCAGAACGGTCCCAATTAGCTGAGCATAGCAATCAGTCCACTCCCTGCTAGTGACAGCAGTTCCATCTAAAACACCGTTAGAACTTCATTCCTAACATCCATTATATTGCAAGAAGCCCCATCTACGTACCAGGATTCATATCATTCAACTTCTGGAAATACCCTTCATGGTATACCTTCTGGGCATGTTCTCCAAGATACTTGAAGACACCCACCATCTCTGGCAGGATGTCTGCCTCCTGGATGCCATTTCCGCCTATTCCGCTACTCATGGCGAACGGGTTGATAACGCTTGACGGCCGTGGTTGGCCGGATCGGCTAGTTCGCCTCGCTATAGGTGCCGGCGAGTCGTTCGGAGGAGTGGAATGCGATGTCGAGTTGGAAGGAAACGATTCGGCACCCAACGGTTTAGTTGGTGAAGCAGGCCCCGGCGATGAGTTAGACGAGGTGGTACGGTCACGGTTGAAGAAGGTGGCGGAGAAGGCTGGGTTTTAAAGAAAAGGAAGGAGGAAATTAAATGCAGGTTAGTCAAGCAACAACCAATATGGCGAACAAATTTAATGATAAACTGCGAAGAAATGTAAGGACACAAAAAAGTAACTAAAAATTGCTCTTTGCTCTTTGCTCTTTGAATAGGGTGGCATGCAGCAGCAAACGGGAAAAAAAGGAGAACGAGGAGAGAACGAGGAGAACAGGGACCGGATGGACTAAAAGAGCGGCGCACATGCTCATGCAACGTGCCGTTGAAAATGTACACAGGTCCACTGGACTAGCACACAGTATACGTAGACATGGCTCCTGGAGTCAGCCAAGGGGTACATACATGTCCATAGTTTCCCGAGCTGACCGTCGCCGTGTGGTGGTGTGGAGGGGAGCACTTGGAATGGGGTTAACCTTAAGGCTGAAACTGCATCGCTGGATCTGGGCTTAGCACCAAAAATGGAACCACCATCACAGCTTGAGCCGGGCCGAAAGGGTGCAACCCAACCAGACCAAAAGATCGGTTATAATATTGCATTGAGGAGATGATGTGATGTGATATGAGCGGAACAGCCTCGTCGAGGTTGACTTTGACCCGACCGGAACTGACCTGGCAGGACAAGACAGGGCAAGACAGGGCAGGGCAGAGCAAGACAGGGAAGTGCAGGGAAGGGCAGGAAGAAGGTATATCCCGGGAATGCAAGTGTAATATCTGGGACCGCTGTATGTAGGTACCCATGCCCACATACATAAGTAAGAGGCACTAAGTCAGTATTTCCATAATACAGAAATACTCATATGCTATGGCCCTGTCCCGGGTGGAACAGAATGGCAAATGCAATGCAGTTCTATTTCTCCCTGTGCGAAAGGTCCTGACCCGACCTGACATCATCACGGAATAGAACGAACGAACGAACGAACGAATGAACAAAAAAAAAAAGGAACAAATGAACAATTGAAAAATTGAACGAATGAACGAGCGGATCAATCGGAGATGGGCATATGTGAGATAGCCCGCGGAATTCCACAAATGAAAGAAAGTGTCATTATGATGGACATGAACATACCTCTCGCCCGTTTTGTCATGCTGGTCGGTTCTCCCATTATAAACTGCTTAAACACCGGACCCCTGAATTGCCAGCCGCAATGTCAAAGTGTATGCAATTCCAATCTGGCAATTTGGTAATTTCTGCGGTAGTATTGGCGTCGGTGGCGATGTATTTGATCGGTTGAAATTTCGAGGCTCGGAGAATGACGACACCACGGTGATACGACGGTTCGAAGTGGATGTCAATGACTTCTTATAATAACCAATTCTGAAGCCCTAGTCCGATCTCTATCAATTTCCGCGTGCGGATGGCGCGAAAGTCGGAACCTGGAGAATTAATATGCCGAACAATTGGGCTTAGTTCGATTCAATTCAGTTCGGTTCGAATCAAACACTTCGTATTAACTGTGAAGATGCTACCTAATATTAGCCGGCACTCCATAGACAATGCTTCAAAATCCGCAAAGACAATCGATTCGATCCAATTTGGTCTCGTCAACTGGGCGTCATATCGTCATTTGTGCAATCGTGCGACTGTACCGTACATATGTACCCGGCTGTTGGATGATGATATCGTGGGAAGTCAAGGTGCACGACGGCTGCCAACACATATGCACATAACCACCACCAAGACCTGGGTACTCGTTATCCTGCACAAGTCGAACCCTGACGGATTCTACACCCCCAATTGTATCTTCAAACTTAGGGCACCGGAGGTTGTCGAGGGAGGAAAAGAATTTTAAATGCAGTCGGCGATGGAAGAAGATTTGGTCATACCTGAAGAAGTTTAACTATCGATCCCACCCAAAAACAAAAAAAGGAGAGAAAGTGAGGGCGAAGGGCGAGAAAATTGGAATCGGCTAGGAAATACAATCGAAAAGGGCTGTATGTCTGCGTCTGTATCGGCTGGTCCCCCACGGTGATACCTTTTTTCTTTCTTCTCAATTCTAATGACAAAGAGAAAAAAGAGGACAAAGGAAAGATCAAAGCTGCTCCGACGATGGCTCTCTCTTTAAGAGCTTCAGCACTGCCACGACAAAATGTACAAAGATGAGAGCTTCCGCCTTGACCGAAAGTTTAAGAATCTTGGGGCTGCAGCTCCGAATTATACCAGTTTCCAAGCCAAGAAGCGCCGGTCTCCAAAAACGACGTCAGTATATCCAAAAAGTGTTTACTATGTAATAAAGTATGTGCTGTGTATTGATGCTTGTCGACCTAGGTTATCCGTGCCCAGAGATCCCGAGATCTTGTCCCTCCTTGAGCTTGTCTTGAGCGCTCCGGATCCAGCCTCCCAGATTCACCGATCGGATTTAAATTAGCTAACGAGTGTGGGTGGGCGCGTGTGAGTTCCTGCGTGCCTTCGATCGTAGGATGTATGGTCTGAACGAGTGAAAAAAAGCTGGCTAGGTTGATGATGATGACGATGATATCAATACTACAGCACACAGAAGCTCCTTCCCTTCCCTTTTAAATTTTAAAACCCTTTGTCTGCATTTCCTGTTGCTACGTCGTCCCCTCCACGTTCTATTTATTGTTCGCGCTTGAATTTTTTCCTCCGTTCCTTCGCGAATGCATAAGAAAGATCTTGGGTCGCAACAATATCGGTTATGACAGCATTAATACTTTTTTGATGCCCGGAAAGCCGGGGTACCCTCTGCCGTGCAATCAAATACAAGGGTTAGCTGGATTCATGAATTCAGGGCAGGTCGCTCCGAGCTTTTCTTGCTGGGGCCACTATTTACATACCCTCGTCATGGTTACCTCCAGGAATCCATTGGGACGACCTACATAATTGGGCCCTTGACAGCCTCTATATTTGGAGCATCGCTTGCCCTCACATGGCCGACGCACACGCAATCCGTCCCATCATATCACAAGATCTGGACTGGTTGTTCCCATGCTTTTTATTTTTATTTTTTTATTTTTTAAGAATTTTCACATCAAGCTTTTTATGGTCTGGGGCTGTCTCGCCTCCACTCAATGCACCAGGCCTATTGACAGGATATCATGTCCGCCGATGCCTGGAAAGGGTACCATTGTCTCGAATTCTTCAAATGAGGGGATGGGACCTCAAGTACCGAATAGTGCGCCAAATTGCCCAATCGGACCCCAAATTTTCTCCAATCAATCGCCAGGCCCATTCCGACGGACAACCATCTTATTGCATACGTCAGCACAGACAAAGAAAAACGTGCGAACGTTCCATTACAGATATATGCATACCGCCAGTGCTAAGCGGTTAATATTATCATTCATCTATTGTGTCGAATCGAATCCTACCCAAACTTTCCACTAATATCAAGCCAATGCGCTTGAGGGGTTTGTGAGCGAGTTTTCGTATTTCATGTTAAAGCCGTAGGTTTTTTTTTTTTATGGCGCCCAACCACCCCTTGATCCCCTTGATTAGACTCGGCGACGCTGTCAGTTTTTAACATGTTAAAACCGCCTTCTTGCGACGCCGGCTTTTAAAATCTTATCGAATCGGGAATCTCGAGCCAGTCCGCCGACTAATGCTGACTACTGCAACGTTTTTTCTGTCCGAACCGAACCCCCTTATTGAAATCTATTCCTTTCCTGTCTGGTTCCCAATACCACGGCAGAATTCGACATGTGCATGCTAAGTACCTGGGTACCTAAGTACGTATGCATATACATACATATATCTGAATCAAGACGCCCGCATCATATCATGGTGTTACCATCATTTGACACCAACCCATACATTCGACAGAAGGAAAAAGTTTAATTATTAAAATAAGATAATCGATTACCAACTGTCTGCTTCACCGTCGTCTTCTTATAACTACTAGTACTAACACAAAAAACAAAAAAATCTAAGGGAACCCACAAAGGTAGTATGAACTCCCTTTCCTCCCCCTTTTTTTTGGCTCCCTCATGATCGCTAGCTCTTTACATAGTATATCGATAAAGTAAGATTCGCTTCGTAATCATGCGGTGGGTTGATTATATCCAATGTAACATCGTGCTTGGGCGCTGTGGCTTGCAATACTCTGTCTTGAGGCTTGTAATATTATAGCCCAGACTAATATTATAGTATACGTGGGTTGAAAGTTTTTGGCTTAGCGAATATAACCGGGCCACAGATTTCTGAGCGCCACAAGTGGCGTATACTCACATACTCGAAGTAGTCATACTATACCAAAATAAATACCGTAGTACACTAAAATCCATTAAAGCTATAAACAAAGTAAATAAACGCAGTCTTTGGGGGCAGGGAATAGCCAGGTTTTCATAAACTTGTAAGTCCTGACTGATCTCGTTGTGTTGACCAAGTTTCAATAAGCTTATAGGACCTTCAGCCCACAACGTACAGCTTGAAAAGGTTGCCACAGAAAATTACTATATCTATTGCAATTAAAACTAAAATATAGTTTCAAAGGGTTTATAAACATCCGTTTTGAATCGAAACATCCCACAAAATAAATTTTGTAAAACAGACCAACAGTTGAGAATTGACGCCCAGAGCCGAAACTCCAGGCTGTCCAGTCTCGATTAAACCAGCTTAGCGGCAGACTTCCTTTTCAAGAATTACAACATCCCAACACATATCTTGACGTCTGATCCCAAGACACCATCTACCCTCGCTGCATAAAATTCTACATAGCCAGCCCAACGTAAACATTTGTTAGCTTGTTAAAAATATAAGAACTCTACTAATATTAGGCTTAGCTGTTGTTCCGATCATAAAACCCTCAACACATATATGTGTTTGTGAGTGTGTCTGAAATTCGCCATCCTAACATGGTGTTCAGAACTCGATTCGAAAGCCTCAGGCCCACACCAGGCCTAACAAAAGGACTAAGTTATTTGTTCTTGCTTCACTTTAGATTCTTTTCCTTTTCTTTTTTTTTTGGGAGGCGTGTCAAAATCATAAGCCTCGACAAATCAATGGTGGGCTTGCTCGCGCTGAAACGGCCAGAAAGATGCACCGATGTAACAATAGAGCATTGTTATGCTTCTGAAACGATTCCGGGAAGACATTCACAGATTCACAGAGGACGGGGTCACAAAAATGGGTTCTTGCAGACGGGAGCTTCCCCAACCGATGCCATACTAATTATGACTCTTCACATAGTCCGAGGCTGCTTCACAAAGTGATCTGGACGCCCAACCGAGCTTCTATTGCTGTCAGGCTGATGAGCGTCATCCCGTCCACACGGAATGATGCATAAGGACTCTACCCATCACAAAAGAAATCAGTTGGTAGCACAACAGTGGCAAAATCAATTATGAATTCCCCAGGGCTCTTCGTTCCATTGGGAAGATCAGGAGTTCTCTTCAGTGGAGACGAACCCTCTTGACTCATCTCTCCATTCCAACGTCAACCCTTACTCCCCAAGGTTGGAGACTGCTTGCTAAAAAGAAATTCATGATCTTTTTGCGCAAACACCGGGTACCGGTTGTGGAGAAGATGGGACCAGATCCTTCTGCGGGACCACATGCCTAGCCTCGAATCTCGATGTCGAGTCTCTGCAAGGCTATGTCTGAATCGCTGGCTCTTTGTACCCGACTTGAGGGGACCCGCATTCCCCAAACTGCTTGCTAGTCTTGCGAGATCTCCAGATCCTTCACTTACAAACAACCATAATGAGGTTGGCGTCTCCGAAAGTTCATGAACCAAGGTACTAACTTATTTGCCGTGAACGAGCGGCACAGCAACTTTTGGCAAACTGGCTTGCCTCAAAATGTGTTTTTTTTGGTTACGGGCCAACCCAAGCCAGAACCGAGCTAATTAACTGCCGTAAACTTCCCCTTTTCCTCCCCCCTTCCTTCCTGTTTTCCCCCATTCTTTTTTGCTGTTTGCCATGTTGCAACAGATCATGTTGGTCTCGTTTCAAGACGTCATAAAGTTCAACGGTTATACCAGATCTGAAAATGATCGATCATGCGAGACCTATTCAAATGCATAATCAATAATACAAAGTATACAGACTAAGTAGGCCTGGACGTAGGCTACCGGTGCACTCTAAGACAATAAGGATACCATCTCCAGGAAATGAAAGATCTTGAGGTTCTTTGCTTAAGGTCCTTCGTATTTGCAGCACACGATTTCACTAAGTAGCGTCAGAGACCGATTTGTTCCCTTCAGAAAACCTTAGCTTTATAATACCGGGCACATTAATGGAAAACTCACTAGCTAGCTGGAATTATGGCTTCGAATTGCCATGTAACATGTAACATGTTAACAAACCGATCGGTATAGCCAAAGAGATCAGTCGTGGTACAGCTAATCCGCACTGCCAGGATGCATTCCCGCCTAGCCCGTGGACCGCAATATTTCCGAAGTTTCCCGAATATTATCCGCCATCCAGCAAGTGGGATACCCGTCAAACGGATTTTGTTTCTGTGGAACAAAATTACTATTTTCTTTTGCAGATGGGTTTGTACCACGCTTCAAAAAAGTCTTTAGGATAATCAAGGTGCCCCGAATCGATCCACGGTTGAGGAGTCTGGCGACCAGGCAGCCCTAATCTGAATTGTCCAAACCAGAGTAACCATTCATACAAACAATTTTTTTTCTTATAAATACAGTATGGAGCGAGCTTTTGAAGCAGGAGTACTATAGTTCGAGTTCAGAAGCATTATCTCCTCTCAATAGATAGCTATAGACTATTGTAAAATCAGATACAATACAATTTCAAAGCTCCAAAGCTCAAAGTCATAGTGAACTCGATTGAAGCGATACCTATTGGAGGTTCGAACCCCGCACCCTCCCACCTACTATACTGCGAGCTAGCCTCACCCCCCATTAATTTTGATTCTTTCTTAAGATCTTACCGCATCAAGCCTCAAAATGACCACTACTCCGGGCCTCACACAACAACTACCTCACGTAAGCTAACTCATAAAACACTGCGCCTTGCAATCAATATTTTACGCATGAATTATGCTGACACGGTAACTCCCATTAAGTCGGAGATTAGTTCTACGGCACCAAATCAACCGGGGTACCCCCATAATAGCCCAAGCCAAATTTTGGAACGTTGGCTCTCTGAGTCAGTCCAAGGAGAATCCTCCAACGGACTGCCAGGGCAAGAACTTCAACCCCAGAGAGCAAAACGTCTGCAAAAAGTCATACAGGAGGTGGAGAGGGCGTTTTCAACCAGTCAAGTAGCTGCATATGAACACGATAAAGATTCATAGAACGGTGCGGCGAGCAGCTAGCTGGTACGGCAAGGATATATATTAGAGGCAGGAGGGGGGAGTTGCGGAGCCTTTCGAAATTGGCAACGGGCTGTGATTTTACACTTTGGTTTGCAATGTTGACTTTTTGAAACTTTGTTTTACACGGCGTCTTGTCTTCGAAAAAGTCTGGATCTGCCTTATTCTTTATACCCCATAGACCATATTTTGTATTTCGTTTCATTATCCGCCTTTGAATCACTATATTTTTATTTTTGTTGGTGCAAAAAAGTGCAGATACACACAGCATTCGTTTTTTTAAATAACTACCTAGCTACTGGTTTAAATTAACATGCATACTTGTGTCTATCGACTAACATGCAAAACATCCAAATTAAAGATACTTCGAAACGTGTTGAATTCATGAAATGTCAGTTCGGTATAACAAGTAACAATATAAATCCCAAGCCCCATAGCCCCATCCCTCCCAAACTCGGTCACAAAAAGCCCCCCAACGCCAACGTATGTACAAGGAGCTCGAGAGCTAGAGCAAGTTAAGTTATGCTATTCCCTTGGATCGAGAGACTCCGCTACGTATCTGTAGACATAGAGAAACTAACTTGAGCATTAATGTTGGAAAAAATATTATTCGCATAGAATGTTGGCTGGCCACGAGCTTAGCTTAGTGCATCATGTCGATGTCCTCGCATTGTCTTGGCCCCGGCTGGCGTCTTTGCTTCCGCACAGAAATTCGATTTTGTAAGGCTGCTACAATATGCAACATGCCAACACAACAATAATACGACCTGACCAGAACACAGTATTGCAGTGAGAGGACCCTAGGGTTGACTAACCGGTAGGTCAGCCGTCATCATCACCGCTATCAGTCGCGACGAAAATTTACAGATCTAGTGCTGCTACAGATTGTCTCGAATGTTTCTTTCTCTATAGGCGGCAAGTTAATTTCATAGAATCCGGTCAACATACTAACATCGTATGTTTCGGAAAATGTACCGCATGATATTGCACTGTTGGAAATGATCTTACACGCTGAATGCTGAGCCCGATTTAGTCTTGGATTAAAACGCTTCGGCACACTTGTATAATGGATCGCTATAGCTAAGATGTAAAATTTAAGTATTAGCTCTTTGATTGCGGACAAAACTATAAATATACAAACCCCTGGACCGACGAGGTTCAAATGATCATAAGTACTCCTATATTATGCAATCCACTATTCCCAGCTGAGGTCTCTTCATTATCTTCTTAATCAGTTGCAGATCTAAAAGACTCGACTTGATATCTGTTTTTTTTACTTTCCATCTCTTATTTATTTTTTAAGTTGGCCTTGTGGCTCGGTCTCTTTCTTATATTGGGGACCCACTTTCCTATAACGAACTTGAGCGATGTTGGTATCATTACCGGCGCTTCACCCGGGGAGACTGCTCTCTCACATCCTCGTGGCGGCTGTACTATTAGTTGCGACCATCGAGTCGACCCCTCTCGCATCAGATTCCCGAGATATTGGAGACCAACCTCCTGATGGTATCAATGGTCCCGGGAATGCAGCGATATCGAAGCGACAACTTCCAGTGGAAGGCCTAAACCAGTTAACTAGTGCTCTGAGAAATACGTATAAAGGGAACCCTGGTCCTGGACCAGATAACATTGGGCAAGTTCAGGGCAACGATACCAACCTGACACGAAAGGAGACGATCCCCTCATCGTTCTTCTATTCCGAAAAGGGGCTCTACGTTCGGTGCAACTCAGCCGACTTTGTTTTAAATCTTCAGCCATGGAACCATCCCGACTATCCGGACATCAAGCTTGACGCTTGGAAAAACGTCAAGACTTGGGATCGTGAAAAAGTCTTGGGGAATATTCATAGAACCCAATATGCGTGTAGACAGTGCAAATGTGACGAAGAGGGAAGAATAATACCCCGGGTCAAAGGGACTCCCAAGCACAAAGCTAACTTTTGTACGAAACGAGGTATTAAAAGGTGCACATTAATTTACGGTATTTGTCAAAAATCTCCCCAAAAACTGACGCGACTTTTGTCCACTCACAAACTAACCCGGCTATTCAGCTTGTTTTTGCACCGTTGATTTGATCCAACCGGTTCCTACCTCCACGACCGCGACGGTTGAGGACTACCAAGCCGCATTAGATCGTATCCCAGAATCGGCTAGGGCTATGAACTACAATTATCGCTGGCTCTGGGGCGGACAGAGTTTGAGATTCGGCCAGTCACCCCCACTTCGATTTGCGAACGGTATGCTTCCCCCAGAAAGGCCACCCCCGGAAGAAGAATCAGTCGATCTCGAAGATCCGTCTTATGGGGGGCTCTATATGGTCCTCGACCCGAATAATGGATACTATCCGCCGGCAAAAGGGTTTCAAGATAAATTTGTATAAGTGGAGATCTTTGATGCATCAATACTGTGGGGGCCAGGTGCATGCGGGTGTGGCACTAAGCTTGTCTCGAGGCTACTTTATCTCCTGCTGTCAGGGAGGTCATCAGCTAATATGATGTGAATTTATTATCTAGTTGTCTTTGTATTTGATTCTGCAAATGTATGTACCGTTACTAGTTTATTTAGTAGTCTTGTATCAAAACGTTTGCGAACTCTGAGGGTGTTATAGATTCGTGTCTTGGGCGCACATATAAAGCAAATCTACATATATGCATATAAATACTGCTCCGATGCCTACCCTTGGTAATTATCTAAGCTATCGCGTGGTTGGTGACTAGGTCAAAGTATCCAGGCCAGGCATCAGTGCAGCAGGCCTGGTCACAGCAGGCCTCAGCCTCAGTTTTGTGTGCAGTGTGGCGCTGTGCCCCGCTGTGGCTGGAGCGAGGACATGGCGACTGACGTCGTCAACCGACCTCACCAACTTGAGACCTTGTCAATTCTTCACAGTACACACCACATCACCATATCCTTCGCCGTCATCGTCACCACTTTGAACAAATCTAGTCTGTAGACATAGCCTTAATACGAGGAACTATCTAGAAGGATCTTCCATTTTCACTGACCCGGCTTTCGGCTCGCATAGATCCTACTTCGTCTGACTAATCCAACATAAGACCTACGCGTCCTCGCCAGCCTCGCTGTCGAAGCCTCGCTTGTTCTCCCCGACCTCACAAACGTGCTTTAAACTTTGATACACATTGCTCCTTAATCAAAATTTTACTATGATTCTGAGATTCAGGTGCCAGGACGGCACCTTCAGGATTGAAGTTCAGCCTTCCGATGATATTTCCGTTCTCTATCACAAGGTATTTAGCCTTTTCCTAGCTAGCTGATGGTTTGCTAAACTTTGGATAGCTTCTCGATGTTCTGCCTAAAACCATCGAACCTCAGTCGATATTACTCTCGGATAAACCAGCAAATGGGTCAACTCGTGTCCTGAAGGACTTGACGGGTCAGCCGGTCAGAGATGTTGGTCTCAAGTAGGATTGCTAGAACCCATCACAAAACAAAAATCAAAAAACGTCTCGTTCTAACACGCAAACTAGTCATGGCGATATGCTCTTCCTCTCCTACGAAACGGCTTCTACGAACGGTACCATAGACAGTGCGACAGCGAATCGTATCTCCGGAAAGATTGTCAAACCCGAAGAAGATGTTTCTGAGTCCTACACATACACCACAAACTCGCACACCTCTACCAAGCTAAACCCATGGGAAACCATAAACCCAGATCCTGTTGATGAAATTCTCGATAAACAAGATGGCAAGATTCACCGGCCGAAGGACCAGAAAATGTGTCGGCATGGGAGCAAGGGCATGTGTGACTACTGCATGCCTTTGGAACCGTACGATGCTAAATACATGGCCGAGAAGAAGATAAAGCATCTTTCCTTTCATTCTCACCTCCGCAAAATAAATACGGCTACCAACAAACCGGAGCTTAAGTCTTCGTATATGCCGCCTTTGTCTGAACCTTTTTTTCGTGTAAAACCCAACTGTCCTAGCGGCCACCCGTCCTGGCCGGCGGGTATTTGCACGAAATGCCAACCCTCAGCAATAACTCTCCAGCAACAGGACTTTCGTATGGTCGACCACGTCGAATTCTCCGACCCAGGTCTAATAAACACGCTTCTTGACTTTTGGCGCCGTAGCGGTTCTCAGCGTCTAGGATATCTTTATGGTCGTTATGCTCCCTACCCTGAAGTCCCGCTAGGAATCAAAGCCATCGTCGAAGCCATTTATGAGCCTCCGCAGCGCTGTGAGAGCGACGGTATCGCCCTAACTCTTCCGTGGGACAGTACCGCTGTTGACGAAGTAGCGGCTCTCTGTGGCTTACGAAAAGTAGGTGTCATCTTCACAGATTTGACAGATGATGGCACGGGGAAGAGTACTGTCGTTTGTAAGCGTCATATTGACTCTTACTTTTTATCGTCCCTCGAAATTGCCTTTGCGGCAAAACTTCAAGCCAATCACCCCCATCCCAGCAAATTCTCAGATACGGGATACTTCGGGAGTAACTTCATTACATGCGTAGTATCTGGTAATCCGGATGGAGGGATCGATATTTTTGCTTACCAAGCATCGAATACTGCTGTCGAGATGGCTAGAGCGGATATTATCGAACCCTCTGCAGACCCAGGGTTAATGCTTGTAAGAAACGAAGATGACAAAGATGATACATCCTCTCCGTCGAGATACATACCGGAGGTCTTCTATCGACGGATTAATGAATACGGTGCATCAATCCAGGAAAATGCAAAGCCGGCATTCCCGGTCGACTATTTACTCGTTACCTTGACGCATGGATTCCCTACTGAAAGCAAGCCCACTTTCATAGCCCAGCCAGGGGGGTTCCCACTCGAAAATCGAGAAGCAGTCGGTGTGGTTCAAGATATCGGGGCGGTGGCCCGGCAGTTGGGCGTCGGTAAAGGCGGCGAGGTTGGCGTTGACGTAATAAGCGATTTTCATATGTTATGCTTTTTACACAACTTTGGAATTTTGGATAAGGTAAGCTTTGAGTTCTGTTGAAGAAACGCTAAGGAGTGGTTTACTATCACCTAATTTTTCGAACTATTCTAATGAATTGGACAGGATGAGGAACGTCTCCTTGCCAAAGTGGCGACTGAACACGATGTCAACGATGCCTTTGCGCTCTCGCAAACTGGTGGCTGGGCAACACTGCTCACGATTTTACAAGAAAGCGGTGAGTACCCTTCATCATCCCGTACTACTCGACCCTTTCAATTCCTACCCAGTGCTGCCGCTGCCGCTAGCCGAAAGAGGAGGTATTACGACGAAGGAGGAAATGATGAAATAAGTGGACTCGTAGATGGAGTTGGCGGGATGCAGGTTCAACACTCACCGCACGGGGAGGGGAAGAGATTAGGGGGTGCGGCAAAGGAGGCCGTGAGAGAAAATTTCGAGAGGGAGGTGCTTAGTTCAGGAACAGGCAGCGGGGCAAGCGAAGATTTGGGACTAGAGTCAGTTACCAGTGAGGAGCGAGTATTGACGAAGAAGATGAGGCGGGTTAGTTTGAACCATCCCGGATAGTTCGATCCGGTAATTCTGTTCTTTCTTTTTATTGGAATCGGAATGATATATCTCATCCTTTTTTATTCCAACGCCCTATCCCTCGACTTTCGGGCCGCCGGCGGTGGATATTTCTTTGGATACTCTGGTTTAAATTTTATCGCGATGGAGTGGGTGGATATGGGCGGTTCTGGGTGGAGTATGATCAATTTGTAGAATGAAAATCATCCAAATATGATGGGCCTGGTTGCGGAGGGGCATTATTCACAGAATTGGTGTTAAGTTATGGTGAAAGGGAGTCATGGTTTAGGTACCTGCCAGCTGGACATACGATGTCCTTTCCATCTAGGCCTCCTAGCTAGCCATAGAGCCCTTCTCGTAGATACCAAGGGTTACCCGAAGCATAAACTTTCTTTATCAACTTCATACTTCGATCTTAATTTCTATGCTTCCAGACACCGAGAGACGTACAAAGCTTTGATAACGCCAACACCAAATTCCCGCTCCGTTGGCCCACTTTATAGCAGGCATGAACGAGTTGCTTTATTGTAGTGGTTCTCAACTTTCCGAGCCGCCGAATCATCAAATCAATTGTAATTGGGAGGACTCCTTCGCCTGATAGTTTATAGCTACTGCCGCCTTATAACTGTTTTATTGACTGTATCGCTCAATACCCATCCCCATATTCTCAGGGGCACACCAGCGATGGTATTATGTAATTCAGTTAAGAGGTAGGAAACAAAAGGAAAGTATGCTATAGGGAAGGACAATTTAGAGACTTTCCTATCGCCACACTATCTAATAAGTAATTTTCTTGCATCGAACATTTGACGTTGGTCAGCCTTGCTGCGAACCTGTACCAACGCTAATCCAGAAGCTGTTCAAACATCTCCAACGAATTGAACAAATCCCTGCCGCATATTTGGCATGCAGCACCTCGACACCACGCGCTTGATATTCGCTGACTCACTACCAGTTGAACACGTTTGACTTTGGGTGGCTTCAGCTCTTGGAAGCATATTAATATCGATATTTAGTTCGCTTAAAGTCTCCGGAGTGGTGCGCATCAATGATATACCATCGGGTTTGTACAGAAAGTACAATGAGCCATAACAGGGCATAAATCGGGGCCTAGGGAGGATAAAGACTCCTCTGCTCGCTGTTTACTCCCGACAGTTGGTTTCACGCTGGAAGTTATATTTATTTGGTAAAATCATCAGTGGGCATAATTTATCCATACACTCAAATTACCCCTTACGATGGCTCCGGATTCAGGATCGGATTTTGGAGACTCGAAAGAGTGTAAGAAATCAAAGGATAAGTTGGAACAAATCAGGGAATGGCTTGAACCCACCGCATATGAAGATCCGGGAAGTGATTACAAAAGACACTCGGCTTCGCATCTTCCCGGAACCGGAGAATGGTTATTTCGTTCAGACGTATACAAAAATTGGCATTCAAGCGGAGACGATGGTCTGCTTTGGATTCGAGGTAAGGCTTAAATGCGCTATCAGAAACTTCATACTATCTATATTATTATATTTTACTAATAACTATCATGTATAGGGATCCCGGGGTCCGGGAAATCTGTATTCGCTGCTAATTTAATCAATCGGCTCAAGAAAGAGGGCCATCCCGTCCTCTACTTCTTCTTTCGCCAGATAATCGATGCGAATCACAGCGCTGCAGCTGCTCTACGTGACTGGCTGGCTCAGATATGCGTCCTAAGTCCAAAGTTGCAAATGAAAATAATGGATTATATCGGAGAATCTCAAAACCTAAGTACCGTCTCGATTGCCGAACTTTGGAACCTTCTTCGGGATGCATTATCCCATCTCCCTAAGTCCTATATCGTCGTCGACGCACTTGATGAAATGGACCAAAACCAAGGCCTGGAGCCATTCTTACAGGCTTTATCAGAGCTCGGTGAATGGCGACCCTCAAAGATTAAAATTATCATGACCAGTCGGCCAATAGCTCGCATCGAGAAATGTTTAAGAAATGCAAAGATCCTAGACATCAGGCTTGAAGAGTCAGCAGTAGATATCGACATCGTCACTTACGTCCGGCATAGATTGAAGAACTCAAAAATATCTAAGGATGCCCAAGCGAAGATTGAGGCAGCAGTTCCTGGTAAAGCCAACGGGCTATTCCTCTTTGCAAAACTCGCACTAGACGCTGTTCTACAGCCCAATGCAAATGTTGATGTCGTTATCCAGCAACTTGCAAAAGATCTCAACAATATCTATACAGACCTCTTGAAGGACCACTCCAGAAGATCTGGGATTCCGAGTAGCACCCAGCTTCTCATCTTACAATCCGTAACTCACGCCACTCGTCCGCTTCGACTACTCGAAATCGCCGATATGGTCAACTTTATCAATAATAAAGAGCACGGAGAAGAGAAGAACGACCTTAAAGCAATGAAAGACCTAGTTCGCACTGCTTGTGGACCACTTCTAGAAATCTTGCCAGATGAAACAGTATCCGTCATCCACCACAGCTTCACAGAGTTTCTCAACGGGTCAACCAGACAATCCGACGCATCTGGTTTCCCCATTTTAGAGTCAGGACACACTCATAATCGTCTCGCTCTCGTTTGTCTTTCGTATCTCCAAACATGCGTCGGCGACCCTGAGAATAAGCCCGTTTTCAAATCCTACTCGAAGAATAAGTTACATTTACTCCCCCCATTTACCCAGTACGCCGCCCGGAACTGGCATGTTCATGTCAAAAAGTCTGCTCTCGCGGGATATGATCAAACAGAAGCTCATGCTGTTCTCGACGAATATCTTTCCGGCGAAAAAATACCTACATGGACCAAGCTGTCGGATATAGATACTAAAAACCCCTTGTACGCAGCGGTTCAACTTAGATTGAATGATTATATCAAATACTTGCTCGGTAAGAAGGATGCGGATATTCTTGATGAAGATCGATTCGGATCTCCTTTGAATCACGCAGCGGCGGAAGGGTACGACGATATTGTGGAAATGCTCTTGCAAGCTGGGGTAGAGGCGGACAATCACAGCGACTATGGACAATCTACTCTTATGCTAGCCACTAGAAAAAATCAACTGAAAGTTGTGAAGCTCCTCGCGAACGCAGGTGCCGACCCATTTATCAAAGTTCACTACATGACTTCTTCAGGTGGTGGTAGATGGATTCACACTGAGAACCACCACGAGAGCGCCTTTGAGTACGCCGCCCGATCCAGCCAAACCGAAGCCATGGTTATGTTCGTACCACATATAAAAACGTCAGACCAGGCTAATACAGCTTTGTCCCAAGCGGTATCTGCCGGAATCGTACCCATAGTCGAAGCTCTTTTAGAGCATCCATTGATCGATGTTGATTCCAAAACGGACGGGAAAACACCATTATTCATCGCTTGTCTCACGCGCAGAGCAGACATCATCAAACTCCTAATTAAAGCTAAAGCGGGTCCTAACATCATCAGCGATAGTACTCCCTGGCTTCCGAATAAAGAGTGTTCCCAAGAATCTGGTCGCCAGAACCCAAGAAAGGTCCCCGCCCCCGACGGCCCGGCTACAGCCCTTTACACTCTAGCACGCCCAGCTTTCTGTTGCCACAGCTGCTCTGGTCGTCACAAACGCAGTCCAGAATATTCTGAGATCGAAAATATCACCAAATGCTATGAGGCTCTGCTCGCGGCTGGTGCTAGCGTTAACCAGAAAAATGAAAATGGCAATACAGTCTTGCACAAAGTCGACAAGGCATCTATATCTAGTCTCCTTCTAGCCGCAGGAGCGGATCCAAATGCTTCAAATGACGAACAACAAACACCTCTCCACCTTTGCACTTCTACAGAAGTCGTTGACGTTCTTATAAAAGATCCGAGGGTTCAAATCGAGGAAAGGGACCACCTCGGCCGTACGCCACTCTTGCACGGACTAGTACGAAAAGACGCTGAAGTCGTCATACGGTTGCTTGAGTTTGGTGCAGACGCTACAGCCGTCGATGAGAACGGCGACGGTGCCTTCCATCATTCTACCCATATTGTGACGGATTACTGGAATAAAAACCCACATGTAAAATTGCTTAACAAACATCTTCACAAATTTGGAGCCAGCGCCCGGCTACAGAACAACCAAGGCCGAGCCGTTTTGCATACTCTCGCAGATGAATACAGCGGCATCCCTACTGACATGTTCGTAGATGCTCTCGACTATTTACTTTCCATTGGCGCTGATATCGAAGCGAGGGATAACAAGGGCCAGACTCCACTAGTCTACTTCATTAAAAGTGCCAAACGGGACAATGGAGGTGATGAATTTCGACTAAAAAAGCTAGATAGGTTACTCAATGCGGGAGCACGAATCGATACCTTAGATCTTGAGGGTAGAACGGTATACCACGCCTGCCTTCGAAATATTTCCTACTGGAAAGACCCTAGCAACGCCTTCGATCTTCCAAGATCTAAAACACTCTTTAAAAAGGCTAGCAGTAACAAGAAGCATCTTCACCAAACCGATGCAGGCGGAAATACACTCCTACATGAAGCTTGCGCCATCGTTAGGAGTGAAAACCTGGTCCGGAAAAAGTGGATAGATACACCTACGGAGATGATATGGTATCTGAAAGAACAAGGAATCAGTGTATCCCAAGCAAATAACATGGGCCAGACTCCACTTCACATGCTTTGTATGTTCAAAACACGCGGCTACAAAACCGGGAAACCGGGTAGAATCGAGACAAAAGACCAATCAGCGCTGGATTACCTTCTAGAACAGCAAGTTGATATCGACCGCTCCGACAAAAATGGAATAACTGCACTTCATCTAGCATCCACATGCTGCGAACTCACTACCACTCATCTATTAGCAGCTGGGGCCAAAGTTTCAAAAGCGACACATGAAGGTCTCACCCCACTCCATATTGCCGCCAGATGCCGTCAACCTAACATTCTCGGGATGTTACTGGAATCATTAAAGTCAGAAGTAGACCCAGCGAAATTCTTAACAATCCTTAATTCTAAAGACAAATCTCCGAACGAAGCTACAGCTCTTTACTACGCTTGTGCTTCAGGCCATCCAGCTACAGTAAAACTACTTCTAGAGGCAGGAGCGAGCGTTGATACCGTACTTCCTACCGGGTCGCCTTGGATTGCATGCGCAAGATTTGAAGAAGAGGATGAGAATTGGCAACAACCTCCTACGGCGGAACAACAGCCCATTGACGATGATTCGGCCCCAGAATATGGATTTAGACATCCGGGCATGAATATAGGCGATGAATTCACCCCTGACGCATGTGGATTTCTGACCAATGACAAAGCCAGACCTAAAGTCTTCGAAAACGGTTTCCCTATGCGCTTGGATGAGATTTTGGATATGCTAGCACAATACGAACCTTCTTCTATCAAGTATATAGACGACGCTATATCCTCCGCCGCATCCAATAATTTTGACTACACAGTCGAATGTCTGGTCGCTAAACGCAAGGCTATTGGAATTGAGGAACCCTTCAAGCCTGACACTCAAGTTGAATTATGCCTTCAAAGACGGGAAGCCGAAAGAATAGCCATCGAGAAAGATAGATCGTCTGAGCTGTCGTCAGAAGATCTAGAAACTGAATTTGATCTCCTAATATCTCTTCGCCAATACGAGGGAATCATTAAAATCCTAGATCCCGTCATCTTCTCAGATCAAGACATGGATGAATCTAAATCCTCGATAATCCACAAACTCATAGCCGGGGGTTTCGTCTTTATCCTCAAGAACTTCCTAACCGTACCAGTTCTATCCAAAGTAGATGAGTGGGAAAAGCATAAACAAGAAACTAAAAAGTCCGAAACCGTGTTAGTCACCAGGAAGCCTCTCCTTCTAGCAGCTAGCAAGGGGCCCGTCCCAAGGATGGAGATTATAAAATTCCTCGTCGAAGAGCTCAGAGTAGACGTTAATACCCGACTAATGAAATACCTCAGACCCAGAAACACTTATATATATGAATACGTACCCAAAAAATCCGCCCTTCACTTCATAATGACCGAAAGCCATTGGTGGCAATATACCCTAGCACTTCCATACCTCATTCAGCACGGCGCCAATACCGAACTCCGGGATAATAACGAGCTAACACCTCTACACGCTGCAGTCAACAAACTCGAACTAAACTATATATCCACACGCCATGCTATCAGGCGGTTGGTGGCCCATGGAGCCAATATGAATGTATCAGATAGACAGGGAGATGATTGCCTGTCAGAATCCCGCTGCGATATGAATATCTTCAACTTCTTCATTGAAAGTGGAGCAAAGATTGGTCCCTCGGTGCTATGTTCTGCGATCGAGGACGGAAACTACGAGCTGCTAAGTACTCTTCTATCATCGGGTGCTGATCCGAATGTACGACTTAGCCCCGATGAGTGTACGGACAATGAGGGAATGTATCCTTTGGAATGCGCCGCCCGTGCACACTGGTCTCGTAAAGATGAGGGAATTACCGCCAAAATTATTAAGCTCTTGCTCGATCATGGTGCGGACCCATCTGCCAAATATCCGGATACAACGATATTACATAACCTGGTCGGGAGTAGCGACTACATCGAAACCCTAATCAAACATTCATCCATCAACCTCGAAGAGCGTAATTCAAACGGGGAAACCCTCTTGATGCTCGCATCTAGAAGGGAGGTGAGTGGGGCTACAGAACTAATAAAGCTGCTTCTCGAACGTGGAGCGGACTTCAAGGCTCAGGGTAATGATGGAAGATCAGCTCTTCACCACGCCATAGAGCTCAGAAACGGGCGGGACGCCGATCCGGGGTTACTTCGCCTACTCGTTTCCAAGGCTCCAGAAATGATTAATGTCACCGACAAGAAGAACCGAACGCCTTTAATCTACGCAATAAATCATAAAGAACGCTGGAACGGGGATAACGCCGATGAAATGATCAATATCCTTCTTTCAGCAGGCGCGGACCCAAATTTGGCATTTAACACGGGAGAAACGGCGCTTCACCTTTTATGCAGCACGGACTGGTTCATAGGGATGACTGGTATATTCTCCTCCAAGAAACGAAAATCTTTTGAAAAGATGGTAGCGATGGGGGCAGATGTCAATGCTCGAGATAACTCTGGAGAAACCCCTCTATTTAAATTCTTCCGCAAGAGCGACGTGAGACAGGTAGTACCTGAGGATCCAACTCGCGGCGACTATCTGGCCCCGGATAGATATCAAGACGCGATGCGAGCAACAATAAACGAACTCCCCGTACTTAAAATGTTTGATAAAGCAAAAATGGATTGGAAAGCCGTCAGTGGTGCCGGAGAGACTTTATTGCATATAGTCGCTTCTGACCCAAAGCTCTCAGAGTGGCCGGGGAGGGCGGTGAAGAGGTTTAAGTTCCTGTTGGATAAGGGAGTTGACGTAACAGTTGAGGATGAGCAGAATAGAACGGCACTGGATGTTGCGGCGACTCAAGATGCGACGGATATTTTGGATCTTTTCACTCGGGATTCAAGGGTCGACGTCCGGAAAGAGGAAGTACTGACTTGGTTCACAATATTCAAGAGGTATATAGGCAGTCTTTTCAATTTAAGTTGGATTTGCGTATTGGGGGATGCATGATTGAGGTCTGAATTTTTTTGTATCTGTTCTTTTTTTTTGTTTTGTTAAATGAAACATTCTCTTCACTTTTGATTTTTTCTACGAGTTATATAACCCCGTTATATAAATGACTTCGATAAGCATAATTATCTAGTAGCATCATGACTTTCACCTCTTCTCATAGATATAGAACACCGATTTTAACAGAACCCCCCCTCCTCAACAAACGCCTATACTATACTGCCTATCTCTCCTCCCCCTCCTCCCCAATATCCTCCCCCCAATCCCCCGGTCTCTCCTTAATAAACCTCTCCATCAACTTTCTACACTCCTCATCATCCATAACCACAAATTCAACCCCTTTAACCCCCAACCAATCCTCACTGCCCACGAACGTCCTATTCTCTCCGATCACAACTCTAGAGATCTTATAGAGTAGTATGGCACCGGTACACATACTACAGGGTGATAATGTTGTATACATTGTTGTGTTTTTATAGCTGGAGGCTGGGAGACGGCCGGCGGTTTGGAGGGCTGAGATTTCCGCCTTTTTTTAAAAAAAAAGAATTAGTTTTGAAAGAAAAGAAGGGGGGGTTAAAGGGGAGGGTTTACATGAAGAATGGGACTGGAATCTTGGATTCTTCGATTATGACCTCGTCCTAGGATTTCACCGGTGGAGGAGACAAGAACTGCGCCTATCTATTTTCATTTTTATCATGAAAATATTAATATCAGCTATACTCGATACTAGATCCTGAAAAGGAAGTCTCATTCCATAACCATCTCGTATTCAACGAATTTTGCGTTGCAACCACTGCAAAATACCACAAATCGAACCTCGGGAAATATCCATACAAAGGCCTCTCTCAAAATACGGAAACATAGAAACCCCCGGGCTCTCCAGATAGCCATGTAGGTATATTTGGAAAACGATTTTGGGGGGAGGGGGGGACGTATAATATCATTTTATGAAAACTTACAGGAATACCCCCTTCATCATACCCTTTCTTCGCCTCCTCATACGCAATTTTCATAAATTTCTTATCGTCTTCTGTCGGTGTCGACATGGTTTGTAGTTGCATGTTTGCACTATTATCTCGAGTGTAACTACTCTTTTGTTTCGAGAAGTGATGTTAGAGGTTAAATAGTCGGGGACTGTATACTGCTGCATACACTTCAAATAGTCACAATAGAGCTCTTGGGTCGTAAATAAATATTTTAGTACCCGGAAACGTCGTATCCGAATCCACAATTCAATTCACGTACGAACAGATAAACTTTTTTTTCCCCTACGATTAAATGTCTTATCTATACGCTTACTGATATCAAAACTACTGAATTTCGATTATTCCATTTTATTCGTGATAACGATAGCTAACTACAAAATCTAAAACAATGTATTTTTTTTTTAAAAAAAAAAAGACTAAAAGCTATAGCTTCCGTGGGGTGACTTAGAGATCCAGTATAACCTATACATACCTCCTTCGCAAAGTTTCAATTCTAGTACGCAAGAGCTCCCCCGACCCCCATACATCATCTAGAGAAACCTCACCAAAAACCCACGATACATTGCTTAATCAAGTCAAACTCTACACCCCCCGCAAGTGACTATACTCATCCTTCTCCTCAAACTAAATCCACAATATGATACATACCCAAAAAAATCCAAATCATACAGTTAACGTTAACATTAACCAACCAACTTCTATATTTTAAATCCAATTGATTTTCCATACTCTTTCCTATACACACAGACATATATAAAGTACCTACTATATAACACCATCCACCTACGGGCTCATGAATCAAAAAATATAAAATTAAATAAAAAATATATATCTTTTCTTCTCTTCTCTTTTCTTTTCTTTCATTTCATTTCATATTTCTTCTTAAAAAAAAATAACCTCCTTCCTTCCTATAAAACCACACCCGCCTCCCCACTTCCCTCCTATCTTTGTCTGTATAATATCTCGACATCTTTCACAAAAAAAAAAAAAAAGGTATAATAAGAACATACACAAAAAGTTCACAGAAAGACCGCACCACATCCACAATCCCCCCGTCCACAAAAAGAAGAACCACACAAATAACCACACAAAAAAGAAGTAATCCATAAAATTCCCTCCGGTATAAAAACAATTAAAATGGAAAAGAAAAAAAAAGCCGTTCAAAATACTTTGTTCAAAGCGGTAAAAAGAAGAAGGAAAGGCGAACCCCGGGAATTGTATTTTAAAAAATAAAAAAAATCTCAAGGGACCAAAAGAGAAAAAAATATGAAATTCGAAGAAAAAAGGACGCAGCAAGGTGGGATATCTTTGTGGTAATTAACAGAAGGAGGAAACGGAAATAGAAAGAAAAGAAGAAGAACCTAACGACTTCAACGTTTTAAAGGTTACAAAAAACAGAGGAAGGAAAGCCCATGTAAACAACAGTCCCACTCCCACTACCCGCCAGAACAGTAAAGAGGAGAAGAAGTAAACACAATAGAAAAAAGAAGAAGAAGAAGCATAAACCTAAAACGTGTTAACACCGTATCCACCGTTTATGCAGTAAAGAAAAATATTAAAGAAACAGAACGGTAGCAATTACATCCACAAAAAACCAAACCGATAAAAAGACCCAGAGGAAGTCGAGCGCCTAAAACATGAACTCCCCGACACCGCCACCATCTCTAACATAAAAACATCATGGCACCAATTCTACCTCCTCAGACTCGCTTTCTTCCCCCTCTTTATCCTAATGGAGAAGGTTAGCAAGTGCGGGCGACCCACTAGCCCCCGCAGGCCTCGGCTCCGGCGTTGCAAAAACTCTAGGCTGCGGCTGCGGTGCCACGGGAGCCCCCGAGGACGGCGAACGATGGTATTGAAGATGTGAAACGGGTGGAGAGAAAGGAGAGTGTGAAGTATGTCGTGAAGACTGCGGCGGCGGGTGATTGAATGCAGAACTGGGCTGCGGTGGTGGATGATTGAATGCAGGACTGGGCTGCGGTGGTGGGTGATTGAATGCAGGACTGGGCGCGATCGGCGCCGCCATTTGTAGCATTGCCATGGGCTGGGGCGGCGGGAATTTACCCATTTGTGGATGGCGAATCGGGGGTGGATGCTCGGAGATTGGTGAACGGTGATGAGGCATTGGGGGGAGGGGATGCGGATCCCTCATTGGAAGCGAATGAGACATTGATAAACCGGAAGAACCAGGGGGAAGAACATGTGGTGGCGGTGTGTAGTACGACGATGGACGTGGCGGTGGTGGCTCGTACGATGGCGGGTTGATGATGTGATTGGGTGGAGCTGGATAGATCTGTACCGACGCCTGTTCCGGCGCAGGAAGTGTGTGTGAAGGCTGATGTGGGGGTGGCGGATGGATTGGAGCAGGAACAACGTGATTAGGTGTTGGCACAAGTTTGGGCTGTTGGTAAACTGACACGGGTACTGGCGGAACAGGTGCAGGTTCATATGGTGGATCATGTGGCATCTCCCGTGGTGGCGGCGGTGGTGGTGGTGGAGGAGGGGGAGGAGGAGGAGGCGCAGGCAAAGTCTGCGGGGGAACCTGTACCGGAATGTCTCTCGGCATCTCCCTGGGCGGCGTCCGCCGCGATGGAGGGTCAATAAGCCCGCTGATCGATAGCGGATTCCGACTCCTCGGCTTCTCAACAGGTGGATCGGTTTGCTTAGGCGGGTGCAGCTCATCCCAGTGACACTTGTGGCACGTATACTCCGTGATCTCCGTCGGCGGGGGTGTACTGTTTTCCCCTCCAAAATCAGGGGTAGTATCCATACGATCTGCAGGATGAACCCCGTTTGTAAGCTCTGCCCTCCCAACCTCCAAGAGATCAGACGACACCACAGGCTCCTTCTTCATAATAATCTTCGTCTCATGCCATAGCGGCGTAACATCGATACGGCACTTGCGACATCTCTTCACGTTTTCCGGAGGGCAACTAGCCGGAGAGGTAGGCTCGTTGTGATGGGTTGTAACTGGCGAAGATATAGAATTGCGATGTCCGTGCCCGGGACCGCTAGATATCAAACTAGAACGGCGACCCGTTTGCTGCGAAGCTTTAGCAGAGAGTGTAACAAGCTGTGCCTTGCGCACCGTGCCTGTCAAGGTCAAGTCTGCCTGCTTGTAATTCTCAAGATACAACTCGAGCGCCGTTTGTTTCTGATGTCGTTAGTATCAAACCAGCAAATAATATAAGACGGAGATGATAGAAAAAACCTACATTCTCAGTATCTGGCACTACTTCCGTCATATCGTGCCATTGCGTCTTGAGATCATGGCTCGGGCACCAAATCATCGCCTGCATATTACCCGTCTCATTCCCAATGCTTACAATATTCACAGTGTCCCGTCTTGAGCTCTTCACTGGCTGGATGTCAAAGCCGAAGCGGTAACCTGCTTTGTGCGCGCACCCGACATGGACTATAACAATTAGCACCCCGAACCACCCGCGAGAAAGTATCAAAACAATGGAAATACTTACAATGAGCATGACAATAGTGACACTGCACACAAGCCCCCTTCTTCTTCTCTGGTATCTTCCCATCAAAGCACAACGCGCACTCCGCCTGGAACTTCTGCGGCAGAATAGTTCCAATGCCCTCTGCAGGGCTTAGCGTCTTCCAGTCTCCAAACCTGATCTCCGGAGTCCAGACCGCACATCGAACATGCACCCAATTGTTTCCTGCAGTCCTCTTCAACGGCTGTCGTGGGTTTGCAGGCCGAGTTTTATCAACAACGTCCCGCTTTTTAGCCTCTTCCTTCTCAGAGGCGGTAGGCGGCGATCCACCATCAACCTCAGGAGCTGCTTTTTCCTTTTCCAGTTCCTTCTGGCGTTCCTTCTCCTTCTCACGGGCCTCCTTATCCTTTGCGCTCCTAGAGCTATTAGGGTAGGGCCGTTCCGCAGCTCTGAGCCTTGCTTGCTCCTCTTCAGCTTCTCCTTCTCCACGAACAGGACATAGAACACAGATATATTCAGTCGAAACAAGCGGGTTCTTATCGTTTGTACACATGTCGCACACCCACTTATTCGCACTGCGCACGACCCCGACGCCGTAACATGTTCGGTGTACCGTCAACTTGCAATCCCTACAAACAAGATGCTCGCTACCAACCGGTTCGACAAGGTCGCAGACAGCGCAGGGTAGTAATTTCGGTTTTGGTGGTTCGGGTGGCGGAGGTGGCGGTTGTACCTGTTTCTTCTTCTTGCTCACCGGAGCCACAGGAGTGGGATCCTTCGTCGAAGAAGCCGCAGTAGCCGCAGGCGGTTCTTGACCGTCCGTCGTCTTGGTCTTCTTCTTCGGTGGCTCCGAAGCTGTAGGTGTGGCTACAATGATAGGCTCCTTTTCAGGGGGTGTCGGGGCAGAAGATGGGTAACATCCTTGAGTTCGTAGATGATCCTCCAATTCCTGAGCATCCTCATCTGCAGCCTGAAGTTCTCGGATCAATTCGTCATCAATCTTGCGCCTGGCGTTGCGTTGGCCGCTCTGGTTGGATTTTCGTACTACGTCGGTCGGGTCTTCCCAGGGAACAGCATACCGTCTCCACAGCTCACCACACCTCCTGCAAAGTGCAGGGATGAAGGTGTACTTTTCCGCATCCTTCTTGTTGGTCTTCGGACTTATCGTTTCACCAGGTGTGACGCCAGGAGCACGTCGCCACTGTACTGATTTTTGGGTTCCGCAGAATTTACATTGGAACTGCTTATGCCTGGATAGGGCCTTCTCATCATCAAACGCCGAATCGTCATCAGCGTCTGCAACGTCATCGACCAGTTTCGCGGCGGCAGCGGCGTCTGCTTTATCCCTCATCTTAGCCTCCTTCTTAGCTTTCCTTCCTTCGTAATTTCCCCAAATTTCTCGCCCTTTCGATGTCTTCTTCCACATGTAGTAAAAGCGAACAATTTCCCAATGTTTCCTGGTCTTAACATGGCGCGTAATTGTGTGTAGCTCGCTTCCGAACTTTTTGACTCCTTCTTCGAACCTCTTAAGTTCGTCGGGTTTCAGATCGGGTTCCTTGAGCGTCTTCTTATCGTTCAGCTTCAACTGTTCCAGTGCAGTTTTAATGTCAAAGTTGTTGGCGTAGAGCAATTGAGACGCCTTATCCAAGAAATTCGTCGCGTTCTTCGCAACTCCACAGCCCTTAGCTAAGGGTTCCGCTTTCAGCATGAAGTCGTCGACAAGGTCTTCCAGGTCCCGGCCGACGGGTCGTACTCGACTCATACGCCTAGTAGAAGTACGTTCCGACCCTCTTTCCTCGTCTTCCTCGTCGGGCATGATGAACAGCGGTTGTGAGGTTTCGTCGCTGCAGCCACGCTCGACGTAGCCATCAGGCATCTCCTGAACCCAAGGGGGACGCGCCGAAGCGGCCTTGCTTTCCTCGGCATCTTTCCTAGCCTTTTTCGCCTTGTTCTTTTGCCTCCCGTCCTTGGTTTTCTCTTCGGCGGGCGGGATAAGCTGAACGGGGCGACCGTACCAGGGGACGACATTGGCTTGATGCTTCTGGCCGATACTCATACCACCTCTGGGAAATATCCGATCGTCGAGCTCCAGGACTTCCTCGGGTTTGCAGTTAATTCCGAGGTAGCGATAAGGCCACTGATCAATTGTATCCATAACATGCTTTTGGGCGGCGGGATCGAGGTCCCAAGGATTAGGAGTCGCAGGAGTATTCGCGCCATTGGCTGTTGTAGTGCCAGAATTGTGGTTGTGATGCTCTTCCTCTTCTTCGTCGTGGGCCTCATCTTCGGTGTGGTGGCTGTCCAGGATGGGAACGGTCGCGTTGCGGGCGTCCAATTTGCGTTCGTGGGCTCGGCTGCAGGGAGCACAAGACCAGCCGAAGCCGCGTTGTGGCTTCTTGGTGAGAGGTGGGTTCACGCATTGGAAGTGGAACGACTCCTGGCACATCGCACAAACCACGGAATTATCACTACAGCACAACTTTTGTTAGCAAGTATATACTACTCTCTCCCACAGAGCGATACCATAAAATCTGTCGGTTTTCTCGCGTGGGTTTTGTTTTTTCTAGGATTCGAGCTTACTTGGCGCAGAAATCCCGGCATTTCTTACAGCTCCTCATCTCTGCCGTAAGAAGCGCACTCTTCCCCTGCTCGATCAACACAAATCTCCACAGCTTGTGGAGGGCCTCCTTGACTTTGTCCGGGACATTTCGAACTTGCGACACGGGAACGATATCTAGGTATCGCTGTAGATATCGGTCGTAGAGTCGTTCGTAGTAAAAGTTGTCCTTTTGTCTTTTGAATGCTTCCAGGTCGTCAATTTCAGATCGGTGCAGGATATTGCATTTGCCTCTAATTGAAGACAGAGGACACCCATCCGAGTGCATTGTTGCGAATAGCAGACGAGAATCGGCGGTTTTTCGGCTTCCAATGTCTTTGGGTCTGTAGTACCAATTTACTGTTATCGAATCGACCGGTCCAGTGGTTTTACCGCCGACGTGTCCGAATTTCATGATACGACCGATATAGTAGGGTTCGCCAGGGGGCTCGGATATTAAGTAAATGTGATCTAGAACCATTGTATTAGTATAAAAAATAAAAAATCAGATATACGGATTTTTCTGTCAGGAGGCAGTACCGTGAACAGATAGCCTCTGGCCGTCATCGGCTTCTAGATAGCCACCCTTGCTTAGGAAAGCACCACCATATTTCTCAAACGTCAGCTGGTGGGTGAGAGCCTCCCTCATCTTCTGCCGCTCTCTGGCTCTATCGTGCTGCCGAGCGGACGGTCGTGTGGAAGTTCCGTTGGTCATTGGTGTAGAAGTCGAGGTAGATACGGGTGGAGGGGCAGCTGTTGATTTTCGCTTCCGAGAGTTGGCAGTCGCGTTGGCGGCCGGTGGAGGGGGTGGAGGTGGAGGTGGAGGAGGAGCGGGAGGAGGAGCGGGAGCAGATACGGGCTGGGAGTGGTTTGCGATGGTGGAAGAGCGACGGGAAGAGCTGCTGGAAGCCGATGCTCCACCACTTCGCGTGCTCACACCGATTGCCGTGATGGTTGTGTTTGGAGGAGCGAGATCCGGCGCATTTTGGGCAGATGCGTTGGTAGCCCGTGTACTGGGAGTAATTGGAGGGTTCGTGTACTCGAAATCCATATCATTGTCCTTATCTTCAGCATAGTTTATGCGCTGGGCAGTAGATCGTTGTCGTGACCTGGTGCCATAGGGCGAGGGAGCAGCGGTTGAGGACGCCATCTCCTCGCCAGAGAGCCCCACGGATAGGGCAGCGGACAAGGGAGAATGGAGTGCTCAAAAGCTAGCTTGAGGACCGAGAGTACTAAAGAACGAAGGATATCGACAATAGGAAAGGTGTATCCGTATTTGCCGGGTTCTTGTAACCGGTGTGGGAACTATGAACGGTGTGCTGTCTGGTCAATTCTGGTCGTTTGCCTAGGAAGGGCATGGAGGCACCAGGGAGGCTCGCTCGATAGACGGGACTCGAAGCAGTGAGGGTATTGTATGGGATATAAAAAGGGCAGACAAGATGATCTTGCTCTCCGAGGGCAGTTTGAAGTAGCGGACGAAGTTGGGATCACGATATCAAGGTGGTGATGGTTGGTTGATTGGATTGGAGGTGGTGGTGATGAAGTCAAGACAAGTCCAAGTTGGAGGTATCGAGCGGGAAGGAGAGTTATAATTGGAAGGAAGGAAGGGAATCAGAAAGGTGTGGAAAATTGTATGGGCCAAACACCACACCTCTCACAACCACCACCACCATGACCACCACCATGACCACCTACCACCAACACACACACAGACACCCACACACACACACTTTATAGTAAAAAGAGCATGGTAGGAGAGGAAAGGATGAAGTGAGGATGGGGGAAGACGAGAAAAAGAAGGCAAAGGAAAGTGGTATTAACATCAATATCAATAGTAATAAAAAGACGAATATTAATGCTGATGATATCTGATGTTGAAGGATCGATTCGGTTCTTGATAGAAGGGCAATGCAGGGCCAATGTTATACAGTTATATCACGATCATATGCAATTCACGGCAAATGCAATGAGAACGACGATGAGACCCCGTCGAAGAGATGATGTTCAAACGCCAAAAGAAACATTTCCCTCTCATCCACACACCAAGTACTTAAACTTTAACAAGTACTTATATGCTGGCACGCTGTAAGAACAGCAGATCCATTCATAAGTCAGTACTTACATATTTACATATGTCCACATGTAGAACATGTCTATATGTGCGTATGTATGTATGTATGTACTCGTGTATGTACGTCCGCCTGCAAGGTCTTCTTTTTTTTTTTTTTTTCCTTCCTCGATGCAAATTGGCGCAAAGGGAAGGGGGAAAAAAGCGATTTTACCAGCGGCAGTAGTGGCAGGTATGTAAGTAAGTACGTGGTGGTGGTGGGAAAAGTACGTTTTTAGCGGGCTTTCGGTAAGATCCCAAGGGTAGTAGGTTAGGTACCTTTGGGAAAGCAACCTTGATGGGACGTCTGCATGACATTATAAGATCACCGGGGAACGCTTCATCCCTCGAATAATATCGAGGGGCGAACCGAGAAGGGCCCTTCCTGAGGCACATTTCCTCTTCCCCCGCTCTTTTCTATCATTTTTCGTCCGTTGTATACAGACGAAAAATATATAGCAAAGATGCATATATATCTCTTAGACGTATAACACATACTCCTGGTATGTAATGTTGACAGGTATAGGTACCAGCACAGGCACAAATACCTATACGTATACCAATTCTGCTAGGGATACGCAGAGAGGGCGAAAGAGGCGAGGGCAATGATTTCATGGGGACCGGATCTCGTCTGCTTTTTCAAAAAGGGACAAACGCTAATTAGGCATGGGGCAAGGGTAGTCTTGTCTGGTACTTGCTGGCTGTACATCCGTCTGTGTCTACCCAGCAAGAACGGAAAAAAAAAGAATAAGAAGAAGCGAATTTTTGCTCCACTTTCTTTTTCCTGGAGCCCGAGTGCGTCTCGGGTGCTAAGACAGGAATTGCCCAATGCAAAAGAAAAGCCTTAAAAAGCCCCAGACAATGCATCTTGAGAGGGTTGGATCGAGGGAAACGACGGAACGACAGTCGAAACGAACGAGAAATATAAAAAACAATAACAAAAATATAAAATAAAATATAAAAATGCAAAATGTAAAAAAAGAGATATTACTCACTGAAGGTAAATATATCACTCTACCAACTTTAGGTAATATCGATACAACCCTCCCAGATAGATAGAATCCAGTAGATGCGCCTTATCCGTGGTGAATATGATGTGCAAAGAAACCCAGAAACTCCCAAGGCTGCGTTGTAAGAGAAGTGAACCTGGGCCAATCAGCGTGTCTTCGTCGTCGTTGGTTGTCGTCTGTTTTCGTTAGAAGTTACGTTTACAAACGTTAAACGGGTATTGAGAGGAATCAGGCGAAAAGATGGGAAACCCGGCGGGAAGAATCTGGAAGTCGTACGTATAAACCAAATACTCTTTTCTTGTTCGTATGTTTCAAAAAAAAAAAAGCCTCCCAAGTGGTCGTCGTGAATGCGAATGTCAGAAGATATATAGAATGATTCGGTTAAATTCGAACTCGAATTTGAATTAAAGAACGGATGTGATCAAAAAAAAAGTGAGGGTCGAATGTCGTGAGAATTGATATAGTTATTAGGTCGGGCTTCAATGTGGAAGCAACTGTTGAAGGAAAACGACGTGTGGATATTGCTGGCGTGGAAGCCTTCAGATTCCGTCGGTAGAAGACGCCAAAGTCAGAAAAAGAAAAAAGGATGTGGGAGTGTGTGTGAGAGAGAGAGAGAGATATTTGATGGTTGTGAGTGAGTGGTAAGTTAGAAAAACCCACTTCGATCTTCCCCACAGAATACAAATACGGAACGGATGCAATAGACGACAAAAGGGACTAAAACAGTAGTGTCGAGGGGGGAATAGATGTCGATGTTGAGAATTGAGGGGAGAGATGATGTATGAAGAGAGTTGATGTTGAAGGTTAAGAAGAGGAAGAGGAAAAGGAAGAAGAAGAAGAAGAAGAAGGAAGGAAAGGTGTGGGAGAGGAAGAGAGAGGAAGAAAAGAAAAGAATGGAGGACGTCCAAAAGAAATTAAAAAATTATACGGCGGCCAAATCGAATAGCGTCAGAATCAAAGGAAGAGAGAAACTGGCTTATTCGCTGGAGTATACTTACTTACTTACTGACTGACTGACTTACTTACTTCCAACTGACCGACTGCACTTCGAATCACGTACCGCTGCGGAAGAAGCAAGTCTGTCTTTTCTTTCTCTTACAAGGTCATGCTACTATACTCTCTCTCTCTCTCTCTCTTTCTCTCGTTCTTTCCCTCACATGGTATACTCTGCTATCTGTGTCATATCCGTGGTCACGATCACCTTATAATATAAATACCACTAGTACAATGCATACATACTTCAGTAAGTATACACGAACAATACCATTCTGCGTGTCAAACGGGTATCTGAATACCCATTGTCTGGTCTATTAGTCTATTACATCTCCATTAAATTCACCAAGAGACCGTGCATGCCTAATATACCCGAGCAAGCCACTGCCCTCTATAATTCAATCAACGTTTAAATATTAAATGTGACTGAAGAAAGGTAAAAAAAAGTAGCCGCCCAGAGAAAAACAACCCCCCAATTAATTTATTTTATCACGTTTCTTCCCAAAATAGCCAGCGCCGTTGTTTGATTTTATCCCTTGATCGCAGGCGTATATCCGTCTGTCTATGCCGTAGCAATATGAAAGTTTAATCGTCTAGATATAATATTATAATATAATACGTACTTTATATGTATTATACGAAATATTATCGCGAGATACGCCGAGGCAAATAGTACGAAATACACTCGGTGATATACTTACGGGTGAAGTTTTTTTTATAAAAGCGGACAGGATCCGGGACAAAAGATCAGATCGATACAAGCAAGTTACAGGCTGAGCTAATAACAAGCTTCCGTTTGCCAATCCGCCATGGATCTATCCCACACCCGCTCGAGCACTCTATCCCTCTTTTTTTCCTCCCGGTAATTCTCTTCTGTATATGTATATATTTATTTATTGTATGCTTATATATACGTATATATACTTGAGTAGTAGATCACGATGTGCTATGACATGAAATATGTGCGGGTACCGGTATGGAGACAGATATGAACTAGACTAATGCGCCGGATAGGACCTGAGGCGGACGGACGTACCGTGGTGGTGTTATTATTATGCAGGTGCACCAGCAGGAAAGAAAGCAGACAGGCAAGCAGGCAGGCAAGCAAGCAAGCAAGCAATTGCTAGTCTCCAATTGCAAGCGTGGAGTAGTAACCTACTGGTACTAGCTCATATGCTCATGAATGGTAATGGTCATGGCAGTGGATCAGCCAGTTCGAGTATGGCACATCTCATGCTGGAGCCTGCCAAGCCTGCCAAGCCGGGGCACATCTGGTATATTCCAAATTGGGCAAAACTCAAATCAGCAAACATCACGTGATAAATAACGACCGCAACACATTTGATCCTCTCTTCTCTCGGTCTTCACTGCAGACGCGAGAACTCTTTCAACATACACATCGATACGCAGCAGCAATTAATTCTGGTTTACGAGATAACATCGATACCTTGATCTCATGGTAGGTACCTATTTACCTATATTACATACTGACTTCAATCTCTGAATGCCCCGAGTATTGACTATCATACTCTCCTTTGATACAGACATACCAGACCATCTTGATACCCCTTGATAGATAAATACATATCTATACCGTCCGTTGATCAAGTGTATTACTGTGCGCCGAAGAGTTTCATATAAAACGGTGCCAAGACTCGGATGCCTTCCTATAAACCAACAGAAGAGACAATACCGAGGTTGGTTATCCTGCTATTTCCTTGCCTCGTGGATACGAGATAGGTGGAAATCAATGTTGGGGTTTATAAAGTACTTAAAGTAAGTATCTATGTCAATATCTTCACTTCATCTGCTGACTCGAGAACTAGTACATCTACAGACACGATACTGATACTAAATACTTCGTATGTATAAGCACAGCATGGTCTAATACTAATATAAAAAAATCTCAAATGCATCCCAGTCCAAACCACAAACTAACTAAGCCCTGGCAGATCTACTAGGTACGCACAGTACATAGTAGTATAAGAATGTGTGTGGCTGAGCCATCATTTCTTTTTTTTTTCAGTTCGGGTCTAAATCTGGCTGCTGTCGCGGCTGAACCCCGCCGCCTTTTTCTGATTGGTTCTCTTCCAACGCCCAGGCTGACATTTCAAGCATCACCAAACCGTTTACCTCGTTTCCCTTTTTTAAAAAGACCACATATCTTCCATCTTACTCCCAATTCGTTTCCGACAGAAAGAATTCTCGAAAAAAGTCTTCAATCGACTACGATTCAATTGGTGTTTGGTTTATTCAATTAAGAAAGGCGACTTTTGATTATTATTTTTTTTGGTTTTTTTTAAATCGAGTCGCCTGGTAATTGGAATCCCGCCAGTCGTCATGGCGCAGTACTTCCTCGACCTCGTCTATACCCTCACCAGCTGTATGAGCTGCTTCCCCACCCCCGCTCTCGTCATCAACCACCGTTCCTTCAAAATCCTCCGTCTTCTCGGTGAGGTTAGTACTTAACCCATTAGAATATAAAAACCCTTACACCTTATTTTATATAAAAAAGAAGAAGTAAAAGCTAATATAAATGACAAAAACAGGGAGGTTTCTCATACGTTTACCTGGTCCAAGACACCTCCGGCACCCTCTACGCCCTCAAAAAGATCCGCTGTCCATTCGGTCAAGAATCTCTAACCCGCGCTACCTCCGAAATCGAATCCTACAAACTCTTCCCACCTTCACCTCTTCTGATCCCACTGATCGACTCCACAATAATCACCGAACGAAGGGATGACTCCAAAACCGCGTATATCCTACTTCCATATTACCGACGTGGTAACCTTCAAGATCTAATAAATGCAAACTTGGTGGATAAGAAATGGTTCCCTGAAAAACAGGTTTTGGAGTTATTTTTGGGTGTTTGTGAGGGATTGGCGTTGATTCATGGGCATAAAGTTACGCCTACTGGTTCTTCTTCGACTTCTTCTTCTGCGAATGCTGCTGGCGCTCGGAACCGTGCTGGCGCTGATGATGAAGAGGAAGGTGTGGCGCTTATGGAAGAATCGCGTGATATATCCGGTGGAGCACATTCCGGTGAACTCCGGTCGTTTGCCCACCGTGATATCAAACCAGGTAAATACCATTCATTCATTCCCCTTACATAATCTAAGTATTAAATATCAAATCTATCCCCCAAAAAAAAGACCAAAATATGCTAATTCTATTCAAAAAAAGGAAACGTCATGATCTCAGACGACGGTGTAACCCCCGTTTTAATGGACTTTGGCTCCATAGCACCCTCTCCGATCCACGTATCCTCCCGCTCTCTGGCCATCCAAATCCAAGACGAAGCAGCCGAACACTCCACGATGTCCTACCGAGCGCCCGAGTTGTTCGACGTCAAAACCGACAGTATTATTGATACAAAAGTCGATATCTGGAGTATGGGATGTTTATTATATGCGTTAATGTACCACCATTCACCGTTTGAATTGTCGACGGAACTCGGAGGTGGTAGTTTGGCATTAGCAATCGCGAGCGGGGATTGGAAGTTCCCTGGCGCGGGACAAATGGGGGCTAGAGTTGAGGGAGATGTGGGAGATAAGACGAAGGATGTTGTTAGGAAGTGTTTGGCGATTGAGCCGGATGCTCGTCCGGATATTAGGGAGTTGATTGGGGTTGTTAAAGAGGCTATTAACGTTTTGTGAGACGGTCTTTATAGGTAAAAATTTTGATATTATTATTTTTTTTGCGTGACGATTGGTTTCTTCTACCTCTTCTTCGACTCTTTCTTTATTTTGTTCTTTTATATCGCGCGGGGGGGCTTTGTTACGATACATCTTTTGCTCATTGGTATGTTTTTTTTTGCTAGCTAGCTGTGGACGTCTTTTTTTTACTTAGCTTCCTTTGTTGGGTCGTTTACATTCTTCTCTTCTTCTTCTTCTACTACTACTACTTCAGTTCTTTTCTTCGGAGCAGGGAAAAAAAAGTTTTTCTTTCTTCTTTTATTTTTCTTTCATTTTTCTCAATCTTCAAAATTCCAATCGAAGAAATTAAATATGATGATGATGCATGATGATCCCATTCTCTCCTGACTTGACTTTGACATGACCACACCCACACACACGTTTTTATAAGATTGAGGCTAAAAAGGCAAGTTGATATGTCCCATGACGCACCGCCAAGGTGTACTCTTAGAGGTTCTAAACTCCGGGTGTGAAGCTTAACACCGAGTATTTTGACGACAGGTGCAACGCAGTTTTGACCACACTTCTTTTTTGAAGCACTTTTCTAGTATTATATTTCTAATATTATATTCTTTACATACTAGTGCTTAGTATGCATAGATTGTCTTCTTTAGCTGTATATTTTTAACACTCTTTCTTAAGTATAGATATGTATATCTAGTAAGTCAGTACTTATATAAGAAGGTTTAAAGTAATCGATTGAATACTAAGTAAATACATTCATTCTTGTTAAACAGAAGATCGAATAATTCTTCATCTTAAATAAACATAATCCACACTTCCTCCACACTTCCATGCAAATTGTATAACTTCAAATCCAATATCCACCTGTAACTAAAGAAGAAAAAGAAGAAAGAAAGAAAGAAAGAATCCTACTTCTTCACAGCAACCCACCTCAACCTCACATACCCAACAACCCACCTCCCATCCTCCCTCCTCGCCACCCCCTCCAACAAATCCCTCGCCTCCCCAGCAACAACAGCCCGTTCTGCCTCATCCTCAACCAACTCCAAAAACCTCTGTCCAAACATCTGAATCCAAGCCTTAACCCCACCTTCCCCATCTCCATCTTCAAAACTTAATTCAGTAGGTCTATACTCACTCTCGATCATTTCGACTTCAAACCCCGTTTCTTCGAGTAATTCTCTCATATGCTTTTCACTTGGGAAAAACCATGGATTCGCGGCTTTTATCTTTTCGAGCGGGATGCCGCGGTTATGAAGTGCTGAGGTTATAGCTACGTGGACTTCTGAGATATTTCCGAATCCACCCATTTCCGCTATAAACTTCCCATCGGAGGGTTTTAAAGCATCATACACCGCTTTCAAAGTATTTTTTCTGGTAGACGGATCCCTAAGAATCCAATGTAACGCAGCGTTACTAAATACTTTATCCCAGTTGCCGCCAACCACATCATCTTCTTTTTCAAGGTATCGACAGTCTACGATTCGAGATGAAAGGTTTGGATGGGTTGATTTTGGGAAGAGGGATTGGCCGGAGGTTATTAGGTCTTTTGAGGCGTCGAGGGCGAGGATTTGGAGACAGTGGTGGGAGAGTTTGGAGGTTAGGATTAGATCGCCGGCGCCGAGGTCGATGATGCGGTCTGTGGGGAGGGGGGAGAGGAGGGAGGAGATTTTTGAGGTTAGGAGGGGGACGAAGGAGGCGTGGGATTGGTAGGTTTGGTGGGTGTAGGAGGTGTTTTTTATTTCTGACATTTTGTTTTTGAATTTTAGTTTTTTGAAGGTTTGTATGGTATTTAGGTATTGAAGGAGGGTTTGTGAAGAAGAAGAAGAGATTGTGAAGATGGAGATCTTGGTTGATGGACTCTGGAGGGAGATGGAGATGATTTCTTTGATGATAATGATATTGATATCTAAACAGCGAAGTGTATCGCTTTATATACTTTTCTCCCTTCTCATACTCTCATCGCATTCACAGCCCCCCCTCTTCAGTAATTAATTAATAGAGTCAGTCAGTCGGTGCAGTCAGTCAGCAACATGCATTGTGCATTTCCAAACAGTCATAATAATTCAATTCAGTCACCAAAAAACAAAAGTAAACCCGTGATGTTTTGTTGGTATATTACACCGGGTGATGAGGCTAGCTCCGATATCGGCCGTTATTGGGGGATGCCCTGCGCAGCTGCGCGCGCTGCGACGGTTATCACCGGCGTCTTTCTCCTTCTGGGAAGGTTGTACAAAAAATGAACGGGGAAGTTAGCCAATTGGAAGGGATTGGAATGTAAGACTGTGACTGGGATGTATGGGTTTAATCCGGGTTTGGAGATGGTGGTTAATTATATATTATATTTGGACGCGGGCATTGAAGGAGGCCAGGGATTGTTGGATTTTGGGGGGTTTATGCGGGGACAACGCAAGTACCGGGATTAGTTTTGAGGAGAAGCTTCGAAGGGAGTACGTGTTTAGACACGAGAGAATGGTTTTCAGAATTGTGGAATTGATGAGAGATTTGTTCTAGGTTAAAGTACAGTTTTTTGATTTTCTATAACCTAGGTTTTTTGAAAAAAGAAGAAAGGACTGGGGAAAGAAGGATGTTAATCGGGTTTAAACGATTATATCATTGATTTTTTGGATCCATGCAGAAAAGCATTAGGATCGTCTTTGTCAATGAACATCCTCTTGAAGTGTTTTCCCCATCCAGATGGATAGATACCTTTTGTTTTTCTCTTTGTCAAGAAGGTATCTTGATTAAGCGGATAAAAAGACAAGCTGATGGTTGTCTTGAATAGAAAGTAGACTTCCCACTTTGAAGTATGGAAAGTCGTGAAAGTCTGAGAAAAGTGATAAAGAAACCATTAAACCTCCCGGAATTTAAAAGCCTTGTAGATCATCAGTAGAGACGTAGACAAACATAACGAACTGGTCGGCAGGTGAAGCGTCGAAAGATTCTACCAACCTCAACACCTCCCCAAATAAGTCAGTCATCTCAATCAACAAAAGAACACGACAACCCCCTCAGACAATAAATTATACATACCACCCAATTCGTGCAACCCACGACCATCGAAAGTGCGAATCATCATGGTATCCCTGCTTCTGTTCCACTGAAGTCTATTGTTCCAAAATTGAAACCTGGAGAATTGATCCCCTCCTTCGAAATCAAACCTTCCAACGGCTGGGACGTTTTCAAGAACTGGTTTAATTAGAAACTGGAGGATGTCACTGGGGAGGAAGTGCTTTGGCATACGTATCTGGCCCTTTTCGATGAGGGTGTTGATACGGTTTCGTGAAAAGTACGAGTGGAATGTCATCCCGGGGACGAGACGTCCGTAGCGGTACCAGGATGCAACGTAGTAACCCCAGTCTGAAACGGCGTTGTGTGGGGTAGAGATTGGTAGGTGGAATGGCATTGCTATTTATTTTTTTGTCAGGTTGGGGTGTTTTAAATAGTGTTTACTAACTATGGGGGTTTGTTTGTATTTAGGGAAGGAGGGGAGTGCAGGACTTACTATCCGGATAGCTGGTGTGAAGACAAGTTTCGCAGAGGAATACTGGATTAATCTTGCCAACGAAGGTACGGTTCTGAGCGGAAGAAGAGAGACATTGGCGGCAGCAGTTGGGGCTTTCGGTGATATCGTCAATATACTTGACAGCCTCGCCGAAGTAATTGATCGTATTATCGAACTCTTCCAAACCGAGCGGATGATGTTGAGTCTCTTTGAGCTTCGAGTGCCAAAGCAATTGCTCCTGAGAAATCATACTCAAGAAGGAACGACAAGTTTGCGACAAGTCGACGAGATCATTGAGACGAAGCTTTCCACAGACCTTCAAGAAGATTTCCTGTGGGAAGTTATGAAGCATGGAGGTTTGAACAACGGGGGGGTTGGAGGTGGGGATACTCGCCAACAAAACGAGTTCATCAGGAGGGCTGATACGACGTGGAATGAAGCATTGTGACGAAACCGGGAGGTATCGTTCACAGATCATTCTGACATCACACGGGCCGTTACACCATAAGAAAATTTTTCCAGAACGCTGCATTCCGGCGCGAATGGTGACTGGAAATGGTTTTTTGGAGGATTTACGGACCAGGAGGTTTATGCCCGCGTCTGGTTCATAGAAGTAGTCTTCACCCCATTCGATTTCTTCTGGGCAACCGGGGAGAGTGTAATCGTTCTCTTCGGCCATCCAAATATGGATGTCTCGAAGTTTGGATTGAACTGGAGGCATTGTGGGAAAGGATTGAATGATAGAGGGAATGGAGATGAGAGAATTGAATGAGGTTGGTTGATGAGGGAATGATGATGACGATGATCGATGATGATGGTTGGTTGTAGGTGAGTAGATGGAAAACAATTGGGGAGGTTTCGTGTTTACGGGTCTAACTCGAGAAAGTGTTTATTTGACTACATCATATTCGTGTATTCATTCCGCAATCACAAATCACAAAAAAAAACAGATAGACAAAAAAAAATACTGAAAGTATACGATAACGTCGGCTGCATACAAAAAAATTAGAAGTTTGGGGAAGCCCGCACTCTACTGAAGAGATGGTGACGGTTTCTATCTCGTCATGTATCTATCTTGCGAAGTATTATAGGTAATAAGCCCTAAGCGGGATGATACGTGAAGTGTCTGTGGATGATATCATGACTTTCAACTAATGACTTCAATTCTCAATATGATATACGTAAGATAGTTGGTAACTTGTTGGATTGATTTCTAGGGAATTCGAAGCTGTGTTGAAAATGTGGTATTCGGTTTGAAGGGGGGTAGTCTCGAGGGGGGTATATAGGACACCCGATTTGGAAGGAATCTCAAGACTACACGGAGCTATGTAGTCTCGAGACATAGTTACTACAGTCACCTGAATCTTTAGAGAAAACGTTTTTTTTGAACCACCCAGGCCAAGTACCCGGATGAATTTTGATTGATTTGATTGTACATACGAGATCGATACAGATCCCAATCTCAAGATGAATGGTAATTTGAAGTTTCTAGCCTCGAGACATGAAGTATCAAAAGCCAACATTGATAATCCCCACTAGTTGACGCCCTCCATGAGAAGTAGAAGAAGAAGAATAGATAGACCAAAGAAAATCGACACAGACTAAAAATCATCGTCATCGATTTCAACAACTTGAAAGTCAGAGAGATGGCCCCCCGAGTCGTTCTAGTAAAGGTCTTTCTGGAAAAGGAGTCTCAATTAGAGAAATCTTATACCAACCTCGACAAAGCTCTACGAGATATCCCAGTCGAATAAGTACTTCAACTTCGTACCTCCCAAACCATCTTCTAAAGATCATTCCGGGCTTGAGGTATCCGCTTCTGATCCAGGAAATCAAACGGTCTTCCCAGTCGTGGCTCTTGAAGTCTTCTTTCTTGATCAAGATGTGAAAAGGCATGACCCCTAAAATATATATACTAAGTGTCAGTAAGTATTCTTCCTTTCTTTTTAACCTTTATAACGAGATTCTCTTGATAATAGGAAGGGTGTAATTACTTTCACCACGAAATCTTTCAAAAACACAATCCCGACACAATTGTGCAGGAATCTTCGTCCCATTAAAGACTTGGTTAACACCTTTCTGCGTCAAACAACAATCACAAGTTTCATACTCAAACCCCCAATCCTCACGCTTGAGAATCTCAACAACATCTTTGTAATAAAACCTTTGATCATCGAACTCTCCATTCCAACATGCTATAACCTCATGATGATCTCGAACCTTCTCTTCGATATCAATAGCGTCATACCATCGCTTTCGACCGGTCAACAAAGTACTAACGATTCGAGGAAACAACCTTTCGTATTTGTGACTTCCTGGACCGGGGCGTTTGTTGACGTTTAAAAGGCGATTGTACCAAAACCTTTGATCGTATGCGATGATTGTGAAGAAATCAACACAGGTTTGTGAGAGGGCGATTAAATCGCTAGCACCGAGGTTGGAAGTTATCTCATCGAAGATTTCGCGGGGGATCTTTGAAAGACAACCTTCTTGCTTTTGACCAGTCGAGACAGTGGGGATGAGTTTCAAAGGTTCGGTTTGGGAGTTAATCGCAATGGGGACTTTGTAGCTCATATGTGGTGGTTCAATAGGAAAATGTTTATTTCGAATCCTTTGAACGGAGGCGGTGGATAGTGGACTGTGGTAGTAGTTTGTGATCTTTCCGGAGAGTTTCATTTTAGCGAAAACGATCAGTTGTCTTGTGCGAGGGTTTGAGAGGTCGATGATTTTGACTGGGGTTGAGGAGATCTGTGTGAAGTCTAATGCAGAGTCTTCGAGAGAATCGCCCCTTGAAAGGGCATCTTCGATTATGAAGGTTAACATGGGCATTTTGAATAGTCTTAATTAACTTCAAGTTGGATTTGGGGGTTTCTTTTTGATGGTGAGGGAAGGGAGGTTAGGAAAGAGGGGATGGGATAAAAAATATTCTATTGAGAAAGAAAACATGATACTGGATTCGTGACGGATTGAATGGGTTTGATTGTTTTGAAGACAGAAAGTGGAATCGTCGATACGCTATGTTATCGTAACTGCTTGAAGATTATGCGGAGGCTTCTAGAAAACTGATTGACTACACTCGTTTGTGGCTTTGTTGTCCTTAAGCTTATAGTTGTATGATATCTGTTGTCGTGAGTTTACTACATGGCTTGATGGGGATATAGTATTTCCTTGGATTTGATTTGAAGTTGAGAAACTACATCCGAGGTCTGTGTCAATACAAGGCTAAGCTATAAGGTCTATTATAGCGAAAGATTCAATGGATGTTCCACGAGAGTGTCTATAGAACAGCAGGTAAGTACATGTATACACTGCCAATGGCGGATATACATCGGATTATTTGATAGTAGTTAAGTACACTCCCCATGGCGAATATAATAGTTATAATAATCTGACTGAAAAAAAGAGTCTAGGATGTAAGTTATAGCAATAATGATATGGCTATAAGTTATATAGATATAGCCACCATAATTTACAAGACTACATTTATTTATATAAAAACAGTAGTATATATGATCGTTACAGACTAAGGTATATAAAACCTAGTCTCGTATCGCAGATGCGGTCTACACGAAGTATAAACCCTACCAGCCTGTAATAAATCTCTTTTCTCTACTAACAGAACGAGAATTTGCGTTGGCAATGTTGTCACTAGCCACCTGAACCGAGCCACACTGTCCTGCCTGCGCCACCTGAACGAGCTCCCGGAAAAAGGCCCCACCGACAGTTCCCACGCATCTTGTGCCTGATACTTAGACGATGTCTCGCTCAGCGTCCATCTGGTTAACATCATGTATCCACAGATCAGATGGAATGACTCCATGCATGCATATCTCATACACCAAATCCCTATGTGCAATCAATTGAACTTCGACAGTCATTCAAAGGGAACAAAAAAAGCAAAGTATACTCAGCTAAGAATAATGGGGGATCGGTAAGGAAGTAGCTGGTTTTGGAAGCAACAGGGGTTTGACATGACCCAAACTAAACCCGCCTGAGCCGATGACAAGGCTATGGAAAGCGATGGAAACTCATGGATCCTCGAAGATGGTTTCTTTCTTTCTTTGCGATTCGGTTTCGGAAAGAAAAGAAAGGAAAGGAAAGGAAAAGAAACCAAGCTAGTTGGATGCCGATTGCGAGGTTCGCGGTGGATTCGGAATTGGTGATATTGAATCCTTTGTTCTGTTCTGGTACTAACATAAGACTGAATATCTTATAGCAATAGCAATAGCAATATCAATTATAGTAAAAACTAACTTGTTATTTCCGTTAATTATAAGAGTACTCGGGAGAAGTAATATACAAGTACTTGTATAGAGAGAAGTGCTAGTTATTAGTAGCGACTTTGAGCGGGTTATAGTCAGCGAAGCTTTAACCTGCGGACGAGATCATATACTACTACCACCATGCCAGATGCAGGTATCCACCAGATATCACCACGATAGAATTATTTATTCTCATCCAAAGTCTGCCTGCTTTGAATCCTTAAAGGCGCAGTTCTTCTACCGTGAATCTGGTTTCGCTTTTTACATAAAAAACGCAAACTCGTAGCCTTGTCAACCCTGTCAATATATTAGCATTGTCAGTCACTTTCTTTCTTTCTTTTCGGCTTTCTTTCATTCTTTCAGGAAGAAACTTCGAGATACCAGCCAACCTTGACCTCCTCCCCCGTATTAACCAAGTACCTCAGTAAGTACCTCTTACCTTCAAAGCACAAGATCGAAGTACGTGCCTACTATATAAAGATTTTCTTTCCGTTCTTTGCTTTTTGTTTCCTTGGTGGTTTGTTTGTCTAAGGCAAAATCTGCGAGGGCCGTACGTACCAACGAAAAAAAAAAAAAAAAACAAAGACAAATTAGGCCAGTCGGACTTTCGTTCACCTTTATTTCCACCACCTTCGATCCTCCCCTCCATTACCATTACCTTGACCTTATTACCTTCACAGCAGCTTCACATTATTCAGCCTTCATCGCTATCCATTCATCCTCTCTCCCCTTCATCATCACTTCCGACTTCTCCTCTTTTCTAACCTCCGATTCGTTCAGATTCTTTGTTCAGATCGCAATAGCTTTTCATCTTTATCTCCAACAACCGCTGTTTGCTGCGTACGCTTCTGGTGGGGTGAACACTAAAAATACAGCCGATAACGAAAATTATTTCCATCTGACAAACCTTCATCATCGATCCTCTTCCTACATCTCGACCAGCCGATTTTACTACTCTAAATATCATCTCCTCGAACTTTGAATTCGACCTAAATCGCCCACCATGGTTAAGGATATGAAATACTACCAATCCCTAGGGGTACGTCGCCAGTTTTTTACTTACTCGAGTTCCTTCCCGAGTTGGCTCGGTTCTTACTGAAAGCTCGTTTGCATCAACAGGTTGAGGCGGACGCCACTGAGGCGCAATTGAAGAAGGCTTACAGGTATGCATGCCGATCCTGGGATTCTAGATAGCTATTGCTTCCAGCAAGTCGCTGTTTTTTTTTCTTTGAGCTTCTGGCTAACATTTTGGTGATATTAGACTCAACGCCCTAAAATACCATCCCGACAAGAATCCCAGCCCGGAAGCCGCAGAAAAATTCAAGGGTATGCAGCTCGAAACCATCAAATACAAGCTTCTAGCTTGAATTGCACATGCTAACGAATCTTATAGAACTATCGCACGCCTATGAAATCCTTTCAGACCCCCAGAAACGCCAAGTCTACGACCAGTATGGAGAAGAAGGTCTCTCTGGTGCTGGAGCCGATATGGGCATGTCCGCCGAAGATCTGTTTTCGCAGTTTTTCGGTGGCATGGGCGGCATGGGTGGAATGTTCGGAGGTGGTGGAAGCATGCAGCAACAGGGTCCCAAGAGAGTACGTAGCTAGACTAACTAGCTAGCTCCCATATTTATTAACCGGAGCTCTACTAACTAACATTCTCGCAGAGTCGTGACATCGTCCACGTTCACAAAGTTTCCCTTGAAGATCTGTACAAGGGCAAAACATCAAAGTTGGCTCTTCAAAAGACCGTTGTTTGCGGGAAATGCAATGGTATCGGCGGCAAAGAAGGAAGTGTCACTAAGTGCAAGGGTTGCGGCGGTGCCGGTATGAAGACTATGATGCGTCAGATGGGTCCCATGATTCAACGTTTCCAGACCGTCTGCCCGGATTGTAACGGCGAAAAGGAAATCATCAAGGAGAAGGATAAGTGCAAGGCTTGCCAGGGTAAAAAGACGGTCTTTGAGAGAAAGGTCATCCACGTCCCTGTTGACAAGGGTATGAAGGACGGTCAGAGAATCACCTTCCAAGGTGAGGGAGATGCTGGCCCAGATATCATTCCCGGTGACGTTATTTTCGTCATCGAGCAGAAGCCGCATGCCCGTTTCCAGAGGAAGGATGATAATTTGTTCTACAAGGCTGAGATTGACCTCTTGACGGCCCTGGCTGGTGGCACAATCGCGATTGAGCACCTCGACGAGCGTTGGTTACAAGTTCAGATCTTACCTGGAGAAGTCATTAGCCCTGGTAAGCTATACCCAAGACCTAAACCGCTCTAACACGAATGAAATTAGATACTAACTCGCTTTCTTTTTTTTTTTTTTTCACAGGCGAACTTAAAATCGTCCGTGGACAAGGTATGCCTTCCTACAGGCATCATGACTACGGTGACATGTTCATCCAGTTTGAGATCAAATTCCCCCCGAAGCACTTCGCCGATGAGGACGTCATCCTGAAGCTCAACGAAATCCTTCCACCTCGCCCTGCATCAGAAATCCCTGCAGATGCCATGGTTGACGATGTCAATGTTGAGGAATTGGATGCTCAAGCTCAAGCCCGAGCTGTCAACGGTCCTATGGATGAGGATGATGATGAACACCCTGGCCACGAGCGTGTCCAATGCGCATCTCAGTAAACAGACTACGACGACATCATATCCTCATCAGAATGTCCGACCATATCCCGACGATCCTCTTGCTCATGGAATTCTTGTCTTCACTGCTGGTATCGGTGGGAGATAACCTTTTCTCGTCGATATCTATAGTTATATTCTGTTTGTAGTTCTTACTCGCAAATGAAGGGAAGCGGGGGACGAAACCATGTACCACATACCCTACCTTTCAAGACCTCTCAGTGTTCCCGCTGTCTCCCACGTTTCTCATTTTGAGCTCTCGTGTATCCTTCTCCTTATTCAAGCATTTCCGGGAATCAAGTGACGAACGAAAAGACCTTTTTTTTATGTTGTGCTTCTTTAATTTTTCATATCACTATCACACCCCTAATCTCAATTCCTCCTCTTCCCCCTCCCTCAAACTCTCTCACTCACGACTTCCTGCTTTTTCCTTGTGTCCTCCTGTCTACCGTTTTCTGGATAGATTCTCTACCTCGCACACAACGCCGGAGTTTATATGGTCGATGATTTCTAAATGTTCTTCAGTGTTTTATTTCCCCTCTCTCTCTCAACCCCTCTCCCTCTTTCTTCTTCTCCTTTTCCCTCAACGTATGCTCCTGTTTTTTTTTATTCTTGCTTTTCTTTTTCTTGTATGGAAGGTTTTAAAAGATTTACGATTTCCTTTTGCCTGTTTATCCTTTATACAAAATTGAGAATTTCGACGTAATGTGTGCTCTTTCGATATGGTTATATAGTAGTTCTTCTTATATAGATCGTAGAATCTAGTCTATTTCTCTTATGAATCTATCACCGATGCTATCGTAGAATTTGAGTTTAATACTACCTACGCAAGTACATATGTAGGTAATTACTTAAGTATTTAAGGACCAGGTAGTATGTACTTGGACCTAAGTGCCAATCGGTCGAGACCAATTGAGCCGGAAAGCCTTTGCTGTCTCGTTACCAGAACGTTGGCTGAATGGATACCGTGTTGTGGCGTCTGAATGGGCTGTGTTGTTGTGTTGCTGGATGGGATATCGTTTGTGTTGTGGCGTGTATTGTTTGTTTCAATGTGTGGCGCGGCAGTGACGCAGAATTTCAAGATCCTGTGCTGCCTATGACCTTGACTCCTCCCTCACATCTCTTCTGATTCTCCTCTTCATCACACCACCAACCCTGACGACAAAACATCCCACTCTTCCTCCTCCTAGAGCCGACACCAAACTTCCACAATCTCATCGATTCTCTCTGATCCTCTTGTTACTATCCTTTCAGATCGATTTCTGGTAAATTCGAATCTCACGACGCGTCTGGTTGTTGGAACACATCTCCAAGCAACGACCACCTCCCAGATCCTTGCGACGGTACCATCGCCGTCCCGTAAAAACCACCGAAACAACAAAGAAAAACCTCACAGGTGAGCTATTGAGTGCTAACAATCCCCCTCTTGGATACCGATTTACTTCGCCGGAGGTCTGGTCGAGAATTTGCTTCTCTACGACGATCCCCAGCAATGTCGCTAGACCTACTTGAAGAAGGCTCGTTTTTCCATCGACATCCACGATACAAAGAACGATGAAGACTCGAAACACAAACACACAATTCACCTCTCTCTCTTTTTTCTCTCTGGCCTTTTAACTCCCTTCCTTCCCTCGAAATCATTCTCGATACTCTCTTACGCCAGCATGGAGGTGTCTGATGCGATTAAATTTGAACCATGCCAACGGTGAACACCTGGTGGTCACCGGCAATTGGCATCATCATCAGAATTCTCTCTCATGTTCCCGGGGCTGTACGGACTACGATGATTTACTGGAGACTGGAATATTTGGCACGGTTTGGTGTAGTGGTTCTTCGTGACAATATGGGGACGGTTGAATAGTGGTCGTGATTTCGGATTATCGAGATGCCTTTTCTTGGTTTCTTGTCGAATTGCTGGATGCCTTGGAAGATTTTCTTTTTCACTTTTCTGTACCTTTTAGGAACATGTAACGATTTAATGCTAACGGATTTTTTTTTCGGAGGATAAAGGTGAACTAGGGAGTTGAACGGGGCCTTTGTATCTTTTACTGGGCTTTCTGATTCCTGCATCACTTCTCCATCTATCTGCCTCAGTCCAGTCACATAAGAGACTCCGACGAACCAAAACCCCCGGAACCAAAGAACCCACATCTTTGCTTTTCCAAAGAACCCGATCTTGACGAATCCAAAGAACCCCCTCTGCGCAACTCGATTCGAAGAGATCGGTAAAAAAAAAAAAAACTACTCCTCAAGACGCTTGAATTCTTTCTTTCACCGGGGTAAAAGAACTTCACGTCTTTGATTGTGTTTTGCTCTGTTTACGAAGGCATAAGAAACCCATCCGCAGCTTTCGTTTACTTCTTTTCAAGGTTATCAATTGCAAAAAGAACCACTGCTCGTTTTTCGTTGCATCCTGCAATCAACCAAAGCAAGTTGATTCTAACCTTCAGAACAGCAACCCAAGGAACTCGGAAACACATTTGTTTTCGTTAACTTTAAAGAACCTATCTACATCAATACGCTCCCATCGTCACCTACATATTAGCCACGATGACTGGTAGAAGCTCCCTTCCGGCCAATCTTGGCCGCAACCGAGCCGGCGGAGGAATACAGAAAAGACGACAATCAGCGAGACTCGATAGAGAAGGCGATCTCGACATGAGTGGCCAAGCCCCCACCGGCCCTCGGGCCCGCCCTATCAGTGGTGCTAAGCCAAGACCGGCCAGATCGAACACCGCCCCTGGTCAGAAACCAGAGACGGGCCCTTCGAAAGGGTTCCGGCCTGTACGAAGCAACGCTCGCCATCCAGTTGGCACTGTTAATGGGATCAAACAACCCGCTGGCGGTTTTATCGAGATGAAGGTATCGGGATGGAAGGATTTAAAGGCTACTAACTCAGAAACCATCCTCTTCCTTGAAAGAAGGTTGAAGGAAAAGCTTAGAAGAGTAAGATTCACCCCCATTTTAGGTTAGTATTGATCGACTACTAAATTTTTGTAGGTTCGACCTGTTGGGGATAACATCATGTTCCAAGTCCCGCTTGTCAAGGTCCCCACGATTCTTGAATTTGACGGTATCAAATTCGCCGGCGGCAACCTCAGAATACAGCCCGTCAATGAACTTCCTGCTAGCATACAGGCGGCTATAAAGCCAACCGTTGATCGATCCGAGGAAGCCCAACAACTAGCCTCACTGTTGAAAAATGTTCTTCAGTCTCGTTACGTTGCTGCCTCGAAGATGCTCGACCTTTCCGCCTTAGGCACACATCCACAGTTGCAGGGTAGCGGATTCTTCGACCAAGATTCGACCCGAGCCAAAATGTTTCCCGCGATGATGAAAGTTGCCGACGAACAATTTACGAATAGGGCCGAGAAGCGAGACTCGGTCGTCAGTGTAAACCTGGCCAGTAATACTTTGAACGACATCAGCATGGTCGCCTCACTTGCTGCTACATTTCCAGAATTAAAGAATCTCAGCCTTGAGAACAACAATATCACGACATTCAAGCAACTCGAGCCCTGGAGATTCAAATTCCGCAAGCTGGAACAGCTTCTTCTCACCGGAAATCCCATCACTCAACTACCGAATTATCGTGAGGACTGTAGGAAGTGGTGGAAATCATTAATCATGTTGGATAATGTATATTATCCCGACCCTCCACCGGCTTCAAAGAATGATCATTCGGCTGGCCCTGGGTCTTTCCCTCCCATGCCTTTGATGATCCAACCAAGTGGCGTCATTGACGACCAAGATCACACAAACGAATTCCTGTCGACGTATGTATTCCTCAGAGAACCTCCCTCGCCTGCAGACGCTAACAGCTTCTAGATTCTTCCCTGCGTTTGACACGGACCGTAAGCTTTGCGTCCAGACCTTTTACAATAACCAGTCGATGTTTTCCATCTCTGTCAATGTCTCTGCTCCGCGCCTTAGTGGTGACACGAAGCACAACATTCAGAAATGGGATTCTTACATCCCGAAGTCTCGCAACATGGTTCGGCTACGCAACCCGACAGCCATTAAAGACCGCTGCGCAAAGGGGCCTACGGCCATCCAGAAAATCTGGGACACTCTTCCCCGCACCTTCCACGACGTAACCGACCCATTGAAATGGAATTACGACAGCAAAAATATTTCATATGAGGACACCGTCGGGATGCTTCTGACCGTTCACGGGGAGTATGAGGAGCCCGAGAACGTGGCCATGGAGGGGGTTGCTTCGAAGAGAAGCTTCACGAGGACCTTCTTGGTGGTCCCGAACGGCGCGGGCGGGTATCTCGTCCGCCGAGATATGCTGCTCGTAAGAGCTTACGGCGGAAGCAGCGCCTGGCAGGCAGAGACCCTGCTGCCGCAGCCAGCGGCACCACAGGCCGCCCCCGAGCAGGCCGCCAACGCCCCCCCACAGCAAATCGCTGTCTTGGATCCGAAGGAGCAGATGCTCCAGATGATCCAGCAGCTGATGTCGCAAACTGGGCTCACACCCAAGTTTGCAGAAATGTGCTTGGAGCAAACGGGGTGGGATTTGGCGAAGGCGATGCAGGCCTTCAACGAGGTATGTGCTTAATGTTATTAACTCTTGTTTTTAAACAAAGACCATGAAACTAATAATATTTCGTAGGTGCGGGCGAGTGGCTCATTGCCACCTGATGCATTGGCCCAACCGGTCGTCTAGGCCACCGATCCGGTTCTGGGCCGATGCATCATCTACCCAGATGGCTGCTTTAAGCAGCAAAACGACAACGCCCTCTTCTACATCAATCCCGATGGATTGATGGATAAGCTGCCGAATAGTGCATTCGTTTGCACTAATAACGCTATCTACACCTACCAGGCGAGCGTTACTACGAACAATACCACGGTTGGGGCCGGACCGGAAGGCGGTCCACAAGGGGTGGTGGAACCTGAAGGGTTCCCCACCCAAACGACTGGCAGTACAGTCGTTAACGTCGAGCCTTGCGTCGAGATCACCTTGGAAGACGCCCCCTACTAGGGCCGTCCTCTCCTTTACTGCAATTCCGGATTTTCTATTTTGTTCTGCTTTCTTACATACTCCTCCTCTTCCCGCCTTTTTTTATCCGCTGTTCATTATATGTTGCAAGAAATGGCGTTTGCGGGTTTGTTTATACATCTGCACTGTACCATCAAAGTCACTTTATATGGGTAACCCGACTCTTTCCTTCTATCTACGCCCCTCCCGCCTCCATCTTCTCGCCCGTGTACAAAACCAACCCATTCACATAGTCATATCTCCTTTTTTTGTTTTGCATTCTGGCGTTTCTCAGGGTGAAATCCTTACGCACAAAACCATCCAAGCAGAAACTCGAATCCAGTGGGATATTATTCATTATACGTTTCTCCTTTATTTATTCGAGATGGCTTTAATTCTGCTTCTGTTTTCTCACTAGTGGCTTTTTACTCTACTTATGTATTTATGTTGCTTTTCTGAACTATCTGGCATTTTGTGCCCTTTTCTCGCTCTCGCTTTCTCTCTCTCTCTCTTTTTAATGTGCAAACTGTATAGAGATCGGTGTTCGATAGGTTCTGGTGGTTTATTATTTATAGTTACTGGGGGAGGATGAGAATTGAAGTTGATATTTTATGGTGGTGCGACTGATTCAGTGTCGTTGACTGCTGGTTTATACCATTATGCTTCCTTTTGTGTAATTCACATGTCTTATCGTGCATACTTGAAGTAGTTGAGATTGTAAGCTGTGATATTGATAATTGCTATGTTGATGTTATAAGTGCGCATAGTTTGTAGTTTTCATTGCCATGTATTTGACTCCACTCAGACCTAGTTATCCTATATATACAGCTAGGTAGAATCGAATTGTTCAACCAACCAATTTATTGAAGTAAACCTGAATATCAAATCATAGACACTTTATCCCATGAACCGAACGTTACCTCCAAGAAACCAGATGAAGCGCCAAGACATCTATTCTTGGTCCAAACATCTTACAACAACGTCCAACGCAAAATCTTGACACTTTTTTCTCTTTACCATATGCATACTTACGCGTGCGTACGACAAAGGGTCTAGTTTATTTAACTAGCTAGCTGCGGCGTCTTTTCGATTCAATCCTCGTGCATTTTATACCCCACGAGGCAGACTATCACACGGCTGGTCTACCACAACCACCCCTAGTGGGAGCGCGCGAGGAACCATGAAACGATTGAAATGGGGATATACACCCATCTCCACTCATTCACTTACCCGACATCATATTCCACGTTATCTGGGAATCACACGCAGGATCCACATCACAACCACAACCACAAGAAGAACCCTCCACACAACCAACCCTTCAAACCTAGCAAAACGAAAAACCACAGTATCATTACTAGCCTTACCACAGGGGGCGTTATCATTACAACCATTGCCGGAGTTACCGAGAGTTAAGGAACCGCAGTATTCTTATGTTATTGCACAGGCGAGAGAGAATATCGATAGGTTTGGGGAGTGTGTGGTTTTGACGAGGGTTGGGGGGTTTTATGAGTTGTATTTTGAACAGGCTGAGGAGGTGGGACCGGGGTTGGGGTTGAAGGTTGGGAGGAAGAGGGGGAGGGGGCAGGAGGGGGGGGGTTGCTATGGTATTTATTTTTCTTTCTTTCTTAATCCATTCTTTTCTCTTCTTTTCTTTTTTTAATGCATATATACATTATTATGTGGAATGATTTTGGCTGATTATTTTATTTTCGGGAGGGGGTGGTTTTTTTTTGGGGAGGGAAAAAAATAGGCAGGATTTCCATTTTTCCAGTTGGATAGATTTTTAAAGGTTTTGGTGCAGGATATGTCACGTCACGTGGCCATCGCCGAGGAGTTTCCGAATCCGAATAAGGATGAGAAGGAACATGCCAGTTATGGGTTATTGTGGGAAAGAAGGGTGGTGAGGATTATTACCCCGGGAACTTTGATCGATGAGAAGTTTATGGATCCTTGGGAGAATAATTATTTATTGTGTGTTTGGCCTGGTGGGGGTTCCTCTTCCTCTTCTACTTCTGCTTCGAGTTCTACTTCTACTTCGGCTTCTGGTAGTAGTGGTGATGAAGGAGAAGGGCAGGATAGTCCTGTGGGACTGGCGTGGTTGGATTTATCTACTGGAGATTTTTTCACACAGGGGAGTACCCGTGGAGCACTTACAGCTGAATTGGCAAGGATAGGACCGCGGGAGATAGTGATCGATGAGTCCTGCAGAAATACGCCAGAGGTTACTTTACTTACCTCGGAAAAGCGACTTTTGACATTTCATACCTCTACGATTTCACCGCTGGATACGAAATCTTGGGCTTCACTTCTTGAATCTTCTTCTACTTCCACTTCTTCTTCGAAGAAGAGGAATTTACTTGAAGTAGGAGGGTTTGGAAATGAAGAGATTAGTGCGGGGAGTACGCTTTTGAGTTATGTGAAGGAGAAGTTACAAGGGTTGAGTATGAAACTTCAACCGCCGGTTAGGAGGTCGAAGGAGAATAATATGTTGATTGATGCGGTGACTATGAGGGCGTTGGAGATTAGGAGTACGTTGAAGGATGGGGTTGTAGGTGGAGTTGGGACTTTGTTGAAGACTGTTAGGAGGACTGTTACTAGAGGGGGTACGAGGAGGTTGGGGAGTTGGTTGAGTATGAAAACATTCTTTCTTCTTCTTATTCTTCTTCTTCTTCTTCTTTTTTTTCAAAGGGGGAATCTGATTACTGATTTATTTTTTTTATTTTTGGTGATATATAGCATCACCGGAGACGAGTGTAAAAATCATAAACGACCGTCTAAACCTCGTCGAACATTTCATCGCCTCACCAAAGCTACTAGAAGACATACGCTACAAACTAAAACTAACGCACGATTCCCAACGATTAGTCCAAAAGATGTCACTAGGTCGCGGTGACGCAGACGATCTCGTCTCCCTCGCCAGAACAATAATTCAAACTCAAGATATAGTGGATTGTATATCTTCCCATTTACCTCGGAAGAAAGAAAGTTTGAAAGTTGTGAAAGAGTTGATCGGGAGGATTGAGAAGTTGGAGGAGTTGGCGGGGAGGATTTTGAGGAGTATTGATGAGAATGGGTTGATGTTGAGACATACTATTGAGGATAGAGAGGCGGCGGAGATAACGGCTTTGGCGGAGGCGGTGGAGAGGGGGAGGGTTTTGAGTGAGGAGGCGGAAGGGGAAGGGGAGGAAGGTTTGGAGGAGGGGGAGGAGGAGGTTGTAGAAGAGGAGAAGCCGAAGAAGAGAGGGAGGAAGAAGGCTACTGCGACTCCTGCTGCTACTACTCCTACTACCAAAGCGACGGTGAAGAAGACGATAAAACCAAGAACCCAAAGAATCTTAAAAGAAGTCGATAGAGAAAAAGTCGAACCATGGATAATGCATCCCACAGCCTCAAAGACACTTACAAAGCTCCACAAAAGCCTAGAAGAACTCATGACCGAAAAACAACTTCTCGAAACCCGTCTCCTCGACGAATCAATGCTTAGCGAACACCTCGTCGCCTTAAAATGGACACCATCGTTAGGTCATATCTTACATATCAAATCCAGAACATTACCGGATATGACAGAAGGAATCCTCTCCTCCGCAATCAGCGTCGGTTCTTCAAAAAGTACACACTCCTACCATCTCCCCGAATGGACAAAACTCGGTTCTAGGATAGAAATGGCCCGTTTGGCTATTCGTGCGGAAGAACAGAAGGTATTACAGGATATCAGAAAACAAGTTATTCTGAATATCCACGCGTTAAGAAGGAACGCAACTGTATTGGATGAACTTGATATCGCAGCTGGATTTGCGGTATTAGCGAAGGAAAGCGGATGGGTAAGACCCATTTTAAATATGAGTACCGAACATAAGATCGTCGGGGGCAGACATGCGACTGTTCAAAGGAGTCTGGATGATTTGGGAAGAACTTTTGTGGCGAATGATTGCTGGGTCGGTGGGGAGGAAGGAATGTGGATTATCACCGGGTTAGTAGATAACCGTCTATCATCTCAATCCTACAATACTAATTTGACACTATATATGTTAGACCAAATATGGCCGGTAAATCCACCTTCCTACGTCAAAACGCCCTAATCTCAATCCTAGCCCAAACAGGCTCTTACGTCCCCGCCGACCACGCCGAAATCGGTATCATAGACCAAATCTTCAGTCGGGTCGGTTCAGCAGACGACCTCTACCGTTCCCAATCCACGTTTATGGTAGAAATGATCGAAACGGCTTATATCCTCAAAAACGCCACCCCTCGCAGCTTCGTTATCATGGATGAAGTCGGGAGGGGAACAACGGTGGATGATGGGTTTGCTATCGCTGGTGGGGTAGTTAGGTATCTATGGGAGGTTTGTGGGTGTAGAGTACTGTTTGCTACGCATTTTCATGGACTTGTGGAGTTGGTTGAAGGGTGGGAGAAGGGGGAGGGGAAGGGGAGGAAGAGGATTGGAGCTTATTGTACGGATTTGGTGGAGGATGAGAAGGGTGGGTGGATGTTTGTGCATAAATTGAGGAAGGGGGTGAATAAGAGGAGTCATGCGGTGAAAGTCGCGAGAATGGCGGGGTTACCGCAGTTGGCGTTGAAGACTGCGGAGGAGATTTTGAAGACTGCGGAGAAGTTTAAGAGGGGGTAAGATAAGGCGTGGGAGGTTGGGAAAGTGTATATAGTGAAGTTTGAATGAATCGGGAAGTTGTGTACGATAGTGTAATATATCGAATCTCTCTTTTCGAACTTAAGTTAGATCCATTTCCTTCTATTCCATAGATATATTAGATATGTAGATATGTAGTGTAATAATACAGAATAAGTTGTAAACTCGGATATTATACATGGAACGGTTGCTTTTCATATGTTTCGAGGCCGCCGAATATATGTTCTGGTGTAGGCGAGGGTAGTACGCGTGCTGACTCCAATGATCGATTAGGATATTAGTCGGTGTATATATTAATATCAATTCGTCCTCCATACATCCAATCCACCTCCCTTATATCAATTAAATCGAATCGAATCCGCATCTAATTAATAGTTTTGGCAGTACTTCTTCAACTGAGCACAAGCATCATCATTATCCGATCCAGCGTTGCAAACTACAATTTTCAAAAAGGTCGTTAGTAACGCAACCAATTCACCCCAGCCCAATAACCAAAAAATAAAATAAAATAAAATAAAAAATAGATCACGTCTTCACTTACGCAAACAAGTCGAAGTACACCAAGCATCAGGATTGATTCCACCGGTAGGAGGCTTCGATTCGATCTGTGTATTCGGAGTACCGTTGCTACTGCAGGCGAAACAGTTGTGAGAGCCCAAACGGGTTTCGGTCTCTTCTTGTGGAACTGGAGTTGCCTGTGCGAGGCTGAGGAGGAGAGCGGTGGCGACGGTGAAGAGTGAGAAGCGCATTTTTGGTATATTTGTTGATTGTATCTTTTGGCCAGGGGTTAGTATTTGATAGTGAGTGAAGGTATCGATATCCTGAACGTACTACTAATGAACGAATAGATAAACGCGAAAAGTATATATCGAAGATCGAAGGTTCTGTAGGGCTGAAAATTTAAAAACGAGTGAACGAGAAATGGATGATCAATCTGGGGAAAAGAAACATACAAAAGTGGGATTATCAACTGGTGTTTATATTAATTATTTACAATTGCCATGTTCCGACTTCCCCCCCTTTCTGAAGCTACGAAACCGGGGCTGGGAAAGTTATTTGGGCTAATACTAAAATGGAAATGCTGAGGTTTGGGGAAATTAATCTCCGTGATCGAACGAATCAAAGGTTGGCATTTTTTTTACCACAGACACAACGCCCCCCCTTGGCTGGACTGGTACCTGGGGTGTTAAGCTTTTTGAGGCTGAAATTTTATAATTTTAAGACGGTTGACGGGTGATCAGATTGACATGGGTTTTGGATGTTATCTCTTTCTTGATTCTTACTTTTTTTTATTTTTATTTTTTAAAAGGTTCTAGATTATCAGGGATTTTGAGATCTAGTCGTAAGTACTGTGTACTTGGATCAAGTGCGCCAAGTTATATATCCATATTCGGCGCAGATATAATATATACCGATAAGCAGGTAGATACGGACAATTCTGATCAGACAAAATCGTTCATATTTAAGTTTTAATATTTTAATGAAGTCTCTTAGATTAATCATTCAGATTCGAAATTACGCGCTATGATATATACATATACGAGTAAGCTAAGGTTACGTTGGAAAACATGTTGGAAACCAAATACCAAATGAATTTTAGACCGTCGTACAAAGGAAATAGTAAGTTATTTGTAAACATAGGTATTGTTAGTGTGTCAAAACTATATACGGTAGTAAATTATCCAACCTCAAAGATTTGAAGAGAATACAGATCGAATATACGATCTTAGTGGTTGTAATTTGATGTTAAGGCTGCTAGATATATCGATATTGTTATGTATTCTTGGACCCGATTAGAAGATCAAAGAGGGTATATTGCATATATTCTATTATTATCATAGAAATATTCAGTAGGGCCTCAAAAGTATAGCTTCAAATAGTTAAAATCAGAAAGAATGTTCAGTATGCACGTTAAAACACCATTATTTCGCAAAGTATGACCACAAAAGTACCATATATATATTTTTAAATATGGTTTTTCAGGGTGATAGTTTTTCATAGGTTTAAATAACAGGTGACATTCTCGTAAAAACATGTAAACAAAAATCGCATAAATGGTCCAATCGGTCATCCATATCCATCCGAAATTTCAAATTTCCTCATAGAGAACCCGTAGCCCCCGCGTAGTGTTCAGAACCCCCAAATCTTAGTACCCTAGGTACTAACTATTCAAACTAATGCTCATTGGTTCTTTCAAATAGACTCGGTTTCAACACTATCGAACCCATTGAACACGAGACTAGTATTTGCTCTGACATATCTTCCGACACGGTTGGTATCGTCGCCATCTCTGAAGACAACGACTTCCCAACCACCCTTGCGGCTCCAGTTGTCGCTACCACCGGGTTGGAGGGTGAACCAGTCGTCGTTGCCGCCGTTGTATTTGGAGACGAAGACGCGGACAGCGAAGGAAGAGTTGTTGGAGACTCTGATGAAACCGGTCATGGTCTTTTTTTTTTGTCACTTGGTTAGTTGAGTTTAGAAGAAGGGTTTGAGGAGGGTTTTAGACGGGGTTTCTTACGAATGTTTTTTTTGAGGGGATTGGTCTAAAAAAACTTTGTAGGTTTTTAGAGGTGTGTGTGAAGTCTAATGGGAAGAAGTAATTGTTAGATATATATTTTGATGATAGATATGAATGAAAGAGTAATGAAGTTCTAGTTCTCAATAGAAAACTACAATCATTGATAGACTCACTTAGAGTATAGAAGAGGATTGTACTGTTGAGATACTGAATTGTATTGCTGATGTAGAATGAAAAAGAGATTCCCAAGTCGAGGAAAGACCCTCGTTTTATAGACAAAACCTCCTCTATCAAAGCGTGAAATACTGAGGATCATATTGAATACCTCGGAGGCATCCATAGCCCTACTGCGCTGCTCTAAACATCATGATCATGTAACTTAGCGAGCCAAGAGTCGCAATCGCCAATGATCCCATTCATTCACGTATCATCTTCACAGACTAGGTAAAGCTTGAAGTTGCCAAGTCATATCATGACAGACTAGGCCTCGAGAATCCTCCTCATATTCAGCAGGGTATCTTGTCAGCCTGCACCGGCCGAGTTTTTTTTGTAAACGATAACCTAGTGGAAAATATAACCAGCCAATAAGAGTGTCTTTGGAATCATTGAATATATTAATATAATTGTATATATATCCATACGAAAATAGGAGTTTTACGTAAATTTTCAACGGTGTATATAAAGCATTAGAGTATATAACGGGGAGTATGCATGATATCGATATATTCTGGGTTGGATCCATGGAAACCCCCCCTTCTGGCGCTAGTTTCTTTTTTCTCTCAAACGGCCGAGAAAATATTAAGCTTAATTAATTGTACAGCCTAACTCTGTATGACGTTAGGAAAAACCCTGGATAGGGACGATATGGCTGTAGGGCTGCATGTATAAAGCACTTCTCGCCTGATATGTGCATACAGATCACCGGGTTTCGAGCTCTTTGTAGACAAGCTTTGTTTGTTAATTAATTTGGTTAGTACCTAGCTTGGACGTTTTTCGCAATTTTTTTCTCAGCCCAGCGCGCGGCTGAAGTTTGAAGTACATAAATGCCACAAAGGGGTTTTGTGTTGGTCGACTAGCGGCTCTGGAAGGCCAGTAGAAGTAATACCCGACTGCGATGGTTTGCAGATATTCTTTTAAAAAAATTGCGAGAGAAAGCATGGGTGTCCTTGTATTCACTCCCGTTGCTACCTGCCTGTAGAAAAAGAGTGGGAGGAGGAGAGGAGTTTAACGTTATAGTGGCGGGTCTCCCCGCTTCTTTACATTAGATGCTGACAGTGCATAGCATTTAAAGTCCCAATATGGTTATATTTTCCATTTTATATAGTCCTAGTTTCGGTTGAGGGATTTGAATATTTGGGAAGATAGTCACACGATAAGTTTTTTTTTGAACGATGTTTTGATGCAGCCTTATAGGGTCATGCATGGTGTAGAAAACATGTAACGATGTTATTGGTCTTATTGTATGTATGCCGTGAAAGCTTGTTGGGGATTAGTGTGACTTTGAGACTTTGTAACTGCTTGTTGATGTCATGGTATAGTACTATAGTATGCTTGCGAGTAATTACGGCGGGTTGGGATATATTATGTTATAGGGTCTTATCGACTTTCGTGGATTACGAAATTGATATCTATTCAACCAATTATACTATTACAAAGTTCTTTTTTGAAAAAGATTTACTCCGTATCAAGCGTTTTTACAAGTGGTTATCATATGGATTTGTGCTTTTGAGAATAATTCTACAATTGAATGTGGGAGATTTGTACCAATATCTAACCCTATGGAGTATCTTCCTTATACTGTCCGTCGGGAACACCGAGCAGTTACAAAATAAATTATTCCGTGTAATTTCTATTTCCGTCTAGTTCAGCGCTAACTAGCTGGCTTTAAGACGCTATAAATGTATATTTCGCAGCCGTAATAGTAGGTATCCCGAGGCTAAATTTATGTTATATCGTGATCGTGGGCTAATTTAAATTGACCCCGCATATATATATCTGGTATGGAACATCCAAGCCAGGCGGTACCTATTTTTGATTTACCCGCAAACCCAGATGTCAATGTAATCCAGTTGCATAAAAATTGCGAAACAAGGTTTGTGAACTAGTATAGTGGAGAAAGGTAGTATAGCAAGAGGCGCACTCGCAAGTGTGAATCTTTTTTGAAGAGGTCTATGCATATACCCCGCGCACGGCATGCATTCATGATTATTGGTATCGCAGTGAAAGTGACAATCCCCAACGAAGTTAGCTAAAGGTTCTACTTTGTGGGTTACTTGGCTCTGTTAACATGGTTGTGGAATATGGAGACTACCTTGATCATCTTCCGTTGAAGTAACGGGCGGTAGATATATCTGAGACCTTCTTACGGTATACAGTAAATGAAATGGTATAGATTCCGCTGGGAGATGAAATACTGTATAGACAGAGTTAGACGCTATTTTCATCTCGTTGTATTCAGGAACTTGGGGGATTCTGTTAAGAAGATGGTGAGCCGTGTGCATGGGCTATGAGTACAATAATTTAGAAAAAGAAGCGGGTGGGAGGATATATCTGCCGGTATGTAAGATCTATGAAAGAGGGAAGAGAAAGGAGAAAACCTCCATACGGGAACCGGATGATATCCCGCGCATTCATTCGGTACCAGGTTCGATGCGCCTTTGAGATTCCCGTTCAATATCATTGCCTTGGAATTGGCGATGGAAAGTATGTTTCAAGTTTCTTATGAATACCCCCTACATTTTCTTTATATTTATCGAATTAGAAAGGCTTTCAATGGTATCTAGTCTCGCATGGCAATAATAGCAATGATAATTGAAAAAATACGAGCTGGAAATACTTTCTCATTGAAAGAAAAGATGGTTTGAAATATGGAAAGTTACATGGCAGGTATTTGGAAACTTGAATTTTATGATAGATCTGGAAGTGATCTTAGATTGTCGACTTACCGTTAGCCGCTGAGAATATATCGCTATCCCTTTCCAAGTAAATGTAAAAACTATTTCGTACTATTAAAATCTACGCTATCATATACACTACTAGTCAACATCGAAGTGGTTCTAGCATCATCACGAGTCTCCACCCTAGTGACCCAGAAGCCCGACCACTAACGTACTCCAAAAACTTCGCGACTCTCCATCGAAAGCGGGTTTAGCTCAGTTGGTAAGTTACAAAAAACTCTTCACACAAATCAGATAACAACATATCACTAACACATCATCTCAGGGAGAGCATTCGACTGAAGTCAAACTTCAATCCATTAATCGAAAGGTCATGTGTTCGATCCACATAAACCGCATTCAAACTTCTTTTTTTCTTCTCAATAGTTTTTTTGGATTGGGACATTAATTTCTGAGGTTTATTTTTTTTTTGGCTTCGATGGTGGTGGTGGTTTGTGTGGAGTGGGGATATATGCATGGCCGGGATCGGAAGGTGCGGGGGTTGTTTGCTAGTCGGCCCGCCATATGTAGGGTTTTTATCGATTTTAGTGCGGGGCAATTTGGTTTACTTCGTTAGCCTTTGCATGGGCGACGGCACCATTGTTACGTCTGGTCTTAGAAGCCGGATCGATCTGAGGATTCGAAACTGGTATCGATAGAGGGTGCATGTTTATCACAGATATGCAGATTCCGGATCGTTGTCCCGTTGGTTGAGCAACAAATGGGGGGGGTAGGCGGGGTAACCCGACTATCCAATGGATTGCATCGATTGAGATCATCAGAATTGTGTCAATTGCTCTAAGTTTTACGAAAGGACTAAGAAACGGATATATCCGTGGAGTTCTATCCTCGTTTTCATCAAAATCAAAATCATTTCTGCCTATAAGAAGAATATATTTTCACTATCCGCCATCAATAACCTAGCGGGTTTAGCTCAGTTGGTAAGCATACAATCTCATTCAACAAACATATCAATCAAACAAATCGTCTAACAGTCTACTTTAGGGAGAGCATTCGACTGAAGTCACACTTCAATCATTAAATCGAAAGGTCATGTGTTCGATCCACATAAACCGCACTCATCTTTTTTTTGCAACTTTTTTGGCTTGCGTCTACACAAACTTCATTCTTCTTCTTTTTTTCTCCTTTGAGAAGAATAACTTTTCTTTATTTTTTATTCAATTCATATCGGACACCGAAACGGCGGGATTGAAACGGTGTCTGTTTGCTATATGGATTGTCTGATAAAGCTCGCCGTTATTGGGTCTCCTGTTGTGGAGGGGAAAGGCCACTGTGGACTTCATCATCAGATGATAATGTTCTTAAAAACAGCCCACTAACTTATTTACTGGACTTTCGGTGACCGGTGGGTGAAGTCGCCGGAACCCGTCTAGCACGGCATTGTACATATACACATACATCCTTGGGCTCTTACTATTATTTTGTCTCACGAAGTTATATAGAGAGTCACGCACAGCCACATGATGATGATGATCGCATGCGCCACATGTATATATTTAAACATGACAAACTAACTGTGGCACGGGCCAGCCGGACCGATCCAGGCTGTGGCATAAACTCTCCGTCACTGATCGAAAATTAGTATCAATCACAAAACGTCCAAAAAAAATCAATCTGACAATTGCTTAAGTTTCGTAACTTCTTCGGTGGGCGTTTTAGGCGTCACCAAAAATCCGACTTGTAAGCTAACTTTAAGACGCTCTCGAAGATCTTCCCCAAGCCCGGTCGGTGGCTTGACATCGATTGCGTCGCGCTGTCCCGAAAGGACGAAACTCTTTTTACAATTACAGAGTATGAAGTATGTATTGTGGAGACTTTGGTCCCTCGGGGTAAGGCCTATCGCGACACCGTAACTCTTTCTTTTTTTTTTCTTATGCTGGGGGTTGTTTCAGGATTTGCCTTTACTTAGAATATACCGTACTGTGTTCTCCGAGAACCGACGTGCCGGATGCTGTGGAGGTGTACTGTGTAGTTGAGCCCCTTGGCTGGCCTAGATATTAGATATTGGCCATGTGGTCTATTAACTACTTAGGAGTAATATGCATTTACCGTGGAGAGAAGACGGGTGTTCGACATCGACACCCGGGCCGGATAATCTGTTAACCCGTTGATCCGGGAGCGATTTCATCCCATATTATTATTATATCACAATGACATAGGACAAAGTACCTCCTGACGATGAATATCCAGGTTCGGGGTTTAGCCTTTTTTCCATCCAAAAAGCTTCGAGAGTCAGAGTATTTTTCTTTCCTATAGTTTCGTTAAGCTCAAGTTCAGCCTTTGACTTTTTTTTTGGTCCTCTCTTTCTGTGTGGATGATGACCCACAGCTCGGGATTAGGCGCCATCGAAAAGAAAAAGCAGTTTCCTCCCCCTCCCAGTTTCAGATGTTGGACCCACATTTTACTTTTTTTTTTTTTGGCTCAACTCAACAGGTGGAATCCAACCAACAACAGGCGGCGGTGGATCTGACCTCTTTGCATCACCTTACGAGGGGGGAACCAACGTTTGTGCATATTATTGGGTGGGTTTTATAGGGGTGCTATGTAGGGGTGGGGTGGAGTATGACAAGCTTGCGAGTTGTGTCGTATAAGTCGTTGGGAATGCATTGCTGGACTGACTCTTTTGGACCGAGTCAGCGAGTAGAGATACATGTCCTGACTTATTTATCTAGATGATACATACTTTTGGGAATGTCTTTGCCATTGGGGAAAAGAAGAAAAAAGCGGTGGGATACAGAGTTTATATGATATGTGGGGGAATGCAAGGGGAAATTCTCTTTTTCGGTCCTTTCATGGGATACCACGTCGACATGTGGATTTCGAAGGTTATAGACAGACATTGTACCAGCATCGATGAGCTGGTCGTCTATGCAGGTACGGGGATTCTTTAAAAAAAATTTTAAAAATTTAAAATTAAATTAGCACGAGCTCGCAGTTTCCCGTGTGTACTATGTATGTGTCTAGAGTCTTCGAATATCGTTTTCGTGAGTACTTTACATTCATACTTTAGATATCGTGATTATTGCTAGTACCTTGTACTTACCTCCCTTTTCCGCTGTAGTGTATCAAATAGACATCTGAGCGATACTGGATCCGAAGCTAGTCGCATGGTATTACCTGCAAGGTACCGGTACCGAGTCCCCCACCGTGCCGGCATTACACTTCTCGCGACATCTGGCACGATTCGATTCATCTTTTTGTTCGGCTTTTCTTGCATGGAAGATGCAGGAGGCTATTAATTTATATCTGTATACATGTAGTTATAGTTACAGCGCATCATGATAACGAAGTTTATGAAGAGAAGAAGAAGAAAAATTCAACGTCCAAAGACGGTGAACGAGCCAATTATTGACGTTTCCTTTGCCGGTCAATGCTCTGAACTCAAAAGGCAAAATGTAAAGAAAAACGAGAGTTCCCTTCGGACAGCTGTCGCACGAAGCACCTCAGCTCGGGAAAGAAAGGAAAAGAGAAAGGTTGACTCGTCTCACCGCACGAGCCCGGAAAGTATGTGAGACCGGAAGACTGTAAAACTTTTTTTTTCTTTTCCTTTTTCACGAATCGAATCAGCTTTTAGTTTTTTTTTCTTTGAAAGTCTGCGCCGTACTATGTATTGTATGTGCTATGTATATCGTATCGTATTGGTGGTGGGCGGTGGGCTGATATATTTGTCTCGATAACTCCCTCCCTCCTTTCATACTCCGCCATCCTGTCATGTTCTCCTCCGTTTGAGTCGTCTGTCTCTCACTATTTTCTCTTCTCTCTCTCCCTTTCGTTTCGGTGTCTCGGTCACTCCTTCCATTTTTTTGTCTCTCATTCGTGTTTCCTTTTTTTGTTTTTTGCATGTGTGAATAGTTGCTGGATGCATTTATTCATGATTGCATTTTATTCTACATTTTGAAGGAGAGAGAAAGAAAGAAAGAAAGAAAGAAAGAAAGAAATAATAATAATAAATCATTGAAGTTTGATCGAGTATCGCAGTGACTTGACTAGCAGCAGCCTGCGGTTTGCATCTTACGACTACATTCATCATATTACTAACATCCATACGCAATCGGTTTCTTGCATTTGTTTGGTTTAAAAAAAGGAACATCATCATCATAATCATCATCGATAGCAGCTCTTTTGCATATTTTATCCATATCATATCATTCGTCCATTCATTCATACATTCATCTTCTCCTTCCTGTTTGGCCAGACGAGAACCACCTCACCGACAACACATTTCCGATAGACGAAGACCCAACTAGGCACCTGCCGTGAGAAAGCCGACTCTCTTTCTCTCTTACCCCTCCCTTCTATACATACAGACAGATACAAATATAACAATCGATAAGGCCAGAAATAGCCTGCTGCATCCGACTACATATTCTACTTCTTTTTTCGTTCACAAGCAGCATCGTTGTCACAAGCATTCACAAGTTGGTTTTTTCTATCGATAGCGCTATAGCTTGCCTGCTCGCTAGCTAGCTTTCCTGGGAAAAGAAGAAAAACAGCCCCTGATCGAAATCGCGCCCTTGGACAGCTGTTTCAAGAGCCCTGGATCTTCGCCAAAATCATTACATCCTCGGAATACCGTCAACTCTAGCCTAACTCGGTATTTCTTAGCTGGTTGAATTTCCTCGGCAAGCGCTGCATTGTGTTCTATTCTTTGATCACTTTATTTTCTGACCTGCAGCATTTGATACTTAACTAAACACCCACCCGCAACCACAACCACCGTGCATCTGTGCATCTGGCTAGTTTACTTATTTAGTTACCTGGCTTGAAAAAGAAGTGCGGAAGGCTGCCTGTCAAAACCCACCGGATTCTCCATAGTCCAAAATCGAACTAACGTTGGTCACGTTGGACGACTGTGTTCCCTTTAGCCAGTTGACCCTGCAGGAAAGAGAAGGAAGTGACGGGCAATAGCTGGGAGGCCCTGGTCATTTTTTCGGCACACCCTCAGCGTCTTTCCAGAACAACCACCCGCACCGCACGGCTTCCCTTTTTTGGTAGACTGCCCTTTATAGCCAGGCTGCTGTCCACCCCCTCACACTCCTCTTCTACTACTTCTACTTCTTCTTTTCCTTCTCCACATTTTTTTTCTTTCTTTTCTTTCTCTTTCTTCTTTTTCTAGGAGGTGGGAATATATTTAGAGAAGCCTTCGACAGGTACTTCTTAGAAAAGTAGATATTGTTATATCATATCGGTTGTCAATTGAATTGACTTTGTCTTGGAGACCGCGGGCACATTCAAATCGGATCTTTTTGGTTTCACAGGTGGAAACAAACAACGCAGACACACACCCGATCCTCACAACAACAAACTCGCATCTCGCAACGCATAATCGTCCTCAATCTCCAGGCCAGCCCAGGCTCACAACTTCGACTTAAGCCCAACAAGGCAGCTGCCTTTTACATCCAACCCAAATCAATCAATCTCAATCTCAAATCTCAAATCTCAAAGGACTTCGACAGCCCTTTTCTCATATACATACCTACTTGGGTTACTATATATATAAAAGAAAACATGGAAAGAATATCCCGAGCCTCCAAAGCGTTCCATCGCAACTCAAAGAACTTGCGCGATTCCCCTCCTCCAGAGACTCCAACAGACCGCAGCCGTTTCGGTAGCCTAAGATCTAGCCGATCATCGAGGAACAGTACCCACGGTGGCAGTCAGGACAACATAAAGTTTCAAATATCAGCGCCCGTAGAGCTCATTTCTTCCACCAATATGCTCTCTTACAATTCCCTTACCCTCAGGAGTCCCAGTCCTACAGGCAAATCGGCATCGTCTATTGGCTACTCTCCTTTGCAATCTCAACATCAGAATAGTTTTAATTATCCCATGCCAGCCGCTGCTCCTACTTCTGCTCCTCAAAGAATGTCGCAGAAGATTCAGCCAAAGGTTGATGTGTTTGTTAGCCCGAGACCTAGTCGATATCAACCACCCTCTCCGGCTTCCACTATTGGAGATTCGGTCAAAGGACCACTATCTCCAGAGTTGGGACTTGCGATCTCAGACGTTCTGACTCCACCTGCCACTCCTCCACCTGATCATATTCCTCGTCATTCCAGATCTAGCATCGGAAAGTCTGCAGGAATGTCTATCTCCAGTCGTCAATCTGGCAGCCTGCAGAGGATCAGAAGCACGTCGTCGCTTTCTTCGTCGATCTCTAATGGATCTAGCCACGATAGCTACAAACTCGAAAACGAGGAAGCCAGCCAGTCACCCGACCCGAGGAGGATCACTTCGAATTTTGGAACCACGCCATCATCTTACAAGGGACCACAACCAATGCCATCAAACTCTCGCCCTTCTAACTCTCCTACCGCATATAACGGGCTCTCATTAGGTTCTCATTCGTCGCCAACAACTATCTCACCGTCGACCATGCCTCCTCCACCACCGAGAGTCTCGGCCGCGAGGAGATCAATTTCAAACCCGAACTTGAAACTCGGTCCGAAGCGTAACTCGAGCAAGACTAACCCTTTTGCTCACGAACTCGCTCAAGTCTCGGAGTTGGCTGAAGATATGGGACTCGACTTTGTTGACAACGATGTGATGGTTCGAAAGGGACTTCAGAAGTTTTCAGCAAAGGATTACTTGGATGTCATTAGGGATGTGGCTCTCTACCCTATTGAATTCGATTACGAACAAGTTTCTTCCCCAGTTGTTACTTCTCCTGTCGTACCCCTTGTGCCGGAGAGGAGAAGGAAGCCGGCGGTTACGATCCCGGATAGGCGACACGCCATCCCGATGCCACACATGATCTCACCACAACCTGTTGCTGGACAAAGCATTGCTGTTGGCGGGTGGATCTGAAAGGAGAACGCGTGCAAATGAACAGTTTTTTCTTTTTCTTTTCTTTTACCGTCCGGGGCGTTCGAACTGTTTTTTCTTTCTGCATAATATCATCTATTGCACTGTACTACCAATTCGTCTTTCTAGGAACTTTACCCTAAATGGGAGGTTCTTAGTCGTCGTTGTCATTTCATGCTTGCGTTTTTTCTTTCCCTCTTATATCACGAGCCGTTGACTCGGGCGCAAAGCTCCACCACTCTATACCTTTATCGCGGGATTGCTTGTGTTTTTTTTTTAAATTTCTTAATGTCTTTTTTTTATCATTATCCATTCTGCCTGGGAGAAGGAGCAATTACGGCGTTTTTTTTTCCCTTACAAATTATTCTTATAACGGCGGATTAGTACACACACACTCGCATACTCATGCTCATAACATATATAACCAAAAAAAAAAAAAAAAAAAAAAAGGAAATACTACTCGAGGGACAAGATGAAGGGGTCAGACTGTGTTCTAATCCTGTGTTTTTTTCGATCGAGTAGTTTTTTTTTTTTATGCAAGATGGTTTTTTTATGGCTCTCCTTTTTTTTCTTTCTTTTTTTCTCTATCTGTTCTGTCATGCGAAAAACAAAACAACAATTACTATTCTTACGCTCGTTTTTTTTATGATGGATAGATACCAAAAGAATAGTGTCTGGATTTTTTTGATGAGGGGGAGGAAGAGGCGGGGGGATTATATGTATATACTTTATATAACTGAATTAAAGATTTTTATTTTTATTTATTTATTTTCTGGTCCGTTTGATGAGTTTGGTGAACCTATTTGCAATTTGGTGTACTTGTTTCTGAAGTGTGGGAGGTAAGATGGAAGGATGGGTATGGAGTATACGTTTTCCATATGGGCGAATCGATTAGTTAAGTAATTATAAGTAAATTTATAATCAAGTTATAGATCTTAGTAGTATCTTCGTATGAAGATATGTATGCGGGTATGGATGTGGATATGTTGATCCTGTTGTGTATACATGTACTAGACTCTCGAGATAACTACCTAATTAAACAGGATATAGGAACTGCTGTTTTTCAGATTACTACTTAACGCTTTTGGCGATAATATCTTTTATAGAGTGATTAATTGTATTGTAGGCTCGAGTTAGAGTATTTACGTTATTGAGATGATTATGATGTTGGTTACACTGGTATTCTTTTCCTTTCGGTTTCCTCTCTTTTCGGTTTCCCCCTCTTTTAGGTGGCATTTTTGAATCATGGTGGTGGGTATTAGAATATTGTATTAGTAAACAGGGATGATGTATATAATATAATATCGAATCCTGTTTGACGGCCGGTGGGTTTGGTCTGGCTGGCATGTGAAGGGTATTCCTTTGGACTTGGGGGTAGGGGTATGCGGAATTTTGAATCCTGTGGGGTTGGTTGGGTTGGTTAGGGGGGGGGGGGGGGGGATTTTTGGTGGACTTAGGTTTTGGTGGATATTTGTTGGTGGGATCTTGAAAGGTTTTAGGGGTTACTAAGTAGATTGCAGTTAAGTTCATATATGAAAAATTGTAGAGTTGGAGTTAGAGGTAGGTATTTTGGAGGGGGGGGGAATGGAGGGTTGTGTTTATAAGATATCAAGTGAGTTGATGATACAGTCTAAACTAAGTAAATATTACTTGGAATCCCTAAGGGTGAGAAGGATTGATTAATCCGTGTACATACGCCTTTAACAAAAAGAAAAGAAAAGAAAATCAAATATGCAACCGCTTTGCAAGAGTTTGGGTATTATTGTCTTCCAAGTCCCGGAGTCTCTTCTGCCCTTGTCGAGGATCTCTATCTTGCCGAATAGATTCATAGCTAGCAATATCTTCCGAAAGAATTTTATATCCTGATTCACTTGCCAGCATTCGAGCTGTCTTCCCACATTTGGATCTATGACTAACATCGGAGCTGCCGTGGTCTAGTAGAATCTGAACTACTTCCGCATGACCTCTCATAGCTGCCCAACATAATGCGGTGCGCTTGTGTCTGAGATCGTATGCGTTTGGGTCAATGTGAGTCTGGTCGAGTAGGTATTTTACCACGCTCCCGTAGCCGCTATTAGCTGCTCTCATTAGTGGGGTGAATCCTTGGTTATCGATTGCGCTAGCAGCTGTATCTGGGGATGTTGTTAGGATCGTTTTTATAGTCTCAATATGTCCCATTTCAGCTGCTAGGGATAATGCGGTTTGCTCGGATTTGGAGTCTTTGGCCGTAGGGTTGGCTCTACCGGCTGTTAGTAACTGTTCGACGATGGTTTTATGCCCGCCGATGGCTGCCCATAAGAGTGGAGTCCTTCCATATTTGTTGCACCTGGATTCCACGTTCACCTCGTGATGCTCTAATAGGATTCTCACGATATGTTCATGTCCCAGCCCTGCCGCCCACGATAGTGGCGTTCTTCCAAACTCGGTGTCTTGGAGGTCTATACCTTCTGCCTGGTTTTGGAGTAAATATTGCATAATATCTGTTCGGCCATGTCTTATTGCGAAAGACAGTGCGGTTTCTCCGTTTTTTGATTGAGAGTTGATGTTGACTTTTTTATTCCGGAGGAGCGATTTGACTATCTGTTCGTGGCCACCTTCTGCCGCCCATGAGAGTGCGGCTCGGTTGTATTTGGAGTCTCTCATGTCTGGATTTGTTCGAGGATTCTTGAGTAGTACCTCGACTACCGCTAGATGTCCTTTCTCGGCAGCCCATATCAAGGGAGTACGGCCGTGGTAGGAATCCTTTGCGTTTAGATCAACATCGGATCTTCTCGACAACATTTTAGTAATCTCCGTGTACCCGCTTACGGCCGCCCATGAGAGAGCTGTTCGACCGCTGTTACAAATAGCGTCTGGTTGAATATCTTTAGAACGTAGCATCAAGCGCACTACCGTCTCTTGTTCTTTAATCGTTGCCCATGATAGCAAAGGTCGATTAAATTTCATGTCTTTGATATTAACTTCTATATCAGGAACTTCTTCGAGTAGTAGTTGTGCTGCTTGCGGACCTCCTACTCTTATTGCCCAGTAGAGCGCTGTACATCCGTCCTTTTTGCTTCGAAAATTAGGATTGGCGCCGGGTTGGCTAAGGAGTAGTTTAATCACTCCGATGCTACCTGCTTGGGCTGCTATCATCAGGTGGGTCATCCCTAGTGTGTCCGAAGCAGATGCATCGATATCGTTGCTTCCATTCCCTAACAGCTGTTTTACCAACGTCGATAATCCGAGGAAACTTACTAACTCGAAGTTCGTGTATTCTTGATGGCATCTGCCGGCTCGGTTGATCCCAATCGTCCAATAAACTTGGAACCATGTTAAATTTACCTCGGACTCGAGGTTACACAGGGAAATGGCGGCTTCTAACACTGGATCTCCTGGATCCGAAATGTTGGATTTGTTGAAGTGAAATGGCCAGAATCTTGCGGCGTAATCCAGGAACGGATATTTGGTTGCGTATTCTTGGAGGATGCCCTGTAAAGGAAAAGTATCGCTGCTGAGTGGTGGTAGGACTAGTGGGTCGTCAACAAAGTTTGATAATCGAAGATACGATATGCATTTTCTGGCAAGGGCTAGATTTGAAAGTTCTGGGTGGATTGAGTGCTTCCAATCTTTATTCTTTATGTCGGTGCTAGTATCGGCATTAGACAATAAGAAATCTTTCGCTGTTTGATGGATGAGAAAGATTTTATCGTCTATAACCGTGACGAAGAGGCCGCACACGTTTCTCACCCGTTGGGTGAACGAGCTGTCTGATTCCAAATCAAGTTGTTCCTGTGATTCTTGAGATTCGAGTTCTATGGCGATATTCATTTCTCGTAAGGTTAGAGGCCTGGTGGCAGCGATAGTCAATTCGAGAATCAACTCGGCCTCGACTTTATTCGGGCTCCGATTTAAAATCGCCTCATAGGCAGCATCAAGCGTTGGAGGAATATTATCGATTAGATGGCGTAGCTGTGTTTTAGTGCCGACTTTCACTGACTGGGAGATGAAATCGAACACGAGAGCTACCCATAGGTATGTCCGATGAGGAATATTGGAAATCGACTCCCTCAGGTACTCGTACAAAGCCGGGTTATCTGAAGGCAAGTGGCTACGGACTTCCTTCAATCTTTCTTCGATAACGAGTCCAATTTCCTCTGAAATAGCCTGAGCTTCTAGTTGATTTTCTCCTGCTAATCGTACTTCGGTAGAGTATTGATTGAAACTCATGAATTGCCATTCGAGTTCGATGTAAGGCCGACTTGTAACCAGAAACTTCAGTTTGGTACGGCGCACGAGGTCGTTGCTATTATAAAATTCCTTGAGATGGGTTATCAACTTCTCTTTGCCAGATTCTTCACATTCATCCAGAGCATCCAGGACGCATACGATCTCCCCAGCATTTGGATCCGCAGCTATTCTCAGCAGAATCCTCCACATACTTTGAAAACAGGAAGGTAGCTTCGCCCCGTCCTTAGCGAATTCGGGCATGGCATGCTTCATCAAGGATTTGTCCTGGGATAGAATTTGATGTAAAATGGCACTGAGAGCATTTTCCGGACTTCGTTGCTCCCTATATTGGTTTTTGAAGAAGAAATAGCCGTATTTGAGATTCTCTTTACTTCTCAATTCGCCGTCTACCAGTTTCCTTGATAGCACGGATTTTCCGCAGCCGGGATCGGCTGTGACCCATAGCAGGCTGGAATCTCTACTATTTACCCATTGTTGGTACCGTTTGTGTCGTAGGAACCATTGACAAGTACCTGGAGCGCAATTGGGGTTTATATCTTTGAAGTTCTCATAAGTGGTTGTCCGGAGAGATTGTAAGCACGAATTTTGCGCCTTGATTTCATCGCTATTCTGATGGGCTTTCGTGACACATTTTTCGAGGTCTATTCCAGGCCCATATGGTCAGCAAATATATAAATTTATAAAAGTATATTCTCCATTGTTTGACTAATCAGTACATCTTCAAAATTCTGGGTGGCCCTGAAGACAGCCCTGATATATAACCAGCCGCCATCAATCTCATTTCCCTGGCCTATCGCGGAATAAACTACTTACTCTGAATAATTATCTCACTGGCCGCAGTTAAGCTGTCCGTCTCGCCTCGCGTTATAACAGTAAGCAGCTCTTTAGCATAAGCAGCGGCAGACGCTGCCGCAAACTCCTGCCACCCTTTGTTTTTATGAGAGTCGGAATAATCGCAAATGCCTCTGATAACAATGCACGGAAATTCACCCATCAAGCCTGCTGCTTCCATTTCTATGCAAAGAATATCGCCAATACATTGTCTAATCTCCTCCCTTTTCATCGCATCCTTAACAACCTGGTTTCCGGATGCGATCACACCTCGATGGACGACATTGAGACCAGAGCCCGGTCGATTTTTTCTATATCTAACCGCTTTGGAGGGATCGCATTGGTCACACGATGGATTTCCGGGGATGTGTGAGTAATTCGCCTCGAATAAGGTATCTTCCATCGAAGCTTCGTGAGCATAGGATGCCAAAGTGCCCTCGGGAAATTTCTCTTGAATCTCCTTTAAATATCTAGGGAATTTCTTCCTCCCCAGGTTATGAAGTGTCTCAAGCTTTGCAACAGCACCGGTTAGAACAGCAGGCGGTCTATTCAGCGTCCCCGTACGTCGGAATTTCCCTCCATCTTCGCTTTTTCCATAGTCCCATTGTACCACACCACCATGTTGACCCGCGGGTACACTGACTACGATATCCCCTAGTCTAATATCATGCTCCGGACTAGGTACCCCGCCTCCGATCCCAACCAGGAGACAAAACCTTAATTTTGTAAAGGTGGAAAACATCCGAACTGCGACCGTGGCGGCAGGGGTGGTACCCATTAACCCTTCTGGCAAACAGGCGATGACCACGTTATGAGGACCGATGCTCCCGAGGAAGTAGCTGTTGTCGTCGCTGGCTGGTGTGTCGAGATCTTCGTGGAACTTGTCTAGCATTGTACATGCCGCTGTGAATTCTTTGGTGAGGGCACAGACCCAACCCACTGTATATGCATTATGGTGTAGTTTTGGCCTGTCGCCGTCTAGGTCCATAGTGATTAGGGGATAATCAAGGACAATATTTGGGGACTAAGCGGCCGCGCGGGATAGATATAGATAGGTAATGATGTAAATGCGTATATCTCGAAGTTGGTAACGTTATAACCAAATATCAGATATAGCTAAGGCTGGTAGTACTAAATCTGAACTGCGCTGGAACAAGATGAAACGGTAGGATAGATTCGTATTATTTTGTTACTATACTCGCTGGACCTAAATGTCGACACTAGTACTTCTGTGGTGAGAAAAACTACCAGCGCAGAGGGGATATTTTGCTGTCTCGAAGGATTTTCGACAAAGCAGTGCAGCGGGGAATACTCCCAGGTCAGCGCTGATCATGATAGGGGGGGGCTCACCACGGCCGTATAACTTGGGGCTGGCAAGGCTATACACATTTGCAATTGCGACAAGGTTGCTCAGATAACACACTAGAATATGCATATGCATATGCATACTAGTTTGGCGTGCAGTGATTGGTAAGTATGTACATGTATGTACCAATCCTAATCGCTGCATTGTTCGATAAGTCCGGGGCAATTTTAAGAGAGGGACCCCTACCCCTGTTGCAGTCTGTAAAAAACCGATTTTTTAACTGCCCCCGCAGATATTAAATATGAGAAGTAACTGCTTATGAAGCGGATTCTTTTTTGTTCAAATTATCATAATCTGAATAGCTAGTTAAAAGGCTATGCTCGATTTTAGGGCGGCGCGCTTTAAATCTACAAAAAAAGATTCAATATTTCTAGCCTTCCATTGGTGAAGAAGTTTTTCGGCTTAAGAGCGTATTAATAGTACTGATAGCAGCAGTAATAGCAGCAGAAGCAGCAGGGTGGGCAATAGTGATTTTGCACGGGCCCAATTTGTAGTTGAGCGTTTGTTGTAGACGGGTGAAGCTTGGGAGGCGCCGTCTTTCTTGCCTGCGGGCTTATAGCCAGATGTTCTCACCTCCGGGGGAGGTGCGAAAGCCAATTTCTGAAGCCTTGAGATAAGTTCCAAGTAGCCGCTACATTCCCGGTCCTTAAAACGACAGACATTTAAATGGTCTGATGATATCCAGATAACATCTTCCTGTGGGTGATTCATCCACCCACAAACATCATCCACAATCTGGTGAGTAGGGAGAGGGTTGCGTCAATGGAGTGTCTTAGGCAAAAAAAAGCGGTGTCAGTGGTCTTACCCTAGATCTAAAACCGGGTGGGGTATTCTGTTCAATGCAGGAGATTATATGCATCGCTGCCGGGACCCTTTCTCTGAATCTTGAGGTTATACTATCCAGTAGTGGATAGTTAGTCCCTATAAAACCCCTCATTTGCACTCTGATGTCATTATCATCAGAAGCAACCATAGTTATCTCTTCCAATGCCTCAGAAAAGCTAGCTTTATGGGAAAATCGATGCGGGGTGCTTAGGAAGACAATTCCGCGTACACAGTCGCTTATTCCAGCGTAATAACTCAGATCGGTAGTGATTAAGTTTATCACCTATATATAAATTATTTCTTGACTTAGTACGTCTCGGAAACTCTGTAGGCGGTTTATAATATAATTTGCAGCGGTTAGTAGTACTTGCTTGACCAATATCCCACCAATACTGTGACCTAAGAAAATTACGGGTCGAGATTGTTCCTAAAAGGTGAGTCACCGGGAGTTAGCAATCGGTATTTTTCTGATCTTGAGGCGTCTAGTTCAATACTTTAATACTCGGTCGTTGAAAATTCAGCTCTAGCAAAATTGCGAAGGCGGTATTGTCCAATCCTTCAGCCGAAGAACCGAATGCTGTTGCTGATGAATAGCCGTAGGTGAAAACCCGGCATCCTGGTAAATCTTCAGGCAATAAATCCTGTAACCATAATGTACCATTCATATGTCTCCAAGATTCGTAGGCACTGCCGTTTATGCCGTGTATGGCGACGATGTCTACTGGGTATAGTATTTCTGTTTCGTCCAGCCGGTTAAATTGGTCTTCGTTAAGGAAGAAAAGGCCGTACTTTTCAGAATCATCTTGGTCGGCCATGGCTATCGAAAAAATAATTATAACATAATATAATTGATATAGCGGTGTAATGAGGGTTTTCGTGATGGGAGATTAATATTGGAAGAGGGTCAGAAGTATCAAGTTTAGTTTCTGTAACAAGCACAAGTATAAGGAAAAAGTAGGTCAGCCCTTGTGGGCCCATGGGTACGGCTGCAGATAAGGCCATGAGTTTTTGGATATCCCTGAGCTGATACCGGGTCTTGGATAGAAGCCAGAGAACCCTTCTGATACCGATACCTTATTTCAGCATTTTTAGCATTGGCATCGGATGTGCATCCGTAGGCGTAGGGATATCGGGATGTAGTGTGGTATCCTTTGGAGGATGGTGGCTTCTGCATGCAGTACAAGGAAATGCCAGCCGCCCCAAATCCTCGAATTTCTGAGAAATTCTCTTCAACAAAAGAAAAAGCGACAGAGTCGCAGCCAATCAATAGCGGATTCTATTCTCTGCTCACAGCGTTATTGCAAACCATGCATATCATATATACACCAGGAAGACAACAGTAGTTACTGACAGATGTGTTGAGTGACCTAGCTGTGGTAGAAAATTGAAGCCTGTATAATGTTACATAGACGCATGGCCGTGGATTCTATGGTCAAGCTTCGACGATATAGCGTGAGATTTCATGTTAGTAAAAGAAGTTGCCCTCTTCTTTTGAAGGAGGGCCTAGGGAATGTCTGTGCCAGTTTGAAGGAGGGAATGTCTATAAAGCCAACCCAATTCCTACCACAAGTCTAGAATAAATTTATAAACCGAATCAGTTCAAGGAATCATTCAATTGCAATATCCTGACATTCACACCTATATACCCACTTTAAATTATATATACATATATCAACAGCAAGTGCCGCTCGTCCCTAAAGATCCCTAGAACCCATGGCGTCTCCACCGGTTCAAAACCCAAGTTCAGAATAGTGAGTATTATGTAATGGTCGAGGATGCCTTGATTGGCATCTTACTTGAAGACTGAGTGGTTTAACTAACTGTTTTCTCATTTAGCCCGAACACCAACCAGCCTGGCGATGAAGAGGTACACTTCTGGCCAACCGATAGTCCCGAAGAGCAACAAAATTTGAGCGAGCTTCTCCAGTCGGACTTTGGATCCCTCGGGGTTCTGGGCGTTAATATGAATGGCCCCAGGGTAGTTTGTACCGGGTGTGGAAAACTCTCCGGTTTCGATGACGTTGTGTCAACGGCTCTTAAGACCGGTGCTCATACTGTGACGTATATGGTGGATGCTATTAGGAGCGGCAGGTTTCTCCCATCCAACCAGCATGAAAATGTATACTGCTACAAGTGCGGAGAGGCATGGCCGAAGAGATGGGGGTGGCCAAGATATGGGGGCTGGTTAGTGCGGGGTCCGGATCTCGGTTCTGATCTACAATTAGCTGAGTGAATTGAGTCAATGCCGTGCAACTTGACCGTTGTATTGACTGGGGAAAGAAGAAAAAGTGACTGGATTCATCATTGTATTGGCTACTCTACCACATCAAAAATTACGTGGTATTCTGTATTAGGCTCAATCTATTAGTTATTCTAGTTTTTGATTTTGAGTTACGCCTACTCTAGGAATTCCCTAAACGGGAGCACTCAAGGTAGCTTAGTATTTGTATTTTATTTATTAACTTTGGTTAATTAAATCTCTTATAATTATATTGCAAATTCTATCTTCCCATGCATATCGGGAAGATGTAAGTCGGCTTACTTTGCTAAAAAAAACACTCTTATTGATACTTATATCTATGACTTATACAATGGTAGAAAACACGTAGAATGATTTGAGTTTTTTTCCTTAAGATATATTTTACGATGGAAAGGGAGAGGTTAGTTGGCTATAACAGAGTGGTATCAATTGACATAATTCCTGCGGTATGAATTCATACTTTTTAACTACACTGCCCTGATCAGCCTTGTTTTGGCAATCAAAAAGAATACCGCACAAGACTAGACAGTGATTGAACTGTGTATTTGGGGTTATAAACCCCCATTCCCAGATCTCTCACCCACAAAGCCTTCAGTTTAGGACTTCCTCGCTATCGTGGATACCGCCGATCCTGCTGTTGCAAATTCCGGGGTGCGGCTGGTGGTAGTATTCTTGTCCATAGAATCGGGTGCATCCGCCCAGACGTCTGGATCGGGGAATTTCATGTGCTTAGTTATTTCTCCGACGGTCTTTTGGATGATATGGGAGGTTTCTTCTTGCTCTTCTGGGGCTTTTGTTGTAAATTTATTTCTAGGAGGGCTGGTGATTGTGGCGGTGATGGCGGCGGTTTGGTTGATGATTTCTAGGTCTTCATCCGAGAAACTACTTTTTGGTGGTTGTGATGATGAAGTGGTTTCTTTTGTATCTGCCTCTTGGGATTTAGATTGAATTGTACTTGTATAATCCGGCAGTTTACTCCAAAACGAAGCTGGTGGCGCCGACATCGGTGGTTGAGACGTTGAATTGCCAGAAGTAGTGGTAGTATTATCAAAATCATAAAAATCATTCGCCCAGTTTCCGCTAAAACTCGAGTTTCCGGAGAGGTCGTCGCAGTATGTTCTCCTTCCGTTGATATACCCTCCTCCTTTTACTACGATAATGGGAGTAATGGGTAATAGCTTTGTTCGTCTGGATTGTGGGATGGAGACTGGGAGGATACGTGGTGGGAGGTGGATATAGCGGACTCCTACACCCCGAGAGAGGGTTCGGATCGCTAGACTGAAGGCATGTCGAGGCATTGTGAGGGTTTTTGTCCTTCCCTTCTATTTGCTTTGTTTTCCTTGATTCTGATGGATATGATGGTTAAGGAGAGTAGCTGGTTTGGCGATGTGGTGACGATGATGATGATGGGTGAGTTAAGGTTCGTTTGGTTTGGCTGTGAGGAGATGTGGTTGGAGAGAACCGGTGAGTTAGTTTTATATATAGGAATTTTGAAGATCATCGTTTGATTGGGGGACGAACCACGTGCCTGAATTGAGTTAAAGATCGGGAACTCTGTTCGGGATTACTTCCAGAATTGCACTTCTTCGGACTTTGGATTCTTGTATTTCGGGTTTATAATGAGTATAGATGATCTTGAAGTAATATATTATAAGAAGAGACGTCGTGAGATAAGGAAGTGACGTCTACGGATGAGGCCAAATTTACGACAACGCATCCGCATTGTGGTATTTTGAAGAGGCTGGCCTGAAGGACCTTAGCTTTGGTGCTGCGTCCTACAACTATTAGAGTTCGATATATGTATCTTGAGTACACTTTTGACTCTACTATACTATACTCTTAAAATTGTATACTGTAGGGACTGAAGATGCTAATTTTGAAGACTATAGTAGATAGAGAATACAGTATTGTATGGGCGATGAAAAGACAATATATATTGCGAAAGGGATACAGCAATATAAGACTCAGACTCAAAATCACATTATAAGAGTCATACACTAGAGTATTTATTCCATGTATTATTTAAATAAAAATATTTCTTCGAATCTAGATTAGACTTTAACTCCAATGATCATGACGTCGTCTCTCACTCAGCTTGAAGTTAAGGTTGTACTTTGTGGTAGTTTGACCTTAAAATGTGTTGCCGATGCCCGAGCCTCGGCTGCCGCATTAACCCTGCAAGTTTTCTCCAAAACCCCTCTACTAGCGCTAGTACTGGAATCCCCAGACTTCCTACCTGATAATATACTAACTTTACAACCACCGCGATATATACCCTCTCAGTTTAATTGTGATTCACAAAGATGACGGACTTCCCACCTATGCAAAATGATTTACTCCTCCGTGCCGCCAGAGGTATGTTACCTTCTATTTCGTCATTACGTGAACACCCCGCTGACATCCGTACTTTTTCCGTAGGCGAGCCGGTCGAACGTCCCCCAATGTGGGTAATGCGGCAAGGTGAGCGCCCTCATATTATAATCCTATAACCCCGACCCTACTCATGCTCAATAACCTAACCACCCTTCCCATCCTCTCAAGCTGGCAGATACCTCCCGGAATACCATGAAGCCAAGGGTAAAAACGACTTCTTCGCCGTCTGTCGAAACCCCAAACTTGCCTGCACCATAACCCTCCAGCCGGTACTTCGGTACAAAAACCTTCTCGATGCCGCCATTATATTCTCCGACATTTTAGTCATACCTCAGGCAATGGGTATGACTGTAGAAATGATCGAACACAAAGGACCTTCGTTTCCAAACCCGTTAAGGAAACCAGAGGATTTGGAGAAGTTGAATGCGAATGTGGATGTTAAGAAGGAATTGGGATATGTTTTTGATGCTATTAGTTTGACGAGAAGGGAGTTGAATGGGTTGGTGCCTTTGATTGGGTTTAGTGGTGCACCGTGGACTTTGATGAGTTATATGATTGAAGGTGGGGGGAGTAAGATGTTTATTCAGGTTAAGACTTGGGTGTTTAGATACCCGGAGGAGAGTAAGAAGTTGTTACAGATGATTACGGATGTCGTGGTGGAGTATTGTGCTGAACAGGTGGTTGCTGGGGCTCAGGTACATTACAACCATATTAAACTACTGACTTCAGGGGATAGAAAGCTAATTGAGAATACAGTTGATCCAAATCTTCGACTCCTGGGCCGGCGAACTTAGCCCTTCGGATTTCAAGATCTTCTCCCTCCCATACCTCCGACAAATCTCCAAACGTCTTCCAGAGGTTATCAAATCCAAGGGAGCGGAACCGGTCCCCATGACCGTCTTTGCCAAGGGTGCATGGTACGCCCTCGACGATCTCTGCGATTCTGGATATGATGTTGTCGGACTCGATTGGCTACATGATCCAGCGGAAGCAGTTAAGATTGCGAATGGAAGAGTAACGCTTCAGGGAAATATGGACCCTGGTGCACTATACGGCACTCGTGAAGCTATTACGAATGAGGTCGAAAGGATGATTGGTGGATTTGGAGGCGGGAAGCAGAAGTATATTGTTAATTTGGGACATGGTATTACACCGTTTGTGGACCCTGAGGATATGAGGTGGTTTTTGGAGGAGGTTAAGAGGGTGGGTAGTTTAGAGGCGGGAGAGGGGTTGCCGGCTACTTTGATATAAGGGATGGTAGGATTGGATACCCATGATTTGGAGGAACTGTACATACATATAATCGGGCTGCAAGGCGCTCGGACATACACTCGATATATTTAGATATATCTAATGAATCACCACATAATCACTCTAACACCGAATACTTTCCAGGTTATTGGATATATTGGTTGCTTGATATCAACTATAACTATAGCCCTAGTGAAACCGTCACAACGTGGTAGAAATACAATAATCCAAATTAATTATTAGAAATAGACTTTTCAGTTTGGTAGTAACCAGACCGCACATGCTTAATCGTCCCTCAAGATATCCTGACCCACCTCTCCACTCAACTTAACCCCCTTCAACCCCTTCGCCACTTCAACCGCCTCCCCTTCTTCCTCCTCACCCAACCTCTCCCCACTAACTCCCGAGAACTCTTTCATCCAATTGAAAACCTCACGATGCCATACAAGACTATTCTCCGGCTTCAATACCCAATGATTCTCATCCGGGAAAGTCAACAGTTTGCTCTTGATACCCTTGATTTGGAGAACATTGAACGCTGCCAATGCCTCACTGATCGGGATTCGATAGTCCTTCGAACTATGGATTATCAACATTGGGGTGGACCAGTGTTTGACGTGACCGAGGGGGTTCCAGCGTTCAAAGTGTTCCCGGTGGTCGAAGATTTGGCCTTTGAACTATATATTCCCAATTTATTAGTATCACTAGTCCTGTAACAAGGCCATCAAGAAACAAGATAGGAAAGCTCACATCATGATCAATAAACCACAACTCCTCAGTCGCATACATATTCAACGTATTAAAAATTCCGTCATGACAGACCAACGTCTTGAACTTTTTCGCAAACGGCTGCCCAGCAATCCAATTAATCATATACCCACCGTAACTCGCTCCAGCAGCAATAGCGTTCTTAGTATCGATGAAATCTCCATAATGTTTTTCAAGGTATGCGAACCCTAATTCTAGATCCCTGAAGGGTCGACCACCCCAGTGGTTTTGGATCCTATCGGTGAAGTCTTTACCGTATCCTGTGCTGCCCGTGGGGTTGAATGCGACTACAACGTAGCCTTGTTCTGCCATTACGGCGGGATTCCAGCGGTAACTCCATCCATCATTCCAGGCGCCCTGGGGACCGCCGTGGATAAGGAATAGTAATGGGTATTTCTTTGAGGAGTCGAAAAACGAGGGTTTGATAATCCAGGCGTGGACTTTATACCCATCTGAGCCCGGGTAATAGAAGTCGGAGACTTGACTGCGGGAGAGGCCGTGCCAGGTTCCTCGTTCGGTAGAAGCAGGGGTATCATGAAGTTTTGTGAGAGGAGAAGTTAGATCCTGGACTTTTCCATCGGTGGCGGAGATGATGAGGTAGAATGTTGGACTTGTGTAAGAGGAAACGGACACAAGGAGGTTTTCGGAGTCTCCGATGACGTAGAGGTCGTTCGCGGAGAATTCTGATGTGATTGGGGTAGGATCCAGGCTTGGTTTTGAGGCCGGGGCGGTGGAGATGATTGGGAGGATCCAGACTTTTTCTCTACCGTGGTCTTCACCGATTAGGTAGAGGTAGTTGTTATTGGCAGACCAGGTGACTGATCCTGGAGAACGGTCCCAGTGTTTAGCAACTTGTGTGATGACGAAGTTGTAGTCTTGAGTGAACTCTGTGATGAAAATCTCGTTTTTATCGGCTTCGTATCCGTTTTCTCTCATTTGGAGGTATACCACTTTACTACCATCCGGCGAGAAGCGCGGGGAGATAGTAGCGCCGTGATACGGGTTTATAGCCTTAGGTTCGGAACCACCGGTGAATGGGACCGCGTAGACGTATGTAGCAGTATTCTGCGCGAGATCCAACTTTGGAGCCTTTGATAAAAAGATAACATTTTTTCCATCCGGAGAGATATCGAAATCACCAGTGCCGCCGAATGGTCCAACTGGTGATTCGAGCTCTGTTCCGTGAAGGAGATTTGTAAGATCTCCTACTACCTCGAAGTCGCCGGTGGTGCCGCGGGCGATGACACCAGAAAAGAGGTTTGATTTGTATTCTGAGACCCATTCGTCCCAATGTCTGACGAATAGGGAGGTGTAAACTCGACCAGAAGAATGTTTTTTGGGAGCTGTATCTGCAGAGTAGATCGAGCCGTCTTTGAAAGCTGGAGCAGAGACTATGAAGTATATAGCCTCACCGACAGCTTTGAACTTGAGGTTTGAAACCTCACCGGGGAATTCATACACCTTTTGGGATTCTTGAATAACATTTTCGACATCATTCGTGGCTTTCGAAATCCATAGTTCTGATTTCGTTCCGTTGGCCTTGAGATATCCAATGTAATCACCGATTCCGAGCCATACGGTCTCTGCTACACTTTTATCATCCCATAGCTTTGTAACTTCACCGTTGGGGACGGTGATGTCGACCACATGGACGCTCTTGGTAGAGTCATGTTTGTCAAAACTGTATTTTGAAGACGAGAAGAGTGCAAGTGTCTAGGCCATTCATTGCATTACACCGTATTAGTTTTGGGGATTTGATTTTAGGTTTGTGAGAAACTAGAAGATACAACGTACCCCTGCAGGATTTGGTACTGCACTAGATAATCGGGGAGATCCGAGAAGCTTCCTAACGCCGTATGTCATGATTAGTTTTATGTATAGAAAGACTGTATTTCTTGATGTCGTCTAGGAAAGAATTATATCGAGTTCTAAAACTTAAGATTTAGACATCGACGTCTGGGGCGAGGGAGGGACTTGGAATATATATATACTCCAATAGGTACCAGGTACCCGATGCAATGCAATCCTCTTAACCGACGTGTTCACACCCAAACATCATGTGGAGCTCCGATAGAAAGGAAGGTGCATAAACGATGCATAGATTCATCAACAATCTACCGACGAAATAAATATAATTGAAAATAAACTTACTTGAAGCTCACAATAGGTCCTCCATCCCCTCCTAATGCACGTGCACAGACAGCACTCGCACAAGTTAAAACGGAAAGAAAAGTCCACTTCATATTGTGGTGTCCAATTCCAGTTCTACAGCAGCTGGACTCGGTTTACTTCAGTCAAAATAAGTTAAAGGAAAAGGAATTGAATTCGATTCCCCGGATTTCGGGGCGGTTCAGCTCGCAATTGGTGGTGCACGCTGACGACATTGGCTTGCCCGTTCTGGTTGACCTCTTCTTTCCCAGCCATCCGCTTAATTTACCGAAGCGAACAAGCCCCCAACCTCCGTTCAACACATTTTGGGTGTGGTATTATTGACCGCTTCATGCACCTATTATCCTCTCTGGGATACCAAGGTCTCCAGTGGCCACATATGCATGTGGCCACAAGAATAAGAAAATCGGGTTCCTCGGAAGTTTAACATCTATCTCACGGTAAAGACCGCGCAATTTGTGACCCAGGTTATCTTTCCTACTTTCTCACAAGATCACCATTCCTCAGATCGAAATTCAAGCTGATGCATCCTGCAAGGTGTGCACTGGCGCTCTTTTTTTTAAACCACTATGCGGGGCGTTGAACCAATGGTGGGGGTGGATTCCACATTCAGGAAGTGCGACCGCACACGGGTCCCTTTCCGATTGGGGATTAGCACTTCCTCGATAAGTTACTAGTACAAAATGGATGGAGTTTTTTTTTGTGAGAGGGTCTTCTGGTTGGTCAATCAAGCAAGGGGATCGATCGAGACTCGGAACCTCCTGTGGGTTCCACAAAGTGGATATAAATGAGCCCCTCCCTTCTCCTCACCCTCTTCTCGGGCTTCCTATGGAGTGAATCTTAACATTCGTAGACGATTTTTAATCGTGTCCTTTTAATTCGGTCGAGGGTATTGGGGTTATATATATAAACATACATTATGTCGGAAACTTCGGAAGAACCGTTTGATATCGAGGCTGAACGGTTTTTGGTACAACTTCAATTGGCACTGAAATTGCTGACTTTCGAATGGGAAGCGAATCTTGAACTGTTGGCTACGAAATTACAGGAGCTATGTCAGAAATATCTTAAACACCTCGAACAGGTTAAATCCTCAAAACTGTCGAATGGTGTTTCGGATGTTTTGGTAAATGGAACGAATTCGAACGGTGGATCTCAGAATTCGACGGTGGATGTTTTGGTCGCGCCGGATGTACCAGATGCTGATTCTGGGAATGGGGAGACTGTAGAGTGAGGATTTTTATTTATTTTATTTTATTTCTCCCTTGATCGTTGAAGATTTGTTGACCGGGGGCTCTAATTTTGGCTTGGGTCTAATATGGTGATAATATAAGATCGAACGAAATATCCGCGTCGAAAGTAAATGGCCTTGACACTAAGAAATCCGATGCCGATGATTCAACAAACGGCTCTGAGCTTTCAAACAACCAGATATACAACGAAAACCTATCGCAAGAATCATGTCATCTGATAATTTCCAACCCAAAGTTCCGAAACAAGAACAGTAATGACGGGTACAAGGATTGGATAAACGAAAACTTACTTAGCGTTATTGATTTGGCCCTTAAAAACAAGTCGGTTCGGCCAGAAGACGATGCAGAGATTGACATTAATGAAGAATATGGGGACTATACTTTCACCTATAGTGACGACACAAGTTCAGAATCAGAGACTTCACATCTTTATGTATATTTTTGACTCCCTCCCCCAATCTTGCACCGGAGATTGAGTAACGTTACTAACAAATATCAAAACCCAAGATCTGCCTAGAAAATCTTACAAAAGCCCCCTTGACCGTTGAAAGCGTTCAATGTCTCCTGCAAAATACGTTATACCCATCCACAGAAACGATATCCAAATTCCCAGGATTCACAGGGACGGAATTAATTCCGGTTCCAAACACCGAGTTTCAAGATATTTGGGATCGAGAAACTCTTGCGGAGTGGTACAGAGGTGCTGCACTCCTTTGGGATGGAGAACCTTTTGTTCAAGATCCGGCTGCGAAGGGTGGAAGTGGCGGTGGTGGTCTGCCGCCTGTTGCGGGGTATGCATGCTTACCTAGAGTCTATCTAGTCCCTCATAATGGATGTATATCCAGTATTTGACTTATAGGCTCTCGGCTGACCTATCTAATGGGGAAACTGTAGTCTTGCAGGAGGCTTGTTAGGCGCAATACCTCTGAGCACCGTAGCAAAGTCCGCCGCAGCAATAACAGATGTATCAGCAATAACCGAAGTTGCAACTAACAGAGCCAAATCCGACGGTGGAACCAAGAAAGAATCAACAATTGAAGCTAAAGTGGAGGCGAAAGACCAAGATGGCACACAGACAACGGTTGAAGCTAAGGTGGAGGTAACAGTATCTGAAGTTCCTGATACTGCAGATGAAGGAGCTACTACTCCTACCACGCTAGATTCTACAGACGCAGGACCTTCAACTTCAACTTCAACTTCAGCGATCGAAGCGGTCGTTGAAGCGATTGTTGAGGCTGGTTCGGAGGAACTTAAGGAGGCTATAGTAGAATCAACGGCTGCGATACAAAAGTCTGAGGCGGCGTTAGTCGAATCCACGGTAGCGCTCGCAGAAACACAAACGTCATTAGTAGAATCTGCGGTCGCACTCGGTAAAACGGAGGCAGCTCTCGCGGACTCAAAGGCGGCGGCTACCGAGGTTTTGGAATCGAAGGCCGCTTTGGTTACTTCTGCGCTGGATCTTGGAAAGTCTAAGGATTCACTTGTTAAATCTGCGATATCGTTGGGGAAATCGAAGTTTTCGTTGTTTGGAACTGTATTGAAGTTTGTGGATAAGACTGGGGAAGCCTTCGGTGTGGATTTGATAGATGATAGTCTTTATGAGGATGGACCGGCGAATGGGGGAAAGTTAACCGGATGGGATAAAGTGAAAAGCGAGGTAAGTCCAGATCTTGATATTCATTGTTTCAATTTAGTGGACTTTTCGACCCACGTTCAGCTATTTACGTTATTTTCTACCAGTTCCCATGTCCATTCGACTACCCGCCAGATAAAGAATACAAACTAAAATTCACCAAATCAATCGATGACTGCCTCCCATCACTCACAAGCGCAGAGGAGGCACTCTCCAAAATCATCGATACCCACTCTCCTACCTCGGCTCCCCCATTTTCCGTAACATCGATACCAGGTCGCTACATATTGAATAGATTCTTGATCGCAACTCACAGAATTGTAATCACATATATCTGCAGCGAGAACGTAGTTCGATATGTCACGGGTATTGAAGCAGATGCCGCTGGAGGTTCAATGATGTCTTCTGGATTAGATGGAGTGGAAAAAGTGCTAGGCTTTATGGGACCTAATCCGGCAGCTATGGCTGCAGCGGGCGTGCTAAAGGCGGGGAGAAACATGGCAGAACAAAAGAAGAAGGATGCGGCAGCGGAGTTTCAGCGGAAGTGTAAGTTTACCATATAGTCCCGCTTCTAAACGCACAGTGGCCTAATAGCTTTGAACCTTTACTAGCCAAAACACTTCTACGAAAACTATGGTTCTTAACAACAGAAGTCCATGCTTTCCTATGGTTTACAAAACCCCAAGCTGGCGGAAGATACGAATTCGACACAGCATTTCATAAAGCTTCGTGGAGGCTTGTGAGAGAGAATAGAGCGGGTATATATGCCGATGAAGAGAAGCCACGGTTGACGACTGATGTATCTGAAGATTATTTTATCTACTTACAAGAGCAGACGCTGATGTTGAGGGAGTATACGAAAGAGTTGGAAGTACAGGCAAAGGAGATGATGGAGGATTTAGAGAAAGCCTTTTAGATCTGGGGTACAACGTGGAAGAGTAATTTCTAAAAAAATTGCAATTCTTGGAGTACACTGGGGGTAATGCAATATGGGAAGGGTAATGCTGGTCGTTTCCAGTGTACGGACGGAAGATGTAACCGAAAGAAAATCTAGAGAAATCTCTTTGGGTATTTTGCAAGCTGCAATAGCTGTTGACGCGAGATAAATTAGTATCCTTCATATAATATAGTAATCGCTTGGTTAACAATAATTTAGAAGGTGTAGCAACATACACTTTCAGCAGCACTCAAATCGTCCACCGCTTGATTACATGTCTCAAGTTTGCCAAAGCGGCTGAATCCCTCCTTCAGATCCCGATAGCTCGGCAAGTTCGTAACGATACAGTGCTCCGCCGGGATAATAGTGGGCATTTCTGGCTCGTGTGTCTCATTCTGGACTGATCTTTTGGAGGGAGAGATTAAAATAGGTTCGGGGTTCATCTCTAAGCCTTCTTGATATGAGAGCTGCATTATGGAAATCTTCGGGGCCGTACTATTTCGTAAATTTGGTATGGAATATGTTGTAGAGGTAAGTATTATTATTATCAGGAGTAAACAAAATTGGTTCCCGATCGGTTGGGGAGAAGATGCTTATGGACGAGCTCGAGGGACGTCGAGTTCCAGTAGATATACTTGGGAGATATACTAATAAAAGCAATAGCACAATGGGGCAAAGGTTTATACTTGACACGGATATGATACTAGGGCAATCATAAGGCTGTAGAGCAACATTTATCACTAGGTCTTTACGATACTATATAGCTATAGCAATCCAAATAATACTAACTTGTGTGACCATTAGAAGTTACTAAAATCCGACTTAATGGCAAGGTGTTCCAAATATATCTTGGATCCGCAAAAATTCAGTCTTATTTGGATATCATGGATAAGAAAGAACCAGGGGTTGATAATATTGCCCGCACCAGCACCCCAGCACACACAACACACTTTACTGTGGTATTTTCTTCGCGGTCGACGAGGAGCCTGTGCCGGGCGGGCGGCGCTCAATGACCTCAGACTATTATCCTACACAGAAATTCTATTTTCTAACTTGAAATATGACTCAATACTATCTTACTCATAGTTTTTTGAGTTCTAGGATGCTCTTTTCCTGCAAAATCCTAGTACTAGAGAGGCGAATATCTCCTCACCAACAACAAACCCCGGAGGGCGCTTAGGATGCACGAAGCGAGGCTGAACGATTGCCCTCGCATTAATCACAAGGTACACCGCACTGGTGGCGCGGGTAATCTAGTACGTGGACGGCTTGACTCCTTGAGCTTCTTCGTTTCAGCTCAACGGGAAGCCTAGTCCTTTTAGGTGACTGAAAACGCCTCGCTACGGGATACCCGTTTGGTTTTTTCATGAATGGTGAATTGAATTGGGTTAAAAACATTTTGGAATTGTAAATATTCGAACTGCTCTTTTTATGCATTATATTTCTTTGTGAGATGGCGAAACTTAAAGGCAACGGTTCAAGTATTAAAGCAAATGTTCAGAAAGCTTAGGCCTACATAGCAGAAATTAATATCGATAGTAAAATATAAAAATACCTTGAGGCTGTTAGGCATTTCTAAGTATTGTGGGTGTGGACATTTATATCTCAACCAATAAATAGAATTAATTCAGCAGTTCAACGATGATATCTATCTTTCAGCATAAAGAACAGCGCCGCTGCATATTCATGTCAGCCAAAGTGCAGAAGTTTTCAAGGAACGCTATGACAATAGAGGCGGGCCGTCTTGGAATTTTGGGACGACCAATTACCTCCAATAGATTGAATATCAAAGATACATTTAAACTCTCGTTACGAGAACTTCGCTTGTACAATCGGATCCTTTGGGACTTGTGAAGATAGCTGATCACTAACGAAACATAAGATTTGTCAGATGAGGGAGGGTGGGGGAAGGGAGGGAAGAATATATCAATTGTGCCGTCTGCAAGATATAAGACTCTAAGCTTCGTAGGTATAAGTTACTACCTAGCTACAAAACTTTTCTTTTTCTTTTGCGTTTCGTCTCATAATAGTATGCCTTGGATTCATAGATTCAGACAATAGAGCCTACCTTCCTTCTTGTCCCGTGTGTGTCTATATCGGGGGCTCCGGTAATAGTTCCGCAATGATCGCATCTAAATTGCGGAGAACTGTGTAGGAGCTGGGGTATACATTAGAATCCTGTATGTATCGTAGTTGCAGTCGTTTTCTTGCTTTTGTTATGAGGCACCTTGAACGCAAGTTTCGCTCTCGTCTACTAAGTATATTGCTTTTAATTGACATTCATCCTGGCAATATTGAGCGATGGGCATCAGCCTGGGATGAGGAGGCCGCAGAACAAGTCACCATGCATAGCCTTCAGAACGCCGAATCGATCGATCAGTTACATTTGAAACTTCTAGGTTTCTTTTCTTAGTTTCTTACATTTTTAGAGTGTAGCTACGTAGGCAGATGATATGGATCTCCTGGAGCAAATGTAAAGCCTGTCCGTCAAAGGATGCAATTCCATACCTGCTTGACGATTGGTGGAAGGCACTTTAATCCTATGTTCTGCTTAGCTTTGTCCCCAGCTGGACAGGTGGTATTGAGGAGAGGTTTTCAAGCTAACCACCAGTTCATATAGCTGCTAGAGAGCCCACACTTATATATAATGCAGAACCAAATCCACGAAAGTTAGCTCGGGTTTATAGCTATCAGCACTGTTCAACATCCCTCAATACTACATACCTCCACCTATGTAATTTAGCGCAAGTATTTAGACTTATCCTTTTCAGTTTACAACGTTTAATCACTCTCACACGTATATTTTAGGTTCTTAACTCGAGTTTGAAGTCATGGAGAACAATTCGGTACCATCTAATACTCAGAGCCCCGCTATCACCACCATCGATATTCAAATCGGACCGGAATTACTGGTCCAACTTTTAAGGCCTGCCTCTATTGTTTCGCTAGGGGGTTCTCCTAGTCTTCCCATAGATGGGGATACTCCGCTTCGGATATGTCTCCCCGTTGGGGAGCTACTGAGATATCTCCTAGCGAATCAAGGGATACCGCCTTCGGGAAATAGTGGTGCGTCTGATACTGAGGCTCCTCAGGCGTCTGATACTGAGGCTCCTCGGGCGTCTGTGGAAGCGAGAGGTAACTATATATCCTGCTTGACACCAAATATAATGGGTAGAAGATATACTAACGGGATACCGATATCGGGAATTTATATCATCAGATGCCAGTAGCGAGGCTCTTGATCCTTGCATCCCGGGTCCTAGCACCCATGAACCTCCAAACGATACTCCAATAGCAGAAGGTAGTATCGATATACTCCCTACTCCTAATATCAAGTTCCGGCGAGTAGGTGTTCGCGGGAATAGGATCCATGTTGCCGAAGACAAAGCTCTTGCGCAAATAAAATCCGAAATCGCCATGGCTAGTCATAACTCCAGCACTGCAGCTTCTAGCAGTAGGCTGACGGAGCCGGGTCAAATGCCGACTCAAAACGAGGGTCCTCCAGCTACCCTCGAAACTCCTGCCACTCAGGAATTAAGTCCTGAGAACTTGGTACAAGGTCAAGGACTTCCGGAGTATATTCCTGAAGAAACTCTTTCCGCCATAACTAGTGGCAATATCGACACCTTTGAAGGTATTGTGGATAATGCTTTCGATCTATCATACACTCTTTCTAGCCCTGGAATATCTTCGCCGTCATCTCAATCCCTCCCAAACTCTACCGAGGGTTCTACCCAAAACACCCAAAACTCTGAGGCTAGAAGAGATGCCTTAGAAAGTTCGACAGATTTTTTAGAGTCAAACTTATCGTCCGTCCCTATGTTCTGGCAGAAATTCGTGCGGTCGGTAATCGATTTTCCAAGCCGAGTGCAACCTATCGTGGTGAGTAGTGTTGTCCCGTTTGTAAACAGCGTTGATAGTATATAGGCCTAACTTGGGACAAACAAACGTTATTTTAGGACGGTGTACCGTGGTATAAAATCAGTATCGCCATAGCCATTGTTTTGTTTTGTGTGACTAAACGGTGGGTTACGAAGGCTCAATTTATGACAATAATGACCATTTTACAGACTGGAAGCAGTCTATTTGAGTATTTGAGGGATGTTGGTTTTCCCGAAGTGTGGAATAGGCAAATGTCCTCAACACAGTTGAGGAGACTGGCGACGAGACAAAGGCAAATGCAACTAGCTTAGGTAGGATTAGAGAAGGACTTTGTTTTAACTGTTTCGATCCTGAATTAATTTCTGAATAAGTTGTCGAATCAGATTGGGAGTGTTTTATTTGTTTGGTTTACATAGATGTGCCTTTTATTATGTGATCGGGATAGTTTTGTACTGTATTTTTGTCCCCCCCCCAGATATTTACAGTTATTATTGTTGTGCTTTATTCTCGGAGTAAACCTATAGATACAATAATATAAAAGTGCAATATTTTGTAATACTTCCAATGTGTCTTGCACGTGTATATGGAGTATTAAGCGTATATATTCTCAAAAGAAAAAATGGTTAACTTTACAGCGGAGATGTATTAAAGTTTATTCGAGTTTCATCTCCTGCTCCCATCTTCTCTCAACCATTCAAGCTCCTTTTTTTCATCCTCAAAATGGCCATCCTCAATTGAATGTTTCATCGCCAACCCTAAATCTATTAGCCGCATATGGCCTTGCTCCGATACCGCAAAGTTGTCTGGCTTAAGATCGCCATGAGTTATCCCGCAACCGTGGAGTTTATCGAGGATATTGTTCGCTTTCTCCCAGTCGTCTCGAGAAAATTTCTCCCCTTTGACCGCAGTTCCAGAGTTTTCCATAATGAAGACCCTTAGAAGGCCCCATACAGTCCTGACGGCATATACCGTCGGTAGGAACTTCCCTTGCAGCATGCGGCGTTCCTTGTATCTAGGTATCGTAAACGTTATTTCCAGGTACTTCGCAAGAATTATAATATGTAGTTATTCCACTTTGGGTTATAGAGGGGGATTGCTTACGCGTTTAGTTCACGATATGATTGACGGGCTGTTTCAGGATCTGACAAATCATACATCTTTAAAACTATATTTTGTAGTTTAATCGTACCGTTCGTTTTATCCAAGACACATCCGGTCATAACACTCGCGATCTGGACAGATAGTCGTATTTCACGCCGTAATAGCATATCTCGCCAATCTAGTAGGTTCATCATCACTGACAAACTCCATATCGGCATCAAAATCCAGTAGATATTGATTTTCTTTGAGAAACGGGTGAATATCCGCAAGAGGTGATCGAAGAAACCATTCTTGCGTTGTCATATAATGGCACAAATATGTTAAAGCCGCTATTGGGCTTTCGAGACCCGTATCAGAGTATTTGAAAATTGGAGAATATCCAATTTATGATTTGATAGTCGTCGGAAAAAGAATGTTGCATTATAGTTAGATAGGACTCCGAATTGGAGGTTGTTGAAGCATAAGTATGTATATATTTGTTGGATGGCTTTTGTATATTTGTTGTTAGGATCTGATTTGTGTTCGTTGAACAGATCTTTTAGGTTTGATGGTAAGGGAAGATCCCATGATGTTTTGAATTCTATAAAGAAGCGTCCTATTGGCGGAATGGGATTTTTTTGGCTGGGAATTCGGTTCCTTTGTAAGACGAAATACTCTATCAGGACTACCGATGTTAAGAATATGTTTGCTCGAATTGAATTGGCCCGAGATGCCGAATGTATCCTCTAGAATCCACTCGGTAGGTGCCTCGAAAGCGACCAGAGTACAAGAGAGTGCATCTTGCTTGCTATGAACACTTCTTGGCTTTAATTGAACGGGGAGAAGATTTGGACCCTAATCAGGATTGCCATATTAGTTAAGCTGTTGAAATTATTGATTTATTTTGGATGGGTGATATACTTCTCTATCGAGATACGGGGTTAGTAGCGCTTTGATTGAATTCTTTATATCGTTCCATTCTTCGATATCAATGTGCAGATTTCTTGGGTTCGCGAGAATAGTTGTTTCTGTTATTGTTTTGTATTCGTCTGCGGTTAATGGAGGTCCTTTGGTCGAGGCGAAGAAGTCACGGAGCTTCATTTTGGACCGCCAGACCTAGCTTGTGAATCGCCCAGTGCAGCCTTAGTCAATTTGGGCTGCACAGAGCTGGCGGGTTGTAGATTGATAGAGAAAGAAGGGGAGTTTGCTGAAGGCTACAGGAATATCATATATTCAGGATATTTATACTGCGCACCTCGTGTCTCCCAGAAACTCACTCAGATCTTTGCGTTACGAGACTGGATCTTTCCCAATAGCATAATGAAAGCTCAAATTTTGTGTTGCCTGTGGTTGATTCCAAATGCGGTTAGCGTGTTGGTCGTCAATGTGCTAACCAGAAGTGGTCTAGTTCTCGAATCGACGCGACCTACTTCATTACCAAGCATCCAAGTTCAACTTGAAGTTCCATTCAACTCCATCATCAATTCAACTATCATGATGGCCACCTCAACTACAGCCACCACAACGATGACCACCAAGCCCTCCGACGAGGTCGAATCTCGACCTACACCCGTCGCCGATGCAGTTCTAAAACCCTACTCCATGAACAAAGCCGCAAAGTTCAGTTTCCTGCCATTCTTAAAGAAAGAATATCGCTTTGGTCTCGACCCGAACCGCGATGTATGTCGTCTTTTCCTCGCAGGACATTGTCCGAATGGGAATGCATGCCCTGATAGGCATACTGTTGGAACTGCCGGGTTGAATAAGTACATCTCTCCCTCCTAGCTCATACCCACTGTAATTCTTGTACTAATGCTGCTGTGTTCTGTTTTAACTTAGTTTGGTGTGTAAACATTGGCTCCGAGGTCTCTGCAAAAAAGGCGATGCCTGCGATTTCCTACACGAATACAACCTCCGTCGAATGCCTGAATGCTCCTTCCTAATTCGTTACGGGTACTGTCAAAACGGTGACGATTGTCTATACTTCCACCCAGACCCCGAAAACCGCACTTCCTTGTGTCCTCATTACGAAAACGGGTTTTGTCCGTTAGGACCCACGTGTGCTAAGAAACATGTCAGGAAGAATATTTGCAAGTTTTATTTTGCGGGGTTTTGCCCGGATGGGAGGGAGTGTAGGGAAGGAGCGCATCCGAAGTGGAATACGGACTTGGGCGAGTTGACGGTTAAGGTTGAGGGGGAGAGGAAGAGGTATAATGAGAGAGATGTGACGGATGATGATATGGGTGTCAAAGGGAGAAGGAAGTTTCAACATCCTGATGGGAGGGATAGAGATGGTGGTGGAGGTGGAGGAGGGCAAGGTGGTGGACAAGGAGGACAAGGGAGACGACGATGGGGCAAGGGAAATTATCAGGATCGTGAGAAACAGAATTAATTTCTTTGTTAAGAACTGGTATCTTTTGGTGAATTATATATTTGGCGTTTAACGGGTTTGTATAATACTCTTCTAGCTGGTTTTCTCTCGATACCCTCACAGCGAAAATTGAAGCGCTTGTAGTTAATTTTGGTATATCAATCTCTAGTCCCGTTCCCCGCAACCCTCGTGATAATTCGATCTATGACCGTCCTCCTCATATGAATAATTTAACCTACGATGTGCTGCCTTGTGCACATCAAGCTCTTTCAATCTCAACGACTGTCTATCAAGCCATTCATCGCCTAATAAACGCCGTTGTCAATACCTCTACGATCAACACCAGATTGACAAAAATCCGAGCAACAATCAATAGCACGTCGCTCATCTATAAATAATCACCACCGTCACATCGAAAATGGGCTGCCATTTCTCTTCGTTCCCTACTACCACCCTTATATCTCGTTTTTTAACACTCTATTCTTGGTCTTTCTCTCAAAAAACACCGCCGCGTGGGTGCATTCCCTTACCATCGAGGGCGATTTAAAAGCTCCTTGCATCAATTGATGAAGGATATAATCAGCGACGGGTTAAAAGTGATTAGTAGTATCGCCGCCCTCGCCGGTAGCGTCTTCAATTCTGCTCTTCACTTAGTAAATAGTCCTTCTCCCTCCTCTCCTGCTTCCGCCTCTCCATCAACACTACCAGCATCTTCATACACCAATCCCCAAAGGGCAGCAATGCATGTTCCAAACCCCCACGACTATGATACAGGCGGGGATATGGGCCGCAATGAAACGCACCATACACTCCATTCCTCTGGTGCAACAGCCATGATGGGCGGACCTAATAAAGTTTTGTTCTTTTTGACTTTGATAGTAGGGTTATGGATGGTTTGTCAGATGATTACGCCTGTTCATGCTGGTGTTATTAAACGACAAGGTGATGAGGAGGAACAGACGGGGACTAGTACTAGTACCGAGACAGTGACGGAGACCGAAGGACCCGGTGCGTTTACGTATTATCAGTTGAATGGGGATGGAACTACTGAGACTCCAGTGGTTCAGGAGGGTCCACCGGAGAGTAGTGGTGGTGCTCATACTGGTGGGCGAGGGGAGCATACGACTGTTTTTCCCAGCACTCATGATGGAACAGTACATAACCATGTCAGTGTTGTTACTGAACCCGAGACAACGGAGTTTATTACGGATATAGTGATTGAAACTGATATTGTTACTATTACTATATCTGATCTGGAGGCGACGGATGGTGAGGGTGGATTTCAGACCTCGGTTGTTACGCATACGGGGACATGGTATCATACACATTTACCGAATGAGGAGGCGCACACAGCAAGTTGGACGCACAAACATACTGTTACTGGACCACCAGGGAGTGGAGAGACTAGTAGCCATGGAGGGGGAGGAGAAGCGGAAGATAAAGATAAAGATGGACATTGGCCGGGAGATCCAGATGGAGAATGGGATAAAGACGGCGATGGTCATGGACCACCGGGAGGACCTGGGACAGGTGATGGTACAAACCCCAATGATGACGATGGAGACGGACATTGGCAGGGTGATCCGGATTCAGAGTTTGATAAAGATGAAGATGGTCATGGGCCCCCCGGTGGTCCGGAGACTAATCCGAAGGATGAAGATGGAGATGGACACTATCCTGGGGATCCGGATATCAAGTGGGATGAAGATGGGGATGGACATGGACCGCCTGGTGGAGCGGGGACGGGGACGGGGACGAATCCGAAAGATGATGATGGGGATGGACATTGGCCTGGGGATGGGGATGGGAAGTGGGATGATGATGGGGATGGGCATGGGCCACCTGGAGGGCCGGGAACTGGTGATGGGAATGATGATGATGATGATGATGATGATGATGATGATGATGATGACGGTGACGATGACGATGATGATGATGGAAATGATGATGGAAATGATGATGATGATGGACCAAGTTCACATCACCCCCATCCAACCTGCTCATTCGATCTTGAGAACCATACATCAGACATCGACGAGCAAATCCATCATTCCACCCACGTTCCAGGCGAAAACACCCTTACCTGGGCCCACGACATAACCTTAACCTACGAAACCACCAAAACCCTCATCTTCGGCGGCACCACTTACGAAGACGTAATAACCTCCACCATAACCGAAGAAGAGGAAATAATTGTCACATCGATCACAAAAACCCTAATAGAGGACGGAGTAACCTACACGGATGTGGATGTCTTCACTACCACTAAATTCGGGGAAATAGAAGTTTCGACTATTACAAGGGAAATCGTCGATGGTGGGACTACATACGAAGAGATTGCGACGGTAACTACTACGGATTTCCATTTTGATCCGGTTACTACTATTGATGAGGAGGAGTGGTCGGATCATACGAAGACTCACTCGCATAATGGGGGTCCGACGGAGTATTTACCGAAACATACGCATCATCATACGTTTACTATTCCGACGACGTATACAAGTACTATTACTACCGATACTTCGGTGATTTATACGGAGTGGGTGGGCGCTATTACTATTACTTTGTAGGGTCATCTCTATAGATACTCCAAATATGGATTTCAAAATTTAGTTGTTTAGAGCAGAGCATAGATTATATTGGATGGAGTTATCATGTTCTTTTTAGCTATTTTTTTTTTTTTTTAGATTAGATTAATTTATAGCATTTTCTCTAGCCACCTACTTCCTTTAAGTATATATAACCTTCGTAGAGAACGAAAGAGTAAGAGAAATAGAAATAATTCGCAGTCTCCGAAACCAAAGGTGCATGCTGTTATATCCTAGTAAACCCCGGTACCCGGAACTGTCTCGTGAGGTCGCACAACATACGGTTCGATAAAAGCTTAAAGGGGGGGACGGCCCTGTAGTTTATGAAACAAGCTTTCGTAAGAGGGCCGCGCGGATGCAAGGGGTGCATAACATATTTTTTGTTAGTAAGTAGACCAAGTTAAATGTACATTCGATCTAGGGACTATCGATTATATCCATCGGCATCTGAGACTCCGATCGATTTTTCCCTTGCTTTTTGGTGGGATGGATCCATGGTTCTGTGGAGCATCATGTGACTGACTGATACCAGGGTCCACTTTTCTTTCGTTAAAAAAAAATAAAAAAATAAAAAAAACTGTGAGGTATGGGTTTAAGCTTAATTGGATTAATGCAAGTGCTGTCTATATATTAGCTCGGGTGGGTACGGTAGTTGCTAACCTTATTTGAAGCTGTTGAGGAAATTTGCTGGTTCTTGTACTTTTTTTGTATAAGCACCTAGCTGTTGTCCAGAGTTCCCTTGCTAGATGCGGCTATTCGATGCGAATGGATTGATATTTCAATTCTGGGCATCTCGAGGTACATACCTAGGTGTATATTAAGCATAGTGTCTAGAATAATATCACGAGAAAATGGAAACCAGAGCGAACAGCGGGAAGGGAGAAAGAAAGACTAGGGAAACAAGCGCCTGCGTCCCAATGGAAAACAGGTGCCCCTGTAAATTCAAAAGAGGTGCCCTGCTCCGCCTCCCTGCAGTAGACAAGCAAACAGCAAGAGAAAATGAAGCGAGAAAGAAAGGAAAGAAAAAAAAAGGAACAAGCTTCCTGTAGTTCCGTTGAGCTTACCGTGGCAGTTCTACTTCCTTGGGTTAGTTAACTAGGGAGAAAAATAGGATATGCATGTAACTTTGATAAAGTCTTGGCCGCAGTTACCGTGTCGGGAGTCGGACCAGTCAGATGTCAGTTTAACACCTTAACCTTACTCAGCTATTTGCTCTTACTGTGGGATTGCAAGCTTTGATCAGCCATGAGATAACCTAGCGGGTTTTTGTGAAGTGGAGGTACATATCGTGTACCTACTTACATGGCTAGAATGATAACGGGTGGAGATTGTTTCCATGCCCCTGCAGGCCTGGCCACACACGTACATACGATGTACAAGGTACACACAAGCCAGGCAGGCAGGCGAGGAAAAGAGTTAGGATGGGCTGCTCGAGCTCGCCATTGCGATGGAAAATGAAATTAACACCAGTCGATCGGATTGTTTTTGTGACAGAACAGTAGAAGTACAGAGTACCTCCTTTGTATAAGTATCTAGATTGTACCCTGACCTCCTCGGTAGCTATGAACGTAATGTTAGCATAGGCTTTTCACTGCAATATAATTGTCAATTGTCGTAAGTACTTACTTTCCAAATTCATTTTCTACTATACTATACATAATATAGCATATGGTGTAAATGTCAGGAGGCGGCGATGTTTGGTGTAGCTGCGGTGTAACTCTGAGCGGTTGTGGTTGTGGTAGAGTACTTTGCCCATACAAAACACCCCACTTTGCTTCAGCTGCTGCTGCTGCTTCTCCTGACGACCACACCACTTAAACCAAACCAAACTAAACTAACCTACACGACACCACCATCTTCCTTCTCGTCTTCTTATTTCTTACTGCTTCATCTCGGACCTCCAGCTGACTGTATCATTGTCATCATCATCATCGTCTAAGACCTCGCCATTTTACTTCAATTGGCGATATTCGAGCTAGAACTCGCCTTTTGACTTTTTTCCCTCGATTATTTAAGTTCCATAGCTCCACCACCCCCCCGAAGCTAGCTTCCAGCCATGGCCGCGCCAAACCGTCGTAATAGCAAGAGGTCATCGACCCGTAAGTTTCCTTCTCATTCTTCTTTTTGAAGCTTTTATCTCTCTCTTTCTCTTCCTCTTTCTCGCTCTCGTTCTCGTTCTCGTTCTCTCGCTCTTTAGCTCGAGATTATCCTATCTTCTTGTCCCTCTTATAACCTCTGCTGTCGACGATATCGCACGCGCTTCCCTTCAACAAGCTTGCCATATTATTCTCAATCTTATCTATCTGTCTTCTATTACCCTTACCTTACCTTACCTTACTTTTGTTATCTTTGTTGTTTGTTGTAAAGCGATATAAAAGGAACAATGCCGGAGTCACAGCACGGTGTTCACGAAGCTAGGCTAACAGCCGGGAAAGTGTCTGTCGAGAATCGTCTGAAGGATCAAGGTACCTGGAGACAAGCCCCTCTGCTTCTAGGCTCCACCAAGTTCGAGCCTCTGCCCGATGTTCACAATATCATGATCACTGGTGGCGCGGGATTTATGTGAGTATCAACCTCTTTAAACTTCCAACTCTTAACTCGACTCGGGTCGACGCAACCCACTCGCCCCTCATCTGATACCCCTCAAACCCTCAAAATGGCACTTTTTGTCCCTATCACATTCACACTTCTGTCTCACCCCTTTCCGTCCATTGTTACACATGGCTAACCCACTTTTTTTATTTTTATTTTTTTTTAAATGAAAAAGTGCCTGCTGGCTTGTCCGTCACCTAACAGTCACGTATCCACAATCCTACAAGATCGTATCTTTCGATAAGCTGGATTACTGCGCCTCGCTCAACAACACGCGCATGCTCAACGACAAATCAAATTTCGAGTTTTACCACGGTGACATCACGGATCCAGAAGACGTCAAGGGATGTATTAAAAAGCACAATATCGACACCATCTTCCATTTCGCCGCACAATCTCACGTCGATTTGTCGTTCGGAAATTCTTACCAATTCACCGATACTAATGTATACGGTACCCACGTTCTTCTAGAATGTGCCAAGAACCTTGGGATTAAGAAGTTTGTGCATATCTCCACTGATGAGGTTTATGGAGAAGTCGAGGAGGATGGAGATGATTTGCTCGAAACGAGCATCTTGGCTCCTACTAATCCTTATGCTGCATCCAAGGCTGCAGCTGAGATGTTGGTGAATGCCTACTATAAGAGCTTCAAGCTTCCTGTTATCATTGTTAGAAGTAACAATGTGTACGGGCCACACCAGTTCCCAGAGAGTACGTCCCCCTCCCTTTGTCTCCCAAATACAAAAAAGAGAAAAGGAAAAAGAATGATAATTAATAATAATAAATAGAGGTCATCCCGAAATTCTCCTGCCTCCTAAACCGCGGAGGAAAGCTCCTCCTCCACGGTGACGGCAAGCACACCCGTCGATATCTCTTCGCGGGCGACGCAGCAGACGCCTTCGACACAATCCTCCACAAGGGACAAATCGGCCAAATCTACAATGTCGGTTCTTACGATGAAATCAGCAACATCGAGCTCTGCCAACGTTTGATCAAGGAATTTGGTCACCCGGCCGAGAAGTATGACGACATTGTTGAACACGTTATCGATCGTCCATTCAACGATAGACGTTATGCTGTGGATGGAACGAAGCTTAGGAACCTTGGATGGGACCAGAAGACGAAGTTTGAGGATGGATTGAAGTTGACGGTTGAGTGGTATAGAACTTTCGGAGAGGAATGGTGGGGTGATATTTCGAATGTTATTGGGGTTGCTTTCCCGGTTGTTGATCATGAGCTCAATGAGGTTGTGCCCACTGAGAAGACTGCTTAATTAAAGTTGAGCTGACTTAGTATATACCTCTCTCTTTTCTGCTTTTCGATTGACGGGCGAGGAAATGGTAAATAATGGGATCTATTGGGGAATCAAGTATTTGGGGGTATTTGGGAGGACTTAGTAAGGTTGAAGTAGATTATTTTCTTAGATTTTTTATTTTTTATAATGAATATCTTGAGATAATAATGGAATTATGATCGATGTCTGGAATTTAATTAACCAAAGTAGTTTATTTTAACATGGGTCATACACACATGCCACCTAGTCACCAATCACCGCGACAAGTACATGTATACATACTTTAAAATCTTTCTTTTAGTATACCATGTTCACGGATATATATGTGTATGTATACGCAGTGCTAACGGAGACATACCCGAAGAATCCCAAATCTTCTTACTCACCCCAACGATCTCACAAATCCGGTGTCGATTATTATAAAATATGGATCCGACGACGGGTAAACAGGACTAGTGAATTGGCGGTGGAAGCCGCGTATATTATGGAGGCCAAGTTATCGCTATACATGCAGATTTGATGCATTGCATTGACTAAATGGAATGTGTAAGCTGAGTTTCGATCGAATGTTTCTATGCTGGCGTCTAATTTTAAATAAATGGGGCCTTTAATTAAGTAATCAGGGGAGTTAAAGTATTGTGAAAGATAAGTATATACTGGCCTCGGTCTTAGAAGTCAAAAAGGGAAGAATGTAGATAGTATATTATATTATAGTCAATGCGTTAGACGGGTGACCTACACTGTACACATGTAGAATAGCTATAGAGAAACGGGAATGAAGAAAGAAAATAATGAATTGTCAAATGGGGGAATATTATGAAATCCGCGGCCCGAAAAACAAAAGACGAAGAGGGAAAAGAAGGAAATTTCCCTTCGTTAGATTCCAAAGTTAATGTATAACGTTTCCATCTCGGGTCATATAAGCTATCGTTTTCGAATTCAGGATTCAGGTTATGAAACGACTTCTTTTGGACGCTACCCATGATATGCGCCCTGTCATATTTGTGAGCTGATACTTCCTGAAGCCAATTTAGTCTCTAGACGTTGTGCGTCGACGGATATATTTAGGGGTGATCCCTAAATTCGCGATGTATTTACATAGTATGCAATTCGTAAACTCAAAGCCTGCGAACTTTCGAGTTCGAGTTCTAGCTAGGTAAGAAGCTCCGCTGGTTTAACTGAATGATCAATCAACTCTTACAATAATTTTCTTCGATTTATGTGGGCGTGCTGTCTTGGTTTCGCGGCACCTCGAGCATCCTCCAAATCCAGCATGCTTTACACCCATTATCGTAGCCGCAAACATTCCAGCAGATCTATCTTCAAATTTCTCAAGCAGAATAGTCGGACACAAGGAGGGGCCGCTAGAAACCTCGCTCGCACACTTTATCAATAACGGTAGATCCGATGACCTACAAACGGCGCAGAACGCCACAAAGAATCCGAAGAATTGATATCTTTTGTCCTCTGTCTTCCCGGGAAGCTCCAATTCGCTATAGGCCAGAATAGCTTGAACAACCCCCGCCTGTAAACCCGGAATTTGAAGGAATTCGGCTGCCCGATAGACTTCAATTACGATCTCGGGATAATCATCCGGGAATGTAAACCCGCCATCATAAAGCCAAGTCACGACCAAAGAAAAAACTTCGGCCTTGATCTCAGGTAACTCTATTTCTCCAGAGTTTCCTTCTTTAAACCGGTCGCGTTGGCAAGCAATTTTGAAGAACTCCGAGTTCACGCTAAGGACACCGCGGTGGAGGTTGAACTCTTGTCTTTTGGGGCCAGCAAAGACTTTAACATCGGTGAACAAAGCACTTTCCAGAAGTCTGAAGACAGTAGTCGTCAGCTTGAACCCCCGTGATAAACAATCGAAAAGGAATGGTTTTCAGTGATTTACCTGGCGAGTGTGCTCTTCCCTTCCTTAGTATTTGAACTCATTATTGGGAAGTCTGAGAGCCGTGTAATAATGTGGAATTTTGACGGTGCATTAAGATAACCTCTCGATAATGATACTAGAATAAGGCTTCGATTAACTTTATACATCAGAATGTCAAGGTTAAGCGGGGTAACCTTGATTTCGAGTCAACATACATGTATATGTCCAGATTCATGCAGAGAAACATCAGGCAACATACAACGCACCAAAACTATAGAACGTTTGAAAAAAATACAACAAGAATTAGGAAGTTTCACAGAATCTTCTTATAATTATAATAGTTTTTGAAATAATTCAAACTAGGCTAAAACTGTGTTTTTATTTGTCTAAAAAGTGTACATCTAGGAATAGTGGAAGTCGAATGTTTGGTTGATGTACATGTAGGTCTAGGTATTTTGTATTATTTGCTCTTCATATGTAGGTATGCGCCGTTAACATAAGAAGTTTGGGGTACGTACCGAAAAATAGAACATTATGTGACTGGGAAATTTTAGATTTCCTGAAGTTTATAAGTTAGGCTACGGATACTTAAGCAGAGTCCAGAGCCTGGGAGCATAATCGGTTTAAATAGAGCCGTCGAGACTGTAATAACTTGAAATCGAGATATATGTAACAAGAGAGCTGCTGACTATATTTCTCTGCATTCATGCGCACACCCTCATCTAGACAGATGCAAATGTCATGCTTCTAATTCCGTTACTCTCCAAACTGGGCCCTAAAAGATTTTTGTGCTAACATATCCTAGAATGCTAAGTTAACAGCTCCTCTAGCAACCGAAGATAATTGCGTGAAAAGTCAGCTAACTATATATATGGTTGAAAGAAGTTGGTTCTATCCTGCGAGCTGACCTTTTCATACTCCCTTTTTGATGATGCCTGATGCGCGGGGCTATATTGTTCTCGATGTATTATAGGGTTTGTTACTACCCCGCCGTCAGTGTACTCGAATATATCAAAAACCCTGTTTATGAGATAAAAAGATACAATGCACGGTGATATGAAAAAGTGGATCGGATCCTTTCCACATGACATGTTTGTCTCCGCCCCACTAGTTTTAATTGGTCGCGCTGCGGAAACCTGAAGAAATTGTTGCAGCAGCGGTTGCTAGCTTTCGCTCTGCGATCATTGGTTTCGCACTGCGGAACTTCTTTCTGAAACTCAGCCATATGTGCATAATCGAACTTCGGCAGGGACTCTATGCACCACTGTGCATGCAGAAGGGTTTGAATTCGGCTCTTCACCGAACGGAGGGCTGCGATTGTTGTGACGCAAAAAGGAGTGCCAATTATTGTATTGGGGACGCTGTTTTTTCGTCTCTATCGTGGCTGTATAAGCTTCGTGAATTCAGTATATGCATTGTCCAGCTGTTTTAATTGGTGCGCGGTCAGGAATGCGAACTGCCCTCCGCCTTCTTTCTCTCTCCGGGTTCCTCCAACCGAAAATACTGTGTAATATAGCCGCTGTGGCTTTGTCTAGAGAACAGCTGAGCTATCGCCTGCAGGTGCTTGCAAGTCAACCTGGCCGTGATACTATCTACGCGTACAAAAAAAAAATACATCTGAGCGCCCTTTGTAATTGTTTTTTGGTTATTATAAGCGGTGAAGGCAAAATAGGATGAAAAGGCTAGAGACTTGGAAGTTATCTATAAATAAGAGTGCTCGAGGAACATGGCTGGAATTTATATTTTCAGTCTTTATCTACATATCTCTTTAACTATCACAACAGTGTTTAGACTGATCAGAACCTTCAATAAGCAGCACTTTGCAGCAATATATCTCTTAATACCGTTTTTCTTTAGTCAGGACCACTAATTCTAGTTATCAAGAGCCATGGCTCTTTCTCAACCAGAATGGAACCGTCTAAACCCAGCCGCCAATTTCCCCAAATTAGTCCACGCCCAATGCATCAAAACGGGTGCAGAGACTTTCGACTACAACTGCATTTGCTGGTTTCTTCAACTACCATTTAATTACCAAGGACAACATTTCCCAGTTCAATGGGTCGACCCGCCTGTGGGTGCAGCCCAGCGCGATCAATACCGTAAGTTCGCCCATCCATCCTCTTCTCCAGCTCAAGATAGATTCTAATATAATAAATAGTGGCTGCCGCCAGACTAGTCCCCTGTGATTACGAGGACTTCGACCGCGTAGCGCGCCTGTATGAGAGACATCCAACCAGATATCTTCACGGAGATCGATGGAACGCGGCATCGGGGTCATGGGAGAGTAAAATGGGCGCACTCGTTCGCATGTTACACCAGGAATCTGGTCTCAGTGACGACGGTATCTTCGAATCTTTTTACGGCAATCCGAGTTTTTGGTGTAAGAGGGCGCCCGGTGCCGCGGCGGCGTCGGTTGATCCTTCGACCATGAGCGTTGAAGCCTCAGATGACCAGGAATCGATTGATCGAATTGCACATGTTGCAAATTCACTCGATGGATCATTTCCTCGTACAGCTACTGCTTTTGATACACTCTTTGCTACATGGAAAAGTACATGGTTCACGGGTCGAACGAATAGTGTATCGCAGAAGTATGCGCCTGCATAGCTTCCTTATATACCTTGATGGAACTTTTCACTGACAAAGTCCGAACAGCTCGGAAGATCGCGCATCTGGAGCCGCGTGGGATGCACTTGTGGCCTATACGAGCCGTGTGAACGTACTACCACAGATTGTACAAAAGCTCAGCGACCCGGCAAATTTTTTCGCAGTCCATCTTTGTAAGAGAAACTTTAACGCTGGCTGGTCGGTGGGGTTGAGTTTCTTTGGATTTCTACTGACAACTAGTTTATACATGTTTAGACAATGCTGCCCAGTCAGATTCATCGAAGAAGGTTGATCCCCGGGATACCTTTAACTACTATTTTCTGAAAAATCAGGTGACCAGGATACAGAAATTATACGGAGCATCGATTCAGGAGTTTACGACACAAGCAGATGAATGGGTGGCGCACCAGGCGAATGTTAGCTTGTCTTCGAATTCCAGTGACTATTTGAATAGCCCGGCATATAACCGTTTGGTAGAGATGGGGACGCCGATTGTGGCCTTGATTATGGAGAGATACGCAAGAGAAAGGAACGGCTGGTGGCATGAACTGATCCACCATATTGTAAACGGCCGAGCTTCCGGAAGTGTAAGCTTTCAAAAGACAGGGCTCTTTGAGGATTGGAAGGCACAATATGAGATCAGTGCCGAATGAACGGGGGTGTATTTGGAACTATTTCTAGAGTAGTATATATATACTAAATCTAATTCCACAGATATTTTATACGATCATATGCTTCGTGGCTTGTTTGCAAATGCGTCCCAGGCAGTACTGCAGTGCAGTCATCGTATCCCTTATTGACACCAATAAATTTGCAAAATCTATAGCTATCGTTGATTAATTCAGTAGACTATAAAACTACAACAGTGGCATCTTCAATATGGTATGATCGAAAAGATCAGAGTGTATTTCAGTCAGAACGACTAATCAAGATAAAATAACGTGAAACAAGACGAGGCTGACACAACAGATATTGCATTGGGCACCTGTGCAGCTGTGACCGTGGTTCGAATCACCGCCACGCTTGTGTTGCATTGTTGGTTTGGGCTTAGCTCTGGCCCTGTGTTGTTAAAAGAACAAACCAATGGATAACCTCCCTCAAAACAACACAAGCACTCTGGTATTTATATTTCAAATGAGACAGTCTCTTTTCTGACTAGACGTAGACCTTGGTGCTTTTCCCGTCGAGAAGTACTTCCCGAGTTATCTTGAGTAGCTTCTTTTATTTTAGGATTTTGGTAGAATCTTGGAAACAAAGTTAGATACTTGGTATATATCCGATCAGAGAATCGGCGCACTGTTTGGTTCGCAACACCTGGCGACTACTAGTTCCGGGCTGCGACACACGAAACTCCACACCACATCATTGCATTGCATTGCATGGGAGCTACTCGCCCACAACTCGAACAAAACGGCTTCAAGACGAGCTGGCGATAACCGGCCCTTCTCTGATGCCACAATACCTGTGGCCACCATGAATGGAGTCGCCCCAGTTGACCCATTGGATTCAGGTATCTTCTCCTTCTTCTCCTTCACTCCCGATAGCTTCCCTTAATCCCATAATAGAGGTTACCTATTAGTTCTAGCTAACCACCAAGCTCTCTCACACCAGCCGACTACGACCCAATAACCCACCTGAACACCATCTTCGGCACCCCCGGTACCCTCTCCTCCGTCCCATCTATCTCCACCTCGTTAACAAACCATGTCACCACTCTATCGGACAATATCCGTACGTTGGTTGCGAACCAAGCGATCTCCGATGCTTCGAGCGTCACACGCGTGGCCCATGCCAAGGCCGACTTGGACGAGTTGTTCAAGAATATTGAAACGGTGAGGGGGAGGGCTATAGCTACGGAACAGGCGATTACGGCTATGACGGCGGATATTAAGAGGTTGGATGCTACGAAGAAGAATTTGACGGTGTCGATGACGGCGTTGAAGAGGTTGCAGATGTTGAGTATGTGGTCTCTGTGTTCCAATATCTAAATATCTATAAGATTTTCTTATTTATTATTGGAGGAAGGCTAATTTTGATGATATAGCTACTGCATTCGAACAACTGAAAGCACAATGTAAACTCCGCCAGTACCGCGATTGTGCACAACTCCTACAGGCCGTTTTGCAGTTAATGGCCCATTTCAAATCATACCGTTCAATCGACCAAATCGCCACTTTATCCCGTAACATAGCAGAACTACAATCCCTCCTCCTCGAGCAAGTCTGCGAAGACTTCGAATTGACGTTTACAAAAGACGAAGTCTCCATCCGTCGGAACATGTTATCCGAAGGGTGTGAAGTAATGGATGCAGTCGGTGACTCCGCCAGAACTCGACTGGTGAATTGGTATTGTAATACTCAACTGAGAGAGTACCGCCAGATATTTAGAGGGAGTGAAGAAGCTGGGTCGTTGGATAATATATCAAGACGGTATTCATGGTTGAAAAGGATTTTGAAGAGTTATGATGAAGAACATATTTATATCTTCCCCGCGGCTTGGAAGGTTAATGAGATCCTTGCTAGGACGTTTTGTGATAACACAAGGGAGGATTTTAAGGGTACTTTGGTGAAGACTATGCGAGCAGATGGTGGGAAGAGTTTGGATGTCAATTTGTTGTTACGGTGTTTACAGGAAACCCTGGATTTTGAACAATTCCTTGAAAAGCGGTTTGCGGCGGATACCAGAGTTTCGATCGACACGATAAGTTCGCGAGAAGAGAAACCTCTGATATTTGGAAAAGCCATTTCGGAGGCCTTCGAGCCGTATTTAAGTCTCTGGGTGGATTCTCAAGAAAAGACACTGGCGGGGTTAATCCCCGTATTCAAATCACAACCGATACGACCCGCCGACGAAGACTTTAATACCTCAGCCGTCCTACCGTCCTCTATCGAACTATTCCAATTCTACAAAGTCACATTCGCACAATGTGCAAAACTATCAGCCGGCGCAAAACTCTACGATCTAACGGGGATATTTGCCAGATTTTTGGATTCTTATTCGGAGAATGTGCTGTTATACCATTTACCTGATAAACCTGGCGTTATAGCGTTACCGAATGATGAGACGATTATTACGATATTGAATACGGCGGATTATTGTCACGCGTTGACATCACAGCTCGAGGAGAGGATTAAAGGAAGGATTGATGAGGAGTATAGGAATAAAGTCAACCTTGAGAAACAACAGGATACGTTTATGTCTGTTGTTAGTATTGCGATACGAGCGTTGACTAGGAAGGTGGAGGTTGAATTAGAACCTATTTGGAGGGAAATGAGGAATACACCGTGGAGTAAACTGGAGACTGTGGGGGATACTAGTACTTATGTTGGAGAACTGGTGAGGGTTATCAAGGAAGAGGCGAAGAAGGTTTTGGTTTTGATTGTGAAGGAACAGTATAAACGGGCGTTTTGTGATAGGTTGGTCGAAGGGGTTGCGAATAGTATTTTGGGGAATTTGATGGGATGTAAGCCGATTTCCGAGGTTGGAGGGGAGCAGGTATGTTCTTCATTCTTATTAATGAAGCAGTCTTTTTTGGAAGGGCGCACGCTGATTATTTGGATAGATGTTGCTGGACGTCTATTCCATCAAGAAGTGTCTTGAAGAACTTATGACACTAACGGCCGAAGAAGGGGCTACAGCACCGACTACGTATGTTCACCTTCCTTCTAATACCCTAACTATATATATCCTCCGCTAACATAGTATGTACAAATAGCTTTATAAAACACGTCACCCGTGCCATCTCCCGCATAGACATAATCCTCAAAGTCATCCAAGTCCGCTCCTCACCCCCAGAAGGCATAGTCCAAGCCTACCTAATCCACATAGCCGACAAATCCGAACCCAACTTCCGAAAAATCTTAGACATAAAGGGTATAAAAGGTCGAGAAGTCAGCGAACGAGTCGAATTATTCCATGCCCATAAATCCGCCTATGACGGATTAAGCGAAGGAAACGTAGTGATGAATCTACTCACTAATAATATCAGTAGTATTATCGGTGGGGGAGGGAATACGGGTATGCCGATGATGATTTCGGGTGGACCTGGAGGGTTGATGATGTCTCCTGCATTGGGGGGTAAATTTGATGCGGCTACTTTTGGAAGTGCGTTGATGGCGGGAGTTAAGGAAGGGGTTGATAGACTTGGGACACCAGGTGGGATTGGAAGTGTGGGGGGTAGTACGGGGGCTAATAGTCCTGGGGCTAGTAATGTACAGCTTGGAGTGGCAGATGTGGCGAAGGATGGGGTTGCGGGGTTGAATGAGAGTATGAAGAACTTTGGGAGGTTCTTTAGAGGAGGCAGGTTTGGGAGTGTGGATGGGGGGAAGTAAGAAATCTTTTCTTTCTTCCTTTTTAATCTATTTGGGACGACGAGGCATTGTATTGTATTTGTACGAATTCTTTTTTTTTATTTTATTTTATTTGTTAGAATTGATATTGTGATAGACTTTGGCTATGCAAATGCTAACGCTATTGCTCCCTCTTCCGCGAGATAAACTATTTAAAACCTTTACGCTACCGAATAAATGCGACGACAATGTTCATATAACGAACCTTAGATCGATAGAAAACCCGAATATGCCAGCATATACGTGCATACAAAACCGACCGTAAAAACTCCTAATTGTATATCAATATATACCACACCATACCATATACCCATTCCATGTATATATCTTCCCTGTATATAATATTCTTAAATACTTCATTCAATTCAAACCCCCTAATTCAGCATCAACCATCTCCATCTCCACATCCTCTCCATGAGTAGGGTATAATCTCCCCTTCTCGAATTCAAACCGTTGGATATCACGATCTGTCCATTCATTTGAATCCGGTTCATTTCCACTACTAACTCCGTTAAGATGGTTGAGAGTGGATTCTCCTCTGGCTAGTTTGAGGAGGTCTGTATTATTGGTAATGTTACTCTTCTTTCTCCCGTTGAGGGGGTACATACTCCTTGGGAACCTCATTTTTAGATCTTCCAGTTTTTTGGAGTTACGGGTTGATAGTGATAGTGATGGAGTTGGAGTTGGAGTTTGTGGTTGATGATAACTCGAAGAGGAAGAGGAAGTATAGTTATAGTGATAATTATGGGATGTAGTAGACTTCGCTGATTTGTGAAGAAGTTTTTGAGGGGTTGGAGTTACTGGAATCTTCGGTCCGGTTGAAGATGTTGTTGAGGATGTTTTATTTTGTAGACCGAGTTTGGAGATTAATCCTGTCTTTTGGGGGATCCTACTGCTACTGCTGGGGAAGGTGATGTGGGTTTGTGGTGTTCCCGTTGATGATGAACGATGTCTTTTTATTGTTGTGGGGATGTTACTATTACTACTGGGAGTTGGGGTTGGAGTTATGTTGTCGGGCAGGGTTGAGGTGTCTTGTGGATTACTGGGTGATGGGGGGCATATACCCCATCCCATGGTATTATTTGGTATGACGAATGGACTTGTTGGTTTGATTACTGATGATGATGGTGGTGTATAAGTGTAACTGCTGTGGGGGATTCCCGAGGAAGAGTTTTTGATTGCTTCTAGTTTCTTTTTGGAGAAGATATCTTTTTGGCGGGATTGGTCGTATAGTAGGAGGTGACGGGTTGGATCTGGAGTGTGGGATGTTGGGGTGTTGAAGATTATTGATGATGGTGATGATGATGATTCTGAAGAGGAAGGGGTGAGAGTTATTGGATCGATGTTTTCTTTGTTTGTGATACCGGTGTTTGGAGTTGGAGAGTGGAAGATTGGGGATGGTGTGGATGTAGCTAGTGAGGGGTCTGATTTTTGATCTGATGATGTTGATGATGTTGATGATGTTGATGATGTTGATGATGTTGTTGATGATGACGATGTTGATGGTCGTTTAATTATATCCTTAAACTCCGACGTTTCTATATCCTTAACATCTCCCATTTCAACATCCTTCTCTCCAGAAACATTCCTACCCCCACCACCACTACCACTCGTCCTTCGAAACTTATAAACCGGATGATCAGGCAACTCCTCCATCGAATCCGAAATACTCGGAATCCCCTCCTCATCATAAAACCCTCTTTTATTACCACTCTCATCAAACCTATCCCTTCTTCTCCCCACACTACCACTAGCACTACTACCACCACCACTAAAACAAGAACCCGGACTCCCCCTCCTCTTCCTAATAGTAACTGACGAAGGTAACGGCACAATCGGCGTAAACCCCGACGTCGACCTTTCTAATTCCCTATCCACATTCTCTCTACCCTTCTGCACCGGTGTTTTATATCCATACTCTTCTATAGGTTTTGGATCTTGTTGCAAGTTCTTTATTCCCGAGTAATACTTGCTTTTTGTGGGTGTACCGTAGTTACTCTTCAAATATGTTGCTATTTGGTTAATACTCCTCGGTGTGGTAGTCATGATGTTTCCACGGGGTTGAAAAGACGACGGTATTGATGATGCGGTGGGGGTTTTGATATCGATATCGATATCATTGATACCGGTATCGATTGGACTGCTGGTCGGTGGATGGGGACATCGTGAGTTTCGACGGTATGTACTTGCTAAAGTTGTGGGAGTGATTGCTGAGGTTCTGGTCATGAAGTTACGGATTGAAGGGGTTGTGGGGGTTTTTGGGGGGTGGTGTGGGGTTGTCATTTTTCTTTTGTTCTTTTATCGAATCCCCGTGTCTGACTTTTTGGTGGAGAAGAGGGAAGAGGGGTATTTATGATTGAAGTTTGTATTTATATTGAACTGATAAATAGGAAGTTCTATAAAATAAAAGACTTTCTTTACGAGAAAGAGAGGAAGGGAGGGAGGGAGGGAGGAAAGAAAGAATTCGAAGAAAAACAATAGAGGCAGAAGGGGGGGATAAAAGTAAATACGGGGTGAAAAAAAAGGTCAACCATATATACATCTATACCTCCGTCTCACGTCAACATTACGATTAATTCCCCCGCCTTCCCTTCCCTCGGACTATTTCCTTTCTAGAACGCAGCTTACACTCCAAATCCGGATGTTACATGCAAGGCAAGTACATGTACATGTACATGCAAGTACTTTACATGCATAATGCACATGCGAGACCTTGTTTTTGTCCCGTTCCTGCATCATAATTCCTAACCCTTCTTTCTTTCGAAATCACACTAACGTTTCGTTCAAAGGGAGGGGGAGGAGGGTGGGTGGGTAGGATGTTTTACATTCCTTCAGGTCAGTATATACGCTAGACTAAGAAAATTCTCCCTCCCAAAAAAAAAAGTTAGGAAGAAGAAGGGAGGTGGTTAAAAAAAGCACGTGTTCAACATTCCTGAAGACAAGCGGAATTTCTGTCGAGTAGTATTAAACTAGTTACACGGCATGATGACTGCCTCTTCAAAAAAAAAAAAGGAGCAGCCCCCATTCCACATGATTATCACAAAATACCTATTTTTCGCTTCATTTCATTATTTTTATTCCTCCCTCTCTCTTACCAACATACTTCAAAGAGAAGAAGAATAATTCATAGAAAAAAGGGAACTGTGGAGTGTACAGGTGGTATGTGTTGTTGGTGTGGTAGACGTTCGCCGAAGGGGCGTGGTTGTTGCATTTTGTTTTCGTGTGTGGTGGGCCTTCTTTGTTCGTTACACCGCAGATCCATCTTGAAAGGGATATGTGATTGGAAAATGATAGGATGAGAGGATGAGACGCGTGGTGAGGGTACATAAGCGAAAGGGAAGGGTGTTGGTGTGGTTTTTTTTGGAAGGGTGTCGATATAGAGTATATGATATCGGGGAGGTACCGAGTCCTAGAGGATTGTAAGTAGCTGGTATTTTCGCTTGGAGGTTGGGAAGCTTAAGGAACGTTGGTGGCACGGGAGGGTGATACCCGCTGGAATTATATGGTGATAGGCTAGGAATGAGGTGTAGGCATGAAGGGTAAGGTAATGAAAGGGTATTTGGGTGATATCTACCAATATCGATATATCATGTGAATATCACATCCCACAAAGAGTCAAAGAAGAATTTCCGGTAATCATAATAATGTTGGAAACAAAATCAGCTATCAGCTGATACCAAGGATTGGAATCAAAAGCTCAAAGGTTTTGCGAAGCTCCACCGAAAAAGGGGACGGTGATACGGATGAATACCGGAGAACAACGTAGTTTTTAGGTGGAAGTACTATCCATCTCCCATGCTTCCTGGGTCGCCGGGCCAGCTAGCATTCGTTTCCTCATCGGTTTCTGCGGCGGCGTTTTCGGTTCCGGTTCCGGTTCCGGTTTGCTCGAACTAGCAATAGTCTCGGGGATCCTTTCTGATTGCTGTTCTTGAAAGGCATCTGGTTCACTTTGCTCCGGTGTCTCTTCGACGACGAAAGAAGCTGGTCTGTTAGGTGTATTGGCTCCAGGATTAGAATCGATTGTTGCACCGAGACTTATACTTCTCTGTCGTCTTGAACGTCTAGTAGTAGGTTTTTGTTGAGTACTAGGAAGTGACTTTGTACTACTCCTGGACCGTGTAGCCTGACTCGGACCTGTTCTCTGGGTTTTCTTCTTCTGGGTGGTCTTCCTAGCTTTCTTCTTTGCCGGTTTAGGGCTACATTCCCCCGTATCATCAGTATCATTTGTAATTTCTGTAGTAGAAACTACGGACTGCTCCCCTCCATCCGGCTCTGGTACTGTCACTCTCAGCTTTTTCTTAAGCATCCGAGATCTTCCCGGCTTGTAATATTTGTTCGTAGTCTTCATATTTTCAAACTCTTCAAGAACTCGATCTAGTTTCTTGCTCATCTCGATAGTACTTTCTGTCGTATCTCTCCGATCTTGAATAAGCTCTTCGTTGAACTTTACCAAAGCATTGGCTTTTGCAAGGTAGAATGTGTTCCTGATGCCCATATCTGCATGTAAGTCTTTGAGCTCTGCGAGACCGGTGAGGATGAGTTCTGAATGGGCGGTGTTGGTTGTTACTATATGCATCGAATTAATATTATCATTCTCCAAGTCATGGTATAATGGATTGTGACTGAGGGATCGAAAAGATATTGGAAGAATCCCGCAATATACAGATACGTAGAGATAGATAGCGTATCTCTAATAACCCATGCAATGGCAAAAAATATATATGTATAGATAAAAAGGAGTCAACTAATACCCACCAGCCTTCTGAATCTTCTCCGTAACCTCCAAAAGCTGTTTCCCACTCTCATGTTGCGTATTCACCAAAGACCTAACATCTTTAATGATATCCGAGATAGCATGCCGAGATTCAAGAATCCCCTGCATGGACGTAGTTAACCCTTTATTGTGGTCACTTATTTGCTCTGACAGCTTGTGACCTAGGACCGTTAATGAGGGTTTGGATTCTTTGGGTGTATCATTGTTGTCTAGCGTGTTTTCGTCGGTTTGACGGGTAGGAGGTTTGGGAGGTGAGGTCGTTGTGGGCATTGTTTTGGAGGGGTATTTGGTATTTTATATAGAAGGTACTTGGTTGATATAAAGGGATGGGATGGGTATAGTTGGATTCGAAGGTGGTGAGGTTTGGTGGATGGGCAGGTAGGAAGTAGGTTGTTGATGGTATGGTGAGGATTGGTGAGGTGGAGGTTGTGATATCAACACGTTGAAGGCTTGGAGAGGGGTTGCTTTAGTGATAACCTGAAGAAATTGGAACGATTATAAGGAACTAGGTAGACTTAGCTGATCTAGGTGATCGAAGAGATGGATTTAAGTACCTTATACCCTTCATTTCAACGATTCAAAAACTGATCCCAGTGATACTACGTGATGTGAAGTCCTCATAGCTTCATTTCTATCTAATATTAATATCAGAATTCTCACGGATTCTAAATAATCGTTTACCTTAGATCGGATTCAGAAATTTCCAAATTTTGATTTTAATTTTGAATGAGAACTAGAAACCTTAACTAATTTCTATCTTATCGAAAGCTGCTATAGTCCGTTAAAGTCGAGCGAGAATTCAAAGCTAATATCAATATGCCACGGACGTAACCTTGCATACGCATAAAGTTACCGTTATTCCGTATGACTGAGTATGATACTTTGCAACTAAATCCATCCTTCGACGACTTGCAGAAATGGGATATATCGTCAACCCTCACCAGTTGACATAAAAAGCTCCCTGATATATAGAATAGTGAAAAATCGCGAACAAAAATCGCGAATAAGAAAAACCCAGAGAACCATTCGAAATAATAAAGAAAAAAAAATAAAAAGGCACATGATGGCCTCAACTAAAGCCCACTGCATGTTGATATAGGGCATTTATGAAAGAAAAATGGAAAAGGAAATATGCAGACGCCAACCGATATAATGATAAGATAGGAACGACATCTATCTACCAGTAGGGAATGGTGATCTTACCCCCTTCCTCGTTATCCTCAGTGATGTAAGGTGGGATATCGATATCCATGGAGCTTCCATGGTCAATGGTGGAAAGCTCGGAGACGGATCCAGCTCCCGTTGGAGGGCAGGGAGACCCTGGGTTAGAGAAAGCGATCAAGTTACCTGGAGATTGAACGTCATGGTTCGAATCGTTGAGTTTGGCATGTGTAGCAGAGGTTCCAATGTCCCAGAGCGATGAAAGTTCCTTATTAGCTTCCTTCTCACTCTCTTCATCCATGTTTGGAGGATCCCAGCCTCCGGGTAGTAGAGTAGGAGGAGGAGCTTTGGGGAGTTCAGTTTTTGGATTCCCAGTTTCAGGTGACGAGTCTTCTGATTCCGTATCATCAGACTCATCGTGTCCTTTACCGTCGTCATCATCGTCCTTACCGGGCTTTCCGATCTCAGTACGTCTCTTGCTAACGAAGCAGGCATAAGTATTGATGGTTGGGTCAGTTCGGATGCTGTGAACTCTAGTGTTCCCACATGGAACCCATCTCAAATGAGGCCAGATGAAGTCCAACTCATCTCCAGCATCGATATGCTTATAGCGGATGAGACGTCTTCGTAGAATGTTGAAGTGAATATAAAGTGGCTCATAGTTAGTAGCCATGAGTTCGATCGGTCGTTCGCCAAAATCAACAAGATGGAATCTAAGCTTGACCTTGCGTCGAGGAAACTTTGGTGGCATGCCAAGTCGTTTCTTTTCATCTCTCGTCATCTCAGAAACCTTTGGACCAACACGATCTGCGAAGGGCAATTGAGGTCTATGAGTACGCGGTTTCAAAAGATCGGATGGCATCGGCTTGAAATAAAGTTCAACTAAATGTGGAGATGTTCTTCCCTTTGCTTTTGCCTCGTCACGTCGCATCTTTCGATATTGTCTAAATGTGTAGGTTGGTTCTCTCCATGGACCATCCGCGCCATCACTGTTTGGAGGAGTGGGTCCTCTGAGACCATCTTCGTCCCATTCGCACATGGGCTCTTCATCATCACTGCTAGGTGGCTCCAACTCCCTTTTTCTCTTTTCGATAATTTTGTCCATCTTACGTCTATAGTAAGGATGGACTGTTGTACCATCAATTTCGATGATATCACCAGGTTTGACGTCAGTGTTGATTGCTGCTGGAGCCCCGTTGACACGAAACGAAAGACGAAGAGGATCTATGAACCAGTTCTGGGACAGAACTAAATCAATAGCAGACTGCGAGACTTATTAGCTTTGGGCTCGTATGATGTCTATCGGTTTGGACAAAGCGAGCGATGGTAACTTACTTGGATAGATGGAAAGTCCATAGAAAACCAGCAAATCTCAGCTGCGAAGGCAGGCATAACAATACCAACCTTCCCGGGTGCGTAGTTCGTGTTATATTTGGCTTTCAGGGCTCCAAAGCCCCCAGTGGTGAATGTGGAACCCATTTGGGACTGAGGGAAAGAAAGATGTCGAAATGACTAGATATTTCCTATGAGGGAACAGTTAGTGTATGAACTCGGGCTATTCATCGTCACGTCTGGGGTCGTGACATACCTTTGTTGTATATAGATGATGATGTATGTGGATGTTGATTGTGCTTGAAGCGAAGTTTGATTGCGTGAAAGAGGGAGGGGCTGGGGAGTGACAAGTGGAGTGCAGATGTGATGGAGGGAAAAAAAGAGCGGGCGGGCTTGCTTTTATACCTGTTAGGGCGTGGCACGAGGGTTTCTTTTCAGAGGTGCGTGCAATGTGTGAGGGTTTCTACTGCACGACCCCACATGACCATGGTGATACTCTGTTACTAGGTAGTAACTCGCCCATGAGTCTGAGTATCAATCACTACTCGGTCGTAAGGGAAGAAGATGCTGCCACCATTTGGCCTCCGAGATGCATTTTTTAGGATTATTTCGATCTCACGATAGTAGTAGAAGTCTAAAACAAGACGGTCTTCTGGACCGATAACGATTGTAGGTATTAATGTTGTCGGGGCCACTGTGTACATGGGGGAATTAGGGACAGGAAGGTATAGGTATTAATAAATACAACGGCAGATCTGCTGAAGGAGTAAAAGATATCTGAATGGACGATTGAACTTACCATATCTTTTAGTACTCTTGCTCTTAAAATCCAAAAGAGCTAGCATGTGTAAGGTGGATATATGAAGGAAAGTGAGAGGCTGGATTTTGAACGTAAGGTTGATCTTTGGAAATACACAAGCCTACACGTATGGCTCCGAATTATAATATTAGTTCCTGTTGTAAACCAATCTTCAGAAAACCTCATCTATAACTCCAATGGATCTGGCAGATTTGAGATGGCTTTGTTTCAAGAAGACTTTGATCCCTTGTGGGAGATTTGGGCTGGTTTATCAATCTTTTTAGTTTTAGCAAGACTGCTAGGTGATCTCTTTCGACTATGCGTGTTCTTGAGATCGAGATTAACGTTTTGAAATAGCTTTGAGCCTACTAATATATCAATTGTGGCAGTTTCCACGGCGGTAATTAATTCATATGATGGTATTTTGGACTTCGGATTTTAGTTAGCTCGTGACTAGACGTCAGAAAGGTAATCATATGTACATATACCTCTAGATTAGTTGTGCACGGGAAATGAATAGTCTCGTATCTAGTTGGCTTAAAATTCTAGCGTTATGGCCCACTTTGGTATATAGACGAGAGTCTAAGGATGGGATCGCTCGTGCCCTGCATTAATGCTGCCAGAGATGATGATAATCGTTTGGTATTTTTAGGCATTCAAGTACGGAGCCTAAATAGTGAAACGTTTTTTTAGAATTACACTAGGGATATAGCATTCTTACTTATTTAGGTAGTTACCTCTACGTATAAACCCATGATTTAATGGGAGCAAGGTCTTACTTCCTTAATACGGGTTTCCACGGATGAAACTATAGTGAAGGTAGTAGAGAGGTGAAAAGAGAAAATCCACATAGGCAAAGGCCGGAGCCCATGCACGAAAATGACTTGGTTCTAGCTATTGGTAGATACATGTATGCGGAGAGAGGAAAAAGAGAGGAAGAGGGGAGAGAGAGGAAGAGATATGGAGGTATGGAGAAGAGAAGAGGGAGAGAGGGGAGAGAAAGGAGAGAGAGAGGGAGAGGGAGAGAGAGAGAGATAGAGAGAGGGAAGAAGAAAGGAAAAAAGAAGAGGAAGAGCTGGAGAGAGGGAGAAGAAAAAAAAATCGACCATTAAAGGTCGAGGAGTGACTTGGGCGTAGCCCGGCGGCTCTTGAATAGTGGGAGGGCCTCCCAATGGCTCAGGAGGCCCATCCCGTTGTCGTAAAGGTCCAAGATGTGATATCTTGGAACCTTTGGTTCCGTGGTTCGGTCCGAGACCTCGTCAAACGACAAGAGGTCCATCTCGGGAACCTCGTCGAACGAGAGGAGGTCCACTTCAGGGACCTCATCGAACGACAGGAGGTCCCCGAGATGGACCTCCTCTGCAGCTTCTTTTGCTGCTGGGGGAGAAGACGGTTGCTCTCTATGAGAGCTTGGTTGTTCTTGGGCAATTACTTTGCCCGAATTGGCTTTGTCGTCGGTGCCGTCTACGGCACCTTGGGCCCTGTTGGGTGGGTGTCTCTTCACCACGAAGCGGTAGTATGCGGTGACTACCGCTCTCTCTGGGATTACATCGTAAAACCCAGCACGTTTACCATCCATCAGGATGGTGAGGCGTTTCCTATCTAGGATAGGATTCTGGCGGAGAACTGCTCCGCATAGGTCCTGTAAATTTGTGTTAGCTTGAGTGTAACTTCTTGATGGAACCTTTGTATCTTCGAAAGAATTGTTAGGGTCAGTTCATCGTTGACTTACTCTGACGGTTCTGACCCCGTCATACCAGAAGACCTTGTTCGATATGGCAGGGATGGTTATCCCAACCATCCGTTGCCCGCCATCTCTACATGGCTTGTAGGGAGAAACAAGAACAGGAGCAGGCCCCTTGCCATGCTCCATGTTCGCTGTATATGTCTCTGAGTTCATTTTCATGAACTGCTGGTTCAAGTTGTGGATTTCTCAAAGTTAAAACTTTCACTGGGTGAGGAAGGAATGAAAGAAGGGAGATGGGTTGTTCTGGGAGGGATGAGTTGAGAAAAATTGGAGGAGGAGGCAGGAAGAGAGCCTCATTATATAATTGAAGTCCGGGTTCGACGAGGGAAAGATTCCTGTGTGACGCTGGCCGAGTGTATGGTATCGACTACCTAGTCAGGAATCCTGATGGACTCCCCCCGGTCTCCCTGAGGATTCGAATATATCCCACCCGCCTAGTGATCAAGATTAAAACTCGTGACTAAATTCAAACCCCATCTGCAATCAAAATTTGCAAAGCCACAGAGCTAGGTGTCGATAATGGAGATGAATATATCAACACCGCCGTAGTCCGCCGTTCCTTTCATCAGTTTAATATAAGTCCAAAAACACTGGAGTCGATAAATCAATGCCCCTGTTGTATCTTGGTTTGTAAAATAACTAACGCGGATATGGAAGTTTTAACATCGGGATCGTTTTTTTGGCTTAGGTACTCTAATATCTACTTAAGTAATTACAAGGTTCCTTAAGTCACCAGTTGATAGCTACTAAGGGCTATCAGGTAAATTGACCATGAACTATTGTATTGACGGACGTACTTGATATAGTTATCTGATTTAAAATTAATTGTTAAACTCACAAAATTACACACCCAATTCGACTAGAGCTCCCTAGTAGAGCATAGTGCATTTATCTAGATACTATATGGCATAGCCGTACCTTCATCTCCAGTTTATAACATTTAATTCAAGTATTGGCCTTACTCATCTCCCATACGCAGGCCTTCTCCGAAGCTTCGAAGTCGGTTTCTTTGTAATAGCAAATGCCACCAAATTACGTGGTGTTAGATTGGATTTGGCTTGGGGAGATCTCCAGACTAGGCCCGTCCAGAATATTGCCTTCATAGTATACCAAAGCCTTATGCAGACGAAGAGATGAATTTTTGGGCGTGCTAGCCTTAAAATCCACTCTACTAGTCGTAGAGGATTCCGTATTTGAGCTTCGGCTTGGATTTGAAGGTGGCTTTCTCGCAAAGTTTGTATCGCCGGCATAAGGTATCCGAACTATCGCTTTCGGCCTTAATCGTTGTAAAAGCTGAGTATTGTTATATATCATCAACAGACTTGAGTTAGCGAATCTGTCCAATTGGTATATTGGAAAAGAAATTGACTTACCTTTATCTCTCGAACCTAGTATCAGCCTATATATCAGCCTCGAATCTTCTATACACTAGGGCCTGGCCTGTCATGCAACCACAACCTCTATAGTCTGGGTTTATTGCTGCAAGGTTTCAATGAGAATCTTACGGTTTGAACATCCATAGCAAAATATGGGTATCGAAGCTAGTGTGACATTTGAGTAGAGCGGTGAGTAGAAGCTTGGGTGATACACACGAATGGTGAATAGGTCGGTATCTCATTGTAATGAGTTTTCCAAGGAACAGTTTACCTGGGTAAGCTTGGGAACGAGACCAGGTAAGCTACTGAAGTGAAAATGAGACTGTACGTATGACGTAGATGTGTGTGATATCAGAGCGTTGAAGACGCTGTGAAATATCCCAAACGCTTCCGCACAACCCTCACCTCCCGTCCTCATCACCACCCCTACCACAATCGTTCCTTCCGCCATCACAAACCTCTCACGACCTTACGCTTCTATCATTCTTACGCTTTTGAGCGTTTTCTTGTATCTAAATTTCTCGTCGATTGTCTCTACCATGCAAGCTACCCGAGATCAAATTACAGTTGGGGTTGTTATCCCTGCCGTTTCATCGAAGTTGATGCAAATCCCGGATGTCAGGGAGGTCAAAGTAAGTTCCGTTGACTAAAAAATATCGCGTGTTGTCCAATCAATCAGGATTTAGAAAACTGATTATTCTTAGGATGTTTTGAACAGGATCTCCGGCATGATGGGGTTGAAATATAACCTCATGACGGCCTACTGCGGTGGGAAATTCTATCGTGAATGGTATCACCTCGCCGAGGGAGATGTCATTTGGATTGAGTACCCTGAGGACAAGCTACCGGACAAACTCAAGGAGATTGCTGCTAAAGAAGCTGCTAGTAGAGCAGAGAAGCTTTTTATACCAAGAAAGAAAGCAGCTCTCCCAATCATAGCTCCTACTAATGGTACTAGGATTCCTAGTGTCTATGAAGGAAATCTTGGTTACTCTGGATCTTTCGTCCAACGTCCGGCTCCAGCTCCTGTCCTTCCATTGCCATTGAAAAAGGCTGCAACCGTTGATTACCTCGCTGGTGACCTCTTCCATCAACCTACCAATACTTTTGTTCCGAAGGGGGTTAAATACTGGGAAAACAATTCCGGAAACCCACAGGTCTGTGAAGCACGGCTTCGGTCGAAGAAACAGAAAGCACCCAAACGCTTGAGACTAACTAGAAGAATAATTTTAGGGCTTCGGGAATCCTGCATCTTTGGAACAATACGGAACCACTGGAAACTACCAACGTTACCCCTCTAGACCCCCGCCAACCGCTAGTATCACGAATCCACAAGCGAGGTGGTCTATCGCCGGTATTGACTCAAGCGTCATGCTCAGAGATCATTCTATGTTCACCAAGAACTACCGCAAGGGTAAAATTAATCCAATGATTCGCATCAATTTCAAATTCTGGACTGGACAAGATGTTCCCCTTCAACTCCATCCAGAGAACCGAATTAGTACCATTGTCAAGAGTTTGATTGCGATGATGAAAACTGGGAAGGAAGGGGTAACCCCAGATCTTCTAGTTTTCAAAGGTCCTAACCCGGGGCAAAAGATCACTCTGGAGGACAAGATGATTACTCTCTTTCCTGAGCATCCAGCTGAAATTGATATCGAAGTCTCTTTGGCTGGAGCTGAGCAAGAAGACACTGATACTAAGATGGATTACGGTGGTGATTATTGGAAGGCCTTTGTCAAGGAACAATTGTTTTCCTAGAAGATCAAAGGTTTTCAGATACCGTGACGTCGCTTAGCAGCTATAGATCGTATCTTTAGAAGTCAAAGCGCATTCCTTCTAGATACTTTGGTCGCGTTATAGTTTCTCTACTGAGACCTCTAGGATCGTAGATTTTCGACCAGACATACTCCCTTTCCTGTATTTTCTTCCCTGCATAAGATATGTATGTAATACATACTTAAGTTAGTACTTTTATATCTGAGAAGCTGAGAGCTGAATGACATCAATCTCTTTCCTATGTGTGGGCAGAGTTTCACTAGTACAGATGACAGTAAAATACTCCCATTTGTGATATATTTGATTCTCATCGAAGCCAGGTGCTCAACGACCGATCAAAGATATATGATACTTTATATATGATAATATTGGTCTCGTAAACCCGGCAACTAGATTATCATATGTTCTGAGAGCGGTTCCATGACCGAAACTGTAGGCTGAGAACACCTATTTTACATAGAAATCACTCCAAAGTCCCCTGAGAGGGTGCACAGCATGTGCTTATATTACATACGTGAACATTCTTCAGTTCCTCAGGTAAGCATGCAATTCCCGTCATCACGATAGCGACATCCCGTAGAACCATCTTACGCTTCAAATATTTTCCCTAAGTTCTTCGTGACAGCTATAAAATCCACTAGATGCTCTTCAAGATTCTTCCATCAACATTCTCTTTCTTCTCATCTCAAGAATATCTCCTCATCAACAAAGATCCACATAACCACTATAAACACCAGTTTTATCTCTAAAACCAACTGTTTTCATCATCAAGATGGCGACCGAAGGTATGACTGTCCTGGTTGAGATGCCGAATCTCAGTTCTGCTGTCAGGATGTTCCACAAGCTTGACGACGTCAACGTAAGTTACCCCCCCACCCTCCAAATTATCTCTAATATCAATCTTTTCCGCAGACCTGCTAATGGTTTCGGAATATTTAGTCCCTCCTAAGTCTTATCAGCGACACCTGCCCATTCTTCGAGATCTCTCGCATGACCGCTTTCCGCAACAACAAAGCCCTCGAAAAAACCGACAAGCTCTTATTTGGAGAACACCTCGTCGTCAAATACAAATACGAAGACCTCGATCGCGTTGATCCCAAAGTTGAACTCGAGAAGGTTCTCGATAAGATGAAGGATATCGACGTAATCCTCCAGATTCTTTCTACTCAAAACGAGTGCCTTCTCGACCAGGAACAACAAAACCCGAATATCAAGGGATTGAGTGTTGGAATTGGCTCTGATTTTTCGTTCGAAGAGGGTTATGAAAGTTCTGATAGTGTCTACTATGGAAAGGATATGCCTCTTCCTGTCATTCGTGTCAAACTTCCTGGCGCGAATGGCGGTGCGGTCATTGCTCCTGGACCTGATAGAGACTCTAAAGAACGATTCCGACGTATCTTTGATACCAATATCCAAGGTATCTACTTCAAAAAATACAAAGCCGGATACCCCACTAGTTCCTTGGAGAGTATGACGAAGGAGCAGCTTGAGGAAACTTTTGGGATCTATCCGGCTCTGGAATCTTCTGGTTCTGAGGAAGATGGGTCTGGTGTATCTGGAACTACGGAGTCTTTCATCCCTGATGAAGAGATTCCTCAGTTGAAAATTTGAGTGCTGGCTTGTGGATTACGATCTCTGTATCTTTGAAGGCATCTAGTCTCTTGCTATCAGCTATTTTGGCTTTCAACTTTGCAGGAAGGTCGATTGGAGGCTTTCTATAATGATCACTTTCGTAGAACCCCAACCACAATATAATCATTCCTACCAATAATTTCCTTGCCCATGGTCATATATCCTTCATCTTTTGTCTGTGTCCAAATGTTTCTAATCTAATATGTGGGGTTGAGTGCAGGTGCTAGGTTTCTGTCTTGGTATTTTGTGTTTCTTACTATTCCGCTATCTTCAAGTTTGCGATTTCAATTCATCTTCACTATAACATCGTGGATAATATAAGCAGCGTGAATAACTTTCGCTCTTCAAGACGCAAATAGCTTTTATCGTCTCCTCTAGAAAATCTTAATCATGTAACCAAAACATTACCACCCTCATAATCATCACCTCACCAGAAGACTCCATCAAAGCTATCATCACCATCAACCACCAAATCACCATGGCAGCAAGCTCTAAGACTCCCCATCCCAACACCTCTCCTCCTCCTCCTCCTCCCTCTCCTCTTTCAGAAACAGCTGCATTGGACCTCAAGACCAACACCATTCCCTCACCAACCAAACCAAGTCCCACCAGCTTCCTCGACCTCCTCCCTCCACCACGCAAACCTCATACTCCAAAGCTACAATCACCAAGTCGTCTACGATACGTCATGAATGCAGACGCTCCACTAGACGTCTTCTCCAAACCGGAGGAACCTACTAAGAAATTCGTTCTTGAAAGAAAGCAGCCTCCTAGCACTCCTGGTGCTACTGCTAATACCACTACTATTACTACTAATACTACGTAAGTCTTCATCTTTAAAACAAAATATCCGTTCATAGCCCTGTATACTTTAGTTATATTACAATATAACTAACTCGAATAAATATAAATAGCAACACCCCTTCCTCCTCCTCGCCAATCCAATACCAAGGGACCTACCATGGCCCTTGTTTCTCAAGAATCAGACGTTTCCAGGGACCCCGAAAACCAGGGGTTTATGAGAAGATCCACGAAGAGTGGATTAAAAAGGCTTTGTTGAGGCAGGAGAAGGATCTTAAGTGGGATCCGGAGACGGGGGAGCCGCTTTTTGATGTTCGGTGTGGGGAGGAGTGATGGGGTCTTTCCCATCCTCCTTTATTTTTACTTGGTGGGGGTGAATGGTGTATATAGGGGGTAGACGTTTAGGTTTTTACTGTGGAGGGGTGGGGTGGGTATACCCCCCCTCCACTCTTGATAATGAATATTTTTTTTTCCTACTTTCTTTTGAAGTTTGATTGATACGAAACTTAGAGAATGTGCGGGAGGTGTAGGGTTTATAATGAGGATACTTGCATGATATGTTCTCGAAGTACATTTTTCGAGTCAGACGATTGGGGAGTAGTATTCTGCGACAATATATATTTCGCATGCATGATGGATATGAGTTTGATATTTTTGGCTATACTAATTTCTCTTGATCTTCAAGATCTAGAACAAATCATCCAAGAATCCCAATATCATTGTCGGAGGTATATACCTAGAAGCATATATATAAAAACCATTTAATCTACCAAAAGGGGGAGAGAAAAAGATACTTAACAAATGGAATCACTCGGCTTCACAAACATCGACTACGCATCCATCGAATCCAAACTCGGTATCCCAAACCGCTGCTCCAGCGATCCAAACGCCCACCGAAAACCCCCTCACGATCCCCTCCTCTACAAAAAAATCTTCGCCGATTCCCCCACACTAACAACCTCTGAATGGCAAAATCCCCAAAAGGTTTTGATAAAAATAAGAACCTTCCAAGTAGGATTTCATAAATACCAGCATAACCTAAAAGACTTTAATAAAAACTGTAGGGTTATGAAGATGAATTTGGATGATGAACAGGATACTTTGAGTAAACTCAGGATTTATGGGACGCTTGGAGAAGTTGGGGTGTGGATTTTGAGGATGGAGAAGAGGATTGAGGAGAGGAATAGGGAGATGGAGAAGGCAGTGAAGAGGTATGAGGAGTTTGTGGAGGCGGGGAGGAAGAAGATTGAGATGATTATGGAGAGGGGAGGGGGGAGGGAGAGAAGTTCGTGGTGGATGGAGAAACCGTGGTATGAGAGGGGGGAGGTTTATGATAGTGGGGAGTTTTAGGGGGTTTAGTATGTGGAATGAACAAGCGGGGCTAGAAGGTGTAGATCGGTAAGCTATAATTATAAGCGTAGGAAATTTTGATCATTTTAGTCTTTTAAATATATTTATATGTTTTTTGATACTAGTTTCTTATCGTGAACTAATTTTACAGTAGAATGTCTATAGCTACAGTATAACCCTTTTAATGAAGTCAAATGTGTAATAGCAGTATGGTACAGAGTAACAACATAATTAGGTTGGCACGGACGCAAGCCTAACTCTAAATGACGGAGTTACGATCTCGCCTATAGTTTTTATCTGTTTCATATGCTATAAGAGTCGATTCCTTATGAAGGGTCCTGAAAGTGATATTTAAGAAAAGTGTTTCAGATAACATTCATACGTAGTTAAGTAGGCTTATGAATTTTGACGAGAACTAAACTAATCCTAGAACCATGTTATTGACTCTAAGTCTATTATCATTTTACTGGCGAAAAATCAAAACGTAGTAGTTGTACTCATGCGAGAAATGTAAAAGTAGGTCTTCAAATATACTCCTAAATCGATCTGGAGAGTAGCCATAATAGCTAAAGTAGCGGTCATTCCTTCAGAGAAATTAGTCAAGCTCCTACCGGTATACCTAGATGCGATCCTAAAACCTTATAATCTATTGTCTTCTTTCTTTCTTTCTCTTCAGGCGACCAGGCATGGGAATATAAAAGGGACCGAGCCAACCGAGGCCTCTTCAGATTCCGCTCAAGATGGTAACAAACTTAGACTCTAGTCAATAAAACCCGATCTTTGACGGCCTTTTCACACACTATACTCCTAGTTCCGAATCCCTAGCCCTAAAATACCATATTTATTCGTAACAATAAAGTCTCTAGACCAAGGCAGAACACCAAAATGGCCCGTGAAACCGAAAAGGACTTCAATCACACCTACTTCTCCCTGGGCGAACGCCGCATTCTCCACGACCTAGGACTGCCGGACTATGTGACTCACTCGGCCGAACGTGCGTACTACTACTACCGCCACCTAAGCCAACAGCCTTACGTCATAAAAATCGATAACTACCGAAACCCAATAGAAAATATACTAAGAAAAAGGGGACTGAGAGCAGGAGGGAGGCAATGGAAGGAAGATATTGAAGTTCAGTGTTATGAGTGTGACTGTTGGGTTTGTCCGCGTGGTTTGGAAGGTGTGGAGTGTTTGTGTGATAGTGATGATGATGAATTGGAGATTGGAGTGGAAGGGTGGCAAGGGTGTAGGGGGTGTGGGTATTGTGTTCGGGCGGCAAAACGGGAGTTACCACTTGGGGTGGCAATGTATGATGGGTATGAATTTGGTGAAGTCGAGGCCGAGGATGATTATTCTCCTGGACGGGCTTTTTATGCGACCTGGAAATAGTAAGATTTGACTAACTTGAGATTGCAACTGCCTAATTATAATTATATAATTGCATGAATGAATATTTGCAAAGAGTCATAATGGATGTTAGATGTTATGATCCAGATGGATCTGAAATTGAAGTCACGCCCCCTTAGTTCCTTGGCGAGTAAGCTGTGATACCAACCTCAGGTATTGAAGAGACCGCCAGATTGTTTTCCCACTTAAATCCCAAGAAAAAAATAAAAAAGTTTATGATTTCCCATCCAAGCCCTGGGATATAGCCTTGTGTCGGCTGTACTGGCGCCCTAAATCGTAAATGGACGGGGTATATGCAGGGGGCCGAATCGGGACTCTGGTAATGTGTTACCATGGTACCCTGCTACCAGAGCCTCGTTTTTAAAATGTGGGAAGGAGCTGTGTTGAATATGTTGGATTTCCCAATGAGGGCTTTGAGCCTCAAAGTGTGCCGAGGATCTTGATAAGATAAGAAATGCCAAGCGATTATCGGAAGGGTTTGATATCGTGAGATTGTCATACCAATACCTCCAATGACAGCCACTTCGAGTACTTCACTTCCCTTCTCAAGGACCTCATGATATATGAACATACTAATTCGGGACCTTAATTTCAGATTCTTGAATAATATGGTTTAAAATATGTTTTGTTTGTATGGTTCAAGTTGCCGGATTAAAAGTTTGAGTATATTAGCCTGGCTCGACTGAAAGTTACCGAACAAAGCAAAGGATAAAAACCTCCGCATGGGAGCTGATTATGGCCATCATGACACTACTGATCACTGTCCCAGGGTGACTCTTCGTTCCCCTACAAAAGCGCATACATAAGTATTCGCTATGTAAAGTCGAGAATATTTGAGAGGGGCTGCCATGCTCCCGGGTATATTGACGAGCGAAAGGGGGACAGGGAACATGCACATGAACATGAACATCAATACGATAATACAATACATATAACAGACCAAACATTATAATATTAAGCTCTGGGGCAAAGAAGCTCTGCATGAACAGTCAAAGAACTTCTAGCGCCGTCCGTTGGATGCAGGATGACTCTTGCTAGGGTACGAAAATTTTTCTGTTTCTGTTTCTAATCTTATCGAATGAGAGAAACCTCCCACCATACATGCTCCGTGCCTACATAGTATGCATTTTTCCCTGACGTCTGAATGAGGCTAGCAGCTATCTTGCTGTGACACCGCCGTTTGGGGCAGGCACAACCCCACCTGCGCACATGGGATACCCACTGCAGCACTGTCGAGTTCCCCGTCGTCGACAACTCATCTTCTGGCCCAGTAGGAGTAGAAATGCGCTTGATTCAATTCGTTTTAGCGTCGGGTGGTGCTCTTTTTTTTCTTTCTGCGAGTCTGCCTATTGGTTGGTTTACTAGCTTTGCTTTGCTTGCTTGTCTGATATGGGCATTTGGGAGTTCTTTGTACTTTATATGACCCGCGAAAGAAGAAAAAAAAATAGTTTTTTTTAATTTTTTAATTTTTTTATGAGTGGGCGACCTGACCACCAAAAATAAAATTTTCGTAGTTTGCCCGCCAAAAAAGCCAGCCAGTGAGCAGCAGCCCCTCCTCCACCTCCGAGGCCCCCAAACAAATTGATATTAAAAAAGATTTTCCTCGCCTTTCTCTCTCTCCCCTCCTCTCCACCATCATCAACCACAACCAATACAGAAGTCAACCATTACAACCACGCTCACCAGGGACGAATTGATTTCATCCCTATATCCACGAAGGAATCAGATCTATCGTACTTCTCGCAAGTAGATAGACCTCTTCAGTTCTCTTCGTACCGCCGTTTGGGACTCCAGTAGTTTTCCAAACCGCTTTCATACCTTCGTCTAGCTCCTAGTAGCTACGGATTCCTGCACCGGTCATCCTCTTGTTCTGCTTCAGTCAGAATAAGAGATCTCTAGTCAGAATCTGTTTTTGGCCTTGTCCTTTCTCTTGAGCAATCGAGAAAGGTCCGCCCCAGAGACTTTAATAGTCCCTATACCGATCCTCATCTAAGGAAAAAAAAGCTTTTTTCGAAAAGGCCTTTTTCCTTTCCTCTAGTCTACCTTCGACCTTCAGAAAGCAGTTCCGCTTTCTGAAATCCCGTTTCCCTAACCGCAATCATGGCTTCCGAGGGGATTGAAAACCCACCAGACTCGCAAATCGAGTCTAACTGGGATCAAACCACCGAGTCCTTCGATGATATGGAGTTGAAGCCTGAGCTTCTCCGAGGTATGTCTGCATGCTGTTCATAAATGCTGAGGTTTCAGAGGGATTTTTTTGCTGACGAGACATTTTTAATCTAGGTATCTACGCTTATGGGTACGGAAACCACCTGACGAACCTGCAAAGAACGAACCCCACACTAATACCCCACCTCTCTATATAGTTTCGAGCGCCCATCCGCTATCCAGCAGCGTGCTATCTTGCCAGTCGTCAAGGGTAAGCTCGTTCCAAGCTCCTGTCTCCTCCTTTTCGTTCTTGAAAAAAAAAACCCTTTTCTAACATACCTCCTGCCCTCTAGGTCACGATGTCATTGCCCAGGCTCAGTCTGGTACCGGCAAGACTGCTACTTTCTCGATCTCCTGCTTGCAGAAGATTGACCCTGAAATCAAGCAGACCCAGGCTCTCATCTTGGCTCCTACCCGTGAATTGGCCCAACAGATCCAAAAGGTCGTTGTCGCTCTCGGTGATTTTATGAACATCACCTCTTATGCCTGTATTGGAGGTACCGCCGTTCGTGATGACATGAAGAACTTGAATGAAGGACAACAGATCGTCGTCGGAACTCCTGGTCGTGTTCATGACATGATCCAGCGCAGGGCTCTGAAGACTGACTGCATGAAGATGTTCATTCTCGACGAAGCCGACGAGATGTTGTCGGTAAGTTTCACAACAGTTTTAGCATTTTCAGATGGATTCTAACAGTTCTCTTCATACAGCGCGGTTTCACCGAGCAGATCTACGACATCTTCCAGTTGCTTCCACAGTCTACTCAAGTCGTTCTCCTCTCTGCTACCATGCCACAAGACGTCTTGGAGGTTACCACCAAGTTCATGCGTGACCCTGTCCGCATCTTGGTCAAGAAGGATGAGCTTACTCTTGAAGGTATCAAGCAATTCTACATTGCCGTTGAGAAGGAGGACTGGAAGCTCGACACCCTCTCTGACTTGTACGAGACTGTCACTATCACCCAGGCCGTCATCTTCTGCAACACCCGCAAGAAGGTCGACTGGCTCACCGACCAGCTCACCAAGCGTGATTTCACCGTCTCCGCCATGCACGGAGATATGGAGCAGGGTCAGCGTGAGCTTATCATGAAGGAGTTCCGATCTGGTTCTTCCCGTGTTTTGATCACCACTGATCTTTTGGCCCGTGGTATTGATGTCCAGCAAGTCTCCTTGGTCATCAACTACGATCTCCCAGCCAATCGTGAGAATTATATCCATCGTATTGGTCGTGGTGGTCGTTTCGGTCGTAAGGGAGTTGCCATCAACTTCGTTACCGCTGATGATGTCCGCATGATGCGTGATATCGAGACTTTCTACTCCACCCAGATCGAAGAAATGCCAATGTATGTACCCATCCTATTTCAAATCCCTGTGGAACAAGAGTATGGCTAACAAGACATCCTACAGGAACGTCGCTGATCTTATCTAAACGGTTTTTTCCCTCCTACCTGTTCAACGCCCATTACAAACTACATTCTGCAAACAACAAGATTTTACCTAGCTTCTTCGCAAGCTTAATCTGACGAACTCAACTACGAACAAAACGATCCCTTTCAAACGAAAACCTGTTCCTACCCACACAAACGTGTTCTCCGAAACTACTTGTATGCTCCTACTACAATTAATCCTACAAATCCGTTTTTTTATACTCTTGTCCTAGTCTCAGTTCGCGACTTCTTTTCAACTGTGCTCTAAATTTCGCTTCTTCGCTTTTTTCTCCTTACTTGTTGTGCTCGCTAAATTTTGCATTGCTGGGAAGGGGGAAAAGTCGATTCGATTGCTAGAGGTTTTGATAAAAGTACGGGGGGGACTGTTTTTTTTTCTTTGCTTCTGACTACGATATCTTTATGTCGTTGTTTTCTTCCATCGTCTGTGTGCCTGTTAGTGCCTTTGCTACGCTCTGTTCTTTCCAATGTCCTCCCTGCATTCTCGCATGTATCTCGCACATCTCAATAGAATGATTCGATGGAAAAAGATTTAAGAGATAACATTTAGACCGTGATGTTTGTGAGTAGCGGGAACTACCTTCGCTACCATTTGCCATCACATCACTTGCCATCCGCCTGCATCGGTGGCGTTCGTGAAGGAGGGGTACGGAGTTCCCCACCACCCTTTGTGCAACCTATCACGATCTGTTTCAGACAATTCGGTTAGCTTCTAACGCAGACAGACATCAAGTTTAATCCGGTACGTGCAGGTGATATCACAAAGCGTACATATTTTCGTAACAAAAACTACTTTTTGATCGATCAAACCATCGAAAAAGCCCTTCCCTTCCCAACTTGCAAACAAAAAAAAACACACCAAAAAACAACTTCAGGCATCATTTGAATGCGGGGTTGACGGGGCGCTTTGGTAGTCGCTATGTTTTCGAGGTGGGGGTATAGAAAGTTGAAGGTAGGTTCTGTTTGAAGAGGGTATTTTGATTGAGATGAGGATATCTATATCTAGCTCGTGGATCCCTCCCCTTTGACTGGCATCCTGGAAGTCGGCGATGCATTTGATGCCTAGGGTTTTGTTGGATTTTTGTATCGACAACACATATAACATTTGAAAAAACTTTTTGAGAGTTTGGCCTTTTTTTTTGAAAAATGGATGATTCTAAATATCGTGCGAGTACACAGGCGACGGATGAAAGAGATGAGGAAGTAAGAGTTGAGGGTGATAGCCCGGGGGAGCTGGGTCCCAAGGCTAAGTGGTGGAGTCGGGAAAGGTGGTATCCTCAATCTATAGATATATCTATACCCGCAATATCTTGTACAGAACTCGTTGATGCTGACAGCTTGATATATGGTAGATATTTTGGGTCCATTATATTTAATATATGCACCTTTCTATTGCCTGCACTCTACGGTACATTATCGAAGTTGTGGGTAGCCCAAATTGACGGCTCGATGGTCGCTACGACTGATGCTTATACGTATGATCCAAACCCTCTGGCCCAGTTATCAAATAGAATATACATCTAACAAAGCTACTTTGTTCTATAGATACATCGGTGTCTTCGCCGAAGTCATAAACGAAGGTCTCCCGCGCGGTGTCTTCACCGTCATCGGTGACCGTTCCTCCCGCACCATTCAATCCCGTATTAACCTCACCTACACGCTTCTATACACACAATCAATCCTTGGCCTCCTCCTTTCCGTAATCTTCTGCTCCGCAGCATCATCATTTGCTTCTACATTCGTACCACCAGAAACTCGTGATGCATCGTTGACATATATCCGTATATCGTCTTTCTCCACACTGTTCTCCGCTATAAATGCGGCTGTGGGGGCCGCTACTAGAGCTCTAGATCGGCCTGATATTCCGTTAGCAATAAACTCTGTTGCTACGTTTGTTAATATCATATTAGACTTGGCGTTGATATCGACGGTTCGGGCACCTGGTCTTAACCCTACTGCTAATACACAAGCTGGTATTCGATTAGCTTGTGATGGATGTGGTGCTCTAGCCGGGGTTTTATATTTCTTATTCATGAGTAAGAAGAGTTTGTCTACGACCCCTGTTTCTATGAAACTTGCTATGAAACCGAATTTCGTTGCGTTGAAACAGTTGGTTAGGGCTGGTGTGTTTACGTTTGTGGAGTCGGCGGTGAGGAATGCGTTGTATTTGTGGTTAATTTCTAATATTGTCAGCATGGGGAATACTTATGCGACTGCTTGGGGGGTGTTTAATACTATTAGGTGGGGGTTGATTATGGTTCCTGTTCAGGCTCTTGAAGCTTCGGCTGTGACGTTTGTGGGGCATAAGTGGGGGGCTTGGAGAGGGAGGGTTGGGAGGGAGGTTAGGAGGGCTAAAGCTGGGTGGATGGATATTTGGAGTAAGTACCTTCGTTATATTACCTATTTAATCAGGGAATTAAGATGCTGATATATGTTTTTTGGGGGGTGTAGAGATTGTTCAGCCGGCGATTAAGTCCTTTTTTATTGTCTTTTGGATTGAGATATTGCTGTTTATTATTCTGGCGTATACGGGCGGCGTGAGGTCCTTTGCGTATTATCTTTCGAACAGCGAGACGGCAGCTGAAGTTACGGAAATGATGTGGAAGGTATTTATACTCCAAAAAGCCCCAATCTACTATTCAAGTACTAATAATATAACGCCGTTATCGATAGAGCATCGAATGGTGTTATATCTTCTACGCTCTCAGTACCCAACTAGCCACCATCCTACTGGCAACCCAGCCACGATGGTACCTTTACCAATCACTATGTTCGAATTTATTATACGTTTTACCGTGGTGTATTGCGGTGACGAAGATTGATATGAATGCTGGGAATGCGTGGTTATATCATAGATGGATCTTTGGGGGATCTTTGGTGGTTAGTTTTGGGATTATTTTGGTTGTGGATGGGATTTGGGCGGTTTGGCTGTGGAAGGGGAGGAGTGAGATGGCGCCTATACAGGATGGGGTTTAGAAGTATATATAATATACTTAGAGAACTTGGGGGCGGGGGAGAAGTTGATTTATATTATGTTTATATCAGATTGAACGGGTTTTGCTTGCTCGAGAACATGTGAACTTTTTGGAATGAATTGATTCGAATAAGCATCTCTTCGGATATCTAAAAATCTATGTATATGCGTATATGCTAAGTTACTTGAAAAGTGGGAACCGCCACCTCGGTGGACCCGGCGAATCCGGCCGACTTATCGAAAACACCGATGAAGTATCAGAAATCGACAAATCTGACCTCTTCTCAAATATATGAGCCAAAGTATTCTGAACATCATCCTCTGACTCCATTAACTCAATCTCCCCAAATATCACAGTCGACAACTGCGAATGAAACGCCAAAAAGTCAGGGTAAGGAACCATCTGTCCATCATCAGAGAACGTAATCCTCTTCCCATCAATATGTTTCCATCTAAGTCGTTCACGATGTTCTCGATTCTCCCAATCTTCTTTTGCAAATACTCTAGAGTCTAGGAGTCTTACGTAGTTCACTCGGAGGAAATATCCATATTCTTCTTCTTCGTATTCTTCGTCGGTGTTTTCACCGTCGATTACGTCTGGGTCGTCCAGTAGCAGCTTTTCGATTGTGATAAGTCCTTCGTCGAACATTCGGGCTACGGGCCAGTACATTAGTAACATATTCTCCGGTCCCGTTAACATATCCACCACCTTCTCATTTAACCCTGGAAGATCCATCATTAGCGTATATGGATAAATCGTGGTAGCAACCATCCTATCAAGTGTAAAATACTCATCAGTAATTTGACACCGATACCTCTTCTCATTACCAGTCGTTGCAATCCAATACCCATCCTCCCCATTTCTCCTCCTCCTCTTCCTCCTTTCCTCACCCCCCGGTGCAAAAGAATATTTCAATTTATAAGCCTTTGAAACCTCAGACTTTAAACTATCCTGACACTTCGCATTTATTCTTTCTTTCTCTTGGATTATTAGTTGACAATTTTCCACCGCGTTTTGGTATCGTAGGATCCTTTCGTCATGGGTGGTTAACCATACCCATAGATGTAACGCCTTTTGTTTCCACGGGTGTAATAACGGTTGAATATAGTCATCACTATCCAATGTTCTACCTCTATACCTCTGCGCCGGTAACTTCGGAAACCCCGGCCGTCTAGGTGCAAGGTTATGTATAAACTTCTCCCTATCGACCAAGTTCCTTGGAAACCTTGCGATGAAATCTAGGAGTCTGGAATCATTGGATTCGAATCCGTAGGGGAGTAAAGAAACTTGGAGGGTTGAGTCGAATTCGCGGGGTAGACGGAGGTATGAGGCTACGATATGGGAGATCTGGAGAGCGGTTATGGTGGGGTTTAGTTCTAGACAGATTTCTTTGAGGTTGCCGTGGGTGGTTAGGAAACCGATGTTGAGGTAGCGGGGGGGTTTGCGGTAGCGGGTTGGGTGGAGGGTTGTGTGGAGGAGGTGGTCGAGGAGTTTCATGGTTTTGAGGATTAGGTCTAGCATTATAGCAAATAGTATTATACACTATATCTAGTGTGTATTGATATATGGTATCGATAGGGTTAATTTCGAAGATGTGGATATGTTTACCTTAGCCATTCACCCATATGCAGAAACAATGAGATCAGTCTCAGCAAAATTACTCCAATGACTCCCTAAGTATCTACAGTACTAGATCTTTTAAATCGTTTTATAGAGCCTTACTCAATTATACTTCGTATGAATAAATTGTTTTAGTAGCATCTTGAAATCAACATGTTGCATTTTAACGACAAAATGTGTTGCAATACTTCTACTCGAGTCTAGGTAGTCGATGATGCACGTTAAACTTCATCCGAAGTCGGTGTTATAACATTAATCCTGAGTATCCGATGGCAAAAGGTAGCCTCGAATCCGGCAAAAGGTACCGAGTATAATAAGTTGGTGTGTATGCAAAGTAGTTAGCTAGCTCTCGATCCGGCTCTCGGCAAATCGTCAAAGTCGGTCCACATACACCATATCAAGACTTCCGAGTCGGGACTTATGTCTTACTGTTCTCGCTTTGATGTTTAAATATAGTAGATTACTCTTATTCAATTGTCTCTTTAATCACAAAGCAGCCAAATGGCCAAAAAATACACACTAAATCATACCACCATCATATGATATCCACCTCAAAATATATTTTTCTAGGCATCGCTCGGATGATCGGAATATAAACTAGTATTTACTTGAAAGGGCTTTTTCCAAAGGTAAGCACTTCAAAAATAATATTTCTGAATAGATGTCAATGAGAGTTATATATACATATAATATCTTTAAGAAAAAAAACGTAGATTACAATAAACAAGAAAAGAGCCATACCACGCCTTATATATCTTTCCAGACATCCTATGATTCCAGGCTCAAAGGAGTGACGAAAACGATAGAAAAAACAAAACGCAGGATCAGCGAACGCTTTGGGTATCTTGTGTGTGCAGCTAAGCAAAAAAGAAGACAGAAACTAGAAAAGAAAAAAAAAGTAAAGTATACAAAGAATTGAAGAGGAAAAGACTTTACGCCTTGGGAATATGTACGTCGCATGAAAAGGAAGGCAAAAGAAAAAGGAAAGGCAAAGTATATATGTACAGCGAATAAGAGAGGTTATTTTTCAAGAACACCGACTCCATGCAGAAACCATGTAGGGACCGAATGAGTAAAGAACAGCGGACTTTTGAGAATATGGACGGGGGTATATTGGGATATAAACCCCTGGTTACTTGGAAGAAGAGTACGAGTATGGAACGAACTGTGAACGAAAAAACAAAAAAAGGACTAAAAAGCAACGCGATGAACAGTGGGACATGGAACGGGAATGATGTTTTTTTTTGTAACCTTCTTCAGGAACACCTCCGAGGAGATGTCCCCGAAGAAGGCCGTTTTATTTTTTTTTATTTTCTATTTTAATTTTAATTTTTTTTTTTTTTGTGGAAGGAATTTATTCCTATAGGTGGAGTTAGCTACTAGTTCCAATAACGGTATGGGAGGGTAGGAGACCTTACCTTCGTGTTCACTCGAGGTCCTCTTGGACCTCCCCCTCCCCCTCCGGCCGCAGCACCTCGCTAAAGTCGGGCCACAGGTCGAGGTTCATAGAACCTCGCCCAGCCGTCCTTCCCCCAGCGGTCAGGCGTTGACGTCCCGCCGGACCGCTGGGTGGAAACGGCTGGGGCTGTGGCCCGCTTTGCTGTCGGCGCGCGGCCGAGTTTCCAGTCGAGCCGCCCGTGGCGGCACTTTTCTCGTCGTCGAAGAGCCCCAGGCCGAAATTTTTCGGCCTGCTCTGTTGCTTGCTTCGGGGCTTGCTATTTGGCTTGTTTGGTCGACCGTATGGTCGACCGAAAGATTCGCGAACCGAAGTTCGCATCTTTCTTCTTTGCCCCGAAGGGGCGCCTCCGAGAAGCGACTCTGAGTCTGCTAGGCCTTGACGGAATGAAGCTCCAAGGCCGGGAGCTGGTGAGTCTGGGTGGGCCGAGATATCTGCCTCGGCGAAAGCTGCGCTTTCCGCCTTGGTCATCAGCCACCCGTCGTCGTCGTAATAATCGCCCTCCATTTCGAGGGCTTGTTGGAGCATCCGCATCCTAGCGATGTCTAGCTCCACTTCGTAATCGTCCACGTCCGAGTCGCTGGGCTCGGTGGGCTGGTATTTGGGATCGTAGTTTCGTTGCCACTCCCTGAACCCGAGCTCCATGATGAGCGATCTTTTGGTCTTCCATTCTTTCTGAAGACCGGCCATTTGCGATCGAATCGTGTCGGCCATGAAGGCACGAGATGCATCAGAGAAAGCCTCGATTTTCAATAACTGGCGGATGCCTTCTTCAAGCTTTTGGACCTCAATGTGGTGGTCCTTGCATTCTGTAACCAATTTCTCGGTCTCGAGAGTATTGAAGTTGTATAAGGCGGCTTTTTCTTTAGGCCAGTCATCCCCGGCCGGGTCGAAGATACTATTCCAAAACTGGGGGTTATATCTGTTAGGTCCCTCTGGAAGCTTGAGCCGTTCGTGCATTTGTTGCCCAAGTTCTTCGGCAGCCATCCCGAGATGGTTGGCCATATTGTGGCGATAGATAGACTCGACTTCAAACCAGAAGCTTCGCTGAGGGTCTTCGTTGTTAATTTGCTCCAGGTTGTATTCGACGTTTTCACCTGCTTCTATGACCGCGCGCTTTCGAGCCCGAATTTCAGCAGTATACATCCCCAGCTCTCTAACCTCAGCTGGATCAACCCTCAGGTCTATGTCGCTGTATTGAAGCCACTCGGGAGGGAAAACAAGTCCAAGGAAATCCCGGTAAGCAACAAGTATGGTGTCCTTGTGTGTTCGGGTTGCTTGCCTCTTGATCCTTTCATCTTCTTCCGCCATGTACTTGGATTTTAGAGCGTCACTTGTCATCCACTCCGCGATTTGCTTGGAAAACTCTTCCATTTTGTACTGCTCAAATTGTCGCTCGAAGTGCCTTTGGGTAAGTATATCTCGACGAAGAGCATCTTCACGGAGAACACCTCCAGTAGATGCCTCATGTCCAAGAAGCTTCAGAAGTTTTGCTTTGCGACCTGCTACTTGTTGAGCCGCGTATTTGAGCTCTCGCTGGCGTTCCTTGTCGTTCAGGTCTTCAAGAGGATTGAAAGAAGGATCTTTAAGCTTATTCTTCTTGATATAGTCGCGGCGATATCTTTCGCGATCGTGTTTCCCTTCAACCTTGAGGACAAAATCTTCATATTCTCGTAGCCTGATGTGTGCAATGGCGCCACGAGCACGCAGATTGTATTCAGTTTTGTCGATTTCGTGTCTAAGTTGTTGGAAAAGCCAATACATTACTCCATTGAAGTCTCCAAGGTCGAGGAGGCATCTGAATAAAGGACTATCAAAGAGGCCGTCCTCATTGCGTTTGACAGCTGGCGGGTAGAAGGGATTCTCGGGATAGATTCCTTGGTGTTGCCATTGATAAACCCATTCCGGTCCTTTGCTTTCCATAACCCACTCTGGGACATTCCAGACAGGCGTTTCTTCGTCGGGTACCGTAACTTTTATTGCGAGAGGCGGGTCATCTGGGCCACAACCGAATGTGGCGCGGGTACGACAGTACTTGAAGTCGGTAGCTCCATTGTTTGGCAATGTTGGTTTTGTCGTTTGCTGTTCTTGCGGTTGATCTTGTTGCAACCATGGTCGATTTTTCTTTAGCCATGGTGCTTGACGGGAGTGTTGAGGGTAATTCCATGGTTCGTTGGGAGGAGGGCGCTTCTCTAGAGCTTCGTGCTCTGAAGAACATGGGCAGAGGTTATTCTCTGGTCTCGGCCATACAAATGTTTCCTGGGGGGCCGGTCGGTAACGAGCATGATAAGATCCTACTTGCTGTCCTCTGGAATCTTTCTGGTGGGCTTCCTAGATCCAACCATCGATTTCACCAGCAGGAACGAGCACACCTTTACCCTTCAAACTATTGGTCTCTCGTTGAACCAATCTATCCGCAAGTCTTGTAGCCAATCCGATTCTGAACTTCGACTTCTCCGTAGCAGCATCTTGCCTCTTCCTCTCCTTTTCGAGACGGTAGTCAGCTTTGGCAGCTACCTTTTCTCGCTTGAGTTTTGCCTCAGCTTCCTTGATTCTGAATTCCTCCTTTCGCTTCTTGCGCTGCTCTTCCTCTAGGTTTGCTTTATCCAAAGCATCTTTCTTCAGATTCCATGCTTTCACATCTTGTGGTGTAATATCCGCTGTGCACCTGATTCCATCCCTGACAAACTTCTCACTTCCAACATTGTGGCCTAAACTGCTCTTAGACCGCTCCGGGAGGTTGGCAGGCATGCTAGTGCGGTCTCCGCGATGTCCAAGACTGCTTCCGCTGCGTTCTGGAATAGTACCACCGAAGTGGTGGACAACATTTTCGTTTTGGTCGTGATATGTACCAGTAGTAAGCCTAGATGATGGTGAAGAAACTGAAACCTTAGGGACGGGGATTCTGGAAGCTCTAGCTTCAGGTCTAACGCCGGCATCGGTCGAACCACGGGTTGGAACTGGAGGTGCTGGAACAGGTGGAACCGAGGTGGAAATTGTTGTGTTACGACTTGACCCATTGGAATTTTGGCTGATAACGGAATCTCTATTTCCCTTTGATGCCATGGATTCTCTATTTCCCTTTGATGCCATGGATTCTCTATTTCCCTTTGATGCCATGGATTCTCTATTTCCCTTTGATATCATGGATGGAGATGTGCGAACTTCAGCGGATTTTCTATTTGCCTTGAATTTTCGGACTGCCTTCTTCATGAACATAGGACCAGATCCGAGGTTGCTAGATCCAGAACCACTGCGCTTGTGGGTCTTTCCCGAGCGTCCAAAGGATGGATTAGAAGGAGTAGGTGGCTGTGAGCCTTCGTTATCTTCCATATCTGAATCATCTGACCAGTGACTAGGAGGTTCGTTCTTTGGAGAGAATCCTGGTTGGACGGGAGATTTGACGGTAACGCTCTCGTGGGAGGTGAATAGTGATTCGGAAGCAATAGTTTCTGGTTCTTCGACAATTGGCGCGTGAATATCATGATCTCCAAAAGCGGGTTCAGGCTGTGGAACGTAGTCGTCGGGGTTCAAAGGAGTTACATATTGCTCTGGTGTCCATCTCTTGGGTCTTGCGGCTTCTTTAGCCTTGGCTTCTTGTTCTTGTTGTTCTTCTTGTTCGAATTTCGCCTTGACTTCAGAGAAGGATTGGGGTTCGGAACATTCGGAGTCACAAAGTTCGAGTTCAAGAGGGTTCTTAGCCCTGAAGTACTCGCCCTTTCTGTTAAAGTAACCCTTTTTGCCTGGCACCATCTTTGCCTTCTGTTTTTCCTCGAAGACTTTTTGCTGCTGTCGAGCAAATTCACCACTTCGTTCGAATTCTGCTTGTTCAAGGATCTCCTTTTTGATCTCTTCGGAAGTTTTCTTCTTGATCTCCTCAACTGGCGAGCTGATATCCCGTGGTGCCTTTTCCTTTTGGAAGAAACCAAAGACACTACCTCTCTTTTCTTCCTTAGGAGCATGAATGTTAACATCGGGGATGACGGGTTCTAGTTCTCCAGATTTATCCCGACCAAAGAAAAGAGATCGCTTGGTCTTAAGCGGCTTGTCGTTCAACTTGACATTAAAGTTAGGGTTGATGCGGTTGTCGATATAATCCGCTGGAGACAAGGTATTTTCAGTCGAAGCCTTTCCGGTATCAGGAACACTATGATGCGGACTATATGACATGAAAGTGTCATCATTACTCGTGAGACCCGTGTCACCACTAGCTCGACTAGAGTCCCAACTTTCATGATTCTTGTGAGATCCGCCATACGACTCGATACTAGGTGCAGTCGAAGGAGCATCACTTTGACGCTTGTTGTTGAAAAGGCGTTTGAACAAACCAGGACGTGGAGAATCAGGAGATGATGTGCCGCCAATTTCGACAGAAGTTCGCTTGTCGGCTTGAGGAACTTCGGTGTTGAGTTTACTTGGTCCAGCTGTCTTATCGCGTTTGCGGAAAAGATTGCTAACCCCGCCACGGAAACCGAGAAGTGATTTGGATGATTTTGAAGGATCTTGGTCGAGTTTGCCGTTACGGTTTGCAGTGTGGTTAACCTCTTTCTCCAATTTGCTGCCAGCGTAAGGTACGAATGGTATAAAAGCGCCGCTTTCAAAACTGCTAGTTTTTCGAATATCGCTCATTTCAATACCGAGACGTTTCATTGCCTTAATTGGAACAGTAGATTGTGGCGGCGTATCAAAATTATCCTTATATTGGATTGTGGTGTTGTAAAGATCCTCTTCTTCAATGCGCATGCCGTGTCCTATGTCGGCCATGGAAGGATGAGGCGCTGGGCCATAAATAGGCGTAGAAGGATAATAAGCATTTTCAGCCGTCTTAGGCGGGGGAGTAGGTGGGAATTCAGGAGTAATAGAATCCTTAGGAGGAACGGGAGGTGGTGTGGGACTTGTTGGTTCGACATGAATAATCGTTGGATGGCGAAGACTGTTGGTGTCTTTGATCTCGTGTGGTGGGCTATCAGATCCAACGATTGAAGCCGGTTTTGGAACGCGACTGTTAGAAGGAACGGCAGGAGCTGGCGTCGGAGCGGGTTTTTCGATTGTGACCGGTTTTTCGATGATAACGCGGTCTTTGATTCCGTTTTCTTGGGAGAAGTCATCGCGCCAGAAGTTGGTGCCGTCACAGATTGAGCGATGGCGGCCAGCGTATTCATCGGGACCATGTTCGACGTAAGCTGGGCGAGGTTTCATGGGAACTCGTTTTTCCTCGTTAGTATTGGTATTGGCGTCTTGAACATTAGTCTCGGTTTCAACTGAAGTTACGGTCGCGGTTTCTTGAACATCCTGGATGACATTGATGCTCTCATCGAGTGGGTGAGATGGCATGAGAAACTCCTGTTCTCCTTTATACTCAACGAATGGGGTTTTGATTTGTGTACGACTTTGCTCTTCGTAGAGAGGGGTCAGAACCGGAACGTAATGTTTCTGGTCCTTGCCGTGATAAGAAGAGCGTTGATGACTGTCTGTAGAATCGGCAATGGAGATATTGTCTAGCTCCTCTCCTTCATGAGAGGCACTTGCGCCGCTTGTTCGCGAATAGTAGTCCTGTACCTTCTATTAGTTAAGCCATATCTATAGATCGAAGGAATCTGACTTACCAAAAAGTCGCCGTAGCCCTTAGCACTGCCATCCGACTTTTCGCCTACAGAGCGCGAATCTTCCTCGTCTTTCAAAGCCTGGCGGATCAAATCAGAAATATCGGGGATCTCCTCAAAAGGAACAGTCAGCTTGTTTGGCTCCTTGATCTGAACAGGAGCAGAGTAGAGATCGTCGTCAGAATCACTCGATTCCTCGGGCTGTTCAACACGGATTTCAGGAATAGTTTCTTTATCATGAGAATCCTCACAGGCCAACTGCGGCTCATCCTCTTCTTCGTCTTCGTACATATCAAGTAAGTCAGTAGGATATTCATCCGAAAGAACAGAATACTTAACCGACTTCGAAAGTCGATTAACATATGAACTTCCAGAAGTCGGAGCTCCGCCAGTTTCCTGAACAGCTAACTCGTATTGTCGGACTTTTTCAATCTTCTCGGAGATATGGAAGGTATCTGCAGATACCGCTTCGCTATAGCGATATCGGCCATAACTCGGTGGGGTGAAATGTGGAAGATGAGGATCGACGGCAGGGTGATTGAGAGGAGCAATGGGAGGCATAGGAGTAGTCGATCGATATGGTGGAGAAACAGGATAAGAATGTTCGGGTTGAGCAGAAGACTCCTCTTGATATTGTTCTTCATTGGCCTCGACTGGAGGCCCTTCAGCGTAGAATCGGTACCCTTCGACGAAATGTGTGAAGTCGTAAGGATGCTTAACCTTAAACTCCTTGTGAGCATCGATGTACCAGTCCGGAACTCCCTCCAACGAGGGCAATCGAGGGCCTTCCGAGACGCCACGATATCTAGCCTTAGCCTCCCCAAGAACGGGAGACGTTTTTCGTGGTGAAAATGGATTCATATTTGTTGATGAATCCTTAGCAATAGATGGGTTGTTGGGTGGGGGTGATTGATCAGTAGTAGTTGGGTCCATAGTAGTAGCCAGTGGAGTGTTAGAAGTAGATGAATCCGTCGTGGCCGACGGACTCTTAGTAGTTGACGCGTTTCGATTGCCTCGATTTCTACCCGGCCTTTGACGATCCGTATCCAAGTGTTCATGACGAAGATACTCCATTAGATCATCACAAGGACGGTTAATCCTCGGCGGATAATTTCTCGAAGACATGCCCGATGGGTTACCTAAGAAATTAGGTCGAATTACAGGGGTCGACCTAGAACCATTACCAGTAGTGAAAGGATTGAGAGAGGGATTGTTTGAATCAGATGAGGGGTGTCCAGATTGATACCCATGAGGTGATGATCGTGAAGTCGAGATACTGTTGAGAAAACTTTCTGACAAATGCAAGTTTCCCATGGATTGTTGTCTAGCTATTTCCGCAAATAGCGCTTCGTCGTCGTAATCTATCATTATGAGAGTATGGTTAGCTTCGTGTATACCTTTTAAGTCTTTGCAAAGTGATTTTTTTTTCTTGTTTCGTGGTTGAAGATCCAGCAACGAATTTTTCAGCAACGTGTTTCCGTGTTCAACAACCACCAACAAGACTAGGATACTACATACACTTCTGTATCCCTGATCTTTCGTCTGGGTCGTCCATTGTAAGTAAATGAACTAATCCGAAATACACAGGAAGACAGTAGGAATGATATTAACGTAGATGTGGTTGGGTGGAGATGTAAAGTGGAGGTTGGTGATTTTGCAAAAGATGTGCTGATTGCAAGGAAGGAAAAACGGTTTTGTGTGAGGATAAAAGGGGATGGAGGAAAGAATAGAAAGAGAGCTGAGAGATAGTTGGGAAAATAGGTAGCGCAATCACAATGCTCAGCAGTGGATGTATTGCCCCGAGGGAAAGATTTTGAAGGTCTTGATGTAGACTCCTGAATAGGAAAGGGAAATGTGTTGTAGACGGTGAATATTGTGTTGTTTGCGTTGGAAAACGAGCAACCCAATGTGTTGATTGGCCATGTTAGGCAATAAACGTGTCGATCTTGCGCGCAACACACAGCACCGTCCAATCATATTCCCCTCTAGCCACTGTATTCAAGCCACAGGTAGCCACAGGAAAGTACCAATATCTCCTCCAGCAAGACCAAACGCTTACATGTATCAAAGAACAGAAGCTCTTCTCAGCTCCACAACTTGAATATAAACCTCAACCTCTATCGCAATACCGAATCCCGTGTCGAGGCAGTGTTCGAAGACAACAGACACAACAACATGTGCCGCAAACAGAACATCGTGGGTATGTATCGACAGCCGATACCAAAGAATAAAAAAAGCTCATCTACTAGCGAGAAAAAAAGCTTTCTAACTTACTTTTTCTTTGAAGGGCCTCAGGGTTCTAAAGATATATATACAAACCCAGTCAAACTCCTTCAAACCCAAAAAAAACCGAGGCAGCCAAGCAGAACGGTTCCCTTCCAAGACGCGTTCCAGGCTAAGGGCATGCGTTGATCGTGTTGGATCTTTCCGAGGTCGTGGTGACACAAGCCCAAATGAGCCCACGAGCCAAGTTCGGTGCGACAGCCTTTTCGTCCAGGCAACAAACGAAAAAACTAAGCCGGATTTCGCTGCTGCGTCGCACCGTTGTGGCACGATGCTGAACAGATGTTGGAAATACGAGATTTCCTGCGGGATACCTGAGGAGGAGCAGATGATTATTTGTTAGTTTGAGTTTCGCCGCATCGAAATGCATTATGCCCTCCTTCTATTTTTCCTTTCATTATTTCTCGCTGTCATTTCCCGTCCTCAATGCCGTATGACAGTTTCGCAGGTGTCCCAGCAGCTAATTTCCCATCCGTCTACCAGGTCGACACTCGTGCCTGCGATTCCTACTTTTTATCCCACCAAATCACACCTTTTAAACAAAAAAGAAAGAGGGGGAAGACAAATGCCGTACCACCAAAAAAAAAAAGGCTCGTCTCTATCTTGGTGTCTGCTGGTATCACAGAGACCTTCTCGGTATCCTTGTGATTCTTTTTATTACGCCGAATTCGTCCTTGTCGAAATTCCTGTCGTTGTCTTCGATCTCTTCGTTGTTGAATATATTTGGAGCACTCGGTCCACCAAATCTGGCCAGGCCTCGTATCCGGCTTATTTCCATCATGAGTTATCGTCGCACAGGTCGAGTCGAAGGTCGTAATCCGAACATCTGAAATTGTCGAGTAAAGATAGCTTATGGAGAAGAAAGCAAACCCAAAAAATGGAATTTTAAAAAAAGGTGCGTCAAGGCCAGGAAAACTAGGAAAAGTTGGGGAAGGGACAAGGCAAGCTTATAGATATTACGACCAGGCCGGAATTTCGGTCGACTGTTCAATTATATTTAACAGAATGTACGAAAATGCGCGGTGGTCCGGGTACATAAGCGGGGTGAGACCGCCCCGAAGACCTTCTTGCGATCAATCATGTTCAGCTGACAGGCTAGGCGGGCAGATGGGCTGCACCCCTGGTTCAAAGTTACTTGATTTTTTCGGTTGAAATGAACAATTATTCCTGTGGGTTGCGACCGCCTCTGTCCTTCGCTCCTACCACATCCATGTGTTCTGATGAGCTTCCTCCCCCACCACCAGGCATCAGAGGATTATTCCAGGTATCCGGGATCGAGAGCATAACCTTGCGGTTTTAGCCATCAAATGAAAAGTGGCTGACGGGTGTCGAACCGAGTCTCTAAGCAAGTACCAGTACCTGCTTGGCATTGCAATCTGCCACAGAAAATAATGTTTCTTCTACGTAAATTAGTGAAAACCACCGAAGTATCTGATACAAGGCGAAGGACAATCAGGTAGGTGGCCTTGCAATTGGGCGGGCAATGTCTGGCCGAGGTCTACGGAAAGTCTGCAAGCAAACAACTTTCTACGACTCTAGTTACGCACCGTATGGAACCGAGACGAAGAAAACCCCCCCATAAACTGACTACCCTCCAATTTTGTCCATGCAATTAAAGGCATCCAAAGGTTCGAAGCCGTGTTACCACTGTTAAAATTGTGAATTTCCGTAGGGTCTAAGGCAAGCCATCCGGCCATGCATACGCAAGTTTCTGGACAGTGCTTCCTTCCCGAAGTGGGCAAAAAGAAAGCAGGGGTTTGCATCTAACCTTCTTGAAGCTGCTGGATTTCAAGACGAGCTTTTGAGAAACGTTATTTTGGTTCGAAATCGATAAGCCCTTTCCCACTATTTCAAGTTTAGACCTGCGATATGGCGCAAGTCCGGTTGTGAAGCTATCGGGACTGTAAGATCTGCTGCAACCCCTACCCCTCCAATAGCTTCAAGATCGCCTTTGCATTGAAGATTACGACAGATGTGTGCCTACCCCTTCGGTGTTACACTCGTGGGGACTTCCAAGGAAAAAGAGAAAAAAGACATGGCAATTAAACGGAACAAACGAAGGCATCACGATGACTATCAGCGGAGAAATCGGGTGCCAGCACCATAACTACAATCCTACATCCTGGTTCTTGCTACCTCAGATCCCCGTCTGGTCGGGCCGGTTCAACACACTATTTAATGTATGTGTGGTCTCGTGGCTGCAAAACGATGGCGCATGGTAAATGGCTTTACTTCGGGCTAACGAAATGGGGCGCAAAAATGTTAAAAACAAAGAAAAAATTAGCAAAGCAGAATTTGGGAAATTTGGTCCAGCTTTGCCGGATGAATTCGTGAAACAGTCCCGGGTTGGTTAAAATGTTATTTTATAACTGGTCTTCGTTTTTAATTTGTGATATATCGTTATCCTCGATTTCCGAAGAAAATGCTGGCTTCTTGGGGCGCCCACACTCGTTTGTGCAGCGACTAAGAACCAAGCCAAGCCAAACCTTCCAGTATCCAATCTAACCCATGTGGCGATGGCTTCCAAGGCCAGGACGTCACGAACGTGCTTAGTTATCCCCCTTCACGATATCACTTTCCGTATTCACCAGGTACTTTTAACATCAAAAAAACAGGGAGTCTCCGAGCTCGCAATCAAGGCTGATATAATAATATCATCGTCTAAGAAAATCCCGATTTGGAAAATGCAACATCCCGTGTCTTATCAACGCATTTATATTTATCAAGGGAAAGATTTCCCACACGCGCGCCTCGGATAGCGCCAGCAGGCACAGCACGGTCTCAATTGTATTCCAAAAATGATGTTATCAATATAGCATCATTCCCGTGAATTCCCATAGGAGATCGGACATTTTTTTCTTTCTTAATAGTCCGAATAACTAATAGATCCCCGAACCCCTGCATGTTGCGCAGGTACCAAAATAACTAACAAAAAAACTCGCCTATGGATATCGCGAAGAATGCCGTACTCCGAACACTCTCGGAACTTAATTTAAACGTATGCATAGTACACACGGCACCCCCATAACCATACCGCACAAAAGTACAGCAAGTAGGGCGCCTCGAAGTTTACTGCAGCCCATTCGATGGATCTAAGAACGGCCGCCTCTAGGTTAGCGTGAATACTATACCGGATGCAACGTCTGATCGTCCTTATGTCTGCATGGTGGCTTTCTGGTAATCTAATGACTGTGCGTTCTCACGGGTTGGAAGTATAAAGTATGACCTTCTAGGCTGTTAACGGGCATTTCGTTCCTTTTTACTATTTAAATTTCTCTTGATTCTTGTTTACCGTTCCGTCAGTACCGACAGTACAGTCCATTCCTTTCGGCGTGTTTTCCTTTACATGTTCGCTTTTGAGCATTAAGTCTCTGCCCACGTTCATTACTAGTGTTATCGCTGCATTCTTTATATCAGCAAAAATGAAGACATTCTTTACAGCTATTATTCTCGGGTAGGCGCCTAGAACTTCCTTCCCGACCTCGTGATTTTGTAAAAAAAATTATAGTTAAGTTAGTTACGTAGGCTGACATGAGACATGCATCCTTAGCATTTTTGCCATCACCACCTGTGCCCGCGAGGTTGACGTCGAAACGACGACCAGTGCTATTACAAGCACACACACATCCCACAAACCAATAAAAACCCACCCACCAACCACCCTCGTCGCCAAAAAGACCACTTCCACAACATCGACTTTCACTCCACGTCCCACCTGCGACGTTGTCATGTTCCGCATCGACTGCCCAGAAACTCCAGATCCATGCTGTTCTCGCATTATCCCTACCGATTCAGGCAGCGGCTTCATCTGCGCCAGTGAGTGGGACGCCATTGATGAAGGCGTAGAATGGGAGTCGTGCGTTGAAACCACTACTACCTCTTCCTCTGAGATCACGGTACCCACTGGTTACGCAGCTTTTGCAGCTGCGGATGGCAAGGGTGGAAATGTCACCACGATTACTACTACTGTAGTATCATTCCCCGAGCCTACATATAGCTCTGGAGCTTCTGGAGCTAAGGGGCTGAGGATGGGTGGTCCGGCGGCATTCGGACTGTTGGGGCTGGTGTTTGCGATACATTATTAGTGTTTCGTTTGCATCAACTTTCTTTCTTTCCTATCTTTTTATGATCTATACCATGTCCCGCCTTTGATCTTGCTCTCGATCCGTAGTTCTGAACTTCACGAAACGTTCTCCTTTACCCTCTATTTTTCTTTTACCCTTCTCTTCGGTGGCGCACACGATATACACCGACACCTTGCATTTATTTGCACATCCGGCACCTCCAATATATATATACACACAAGCTCAAAGGTTCACAAAATTCTTGGAATCTGAGCTTCTTTCTTTCGCAATGGGGACAAGTCGCATGGTCGACTTCAAGTTCTCCCCACTACAGTTGTTTTATCTCCTTTTCGTCTTCTCCTTTTCCTCTTTTCTTAACTAGTCTAGATACGCGCAGTATACAATCTCAAAAGTTATAAGTGGAGCGGATCCATCGTGATATGATTTCATCTACCTCGTCACCAAATCTGGCCAGACTCCCTAGTTAGTTTGTGTGAATATATGCACTCGTAGTACAGCCAGCCAGCCAGCCAGCCTAGACCTAAGCCTATACGTCATTTACTCGAACTCAGTATTGGAATATTTCCTCGCTTTTATAAATTTTACCGTTCTCGTGCACGTGCATAATCTCCCGCCCATACTGTGCTTTGATAATTTATAAACTACCTTCGCACGCGCTTCGGCTTGTCATCGGTATTCTATAGGCTCGCTAGACGCTAAATATCTGGTCCTAGTCTCAAGACCATGTGCGACTATACTGCGAACACGTGGGATATGCACTTGTGTATTATAATACTATCTTATATACGTTATACATGCAGTAATGAACTATCAATACGCACAGCCGCACCAGCCAGTTATATCACAGTACTAGTCACATCTATAGCTATAGCTAATATAAAGCAAAATTTATCGAGAAGAATTTCATTGTGTTCATAGATAAGTATCAGGTATTAAGCTAGTCATACACCCCCAAATACCATCCCACGACGTATATATAACGCGTCTAAAACGTTAAACCCCACAGACTCTACTACCGTTCCTAATTAGGTCCACTTTTTCATAAGTCAGCACGTGCGTCCACTATAAAAGAAAAATCATGCGCAAAACAGTGCTTGGTTTGTATATATAAATATACATATTTATAAAATCTCAGACTCTTGATATGTCAATTAAACATTATCGGCCCCCCCTCTTCGCTCTATATTTATAGAAATCGAAAAGGAGAAAGACCATTCATACGGCTCTTCCGTATACTTTGAAATTGTATTTGAATTTCGCTCATCATTGGATTTTTCGTTCTTTCTTTCATTCTTTCTTTCATTCTTTCTTTTCACGGAAACGAATTGTAACTTGGTAGAAGTACTGGGGGGTGGATGTTTAGACATACCTAGAACTGGGACCCCAATGGCGGGATAGAGAGTCGTGGTAGTGGTTGTGATGATGATGAAGAAGAGACGAAGCAGAAAAAAAAGTTGTTTGCCTTTTTATCGATAACCGCCAAACGCCAAGACATTCTCCCTCCGCCAAAAAAAAAAAAAAAAAAAAGTTAGTAAAGTTTTCTGTCGCAAAAAAAACGACAAGGCTTTTCCTTCAACCCACCTTTAAAACATCTCCACAAACCTCCAACTTCAACCTCAACCTCATTCTTTAACCCCCACTGTCTTAAAGAACAAGGATGATAACATCAACAACCTGGGTCCCTCGTGGCTTCGCCGCCGAATTCCCAGATCGAAAAACTCTAGACGAAGATGAATTCTCTCGGATCGCTGAAATCGCAAAACTCAAGTTAGACGATGCAGAAGAAGAGCTAGAAGATGCTAAAGCCGCTGAGTCCGACGACGATGACAAAGATAACAACAACAATGATGAAGAAGCAAAGGATACAAATGGAGGAGGAGTATCATTAGAAATGGATATCGACTCTGAAGTTCCTTCAAAGAAGGAGAAAGAGAAGAAGAAGAAGAAGAGTAAGAAGGGAGGAAAAGACGATAGTGATGATGAAGCGTATGTTCTCCCCATCCGATCGATCTCTACTACAGATTTGATACTAATGATATACCTATATGATGTATAGTGCAGATGATGATCTGAAAGAATATAATCTGGATACCTACGATGATGATGTCGCCGAAGACGATGACCCTCAGAGTACGCCCCCTCCCCGCTATCTCTTATACAATTGAAACCTCATAGCTAACATCTCGAAAAGCAATGGGCATGTTCGGCAACATCAAATCCTTAGCCTACCACGAAAATAACGACGAAGACCCTTACATCACCATCCCAGACGTATGTTCCCCCCCGCATAATTCTCAATTAATCTCTTAGAACCCGAATATGAGGATACTAATATATGTATAATAATGTCTTAACAGAACCAAGATGACTCGGAAAGAGAAGACCTCCAAATCCTCCCAACAGACAACCTCCTCCTCGCCGGCCGCTTCGAAGACGACCTAGCTCACCTCGAAGTCTACGTCTACGAAGACGACTCCGACAACCTCTACGTTCACCACGATTTAATGCTCCCCGCCATCCCACTATGCATAGAATGGCTCGACCTCCCCGTAAAAACCACCCCAACCCCAACCACAAAGGGAAACTTCGCAGCAATAGGAACCACAGATCCAGACATCGAAATCTGGAACCTAGACACCGTCGACTCCCTATTCCCAGACGCAATCCTAGGCGCCCCGAACCCTCAATCATCATCCACCACAAAATCTTCAAAAAAGAAAAAGAAGAAGTCAAAACAACCAATCTCAACCCACCACACAGACTCAATCCTCTCCTTATCCTCAAACCGTACCCACCGTAACCTCCTAGCCTCAGGCTCAGCAGACACAACCATAAAACTCTGGGACTTAACAACCTGCACCGCAGCCCACTCCTACACCCACCACACAGACAAAGTCTCCTCCCTAGCATGGCACCCAACAAACACCACCATCCTCCTCTCCGGCTCTTGGGACCGAACCATCGCTGCCGTAGACATGAGAACAAAGGATACAGTCTCAGGCCGCTGGGGTTGTGAATCCGACGTCGAGGGGATAAAATGGGACCCCCACGATTCAAATTACTTCTACATCTCAACAGACGTAGGAACACTCCACCTCCACGACGCGCGAACAATTCCATCTTCTTTGTCAGCTACAAAGCCAGTTTGGACATTACAAGCCCATTCGTCGAGTTTAACCTCCTTCGATGTAAACCCCATAATACCGGGTTTCATAGCCACTGCTTCCACTGATAAAAATGTTAAGATATGGAATGTGGAGGGTAACAAACCTAGTATGGTTACCACTAGAGATTTTGATCTAGGCAAAATATTTAGCGTAGGTTTTGCACCGGATAAAGAAGTTGGGTTTAGATTGGCGATTGCGGGAAGTGAGGGTATTGTGAAGGTTTGGGATACTAGTACTAATGCCGCCGTAAGAAGAATCTTTGCGGGCAGAGTACCTGAAGGTGTTGAAGAGAAGGAAGAGAGGGTTGTGGGCGTTGAGTATAGTGATAGTGAAAGTGATAGTGAGGATGGTGAAGAACCGGAGGAAGGTGCTAAGGAAAGACCAGACGGGTGGGAGAGTATGAGTGAGGAAGAGGATTAAACGTCTACACATCAGCTATATATCTGAGTTCAATAGCGAAGTACCAGCAGCAGGCTTTGTATATTATGACCTTTTCTTTTTCTTTTCTCAACGAAAACCTACCTTACGATGATATTTTGTATGTATCGCACACGGTTTATCACGGAATATAGACAAAAGTTCTCCTTCATTCACCCTTAGACCCAGACACCTTTTTGTCAAGAACCCTCCCAAATCGACCGAATCAACAAGATAAAAATGCCTTTTATATTTATTTTTATTCTAACAAGGTTTATATACTCACACTACTAAATCCCCCGCCGCACCTGCAGCAGGTAAATGTCCTCCATCCTTAACCAGCAACCCCTCCTCATCATCACCACCACCACTACCACCATTCTTCGTCGCTTCACCCCCTTGATCCTCCCCCTTCCCATTCTCCTCAACTTCCTGTTGCTTCTCCCCATTCTGCTCCCCTTTATTCCCTTTCTTCTTCTTCCCTTCCTTGACTTTAACCACAATCTCATCCCTCCGCTTCAACACCTCCCCATTCCCATCAACCGCATCTCCATCCCCCAAACTCCCATCATCAATCCCAAAAACATCAGTATGCTCCTCCTTCCCCGCTCCATTCTTCTTAATCTGTATATTATTCCCATTCCCATTCCCATTCTCCCCACCACTACCACCACTACCCCCTTCGCCCTTAACATAGCTCTTATCAAAGCTACCGGGGTCGATACCTAATATCCCACCCATTCCGCCTCTATCCCCCTGTGCTGAGAATTCACGATATACGTATTTCCATTCATCCAGGAAAGCACGAACAGATCGTTGTACTTTATCTTTTCCGTTTTTAGAATGGTGACCTGTACCTGTGATTGCATATAATGGTTGCGAGGACTTTTGATTCTCGAGGAGGATTCTTTCGAGGTATTCTACTGCTTCTTCTGGGTGGAGGCCTATGAATAATATAACTTAGTCTCCCAAATACTCAAACTGTAAAATAGCATGGAATAAAGGAAGGAAGGAAGGAAGGGAGGAAAAGGGGGAAGGTATATCATACCATGTAAGTCCACAAACAACTCAACAACAACCCCACCATTACCAACAGACGCTCCATTCCTCAACGCACGTTGTCTCTGCTCATAAATAGCCCCCGCAGCTTCTCTGTGCGCTTTCCTCATCTCAGCTTGCTCCTGTTGTCCCTTATTACTCAAACTCTTCGCAGCCTTGGCGTCATTCCTAGCCCATGCTGCTGCTGCTGCACTAAGATACTTATTCCGCAGTTGACCATGCTTAATAGCCGTCTGTCGGTGTTTCAAGTATGTCTTATTCATGGCGTTTCCGGTGTCCAGCCATGGGATCTGCTGGGGCGGTGGTATCGCTGCTGCTGCGGCTGATAATGGGAAGTTTGCACCTGGTGGACCATTCCCACCGTTATGATTATTGTTGTTGTTGCGATGGTTGTTTCGGTGTTTCCCAGGGACTGCGAAGGACGGTGGTGGGGAGTTTTGGATGTGGTTGTTGAAGCGGTTGTTACGGTTGTATGGACCTGGTGAAGGGGACATACGGACTACATCTGCCAGACTAGCTGGTCCCGTAGGAATGTTTTGTCCTGGAGAACCCGTAATACCTTCTGTGAGGTTACTCCTATTGTTCCGTCGGTTTTGATGTTTCTTCCCGGTTTTGAAGCTACCGAGGGATGGGAACGCGTCTGTATCGTCGACTGATGGGATCATGGGACTCGGAGCACGGTTCTGAGCTCGTGAGTTTGGACGCGAGATGTTTAGCGCGCGGAAACCTGGGGGTGGAGAAAGGGTAGGGTTGTTGGATGGGTCGCCGGATCTACCATTATTGTAAGGGGAAGAGGTAAGGTCGCCGCCGAGGGCTGGGAAGGCGGTGGTATCTTGAAAGTGTAGGAGAGGTGGAGTAGATGTCGCGGCTCGCTGTTGGTCCATGAGTTTACTGGCCGATTGGGTGGGATCGTGGGAGAAGATACAGGTATCTCCGGCGAGACAGGAGCCCATTACCCAATACCTTGATATCTTGTCAGTATATAAGCTCGTATGAGGTAAAGGAAGGGAGGTGATGTTGTACATACTTGCATATCGTCGAAGACGTGTCATGACTGAACCTACAATCCGCCCTCAAGCAACTACCAGTCGACAAGAAGAATCTACAAACGACACCAACTTTAGGCGTCGTCGGTCGTCCAGGACTCCTTCCATACTCCCCACCTCCCGGCGTCAAAGCCGTATTCTTCCCCGTAGCAATCGTCATCCCCTCACCACTAAGGTGACTATACCTCCCTTCCGGTGTCCTCAATACATCGATATTGATCCCACCGTGCCCATTCCCATTCCCCGTAATCCCCTCTTGATCCATAAGCATGGATAAAGTAGCAGAAAGATCATACCCGCACGTCTCCAACGCGGCTGATATCTCCTCATCCGTACGTCCTTCCCCCAACACGCTGCGCAGCATATCATGAGGGGTCAAGTTATCCTGCTGCATAAGTCCCCCCCGAGAAGACAAATAATTCGTCGGATTATCATCCGCGACCAACCACGCGACGTTCTCGGATCCATAGTCACCGTATATATCGGGCGTAATAATGTCAGTAGCATATTCGTACGCGTTTAAAGACGGCGAATGGGGGATTCGCGGTGAAGAATAAGCCAATAAAGGTGACGGCCGAGGACTCGGGAACGGACTGCTATTGACATGGTTGAGAAGGCTGGTTGTAGCTATAGAGGCGAAACCGGGAGGTGGAGTTCCGACGGGAGTTCCCGTGCGACCGGCCATCTGCCACGGAGCCGGCGAGGAACGACGGATGATTGTGGCTCGTGGAGGAGGCGGAGAGGATGTGGGTGAGACTTGAGCTCTGTGACGCCATAGAACATCGAGGGTCTGGGCCTCCAAAGCGGCTCCGGTGAGGCCGGTTCGGGATTTGATGACATCTTCGACTTGTTCGGTTTGTTCTTCTTCGAGGAGAGAAGTGTTTTGAAGGATTGCGACGCATTCGTCGAAGACTTCGTCGGGGAGGACCATCGTGGCTGGAATTTTTTCGTTCTTCCGTCCCGTTTCCTCTGGTGGGTGAGTGAGGCTGGGAAGCTGAGGCTTTCTTTTCGGGCCGCCCTTTTCCTCTCCCTCTCTCTCTTTCTCCCAAGCTCACCCTTGAAGTTGAGGGGTTTGGCGAGCGAGGCCGGGATTAGTTTCTCAGGTCAAGCAGGTTCGGTCAGCTGCCAGCTCGGGAGGGAACTTGGCGAGCAGAGTAAAGAAACGAGCAATGCGACCGTGATACTGTATTGTCTTTAGCTAACCTGACGTGTGGAAGTTGAAGCTGACGTTGACGTTGACGTTGACGTTGAAGTTGAAGTTGAGGTCGAAGTCGGGTAAGAGCAGGTTTCGATTCAGGAGGAACGTTCTTTGGCAGCGGAAACGAAGCGGAGGAGAAAAAGACCAATACAAAAGCAGAATCATGAAACGAGGAGACCACTTTACTCCAGTCCAATTTATTCCACACCGATGCAACCTCTTCTACTAATTAAGTATTTCAGTGGATCAAAAAAGATCCCGGTGTACTTTTTATATACATCGGGGGGACTAATATACCAGCATAGGACAGGCTCGAGGCTGACAGGTACTATACTACCTAGGTATGTAGGTGCTATGCTATACGTACTATACTATACCCCTCTCCAGCTATAGAGGCACAGCTAGCCAGCTGCAGTACATCTCCATCCTCATGCTCTAATTCACGATTGTATGTCTCCACAACTATACAAGGCGCCAAAGATCCAAATTTAAATCTAAAAAAGTTACCAGGGCAAACTTATATTTTAAATCTAGGGTCGGATCAACCCAATACATACTGACTTAAGTACTTCAGTATGTCGGTATGTAAGTACCTGTATAAGTCTACATGCGCATGTTATCCGCATAGTAATTCCAACAAGTTATGTCCATGTCCAAAGACTCTAAAATAAGTACCCGGTCGATCGCCTGTTAATACATGTTGGCTAACAAACAAACATAAGTAAATACTTAGTAGCTAAGAGGGTATTAGCATCACATTGGCATATCGAGAAATGTTAAAAAAGAAGCCAAGTTTATGTGCCTGCGTGTGTGTGTCTGTATGATCTTAAGCTTGCCTGTTCAGCTGAGGTCCAATGCGAGACCGTGGCGGGAGCACCCGTTATTACCTAAGACATCTCTTTCCATTTCGTTTCATGCTGGCACATACAAACGGGAGACTTCTATTCGTTCTCACTGGTATACTATTGTAAAAAAAAAAAAAAATTGCGGAACGAGATTGAGGGCTCCGTGAGTAACTATTAGTAGGCAGGATCCAATCGGATCCTTGAGGATACATAATTGGCAAACTTGGTATATATGGCAAACGTTATAGAATGTAAAATATGCAGCCTTGTCTTGAAACCTGGAATGATCCTGTGGGTTTGATACTAACTCTGCTCAAGGATCGTCATATTATACTAGGTATCTCCTAAAGGGTGTGGTTCGTTCTAGTCACAATTGTATTGTGTAGACTGCTCCAACTAGTACTAGTACTAAACAATTCATGAGAGGTTTTAAGCAGAGAGTATTATTATTTATTACAGTTAATTCGGGGAGTATCAGTTTATATATCCAATCGTCATAAAAAAGTAAATGCGGAGATGCCCAGGGATATTTCAAATCCACAGTCTTCCTAGTAGTGGAGAGTGCATCAGAGTGCTCGTAAGAAAACCTCCGTCCCAATCGACCAGCAATTTCGACAGATATCCGTCCCATATCTTACGCCCAAGCCAGTTCAGTCTCGCAGTCAATGTCATAGACTTCATACCCTCTCTTTTTCCCTTTCTTCTTTCAATCAAAAACAAACAAATGCTGTAAGAGGATTATTTATCAACCCTCTCCCACTCCACGCTGCTCTCCAAAGAATGTGAGCTGCTGCCTCGACTCCCCGGTGAGATTCCTCTAACATTCTCAGTCACCCTCCTCCCACCTCTAAGCCCCAACATCCATCCCACAACCCCCTCAGGTACCCACCTTCCGATAAAATCATATGCCACACTCCCACTCCCTACCCTCATGATCTTCTTCACCCTCTTATCCAACATCCCGGCCACAATAGCCGCATTCACCTCCTTCAAACTACTTCCCCTAACTCCATCCCCCACAGCTTTCGAACAAACATACCCTCTTGCGTAAATACTCCTTACAGCTGGACTCCAGCTAAGAACATCCGCTCGTGTTGCAGATTCTTTGTTTCCCTTCTTTTCCGTTATGGTGCCAAGATCTAGAGTTCCCACTTTGATCCATCCGACTTGTACACCTGCCGGACTGACTTCACGTCTTAGACAGCCGATTACACCTTCTAACGCTCCTACTGCCGCGACTTCGGGGGCATGGAAGGGTAATCGTAGGCTATAGCCTATACCCGGTGTAACAAATAGTACTCGAGCTCTGGATTCTGTGACAATAGGAAGGAATAACTGTGTTATCGCCAAGGTTTGGATGATCTTGAGATTGAATGTATCGGACCAGTGATCCAAGGGTATCGTTTCGATCGGACCAGACGGGAAGTTTGAATCCGGGATAAGAATCAATGCTGTAAATTTCAGATGATGGGGTGGTGCGCCTTGGAACGGAACGACAGGTGATTTGAGATATGACGAAAATCGAGAGATAGACGCGCGGGCAGAGAGGGTCTGTACTCGTGCATCGTTAGTGTCAACCATTCGATATAAACAAAACGAAGATTGGGGAGCCATACATCAAGAATATCAATCTGAAGCGGTTTAATATTCGTCTTCCCCTCCGCTAACACAACTTGCTCATCCTCATGCGATGAAACCGCAATATAAACCACAAACCCTCGTCTCTCCAAATCATGAGCCGTAGATTTTACAATCGGATCATGCGGTTGTCCATGAATAACTAAGTATCCAACCTCATCAGTATCCACCAAAACTTCCCACCACAAAATGATATAAGGGGAATAACATACCAACAACCTCCTTCCTAGCTCCATTCGCTGCCTTCAACGCCTTCCTCCTCCTAACCCTCTGTCTCTTCCTTTTAACCACCAAAACCCCTCCACCAACAACCACAACCACCAACCCAGCCACAAGCCATTTATGTTCCTTAACCCACGTCCAAACTACGCCTAATCCCTTCCCATTATCTCTAATAATCATAGGAGCGGCAGGTGGTGGAGGAGGTGGAGACTTTCGGTGAGGAAACTGTGGAAGCCATGATGTATCATTCGCCTTTTGACGAATAGTCGTAGCCATAGAATCAAAGTGTTTATCGGCTTGATCCATCATATTTGAAGTATGGTACCGAATCGAATTCCAAGCTAGAACGAAGGGGTCGGTGGTCGACATTGTGATGATGTATCACCCTCGTGAGGTATCACAGGTAGCTTAGGTCTTCTACAGGTTTAGAGAAATCTTGATAGTTGAAAGTGTTGAAGGTTAAAAAGTAAATATAAGGATTCTGATTTCGTATAGTAATGATATTGGGATACGTAATGGGAATTTGGCTTGTGATCGAGGGGAACGATGGAGATGGATAAGGATAAGGTTGAAGGGCGAAGGTGGGATGACGTTGGCGTGTTTCCGAGGGAGGATTCGGCGGGGAAGCGGGTATAGCGGGATATATACGCCACATTGAATGATCGTCTGTGGCGCAAGAATGAGGTTGTGGCAACGCATATACCTCGTTGGATTTTTAGTAGATATCGCGGTCTCCATTTGGACTATTCGACAGCGATGGCTATTACAAGAGCCTAGATTAGTTCTAATGATAGTTTATTGACCATTGATTATTAGTTACTTAAGGAGATTGATTAATATGGTCATTTGAATCTTCATGGATTGTATATTATGCTAAACCAGACTACAACAGCTAGAAGAACGCCTTCCATGACCCCCTCTTTCCTTAATAAAACCAAGTAACATTTGTAATACCCACCTTCTATGAACTATCTTGGCACTGAGATTACTAGTGGACCATATTTGCAGCAACCCATTCCTATACACGAATTGTCAGTCTACTTTCCCCTAGGTAGCGAGGTGATTATGGGACTCACCGGATGTTCTGTTTGTAGTAAACTCGTAACCCTCTCGACCTCCTCCGCCAACGCCAAAATATTCGCATCCCACTTCCTCGTTTGCCTTCCAATGATAACTCCATCCGTGTGTGCACCAGTTCCGGCAGGTCCATCGAAATAAATGACCTTATCGATCTGGTCAATCTGTCCAGCCAATCGCTTCTGTTCAATCATTCTAGCAGCATATCTTTCTGCCTGTTCAGCCGGTAACTGCAGCAAAACACCCAACTCCTCAACACCAATGTTGTTATACAGCCTCGATGCAGCGAGTAAGTTGTGCTGAACAATAGCTCTTGTCAAGACTGTTGTTCCATCTGCGTTCTGTGCGGTTTGGTGTGGTGCAAGACTCTTTTCAAACGCGTCGACATCCTCGGAGCTGAGCAATCTGTCGAAGTACATCTTCTCCAAAATAGCATAGTGCTCGACTTGAGGAGCTCTATCATCTTTATATAGCGTACCAAGAGCTCTGCTTCTAGCTGGTCCGGCAGGCGCCAAAACAGCGCAGATGATAGCAGCATTCAAGCACCCCAACCTCTCAGTCTCCTCGACCACCTGTGAAAAGCTGAGCTGGAGGTATTTCTGACAAGCGTTCAAGAAATCTCGCTTGTTATCATAAATCCTAGCTTGACACATCAAGAAATGAAGATTCTGGATTTCATCCGTAGATTTATGAATAAGCGAGACAGCACGGTTGAGATAACGCTCCGCGGTAACAGACTCATTATCTTCCAAAAGATTTCGCATGATCCGAATGTAAGTTTTCAAACGGTATTCATCGGGAATAAGACGTTGTGAAGACTCCAACTGGATCGCCATGAGAACGTTTGCAGCAGCCGTATTATCGTTTTCGGACTCATAGATATCCGCTAGTTGTTCGCGACAAAGCGTATCCGATTCTTCATACGAAACAACACGAGGTCTTAGAGCTTCGACCAGGTAATTTAACGTATCCTTCTTCGATTCGCTTTCACTCGGAAGCTTTGATAAGGAACTAACGAGCTCCGTCATCACGGGACGGGAGGTGATGAGTGTAATCGGCTCATTTAGGACGGTATCGATAAAGGCCTTGAGATTTGGAGTAAGCTGTTCAGGGGGTGAAGATGATAGGATCTCGGAGAGGAGGGTCTGTAGAGGCGGGATCTTGTCGGATTGCGAAGCTGATGAAGTTGTGATCTCGTTTAGAGTGGTCTTGACCTGTGGGGACGCCATGGTGGGGGTGTGCAGCTATAGTCTCGCTGCTGGGTATTGTCGAAAGTGCGTGGTGTTATCTTGTACGATCTAAGGGTAGATAAAGACCTATGGGTACTTTGATGAGCGTATACAGGGCGGTTTATGGTGACTGGCCTTGGTGTAGGTGAAATGGCCGCGATAGTGGAGGAATGGCGGGGATAAGGATTGGGACAGAAGCGCAAACGCGTGTGAGCAATGAGCTTGAGCTTGGAGCTTCAGTCGACACTAGCGCAACACAGAAAATACACCACACCATATGTCACCATCACACATCACACTGAAGTCTCGTAACCAGACTTGATCACACTGTAACAATTGTCAAGAACCTAGCTATAGCCTTGACTGCGGAGCTACCTCTTAATCTTGTCGTCAATTTTTTCCTTTATTCATCGAACCTTACTTGAGTATTTGGTTCCACGACGTGCTGGCATCTGGCTCCGAAACTATAAAAGTCTCGAGGATGCCAATCAAAACTAGACAATCAACAATCTTCTAAATATTAATATAGTCTATAACTTTAAATATATTTGGAAGTTTTATGCGGACATATGTCAACATATAGGTGGGTACCTAGGTATATATTCAACTTTTAGTGACTTCATAACCAGCTTGTCTAGACCGGCCGTCATCGGTATGGAAGCACGCGTCGGATGTCAGAATTCCCTATAATAGACTTAATTTCGAAAACAGTGAGTACCTTCCCCCTAGTCTTGTCCTGCAAAAGGTCCACACGAGGTTTAGAGTCTTTTGTCCAAAATTTAAGATATATAACCCGGAGGTTTAAAAACTATACATATTGTTTAATTTGATTATTTTATCTTTTATATACCTACCTATATTTTTATGTGGATATTTTGCTAAGTAGAAATGAATAAAATAGTTAGATTTGATAACATGCTCAAGTGGTAATAAAAATGTTTTGTTTGAAGTTTTGGGCTAAAAGGTACCCCAAATGTTCGATAAAATGCTCCACTCCTGGTATGGACTGTGTCTGAAACCCTCCCCGAGACCGCTTGAGCGTGAACTTTCAGCTTCAAGGTTCATGCGTTTATCTATCCATCAGAAGATGAATCCGTTTATATTTCCTAGCTCTCCGAATTCTTAACGGACTATATTCCTATATTCATACAGTATTTCAGCAACATTAATTATAGTTTACGAGATAATCCAGCCATACCTCTAATTTGTATAACATCCTTTCGGAAAGTTGGGCTGAAGTAAATTGCCACTCAGTGATCTTGCCCTTACCAATGGCAACCACAACCGCAAGTAATTCTTTATTAGTTTGGCTTAATTCTTGCGGGAGATCTGCTAGCCCAGCATGGCCCAACGAGTGTGAGCTATCGGATCTATTTTGGACCGTCTCGGCATCAACAGCAGTACTTTCATGCATTTGAAGCATGAACAGAGCTCGCGCGTGTAATCGTCCCGATAGAATATAGTCAGATAGTCTCACCCCAGTTTTAACATCCCAGAATACTATGTTGGATCCTAGGTCGGTGTTGGTACTAGATTCCGGTCTAGGTTTAAGACGCGCGCTGGAAGGAGATTCAGCTACAGGCTGGAGTTTTCCGAATAAAATTTTGTTGTCTGGAGAAAATTTCAGTGTGGCGAGATCTGACAGTGCCCCCAGAATCCGTATTGGAGCCTCAGCGACCAGATCCCAGAGTACTACAAATGAAAATTCACAGGTAGACCTCCTGGTCAAGCTATACGCTAAGATTCGACCATTAGTTGAAATGGCGGATACATCTGAAGCCTCAAGACCCAGTAAGCGCCGAAACTCCCTGGGTCCCACATTATCTTCATATCGCTGGAGAAGCTTCTCAACGCTTAATGCTCGCTTCGGTAGGCCGTTTCCAGGGACGAACACTATGAATGCGACATATACTTGTAATGGTGCTCTCAGAAAAATATATTCCTTAGAGAGAACAAAATAGCGGGCTCTATAAACTAGTTCTTGGACCTTTCTTTTTTGAGACTGCTTAACGGTTAGTTTTCTGGAAGTAGTTTAAAAGGACAACTCCCAAGATGTTGTCGCCAGACTCCTCAACTGTGCCCAAGATGTAGGTTTCTTTATAACTTACATTCCAGTCCAAGCGTGAGAAAAAAAAACCAATTATATTCCGCAACAGATCTGTGTCGCAAATGCTCAAGGCCTCAATCCAATGGAGACAGTGCTGTTGTAAAAATTTGTGGACTTTGTCATTGTCGGTCAAGCGGTGCTCCGCCCTTTGCATGTGTTCCGTCCAGTGACAGCAAGCATACCGCAGTTCTGAACTTATACAACTTTGGATGGTTCTATCATCAATCTCACTTCTCAGAGTTGCAACAGACTTAAGCTTGCATATGTTGAACTTTAGACCCTTAGACATAACATCGAGGCATCGGTCGAGAATTCTTTCGTGAGATTCTCGGGCGTCGACCCAGAGTTGAGACTTGTGACGGAGACCTTGGTCCAGAAGAAAATCAGAAAATGATTTATGAAGGGTTCTGATGGCCATCTTAGGGTCGTTTGGTATGTAAAGTACTGAATGAAGTGATCTCAATCTAGATTCTATTTTTCGATCTGAGACCTGCATCAGTCGGGATAAAACTTTGACTGATAGGGGGTTCCGCAGGTTGATGATAGTGCCCACTATATCTTTGAATTCTTGAACGAATGCTCCCATTTCAGTTTCATGCTGTGAGGCTAAGAGTTGTTCAAGGATTGGAAGGTATGTTTTGTCCAATCTCGACACTTGCCACTTCGGTTCATACTCGCTGATCATTTTGATCCGTTCGTCGGGGTTCCAGTGTTAATCTCCAACAAATCGACAGATTGTTGCGGCGTAGATAAATAGAGGCGTAGCCATTTTGACTAGCTTGTCGATGATGGCGGCGCCGGGCCAGTCCTCTGGTAGATGGCGCTCCCCAGCTATCCGCGACATCTCGGTCTTTAGATACAGCGAAAGATCATCCTCGATATCGGGGACTTTGTGTAGGACTAGATCCTCGTATGTATCTTCCTCTAATTTCTGGAAGGTCGGGATGATTGGGAGGTCGGGTCTACTAGTGAGAAAGACTCGTATGTCGACTTCGGTAAGGTCCTTTAACCTTGCAAGTTGCTGAATGATAACCTGAACGTCGCCTCTTTTCTCACATTCGTCAAGTGCGTCTACTACCATAACTCTAGTGTGTTTGATAGTTTTGATGCTGTTCCGTAGACCAGACTGTGATGTCCCAACCCCAGTATCATGAGTATTGAGAGCTTTAAACTCCGCCAAAGGTCCAAAAATCAATTTTCTAAACTGCTCTTCTATGGACCTGCTGGGAATACCCGGTTCCGCTTTTAGAGCAGCCCGAATGCTTAAGGCCATAGTACCACGAAGAGTCCTGGCTAGCTGTGCCGCGAGAGTTACTACAAATAGTAGACCTGTGCTTCGACTAGCCTCGCCCCTTTTGAAGAAGAAGCTCCCACCGAGTCGGTCATTCGTTTGTAGCGACCTAGCCACCGTTCTGGATATAGTCGATTTGCCTGTACCGGCCATTCCGTACATCCAGAACACTTTTTTCCCTTCTACATCATTCGCCCAGTTTTCGATGCGTTTTAGGAGTTCAACTCTCGTCCCGGGTAGACATTCTGGTTCGTATTGATCGTCATAGTCTCCAAACGACGCTCCCTTCGCCGTCTGCAGACCTGGTACGTTAAAATTCTCCTCTTCGCTTGGAATAGGTCTTCGAGGGCTGCCTATAGTTCCATTACAATAATTAACAACCGACATTCCAAATCTGATTGACGGGTTCAAGACTTAGAATTTACCTTGGAGTGGCAATTGAAACAATAGCTCTCTTGCAAAAGCAGCAGCAACTAACGCAGCATGATTCTGCCACCTCTTATTCTTGTGACTGTCACAGTAATCGCAGATTCCACGGATTACTAGCGACGGTAGTTCATCCATTAGGCCAGCTGCTTCCATCTCGAAACATAGTACACCCTTTTCTTGGGAAAGTTTATCCCTAGTAAGGCCATGCTTCATCACTTTGTTTCCGGAGGCGATCAGCCCATAATGCAAGCGCGCTTCATTTCGGGCTCGAGGCTCTCGCTCAACGAGAAGAGTTGTATCACAGTCATCGCAAGATCTATTCTCCTCTGGGTGGTCGTAATTTGATTGAAAAAGTCTATCGCTGCTATTTGGTGGACGCCTGAACTCTTCTGGAAGAATGCCGTTTTCCAGAATGGCCGTAGCGATATCGTTAAACTCGTATGCACGGCCGCTTATGTATTCTGATTTCATTTTTGATATTGTTTTGAGAAAAACACCTGGTGGTTTATTTAGAACTCCATGCTGAACGAACTTGCCGGACTGAACTGTTTTTCCGAAGTCGTATTGTAATACCCCCCCAAACCCAGCTACGGGTTCGCTCACAACTACATCTCCAAGTCTAATATCGTTTTGCGGCAGCATTGGAGCGCCTCCGCCAATTCCGACCATTAGGCCGATTTTGACAGACGGGAAAGAAGCTCGCATCTTGGTAACCACATTCGATGCGGATGTCACCCCATAAACCCCGGAAGGAAGACAGGTAATAACGATATTGTGTTTACCAATACAACCGCATATGTAAGTGTTATCGTCGTGGTTCTCCTGCCTACTCTCAGGTGTTTCATGTCGTTTATCGAGGACAGCGATAGCGGCCGTTAGTTCCAGTGGTAAGGCACATATCCAACCTATTGTATAGTCTTCGATCTCTAGCATCGTCGTGTTTCCGCTCCTCGCTGTGAGAGTATTTTCTGCGATATCGTTTTCGCGGATCGATTCCGAGAAAATTACCGGTTCAGATTTAAAGACTATCCATAGCCCGGATACGTTATTGTTTAGCGCTTATTTTCGAAATTTCGGTGATATCTATAGACTTTGATGGAACCTGCCCGCAAATTTTTCGCCTTTTCGATATTTAAACTACCCCGTTTGACAAGGCTGGAATGATCCTCCATTGCAATATTGCATACATGCAGGTGCAGAAACAACTCGTTCTCTCAAGGCTGATATATTTCGGTTGGAGCTATAGAGACTTTGTTCAGAGTTAAGCTAATTTTCTTCTCTCGGAAACTGCTTTTACCAATTTATTGGTATACGTATGAACTGAATAATGAATTTTGTATGTACGTGTACCATTACTCCAACTTCAGCAGGGGAGAGGCCTTTGAATGGTATCTAAAATAATATACATTATAGGTGCGACACCGTACACCTTCCTTAAATCTGATCCTGTTTCTTGGGTCCAGGCTCAACCCTCCGAAATAGCTCCATCAGATCAATTTATTGCAAGCACTATTTAATCGCAAGAAAATATAAGGTTAGCATATCTTGAAATTACTCCGCAGGACAGCTTCCATAGAGCAACAAAATGTAAACTTACCTGCCAGTAGTAGTCGTTCAACTTAGTGCACTTCCATCCGCCAGAACACTCTGTAGGTCCCTATGAAATTTATTAGTTTTTATTCAATGTCAGTTTCAAGGGATTATGTGCATACAGTGTAGGTAACGCCACCGCACTGTCCCCATTGTCCAACGGTACCAGTTGAAGCGCTAGTAGTCGTGCTTCTCGATGTCGTTGTTTGAGTTGTGGTAGTGCGGACAGTCGTGGTGGCAGTAGTAGATCTAGTTGTAGTAGCAGTTGTAGTTGGGGAAGTAGTCCTTGAAGCTGTGGTAGTCGTTCTGCTAGCGGTAGCTGTGGTTGAGGTGCTAATTCAAGCCCGTTAATATCTCCAAACGTTTTTCATAAAGTATATGGTTTAGTATAGATCAGAGGCCATACCTTGAAGGGTTATAAATTCCAAACCACTCTAGAGCATCTAGATCTCTAATAGGAATATTATGCTCAACTCCCTCTGCCGAGTATGCAACATATTTAGTACCATCACCATAGACCATCTTGGTGTAGTTTGGAATTGGAGTATTAGTTTCGTTTCTCGTGAACGAGATTCCAAAAACATTGGACCACATCTTGTTAGACTCTGCAACATTGTTATAGCTCAGAGCAGCATCGAGAGTTCCGTGCCAGATTTGAAGCTTTGGACGAGGACCAGTGTAACCGGGGTATGCCCTGCGGACATCATCTCCCCACTGTTGCGGAGTCTTGTGAAGGATACCAGAGGAGCAATCACCGTTCCACTCGGTTGGTCCAGAGAAACATCCTGCAAGTGAATGTTAGTTTTGTAGAATATTGGGTTTAGTTGATTCTCTTCATTCATACCGTATGGAACGCCAGCCCATGCGCTACCAGCCTTGAAGATATCTGGGTAAGCCCCCATCATGACCTGGGTCATCATACCACCGCTGGACATTCCGGTAATGAAAACTCGGTTTGCATCTCCGTTATACTTCTTCAAAGTCCATTTAACCATGTTGACGATAGCGAGAGAATCGCTGCCACCGTTGTGTGTGAGTGTCGCATTGCTTGCAACCTATTCCAAGTAATTAATGATAGATCTAGAACGGAATTCGATGTCAAACTTACATCCCAGCATTTCGAGGATCGGTTTGCAGATGGATAGATAACAATGTATCCATATGTATCAGCATATCGGGCGTATCCTGTTCCAGAAAAGAAATCTGGTCCGCTTCCTATTTTAATTGTATTTTGTCTTAGCGCCTAATCTATTAGAATTTTATAGGTGATTATGAAGACTAACCAGTACACCAATGGGCACCAACAATCACAGCAGGATTGCTAGACACAGATGTTGGGACATAGATATAAAATGGGGTATTTGTTGGATTTTCGCCAAAGTCTTCAGTGACGAGCTGAAGGGTACTGGAGAGCTGCTGGGAGAGGGCACTGCCAGCAATGGCGACGAGAGACAAGAAAGTCGAGACACGCATTTTGAATTCTAAATGTAAAGAGTCTTCTTAATTCAATGCCGTCAATTGATCAATTGATATTTACAATGGTTTAACCTTTCGTAACGACGCCAAGGCAACAATTCGATTTCATTCATGGAAAACCCGAACAATTTATACAGAAGTGACCGGGCATAATTTGTGAGCATGGATATCATTATCCTGGACTTCGTATAAAAAGACTGAATCAAGTTGGTCAAGATGTTCATCTTCGACCTTCTACCAAGACCACTAATGAGGCCATTCTCGGCATCGCAGAGCCTTGAATTCCGGCGCGCCTAAAATACAACACTATTATGTGCAGCCAATGCATGCAAGCCACCCCGGCGCCCGATATTAACTGACCCATGCTATAGTAAAAGGCCGGAATGACAAGGTCCGAAAAAGCCAACTAGTTCCATGGTACCTGGCGATCGCCTTACCGATTGTGAAGCAGCGATCGGAAAAAACTTTAAAACGTCCTAAGTGGTGCTTTTGGGAAAGTTTTGGCTGTAATTCTGCTTTTTTTTTACCTGGTTTCTATGATGCACCTGGGTTTCAGATGCCTGCCTCCTTTTGGCCGTAGTATTTCTTGGATGATACTTGGTCTAAGCTTTACGTATCCGTTTTAATATAGCTATATTTGACAGGGAAGCTTCTATCTGATCTTGCAGTTTCGTTCTGCAGGAATGTGTGTTTGGACATGGATTGTGCAGCTTGGCTTCGGTGAGGAACCGCCCGTCGACTTTCTATCGTTAGTAATAGCTTACCCACGGAGGGTTTCAATGCAGTTCCTGGAGATGAGCCTGGAGTAAGGCTAACTAGGCCCGCGCCCTAGTTCTGTTACTACATTGCGTCCACCAGCTGCTTGAACTTGGAGTCTCTTTTCAACAAGGCCTTAGGTTCTCCTACTTCCACTACCCTCCCATTTTCCATTACCGCGACTCTATCGAAATCCATGATCGTTTGTAGCCTGTGAGCAATCGCGATAACAGTCTTATCTTTCATCTCTTCTCTGATTACTTTTTGCATCATTTCGTCTGTATCCTTATCGACTCCGCTCGTGGCTTCGTCCAACACTACGATTCTGCTCTTCCTCAGTAGCGCCCTTGCGAGACAAAAAAGCTGTTTTTGGCCGTGACTGAGAGTTTCTGGTGTAAACTCGTCTTCTATGCTTTTATCCCCGCTGATGATATCCCCAAGTTGGCATTTTTGAAGTACTGATATCATCTCTTCATCTGTTGCCGCGGTGTAAGGGTCGAGATTGTGCTTGATAGTTCCGGAAAAGAAGAACGGATCTTGGGATATGACATTGATCTCTGCTCGGACGGTCTCTCGTGGAATGGTTGAAATGTCTACTCCATCGATAAATATGGAACCAGTGCTAAGTTCCATCATGCGTAGTAGTGCCAACGTCAGCGAGCTTTTACCACTATATATGTATGATATTTCGTTAGCTAGCGTTACGAGACCCGAGCCTATGAAGGCTTTAGCGAGACAAAAAAGATATAAAAACTTACCTTCCGGTCCTACCGCATATTCCAAACTTCTCCCCACTAGTAATCGATAACCCCACCTCCCTTAGAACCATACGCTCATCATAACCGGCTGTAACATCTTGTATCTCAATCTTCCCCGCCATAGGCCATCCCGCAGGTACCACTCCATTTTCTTCTTCAGGTGTCCCTTCACTAGGTGTCTCCTCGCTGAACCCTCTGATCCTAGAAATAGCGCCTAGACTTGTCTCCATCTGCGTCCAAAACAACATGAACATCTTCATGTACTCCGTAAATCCCATGATTTGTGTTAGCGCTACTCCTGTGAATCCGACGCTCACAGTCTCACGAGTCGCGACTGCGATTCCAACAACGAGAACAGCAAGAGAAGCTGTCATTAGGTCAAGAACTAGTGTTAGCCACTTTTGGAGTAAAGCTAGGAGGTAAAATGGCGATTGTGCTGTATTGATTAGGTCGTATGATTTAGAAATGAATGAGGATTGCCAGTCAAAGGCACGGATTGTGGACAAGCCTTCCAGGGACTCTAAAAAGATAGTACTACACAAGGACTTCATTAGCTTCTCAATGCAACTTAGCCGTTACTCGAGTAGATAGACATACTAAACCGGTGCTTTGGCCTCCAAATCTAAAAATCTCAATTGACGAGACGTTCTTAAGTAATATCTCTGAATTATATAAAACGCTAGAACCAGTGCTGGAAAGCTGATAGCTATGTATGCCGAAGCGCTCGATATAAGAATAGCTTGCGCTACAACAATGAAAAGATCTAGTTCCGGTAAAATATTAGCAATTGAACGGGCTATACGTGTCCCACATTCTGAATGAATTTACTTGATACACAGCACATGATAGCTATCGGTAATTGTCTATCAATAAGTCCTAGATCTTGCGTAAACCTGTTGACCAATGATCCAACTTCCGTCTTGCTGATAAAGGCCATCGGGGCTCGCATCACTGTGTTTAAGAGGATTCTATGGAACGCAATTCCAGATTTCCGGGCTATGATGTTGATGCAGCACCAAGTTAAAAGAGCGGTCGAGCAGAGACCAGCTGTTTGTAAAACAACATATACACCGATGTACAATCCAGCTTGTTGATTTGGAGAGCGTTCATTCGCATCTGACCACCACTTAAGCCAAAGTGCTGTAGTGAAATATGTAAGTCGTTAATAAACACGAATTTACAGGCGAGGGGAGATAAGCTTACTTGGGAACGCCGAAAAGAATGCCCAGAGCATTTCAAGGATGATGAAGGCTATTGTGACTTTTGTGCCAACGCGAGAGAAGAAGTAAGTGTAGAGTGACCAGTCCCCGGACTGACGCTTAGGGTCTTCCAGTGTATCAGCCGATCTCTTCTCTGACTGTGAAGGTTGTGGGGAAGATTCAGTATCTTGATGCTCTGTCGACTGTTTCATTGCATTTTCATCGAGCATTTTGGAGGCCTCTTTGACGTATCCACCCTCGGCTTCTACCAATTCGCTGAACGAACCTTGTTCGAGAATTGTACCATCGCTACTAAGAACGATGATTTTATCCGCATGCCGAAGAAGGTTAACAGAATGTGTAGCTAAGATCACTGTGGACTGTGACTTCCTGAGCAATCCTTGTCTACCAAAAACACGATTGAATACCTTCGATTGAGTGTGCATGTCGAGCCCACTGAAAACATCGTCAAGGATTATAAGTTTCTTTTGGGCATATAAGGCTCGGGCTAGGGCCTAGTATCAAAAGTATTAGTATCTATCTCATAATAAGTTTTGATACGGATATATTGCACTCTTACCACTCTCTGCTTCTGTCCACCGCTCAAAGTTATACCTTTACTACCTACGAGGGTGTTATCACCATCTGGGAAAACAGAAATATCCGGGCCCAGGTCGCAAGCATGCAAGACTTCATCGTACAAGGTAGGGTTAAATCTCGAGAATCCGGTAATGTTATCTTTAATAGATATTCCCTGAAATAGATCAAAGCAACCAATTGTCAAAAATAGGAAAAGCTAAAGTTCGGAAGAGTTTGACATAGATAGGAACCCACCATGAGCCAAGGTACTTGATCGCAGTATCCGATCGAGTTGGTTGCGACTCGGACAAACCCTTTGAGACCCAAAGTTTCCCCAAGTAGTGACTTCAACAAAGTTGACTTCCCCGAGGCGACAGGTCCGCATATCATCACTAAATGGCCTGCATCGACTGAGAAGTTGATATTATTGATCACTGGAGTATCATCTTTGTTCCATCCGAATGACGCATCCCGGACCTCCACGATAGTCTCTTCACCATCTAGGTTTTCCACACGTTGTATAGTGAGTTGGTCAAGCTCGATATCATTCTCAGAGCGCTGATTATCAGCAACCCTTGTGGTAGACTCTGGAGAGAGCAGTCTGTGATCACTCTTTGTCTCTTTGTTCAAAAATGCCTCGATTCTCTCTAGACACCCCAGTGATGACATGAACTCAAAGATATCTTGGAAGACACCAAAAAGAGGCTGAGTGATCAGCATCAACAGCGATAGAGACGTGAACATTCTTTGGGCATCAAGTGTTGTATTATTTCGGAGAGCAACTCCTAGATAAATTGCAAAAGTCACGACGGGTGACAGCATCATGGGAAAATAAGCTATATTATTCGAAAATCCCGGATGTTAGACAAGACTATATAACTCAAGCTCTGAGATGAGCTTTTCTAAAACTGAGAGCATACCAAGGGTTGAACAATATACGGCTAGTATACGGAACTTTTTTGACGCTGTTACTTCATCAATTCGAAGTTTTTGCACAAGATCCGTCAATTTCTTGCTTAAACCGAGCATCTTGATACCTTTCAACGAGCCCATGATGGAAGAGGTAATTCCTACCAAATAAACCATTAGTCTCAGCCTCAGAATGATATTGATACATATAACTTACCAGTTCGTTTTTGGAGCTCTTCCATCCATATAAGTTGATTTTTCTTTGCCCGGCCAGAAGTTGCCCCCATAATTATCGCGGATGCTAAGAAATATCTTAATACTCTGATACTGTAGGCACAAATTCTTTGATAAATTAAGGGTATTACCAAAGCAAACAATCAGCGGCCCAATACAGGCTACTCCTAACTGTCTTGCTAGTAGCCAAGTCGCGATTGCGATTTGAACAATAGCTGCCCACAGCTCATGGACTTCCCTTAAGCCTCTAACCAAATTTTCCACATCGCCACTCATAAGTGTGACCGAATCTGTAGTGTTTGTGGCACTGATACTGAGTTGGGTGGTCTTGTTGTAGACAGCCGACATCAATATACCACGCAACATGGTTATAAACCGGATGTTCTGATACCAATAAAACGCCGATGTGATCTAAAACAGAATGTGAGTTATATATAATTATATATAGTACTGATCAGGGCTGATTCTGACTTCTGTGGAAGTTTTGATTACTTACCGCCATACCAATGTAGACCAAGGCGTAGGCACCAATTATCGCTTTACCAATGTTGGCATTTTTTCTCTCTTCGGGATCCTTCAGATACCCAAGGAATGTCTCAAGCAGAAGTGGTTGGCAGAATATAAAAACAATGAGAATGAGTCTTGGAATAGCTGCCAAAAGCAACGGAAATTTCAAAGCAGTAACGAGGACCACCCCAAGCTTTGATTTACCTCGACTAGTGTCTAAATAGTCCGAGTACTGAATCAGTAAAGTATTTCAATAACGGGGAAAAAAAAGCAATGTTCTCCGCACCGATTAGTTTCCAGAAATTATGATCAAGTGTTTCTGCTTCCATTTCCTGATCTACTTGGAAAAGGTCCTCGAGTTTTAAAACATGTTTGAATCCATACTTAATTAGTCCATTCAACCATAGATATAGAAGTTGGCTAAATGGGCTAGCAAATCGTTCGGCTGTCCGCCCGTTCCTGCCAGAGGTACTATCAGAACTCTTTTTTGGCATAGATTCTAGCAATATAATGCCTATTTTGGCGGCGAACGCCACAGATGAGACCACCCGAGTAGAAAGCGGAAATATTGTCGGAGAGAGGTACAAGGTTCGAAGAATCGTGGCATCGGGAAGAAGAGTTAGAGTGAGATAGGCCGTTAACACCCATGATGGACTATGATTACAAATTATTCGAATAAGTATGGTTTCTTGATAAATCAGAGTATTTCTCCTGAATAGGGTGGACGTAGATACAAACCGGTGTGATTTATGGTGCTCGTAGTAAGACAACCCAGACAGTGCAACGGCTCCGACGAACGAGAAAGACGCAGCAGTCACTGCCTGTGTCCTGATTTCTGAGGATTGATTGAAAGTAGACCAAAGTATAAGAAGAATTAATTGGATACAAGCGAATAGTCCGATGTTAACCTGTAAATCCACCATTCGAGTTGTTAGCGACGTATTCCCCCCCAGATTATGAATAACTGCAATGCCCTAGCTGCTGTCTTAAATCCCAAAGCCGAGATTTCGCCCTTATTCGAGATTGGCGAACGCAACGAAGAGTATTCGTGCTGGCAGGGCTTCAAACTGTAGCGGCACATAGAGACATACCAACTTAGTTCCTTTCAAGGTGCCACCTTTGGCAACCACAGGTTTCCTGGTTCTAAGGACCCTGACGCGAGGCACGGCTAGAAGCAGCCCAACAACCGATGGAAGAATCGAGAGGAAGTATTGTTCGAATGCAAATGTAAAGTCAAAACCGTCTCGACAGCCTTGAACGACCGGACCGAACGAAGTATCGGCGGCAACCGAGCAGACTGAATAGTCAAGAGAGGCGCTGGTGTTGGACATGGCGGGGCTTTTCGTCGAATATGCACAGAAGCTTTAGAATTTCGAGATGTCTCATGTGCACGATCACAACTGACAACCTACAGTTTACGCTTGATTTAAAAACCAAGTATGGCAAGACACAGATATATCTCGACAGTTCACAATGAGAACTTTGTATTTCTTGATGAAGTCCACTTTTTAGGTCAGAACAGCGAAACACTCCTCAATCATCATCCAGAAGGGAAGGAAAAGGGGAAAGGGAAACCGGAAACCGAAGTCCTTTATAAGGACACTCGCCAAGAAGACAGTACCACCTTCCTCTTTTTTTGATGTTGCATTTCGCCCTTACAACACAAAACCTCCCTGACCAGTTTCGTAGTCAAATTCAAACTATGTTGGGTTTTGTTGGCAACCATGGTACCAAGGGAGACCATTGGGTACCAACTTGCAATGTAACTCTCTGCCAGGGCACTGTGTAACTTGAGGCATGAGTATCGACGATCATGGCAGTCAGTAATAATACCCCCAAAGATTTCAGGATGTTTCTCCTTTCGTGGGCGTGTTATTCTAGTTTCGAGGTCTAGTCTGAATTAACTTAAATGTGGCGGGGACTCTAGCTCTGGTTTTAAATACCTCATATAGCTAATATAACTATACCGTTGGGTTTCCATTCTGTTGCTTGCAACTTGACCCACATTTCCTGCGAAGTCTGGTTTGAGCTAAAGAAAACCACCCAATATTATGATTGGGGGGGACAACTCTGGCTTCGAGACTGGGCTGGGAATATGAGCGGTCGAATATAACAGCGTAGAGCTTACCTTTTAACATGCGCAGCGAGGCAACTAGGCCCGCTTGGAAGCCCAGTATATATAACTACCAAAGAACGATGAGGATGACCAGACCTTACTTCCCCCCCTTCCCCTCATCCACGGATACATATTACGGTGTGGTTGAAACTCGGTTCATATCAATTCCACCATCAACTATTATACTAAGTCGGGAAAAATACACACCGGTAAACATAGTTAGGTACATATCTATGGCTATTCTGTAAAGAACTTTTACAGCTACATATCCAGCCCATTCAATACCTCTTTTCAATCATTAAAGCCCCTCTCATGTATAATTATGCGGCTACTTAGTCGGCCTACAGGGGGCCTCCGGCCAAAAATTCTTACTACCCTTTGCTCCCTCGGCGGAATTTCGATTCCGACCGTTATGCAGGCTATGGGTTCACCCTTAGCAGAGCACAGGGTTAGCCGTTTAAACGGAACTATACCGGCGCCCCCCGTCCTCAACATATCAAACATCGCCAACATCACTTTGCAATTAAAACCCCCCGAAAGTCTTTTGGAGGATCTCACGGGCTTGGCTGGTCCAGGGAATGTTGATCCCAAGGACAGCGCTGCAACCTCGCTATTGTCAAATACCACGCACAATACGGCTGGACCTGGTCTTGAGGCTGTATCTAAACATCATGAGAATGGACCGGGATATGATCATGATCATCGCAATAATTGGTCAAGAAACCCGCTCAATCCAAATTACTTCTATCGTGAGGGCAAGTTGTATGTCCGGTGCCCCCCTGCCCACCAAGTTATCCCCGAAATCATTGCCCTTATCGATCGAATACCACCCCCCCAATTTCCCGGTATGAGAGACTCGGTCGTTAGTTACAACATACAGCGGGTGCGAACGGAACTCTTACCATCTGGAAAGTATAAACCTAATCAGGAAAATATCGTCAGCAATTATCAAAGCAGGTGTTTGAAATGTGGGTGTGGTAGCGATGGACGGATCAAAAAGTACGATAACGGCGGCAATAAACAGGGAAAAAAACAAATCGAGAGTTAGATGTTTGGAAAACCAGGCTGTGCTATGTAAAGAAATCTGGAGTAAGTCGGCCAATATTTTAGACTTTATTTAACTCGCGGCCGCGCTTTTCAATAGTACTATAGTGCTAACTATACAACGCTTATTCTATTAGAGTGCTACTGTTTTGCTACGCTATACCAACCAATCTACCGGGACATACCAGGAGGAACGGAACTGAAAATGTTCACCGATATGCTCAGTCGAATCCCGAGATCCGTCTATAACCATATACACAATAGAGGCTGGAGTTGGAGGCCCCCTGATGATCTTGCCGAGTACCCGGAACAACGCATCGATCCTGGACCTCGTGAAACGAGGGTCCTGGACAGTCTCGTAACCAGGGTCCTGGAGGACTCTGGAGAGAGGGAAGGCCTGCTTCCAGAAGAGCCTGTGGATCTCGAGCTTGGAGACCTTGGCCTTGCCGGAGACCCTGGCCTTGCCGGAGACCTTGCCGGAGACCTTGCCGGAGACCTTGCCGAAAATTATGAATTTAGTCTGAATGTCGCTCCTTCAGATGAACCGCCGTACTATCTATCGGGTCCGGAAAACGAAATCCCTGTAGATGATCCCGGTGAAGGATCCTCAACGGGCGCCTCTCGTTCATATAATTCTTACGCGCCCGATGACCCTTGGTTAGGATGGGGATACGGATACGGATATGGATTTGACTACGATGGTAGTGGTGACTACTTTCCCCCAAACAAACGGGATCTGTCCATTCAAGATAAAAATTACCCATAAGAACCGTAGGCACTACTAGTGAGCACGATTCATGCGACCCAAATAGACCCGCGGGTAGGTAACAATACTTCTATAATATATCCAACGAGGGCTATTAAGTAGACCTTGGGAACGAAGGAAATATCAAAGCGCATTGTGAAGGACACCTTTTGTGACTTCTGGGAGCGAGATCATTGTGAAGTAGTTAGAGGAAAGATATCGCTTGCTCTGTTTGATCATATTTATTTCAAAGACTTCTTATCTGATTCGAATATTCGTTAATCTTTTGCGTACTATACCTTATGAGCGTTCGCTCACTCTTCCACGCTGTTGGGGTTAATTTTATAAATTTAAGTGTGTTCCAATGCAATGAGATTGATCATGTTTTAATATTCTCTGGAGAAATCAAGATTTGTGTTCAGATCAAAAATGCAAGCTAATACTGGCCATGGATTTATAAGCCAAACGGTGCCTCTACCGGTGCGTCTAAAATAGGCTACTCGGACTACGAAGTAGTTGCGGAAAGTAGAAGGCTGGTCGGGGTCTAATTTTATCATATGCGCATACCAATGAAGGGTAATATTAGTGACCCGGGATCGATCCTGGTCACTGCGAGTCCATAGGATTCAAATGCCGGGGCCTATACCATAGATCGCACTTTGCATTAAAATAGAGGCTAGTCTCGTATTGCAGACGCAGTTCACACTTTGTGTACTAAAGGCATCGATTTTGTCTAATGTACACAAAAACCCTCACCGGAGATCGTTCCCGAATTTATAGATTTAGAATATGCCGTTATATTAATTTCTGTTCAAATACTTTTGAGGCAGACGGAAAGAGGAAAAAGATACTTAAATTCAAATAGCAGATCTCGAGCATCTCAGTTAGATACACGGGACGTACAAGTATACCTGGACCCATTTTTGAACCGTTACGCTTTCGCTTCCCTATAGTTCCAACTTTACATCGGCTCGAACCAACAGTGTGGAGCTCATATCTATATAGCCCTAAATGCCAGAATATAGCCAAAACCCCGATTACATACTAATATATATAATTTCTCTGCCTGACTAGTATTGCCATATATCCAAAAAACACAATATGCTAAATATCAACTACAGGCCCGCCCCATAGCTTGCAAATTTTGGAAAGCGGGTGAATGATATTCTGGCACAGGGCCCTCCATAACTTCGGATCTTCAGAGTCCCAATACCGACTCTCCCCATGATTTATTCCAAATATGCAATATGTAATAGCATCTTTGTATAATGGTGGAGGCGGATTAGTTGTATTCATCATCCAATCGAACGCAAATGTTCGACGTGGCTCATGCATTCCTGATGTATTTATCGAATTATATTGATTTTCGAACGCAACTTCATGCCATATCTCCAGAAGTAGTATTCCCAATTCCAATATTATACTCCTGATATCGGTGTTATTCTGTGTCGACGCGATCCGAAGGCCGTTATCAATAGGGACTGATACGAACGGTTTCCCGAAGTCAGGGCCGTGCTTTGTACCCGACGTCGATATAGGGAAATATATTGAATCTTTGCACCAAGGCCTTTGTAACCACTGTGTTCGAAATAGTTGAAGAATATTGGATGCAAGCCGGAGCGCGAGCGGAATGCGCTGGTCGTAGGGAATAAGACAGCTGCGGCTTCCCGGTGGACATCTAGATAGAAGAGTTTCGAGGGATACCTCATCCCCTTGAAAGAAGCAATGGAAGCAATTCAAATCATTTGATATTGATCCGATTCTCTGGTCTTTAGCCACAACGAAACTTACCCTTCGTTGGGTAAAGGTAAACGCCTCGATTGTGGCGCAGATATCGTCAATGACGGTGACAGTCCGTTTTGTCGATATAATTTGAGGAGCTATGACGGTTACTCGACATGCACCTGAGCTCCCTGCACATATACTTCCATCGTCATCCTCGTCTTCTCGGCCGGTGACTTCAACGGTTGTTTCGTGCCAAATCGGCTTTGATGGGTATGTTTCCGCTCCAAAAACCAATCGAAAGGACAGAGCAGATTTAGGTTCCTTCTTTGCTGCAATCTTTACAGCTGCTTCTAGTCGATCATCAAGGAACAACCTAGCGTCATGCCGAGTGTGACACCCAATTTTCCAACTCCGACAGATTGCCAAATGCACGTTATTGGCAAGAGTCTGGATTCGGCGGAACCCAACAGCGAGTTTGCTTGCATTTCGAGATGGCTTTTCAGCTACCGGTTGACGATTCTCGCAGGTGACTTGAATGAATCGATAGAGGCCATCTAGAATACTATCGAGATCCTTAATTGCGTCTCCAAGATCATCTCCTTTAAAAACCAGCTTTATCCGAGGCACAAAGTCTATTTGTTTTTCCTTTTGTACCCTATTCTCTTCTATTATTTTATGTAAATCGTCGGTTGGGTCCTCATGGGTAAAATAAATCAGTTATAGTTCCCTTGATATATGTGTGAGGTCACTAAGCTAAGGTACGGTACCTTAAGTCCAGGAACAAGGCCTGCGATGCTTCTTGCAATTTTCTGTATGGTTTTACAAGCTTCGTTCAACTTTGTAGCAAAAACCAGCTCCGTTTCTGCCCCAAGATAGTCATGCAGCTGATTTTGGATATCCGGGTCCTTTAAAAAGTCGAAAGGGTTTTCGTCCAAATCCCCGGCATCGTCACATCCACTGCTAATAAGCAGCTTCCTTACAACTTCAGTGAGAGTCCCTTTATGGAAAAGAAGAGAATTTGCGAGCTTTTTAACGCCATTTCGTTTCTGGAAAAAACGAGTGCCGCCTTTTTTGCCATCTTTATAAACTTGAACTGCGCCGTAGATGATGGGAAGCGCCCCCAACACCACACCAGCCACTTCCATCCGATGAGTTGAGTACCGTCGAATGCAAACAACCCTAACAGCGACTGGATATAATGGCGGCTTTTAAGAGGGGAAAAAGTAATGAAGCTAAATCGCTGGGGTGTCGGATGGATGGTGAGGGTTAATTGCGCGTGCGATTGCTTCTGACAATGTACGGATCTAGACTTACTCGACTCAACTGCAGTGTCGTGAATTTCTCAGCCTTCCTAGCTATTGTACGGACCGAACAGTGCATATAATCACTATTGCGGGGTAATGGCAATATGCAGACCAACATTGCATTGTATCTAAATTGAAAGGATCTCAGGCTACTAAAAAAATGCTCGTGCAAAGTAGATTTGCATCAAGGTTGTTAATACTTCGCTTCGCTCGACAAAGTATCGCTGAAGATACCTCCCTTGCAGCATACTCGCCACAATGGTCGGTGATCACGGCAGCATCCAAACTTTGAACGACCTCGGTTTAGAAACTACAGAACTATTCTCCAAGATCGCTTGGAAGTTCGAAAACGACACTTCAATAGACACATCCATCGGAACACTATTATCAGCTGAGGCTGATAGGTTTGGGTTGTGGGCAGTCAGTTTAGGGCTCTTCGTTCCCGGCCACGGATCTCTTGATTACCGTGTTAGAGAAGCGGAAAATATACGGACCGTTATCAAAGGATTCCTTGAAACTTTGAATGAATCCTTAAGTGAAAGTATGCATTACAATTAACTTCAATTTAAATTAAAAGGATTTTCTAACATTGCCAAAAAAAAAAAAAAAAGCTCTAGAGTACTTTTCGCCAGAACCAGAGAACCAGGGCCCTGACGGCTCATTAAATGATTCCGCTGTCTGCCTCTCGGACAGCGATTCCGAGGACGAATGGTGGGATGAATCCGGTCACGATGGTGCCTTAGACCCAGAAATGGTCGTGGATAGCATCAAGGATCCAATAGATCGACTTTACAAACTATCGACCTGGATCCGAAATCCATCTGCACGCTTTGCTTCATCAAAGATCCTTTCACATAAGCAGGTCGACGAAGATACTGGAGTTGACTTGTTAGAGGAATTTAATAGTTTCGATTTCAACTACATTGAATCCGTGTTCTCACAGTACCGCAAATCAAAGGCACAGGACGAATACGATAGCAAAAATATCGTAGAACCCGAAGAAAAGCCAAGATCACCCAGGCTATTTCCACACCAAGTTGATAACTCTATCAGCCCGACAGAGTTATCCCTGATACCCAGGCTTGCATACGCAAATGGGCGCCGCCGGCAACAGTTCTCCTATTGGAGAAGGCATCGAGAAAAGCTCGCTCTGCATACGACGAGTATAGGTGACAGCTACAAACGACATAACTTGGAATCAGAAGGAGAACACAATCACATCCACAAAGTATTTAACGAAACCGATCAGATCGCACTTCCGTTATCAGTTACAACCGCCACCCGTTTGAATATCCCACAACAAATGGCAATAGCAATAAACGATAGTTTATCTATCGTTTCGGTTTCGAAATACGCCACATCAAATTGGAGTCCCGATAACGAGAAATTGGATTTCCCAGCCCCGCCGAAATGCCCTGAGGGTCAAAAGTTTATCGAGTGCCCTTATTGCTTTACCTTGTGCCCTCGAAGTATCCTTGAGACTGAAGCTTGGAAGTAAGATACATACTCTAGGCCCCATACATGGGTTTTGACACAAGGAAATAATGCTAATAGTTTAATAATATTGGGAAGGGCTCATTTAATCCGCGACCTACGACCCTACGTTTGTACATATGAGAACTGCACAACCCCGAATCAACTATATGATACTCGTCAAGATTGGTTGCAGCACGAAGGCTCAATTCACCGAAGGGTATTCCTTTGCCCGAAGCACCCACACCAAGATTTCCTCTCCCTTTCGGACTATCAAGAACACATTTTCGACGGTCATATATCTTCGGATGGCAATGTACCTATCAACCTCATTATCCAGAGTAATGAGTCAACATTGACAACTCCAGATAGGCCATGTCCTATTTGTTTAGCCTGGATTGATGATATGGGAGCACTTCAAAAACACATAGCACTCCATCTAGAGCGTTTCGCAATTTTTTCTCTTCCAAGGGACGTTCAATTCACCAATGATAACGAAACGGGTTCCATTGACGCCAACGTTAACTGGGAAGGCTCGAGAGATGAAAATTTCGACGAGGATTCGCTATGGTCTTCCCGAGCCGGCTCATCACTCATTTTCTCCGACCAAGAAACTGATATCAACGGAAAAAGAGATTTTCCAGAAGAGAAAGGGATAGTCATTCCCATTCCACAAGGAACGAGGAAGGAGCTCACTCAAGAAGAATATAGGGTCATAGCTAGCGGCTCCTATGGAGACATAAAGGCGATAAATATGAATCTAGAAAATGCTGAAGAGGTTGACTCTACAGGTTCAAAATCAGAACAGCCGAGCTTATCTCACTCTAAACCTACAGGGGAGTCAACCGATGAAGAGCTTGATGTTTATGCAAAGCACTCTCAGCAAAATTCAGCTCAATTCAACGGCCCAGATCTTAAACCTCCTCGTAAATTTGAACAGGTTCTTGTCTCCCCTACCTCGAAGCCTATCTTTAGCAACCTAAAAGAGAAAGAAGAGGGAGACAACGACAACGACAACGACAACGACAACGACAACGACAATGGCGGGGACGGGGACGGGGACGGGGACGGGGACGAGCAGGAAGAGCATTTAGCTTGGGATTCAGAAGAAGAGCCGGAAAATGACGTAGAAGTTTCCGACTATGAAGGACTAAGCTTCAGCGCTGAAGAATCCGAAGATAATTCGGGGCAACAAGGCCCCAAAGACGGACACATACGATCCTTTCGGCCCCCATCCCACCAGAAACCTAAGCGTTCGATCAATACATCAAATACCCAGGAACGAGATCAATCAGAAATACGCACTTTGCGTACAAGACTGTCAGAACTATTCGATCAAGAGGATGCAGAAGGAGAAAAACATGTCGACGGTACTACGGATAGATCTGGATCCAGCGTGCCTCGCTCAAATTTCAACCCATCTCCGGTTCCTAACCCTGCAGATGCTCTAGCCACTCCGTCCTACCTTCCACCTTGGGAACGAGACTACACTCCACCTACTGGTGGAAAACCAGAAATCTTTGCTTGTCCTGAATGTAATGCCGGTTTCACTCGCAAGACTAACAAGACCCGCCACGTCAATAGCGGGACTTGTAAGGGTAAAACGTCAATCAACTCTAAGCGCCCCAAGCAGGAACCCTTTCCCCCATACAACGAGCCGGACCCTTTGACCCTATACAACAAGTTGTATTCTTCGATCCTATACAATGAGCCAGAACCTTTGTTCCCATATAACGAGGAATCCGAAACTATACAAGCACCTGAAAAAGACGATAAAAGGCGTTTTTTTGCCCACTGCCTATTCCCTGGTTGTTTGTACGTGGTGCCCAACCTGAAGCAAAGTATGGCTCGTGATTACCTATACCAGTTTCACCAGAAAAAGGAGCATCCTGACTGGGTCAGAGATACACCCAGTGATCAAATAAGTACCATATCGGAGTACGCCGACGAGGAATTACCCCCCTACGGACACGGCTGGGATGAGATCGAATATGATGTTACTTACCCTAATAAACCCGCCACGTTTTACCCTAGAACTACTCCAGACACAAGCTTCGTCAAAAGTATCACCATCACAGATTTGAGAGAAGTCAAGCACCTCTTCATATACACCGCTGGTATCGAATCCATACATTTCACACTCCCCATTGCCCACCGAGCAATATCTTATCTCGATCTCAAACAATCCTACTTCATCTGGACAGCGAAAAAATTAACAGAGTCAATCCGAGCACGAGCTAGACAGCTCGAAGAAATCATACCTTCTCTGACAAAAGCGTATCTGCACGAAACAGGAGAGCCAAAAGCTAGCTCAGCCCTACTCCAACGCTGGACAATCAAGGAAGCTGTTTCAAAGGTCTTATACCAGGGTCGTCCTAAACTTAAGGATTTATTCTCGGATTTCATGAACGGTGTTCCCGCTGGGGAAAGTTGTGGGATTATAGCGTATGGTAGAGGCAGTGATGCGCTACAGGCTCTCGTTGAGCAAGCTGTCGAGAACTATCTACAGGATGGCATCAGTATTACTCTATACTTCTGCCCCTCAGCACAGGCCAGCAGTCAAGTAACCAAACTGAATTGGTATCCATCTGTCGAATCTTTCGATATTTACTAGTTACTTGTTCCTAATGAAAATGACTTATGACGTCTCAAGCATCAATTATGCACGTAACTGAGTACCTAGGTAGGCATATATAGTTGTAGATGGATTATATTTCGCCAGACAGATTTTGTTGATAGTAATATAATACAGTAAAATTTATATCCCAACCGCATTCCTCAGCTTGCCGAAGCGTTTTAATACAAGACTACCGCATTCCATTGGTGCACTTAGTACTTTCCACCTTTAAGCTTCGCCCACCACCTCAAACTCGACTAACTCCGTCCCGGCCTTACAGATATCCTAAATTTAAAAAGGAACTAGATTAGCTCTGAAAACAACATATATTTCCTTAAATAGAAAAAAAAGAGGGACATAAACTTACCCCTTCTCCATGGACTACCCTCGCCACCTTTCCGACCTTCGGACTTCTAATCGTAGTCTCCATCTTCATACTCTCGATGACCACCAACGGCTCATCTTTCACAACTTCCTGCCCTTCTTTCACCAAAACCTTCAAAACCTTGCACGGCATGGGAGCGCAAACACTATTCTCCATACTCTTTACTCCCAATGCCTTTTCAAACCACTTCGGTCTCTGGATATGAAGTGTGTACTGCACGCCCTGTTGGAACAGCGTAACCTTATCATCTGTTCTAATAAACCTAGTTTCTAGCCTTGTATGTGGATAGAACGATGTAATATCCTTTGGTGATGAAGGGGAATATTCCGCTGCTACTGATGGGTATGTTTCTGTTCCATTCGGGGTGGTGACCGTAATGTCGAAGATACCATTACCAGTTCTTGCGATATCCACAGAGATTTGAGTTTCTTCTTCTTTGTATTTTTCTACCAACGAGACCTTTCGGGTTTGAATACCCCCGTTTCCTGCAGCGAAGTAACTGAACGGATCACCAGAGACGCTTTCAAGACTTTGGTTCATAACTAATCCCAACGCTGCCTGAGCGTATACTTCCCCTGGTGTCTGTCGTCGTTCGAATAGTTCATCTCTGTGTTTTTCGATAAACCCGGTTTCGACTTCACCGCTGATGAAAGCTGGGTGGGCGGCGCAGCGTTTTAGGAATTCAATGTTGGTGGACATTCCTACTACTTCGTAGTCTTCTAATGCTGCTACTAGCTTTTGGAGAGCTAGTTCGCGAGTTGGGGCTTTTACGATTAGTTTTGCGATCATGGGGTCGTAGTGGGAGGAGATTATGGAGCCTTGTTTGAAGCCGGCGTCTATGCGGACTGTTTCTGAAGGGGTTGAGGTGCGGAGATGCAGGAGGGGGCCGGAGTCTGGGATGAAGTTCCTATTTTTTTTTTCCATTTATTAGTAACTGCCAGGGACATAGGGAGACTAGGGGCCACAAGACTTACATATCCGGGTTTTCGGCATATATTCTAGCTTCAATAGCATGCCCATTCATCTGCTTCTCAACTTGTTCCTGAGTAAGCGGTAACTTCCCGTCTTCAGCAACAATTAATTGCCAATGAACCAAATCCGTCTCCGTTACCATTTCCGTAACCGGATGTTCGACTTGAAGTCTAGTATTCATCTCCATAAAGAAGAATTCACCGGTATCATTATCGAATATAAACTCAACCGTACCAGCACCACGATACCCAACCGCCAACGCCGCATCTCTAGCTTTCTTCCAAATATCCTGTCTAATAGCTTCATCCAAATGCGGCGCCGGTGATTCCTCAAGAATCTTCTGATGTCTCCTTTGAATCGAACAATCTCTTTCCCCCAAAGCGACGCAATTCCCATGACTATCCGCAAACACCTGTACTTCAATATGACGCGGTGTGGTAATATACTTCTCAACCAAAACAACTTCATCACCGAACGAGTTTCTTGCTTCTGTTTTTGCACTTTCTAACATTGCTAGGAATTCTTCATTTTGACGCGCGATTCTCATGCCTTTGCCACCACCGCCTTTTACGGCTTTGATTAGGACGGGGAATCCGATCTTTTCGGCTTCCGAGAGGAGGTAGGCTGGGTCTTGGTTTGTGCCGTGGTAGCCGGGGATACAGGGAACGCCGGCTGAGATCATTATATCCTTTGATAGGGATTTATTACCCATTGAGTCGATTGCTGATGGTGGAGGACCGACGAAGAGGATTCCTTCTTCGGTACATCTTCTTGCGAAGGTAGCATTTTCGCTAAGCTAATAGTATTTAAAATATATAAATTAACCCTTCCGTTTCTTCAATTTCATAATAAAGACGAGGTTTGAATAAGAGAAAAAAGAAAGACATACAAATCCATAACCCGGATGAATAGCATCACACCCTCTCTCCTTCGCCACTTTTACAATCTTCTCGATATCAAGATACGCACTCGGAGGTCCGATATTTATAGAATGTGACGATACGAGTGCATGTTCTGCGTGGGCGTCTGGGTCCGTGTATAGCGTTGTAGTCGTCGTTCCCAGCTTCGTAGCCGTTCTGTGGACTCTTAACGCGATTTCTCCACGGTTTGCGACTAGAAGGTTTTTTATCCGCTTGGGTGTGGGTGTGGGTGATGTGGTTGTGGAGAGGTGACGGGTGGTAACTGGACGGAGGGTGCGGAGGAGGTGGAGGGAGACTGGGCGCGACATGGTGGTGTAGCTACGTATTAATGGTACAGATCTATATTGGTAATAGGAGTAGAAGAGGAGACAGAGGAAGAGGAAAAGAAGGAAGAGATGGAGGTTTAAGATCGGATCATCTCAGGGGGGGGGAAACAAGGCCGGAGGAAAATGTGATCTTGATTATTTTTTTTTGTGCATCCCATTGGAATGCCAGCTGCTGCCAGCCGTCGGGCGTCATGCGAAGAGCTCGAGGGTTTTGGGAGTTGCTTGTTCGGCTGGAAACGGCATTACCCCACAGATCAGGAAAACCCCTGTCCATAGCTTGGGCGGTGGGGAACTCCGATTGATTGGACAAGGATACCGATTGAGCGAGGTTCAAAATGCAACAAATTTAATATATCGATCTGAGGTTTTATAGATATCTTTGATTTTGTATAAGTTTATCGAGGTGTTTATGACCTCTGATTCTTGTGCTGCGAGGCGTTTAATGCAAACACTTTAAAGTGATAAATTAAGGTGGGATAACGGTGATATGGAATACTCGAGCGAGTTCAAGCTCTAGATTAGAATATGCCCTGGTCGGATCGAGTTATTGAGCCAGAAAGAAACATCTGTAATATTTGATCTGAACCATGCTTTTCGATCATTTTTGAAAGCTAAGATTAAGGTAGAATATATATATAAGAAGTATAATATAATAACATGAGACATTACTTCAGTATTTTACATCAGGGACAAAGAAGTTCATAATATCCTGCGTTTCGAACCACGACCACACTACAAATCTGATCTGATAATATATTTTATCTCTAAAAACAACCGAAGCTCTGTAAATTTAGAGACATATGGGCAAGAAAGTAAGATAGATATCGTGATATCAATGTTATCCAAATCAGAAGCGGCGTCCAATGCATGATATACACTAAAGCCTACTAGCTAGATCTATAGACGGCATATTCCGTAGGGTCAGGAGACACATGTCGTGGTTGCTATGCCCGCCAACCATAGATAAACCGCAGATCGAGACATCACCCGGTATCCACATCCCAAACCGTCTACAACCCAACATCAAATAGTCACCTAGATAACCAGGCGCCTCCCAAGCCCTGAACACCAAATAATAGAACTACACCAATTACCTAATTGCCATATCACTCACTCACTCACTTACTCTTCCTTCCCAAAACCCGATCACATTCTATTTCACCACCAATCCCCCGTATCTCTAACAATACCTACATACCGACATACATACTTATCTACTCTCCAAGAAAAAAAATATATTCAAAGATAACCATGGCGAAAAAGGGTAAAGCCGCCAATAATGCCGCAAAGAATAAACAAAAGCCTGCAAAGGGTAAACCTCCAGTTTTGTCGACTGAAGCTCAACCGTCGATTTCTCGGGGGTCTTCACCACCTCCACTTTTAGTCGAAGAACCAAATGACAAATCATCGGATGTTACGGAGAATAAATCGGCAGAGGTTATCGAGGATAAACCGTCGGGTGATACGGAGAATAAACAGACAAAGACTACAGACATCAAATCAAACGAGTCTATCAAGGATACACCGCTGCAGAATATCCCGACTCCATCATCAAAAATCACTGAAACCAGACCATCAAAAGTCACCGAATTAATCCCACCAAAACCTCTCAGCCAACTAAAACCCAGTTGTCCAACCCTCCAATCCCTCTCTCAAAGATGGGACCAAAAGTCTCAAGAACTAAAAACAGCAGTCGACCTCCTCCTCACCGCTTCCACCTATGGCCAAAAAGAAGCCAGCCGAAAACAACTAACAACTCTCGCAAAGGAATTCATCACCCTTCGAGAAGAATTGGCAGAAGCAGAAGAAAGTAACAATGTTGGTGATATTATACCGATAAGAGTATCTATGATCGAGAGTTTGAAGGATGCTAGAAAGGTTTTGGAAGATTTTTTTTCAAAGGAGGAGGTTGAAGTGAAGGAGGTTGAAGTGAAGGAGGTCGAAGTGAAGGAGGTCGAAGTGAAGGGGGTCGAAGTGGAAGAGAAGCGTGTCGTTGAGATCGAAATGGCATCTACTGCAGAAGAAAAGACTGCGATGGAAACTGAAAAGACTGTCTTAAAGGAGGAGAATATTGCAGTCGAGAAGGTAGAGGATGCTGTCTTGATGTGCGATGAAAAAGTGGGTGCAAAGGAAGAAGCTGCCACTTTCGATGAAAAAGAGGCTGCGGCAGAAAAGGGATTGCTTAATTTTGAAACAGAAGGGGTTACTTCAGAGGCAGAGAAGATTGCAGCCGTGGAAGAAAAGACCCCAGTCGAGGCTGAAAGGATTGCAACCGAAGAGGAAAAGAATGCAATTGAGACTCCGATAATTGCACCTGAAGAGGAAAAGGTCACGATCGAACAAGAAAAAATTCGAATTGACAAGGAATCAGTGATTCCGCAGAAACAAGAAGATGAGCTGACTAAAAAAGGTGCAGCCTCTGAAAAGGAAAGTGCCGATACCAAGGAAGGAGCGGTCGCTTTGGACAAAGACACCAAACACGAAGGACCAATTACAGGGCAATTTCGAATTGGTACGTTAAATTAAACTCTCCATGCTGTACTACAAAGCTAACCGAATCTATAGCCGACTTTCTAGTTGTTCCCGTTGCTGCTCATTTCTGTTACGCCTGCCATTTCGCTCTGCTGCCGACTTTTCTTGCGTTATCAGATGGGAAGCCTTTGTGGTTGAGAATGTGTATTTGGATGTTGTGGGCTTTGCCAAATTTCTTCTGGGATTTTACGAAGTCCATTAGGATCTTGACTATGGCCGTGGTTTACTTCCTTTTGTGCTTTTATTTTATCTATGGTTAAGAGTGGATTGTATTTATTCACCTTGGATGATTCGTCTGTGCCCTTTTCGGCAATCTGGGACGGCAGAAGAAACTGTATTGCAGGTATAAATCTCATAATCCTTTTATGATACGGTATGTAAATCTAGTTAAGCTCTTTAGACATTTGGAGTTTGGGGCTAGAGAACCTTCCCGTTTAGCTGGAACCGGATACCAGAGATCAAAATCACACCATCTTCCACCCCACATCTAGAATCCCGATTTCAGCTCCTTAAACAATTGGTCCTCGTGTAACCTGCATACATGTACGTACTGACATTGCATTGACAATACCGACCTAAATTGTTTCAGTTGTCTCGCTTCCCTTCCTCGGTACCGTGATAGACACGTCACGACGCAATAAACGAAACCAATCCGTCCTTTCCATTTGCGTCAAACAGTGATGAAATGTGTGTGGGGGGCATTAGATAATGGATAATGCAGTGAGAATTGTAGCTGCAGGTACACGCTTTTGATGTGATTTGACAGTTTAATGTAAGACGGACGAGACTACCTGGTCTCCCCTTAAACGTTTTTTTTCTCATCTGGGAGTCGGAACTCGAATCACGGCGAAGTGTTGCAATATTCGTGTTGGGGGGCTAAAATTGGGCACAACATCTCGAGGGCAGTGTGGTACGAGACGACCAAACGTGGCCCAAACGAACAAAAAGAAGACCTCGAGTCACCAGAGCTCATGGAGTTGGATCCTCTACGAGTACTCCGTATAGACAAAGGATATGCAGAATTTGTAGTCTTTTTTGACTAAGTCAAAAGCCGCCCTGCAGAGCGGGACGGTCAGCAAAAAAGGACGGATCTAGCTTGGGCCCAAGCGAGAGGGGGTATCTGGGTACTCTAGATACTTATAAACCAGGCAAAGGTGATAGGACCGAGTAGGTACCAGGGATTTTGAGTTTTGATGGCATGGTTAATGTCGATTTATGCATGTCGGCTCGACGGGTCATAAGATGTGCATCAGCTGGCGATCCAGCACTATCCTTACCATCATCACCGGGGTTCTTTTTTTTTCTAAACAAACTTGAGGAGGGATTAATATAGTGGCGGTCGGCATCTTCCTCCTTTGGACTTCTTTGGTTTTCTGGTGGCTGAGGAGGGTTATAAAGAGTAGGAGTTTAGAGGTTTGGATTAGTCGGGCTTTTTAACTATTTGAATCTTCAAGTCGCATTCCGCTTTGGATTTCGATTCGATTCATATTCTTATTTGTAAAAAATATATTCCCTGTCCTGTCGCCTGCTCTTTTTTGTTTTTCTTTCTCTCTCTTTTCTTCTCCTTCATCTCTTCATCATCTTCTTCTCCTCATCAAGTGTTCGTCTTTTTTGTTTCTGTTTGCCCTTCCTACACACATCTTTAGCGAGCGAACGGTAGTTACCGACACAGGGTTAAATTTCCCCACAGGGCTTGATCAGAGATCGCGACGTTAACTGTCGAAGTTTGAGATCTCTTTAAACCGGGATTTCTTTTTTTTTTAAATCAGTTCCTCCTTGTGTGGGAGGGGGGTTTGTGATATCCTTTTCGGAACAGACAATATGGCGGAGTGGTACGACTTTGATGAGGATTTCTGGGACGAGTACTACGGCGCGGAGGACGAGACAAACATGGTGAGTGAGTACTTCTTAGCTATATTAGATTAATTGCAGTATCATGCATGATGCATACATGTTACATACATAAGTACGTACAGTACATACAGACATGTCCTGCGCAGGATAGCATCTCGGCAGCCTCATCATATCACATCCGGCCGGCCATCACCGTTTGGCTATCAACCCTGACTAGCCCTGATCCAAGCTGACTGAACTCTGGCCCGGAGCCGTGGGTTTGGTTTGGGGTTGTGTTTTGTGGCCTGATTGATAGCCGCCGGCAGACATTCATTGTGTTCTTCTTCCTGTTCTGTTCCGTTCTTCTTCTTTCCTTTAAACTTCCCATCCATCCCGTCCTGGCCTGGTTTAAATCCTATCCTGTTCTAGATCCATCGAATCGCCGCCATTCCTCCGTTCGGAGCCTCTCGTCCTTTTTATCTTTTAGCCCTTTTGCCTCCCACATAAACCCTCCAAACTATCATCATCGACTCTCCTTAACTTGCTTGAGAGGTACTTCTTTGCTTACTTACATTGCTTTTATCTTGCTTTATAATCAGGCATCCCTCGCCAACGATCTTGCCGAATCCACCGTTCCCGACATCAACTGGTCAATCTTTGACGAAAATCCAACCTCACGCGATCTCCAACCCTTCGACTGGGAAGACGACTGGATACTCTTCGAATTCGATCACGACGAATACTACGACACCCGTTCTTCTATTTCCATCCGACCTGGTAAATCCTCTTCTTCATCTCAATCTCCAACCCCTTATCCTGCCATCATGGATGAAGTTTCTGCCTCTCTCGCCTCCGCTGTCGCCACCCAACAGCAATTCCACCATGACCCTGTCGCCGTATCGGCAAAGGGTGCTGCAGCAATAGCTGCTTCGGATTCTACCATGACCGACGATGTAGATGACAGCATCGACGGTGGATTACGTAAGAAGCGACCGGATATTCAAATCTCCCAGTCATCGTCGTCTTCCGACAAGAATAATAATACAGGCCAAACATCCCGTTCGCAAAGCTCCGACCGCTCCGGTTCCATCGGTACGCGGTCGCGGCGGTCTCGTACTCCGGTTCCAAACCCGAACACGGGCCCTCAGCCTGGAGAGGTTATCGAGATCCTTCACGAAGATGCCGAAAAGAAGGTTGTCATCGTTCACACTGGCGGTGTTTTGGGAAAACTACGGGTTATTCGAAAGGATTCTGTCCAACCTCCTGTTACCGCTGGACCCGGCCCTTCGCCGCTGAGGAATTCGCTTAGTCCATCCCCAGATTCCGTCAGTCTCGTCGTCGACGCTCCTACACCGAAGTGATCTATCCTTCATTATCATATTATTATGTTTTCATATCGTTTATTCGTTTCACCCTCTTTCCTACGAAACTTTCATGGAACACGAAGACACGCTTCCAAAAAAAAATGCGCAGCTACGATGGACTGATCAGAATACAAAAAATACAAAAATCCAACTGACACCCAGAAAAAAGTCCCACCCCCTTTCTTTGATTAAAAAAATCATCAACAACGATCCACGTGACCTACCTTTTTTTTTTTCTGCCGGAGAAGGAATGAATCAGAAACAAAAATCCTGCATGGACTTTCCCTAACTCGAACGTTCGGGATTTTTACCCTTCTATAGATCCGCGAAAGTATGAAATTTAGGGTACTTCTGCTTGCACACGATACCTCCCTTCTTCTCCTCGGAGAAAAGAAGAAGAAAATTACATGCCCAACTTTTCCCTACAGTTTTAGGATCTCTTCGTCTTCCCGTTTTTTTTTTCGATATTGTTATGAGGGGCGTCTCTTTTGTTCTTTCTTTTTCTTTTTCTTTAATAATGGATTAAAGCGCATGGTCGATAGAGCGTTATGGGTGTTTCCTTACTTTCACTTCACGCTGCTTTGAGATTATCTTTTATCATTGCCACCCTGTCTTTTCCTCTCCCTTTTCTTTCTTTTTTTTTTTTGATATCCGCATTTCAATGATCCGCTTTTGTGAGTTAAGGGTTCGGATACATATGGCGAGAGTTCTGCTCGTAGCTGTTTTTTTCTTTCCCTTTTTTCTACTATTATTTATCTAACTCACTTATTCTTTATTTGATACTTTGTAGATTATTATGGTATATATAAAAGGTTTTACTCTTTTTTTTCACTATCTGAAGTTCAAATGCTGGTTTGCTATCAACTGTTAGTTTTGTGGTTGTGATACTAGATTGATACTTTGACGTCATAGCTACGAACTTTTTTTTTTTCTTTCGGGCGATTGGAATGTTCGCCAACTCGACTCTTTGTGAAATTTTGTCTATCGCAGAAATCGGCAGGGTTTGTATGGAATATATATATCTTTTAAAGAATTTGAGACCTACGGGGGTACTTTGTGGCCAGTTAGATTTCTTTATTGTTGTTATTGGACGCCATGGGATGCATGATGACATCGTGAAGTTCTTATTGAGTTTTTGATTGTGTGGTTGGTTGGTGGGAGATTTTGGCGAGAGAGGTGTGCTGGCGGGTTTGTTGTGTTCATTCATCTCCTCACCCCCTTCGAGTTTTGTATGTAGATAAGGAAGGAATTAGATATTTTTTACAATTTTTGATTTAAGATCATTTTTCTATTCCTTTTTCCCCTTTTTAATATTTTCTGGATCGAGTAAGGTACCCGTTTTTTGTTATCCTTTTGGAAGATTGTCAGGCTCATACCGTCTCCGGTTTTTTTTCAGTGGTGGACAGACAGGACAAGGGTAAGTGGTGTGTGTGTGACGGTATCTAGAACGTAACTTGATTTTTGTTTTTGGTTTGAATCGAATCCGTTCAGGTGGTTTTTTTTTGAATATAAAGGCTCACGGGAACAAATATACTCAGGTATTTACATAATTCACATTCCTCGCAGCTGCAAGATAAAAAAGAACTTATCCCTCCCTCCCTCTTTCTATCTATCTATCTATTACATCTACATCTACAACTCTCACTCTTGATACCAACGATCCCATCATCATCACGTCGTTTAAGAGAAAAGTAGGAAGAAGAACAAAAGATGTCGCTAAAAGCCGTTCAAACGCTAACGGGGCGTATAATCCTGGTATGTATAAGTATAATACACCACCCACTTACAGAAGTACCTAACAGGTAACTAATGATCATTTTGTAATATTATAGGGCATCCTCCGTCTTCTCCAATTAGTCTTAGCATGCGCCGTAATCGGGTTGTATGGGAAATACTTGGCTAGAGCTGGTGATGCGGATGAACATGCTGATGCTAGGTGGATTTGGGCGGTTGTTGTGGGAGGGTTGAGTTCTGTTACTGCTGTTAGTTTGATTCCCCCCTCCTTGTCTTGTCTTGGACTTTTGAAGTTTTGTTTATGGTGGGTTTGTGTGTGTGTGTTTGTGCCTGGAGGTGGGTATGAGGTAGGTAGGTACCTATGGGGGTATGACGTCATTTCGTGGGATGGAATGGTCACATGACGATTTTGGGCTTTGGAATTGGGACAATTGTTCATTCTGTTTTCTGGAGTGGCTCTGTTTTCTGGAGTGGCTCTGTTTTCTGGAGTGACTCTGTTTTCTGGAGTGACTCTGTTTTCTGGAGTGGACAGAAGCGCTACTACTACGTCATTAGGCAACCAGGTCACATGACAACTTTGGACTTCAAAATGGTACCAAAGTTCAGATATATATCTGAACTTTTTCTCCTAGAAGAAGATGTGGCTGTCCAAAAGTCACATGACAACTTTCGATGCTAAATTGACTCACCGGTCTTCCTGCGGGTTCGACCCCCGCACCGCAGTTCGCAGTTTTCAGCATGAAAAGTGTCATGTGATCAATTCATCCACGGGAGTAGTGTTTGGGGGAATCACCTAGACAACTTTTGGTATAGCAACATGTGGTCAAGCTGGCTTCCTACAAGATTCAGACCAAAGATATCAGAACATACACACACACAAGATTTTCAAATCTACACTAACAACCAAACCAAAATGCTAACTAAAATAAATTCTGAAAACAGATCCTCTACTCCCTCCCCTTCTGGCCACTCCGCTTCTTCTTCATCTGGGACATCGTCCTCTTCATCTGCTGGCTCACCGTTTTCGCCATTTTCGCCTCCCTCTACATGCACGAAGATCCAGAAGGAAACCATGACATCGAGCAAATGCGTGATGCGATGTGGTTGGACCTGGTCAATTGGTTGCTCTGGCTCGTTAGCTCTGTTGTTGGTGGGTGGTATTTCTGGAAGTATAGGAATGAGAGGACTTCTTTGTCAGGACGGGCTAGGGAGAATACGAAGCTTGGAGTTTAAAAAGGGCGGTATTAGAAGAGGATGGATAACAGTTAGAGAGGGATACTCTGTCTCTTTGGTTTTATTCACGGACCAACCTTTCGTTTTTTCTTCGTCTGCGCACAGCTAGATGCTGTGGATTTAATTCGTTAGTGGTTTTTTTTTTAGCAGTCTGTTTATGGATCTAGTTTCGGTGAAGCTAGGTTCTTTGGTTTGGGATATCCTTTACACCACTTTTTTCAACTACCCTTTTTTTTATATCTCTAATTCTACTACAAGAGAACTAGCTTCTCAATTCTTCAATATACTCTTTTTCATCATCGAACTTCATCTTCGAAATATCTATAACATTCACGTCCGTTGCAAGTCCCGTAACGTTGCATATCTGTGATATCTTCCATAATTCTGCGTTGTAGGACACACCCATTATTCCAATTTGGGCTTTGCACAGCGACGATAACAACCAATAGGAAGCCTCCATTGGCCTTCTCCTTTATAGCTACCCTGGTTCGAATCTAGACCACCAATATAAAAATTTCTAAAAATGTAAAAAAGATAAAAAAAGATAATTAATTCATGCACTCAAGAGTCTCTGACAAAAACTCCTATCAACGGCTACTACCGGCCTAGCATCTTTCTTTCTTTCTTTCTAGCTGTTTCATAGTCCACTAGATAGCCAATTTATTAAGCCAAAATCTGATCCTCCCCGACTAGTGAGTATATATATCTGCAAAGCGCTTAACCAGAGCTCTAGATACCTAGTCTTCCAACACAAATTCCAAGCGTTTATAGTTTTTACTTAACCAATTGAAAGCGTTATACTCACCCCCCATTCTATCCAAAAACGTCTACTACTAGTACCACTACTACACCACCCGGACAGCACGAGCGTTCCTCCAATCTCCTAGACGCTCGACATACCCTACTCAGGTACCTTCACGTTAAATCCCTAAGAAAGTCACATGATGACTTTGGACTTTAGAATAGCAAAAAATGCTGGGCTCATGAGAGTGAAGCAACTCGGTGGTGTTTTTGTTCGTGAGCAGTGGATTGTTTTGGGGGGCCATAACTTGGTGAGTATGTAAGATAATTTTATTTTAAAAAAAGGGAGTGAAAGAAGGGATGTTGGAGAAGAAGTTTGTTGAGAGATTGTGGTGAAAGGGTTGGAGGTTGGGGTTTTTTTGATGATGTTTTTTTGTGAGGAGGTTTTGGACGATATTGGGGAATTGTGGATGCCGAGGTGGTGAGATCACGATTGGTGTAGTATGCGAGGGGAGTTGTAGGGCTGACATTTTTCTCTATCTAACCACCGAAGTTATGTGGTTTTTTTTTTTTTGTTGAAATGGATATTATCGAATCGATCTATTTTTCGAACCCTGGTCGATATTTTTCCCGGGATCCAGAATCCTGGAATCCATGGCGCATACACTTTTTTTTAAATTTTTTCTGGGTGCTTCATCTTGCTGGTTGATCCTTGCGGCTCACAAGTGACAGAATGTCTTGAAGAGTTTCCTTTCGGCGAGTTCGGGTCAGCCTTTTTTGTGTGACAGGATTTAGCGATTGGTTCAGGTTTGATGTGGTTATCTTGAAACCTGGCCGGGGATTATATTAGCTAGTGGTGGGTTGCATATCAGTGTTAACGATCGAGTAGAGAATTTTCCTTAATTAACAAAATCAAAAAAGAAAATCGAGTTGATGATAAGAATAGTAACAGGGAGATATTCTTAGGATGGGTTATATTCGTGATCATTGATTGAAGTATAGTGTGAAGAGTTAGAGCTCGATCGAGAGGTCCCTAGTCGATCGTTTCTAGATCATATCCTGGGATGGCAATTTTTAGAAAAAATGTTCATGGTATAATATCGCATGAAGTGAGATCGCGATAGTGGGATGACTCTACTTCGAGCGCTTCGATATCGATCTTGAGATGCCTTTTGTGCCTATTCCAACTTCGTGGTTGTGGAGGGCGATGAGGCGATGAGGCGATTTGGACTATAAAACCCGCTGCTTCACTATGATATTTCGAATTTCATCCTGATAATTAACAGTTCATTTGATTTTGATTTGATAGTTGACTGTGTCAGCTTATTATTCCTCTATTCGTCTATCTTTTCGTTTCCAAATCTTTAAACCTTCATAATAACTTTAGTACTCGGTTTCACATTATATCTCTCTATTAATTACTTAAGTACTTTATACGAGTTCCTCGTATTTCCCACCGACTGGTTTCGGTTTCAATACCGGTATACCTCCTACTTTAACGATTATAAAAACCTATAACAATAGCTCAACGAACCCCCCCTCTCACAAACCACCATGTCACCAGCAGCAGAACTCTACATCCCCCGTCTAACCTCCATCCTCCTCCGTCTAACCCAACTCCTAACCTCCATAATAATCACGGGCATCTCAGGCCACTACCTCAACACCCTCAAAGACTTCCACATACCTGTCGCAAACGGTCGATTCATCTATACAACCATCATATCCTCATCATCACTGATCTATTCCTTTATTTGTTTGATATTCTGGAGGTATACTGTTTTCCCGGTTGATTTGGGGTTTTTTGTGGCTTATCTTGTGGGGTTTGGGGTTGTTGTTAGTTGGATTGTGGATGGGATGGGGTGTGAGAAGACGTGGGATTTGGAGGTTAGGTTTGGGGTTTGGTTGAGTGGGAGGGTTAGTATTCTTCCTCTTCTTCTTCTTCTTTCTACGGGTATACTGTGGGCTTTAGGGAGAAAGTTACTGATTTGATTTTCTTTTGATTTATAGCCAAAAGATCAATGTGGACGCTGGGCGGCGGTTGAGACTTTTACTTTCTTTACTTCGCTTTTGTTTTTGGCGAGTGGGTTGCTGGTAAGTTATACATCCCCATTGAGTATATTGAAGATTGAATAGAAGCTGATATTTGAATGATCTGATAGGCGGTGTGGAAGATTTGGAAACAAGGGAAAGATGAAATTGAGAAGCCGAGGCCGTGGTTTAGGTGTTTGTGAATACCTATGCACATTTATACTCAAGTAATTTTATGATGGTTACAGTCTCGAGACCAGTAATGGATTTGCAGAGGCTTTTAGGGGTAAATTTGGTTTTATACCTAGTATCATGACTTTGACTAGGTAGTATCTAATGGTAATTTGATGGCCTAAGTGACCGTCTGCACGGGTTTAATTGATTGGGTCTGGTTATTTTTATGGCTGATATGCATGGTTTTGTGTTTTTTTTATCTGAATGATGTTGATTAGATAGTCTTATGCCCGGATAGTGCTCGTAGTTTTTTTAATATATCTAAAAGTTTTGGATTTGAAATATATATTCCTGAGTTTACTAAAAGAGGGATTACCAGTCTTGGAGCCATTTGTATACATATACAGGTGTGGAATTAGGGTGCTTTCAGCAAGGCCGTGCATATTTTCAAAACATGTTGGTAAATTATTATATTGTAATCGTGATAGGATATTCCTCTTTTGAAGAAAAACATTAATCGTACATTTTCCTCGATAGTACAGGTTCATGGACCAGAGCTGCCACGGGTATGAAGTACTTAAGTAGATACCACCTAGAAATCAATGATTACTCCGGAATCTTAAACCCTCCCGGCACCAACCTTCCAAAAACATTCTGTGGGTCATAAAGCGCCTTAGTATTCTGCAACCTCGTCACACTCCCCGATCCATAAGACGGAATAATATCATCCTTATGGAATCGATCACCATAATTCAAGTACCTAAAGTTCGCCAGCTTTCCAGCACGAGAAGCAATTCTTTCAAATCGCCTTATCAACCTCCTTGAATACTGCAGCATGGTGTTATCATCGTCTTTACTATCCCATCGTAGCTGAATCCACATCACAGCTAATGGCTCGGTGATACCCATCGAATTCCCACCCTTGGCTTCACTAGCAGCGATCCATGTTGCTCCGACTGGTTGGAATGCGAATTGTACTAAGAACCCTGGGGTTATCCTAAGGTTATGAGTGGTCATCTCCAACCAAGCCGCTCTCAACTTCTTTAATAAGCTGAGTTCCACTTGAATCGAAACGGTCGTCATGGTATATCGATTTCCCGACCCCTGAGCGTCTCTCAACCCATCCGTCGCAGATTTAATGGTGCCATTAGGTGCGAACCATTGGAAAGTAGCATTGGCAACTGTACCATCAAAGAAAGGTTCTAGAACAGTGGGCGGAGACAAGGGATCCAGAACGCCATCGTATGCCATAAGCGCGACGTTAGTCATAGGATTCGTTCCTACGATCGAAGCGGAGAAGATGATATGACTTTTAGTATCCGTATCGACTCCACCGTTACAATAGGACTCCGCAGCAGCGAGGTAAGCATCGGTAGAGGCGAGCGGATAACGCATATACCACCCGTTAAAAATCCCAGTAGCATCAACAGTCATCAATCTAAACTTTGTGATGATTCCAAAATTGTTGGAACCACCTTTAATAGATCTTAATAGATCAGAATGGTGGGTCCTATCAGCATTAATAACCGTCCCGTTACCAAGAACGATTTCAACGCTGGCGATGTTATCTGCAGCCCAACCCTCTTTGTTTGCATAGAAACTGATACCACCACCGGTGAGGTATCCGCCGACTCCGAGGTCGGAGTTCCTACCGCCGAGAACGGTGACGTTGTACGGTAGAAGTGCTCCGTAAACGTCGGTCCAGCGACTACCGCCTTCAACTGTTGCGAGTCCTGTGTGGGTGCTGTAGGAGGTGTGATTCATGTTACCCAGGGATATTAGAACACCTCGTTTGATGCCTGCCCAGCCGGGGTTGTAGCTGTGACCGCCGCTACGGACGGCGAACTGGCAGTTTCGGCGGGCGAATAGCTTTACTGCTTTCTTTACATCGTTGGTATTGTGGGGGGTGAAGACGCATCGAGGGAGAACTTGTGCCGTCGGGGCTGGGGTTAAACGTGGGATGTTAGGGAAAATTCAAAATCGGGTTGATTATAATTTAAGTGGAGGATTTTTGAATACGTACTCCAGTAGAAGGTCAGATCATCGTACTGTGGCGCTAATGAGGAGAAGACTTTTGAGTGGCCGGGGAACTTTGAGTGTAGCAAGGCGCACTACAAGATACATACACAAGGTATTTTATTAGTTGGCTTGTATATTAATATAATATCTACAAGGTCCAGAAAAAAGCGTCTTGTATCTGAAATTTAAAGAGAACAAAGAGGGAACTTACGCATATATTTGGATTTGTAAATTGAAGCACCGTTGCTTGGGCTTGGAGGACCAAGCTGGAGTACAGCAAAATCGACTTATAAGACAACATAATTGTCAATTTTGTATCTCGAACCAAATGCTATTACTTAGAAGCTCTCGACTCTGCTGCTTGAACAAAATAATTCAATCAAACTGGAAAACAGTATATACTTTATATAGACATTTTTCATACCCCATAGACCTGCCTCCCCGCGAGCCAAACAAAACTACCGATCTCAAATTGCCGGTCCGGAGGACCCGGCCCTACATCAAGAAAAATCGAACTTAACTTGATAACGTTGTTCATGCCGAATTTTGAAGACGAATAACTGAAGTATGTATGTATGTACCCACCAAAAAACGAGATGCGCCAGTCCTACGGCAAGCAAATCGAACTTAGCGCAGTCTAAACTTCACCTATTTAGTCGGTGAGGTCAAAGCCGTTAATTAACTCTATAGGCCTAGCGGACCGCCGCGGGACGGAGCCAAACGAGAGTCAGCCGGAGACGCCATTTGATATTCTAGATTCCATGAATTTCCTAAACCCGATTGGTTACATCGAAATGCAAATCCAACAAAAACAAAATTTAAGGTTTTTGGATTTTTGTTTTTTTGGATTTCGTTTCGAAGCTGAATTTATGTATGTGCATATACATGCATCATCGGTCATGCAACGTGCTTAATATAGTTGGTTGTGAAGGAAGTGCTTATTACTAGTTTCCCCGCTTGCCGTGTGGCTTTCTCCAATGAAATTGTGTGATTGCCGTTCGGGATAATAAAAGTGCTTCTTGGTTCTTATTTAGGATAAGAATAGGTATGCAGGTTTTACCCACTACTATCGTATCGAGAGTGTACAAGTCTTTTTTAGAGGTCCGTACTACCTGAATTCCTACACAAATATAAACCATAATGCACTTCAAAGTGTGGACCGCGTCTGAAATACGAGACTAAATACACTTTTGGCCTGAACTGCGCTCCGGGACCGAGACTAAACCATAATATAACCAACGCAGTAGACCTCTCCAAAAAGAGCAATATACACCAACGAATTAGCTATAGCTCGGACGCCACGGATGGAGACGGCCCAGAAGCTCTAAACAAATCATCGAGAAAGCTGAATGCAATGTAGCATGATAGTATCGTAAACCTGATTCCTTCTATCTGCTCCCCTTGGTGATTTCGGAATACGACCTCTCGAAGCAACGGAAGAACTACAACTTGAGTATAGTGGGTTTTTACACGTATTCCGAAGTGGGGCTTCGTCTTGTCCATTTTCGAAATCATCGTCTCGAGGTATCTCGCGGAAGTATACACTAGTGAGAACCGCATGCATCACGGAGGATCACTTTATATACCCCTTCAATACTGACGTATATACATATATATATACTTTTTACCACAACCATGGCCACGGTACAAGCTTCACAGGATATATCCATATACTTTTGCTCACTTAAACCATGATACCATGTCCATGGCCACGGTAAGGCTTAGAATATCAAATCCCGAATATACGGCTGTCAAATAATATTTTTGTCCATTGGATTTCAATTGATTCCCGTCTTATCCCTAATACAAGATTGATTTAAGAATAACGCACTTACCGCTCCTTACCCAGATGGTAATCAGATGTGACTTACATGCTGGCCTGAGACGAGTGGCTGCATTGATCTAGAAGTGCCAATGCCGAATGGTTGGCCCATAAATGTGAAAACCGTGAGCCTAGCCCCACTTCGTGGCTAGGCAAGGTGGGGGGGTTGTTAGATTTATCAGATATCTTTTTTTAAAAAATATATTTGATACGAAAGAAGTGGATCGATAGTTAATTAAGTAGTTAACGTTATTATTAATTCAAAAATTCAACATTTCTGCCAGTATAGTGATTAATTAAGTAACCCCATATACATCATTATTGGTATGGAATACATACTTACCTACATCACTCGAACATACCATTACAGCTGATCGTTGACCCGTTGCCGGTACTCGGGATGATATGAGACTCTTTTTTATAGGTGGATTTCGTGAGAGTGGATATCAATTAAGTTTCGAGGCTATCGATGTATGTACTAACCAAAGATGGTTAGTTGCATGCAATACCGCAGCAACCTTAAATCGGCGGAAATCATCGAAGTGAACTACGGATTGCCGCTATATGTGTGACCCGAAACGAGTTCGGTTGCAATGCAGTTGGGTTGGGATATAGTGGTTGATGATGGCTAAATCCTAAATCCTAACTTGAGCACCTCTTGTTTTTTTTTGTTTTTTTTACCTAACTAGTCAAAAGTCAAAGATTAAGATGGGATCAGAAAAGGTGCTGTTTATTTATGATTTGTGAGGAAGCTTACAACCCCACCGTTGTTACCATAGTGCTAGTGGTAAGATTAAACACTTACAAGATAATAACACTTCGCCCGGCTCGCTCCACGGAGCAGGAGGTCTTTGGCTTCGTATCCGCGAAGCTGACGACAACGCAAAATCTAATATTGTAACAAAAATTAATTCTGAGGAGCCTAACACAACGAGACCAACCCAAAACTTCACCAAAAAAAAAGACGATGTTCCAAGATCTAGGTACTGAAGCCCATGATTCCTAAAGTTAGTCGATGAAGGGTATTAAACGGAAAGTTATTAGCCCCTCGCATTTTTTGAACGTTTGTATAGAATACCTTTGCTAAAAGAACTGTCTAGTTACGAGGCTGACCTTTTGCTCCAACTTTTTGTGTGGTCGGTGAATTTGTGTTGATGTTGGATTTTTGCTGTGTGAGTTCTTTTTACAACGCTCTCAACACACTATACGGAGCTAGTACTTGTCTCGTACTCGTCGCCAGACTCCTCAACCGTGTTGAAGTACTTAGTAGATAGTACCTTGCCAATCTGGTCGCTCCAGCTTGTAGTATTAGTTTGGTAGAGCTCACCGGTCTATCCGATTGGTGGTACCAGGTCAAACTACCCGTCGTATAGTATGGTACTTGGCGAATTTCCCGAGAGTTACAATACTGAGCGGCTCTTGAAATACTTAGGAACATAGCGACCGCAAAAATGATACATAGCTGCCACAACTATATAGTATACTTTCCAGATGTGGAATAGCTTGAAAGAATGATTGGCTCTGGTCCAAAGTCTCCCCAAAAAATCGCCATTGGTCGATAAGGACTCCAGCCGCATGCACGGTTTGTATCTTGCATACCAAGGTTATACGGTACAAGCAAAGCTTAGTTGCGATAGTACTTTGTTGAAAAGGCTGAGAGGATGCACGTTTATCCCGTTTTGCAGATGCTATACACCACTTTTTATTATGATACCCCCTCCTTCAGCTACGTGCACGCGCATATTCTTTCGACTTGAAGTATATTTTATATATATCTCTACTATGTGTTTGAGGCCGTCTGTGGGCTTTTTTTTTTCCCTGATAATTCTTGAAGGATTCGATTGCTTTTTTGACCCCGCATCTCGTGTAATTTTTGCGAAAACGCGGGATTATCTTTTGTTGAACGTGATGTGATGCCTTTCGGATGAGCGATGGAGCGGGAGGAGGGAGGAGGAAGATGGATTGTTGGCACCATCTATAAGAAGGCGGGAATCCCTCCTTGAACGTCTGGATGATTCCAATCTTCTATCCATCAGTAGAGTATCATCTTGACCTAATTAGAGACCGGTCTAAACCAGACAGTGGTCGTCCTACGGCTTTATATCATATCTTTATTAGGAATCGCTCTCGTGTAATCACATCTAGCATATAGTTCTTCTTATATTTACATTTTATAATTATTAGAAGAAAACAGGATGGACCCTGGAAAAACGAGCTGCAAACTCCTCGGATAAGAGGGTTAGGAAACAGGCGCTTTTGCATGATCTGGAAAGTCAAGATTCCTTCGAGAGGGCGTTGGGGTCAGGTGGTACTGCTTATGTCGTTGCTCATGTCCCCACGCCGCATACACTGGGTCATGCTAAAATCAAAGGCACACAAACGATAAAACACCTTGGGAAAGCTGCCGCAAGCGGGATCGAAGCAACGATGTATCGTGATGAAGATAGAAGACGTGGATTATCCATCCCTCAAACTCCCTTTGATGATGAGAGAAGTAATAGGAATCTAAGAGAAGGAGCGATCGGACAACTTGGGGAGGCGGCAAAGAAGTTGACGCCGATGTCGCAGTTGAAAAGTGAACTTAAACACGATATGTTTGAGGCTGTAGAGGACGTGGCGGAGAAGAACCACATACGTTTTCCGCGGTCGAAGCATGTGAAGGGTGGGATGAAGACGGTTTATACAACCCCGGATAGTATGCCTTGTAAGTTGTTTCCCTGTGTTCTTGGCCGAACTATCTGTTGAACAAAATACTTACGTTACTGTAATATATTAGTGTATAACACTCCGGTTTTGGCACCTTGGTACACGGATAAACCGAGCGGTGAGCTCGAGGTACCAGGTGATGAAATGTCAATCGATATATCTTATAGAAAGTTAGCGAAGGGTGCGAATGGCAAGTCTAGAAAGGGTTCGAATGGACTGGCCAAAGGCCAATCAAGAAAACCGAACAAAGGCAAGTCCCGCAATTAAGTTAGCTGTTCTTAGCACTAGAACTAGAGTACTAGGTTATGTTAGTTGTTAAAGTTGGTTATTTTCATTTTGCAAGAGGAACAGCTTCACATCTTGATCTATTAATAAGAAACCGGAAACTTATATTCCCGAGACCTATTGACTTAGAAGCGCTGCTAGCCTTCGAAAATACAACTTGATAAATGGTGTTGCGCCGACATAAGCTAGTACTGTACACGAGAATGCAATGCAATGTTATTCATAGCCCAAATACATACGAATTCACAATAAACGATTGGGATCGCATATTGTAGTTAGTTTCTTGATAGCTAGATAACTTGGCTCTGGGGAATGATTTTTGATAGTCCGCATAACGAATATTGAGAGAAGGCTCGAAATTTCGGTATTCATAGTTATCGTTATTGCTATCGCGATATCGATATCACAAATGCATGGTACGGCTGAACAATATTAATATTCCAGCCTCGTCGCGATATCGCACCCTCCATCTTCGCTCCCGCAAGTTCGTAGAACCAAAACTACAGATATAACTAGATCTTAAATGCGAACCAATTTCCTCGTGGCCCTCCAGTAACATCAATATCGAATACATATTGAAAACTGTATACTAGAGTTTGTCAGTCGAATCAAACCACCAGCAGTTTCGCAAGCGTTAACTATCCACCCTGGATGCCTTAACCTACAATATCTTTTGTAGTATTGGCTTCATCCACACTAATTTCATCAGCCCTAATTATAATGACTTCAATAGATGACTTCAAAGGCCATATCTTTGAACTTTACAGCACACCTGGTCTTACCCTAACTGATATCATTGCAAAGATCGAAGGGGAACATAATGTAACGGCGACGTAGGTGTATTCCCTGTTTTTATTTCCACACATATATTTATTCTTAGCCTCAACAGGATTGCAAATAGATGCTAACATACAAAACGCTTGTTTCCAGACGTGCAGTTTACAAAAACAGACTCAAAAAATGGGGATTCAAGCGGAATACAAGTAGAAGTGAGGTTCTCACCACTTTGCGTGAGCAAGAAGATGATCCCAAGATTTAGACCTTCCGAGACTCTGCTCGTTTATCGAGAATCGAAAAATACCGCAAGAAAAATAAGATACAGCGACATGAATACTCCAGCAAGCCATCAACTCAACCATCAGCCCCATCCAGTACGGCCATCGTGCCACGGCAAATATCACCACCGCAAGTTTTCGAATTATCCGAGCGGCTAGGCTATGAAGTTAGCAACTATATCAAAGGCTCATTTGAGAGTAAAAGGTGGAAGGTCAAGGATAACCAAAACATCATCAACAGTTCTCCAAATCAAGACACCGAAGCTCAAATCCTGACAACATTTTTGACTGATATCGAGACTGGTTGTTCAAATTTTGCTGTGGGAAATGGATACAATGGTGGCTTATATTGGCGGAAGGCATTCAAAAGCATCGAATATCTAGTTAGAGGCGACTATCATGATCACCTCCTCAACATCGTAATTACCATCAACGATTTAAAAGAGAAAGGATACCCCGACGCTGCAGAACTTCTCAAATCCTACGCTTCGCAGCTAGGTAGACATAAACAACCATCAGAAGGACATATCAGAGCTTTAATCTACCGAGAGCTAGGCAACGCAAGTCTAGATCAGATGCCACATCTTGAAGAAATAATTCTCGCTTGCTTTGTGGAACTATTTGAGCAATATCTTGGAGATTATTGCTGTAATAGTTTTGTAATGCATATGAATATGGCGAGGAGAAGGTTGAGGCTTGGAGATTGGGTGGATTTGACGGACGTCCTACCGGCACTTTCGGTTCTTGATCATAAATTTGGAGTGTCGGATCGAAGGCCGCTGGATGTTATTAGAGTCCGGGTGGAGACGCTATTTAAACGAAAGAAGTATTTAGAGGTTATAGAACACTCGAATAGTTTTGTGGAAAGGGCAGAGTTAATTGGGATTCAAGATGATCCCTGGCAAAGGCATTATTTCTCGATTAAAGGATGTTATTATACGGGAATGTCTCTATTCTCGCTAGAGAAGTATGAAGAATCATGTATTACCCTATCAAAGTGTTTTGATTTGATTGAAATTTTTTATACTATACGGCATAATTTTGCGCTGTTTGATTCGGAGAGAGTGGAAATTGTTGAGAGGCTTTATCAGCTATCACAATTGGGTTTTGGTGATGCCGGGCGATGGGGAGCTGAGAAGGAAAAGTCGCAAGAAGCGATATCAGGCATCGATAATACGGTAGAGTTATTGGAGGAACTACAAATTGAACGGTCAGAAAACGACGTTGTACTTTAGCTTATGGGTATGCTATATATATCCTCGAGGAATGGGGAAATGCAATTTCGGTTAGGACTCATGCCGTCCCGTAGATACTCGGATTGGTTTAGTTAAACGTGTCAAACTGTGAAAATATTGAATCATACGGGGAAACTGATTGCGGAGTCCGTATTGATACTAGGCATCCGGTTGTCGAGTTTCGGCACCCTTGCCACAAACAAGGCTGTGGATCCTGCGTTGATGCTGTGACATTCCGTAATAGTACAGTCACGTGATGACACTAGCCTGTTATATTGCGGCAGGCATCTCGTCACAGCCGGGTTCAGGCTCAGGCTCATCCCACCTTCCAATTCACCCGCCACCAAATATAGTCGTCGTCAACCTCATCGCGAATTCTACGACTACTTGAAAGTCGAGTCCCCGCTTTCCCCCCGGTAAATAAACCAACCAGTCCGACATACAAAGACAGTTTCCACCTGTTATTCACATTTGTACTTCACGTCTTACAACTAAGAACCGAACACCATGTCATCGCCACCATCGAAGGCCTCCGGCCCCCTACCTGCCCATGTCTACGACGAGGAAGCGCCTCCATCATACCACGAAGCAGGTAGCAGCAGTCGAGCCCAAGAATCTGCCGAACCCCTCCTCGGGAGCCCACGATTCGACCAACCAGACGACGCTTTCCCACCAGATTACAAGACTGTCGTCGCAGAATCGTCCCTTGCGATCCGCCAACGCTTCGTTTCTAAAGTCTACAGTATTCTGTTCTTCCAGCTCCTCGCCACTGGTATCGTCTCCGCCGCTACATTCTACTCAGCCGGCTTCAAAACATGGATTCAAACAAACGGCTGGATGATGTGGATCAGTTTGTTAGGAAGTATCGGAGCCTTGGTAAGCCTTCTCCTCCTTTCCTTCTTTCTCTACCAAAATTCGCCGCCTCGTACACTTGCATACACAAACTGTTACACAAAGCAAACATTTCCAATATCAGTAGTATCAAACTAACACAAGTCACTTCAAATATAGATCGCAGTCTACATGAAACGTAAATCCTACCCAACAAACTACTACCTCCTCGGCCTTTTCACCGCCTTCGAAGCCTACTCCGTCGCCGTAATAACCTCTTTCTACGACTCCAAAATCGTGCTCGAAGCTGTTGTCATCACTGCTGTTGTCTTCGCCGGTCTAACCCTCTTCGCCTTGCAAACTAAATACGACTTTACACAATGGCAGGGGATCTTGTTCACCTCGTTGTGGATTTTAATCGGAGCCGGCTTTATCAGCATGTTCTTTAGCCATGGAAGCAGTTTTGAGATGGTTTACAGCGTGGGCGCGGTGGTTATTTTCTCCGGCTATGTGTTGGTGGATACCCAAATGATTATGCACCACTTCACACCAGATGAGGAGGTTGCTGCGGCCATTAGCTTGTACCTTGGTAAGCCTTGACATCCCTTCCATTCTGTCGCGCGTCTAGGATATCGTGTTAATATGGTGTGATATTAGATATTATCAACCTCTTCATCAACATCCTCAGGATCTTGAATAACCAGAATAGTAACTAAATTCGGGTTGTTGATTGGTTCCGGAGGAAGATACTAAGAGGTATAGGTACGGCCTAACAACCGCCATTCAGGGTGGGTCAACAGAAAGGGTCGTGGCCAATCGAAGAAAGAACCTTTTTTTAAAAAAAAACGCATTATTTCCTTTTTCCTTTTTCTATCAGGTGCATCAATAGTGGAGAAAATAAGATCAATTCATGGGACAAAACATTGGGATACCATTCGTGTGTGCGTGTGACTTTTGGGTACTGGTGGATGGCAAGTTAATGGGATGTTGAATTTATTTTTTTCTTTCTTTTTCCTTGCTTTTCCGTTGATATCCTTCGCTCTTTTGTTTCAATCGTTAGTTAGTTAGTTCTGGGGCATTTTTTTTTTCTGGAAGTTTTGTTATAGTCATTTGCAAGATGGCTACTTTTGATATATCTAAATCTTGAGGAACAAAAATTGCAAAAATGATCCTTAATAGGGGACCTCATAGTTTAGTAAGGCAATGACCTATAAATCACCTATACATAAGCAGTCTTGTATGTAGTATTTTTCAGTCTAGTTATCAAATCTTTGAATTTTTTCGGGCCGATCCACTACCAACGGAAAACAGATGCTTTTATACGCTCGCCGGAACAGGCGATAGATACAAAATTTGCAAACTTCAAATGACATTGCTACCAACGATACGCAGAGGTAAAAAAATAAAAATAAAAAACTGTTCAAACCGAGCGACCATGTTGACAGAAAGACATGCCACCAAAATGCTGAGCAGTAACGCCATAGATAAACCCCCAATGCCTCCAACCTACCTACCACCGAAGAATGCATAGTACGCCCACATCTCGGTCTGTGTACGAATACTCATTGCTTCGTAGATGCGTAAAACCAGATCAAACTCCAAAACTATGGTAAAATGTAAATGAACAATCCAATCATACATATTTCATGCTTCCAGATCTAATCCACAGACTTCCATCCTCCGTTGTCTGTACCCGTCATACAATGTCCGCCATACATCCCTTGCCGTGCAATCCAATCTCTCTTCTCCATTCCCCGTCTCTTGAACCATTTGACATTTTGGAGCTACATCTTCTTCCAAACTCTTAAGTTTCCAAGGTTGTGGTACTTTTTCCCACTCTCCGTTTTTAATTTTCTTTCCGGCGTCGAAGAAGATATAATACGCTTCCTTGAGAACTTTTGATGGTTTCCAGTTTGATGCTCGGTTCCCATTGCTTTCGACCGGTGAATTGAAAAAGTCGGATGTGAAAACGTCGTGAGGCCATCGAGGGAGGATCATTGCTGTAGTTGCATATATTTTGTCCACTAGTTTCCCCAACCCCCCAAAATCTTTAGAAATGGCCCCTTCCTGCTTCATGACATATTCTAACTCTCCATGCTCAGGCGTCACCATCAAGAAATTTGATGATAGTCCTCCACTGCTATCCCTAGGTGCAGATACCGTCGCCACGGGAGAGTGTAATAGCATCTCGTCCATGTTTTTCATGATAACAGCTGGACTTCGAAGGTATATCAGTCGTTTGTAATCCGTCATATTGAGCATTACTAACGGGTTGACTGTATCATCTGGCATTGGTAGAAGTATTGCTGAGTGTTTGATTCTTGCGAGGTGTAGGAGCCTCCTTGCTGTATGATATTGTTGTGATTTATCCGCTGATATTTGGTGCGGAAGTGGCGGAGGGTCGAGTGGGTTTGTTGCTTCTTCGTCCGACAGTTTGGTTGTATCTTCCTTCTTATTCTTCTTCTTTTTGCTAGTCTTCTTAGTGTTCTTTTGTTTCCGTTTGTTGTTCAATGTCTTTTCTTGGATAGCTAGTATCTTTTGTGCCTCCTTTTGTTGAGACTCCGAGATTTCGAGTTGCATATCCCAGCTTTCGGGATATATCAATATCCGCGAAGCTTTACTCCTCAACCGATCAAGATCGTTAAACATAAGGACAGCAGAGCAAACAGTCGTAAAGTCATCAACTAATTGGACATATCCCACAGTTTTATACCTCTCCATCTCTCTTTGCAACTCCATCTCCAATTGCTGTTGTCTCTGCTCCCATCTTAAATCTTGAGCCCCACGTTGTCGCTGCGATGTCGAAAGTATTCGCTGAATCCCACCACCGTGATTATAGCTTTTGGATTCACTGCTAGGGGTTGGATTTTCGGCTTGGGTTTTTCTTCGTTTCTTTTCTATTGCTAGTGGATGTGTTTCCGGCAGCGGCATTGTGTCGTAGTAGTGCTCGAGTGTGTGCATTGATCTTCTTTGGAGGATGCATCCGGAGAGGAATAAGATGAAGGAGAAGAGAAATACTAGATATAGAAAGTAAGCTTTCTGCAATATAGAGGGTTAAGGAGTGGTCATACGGATGCTAGAGGTTATTCGGAGTCCTATTCGGCCCTTCATGGCCGCGGTGGAGGGGTTCGGTGATGACAAAATAGAAGGTGTTATTGTTCAGTCAAGGAGTGATGTTTAGTTCAAAAGGTTGTATGCTTTCAAGTTACAATAACTGTAGTTCAGTGGTGATATTTCCAGAGCTTGAAGAATGTAAATATTTGAACTCCTGTGGTATGTCGTGGTCTCGTGCCCAATAATATTTTCCAAGATCAAAGTCTTTAGGTACAAAGGTATCATCACCATGCACCACCAAAATAACTATCTTCGTTAAGATATTAGAAGCACAAGAGTTTAATAATCCACTCCAATTAAAGAGCCCAAGACTTTGGAAGCGATGTGATAAGGCTAAACACCCGTACCGTTTTTTTTTAGAAGGTTCTTGGCTGCCTGCGTTCCACAGATGCGGGATGCAGACAATATGTACGAGAGGTGCTGGTGAATTGTTGGTGTTGTGATCATACAAGGGTGAGCCTTCTTGTTACCACGACAACAGATATTGGGAGATGGATGTAATAGGTGATGTCACCACGGTTCGACACTGACTCGAGAACCGATGCCGTGATTTCCGAGGACGCGAAATTGGCTCCGAGACCTGTGGGAAATTTACGCCTCTAGACGGGGACGTATGGAAGAGGCTTGCATAGTGCGAAACATAAAAAGGGGTTCATCTTCGAGACAATTCGAGGTCACGTGTATATATTTTGTGCGACCATGTTGTATTTTTAATGCTTCAACACGACGGGGAACAGGACGCGACTGCAAGGCATAGAGAGGCCGCTCAATCAACGGCTGTTCCGTACAGATATTAGAGCGTAAGGGTGTACACCACTCGACGGTAGAATTTGAGTTCTCATAGGGGGCAAAATTATTTACGAATACAGTATTGATGTCTTTCAGCCCTCAGGTTACCACACTGCTGCCTTAACAGACTAGACTAGACGTCCATTATTCATCATGATATGCTCAGGTGGTTGCACAACGAATAACAACCCAGGCTCCCGACAGCATCTAGATTGCTACAGACTCTATCTGATTATCATCAGTTCTACGTTCGAGATCAGTCTTTCTAGTGATGCTGACATATTCTGCCCCATTGTCACCCCGCTGTGTAGTCTTGCCTGCTATGTTGCATTGTAATCAGTAGTACATAGTTTGTAGGCTTCCAGTGTTCGTCAGTACATCGTGAGATCCAACTGTGTACAGCTTGTATACCGAAGAATAAGGTTTTATGGTGGCGAAGACCCTAAGAACGTTCCCGGTGATATTCCTACGGCTGAGTCTACTAGTACTGACGGTATCTGAATAGGATACTTTGTCTAGAGCTGCTTTCTTCTTAGTTCCATGCCAGTACCAATTTAATCCCTTTAAAATATATGCTTCAAGTTTGAAATATTTAAATGCATACAGTTAGCCCGAATGATTATCAAAATGCAGATTCGGCACCAACTCTAGCAGCTTTGAGGAATCAATCGGAAAGACTGATCTCTACCCCTACCCGAACAATCTTGTCTCGTACCCAGACCTGGAAGGAACAATCCAATAAACAGTATTCCTATACTGAGTACATACGTACTTATCGGTTTCAAGCCAATCGGTTTCAAGAGTACAAGACAGTACACACCAATCCGTATCTAGAAAGATTAACAGCATTGAACATGTATACTCCAACACTCCAACGCCTTTCAGCCTTCGCATGCACTATCGGGCTTCTGATTTCCCTTACATCCGCCCTCCCGGTACCAAGCAACCCAGTAAGCCTCCTTCGTCCAAAATTCCAGACCTACATTCTCTGTAAATTTTAATGTTAATTTTCACACACATTTATATATATACAGTCTCTGGAGCCTAAATCGATCAATGCCAAAGCCGTAGATCCGCGAGCCGGTTTTCTAGACGGTATCGTAGCCATTTTGAGCGGGCTCGGAGGCTTAGTTCCCGCTATTCCAACGGCCGCTCCAACTACGAGTTTGCCTCCTGTCAGCTTACCAATAAACACTGGCGAGACTGGGGTAAATGCTGGGAGAGATTCCGACATTTTGCCCAATACCACGATTGATATCCTATAAACTTCCTGATCTTCTTATTGTGTTGAGTTGTATGCATGGTAGTTAACAATTGCAAGTGCCACCTAGCTATAGCTTGTGATACTCATTGAGGAAAATGATGCGCGATATTGCCTATCGAAGGGATTTATGTAAACTGCGGTGGGAAATCAATTGCTTATTATTGTGGCTTGTATTCGTACTTTAAATCAGTCGGCACCAGCCGTACAACTTATTGCGATATTGCCGTCTAAATTATAAAATGTCTTTCTAATTTAATTCGCGGGCCCGGGTCCACAGTAACCTACATAGTATGCTGTAACATATAACGTTGATGCAATATTGCACTGCCCAATAAATCCCACTAGCCACTTAAAATCTTCCCTGGCCCTATCGCCAAAGGCAAAAAAATATATAATGACGAGCCATTAATCAATACATTCCCACATTTGTGGATCAGAATAAATTGCCAAGGCTCGATCGGCGGTCACAATGCATGCATGAACCCAGAACTCCACATTATCGATAGCATCATCACTTTCCCGTTCCGTCATTGAGGCTTTTATCAATTGGGTCTCGTGGATGACTGGAATAAGCGATAGTTACGTCGTATATACGACGTGGCGACGTCTAACTTACAGACGTAGGTATATCGTAGGTTGCAGCTTGATATGAATGATAGAACGTCAGAAAACCCAAATCTATTGATCCAATACTTGGACAAGACTAACTTATTAGAGCGGCAAAAAATAAACATCGTACGATACATGCCAGAGACCTAAGCTAAAGTTAGCAATTTCCGTATTGTGGGGCCATTGCTACAATAAAATTATGTACCGTAAAGCGACCCTAATTGTTGCATGTTGCACGATTCCGAGTCAAACACAACCTTAAAATTGAAAACCCCACTCGGAAGCTTGAAGCTCCGTGAAACAAATCCGATCTTTTTGCTACATAGCAAAAGGATCACCATTCAGAAAAATAATTCCGGGCTTTTTCTGTTATGATTTCGAGGTTTCGATGCGAATCAAGGTTTTCGTGCATTGTGTGTCATGTCAGTTATCCTGACATATGCATACTAGTTTATCCTGTCCGGCGGATCAAAATGTTTTAACAATACAAAGCTTAAAGCAATCTCGTAACCACAAGTACCTATTATCGCCCAAGTGGAACGCAAAGTTTTCATCGATATATGCCCCCGGCTTCGTTCAGTAATCTAACGGCTAGCGGATCCCCTGCAGAAACTAAAGCCACCTACTGACGTCATGTATACCCACCGACAGACGGCGTCGCTAAGATGCCCAAAACGGTGGATTTCGCGACAAAATGCAACATAATGCACAAGGGAGCCAAGGCGAGGTCTCAGAACTAATTTACTTAACTGCAACCCCAAAAAACTTAATACCTTGATCAAGAATTTTAAAGAGCATATAAAACATATATATTTAAGATCGAAAGACGTAGTAAACATGAGAGCTTCTAGTACCGGTCTCGTGAGAGTTTCTCCCTAGAATGCTGTGGTTTCACACCTTGCCACTTCTAAATGCCGGTTTTCCTATTTCCCCATCGCCAAGAATCGGATACCTCGAGCTTACGTTTTCAAGCCTGGCACTATAACAACATTCAAGGAGAATACTCATGTGCCCAGACATTCTGACCCACCGCCCTGCCCAATCGTAGCTGGGTGGATCTAAAACGGGTAAGTGCCCTCCGGAACTGCAGTGCCGATGCTTGGGGAGCATACAAGAATGTAGAAAACAATGAACATGACCCCAGTCATGATGCCGGGTGCCGGACGCGGCTCCTCCTAAACTTAAAATCTATAAAGTCTTCACTATTTCCTGAAATCTGGAAAGATTTGCGAATATGCGGAGAAGTACCTTGTCAATTATTTCAATACATTCCTTTGAATCCCTTCCTTTCTTTTTTTTTCTTTTTTACCTTTAGTACTTTTTTTTGATTTCCGAAGATATATATAATCGTCGTTCCTTACCAACTTTTCTTCCAATCCTCATTCATTAACCACAAATGAGAACCTAGTTTCTAGCTTTGCCCTGTGCTTACTAGGAAATCAGCATAGACGATGAAGGCCTCGATATTCTTTTTCTTCTTCTCCATCCTCAGTTGCAACTTGGCCCTCGCCATTCCTGTCGCATCCCCACTAGATAACGTAAGTATATAAACCACCCCGAAGAATATTTCCATGCATCCCAACTCTCCTGAAGCTTTACAACTTAAAGCTTCGGCCGCCGAGCTTCTGGGTCTGGGTTTATAAACCCGTACTCTAACATATAAATATCTCTTTCTACAGAAGCCAGGACCTCAAACCGTACTACCAAATCCCGACAACGAAGCGATCAGAAAATTCTGGGACATGCAATAAATCAAAACTCGAAGCTTCGAAGAGAAATACCAATACCTCCTACATTTCAAAGACAAAACGAATCATTTGAATGCGCTACCACTATCGTTTCAACAAGAGTTTCCAAGCCGCCGGCGGTTGTTTAGAGAAGCTTTCCATCAACGAAGACCAACCAACAAATTGTCAACCGTCTAGCTATAGCTATAGCGCTGAGCATCATAACAGAATTCCGATTATACCGACACATTTCAGAAGTGCGGACTTGGGTGGAACTGTGGCACCAGAATTCAGATCCTGTTTGATTAGCATGACAGGGACGATATTCCCCCTGCATTGTGGCAGTCATGCTGGAGATACTGTAGCCTTAACCAACAATAGAATACAAAATTCACCGAAAACATAAATCATGACCACAAAGTCCGTGAAATGAGCTCTTAAGAATATATTCTAAATCCATCGACTCAAATTTGCGATCGGAAATCTGTACTATCTTGATTAGCTCCACTAACCATTTAGCATCTGCGTATCCGGATCCCGCTACCAAAAAAACGACGAGAATCACAGCTTGATATCGATAGCTATCTACAGGAAACACCGCAAAGCCTACTTCGCAATTTCATCCTTACAACCCGTCCCACCATGGTACTAAGGTCACTGTCACCATTCAGCCACATGCCCTAATTAAATTCCGTGATAATACATTCAGAAACAAGCTGCATCTAGAACTCATGTTCCAACGTGGCACGAGTTATTCACTTTATCATCTCTAAGGACATATCACAAATTCACCTTCACAAGCCCGAATCCCTTACCAAAAACTTAATTTGCTTCAAAATAGGTCTTAAACACCTCCTCTGGTTTATGTAATACCTGCTTAGAGTAAACATATATGCACATCCACGCACTAGAATCACATACACACGACATTCCTCAAGTTCGCCAACAATCCCATATTTTCCTTAATGCAATATTTCATATATATGCAAAGGGGGATCATAATTGGAAGCCTTAGGAAAGAATCGCTAACCACGGGATCAAGCGAGAAATGTCATCGATTCTTTTGGACGCAAGGTTTTCTATCAAGTACAGTAGCCCGCCCAATCAGGCCTCGTAAACTCCTTCAATATATCAATTTCATTCAAGTTATTCTATATATAAATTCAAATGTGACAGATAAAGAAAATACTTACAAAGATTTCATTTAAATTGTTCTGGGTAGGCATAGGTAAGGAAGCTGCTGACTAGCTGACCATGAAAGAAAATATCTAATACAGACGGCCGGTGGACGGCAAAGCAAGGTCTGATCTGGATACGAAATACCACCGGTCCCATCCCCTGTGTATTGAACACTCGAATACAATAGTATTCAATAAATGCAAGTTGGTATAACCCATCTCGTACCCAGTCTGACTCGCCTCCTGCCCAGAATTTTAGCCTTGCAATTGTCCATTCGCTTGCATGGTTTCAACATTACCCTCAAAGGCAAGGGGACTCCACAATGGTAAAGATACTGCATTCGTTGAATATATCCCTTGCGCAATTTGTCCATCAAAAAAAATAAAGTAGAAAAATAATCTTCCTGTGCACATGCTGCGGATCTATTAGGCCATTTAAAATATTTTATTTTATTTTTTGGACTTGACTTCGCCCATATTCGACTTGAACAGAAAAATAACATTCCGGCAAACCATTTCATGCACGTAGACGCCCAAACGACGGCCGTGAGATTTCGGGATACCCCTTACATCCACACACACACATGGACTGGGTTAAAAAAAAAAAATGTCAAAAGTGGTGCCCCCTTCAAAACCACATTATAGGCAACCCCCCTCCCATCGAAAAACTCGGTACTGTGCTTTTTTATTTTTATTTGAGCTTCAATGAGGCTCAGAGCATAAAAGATCGGCGCGTTTATGAATATAAAGGTTTTAGACTAATTGGCCACAGAGTACTTGAACCCAAGGCCGTGCCGCGCCGTAACTATTTATCAACTCTCGAGACCTCCCTAATATCCTTGAGGGAAGGTAAGTGGTATCAAAATTTACTCAATTTACATGCCCCCAATACGTAAACCTCTAAACACATGGTAACTGTCGTTTTACTTGAGATTCGAAGATATATCAGATGCATTATAGTTAACTATTTCATACCTCCATGTTGATTTCCACTCTATCACAAGGAATAAATTAGAACCAAATCTCTAACGATCTCATTGACTAGTTAGAGTGGCCACATAGCAACATATAGGATTAGGGAGGGTATTGGCAAGTACTGTGTACTGCTCTTTAGCTCGACCTCTCCATGCAGCTTTGCTCAAAGCCCGATCCTTGTTTCATGTCTACGTACACCCTCCGTAGCAATTGACATAAATATCCCGGTATCCGGCATAGGTATACGGGCCAAGCATCGGCATGCTGCTAGATACTATGCACCAACGGAAAGAAAGAGAGAGAAAACAGCTCATACCCACCTATTTTTGATGATTAGTTATGCTTGTGGGTCAAGTAGTTTATAAGCAGGCAAACTACGGAGCAACAGCGCCGTAATTGGGTCTTGGAAACCTCGGCCGAAAATATTATCTTATAGAAATAGCTAAGCATGTTGATAATTGAAAAAAAAAAACACAGAGAGTCATACGTTATTTTCTCTAGCGATAGGGAGTCAAGCTACCATTCTAAAGTTCTAAGGATACATCGAAGGCTTCTGATGCTTCTATAACTAGGATAGATTTTCCACCGGCGCTGCAGCTCGATTGTATATAATATTACCTTCGTTGTCTCGTCACTAGATTCCTCAACTATAGCACTTCGCGTCGACCTACCCACAAACCACATACAGACAAGGGTGGTAGCCGCCTAGCTTTTAATCTAGTACGCATGTCTCCGGCAATCGACAGCCGAGCTCGGTCAATATACATGCTCCCGTGTATCTGCTATAAACCCTTCTTCGAGAACGAACCTCTAGGCATAGTCTCTTTGGCCTGTTAACTTTGGGAGCATCAGTATTGACTAGAGATTCTTGGTGGGTTTTTGGTAGAGGCAAAAGATCGTTCTATTATGCTAAACGATTGAAAAAAAAAAAAAAAGTGCAGATTCATATCGTCCCTATCTCATGCGTGTGTTTCGTAGAATATCAGAAGAATATATAGTAGTAATACAGGTTTCAAAAACAAAAAAGTTTCTTTTTCTCCTCGTAGATCAAATTCGTGTTCTATCGTCCAAGCCACCAACTGAGGGAACAAAAGGTCATACATTGTGCAACCTACAAGTCCTCGTCCACATCTATTGCCGAGGACTGAGCTGCAGCGTTGACCTCCGCCATGAAATTGCTACCCCCATTTTGTGGTTCCTGTTGAGGAACATGCTCCCCGGTTCCGCCGGGTCCAAAGGCGCTCTGGACGGTGCTATCTCCACCAGTAGAACCCCAATAGTCGTTCATCTCGGCGTCCAATTCTTCTGCTGTCTTCTTTGGTCGATTCATACCGCCGGCCCTCTCACCGCCCCTCTCACCTCCCCTGTCACCGCCGCCTCTACCTCCGCGTCCACCACCATCACGGCGTCTCTCTCGTTCACCTCCCATTCCTCCACGTCTAGGTGGCTGCCTTCGGTCTCGCGATCCACCGCGCTCACCGGGGATATAACGATCAATGCCTAGCTCTTTCGCATTCTGTCTCATCTCTTGAACATTTCTTGGTGGTCCGCCTCTGCGCTGTGTAGAACCGCGACCAGAATTGTCATCCACTTCAGCATCCTGCGTTCCAGAGACTCTTTCAAACAATGATCGGCCCTCCCCTCCGCCTTGCATGCCACCTCCGCGCCCGCCACCTCCGTGCCCACCTCGTCGTCCGCCGGGTCCGCCAGGTCCCCGCTCATGCTGAGAGGCAAGCCTAACACGGATGGGCTGGCCCTTGGCATTTGCACCATCGAATTGATCGACTGCGAGGATTGCTTCGTCCGCGGTTGCATAGATGACGTTGGCGATGCCTTCAGAACGTCCAGCCTTGTCATAACTATATTTAACTAGTATTAGTTTGAGAGGATAATAGTGGGTCAAAACATATGCACATACATAATATCAATCCTGCGAATTTCACCAACACGGCTAAATACGTCCTATACGCCAAGGCTTTAGCAGCCGACTTTTTTTTGGTAAGTTTTCAGTCAACCATGTCACACGTACCCTCAGGTCAGCCTCTCCAAGGTCATAGTGAAGGTTTTCGACGCGAATTTTTGAACTCCTGCGGTTCTAATTAGCAACAGTAGACAAAATATTTCTCTGACAAGTCAATATCATACTGATGAGGTTCGCGATTTCTACCATCGCCACGGGGTTCTCTGGGGCGATGATTGTTGTTTCCGTCATCGTATTTATCATGGACCCAATTGCCTCTAACGGATGGAAACAGGTATTAGTATTCATAGCGCCGGCAAGCAATTTAAGGCAGGGGTTTATGGGAGGATTTATATACCGAGGAGGATCACGTTGAGGGCGAGTTTGCTGTAAAGAAATCACCGGGAGAAAGAGCCCAACAAGGGTTAGCACAGTCTGTAAGTGAAGAGAGAAAGCAGTATAGTCGACGGGAAAAGCGCAAAATATTTGGTCAGAAACGTGTCATGATGTAAGACGATGTAATATCATCGCAGTCGATTTCCCCCTCGTCGTATTAACTTAAGGTAAACATCGGAAGTGCCAATTGCCATAGCTGTAAGGATGTCGAGGCTTGTTAGGGCAACAAGCAGCTGACTTAAATGCTAGAGGGCGAGAGCTAGAGGCGATAGCTCTGTAGGGTGCTCTGATGGGCGGCTTGTCCTGGCTAACAGCAAGATATCGCAATAATGGCGAGAGGTTCGAGTGTCACGCAGGTAACACATAGGCACAATTTGCCGACCAATACAGGTTCAATGTGAGGTAGAAGAAGATAACGGTATGATGTATCAAGAGTATGAGGAGCAGGAGGGAGGAGGAGGAGCAGGAGGAGGAGAACACGCCTAGAAAGCTCTAGGATTAGCTTTGTGTTACACTACAGCAGGAATGGAGGAGCGCCGCACCTTTGAAACGCCATCTCTAGGAGTACGATTTCCAGGACCGCGTCTGCGATTTCGATTGTTTGTCTGGAGCAGGCATACATGTTAGTGAGGCTCCTAGATGCACGCTGCCACGGTCAGGGGTTCGCGCGGGTGCATACAGATCTGTCGGCCACGATCTCGTCGAGGGCGCGATCGAGAATGGACCCGTTGTCAGCCATAGCGTGAATTCGGCGACGAAACGAAAGTATAACGAGTTGGCAGGTTGTCGATTGAACTCAGAAGTCAAAAGTAAGGCGCGTTTACGGAATTGGGTGTGATTAGGGATTCGGTGAAGTCTGGGAGGTTGAAGAAAGACGAGGGCGAGGTTAGGAAGCTGAAGGCGAGACCGGGTTAGGTTTTGGAATCCTGCTGCCTGCCGGAACATTCTGCAACGCAAAAACTGCAACAATCCTAACCACCACAGAACCCAGCCTCGTAACTAGACTTGTCCCATTGCTCACGCTCACATATGACCACCATTTAACGATTTCGACGAATTTGGTACCAAAATTTTCGGGGGAGGACTGGCCCCGTCCCCAGGAGAGAACAAATGGCCACAAAGACTAAAGGTAAGCTAAGAAACCTTCTGGACTGAAAATCTCTACAAAGCATGCTCGAAAGTAATCTAGATTTCTTGAGTCGAATGCACGTATGTATGCTCGTGCCTATAAATATATATTTAAGTACGTACTCGATAGAATACTCCTCTGTTATACATTATAATTATATATAATTTCCCTCCCTACCTCTTCTCTATTAACCCCAAGCTCTACCTGTGTGTTTGAAGAGCGTGCTCATTCATAAACGCAATTCCCTCCTTTCTATAGTCATCAGTCTCGATATAGGAACCGCCTGTACTGATAATATCAAAGACGATCTGTCTCTTCCCAGCACCATGTCCATAGGGAACCCACTTCACATCCGAAGAGCTAGTACCAACTCTTGGATCTCGGTGAGCAATAAACCTGATCCAGCTCCTACACACGAAGTCCGCAAGACCAGCGTATTCAGCCTCCTTTGGTCCACCAAGTGGATTTCCATTGTCATAAGGACCATCGTAGCCATCACCGTTCAGATTATGGAAAACAAATCCAACTTCTGCAAAGTGGCCGGCGCCGGAATACGCTGGCAGACCATTGGGAACGGCACGGAATCGGAAGCTCCAGACTGGAACGTTCTGGGAGGTAAGGATTTCGGCGGTGTGTCTACGGTTGGCAATGAACATGTAATCACCAACAAAAGCGGCAGCGCGATGATAAGCAGCACCATTTTCTGGCAATGAAGTTCCGTCATCTTGACCGGTAAAGTTTTCAGCTGGGGGGATGGAAACGTCGGCTGGATAGAGGGTAAGAAGCTCTTGGATTGTGGCGGATGACCACGAAGAAGCGGTCGCTATATCGGTTCCACACATATGTTAGTATATATTTTAGATTATCCTCTGTTACAATGGCAGGTTGCGTTTCTTACCAAAGTGGGCGGCGATATGGCCATCGTGATGAGCTCCAATCGTTCCGAATGATCCACCCTCATCACTAGTAGTACCAACAATAGTCGGTACCTTAACGTATCTCCCATTCTTTAAGGCTTGGCTGCCGTACTCTGTCAAAAACTGCCCGTCGAGGACAGGCTGCCACCACTGGTCAGGAAAAATAGTATTCAATACAGCAGCCGGTGCATCCCGCAAGCAATTCAAGGGGCTAGGTGCGTCGGTGCAACCGGCAGCTACTGCAAGCGCATTAAATTCCGCTTGGAAGTCCTTTGGAGAATTCATCGGGCCCCAATAAATAGGACTGCCACTTTGTTGGATGGCACCGCGAAAGAGGCCGTCGTCGCGGCCGTTGAAAGCAATTTGTTGCATTCCAACGGAGGCGCCGCCAGCAGATTCGCCAAAGATAGTAACTTTGTTAGGGTCACCGCCGAATGCCTTGATATTTTCCTTAACCCAATGCATAGCCAACCGCTGATCTTTTAAACCAGCATTGAGATTCTGAGTTCCTTCGACTTCAGAACCGGACAAAAAGCCCCAACCACTCAGTCTATAGTTGAACGTGATCCCAATAATTGGTGACCCGATTTTCTTAGACTGATCCACCATAAATGACATGTTATATCGTAGGTCTGGGCCGCCTCCTTCTCTGAATCCGCCGCCATGGATCCAAAGCGCAACTGGTAGTTTTGCGTGCGATGGAGTGCCGGCGGGTCTAACAATGTTGATGGTCAAGCAATCTTCATCCTGGGTAAATCCATCTTGATCCGCCTAGATTACTTTACTTAGTACATATACACAATGTAAGTTTTAAAATTTAAAGAGATTTGCTACATACCCCGTACCCAAAGCAGTGGACTCCATACTGCTTAGCATTGATGTTTCCAAGCTTAGTATTAATGTACTGTGGAGGACGGAATCGAAGTGGTCCCACAGGTGGGCGCGCATACGGAATACCCAAGAAGTAATCCTGGTTCCAGACTTGATCCTTAATACCGTGTACTGTTCCGTTCTTGATCGAAACAGTAGGTGAAGATGGCATAATAACGCCAGCTTGCACGGTTCCGATAAATTGGAGCGCCAATGAGGCAGCAAAAGATAAGACTGAGGACTTCATCTTGACCCGGATGCCACTAAAGAACCAAATGTCAAGAGCAGAGGGAGTGATAATCTTCAGAACAACATATCTCCGGAGTTCCCGTTTGGTTTATATATCTCTGAACGCCAGAACGAAACTAGAAGAAGAAAATACTGTGAGACACAGATTCCGCTCCGGTATGGTAAATCAAAGGGATGAACAACATAACTCGTGGTACATGGTTGCTCATCATGGTATCAATCAAGGCTTTCGCTCTTCTGATTCTAGATCCCTGTCAGTGTGACCGGCTCTAGACCCGTAGAGGCATAACTTCGGTATTGTTCTTAATCCTAACCGTCTTTTCTCTCCGTCGATTCATCGGTCCCCACCAGCGCATTGATCTCATTCCTAGCCAACTAGTTTACATTCTACTCCCCATCGCGTGGCAGTCGACCGATCAAAGCAGTCCATTACAGCTTACAAAATATGGCAAAATTTTAAGCTTTAAAGCTGTCAATCAAATATTAATCTTCCATCCAAATCAAGAAGTTCCCAACACGACTGATCTCATTAAAGGCCTAGATGCTCGACCTTGTCGCTGGACCTTTCTTCCACGCCTGCTAATTCTCGCTTGTAACTGACGTTCCGTACCGTCAAGATCCACCCCAAAGTAGGCTAGCTATAGTTCCCGAGCGAACAACCTTTCAGCTTCCATCCTAGTATATCCTCATAAAAATCCGTTACTAGACACCGCCCAAGCCCGCTCCATAAACCAGAGGAGAGCACTGATGCATGTTCGGTGAAAGCGGATCGATGGCTGGGAACTGAGCAGCTAACTCTGAAGTCAAACTGAGATATCTCAATCCAGTAGCGAGGCATTGCAGGAAAACAGCATAGAACAAAGCTGAAAAACAGGTGCACGGGAAGGAATCGCACCTCCCGACCCGCATTTCGATGCCTGACTCGGCTAGTCTGGCAGGCGGCTTACGCTAACTCAAAATACCCCACATGCCAATTCATATTCTGATGGCCCTTTTCCGCAGCTCGTCGGAATCAAGGAGTGGGTCAGGATCGTAAACTCCATAGCTAATTGGTAACAAAGACATTCCATCATTCAAGGCAGTTGATCGCTCACTTCAACGTGCAGAGTTTTGTCTCATGATTGGTAACTCTATCTCTTAGCTCTGCAAGCGCAAGCCTCTTTCCCGAAAGGAAGCTGTTAGTTAGGACTCCTAGACAAATATGATTGCTCCGGTGGCCATCGAAACTTCTGCGAACATCTTTCTCCCGAGCTCTGTGGCGCCGCCAAACTATCCCAATCTTCATAACATGGCGTCAATTCTCCCAAACCCCACAACAGCGAACCGTCAATACCACAGTACTACGCCAGATCCAGCGCAACCTTAGCTCAAATTGGTATGGAGGGGTTTCGCGCGTGGGCCTATAATTCGAATTCGTATACAGGGCGTAATATCTTGTCGATGCGTCAACAGCTAGCTAGCTAACGGCTCCACATCGTTGTTATCTTTGTTTGCACATCATGCTGCACAGTTCATTTTTCTCGTATTCCAAAGGGTTTAGAAAGGAACTGGTACCTGCATCTCATAGCGCATCACCATACACACATGTGCATCGTTACGAAGGATATGAAATGATGCCGACAAGCTAGCTGAGGCCGGCCGCGATATCCGGAACACTAAATCCGCCGTGTACCGTACTGCGAAGCAATAAGTAGGTGTATCAGGCATGGAAGGTCAATACCGCGTGTGCCATGGGAATACCCAGAGCTGGCCTGGGGTCCTGAACGGCAGCCAGTCAGGGCAGGGCTAAGGTATCGGGTTCCTGGCCGGCCTCAAATACAGTTCAGTGCAGATCATGATCGACGGGAATATAATATTATTCGATCGGAGTTAGCTACCTTATTTGGACATACAACGGGATCAACACAACTTGACAGTCCCAAAATAACACTACGATTTGATCTCAAAAAACTAGAACTGAGATATATATTTACAGACATTCCCGATATAGAAACATGTTGCATTTTTTCAGAGTGTTCCAAATATGTCTTGCGGTTATGCAAGGCTCTAGCGAGCGGTTGCGAATATTTCGCAGGGGGTTAACGGAACTATGAGACGACGAGTCGCACTCGCAGCCATTTTCAAGCACATGTGCACTGTACAGCTGCTGCACAGGACTATAAAACTAGTTAACCGAATTACCATAAGTGAACTGATCATCCACAATCCAGTCTGCAGTCACCACATGTGGAATTCGATATCTGATGTGTCGAATTTGCACCCTAAACCGTCACACAAGGCTTCAGGGCGACCTAGCTATAGGTATCCGAGCCAATCTCGCCCTTAAATTGAGATATTTCCCAGCCTCGCCCCGTTTGCATTTTCTTCACTAATTACACCACATTACGCAATCTTCTTCAACATCATTATCTCTACAAACGGATACCTTTAATCATGCCCTGTCGCCCCGAAGTTACTAGCGTAGAGTCTGACGAGGAAGCAATCAGAACCTGTCCAGATGAGGAACTCCCCGGATTGGTTGATAAACTTTGGGGAAAATACAAATTTCAGCCCAAACCGAAACTCCCAATGGGCAGATTGCCGCTCCATTATACAGAAAAACGCATATCTCCGAACTATACATCACGCCTTGTATGGACAGCCTTCAGACCCCATTTTCTTATCGACCTTGAGGCCGCGGTAGATCTTGCTCGGAGTCTTGGTATCAGGACACCACCCATCGAAAGATCCCAGAAAATAGTTATTGAAGAACGCTGTTACTATTTAATCATTAGTCGATACATTCCTGGAAAATCGTTAAAAAAGCTTCTGCCTCAAATCGACAGGGAGGAGACAATCAGGTTGGCTTTCCAGCTACGAAGCATGTTAGAAAAAATGCATCAGAAAACCAACAGATACGCGGGGGGTATCGGAACTCTCGCGTTTGACAGAGGGGGTATATTTATGACCTGGGATGAGATCGGTTTACCCAAGGGTACTACTACAGCAAAAGATATTGCTAACGTAGTTAATTACCGGTGGGGCTATCGGAGAGAGACTCATGGCGACCGTGGGGAAACTCCAGAAAAGATGGAATGGGACATCAAGAATGGACCCTTAGCTCCTAACTTGCCCCTTGTATTCACAAACTACGGTCTCATGCCCCGCAGGCTGATTCGCGATAATAATGGTGACCTTTGGATCACCCGATGGGACAATGCTGGGTGGTATCCAGCTTGCTTCGATCGAGCCTCTATGATCGTTGGGATTTTCGGGAAAGATAGGAGGGCTCATCAGGAGTGGAAGCTATTCATATCTATAGCAAACGGCTACAAGTGGTCAAGAGAAGTAAATGCGATTTCCATGAATAATTATTGGAGGTCCCGTTGGCCTGACCGTGAGAATTGCGCAAGGTTGGGGCTAACAAAACCAGAATACCCAATCATCATAGAAGAATGGCCAGCAGATCCACGGGTGAGATACGGCCCGGTGTGAAGTGTTCAGTACGTACAGGCATCGGAAAAAAACAGGGGTAGGGGGCTTCATTGTACATATGAAGATAAGCCTAAATCGCTAGGGTTAGTTCATTGAGGTCGCTAGCCTTAAATCCACTGCTTGCGATCTTGCAGCCACCTTGATTAACCAAAAGAAGCTACTATGCCTATAAGAGCCTAGAAAATAGAAATCAATTTCGTAACATTACTCACCTTCGCATATAAGTCCATAATATTGTGATCATAAGATCATGGTCAAAAAGTCCATGGCGTTATAGCTTAGTTAACTTGTTAAGGCTCTAGGCGGTATAGAAGCACATGCAGACCTAACATCTAGAAGCTTGATTCATCCAACCTTAACATATCCCAAAGGGCTTTGGAGTGTACAGGATCTCACCGGCAATCGATCCGATCTTAGTTTATTTTCCGAGCGTGTTAGATCTAGAGGTATCATATGATTGTATATTGGCAGCACACGTTCCTTTTCCCGATAGGTTGGCCGTGGAACTGCAAAGATTTCCTAGGGGTTTGAGAAGTCTCAATGATGTCACCATCAAGCTAGGACATAGACTACCAAGGACGATTTAATCCTATCGCAAAGTAAAGCATCCACATATACTTACTAAGTATCTACATAGTGAGACGCAGAAAATGAATTGAATTTCCGTGTTCAAAGCTTTCATCTTCGAATAGCAAAGTCAAGTATACTATAGGCCAGCTGTTTGAGGCTTCCCAATGCATCCGCCTGACCTGGATCCATGGAACATCATGATCAATTAATCGCAAACTTCTGTAAAATATCCTAAGAAAAACCGTGACCAACCGCCGACGCAATACTATGACCAATAATAAAACGTTAAACGTCGACTATAACACTAATACATAGATGGCCGATCAGTTCGGATAACCAGGAGTATACTCTGTTAGTACACTGCATTACCTCTGAACTACTGTACTAGTCTTCTTCAAATCACCACCGCTAAAGTTAGAATAGGCGAGATCTAGAATGCATACCAGCAAAGAAAGCATCCACTGAAATCGCGTATAGTACATTAAGAACCGTATCAACTGACTTACTACTATTCGGATATTCAGCCAACATTACAGCGTTATAAGTGTCTGCTTTTGCTCTAGTTGATCAATTGCAATTAATTGAGGTCACCGCAGTATAGTGTAACCTACATATATCATATGCATATGCATTATATATAATGCCATAGATAATGTCACTAAATTCCATCCCAGAGATTTTATGTACATATATGAATATCTATATTTGTAGGCGAACCTTCCCGTGATGAATTGAAAGCGTAATTAAACTCTAACAAATGATACCTCCCGCCTCATATCTTGAGATCTTATCATATCCAGTCTCTTAGCGCAGCCATTGATTCCAACCATATCTATAGCTTCTCGCAGCATGACACAGCTATTTCAAGAAGATCTATATATAAAAAGACAATATCCCGTCTAGCTTCGCCCAGATTTGACAGGACTTATAAACACATGTATTTGATAATACAATCCAAATAGCTTGTTCTCTACACAGTGATCTCGAACTAAACCGCCAAAATATATCTAGACCCTCCAACCCATCATTACTATCCATAATCATAAATACAAAAAGTGTCATCGAGTAGACAAACCTCCAATAGATTCGACGATACTCCAGCCAGGCGTAAGTACACTCAGTACTGCATGTTAAGACCACCCGTATTTCTACACCGTATTATATCTTTTTCCTATATTAGAAGCGTTTCTAGTAGTCTCCGAGTAATCATTATCAAAATAATTATAAGAGAGCTAATTATGAGTCGGCCTGTTCTATATTGAAAATGCTTTTCTTCTTATAAAAAGACCGCGCATTCGAAAAAATATATTGGAAGTCAAAGATTTTCAAAGTCGACTTCAAAAAGGCAGTGCATACCGTTAAACTTGTAGCTATAAAGCCGCAAACCATAAACGACTACGGCCCGACAAACCACTTCCTCCTCCATTTTAGTGGTCCTTCAAAAAATATAGGGTCGCTAGACATAAACCCTTGGAAAATCGAAGGAAACCCCCTAGAGGGGCTTGTGAATCTCTATCCTCTACTCAACCCCTTAGAGGAGGATAACACTGACGGCAGCGACAGCAGCAACGACGACGATTCCGAAAAACGAATTGTTAAAGATGAAGAGTACCGGGTATTGGGGCAAGGGCTCACAATCAAAAGAATTGTAGATATTCTCGTAGAAAACCGGCGGGACCGGTACGACTTTAACGGGAATGGGGAGGGCTGTACCTATTGGTGCAAGAAAGTCCTGAAAGATTTGACGAAGGAGGGTTTCCTGGAACAGGACGTGCCTGAGAAAGCGATGGATTTCATGTCCTATTGTTGGTCCGACAAGCGGCCCGAGAAGGTTCCGAGGGCACCACAAAGAGGCACATTCCATTCGAGGCCATGATTCACCTCGAATAAGTCATAGTTAAGGACTGTTTAAGGTGCCGCCCTTCTCCTACTCCTACTCCTTCTTCTCCTTCTCTTCCCTTCTTTTCATTCTTTTCTTCTTTCCCTTCCTCCTCCTCCTCCTATTCCCCTTCTTCTCATTCTCCCTCTTTCTCTTCCTCTTCTTCCTTCTCTCCCTCTTCTTCCCTTTCTTAATCACTAATACTATTATCACAACTCTCGGTTTAACCTTTTTACTGTAAATAAATCTAAAGGCGTTTTGTTTCTCTTTTTTAATAGACTTGAGTTTCAGGGCCAAAGTTATATCAGCCCTTCCCAAACATTACTTCTCTACTTCCAGCGCATAAGATATCTCATCGAGTGGAAAACAACCAAATACTACACCCTGCACGGTTATCAAAGAAAAGTAGGCGAAAAATGATCAAAGGTTTTTTCGATATATCAAAGTCAGTCATCAACATACAATCAATCGTGAAACAACCCACCACCCCCTTTCAAACAACCCAAAAAATGACAAAAACCCCCCATTTTTTTCATGGTTTCTTGACCAGCATAAAGATTCGGATTTTACTCCATCTGACAATAATTCGCCGGAAAAAATCCCTTCCTTGTCCTCCCATCTGTTCCTGTAATCTCTCCCTCCCACCAATCTATGATTCCCCCACAAAAACAAGTTAGCAAAAAAAAACCCGTCCTTTCAAAATAACGGGGCGTAGATTCAACGAGCTGCGGCTATCGAAAAAACCCACCTTCAACATTTTCAGTCTTCTGTATGACTTTAACCCTATCTCCTTCCCTTAACTCCAAATCCCCTCGACTCTGCGGTTGAAAAGAATACAAAGCAATGACGTAGACATCCTTCGGTTTCGGGGTGGGTTTAGATTTCAACGGAACTGGCGGTGGCGGCGCTTTCTTCTTCGCCGCGATGGCGGCAGCAGCACTAGCCAATGACGCTGATGATTGTTTAGACTTTAGACTCATCCCATTTGTTCCGTACATGCTAGCTGGTGGTGTATAAGTAGCGCTGGCCGCCGCACCTTCGGGTTGGAACGATTTAACCGATGTTGAGGATTGGATCTTTTGGACGGTTGGACGAATTGATGCGTCGGATGGTTTATCTTTCCCCCAAATGCTGCTTGAAGATTTCCTTGACACTGGCCTTGGTGGAGCTGAACCCTTCCCTTCAATACCTAGTCCGATCCCACTTCCGCCGGATTGTTGTCTAGACATCGGTCGTCCGCCGGGTGGGTCTAGTTGCCCCAGTTGGCTATAAGACGGCGGCGGTGGATCACTGGTTCTTACCCTACGAATCGGGTGACCAATGTCTTCTTCCGTCTTACTACTCTGTCTCCTTGACAGAAAGCCTTTCTTTTCTAGAACCGGAGAACCGGGTGAAGAATGCTTCAGTTCCATAGGTTTATGCACCGCCTTCCCATTCTGTAGAAGCTTGAACTGCTCGGCGTGGTCCTTTATCGGCATGAAATCTTGTTTCCATTCTTCCTCCAAAGTATCATAATTCATCAAACTGTGGCGAGTAGCAAAGTCATTGACAAAACGGTATTGGATACCAACAAATTCGGTGGTGATTTCTGTTATTACGTGGAGCACGTAGGGGATGTAGACACCGATTGCGTCGAGGATTGGTGGGACGGTGGCCCTGATGTGATTGTCTAAAGCTTGATATTTTGTGGTGGATTCTTCGAGGTTATGTTCTGCTTTGGCTTGGACACCCATTTCTCTAAATCATCCTCTTTGTTAGATTGCTTCCAAGGCTATGGGTTTATAGTATGTGTAGGTATACCTCTCGGTGCGAGCGCCCTTCTTACGTGCACTATCTACCGTCGAGGTATGTCTTTCAAAGTCAAGCTATTCACCCATCAGCTAGCGCTCTCCATACAATCATACCAGTAAATTTCGCAAATATATATACCTTATAATTATCCCTCTTATCCAAAGACTTCTTCACCGGTTTCAGACAGCCCTTTTAGAACTCCGTTAGCATCACCATAGTCTATCTTTAGTACCGGAATAGACAAAAAAATACCCACCCTAACCACATTAGACTGTTTAATAACATCATTCACCTTCTGAGCGATCTGCTTCAGCTCCTCCTTCATCTCACCCGAAACAGCATTATATTCCTCAACTCTCTGTAATCGCGCCGGATCGATCGCAGCCCGTTCTGGCGGAATGGCTTTATAGAGCACAACCATCTCTTTTGAAGCGGCATTTTGGTGAACGAGTAACTGACTGATCGCCGTTTGATATTTTGTAAGATCTTCGATTAACTATATTGAATTAAATTATCTTTATGTCAGTAATTTTTTTTATTTTTATAGTATACACATATATATGGAAAAATTGAATCTATGACGTTTGTGGTGTTGTGGTCCGAACATACCCTGTTTAGCCGTTCATCGTAGTTCTTGACGTCAGAGATGATGGTCCCGACATCAACGTCGTCAGCCGAGCGTTTCATCAGCCTACCGACGGAGCGATGTAGGGTATTCATGGTGAAAAGGAGGCTTCAACCGGACGGCTCTAGCTAATCCGAAACCGAGAAGTAGTTTAGCGAGAAATAATTGATGGTCGGACGGTATCGATGGAAAGACGAAATGGTGAAAGTCGCAAAGCTAAGTGTTTGTGAGTAAGAAGGATGGAAGGATGAAGACGGGTAAGATCGAATTGAAAGAACCTGCAATGCAAGGATAATTAGGAGGCTCGTATTCCGAACTGCGGGTGAGAAACGTCCCAAGACAAAAAAAAATAAAAAATAAAAAAAACAAGAAGAAGCCACCGTTGGCTGAATATCACGGAACAACAGCCGTATTTAAACGAAACAGCAGATATGCCCCCCCTTCGATAGTTACTTCAATAAAAGCACTATACTATACTATTTAAGTAGATCAAATAATATTCACGAACGGACAGGACAAGGCTTGCATGGAACCAACCTCGAACAGGGGTCGGCAGCACGGCAAGCTTACGTCTGCTCGCCCTAGTTTGTTCTTAGCGCTGTTCCATCACACCTGCACTGCACAGGCGGCACCTGCCACTGTTGCACAACCGGGCACTACTCTGTTGATAATTAGACTAGCCTGGAGGTGTATGTATCTTTGCGGGTAGACATCGGGTAAATATTCAATTGGATTGGATTGGATATGAACCTGTAAGAGACAATTTGCAAATAGAGGCTTTGAGTTCAATTCCTTTGGGTGTAATGTAACCAAGTATATATTATCTTTCTTAAAATAGAATACATTCAGACAGAACCAATTGCCTTTTCTATCGACGTCAGTTACTTAATATATAATCTCGCATGGTACTTGATAGGAATTAGTAATTATAAGTGCCTGGTCAGATCCAGGTACATTTTACAGGTACCATGAACAGGTTCTTAATTTGATTCACGTTCAAACACCCAACAGACCAACGCAATTCTTAAACATCAACGTTACCTGCAACCTCATAGGAACTTCCCGTCTTGACCTCAAAATAATTCCAACGGCGCGTATTAACTCTCATTGCTTATTGGTATAACATTCCCTCCAGGTGTCCAAAGTATCTTCCTCCGGTAGGTTTAAAGCTCTTAAGAATCCCATCAATCTCATCCATTTCAGAGTCCGTCAACTCGACCGATTGAAGGTTCTCAGCAACCTGTGCCTGCTTTGTCGCACCACTATCACCATATCCTTGTAATTAGCATCAGGCACCTATAAAACAATCCCCAAACAACTGATACCATATCCTATCATATCATATCACACCCCTTCCAACAGACGTCATACAAAACTATTCCAATCCCAGGGATTGAAGTAATACATGAATGCAATCTCGATAAAGAAGGTTCATATCAAAAAAAAAAAAAAAAAAGAAAGAAAAAACTCACAAGATAAGAATAATCTTCAATCCACCCTTGCCCCATCTACCCCCAACCTGTCTAACCCACGCCAACCCCAACTGACTACTCGTACACCCTTTCCTCCCCGCAATCCCCTCCACCATCTCCACAAGTCTCAAATTCTTATCAAAATTCTCCGGCTTAAACCGATCAAAATGTTTCCTCATATCACCTTCAGGCAGATCATCTGCACTCTTAAACTGTCCTGTCAAAAACCCCCTCCCGAGCGGTGAATACGCCGCAATGGGTATACCAAACTCTTCACAAACTTCTGCTACTCCATTCTCAAATATTTCTGTAGCCCAGAGTGATACCTCCAGTTCCACACAGGAGATGTTCTCCTTTCCGAGGATATCGACCGCCTTCCTGATCGTCTCGGCGGAACACTCACTCGGACAGAAGCTTCCTATCTTTCCGGTATCAATATACTCTTTCACCACTTTATAACTCTCTTCGAGTGGTATAGTTTTATCCACCCTCGCAATGCAAAACACATCAATCCTATCCCTCCCCGTCTTCTCCAGGATGTTGTCAATGGAAGCACGTAAGGCAGCAGGACTAGAATCCGGAGTACGAGTGACCCAGTTCATACCCGCCTTGACGGAAAGAACTACTTTATCCACCGCCTCTGGATGCGCGGTGAAGTACCGCTTGAGCATATGTAAGTTATCTGCTGGATCACGAAGACCATAGAATTCTCCTGAGACGAAGAAATTCGCGCCGTGGGAGAGGGAGGTATTGATTGATGCGAATATTTCGGCGTCAGGGATTATGAAGGGTCTGCCGGTGAAGGCCATCAGACCGAATCCTAAGGATAGTTATGTGCCCTTTAGTATCTAGGTGGTAGGGAATGTATGTTTATGAATACACTGGAGACTTACCGGTCGTACCGACCTCTCGTCCTGCAATTGTGATTTTATCGGACATGTTCACAACTTTGATCGAAGATCGATTGGATCCGTTGACGTTCTACTATAAATCTTTATTCAACCAAGAAAAAAAGTCAACCGATAAAAGAAGAAAAATCCCACACCAGAATGTATATCCAACCAAAGAGGCAGTTCTGATCTTCTCCTCAAGACCTCAGGATTACAAGATCTTAAGACCTTTTATACAAGTATATAAAAATCTCCATCTCCTAATTACCTCTAATCTATAACACACCATTTACTCCCAACCTGGAATTAACATTAATCCCTTTCGGAGTTTACTCCACGGCTTTTATATCCACCCCCTCGAACCTAAACTATCACCAAAAGCAGTCTCGTCGGAATCGTGGTATATTGAAAAAAACAACACCATACCAACTTAGGCCATCAATATCAATATCTTTATTAAGCTTAAAGTCGGTGTCGGAAACCTTTCAAGTTCCGACGAAATTTTAAGTTTTTTTTTTCTTCTTTTCTTTTTTGAGTCTGCATTGGTCTCGTTGGCCTGCATGTTAAGCATACTTCGATTAATATTTGTCGTGATCTTACTCGTAGAGCGTCCTCGGGGTGGTATTTAGCGAAAAATCTATAGCTGGTTCCTTAAAATAAGATCACAATAGAAATATCATTTGGAGATAAAGTACTGGTAAAAGCTATGAGCATATACAATTGGTAAAAAAAAACTCTAGTTCAAAGAATATTTAGGAAAATTGGAAAGAAACTAAGACCACATTAGATCACAGTGAAATTCCCCCAAAATTTAAAACAGAAACAGTAAAATAAAAAAAGGTGGTATAATACTGTTACAAATCCGACTGCAAGAATCGCTAAATGCAATACAAAGCATTGCTCTAAGTTAAACTTCCCCAAAGCCAGCCATCGAGGGAGAAAAAAAACAAACAAAAAGAAAGTCTTGCCAAAATATAACGCCATGGTATGTTTCCCACAAGTTAGAATAAAGTTGTGGAGTGGGTAGTGATTGTAGAAAGTTAATGAAGGGCTCATAATAAATCCGATAAAATATAAGAAATCGTATGTCCTCTTTGGGACTTCCTTGCTTTTATAATACCTTTTTTTAAAGAAAGTCCTGTATCCTTTCTTCATACTTACCATCTCTTCTGCTTCCTTTCCTCATCCTCGTCTTCATCTTCATCGTCTTCATCGGCACGATTACCAGACCTCCCCGGCCCGATCTCCATAAAGGCACCGATATTCTCTTCTCCAAAATAGTCTTTTAGTTTCCGCTCTCTGGCTGGTGCTCCGCCAACTCTAGCAAATCCTGTACTAGATCCAATTATCGCAGGGGGTGTATCCCCCTCGTCATCCCGTAAATTCTCTTCTTTCGCCCACGCGGGTGTTACAATCCCGCTAGCTGGTGTAGATGGGTCTATGATTGATCCTAATTTTTCATATTGTTCTCGTGTAAGGGTATCTCGAAGTAGTGAAGTACTCTTTGTTGATTCTGTACGAGTAGCTGAAGGCTTTGAATGGGTTTCTTCAGGTGATGGGGTTGAGTTGTATGGTTTTGCTTTGTTGCTTAAATCATCCAAATGAAGATTGTCCCAGGGTTGAGGATCGACGATGGGAGTTAGTGTTTCATCGGGTGGTTCGACGATTTGTTTTTCGTTAGCGAGTTCGGCGACGTCGATTTGTTCTTTTCGTGCACCAAGTGGTGCTTCGCCGGATGATGAGCTGGAGCGGTGCCTCGAGGAGACAGTTGGGGGTGGAAGGTGGGGTGTTGAGCCGTCCGGGGTATCCATCCCCGGAGGTGGTGGTGGTAGAAGGGGTTCTGGCCCCGTTTTCATAGAACGCCGTTTATCAGTTGGTGAGACGTCAGTATCTTGACTGGCCTTTCTGGACCCTGGCTCAAAAATCTGGGGGATTTGGCCACTATATCGGTTGGGAATTTCTAAAGAGAGGCCTTCAGGTCTAGATTTACTCCGAGAGCGTCCGATTCCAAATATTCCAGATGGGGCCCGGGTCGAAGAGGATCCTGTCGATGAAGTAGATGTTTTGCGAGACTGTTTCCTCTTTGGTTCGTAGTATGTAGTTGCCGAAGAATCTCCCGGGGATTTCGACGAGGACTTGGATTTAAACGGTTCGTTGAACCCCATAAGGTTCGGATCATCTAATCCGGGGAGTTCTAGCTTCTCCCATGGTGGAATATCCTCTTCGGGCCCGGTCAGAGCCGTGGGGGACCGGACAATGCCGCTCGAGTCTAGTGGATCGATTTCATCTAGTTCTAGCTTTTCCCAGGGTGGGGTTTGCGGCTTCGTGGTTGTTGGGACATGCTCGAGATAGCTACTAGCTTCGCTTGGTTGAGCGACAGCGGTAGAACCACTCCCGCCATTTTCGAGGCTGCCATACCGATGCTCCCGTCCTCGTTCCGCGATTCTGTGAAGCGTCCCAGGTGGTGTTTTAATGAATATCGCATTATCTTCCCATAGTGCTGCCTCAAGTCTATTGGCGGGGTGGGCATTTCGCCTTCCTCGGGGAGAGATAATCTTGCCATCACCATCAACATGTCCCAGCTCGCCTATCGCACCGTGGTCATCCCCATAGGCGGACATCCACGCAACACCGATTGACGGCCTATGGCTTGTGCTGCCAATTGTGCCACGACGTGCGAGGGGCATTTGAGGTGTCAGCGGGGTTCCGGGGCTGTTATTATAGAATGTAGGATCATAGTGGGTAACATCCCGATGACCTTCGGATAGCGACGTCGAGCCTAACCAGCCAGGAAAGAACCTTGAAACCAAAGGCTTTGTCATCGGAATTGATGCACAGACAATTCCGACGTTAACTTCAATTGCTGCCCACATGAATGAATATGCTGCATTGTAATCGAAGTCGAGTGCTTGGCTTTCTGTTAATTGGAAGTAATGTATGCGGATTATCCCCACGACGATATCAAATAATCCGAGGCTAAATACAACGAGCAAGATAGCCTTTTGCCGGGTAGGGAGGCGGAGTGACGTAAGGACGGGAATGGGAAGGACAATTATGGCGAGGTCTTCGAGTATATTGACTGGTGCTGAGGCAAAGTATATACTAGAGATAATATCAGTATTCGGCCTTTGTGGCAAGGCTGAGACAATCTTACCGAACAGTTCCAATACAACCCTCAAACGGCTGCCTATTTGACTCCGGATCGAAAACGAGTCCGATAGGGGAGCATCGAAATGCTAATAGGAGGGTAAGTGCGACTCCTGCACTGATAACTACCGCCATGGTAATCCAGCAGAATCTCCGAAAGTGCTTTTGCACTTTGAAAACCAGTAAGTAGAATGCCAAGATCGACACTTTCGTCACAGCAATCGCTGGATTAAAGAGTAATGTAAACGCATATTGATATTTTTGCTTCTCCAGTGCCATGGCATACGGTATTGCACTTGAGTGCCGTCCGAACCCATAGTTCACACCTTGTATGATAGAAAGACACATGCCGAAGGATAACGCAAAGGCGACGAGGATAAGGTAATCATCAATGCGCATTCTCCGTGCAATAAAACCTCTTGCAATGATCCGGAGTGCGACGGAGATGAATGCCAGCACCAAAAAGACGATTGTAGTCGCAGAAACCGTGGGGCCGTGATTTCCTCCATTTTCGCTTGGTGATGCGAGAGCCGTGCTGGTGCTGTAGAGTTTGCTGGTCGTCGTCGCAGCTTGGGTTATCGAGGCGGTAAGCGTGCCTGTGGTGAGGGAACCGCCATTATCCATTATACTACATTGGTTAATTGCATCAAACGTAATATCCGAGCACAAATCGATTTCATCGACGGGGTTTGGAATTATTAGATCTCGGTCTTAGGTACAACCGAGTTGGAAGGATGTATAGATGGTCGACGAAAGAAGTTGTTTCTCCCATGGTGCGGCTCGTCCGCTGCCTATAGAAGGGACGTACTTAATCTTGCATGAAAATCCTGATGTGTCCTGGAGCACGTCAAATGGAAAAATGCCAGGAAGACGAGGTTTTTTTGGCTGGGGCAACATCTCAGTTTAAACGGCAATTTTAAGCCATGCCATGCCCACCCCTGCACTATGTCGGTAATCTTTCACTCCAACAGGTTTCCTGGCTGGAGCAGGATGCCATTCTGTCTCACAATGTTACGCCGCCGACAGCAGAGGGCAAACATTGAGTTCAAGATCGTTATGAAGGATCTTTGGCTACAACCATTCTTAAGGATCCAAAGACTTCTTCGAACCGACGTGGAATCTTCGAAGAAAATTCCTGGGGTTCTTTGGATGGGGTTTCCGAAGCTAAAGTTAGGCGAGCGTGACAGGCAACTGGAGAAGCTCCGAGACAATGACATAAATCTTTCAGGCAACTGGCCCTCCAGTTGGATCGCCGGGCTCCCTGAGGATTACTCTGCAATCGTGCGAAATCAAGTTTCCCTTTGCAAAGAGAAATATCGTATTTCTCCGACCAACCGGCAAAATGCGGGGGTCCACCTCCAAAAACCGAAGGCTCTCTCACATTCGTTCGAACAGACGAGAGCTCAAGAGAGGGTGGACCCTCAAAAATCGGCAGCCCCTCTGTTCGCAATATTACTGAAATTTGAATTCTGGATTCCCTTAGTCGACGGAATTTCTTGGTTTGAAATGCTTAATTCTGACATCGAATTACTTGCATATCCTAGTACGGAATATAGGACGGAATATAAAAGACGTTAGCACTGTTTCTCGCCGTCTCAGGTTAGAACTAATAGCTAATCGAGTTTAACTTACCTTGCAACGTGGGTAGCAGGATATGGAGGGCCGTCATGTGGGCAGGGATGTCGAGGTACAGACACATCATTGGGGGCCAGCTGCAACCTGCAGAACACTTTAATCGCGCTTCTCCGGGTTTAAAATTTCAGAAGGGATCCCAAGGCATTTTCTCATTTATCTCCTTCCTGTTGTCCGTCGAGGTTCCATGCCGTTTGTCGGCACAATTATTCGCACTCGTAGACACTCGAATCATGATCGAGAGTAGTTATCGACAATTCACGATTCGAACATCGAGTATCTCGGACCCTGGTCAATATATATGAGTTCCTAGTCGCCGCGTTGACGTTCACACAACGACTTCGAGTCCCGGCTCGGATGGGGCCGCGATCCCCTCGAGCAAACGGCGGGCAGAGCCACCACGGATTAGACAGCTGGCGCCATGAGGACAGTGTCGGTTCTGCCCACCACAGCGAATTCAGACAGCCTTCTCCCAACCCGGGATTTGGCGGGGACCCGAATAACAATTTCTATCAGCTGCATTCATCGAAATCGGCTGTGGAGCTGAGTGCCTATGAATCGGTTGCTCCTGTTGCGATAGTGACGATCTTATTCTTTCTGTGGGGGTTCGCATCTGGGCTTTTATCTGTGGTGAGAGACGTCAATTCGGGCCGATGAGGTTATTTATGCATGCAACACGCTAACCATTAGAAATAGAGTCGAACCAACCCGTCTATAGACGTCACGCCACACTCCACCGTTAATACTTAACGAAATATCAGACTAAGAAGAGACAATGCCGTTAGGTCCTAAATAACAGAATCAACAGTACAATAAAGAATACAGAAGGTGCATTGATTGGTTTGCATAGCGCATATTACGGGTCCGTCTTTTTTTTGATAAACTCCCTAAGATTTGAACTTGAGTACTAAAATGAAATAAAAATCATACAGAGGGTACTTTGTAGGCCCTTTGACATTTAGTGGATATATCTTCCGTCATTATGGATTCCGTATCACCTTCATTGTCGGATTGGTTATCTACGGCGTCGGCTGTATCGTATTCTGGCCTTGTGCCGTCCTACAGACATATCCAGGCTTCATCATATCAAATTTTATCAGCGGACTCGGTGTAGCTACGTATGGCCCCTGGAGTTGCCAAATATATCTATAATATTAGTTTTGTAGCACTGACTGATTTTCTGCATAGGATTGAGGTCGCAGCAAATCTATTCGTTGCTATATGCGGACCGCCGGAACATTGGGAAGCCAGATTGAATCTGTCGCAGGGTGCTCAAGCAATCGGGAACGTCTTCGCGCCAATACTCGCTGACAAGGTCATCTTCCGACGGGATGAAAGGTCATCGAATTCGGAGTGGCTTATAAGCGTACAATGGGGTTATTTGGGCGTCGCTTTCTTCGACTTTGCCCTTGCTTTGTTCTTCTGGTATGTTCCATTACCAGAATGCAAGTAAGTTGCCCTATACTTTGAAATATATATGATCTTCTCAAAATCTAGGGTTCTAACAAGTTATTAGGGATGCGGATTTAACCCGAGTCAACAGATGGCGTCCAGCAAGATCGCTTGATGAAAAGGCACAGAAGCGACTTGTTGGGAAAAAGGCACTGTTACTTATCGGTGTATGGGCGCAGTTTTGCTATACTGGTGCTCAAGAAATCATTACCGTCAACGGCCCAAACCTCATTAATATCTTCTCGCCTACTTATGTGTACGTATTTCTCGGATATATATATCAACATCGAACCTATAGCTTCATTTCACTAACCCACCCGATAGTAACAAAACAAACACCTACCTTTGGTCCGCCGAAGGTCTCCTTGCGTTTGGTCGCCTCGCCGGCGGGGTCGGCATGTTCTACTTCCCAGCCCGATGGTGGTACCTCATCTTCGCATCCGGATGTGTCGTTACATCCACGCTCCTCGTGGGACTGCAGTATACGACGACAAACGCCGAGGCCATAATCGCACTTCGCATGCTTCTTCAATTCTTCGAATCAATACTCTTCCCTACCATCTTCGCCATTTCACTACGCGGCCTATCAGGTAGAAACGTGAAGTGGGGTGCCTCATGGCAAGTGCTCGGAGTCTGTGGTGGAGCTGTATGGCCACCGATATATCAAGCAATAAGGGGTCGGTACGAGCCGAACAGCAGTATGGGGAGCCGAGTTGCTTGGGTTCTTGTCGTTGTACTCTTTAGTGTGGGGCCGGGCTTGCAAGCTTTCTTAGTGAACTTTAAGCCAAGTTGGAGGCAAAAGTTGGATGGGTTAAGCAAACGGAAGCTGAGGGAGAGATACGAGAGTGATGGGACTATCGGTGGGAGATTGGACAGGGTGAATGATCATGTTGCTTGAAATTTAGGAATACGAGACATGTCATAGGTAAGGTTATGCGGATCAAATGATTCGAAGTTCTAATTTCTGCAATCTAGCGGGCGTATCGGCGATACTTTGATCTTTGTAAACCTATGCTTCGTCGAAGTTGTCATTTATTATTTTATGCATCAATTCCTCCAAACCAGTTTTATCTTTGTGCACCTATCTGCAGTCCTTTGGTCATGTACTGTGGTCGTTATAATTAGCGACCGTACTAACAGATTAATCAACCATAAGCTACATCCTTTATTCTCATTTCTCTTCTGGACTTAGAAGTAAGGATCTCGTAAACTAGGTGCTGCTGTTTTATTGGAGTTAACAATGCATACTACATACACCGATTATTGGTTAGTCCTTGACGCTGGTTGTTCACATGGATACATGTATATGTCCTTTCTTTAGTAAGTACTTAGGTACCTATATACTGAGGCTTAGGTACATACGGGTTTTTATATTCAGGGTAACCTGGCTGCGTTCGTATTAGACCCGTGTACATAGTAGTACATTACATGTATACGACTAAGTACATGCATTGTAAATATGTATACAAAGATACTTATAATTACTCGCCATCGACCTCGGACGGTCGGGCTGCGCATGGTTTACACACCTGCTTATGTAAAATTCAAGATCAAAGAAACCCCCAATCTCGTGATATAGACTTAATCAGTTTATCCATGGATCCAAACCCTCCCTTACGGCCGCTCAAGCAAGTCATTCGATCGCGTGGGCGAAGGTCCCGTCGAAACTTTTCTTGTTTCATGGTTGCCAACCGTTTGTTTCCTTCCTTCATCGCCTTTGACTACCCTTTTATACAACTGATCAATGGAGGGGAACAAAAAAAACATCCTTCGGAACCTTCCGTTTGGATACCACCGTTTGAACACTACCGTTACTTCCTGAATAAAAACCCAGGAAGTTGGGAAGTTAGGAAAAGGTTTCCGTGACAATTCAAACCTCCCGCCATACGTAGTATATACTAGTATACTTTCTTAAGTAATTACAGTGTGAACCCCTTCACCCCCGCCGCCGACAAACTGTGACGTCCCTGTATCAGAACCCGTGAAGTTTCCGTCCTCCCTTTTCCTTCCCGAGACCCGCCGGCCGTTATGTCGCTGCATCGGAATGTCAACCGTCAGAGGGACACCCCCCAGCCACGAGTTACAGAGTAGCCTATTTCCACATATTTCATTCTTCAGAATAAATTACGTTGTGTAGTTGTAAACGAATCATATCGGCAATATCGACCGTGAGGTTAGTCTGGTGGTAGCCTGGTGGGCTAGCGGGGTCTCTCATAAATGATCAGATGAGAGATTAACATTAAACATTGGAATAGTGCACGATTGAGTTATCCAAAAATGCCCCACGATGAGCATCGATTAAAAGTTGAACGGGGCAAAAAATTTCGAAAGTCAGATAAATTGAGTCCCCAAAAAAGATCATGCAAAGCGATAGGTAATCCTTGACAAGCAACCCTAATTTCCCCTTCCCAGTTCCCCGAGTTTCGGTGCACCATATGACCCACTTGCCTTAAACTGCATCCTGCAAACGGGAAATGGAATCTTCAGGGTCCTCCCTAGGCGTCTTCGCGATTCTCGAACAAAAATTTTACACCCAAGAGTTGGGGAGAGAAATAAAGATGAAAGGGCAGACCATGCGTTTTTAATCTCGGATACGTCCCAGGTATCCGTACTGCCGCCGACCTTGTCTCAATTGTATTGAAATTCACGAGCTTATAACATGCATAACACCGAATCAGGTAATTCCGGAATTACATTTCAGAAAAAGAAGAATCATGAACTTTTTTTGGGGTGAGTATCGAATGAATCTCGCTCGGACGCGTTGAGAATCACGTTAGAGATCAGATTGATATCGCCTCACCAGGAGCGATCCCAAAGAATCATGCATTTAGTCTTTTGATCAAAGAGGGAAAAAAAAGGGGGAGGGGCATATCAACCTTCCGTCGATGGCAAAGGGTAGTAAAGCCTTACCTCTCGATTTTCCACGTGTGTTAGAGAGGAACCCGATATGCGAGGGTGTTCGGACCTTCCAGAGGTCGGATTGATACCCGAGAAATACTACATATGATAGAGGCCTGAGCAGTTCCTGAGGCATCAAGAAAAATCCCCTTTCTTCGCGAGCAAGGCACAAAAAAGGGTTTGAACCTGCATAAGAAGTGATTGGCAGTGCATATATACCAGAAATCCGGGTACCACCTCGCTGAAGTTTTAGTGGCGTGGTACGTTACAGCCCCCGAGCAGTCCAAGACGTTTGGGAATTTTTGTGGTATAGGCGGGGAGAGGATCCGGTGTTCTGGAAATCCTCTCTGTCACTTTTCGTTACGGAAGATTAATCATTCCTGGGAAAAGATCTGGTGGGTAACTTAAGCAAGTATCACCAAAGTGTAAGCGATGATATAATGATGCTTGGTGGCGAAGCTGTTTTCTGCAGTGCTGCTGCTGCCCTGCGCAACGATGTCAAACATATTACTCCTGTTGCATAGATGCCTGTACTATGTATATACTTAGTATAGCGATGACACTGCATGATATGATATAATCCCTCGCTTCGAGGGCTTCGAATTCGTTCGTTCTTTGACAGTTGCCTTTCATGCAAGATGCAAGGACGGGACCTTTTCAGACGCCGGCCAGCCGCGATGAATATCCGGAATCGGACTGGAGGAAAGTAAGGAAAGGATGAGATCATGCAACCGTTGTCCGTACTATGTAAGAACCGGTTGGATCTTTGAATCCTTCCTACCTGTAAAGTCTCTACGGGAAGATATTCGAATGTAATTGGTGAAGGTGGTTTGTTGATATTTCCCTCAAAAAAACATGGCTGGACGAAACATGTTGAAGCACTCATATATTCGTGATCGATGCCCAGCAGTAGCAACTATATCTGACGTTCGAACTGCTTCCGTCTTTGCATGGGAGAGTTTATACAACATCGTCTTATTTGTCGAGTCGGGATTCAGTCTCGGACAACGGCACACGTGCATGAAGAAGTCACGTTGACTTGACCAGGGCCGTTTTAGACGCTAGCCATCATATTTATGAACACAACAAATAGCCAAATGGTGGAAAATATCTTCACCATTAGTTGACGGTGTTTGTAATGATTCTGTTGGGCGATTGGTGATAATTATCAGCACACCATTAATAGAGCCATAGTCGGTTGGCCAGCGGCAAGCTTTCGGCACAGAAGGGGTCCACCACGCAGCTTGGCACGTCCCATCGAAGTCTTCATCCCAGCCATCCCGTCCGAATGAATGAAAAAAATAATAATGAAAAACGAAAAACGAAAAACGAAAAATGAAAAAATTGAAACCTCGCTCAACGCAGGAATAGTCAAGTTGGGATAAGGGGCAACATTTCAGGGAAGCCGTGACCAAAAAGCAAGTCGCTAAACTGTAAATCGCAGGGGAAACACGCTAGAGGAGTTTTTTTGGAGGGTGAGACACCCGAACGAATAGGAGTCGAGACCTGTCCGTTACCCACTCCCATTGGGATCTTTGTATGAAGGCTGAGGTATTGCAGCGGTAGATGGTACTTTTGCATCGACCAGTTACTATCTCAACGTGGGAAAAAGAGGCGTTTTGGTCCCGCAGGTTTAGTTGGTTCCAGATTGGAAGTAAAATCGTGACTTTTGAGGATAAGTCAGGGGACTCAACATGCATATAGACGATGCTGGATTCGAACGACCTTGAAGGAGGAAAGAAAAATAAAAAAACGTGATTGCATCCCAACCAGGATTAGTTATATGTGGGGAAGATGATAGCAGAGCAAATACATACGCATAGACACCTCAGCAACCGGTTCCAGTCCAGTCCAGTCCAGCGGTGAGGTCAAGGTCTGCACCATGCATAAGTCGAGCTCGAATGGAAACGCTCGCTTTCGATCAATCAGCGATGGAAGCCAATGAGAACCATCGTCAGGCAATGTTTTGATTTCTAGCTGACCCAACCTCTTAACTTTTGGAACCTAACCACTGTCAGTCTTTTGATTTCTTAAATATACCATCGCGAACATATCTCACCTGATTGAAAAACATCGTCGTCCATCCATCGTCCATTCCACCGGCCACTACGATCAGTCTAACCAGCTCTGCACGACCTCCTAGTACACTACCGTTACGTAGTAAAGCACCAGAGAGCCTCGTCGAGAATTGTTTTCTTCTTTCCTGTCGAACCCCTGGCGAATCTGTTTGAGAAGAGAGCAACTTCAAATCAAGAAACTGGTAAGGGGACAAAAAAGAGGAAATTACAAGCCAGACCAGGTTAGTAGGTTGCTTTTTCTGATTCTCGGGCGGCCAAGTCCCCTCTCGTTTGTTTCTTTTGAGCCGTCCGTTATGGATTGGCCATCCCGTCAAGTCAAGTCAATCCAGAAGCACCGGAGCACTGAGGTGAGGGTGTATGGGCACTGGCTGTCGAAGGCGTTTGGTCTTCAAGGGCATGGTTCGGGTTATAGTCCTGGTCCCTTATTCAGAACGAACACCCCCCCGACCAGACCAGACCAGACCATGCCATGGCTGTCGTTATTATAATTTGCAAATGCGTTGAAATCAATCAGTCCAGGTCGTGTCGTATATTAGGATATTCGAGACTTAATTCCTCTGCTAAGAGAAACCATCATCGACGCCGGCCATAATTTCTTTTCTCCCTCCTATTCCTGTATTCTATCCGCCTTCTCTTCCCTTCTCTCCTCCTCCACCATCATCTCTTTTCCCCTCTTCTTCCTCTCATCCCCCCTCCTCGTAAAGTTCATCCATTACTCTTCTTCTTTCCTTTATACATCATCTTTTCCTTTCTGTCTTTTTTTGCAAGTTTTGGTCGTTCATTTTGGTGTAATTCAGGATATATCGCATCGTATCGTATTACAGGGTGCAAATTCAACTGCAAGGAGTTTCCAACGCACACAGTCCAGTCGCAACTGCATATTCCTCCTCCTCCACACACTACTCCGACGTTCTAAGACGCCGCCTCCTTGCGTCAATCCGCACTCTCCCTGTCTTCCGCCCTTCCATCTCACACTCTCTCCATATCTCAACGTCAACGGCTGCACCGAGGTGACTCGACCTGACAATACATTCTCTTGCCCGACCTCCCGTGGAGAGACTCGCCACCTGTCAACTTGAGTCGAAGGAGACCATTCTTGCCGACTTGTCTGCCTGCCTTTTTATTCCAAGAGCAGAGCATCAGAGAGAGACACAGACACAAGGATTGGAAAAATATATATAACTTTTAGTCGCTGCACTGTTTGCTTTGCTTTGTGCTTAAAACCTCAGCCGACATCTCGCTCGTTCCGCAAGTACCGATAAACCGCGGACATTACCACCCAAGGGTCTCCTAATAATAGTCAGCAAACAAACCGAGATCCCAAGTACTTATATATCCGTTTCTGTGAAGCGGGCGTATTCTTTTTATAATTCTGGCTTGAAATTACACGCATTGGGATTTCGATATACTATCGATCCTGTACTCTTTTCCTTTCAATCCCAATATATCTCGGCTGTCGTTCCAACCAGGTTAGTGGATCTGTACTTCTTTTTTCATTTGATACTTCCTTCTTGTACTCGTCGTTACAAATTAGTACCACGAGGGCGGTCAGCAGTATAAGCAAAACCTTGTAAGACCCAGATCAATTTTTGGGGAGCCGATTTCGAGTTCCTGGAGGCTGAACGGGGCGTCTGGTTGCGCAATTCTTAAGCCTGCCGACCGCATTTCTTCAAATCTACACATTCCCTTTTGTTTAAGGGGGCATTCTTTCTCCTCATCCCCCCATTTCCAACTATCAATAAGGGTTCTATCGTGATCCTTATAAAAGGTGTTGGACGCCTACAAACATAGCTCCCATTTTATCCGTTGGTAGACCGAAAACTGGTGGTTTGACAATCATCGTTCTCTCAAGGACGCTTCCGATTGCCCGTTTCGTCGATCGAAAGGCTAAATCGGGGTCACTTGGCTGGTACCTGGTCGTGCTAGTCAATTGCGGTTCGCCGTACTGACACTATTTCCTTCCGCATGGAAGAACGGCTGAGAGCTCAATTTTCTTTGTATGTTTGTTGGTGATGCTCAGGGGGATTGTATTCTTTCGTTGATTCTCATTTTGCTTTCATCGATACTAATGACGCTTATTGCAATAGAACGACTTTAATTCACAATGTCTCTTATATCCTCAGGGAACACCCTGTCCCTGACGGACAAGTTCGATGTCCTCAAGGATATTGGTGATGGAAGCTTTGGTAGTGTTGTGCTCGCCAAAGTGCGTAGCGCCGGCAGCAGTGTTGCTCGTCGAGGCAGCGTGGTACGTATCCATCCATTTTATTCATTGCTCTAGCGTGATATTCTAACAGTTAGAACAGGTTGCAATCAAGACGATGAAGAAGTCATTCGAATCGTTCGCACCGTGCCTGGAATTGCGAGAAGTTATATTTTTGCAAAAACTTCCTCCACATCCTCACCTCGTCCCTGCCTTAGACATCTTCTTGGACCCAACAACAAGAAAATTACACATTGCCATGGAATACATGGATGGTAACCTATATCAGCTTATGAAGTCCAGAGACCATAAGTGCTTGGATCAAGAGAGTGTCAAGAGCATACTGTAGGTCTTTTTTGCTTTCCGGTTTTGTGGTGGTAGAATTCGATACTAACAAGGAATAAAGATACCAAATCATGTCAGGCCTAGAACACATTCACGCGCAGGGGTTCTTCCACCGTGATATCAAGCCAGAAAACATTCTGGTTTCCACTTCAGCTGGTCCTTCTTATGATTCGAACGCTCCTTTCAGGCGATATTCGAGCATGACTCCGCCTGCTACCCCTGGTGCCTACACCGTCAAGATCGCTGACTTTGGTTTGGCAAGAGAGATGCACTCCAAGGTTCCATATACGACCTACGTTTCGACAAGATGGTACAGAGCACCAGAGGTCCTTCTCAGGGCGGGTGAATACAGTGCACCTGTCGATATTTGGGCAGTTGGTGCTATGGCTGTCGAGATTGCTACACTCAAGCCTCTCTTCCCAGGTAGCAACGAAGTCGATCAGGTCTGGAGAGTATGTGAGGTCATGGGAAGCCCAGGAAACTGGCAATCCCGAAGTGGAAGGAAGATTGGTGGTGGCGAGTGGAAAGATGGTATCCGGTTGGCACAGAAGCTTGGTTTTTCGTTTCCAAGGATGACACCACAATCGATTGAACAACATTACCTACCTTTATCGCAATGGCCAGCTTCGCTTTCTCAGTTTGTTACATCGTGTCTGCTGTGGGATCCAAGAGGTCGACCAACATCGACGCAGGCACTCGCTCATGAGTACTTCGTTGACGCCATCGACCCCTTAAAGCCAAAGCCAATTCCTCAGCCACAGACCCGTGCTCTTAGAAGCCGACAGTCTGAACTCGCCCGCCCATCAATGGAGCAGGTCGCACAGCCAACCCCTCAATCAAACCTCAATACTAAGCATTCTTGGTTCCGGAAGTCGTTTGCTGGCACTAACACTGCATCGGTGGTGCAAATCTCAGCTTCTACCCTACATTCTGAGACTAAGGCTAGCCCAAAGATAACACAAACTGAAATCACAGCACCAACATCGACTCGCCAGCCTGTTGAAAAGAGATCGACATGGCACGGTCTTCGTGGAACTGGAGCCCCAATTCCAATTCTTCCAACAATTAGGCCCATCACTCCTCTATCGGATACTGTTCATGCTCAAGCTAACAACCACGACCATACTGAAACCAAGCATCTTACTTTTGACGAGAAGTCCGGAAAGAAGCTTGGAAGACAGCTATCGACAAATAGCCAACAACAGTACACGAATCCTGCCCATGCTGCGGCACTATCCTCGCTGAATGGTGGACGGGGTGTTATGTCGCCACCGGGAACAAAGGAGGGCATATTTTCTCATTTCCGCAAGAGGGTACGAAGGCTATCTGGAAGAACATCAATCCCGGTCAGCCCTGCTGACGATATCGAGGCACAAGTTGGGTGCGGTCCGTGGTCGTCAAACAGGTCGTCAATGATTATCGATCAAGTCTCGAGTCCGACAGGCACTTCCTCCGGCGACTTTAAGGAATCCAGCCGAGAGTACGCACCTATCCAGGTTTCCGAGATTCCTAATATCGCCGGTCTCGGCAGTAACAATCGACACTCGCGGACTCAACTAATCTCGCCACCTCCTAGCATGAACTCGCAGATTAAGAGGAATCCGTCGTACCCACCCAGAGTCGAGCCACAATCTCAGTTAACCTCGTCGAATAGCAAGGCCCGCCGACAAATGGCCAGAAACTCTGCAGCCCGTTACGAAACCCCAGACGAAGAAGAAGAACTCTTAGATGAGGTTCTTGTTCATGCGGCCAAGGCCATGAGAAAGCTAGAGCGAGGATCGCCGGTTCTGTCGCAGCAGGGAACACCTGAGCGCACCGTTCCTTCCCACGGCTACCCAACTCCTCCTTCTCACAAGCAGCAGAAGCCACAGCTTCAGGTTGTAAGCATGGGTCTCCGAACAGACGCACCATCCAAGGGACGAAAGCGATCTGGTCAACGTAACTCTGAAGATGACAGCCCGATCCCCAAGTGGAATTCCCCACTTCTCGATAATGGAAACTGGGCTGCCTCGGCCGCCGCAACTGCCTATGCTGGATCGAAACGGTAAAGGTTTTGCGTTCCGTATGTACACTTTCCTCTGCATCCCACGACTCATGAAGCCGAAGGACGTCCTTGCACATATTTTTGCACATTTTCACATTTCCTTTGTTCATGTACCTTGATATTTCCAACACCTTAGACATTTGTGATTTTACCTCGAGTTTTTTCCATATTTTCCAGCGGTGGGGGTCTTCATATTTTCTTGTTAGCGAAATTCTCCTTTTCCTCATTTTTTTTGCACTAGGGGTTTGCGTGTGCTCTTTTCCCTCGTCTTTTTACCATCATATATCTGTTTGTAATAAACGTCCTAGAAAAACATCACCCAACAGACACGAAACTTCGAAGGTGGAATACGGCTACGAACGATCTTTGTTTTTAGAACCGCTTCTTCACACTCCTAACCACATGTCTTTGAACTTCCCTTCGCACCCTTCATTTTCACACCAAAAGAAAAACCAACGTCCTTTCACTCACTCTTCCCCAGGCGGTACCAAAACAAAAGCTCTTTCTTGCGCGGGGATCCTTCGAATCGTTTACGGAATTCAGGGTTGACACTGTGGTGGTCCTTTTTTCATTATCAAGATGCATAACCAGAAGAAGTCCTAATATTTTTTTTGTATAAAACAACCTCACTATTTTTTGTCTACACTCTTTTAATCATTCAAGCACGCGCAACCCCCCGTCTAGCACATTATAACCCTTTGTATTACCATTCCCCAAAAAACCACTACCTAGTACATCATTGGATCAGAAAGCGGGATTTTTACTTTCTTTGGCGTTCAAACCACTCTTTCGTTGCCTCTCTTTTTTTTTGCAGTTGTCTTTTCCTTTTTTTTCTTTTCGTTATCGTTCTCTTTTCTGCATTACCACCGGTGTTTATAATCGCTTTCCATTTTTTTCACTTTTTCTTGACCTTCGTTACTCCGATAGCTATTTGCATATTTTGCACTTCCTTTTTAAACTCTTTTTTTCCTTTGTCAATTCCTTGGTCGATCCCTTTTTATTGATTTTCCTTTTTCTTTTGTATGTAAACATCCCACACCCCCCTTACATCGATTATCTACATTCCTCTCTCAAGTGCGTTTTTCCGTGCTCCCCTTTGATAGGATGTTTCTTTTTTCTTCTGTTTAGTCCTCTCAAAAAAGCGAATTCCTTTTTTTTTTTTTCACCTCTTCTTGCCTTAAGGCGTTTCTTATTTTTTTTTTTCTTTTTGATATTTTATTTCCTTTGTCTCTCAACTTCAGCTCTTCGTCTCACTCACTCACTCTCGTTTTTATTGACTCATCATCTTCATTTTATAAACGAAAGAAAGGCCGTTATTTATTTTTTTGTTTAGATAGGATATAAGTACACACATCGTTTAGATAGACCAGAGCGAAAAACTCCCCCCCCCTTTTGTTTTTTGAAGTTAGTTTTTCTCTTTTTTTAGCAGCGGAGGGGAGAGATGGAGAGAGATGGGGAAAATAATATTAATTTCTGAATCTGAATCTAAATCTGAACTATAAATATATATATAACCAATTAACAACCTAACCTACTTACTTTACTCTTTTATAAAACAAAAAATATTTTGATATCATAAAGTTCTGTGTCCGGACGGACGTCCCAGGAAATTTGGATTTTGGTTGGATGAGAGATAACATGCATATGATATGCAAGTGGTTGTTATATAGAAGAAGGGGAGAGGGGTCTAGATCACCCTCACTTCAACCCCATCACATATCCACCACACACATACACACACGATTTTTAGAGTTTCGAATCCACATGTGTTGGACCTGACGTCTATTCATCATGTGTAACCATCGATCAAACTCTCAATAGACTTTTTCCCCTTCCCTTCCCTTCCAAAAAAACACTACCACCCTCGAGACGGAAGGAAGGAAGGACGGACGGACGGTGGAGATCACCACCCTCTCCCATGGTTATTCGTAGCGTGGACTAACAATCAATCAATCTAAAAACTTAAATATCACATAACATATACCCTCTATGGGTCTGTAGATCTAAGTGTACACCCACCAATCTAATGCAATACCGCTCGATCCCCGTCGCCAAAAAACAAAACAAGATGAGACAGGGTTTTTTTTTGTTTGATTGACGCTCGTTAACGATTTTTGTTCTTTCCAACCTCTGTATTCACCAGTGAACATGTGCACGTGTATAGACCATGCGCATGTTCCGAATCAATATTCGCAATATACACGAGTGATCTTCCATCACGTTTTCAGCATTATATCAAGCCGTAACTGTAGCCTTTAATAACACATTTACAAAATCCCTAGATGATTATAAATAAGTATATAAATGATCGAAGAAAAGAATTAACATAGAATCAAAACTTCGCATTAACACCATCGTTCGTCTATCTAATCCTCCCCGAAAAGCGGATTTACTAAAAAGAAACCAGAACCTAAGAACTAAACCCTCCTTCCCCGCCCTTCACCCGTCTATAGTTGGCGAAGCAATGTTGCCGATAAACTAACAGAAGGAAGGAGGGGGAAGAGGGAGAGGGTCTAAGCTACAGGACGCAGGGGATATACGAGAAACTGAGCAAGGAGAATATACTCGGTTCCCCAAAGACTGCAGACCTGCAAGGCGTATGTAAGGGATGGAGTGGGGTTATCGATCGGGGTCGATGAACCCCGTAACAAGGAGCGAAGATAAGAACTTCGCCCTTCCTTCCTTCGATCCCAGATCGTTGAAGATGGTGTCGATAGTGTGAAACAAAAAGCAGGAGCAGATGATAGTAAGAAAGAAGCATGCAGGAGGAAAGCCACGAAACCCCTACCAGCTAACACCTAAAACCAGAAGAAACAGAAGAACAAAACACCGATAAACGCCATCCCTTAACTCTGGGAGCGTAGGTGGGGATAAAAATAAGAAAAAAAGAGGCAGAAAGAAAATGTGAAAATAAAAGATCATTTATAGTGCCTAGACCAAGGGTCATCGTCAAAGTCTGTCCTAACGGTTTTCTTCCGATCCGTCCATGTACTCGCACTAGAAGTAACAGACCCCTCGGCATCATCATGACCGTCGTCAGACCCGAAACCATTCTGACCCTGACCTTTCTTCGGAACTTTGGTAACCCTGGCCCATCCGTTCTTGCGCAGCTCTGCTCCCGTAGACTTAGGTGGGATGGAGCGAAGCGGGGCACGGGAATCAAAAGTCTCGGTATTGCTGATGCTAGATGGGGCTTGTGGACCGTTGGCGTTTCGAGGAGCAGAGTCATAAGTCATTGTAGTCATGGTTTCGGACTGAAGTTGCTGTGGAGGCTGGCGAGTCTTCGTAACCCACCCGTCTGCCGCCTGGGGAACCCCAGGACGCGGTGTTATCGCAGACCCAGTAGCATGTTCGAGGCGGTTTAGGTTGGCAGAAGTAAGAGTATTAGTGTGGATGCTAGAACCGGCATAGCTGGTGCCGGCGCGGAGAACAGTGTTGGTGTTCCGGTCCTCCTTGTTGCCAGTGTCGAAGTCTACTTCCTACAAGTTGGTTAGCATCTGTTCGATAAGTAGTAGAGTTGATACTAGGGTGGGCATACATCTTCTTCATCATCAGATGAGGCATAGTCATCACTGTCTGGCATTTCGAGATCCGGGGCAATGTTCGCCTGCTTATTGATACAACCTTTACAGCGCTATACCGAAACCAATCGCAATCAGCATCAAGTTCTTCTTATCCATCACCATCTCAATGATAAATGCCCCAGCTTCACCATGATTCCAAGAGTAGTGGACTCACAGCGGTATCCGGATTCTTCCTTTGGGTTCTTGCAAAGTGATCAAGTCCATTGGTTTCGCCACAGACAATGCAGGTGAGCTCAGTAGTCTGGTCGGCGGTGCATGTTTTGCAGGTAGTTCGATGCGACGGTTTGCCTTTACCGCCACCGCCAGAAGCAAATGCTATACAAGAATCAATCCACCAAGGTTAGGTACCTAGTTCTAATAGGATTGGTAAAACGCGACTGGAACAGAAGGAGAACATACGCTGATAAATGGTACCCTTATGCTTCGCTAATTGACGTCCAGAGTACTGGGTGTGCGGTTTGTCTCGACGACAGACATAGCAAACAATACTGCATCGAACCTCTTAGCAAAAAATGATCCATCTCTCTTAACTAGTCCCGACGATTGCAACCCACCTGTCTGGTTGTGAAACTCTATGCCAGAAATAAAAGTATCAAGTTAGCAACAGCTCAAGAATTCCAACAACCTCGAAAACCGTGTTGTTATTTGGGAATTTAGAGATCCCGAACAGCTAGCTAGCCTGTGGCAAAGTGACAGGGGTAGCTAGCTACTTCGAAAACGAGAAGACGACGACGAGAAAAGCAGATCAGCACATACCTTCCACCACTATTGGCACCTTTACCAAGACCCTGATTGTACAGGTTCTTGCCGACCTTTGGCAGCTGTGGAGGAGGCATTCCGACGATTTCGAATGTGAAGAGCAATTGATGCTTGAGATGAGGGAGTTGAACGTCGATGCGAGATGTAGCGATATCTGTGAGTAGGTGATGGCGTTGGGGAGGAAGTTAATGCCGGGAGCACCAGGGAGGTGAGGGAAAGGAAGAGGAGGAAGAGAAGAATGTGGGGTGGTCCTCCACCAATTAATAGAGGGTACTTATATATACGACCTTTTTCTGCCACAGAAAAGGTTAGCAAATAAAGACGCCGATTGAGCACTGATGCAAGGATGAAGCGGATACCTTGAAGAACTAATTAAATTCTTGGTTTTTGTCTTTTTTTGTACTCTTGTGCGGAGTGGATATTGAAAGAAACTCTGGGAGATAGGTTTGAAGCCTGACCCTTGAAGCCGAATGTTGCCTGAAATCTGTTGGTGTTGTTTGAATACTGTGGAGCACTAGCTAGCTGCCAGGTAGAAGGTAACAACCATATCGACATCTCCTGAGAATCAATCCAATCAGAGTGACGTTTCCTGTGCCAATATCATGAATTGACCAAAAGACCGCAAAGATGACAGCCCTCTATGTTGTGTGCCGGCTTTGACAACGGATAGTTCGATGCATATTGGTATCTTCTAGAAGTTTGCAGTGCCAGTTGGTGGCCCGTAGACTCGACTCGCATGGTTGCACCCGTGTTGGTAATACATTGCAGATACCAACAATCAAACGTAAACCGACCAGCCGGATCAAATAGAAATGTTTGAAATGCTGTAGTCTAGTGTAGAAGCTTCTTTTTGTGTCATCTGTAGTTTGAGACGAAGGAATGAGCTGGCTGGTGTAGTAATTTCGCGAGGTTCGGGCCGTAGGACGTTGATGTTCAACTAAAGTTGGAAGATCTCGGCCTTTCTGCTGACGCAGATATGAGAAAACGAGTGCAGCGTCTAGATATCAGAATACTGTTTCTGGTGAATTAGTTTTTGATTAAAACCGTAGAAGCACACGTGGGAAAATATGGCAAAAGGTATGTATATAGATATGTGGAGGATAACACTGGTGGTCATATCGATATATCAACCAAATTGCAGAGGACCTGAACTGTAAGGCGGATCCATGGACCTGATGAAATTCGAAAATCAAGACTAGTTGATTGAGCAAAACGGGAAAACACGGTTTCTCGGGTGCGCATACGATGGAAGGGTGGTGAAAGTTTTAATAGTTCATATTGTATTAGCGGGTGATCTAGTGCTATCTAGATGAGAAAAGTAGCTACATGATCAAGGTTTCAATGATTATAAGAAGGAGAGAAGAGGAATAGCTAAGGACATAGCGAAGAGGGAAGGGTGCTTTAAGGCCTTATGCTATGAGGATAAGAATTGAAGCGGATAGAAGGAAATGAAACCATAATGTATTAATGCACCCGCTGATGGTTTAATAGGGGAAGAACAACGTAAAAGAACCAGGCCATTAACCCGTTAGTAACTGCAGCTTGACATAAAAGCAGACAGTATTCACATCAGGTTCAAGGACCTCGAGCTAATCATAAACGAAATAAAGGTATGATTAGAAAGAAACAAAATCCCGTTAACGCCGGCTTGAACAGATCAACAGAGAAGGAAAGGAATAGGAAAGGAATAGGAAAGAATCCAACGATCCAGCAACAGCCGCCCATCACTAAGGAAGATATGGATAGGCTATGGTGTTCGATGAGAAGTTGAAAATAATCAACGCTTCTTTGCGTTGTCAACGTCCTCTTCTTCATCATCCTCGTAGTCATATGTCTCCAACTCCTCATCGTTAACAACGTCCGGCTGGTCCCAGGGACATTCCTTATTGATAATCTCATCCTCAAAAGCATTTTCGATATGCTCCCAAGTCATGGTAACATCATCCTCGAAACCAACAACACTGAAAGGAGTTTGAGCGAATCGTGAGCCTGGATTGATGACATCAGTGGTGATGTAGCGGGACATGTCTGGAGCTGGGGTGAGGATTAGAAGCCTAGTATAGGATGTATTCTTCCTCAGCAGCTGGATGAGACGTAGTGCACAGCATTCTTTGGAAGTACTGATGAAGATACGGCCTTTACCATCCTGGACGATTGGTTTGTCTTTGTTTTGTGGCTTAATGAGGTAGAAGGTAACCCTATTCTCGTCTTTCAAGAGCTTCTGTCTCTTGTCATCTCGCTGGACATGTTGATTTTGCTGCTTTTGTTGGTTTGATTTTTGTTGATTCGACTTTTGCTGATTTGACTTCTGCTGATTCGACTTCTGCTGATTTGGCTTTGCTGGCTTAATAGCACCGATACTGGAAGAAACAGGGCTAGAAGGACCAGGGACTTCAATGGTCTCATACGCCTCATCTTCATCTTCGTCGTCTCCTGACGACCCAATCGCATTCCCGTAACGGGGGACAACTTTTTGGACAATTTCGGGTGGGCTTCCGACGCCACTACCTGGAGCGCTATCCTCAAGATGAGAGTACTCCTCGTCATTGTCAGATTTGAGATTTTGATATCTGACACGTTTGGTAGCAGCCGAATCAACTGATTTAGCTGACTTAGCGGGGGCCGACTGAAAGGGAGCCGGTTTGGGAAAAGCCTTTGAAGTAGAGGCAGTTCCGGTAGGTGAGGCTTTAATAGGAGTTGGCTCTTTGGAAACAGGCTTCTTCGGAGCACGTGTAGTGTGAGAAGCTGCGCTGGAGGCAGTACTGAGAGCTTGAGGTGAAGTTACTTTTCTAGCCGCTTTTTTGGCTTCAGTTTGGATAGTATGTGTCTTCTTTACTTCCTCGACAGGAGAAACAGAATGTGACTTCGATGCGCCTGAAAGTCCCGTTTTGGCGGTCTCCGGAGAAACTGTAAATCCAAAGTTCAGCAATGCATAACATGATACTAACGAAAACGCAGACAAGTTCATGGGTAAACATACCATCCGATAGTTCTTGAACATCCTGGGCAGCCTTTTCAGCAGAAGGGGGGGCGGAGAGAACATTAAGCCTAACGCCTCCGCTTGGCTCATCTTCAGAATCATCGGATTCAGAATCGATAGAGAGCTTGTCTTCATCCTTAGTTGGTTGTACCGCAGTAGACTGGCGGGCGGTGGCTGGTTTCTCAACAGCGAGCGTACCGATCTGTTGTTGTAACTCCTCCAAGACCTCCCTTTCTACGGCGGGATTAACGAAACCGTGTCCCATGCCGGCTGGTCCAATGGGAACTGGGAAGGTCGACGGGTTGGGATTCAAGTTGCTAGGTTGGCGGGGTATGTGTGCCTGGTAGCCCAACCTTATATTTGAAGGTCTGGGGTTCGCAGGCCTGGGAATACCCCTCTGCTGTTCAGATGGACGGAGGGGAGCAATAGATGCCTCTTTCTCTGTCGCAGTAACTGCTTTTTGAAGAGTACTGGCAGGAGTAGCAGGCTTTGCATCCGCAGCTTTGATCTGAGAAACAAGCATAGGTAGAGAAGCAGGAGACTTACCCCTCTCGATGGCTCCAAGAAACATGTTAATGGATTCAATAGAGGTTCCATGCCCACGGGCACGCGAATGCAAGATCCATGAACCATCGAGATCAGCAAGGTATCGCTTTCCAGGTTCGACAAGCTCTTCCCAATCTTCCCAATGGATGATGACCATGGTACGCGTGTACATGGTGATTACGGGAGCACTGCCGCAGTTTGTACGACGTCGAATGACCTCTTCGAGAGCCTATCATAAAAAAACGAACGAAAAAAGATGCAGAATGAGATATTAGAGATCTGTGTTGATCTATGCGTGTATGCATTGAGGTGTAGGGGTGGTATGATACATACTTGACGGACTATTGCCTTTTTCATAGGAACCATGAATGGGATGGGGGTAGCCCCATGGGCAATTTGAAGTTCGATGGCGTGTGGTTTATCCATGGTTGTTACTTAGTAGTTTTATCTTTCGATCAAAGCAATGTTTGAAGCTTCACGAGGTGAGAGATGAGAGATTCGAATGGAAAATGGGGTACAAGAAAGCCTTGTAAGGAGGAGTAGAGAAGAGGATTAGGAGGAGAGGTTATGGAGAAAGCTCATGAGCTTCCCTATGCGGGCGGGATAGGGTTGATGAAGATGGAGATAATGGAGATGAAAGGAATGAAAATGAGGAAGAAGAGGAAGAGCCGTGAAAGGAAGAGGAATAAGAGCTACCCAAAGGATTCGGTGAGGGAAAATAAATTGAGCAATCAACTCTACGAGGGCAACTAGGAACAGTGCGGAGGGGCGACGGTCGGTCGGTGTCGACGCCAATTCCCGTGACTGGTGAACGAGGGTTTGCAATCCATATTGGGCGGGGGAGAGTGCAATGAACCTCCGCCCAGCCTTTGTGTGGCTTTAGTACAAAGGACATTAAACCGCTTGTTTATGATATTCGGAAAGATCATGATGTTTCTAGAAGTGGTTGTCTTTTTTCTCTAGTAGTCCGATATAAGATATATTAACTATATTAGTTCAAATATATTTTTTTGCAAATTTAATAGCCGCATCGAAGTACTGGAGCTCGAGATATGGAATAGACTTATGTATTTTCCAAGGTCTGCGATGAAAGGGTGGAAGGTTATTCGCGAAATACTACACGGTATAATTTTCGCATGACGAAAGTCGAGGTTTTATTAGCTGATGCTAAGACCGTTGCATTCTCTTAGCGGATGCTAATATTTCTGTATTCTCTTAGCGGATGCTAATAACTCTGTATTATCTTAGCGGATGCTAATACCACGATAGTGTTTTAGCTCAAGCTAAAGCCGACATGGTAGTCCAGCTGCAGCTAAGAATATCGTAAATGCGAAATACTTCGGCAAGTCGCATTTGCGACAAACCTAGCACCCCAAGGAAATTTTATATGCATGGAAATCAAATTTGTTTATATACAAACCTTCCGGGTTTGCTTTACTTTAAAAAACTTAATTTCGTCGAGTATCTCAGACTAAAGAGCTGATCCTGAACTCGAGGAGTATGCTTTGATATGGTCTTGTATACAGTCTGTTGCATATTTCAAGCATGCGAATAGCTTGGTCTGTGCCCGAGTGCTATGATATCATAAAACATCAAACCCTGTGAAGATCTTCGAAACGAAGGCAGTAGGTAGTATTCTTATCGTATATTATGTTGGTTGTATATCAATAATGAGGGATGTTGAGGAAAGAAGGGGTAATAACTGAAACAAGTTGACGATACAGAACAAAAGCCTCAATGAAAAAGAATATAGTGTCACTAGTTCTCAACCTCGAATACTCGGCCTCTCCACCTTGCTATCGATCCAAACCATCAAAAGAAAATCTTAAATTGAATAAATGTGGTCACCCGAGGGTATCGTGATAGACATCTCCTCTCTTTGACTCCACATCCTTCCTAAAGAATTCTTTTTTTTTTTTTTTCAAAAAAAATGACCCGGCCAATAGAACCCCTCCACCCCTCTCATCCAGCCCACATAGTCCATCATCAAATCTGCAACCACATTCTTCGTCGGATCTACAAACCCTCACCTGATGACCCTTCCCAAACAGGATGTATCTGTTCCCACCCACCTGAAGAAATCGTCAGACCGATTTGCCTCGAACGTGGAGGAATCCCCTGCCGCATTGACGAATTGACTTATGAAGTCGCTTCATTGCCAATAGAGTGTAACTCCTGCGCTGAGAGGAACAGTAGTAGTAGTAGTAGTAGAGGGAGTGATGAGGGGAGTAGTGAGGGTGAAATTATGGCAAAGGAGAGGGGTGGTGAAGGTGTGGTGAAGAGTGGAAGAAAGAGGAAGGGGAAAGGAAGGGTTAGTGGGAAGACGTCAAAGAGGGTTGGGATGTCACATACGCCGGCTACGAAGTTAGCTACGGGATTTGGAGGACTAGGAATTGAATCTCCTTCGAGTGCAAGCTCTGGATCTAGCTCTAGCAAAAAGGAAAAGAGGGGTAATTCCAAGAGGAGATCGAAAGAATCGAATAGACCTAGAGATACGGAGGAAGAGAAGGCTTGGAAACAGCTTCGGAGTGGACCTGTTGGTGGGTTTTAGAAGTTTTAATTTCAGAGGTTTGTTTTTATTCTTTTCTCTTAAAATAAAAGAACAGGAGGAAAGAAGAAAAGAAAAAGAAGAAAAGAAAACGAAAACGAATAATACCGAATCGAACGCGACAGATCACGAATATGCACGATGAGGTTTCGGGGATGCTCGCTTTATGTAAGTACATAGTTGAGGTATCGATATTAACCCTGGAAGACCGAGTATGCCCGACGGATAGCTGTTGCATTTTTGGTGTTGTATGTAATATAGCCCTGCATGCTGGGTTCACAGAAAGCACAGCATCTGCTCACCTCGAGCTCGAGAGAGACTGCAGTCTGTGCGGCAGGGCCTCGAAATTATCTGATTGGTCGGCAATCTAAGCCGACAAGTCAAAGGCATTCCTCTCCTCCCGCGTCCAAAAAAGCTTCCCTTTTTCGGGGTTTCGGGGTGACGAAGCTTCAATTGATACGGAGCACTTACTATGTCAGTACTTACTGAACCACATGCCATAAATATATAAGCCAATGAGGATCCATATACGTATGAAGCAAGGAGAGAGCTCGAGACAAGCACATCATATGCACGTTGAATGCACCGAAGAGGAATATGCATGACCCCGAAATGGGGATTCCTATCTGACAAACCTGGCCTAAGTGCTTCACCAGCCCCGGTGCCTGAGAGATGAGATTCTGGTTTTTGATCTTGGAATTCGGATTCTGGACCCTGGGTCTTTATCAGAACTTGCCAGCTACTTACCAAGATCCAGCGTCGGGACCCTTGGCCGCAATCGTGAATAGCCATAGCCGCTCGATCGATCTGAAGTGTCATGTCCTCCCCCAAAAGCATTATACCCGAGCTGTTTCCACTCGAAAAAAGGTTAAGGGAAACCTAGGCTGTTGGCTTCCATTCGGGTGTTTAAGTTGCATTTGCTCCCCAGTTTTTCCCAACTATCCGTTTTCCCTTTCTCGATCCCCATATTCAAAGTAAAAAAAAAGGTGGGAAGGTTAGAATCGAATTCATCATCATCAATGCAACCAAGATCAAGATCAAACTCCTCCGGTTCTCGCATTTGTTCGGTCGGATTTCTCCTCTCGTCCTAGCCAGGCCAGTCCAGGCACGGGTGTGCTACCCAGGGAAGTGGTTCTGCCTCTTTTTCTGGTTGTGGTTGATACGATTCGAAGCTCTTATGCATACCAGCGCTATTAACCTTGATGCCCGCCTTCCGAAACCCTTTTTTTTGAGATCGTAAAAGTTCGCAGTATCGCGCACACGTTTCGGACATCCTCGGTCGATAGATCCACAACCACTTACATCCCCACCCCCCTCCTCTTACATCCGAAAAGAGCAACAACCACCATCACCTACAGCTTCCCACCCCACCAATGACGTTAACAGTTTAACTCGTATCCCTGCATTTTCCCTTTTAACGAAACGTCTGAGGAACATTATCAAAAATATTACAGGGAAAAAAGTAAAAAGGGATATAGGTAAATTTAAACCTTGACCGTTAATGGGCAGGCCATGCCGAACGCCATGGATATTCAACGGTTGGTCTCGAAGTCGCAGCCGACTTCTGGGAATCAACACCACGGGCACCACCGTAACCCGCAGAAGAGAGCTGCGGATTTTTCTCCTCCTCCCGGGTCTAGTTCTTCTGCAGCTCTGAAGGATAGACCTAGTAAACGTCTTGCTGTATGTGCAATCTATATATATTTCCTTGTCTTTATTACCCCCCCCGATTCCCTCCCTCTTCACCCATTCCTTTTTTTCAGGCCCTATCTAAATTATATATATATGTTTGTATCCCCAAAGATATACACATACTCGAGTGCATGCAGTGCTTTGAGTAGTATATATATACATATATGTATACCGCCCTTTCGCCCTTATCCTCTTGCTATATAAAAATATATCCAAGTGCACTTCAAGTCCAGTGCATATTTCCCAAAAGGCTTTTATGAACATCCAATACTAAAATAAACCATGGCACCCATTGAATTCGTCTCCAATATCCAGCTTTCCTGCACAAAATGCCGTTCGAGAAAGGTCAAATGTGACCGCGTTCAACCATGTCAATCCTGCTGTCTCCGCGGAGAACCCGACCAATGCAGATTCCCTAGTTCGGAAACCACAGATTTAAATGCCGTTAACCAGGCGTATGAGATCAGAAGGTTAAGAAAAGAGTTGGATAGTTGGAAGGCAAAGTATACTGAATTGCAGGGTCAGATGTTGCCGTCCGGGCCGGAGGGAGGAACAAGAGATGCGTTTCCAACGTTGGAGAGTTCAAAAGACAGTTTACCGTCTCCGCCGACTTCGAACGCAAGGACAATGTCGATTGCGTCTGAAAGCTCGACTGGTAGAAGGCCTGCTCCTGGGGCTGAATTGGCGTCGGTGGACGAAAAGTCACACCTGCACTTTGGTGCACCGGGATTGTACGTGACCCTTCTCGATACTATAACTATCTTACTAGGCAATTTTACCTAACAAATCCATAGGACAACAGTTATTAATGAAGTAAGGAGATCCATGCTATCCAATTTGGCTGAACAAGACACTAACAAGAAATAGTTTACAAATATGCATGTGAAGACATCTGCTGCCCAAATACATCACATCCCAGAGGCAATTGATATCCTTTCGGCACGGTATCCTCGAGGTTTCCCCTTTCCCACATTATGGAAGGCTGTCGACGGTATTGCGGGCATCTGGACTTGTCTACCACCCGTTGACGAGGTCCTTGCCTATGTCGAAGCCTATCGACAAAGGGCGCAAGTAAGGCATTTTACCTCCTAAGCAAATGGAAACCTTTTCTCTAATGGTAGAATATAGTGTGCTTATCCTTATATCTATGCTGAATTACAAGATGATGAGGTATTGAGACGCTTCTTGGAGGGCGGTGTGCAGAATGCAGAGCAACAGCCAAGTCTCCTTGCCCTCGTTTTAATAAGTATTGCTTTGGGTATACAATGTTCGGTCTACCACAGAAGAGGACATAAGTGGGTCAGCGGAGCTATGGAGGAGGACCGTCGATTCTCAGAGGTCTACTGTAGGTGTTACCATTAACACCGTTACGTTATCTACATGAACGCGTCCGAATACTAACTAAGACGTATGCATACAGTCGCCGCAGCATTCCAAACACTACGTATCATGGGTTTCTCCGCCAGACCTGATGCCTTAACACTCCAAACCCTCCTAATGATGCTTCCATATCTCACAAACAGCGGTAGATGCTGTGACGCCTGGGTAGTCCATGGCATGGCAATCAGAGTAGCTCAATCAATGGGCTACCACCGCGACCCCACCTTCCTCCGCCCTTCTCCAGCCCCAGCAGACGCCCACGTTCGTCGAATCCTTTGGTGGTGGGTTTTATACCAAGACGTCCACCTCTCCATGATCTTTGGCCGTCCTCTCGGCGTCTCCGGCATCGGTGATGTCCTACCGCCAGAACTTGTAACCCCAATGCCGACTACATTTAAAGAATTCGTCATGCCGTACACTGTTTTAATGCGGCAAATGCTTTCGGCGGATGAACTAAGCACTTACAAAATCGACGAGATTACCAATGGTGCCCTAGGGCTGCTTGCCCGTCTCCCGCCTGTTTTGCAGTTTGATCCTGAAACCTGGACTCGTGACGACTTTAGCGGTCCACCATGGCCGAGGAATATGTTGGCTGTATTACATGCTTCGAAGGTGCATAATATGGTTATATTATTGAATAAGAGGAGGAAGGATATTGAAGCTAGGGAGCAGAATGGGGAACAAGGGGTTGGGTTGCAGAGGATATTGAGTAGTTGTAGGTTGATTTTGAAGTGTCAGGAGTTTATGCATAAACATGCAAGGCAAGGGCTACTATGCTGGTTCTCGAATCAGTGCTGGTTTAATGCTTCGGTAAGGCTCTCTTTTCCCAAAGAGCTCAAATTTAAATACTTTACCAAGCTAACAATGTAAACGATATATATAGATGATATTGGGTCTCAACATCCTCGACCACAGAGAATACCCAGAACTAGAATCCGACAAAGAAGAACTTCGAAAATCCTACACCAGATTCCAAGACGAAGCTTACCTAGGGATCCACGAACTCGCAGCGATAGCCGTAGAACACCTCGGCCGCATGTTCCAACAAGTCGGGATCCCAATGGAAGGGATAGAATATACTAGTCACGCTACCAGCGATACAATAGATAGTGAAGCTATGGCGGCAGCGGCTATGGCGGCGACATTACAGGCAGCGCCTGAGAGTGATATGGACTTTGGAGGGATACCGCAAAGTTTTGGGTACGGACTGAGGATTCCGGATACGTTGTTTAAGAATGGGGATATATGTAGTAATTCGTGGCATCGGGTGTGAGCCACCGATGCACCTACATAAGATCATATATATATATATATATATATATGATGGTCGGTAAGCATACATGCATCTGGGGAGAAATTTGATCGGTTATCGACGACTTTCCCTGAACATGTGATGATGATGATGAATTTATTCTTACATGGGGTATTACGGGCGTACACAAAACAGTGGAATCACTGAAGGGCGGATCATTTGTATTTGACATTTTGTCATACTATACCATATCATTATCTTTTTCTTTTCTTTGCAGTTTTATTTAGCCTTTGAAGTATTTCCCTTTCTCTCTCTCTCTGTTCTTTTCATGGAACCCTCTTCCTCTTGGGCATTAGCACTTCCTTCCCCGTTTCTTTCTTTCTTTCTTTCTTTTTTTAAGATGTATACTCAAGGTACGCAAGTGCCTAAGTAGCGAAGATTAGCTACATGTATACAGCGATCGAAATGGACATAGGATTCGGGATCAGGACAGATGAATAAACAAAATAACATGGTCCGTTGAAACTTGTCCTGTTGGATATATCAGTTTTCCGAGATCTTTTGGACACTATCCCTATAAGTACCTAACTTAGCTACTTAGCTATACCTTTTGTCAAGCTCGCCTAGTTTCGGCGGGAGTATGCACACTTTGGTTATGGTTGTAACGTTATTAATCGACCGGGCTTATAAACAAGGCCAATATATTTCGGTCTGTAAAGTGTGGGATACGTACGCCACAGCGATGCTATAGCTAGTGCTATTATCCAATGAAATAGACTCAATCAATCGATCACATAGACATCGACGAATTAGAATTGCTGTATGTATACGCGTATACGTGCACAATCCAATTGAATGAATTCATGAAGATTCTATACATGTATACAAGGTGGTATACTTGACTCCCCTATTGATATTGTGACACAACCAACCATCAATCAATCCGAAGCAATTGTAATTGTAATTGAACCTAGGAAGTACGAAGTAATATTAAAGGGACCTGTAAGAAGTATAAAATATCCCCACCTTTTTGGCAGCTCGGTTGGGTTCAGCCTCAGCCGTGTGCATGGCCATTGCATTGGCCTGGTCGTGACCAACGAGGGAGAGCAAGCTAGCAAAGCTAGATCCCATATCCTGCATCGTATCCCTTGGAACTCAAACTGACGGGAAACGAAATTGATTTAAAGAGCAACCGCAACCGCAGGCAACTTTTTCTTTTCTTTTTTTTTTGGATGTTATCTTTTTTTTTTTTTTTCTTAACCGTTGACCGAAGAAATTGACCAATTGTGTGGCTGTCAGTGCCTATATACTCGAGGTATATTATAGTATAGCTAGTAGGTAGATAGTACTTCTGATGTTTAGTCTGTCCGTAGACGGATTCGATTGCATGAAATGATGTATGTGATCAGGTATGTCGAGTATCCGTACATAAGTACTTACATACTTAAGGACGTACAGGGAAGCTCAGGAGGGGGACGGTAGACCGTACTATCAATACACACTTGACCCCTCCTTTCTTGTCATTCTAATCCCGTTCCGACATCGATCGAAACAATCGCAACGTCAAGAGATCTTTCTATACAATTTTTACAGCCTCATCGGCTTCCCTGTTCTCATTATTGCATTGTCGTTTGTGAATTGTATTCGTATCGGACGAGGCTATCAACAATTAACAGTTAACAGTTAACAGTTACAAACCCTGGCCACATTTGTGCCGGATCCAGCAGCCTCCAACCTGCAGCCCCGTAAACCCACAGCCGGACACTGACAGACACAGACACAGACAGACACACAGGAAAACAACCACATTCTGCCTACCATCCTGCCATCCTGCCTGCTTGATTGCTTGCCATCCATCCATCCATCCATCCATCCCATCTCTTCGTTTTATCTTCTCTTCTTCCTCTTCCTCTTCTAATCTCTCTCTCTCCCGTCACCATCATCACCATCATCTTCTCTATCGCATCGTCGTCGTCGTTATCGTCGACTTTCCGTCAAACTGTCATCCCGTAGTCACGTAAACACTCCCCCCAATCCCAGCTCCGAAAACATCAAACCTACCCCCAACACGGACCTAACCGCGCACCTCCCATACTTACCTGGCTCCTTTCCAACCCCGACCGACGAAGAAACCCCAAAGATGTCCGATCCATCGATCGTTGAGGAAGATGGCTCAAGGGGCATGAGATCCGGTTCCGTCGCCGGAGCTTCTACGGGTTCTGCCGCTGCTGGTGCACCTCAGGAAAGACAACAAGACAGACTTATCGTCGGTGTCGACTTCGGGACAACCTACAGGTAATTCACTCCCCCCCCCCTTTTTTTTTTTTTCTCTCTCTCTGTCTTTTTGCCTGACCGTCTGGACTGTTTTCTGTGTTGTATAAAAATCTATATATAAAATGAGCTGTATGCTAACATTTATACATCATCTTTTAGTGGTATGTATTTATAGCTCCAATTAAGCTTCAAAACCTTCACAATTCTCCCGATATAAATTTCTAACTCCGACATATTTTGAAAAACACACAGGCGTCGCAGCAGTCTACACCTCCACACCCGAAGATGTCGAAGTTATCAAAACCTGGCCGGGAGGCAACGGCATCACATCCGACAAAGTCCCCACTGAAATCTCCTATATAACCCCTCCGGGCGCCACGAGTGTCCAAGCAAACAAATGGGGCTTCCAATTCAAACCCGAAGAAGAGCGTCTTCGCTGTATCAAGCTCTTCTTGGATCGAAACCAAAAACTCCCTCACTTCGTCTCGCCGCTCGAAACAGCTGCCCAGCTTCGCAAGTACAATAAGAATGTAGTCGATGCCGTTTCCGATTATTTGACCGCTATATACAAGCATACCATGGATACGCTGGGAAGACGGTACGGTGATAGTTTTATGGCTAGTACGAAGGTGGAGTTTGTGCTCACTGTTCCAGCGGTTTGGAGCGATGCGGCGAAAAACGCGACTTTGCAGGCAGCAGAGAGGGCAGGGATGGGTAACAGGCACGATTTGAGACTTATTAGCGAACCTGAGGCGGCTGCCGTGTACACACTCAAGGCGATCCAACCGAATCATTTGAAGGTTGGGGATAACTTCATTGTGTGCGATGCTGGTGGTGGTACAGTGGTATGTTATCCCATATTAAACTTCATGGGTTGGTTATGATAGACGGGTACTAATGGGGAGGAAAACAGGACTTGATTTCTTATAAGATAACGCAAATCTCGCCGCTGAGGGTAGAGGAGTCTGCAGTTGGTACTGGTGGGCTCTGCGGGTCTGCCTTTTTGAACTATAGGTTCGAGGACCACGTTAAATCTAGAGTCGGAACTTCGGTCTACAATGCCATGAAACCACGGACAAGAATGATGGGATTGAAGTACTGGGACGAATACGTCAAACGAAACTTCAATGACGAAGATCAAGAGCTTCCTGTTCCATTCCCTGGATTGGTGGATAACGAGGAGGCGGGTGTAGAAGGTGGCTTCTTGGTCTTGACGAGAGAGCACGTGAGAGACATCTTTGAGCCTATCATCAAAGAGGTTGTGGAACTCGTGGAGGGCCAGGTGGAGACTATAAAGAGGAGAGGCGGGGCAATTGCAGTATGTATACAAAAAAAAACGTGGGTATTGTTTGTCACACAGGACCATGCTGATCAAAAACGTGTAGGGCATTGTGTTGGTTGGTGGTTTTGGCCAGTCGAACTACCTGTATAACAGGTTGAAGAGCCACTTCAATGCGGCGCCACCGCCTTACTCCGAGCGGCCGACGAATCATAGCATCGTGGAGGTCATGCAACCTGTGTATGCATGGACTGCCGTGGTGCGTGGAGCTGTTCTTCGTGGATTGGAAGGATCTATGGTAGTCAGTCGACGATCGAGATGGCATTACGGGACTAGTTACGCTACAGTCTTCGACGAAGAGAAACACCCTATATCAGATCGATATTGGTCGCCATTATGGGAGCGGTGGATGGTTAGTGACCGAATGCAGTGGCACATTGCGAAGGTATTTTTGTTCGGCCCCAGCGGATTCTGTGACATGATAACTGACAATAATACAATATAGGACGAGAAAGTATCAGAACGCAAAGCCGTGTCATTCCACTACACCCGCAATTTCAGGCCGGGCCAGTCATTGATAGTAGAAGATGACTTGATCGCCTGCGACATGGACGTTGCACCTGACTCGATGAAGAAGGGGCTTATCAACGTGTGCACGTTAACAACGGACCTTAATGCGGTTCCGAAGTCGCTGTTTACGAGACTGACGACGAGCAAGGGCATTGAGTTCGATAATTTGGATTTCACGTTAGATATGACAATCGATTCGGCAAGTTTGATCTTTGAGTTGAAGGTGGATGGGGTGCCGTACGGGAAGGTTGTGGCGAAATTTCATTGAGCCCTCCTTTATTTCTTTCTTTCGTTCTTCATCCTTTAATGACCTGCACATGCGAGTACCGATGACAGGGGAGGGATTTCCAAAAAAGAAAGGCTTTAAGGCATTTAGTACTGCTATCTTTTGTTTTGTTTTTGCGTCTGGATTTTATACCCTTTTCCCCCGTTCCCTTTTTTCTTTTTGTTTATTTCAGAGTGCTTCCCCCCCCTTCCTCACTCTTTTCGGTTTGATGATGATGTGACAGGAGGCTAAACGGCGATGAGATATCGATGGAGCAGGGAGTGTTTAGCTTTATTTCTCAACCGAGATCATGTGTGAATTGTATGATGGAGTTGGTATTTGGATATTATCATTATTAACTTTACTACTACTAGCTATTTGATGCATGTATTAGCGATTCTTTGGACAAGTAAAAAAAAAATGATGTGTTCCTTCTCAAAGTTCGCGATGTCATCGATGTCATGGGATTTGTGTCAAAGCATATACCTGAATTCATATCGTAGGTCTAGGCATCTATACTGGGGGGTCATTGAAGGCCCACAGCGAGGTTCTACATCCCCTCTTTAATAATCCCGACAAAAAAAAGGTTAATTATAAAGGAAGGGAATTAATTCTCAATTACGGTATCTCAATGCGATCCGTATATTTTTCTCTTTCTTTCTTTCAATTCCTCCCTGAGAGATTACTTCGGTATAGTCAGTCAGTACTTAAGGAAGTATTTTATACAAGTCTGGTGTATTTTCCCAAACCGGACGAACAGCCGTCGATAACCTAGGTCTATAGAGCTCCAAAAGCCAATCGATCAGGGGAGGGAGGGTGTTTGGCTCAAAGGCTTGTTCGAATCCCCCATCTGATAATCGAAACCTTTGAATAAACGAATGACATTGACGCACGTAAAGAATATTAGTGTGCCGTTTGTGGCATGTAGAACGGGAGGGGGATGGATGCAAGCGATCCCGATAGATAGATGGATGGATCATGGATGGATGGGTGGATGTCATGCCATCGTCTCGCTCTCAGTAAGAACCTAGGCAGTTACTTACTTACCTACCTCGTGAGAGGAGGAATTCGAAGAGGAGGAATTCGAAGAGGAGTTCCACGGGAGGAAAGCGTGTTGGTCCGCGATAGGCGAGTGTTGCTGATTCGACAATTAACCCGACTGACCGACCCTTCTTTTTCGATTTTAACTTCTTCGGTCATCAGCTTTGGGAAAACAGAAGAAGTGAAAAAAAAAGAGCTCATGTGAACTCGCTACCCGCTTTGGACATCTGGGATGACAGGTATGTATTGTTACTCGGGTTCAATCAATCTACAGGGTTCTTTTTGTCCTCTGTGTTTCTCTTTCTTTCTGGCGTACTTACTATGCTTATTATGTACAGAATTCTGTATCTCATGCCGCCATGCATACTACCGTCTTTAGGGTTACAATCATCATCTCTCACAAGAAGGGGACTTGACGCAGGACCAAGTAAACGGCCGTGAAACCCGCCAGCCAATGCGATGGCCAGGACGGGTGGTTAACCTGTATCACGGGGAGGGGAAAAGCTATGAAGCGCTATCCCGGCAGGAGCTTAGCCCTTTCGTGCAGCAAACAGCAACCGGACAAGCAACGAGAGCTTAAGCAGCTAGCCTGACCTATACACACACACACTAACGAGCTACCCCCCGCCGCCGCCCCAAAAGTAAAAAAAACCCACTTTTCTATATGTGGGTGTATGTGTGCTTTTGATATGTAAGTACTTCGTGGTATGGTATCTGGGATTTATGCCGGGTTTGGAGGTGGTGATGGTGCTGGTCCGCCCTGGAAGTTTAGGTCAGTTCCTCCCATTATAATCCCACCCGGATGGCTTAGTACTAGTATGGTATGTCTGCATGGATGTATATGTATACATGCATGTTATATCTATCTGAACGGTACTTTGATAGACGCCCCCGTTTCTGCTGCTGACTTACTTAGTCGATATCCCCTTGTTAACTGATTGTCTCCTGACGGGATAACTCCTCCAAAGGTCTCATACCGCACCCGTCCTTAAACCCCCCAATAAGCGGGGAACGGTGCCAAAAGAGTCCTGAAGGGGCGGACCCTCCCCTCGCTCGCTCGCTCGTTAGTTCCAGGGCAAGCACTGTCCCGCCCTTTTTCTGAACGGTCTGGTCTTGCAGGTTCCCCGTCTGTAGGTTTTATATTATGAGGTTTAGACACAAGACCTTCCCTCTATCAAAAACTACGTATACGCACCAGAACCCCGCGCGCAAGAGCAAAGAAGCACGAGAATAAGACATTTGAATGCAGAAGTCCCTTCTTCCCCCTTGCTGAGGGCATTACAGCAAGCATATCGAGCAGACCTATCAAGCAAGCAAGCAAAGCATTACAGCACGCAGAAAAGCACAACAGCGAAGTCTGACAGGCCCACATCTTTCATCCCCTTGCCCATCGTACATATCAGCTACTACACAGCTGAGTTGTTCGTGCTTTTTGGATTGTTAAGAGAGGGAAAAAAACACCGTACGCCCTTTTTTTCTCTCGATTTTCAATCTTCATAATTCTGGACGACGACGATTTATCTGAGGGGTCTCTTCTTATTTTTTGGTATACTTTGATATACTTTTTTGATGCTTTTTTTCTCTACAAAGATATATTAGAATCTTCACTAGAGATTTTTTTACCTACACGCCGCCAATCCAACTTTTTTTTTTTTTTCCTGTTCGATTTCTCTCGCAGAGAAGAGGACGGGTTTTCTTGCCATCTATAGCTCCTCAGGCTCCTTCTTCCCACGGCCCTTGTAGATTCTTGGTTGTTTGACCACCCAAGCCAATACCTCACTCAGCCAGCCCAGCCAGCGTTGATATCATATGAAAAGAACCTGTTCACCTAGCTTCCCGATTCTTTTTCTTTCCAAACTTCTTATCCTTTAAATGGTATTCTGAGAGAGAGAGAGGTCTCGAATTCCAGTGCCTGTTTGAAGGCGTTCAGAAGGTCAATTGGCGTGATCCTTCCGAACATCTTCGAACTATAGTGTACTGAAACTTCATATCCTCTAACCCACCCCGCCTTCCTCTCTCTTAACTTCTCTCCTTCCTCCTCACCCCTCACTACTTCTGGGAGGGATACTCTATTCTTTCTTCTTTCCCCCCACCTCATCCCCCCAGCTCGAATTAGAAAGGCCTGCAATATAGGGGACCTTGCAACCCCTCACTAACCCTTCTCAAATCCTCAACCGTGACTTCCTACTCTCAAGAACCGTTTTACGGGGGTGCAGGTTGGAGACAACAGCAGGGCACAGGTTATCAACAGTCTGCAGTCCCACCTTCGCCTAGTACTTACTCACCTTCCTACCGAGGTGGAGGAGGAGGCGCCGCCGGTGGTGGTCCAGGCGGGTACGACGACTACGAACCCTCCAGCGTCGGTTCCTCCTACTACGACCCTTCAGCATATGGGGGCGGCGCACCCGAATATCATTACCTATCCAGCAGTAACCAATCCCAACGGGCTTCTCAGCCCAGATCTAGAAATCGAAGCCAGAGCCATACCCAACGAGAGGGTTCCGGTGTTGGAGGAGGAGGAGGCTCTGGTGGCGCCGGCGGCTCCGGTGTAGCTGGTTCTGGTTCTGGTGCTGTTCCTTTACCACCCCGTGCTTCAACAATCCAGAGCCAGCACGCACAGACACATCATAGATCTCACTCATTCAGTAGTGCTTCCGCAAATCCCAGGTTAAATATCCATACCCAGGATCCCGCGGCCCACGTTCATACCCCTCGTCACGGAGGTGCAGAAGATCCTTGGGCGACTCCAAGGCCAGGTAGACGAAGTTTTACACAAAGAGACGCTTCGGATCGTGAAAGGGAGACCGTAAGGGAGAAGAGTCGTCAGAAAGGTCCTCCTTCTGGGGATTTCTTCCCCCCCGGGGCGGCTGCTCGTCTCTCTGAGATCATCCCCGCTCCTACCCCACCTGTACCTGAATATATCAACAAACGGGAAAGACGGTCAAGAAGGACGACTAGAACCTCACAATCTTCAGTAAAATCTCCATTATACGAAGACTACGTTTCATATACCGGCGGTGAAAGCGCATTCGAAGAACCTATAATCCCTCCACCCGCACCGGCCCCACCAAGCCGTCCCGAATCCGTCGATCCAGACGAACTAAAACGTCGCGATAAGGAAAAACGTCGAGAAGCCCGTGAAGCCCGCGCGAAGGAACAACGTGAAAAGCTAGCAAAACAAGAAGAAAAGAACCGCCAGAGGGCTGAACGTAAAGAACGTAAACGAGCTGAACGGGAAAATTCCTTCGCCTCGGAAACTTCCACCGACCCTTATTCTTACCAACCACAATCGGCTGCTACTAGCCATTACTCGGCCTACGGCGAGTCTCCGTACGGAAGCTATACTACTCCTGTTGTTGACCCTTATCAAACTGGTAGTCACGGTTCTCAGCACGGTTTCCCACCCCCTATTCCACCCGCTTATCCTTATATCCCTAGTGACGCATACGCCGCTCCACCAGTGGTCGGGGCAGAAGCGCCCTTTGGTTTCTCAGACCCGGCAACTACCTTTGTCGCACCGACATATGCACCCACCCCCCCACCTCCACCAACATTAACCCCATCCCCACTCCAAACAATCCAACGTGAGGGCTCCCGTGTCAACTCCCCTCTCCCCAGAAAAACAAGAACAAGCAGCGGTTCAACCGAACTTCCAAGACCTCGACGAGGAGACTCAAAAGGCGAAGAAGATTACTACGCCGGTAGCGTAAAGGGTTCAGACTACGAAGGCGGTACAACCGGCCGAAAGGCCTCAAAGAGTAGACCTTCAAAACTCGCAGCAGAATACGACAGCGGGCGTTACTCCCCGCGTCCACCATTCAAACGTCGAGGCTCGAACGTTCCTTCCGAAAGAGACCCAAGTGATATCATCGAACGTCGAGGAACTCCAAAGTTGAACATCAAGGCCATCGAAGCCCCACCACCACCACCACTAACTCGACATCGTAGACGTAGAGAATCAGATTCATACCACAGCGTTAGAGACGACGGTGATAGCGAAGGTAGTACCGCACCAATTGCAATCCCAGGCGGCGATTCACGAAAGCCTAGAAGAAATAAAACTCTTCCTACCCTCGACACTTCTCGTGCATATAGTCCTAGCGCACAAGGTAGCATCCGTCGGCCACAAAAACTACTCGAAAAACCGGGCAGGAGGTATAGCTCCAACTCTTCTCGACCGAATTCAGTCGCAGATTCATACTCCAGATCTCCAGAGGAACTTACAGAGGAAAGCGAGAGCGAGGAAAGTGAGAGCGAATCCGTTAGTCATACCGATTCTGAGGACGACGAAGGGACAGTACTCGGCACTCCAGAGGTTGTTAAGACTAAACAGGGTATCAAACCCTCTCAAATTTCGGTAAAGAAAGGGTCTGGAAGGAGTTCTAGGAAGGAATCGAGGGGATCTCCACTTGCTATCACCTGGGGCGGTGAGGACATCGAAGAAAAGCAACAACGGGATAAAGAGGACGAAGAGGAAGCTGCAGCTGGAAAGAAGAAGTCGAAGCGAACTACTACTAGCAAACGAAAGAAGCATCAGCTTTCAGTCGAAACCAGGGCGGACGACGAAGATCAACCAGCGGAGGAAGTCGAAGAAGCAGAGAAACCTCGAAAGCCACGCAAAGCTAAGAAATCAAAGTCAAAATCAAAGAAGGAGAAAACCCCAGAACCGATCAACGAGTCAGCTATCACCGAAGAATCAGAGGCACCAAACGACTCTCAAGCCGTTGTAAGCGACACCGAAGAGGAAGGGAAAAAAGCAGAATCCGAATCCGAACACAGCATCAAAATCCTATCTCCAAGTTCATCGGACCACTCCCCAAAAACTCGTAAATCCAAACGAGCCCAAGAAAGATCCGCATCCCCAAACCCTCTTTTAAATATTCCAACATCCGTATCTCGTCCCCCATCCTCCCACGGAAGCCGCAGGCGCAGAAGAAGTAGCAAGAAATCCGCAACTCCACCACCACAAAGCCCCACCAGCCTCTCCCACAGCGAGCCGAGCATCAAGAACAACTCAGACTCATCCGAAGAATCCGACTCCAGCAGCAACAAAACCGACGCCGAAAACGAAGTCGCTCAAAACTCCCAGGCTCTACCCATAGCTATTCCGGGATCCGCCCCAAGATCAAGAGCATCCACACCGAGTGCCCGCTCCCCAGCAACCAAGAAAACAACCCCTCTCCTTCGCGCATCTACCCCCGTAAACCTCCCAAAGCTCCCAACTCCGACTGGTAGTATCAGCGGTAGCCTTAGACTTGCAGGTGCCCCAAGAAGGCCACTCAAGAGATCTCCTATTTCGGGTATCTCCCGCGCTCTATCGCCTTTAGCAGCCGCAGCCGCAACTACTGCACTCGCAGGCACAGAGATCGAAGCAGCCCTTGAGAAGTCGAGAGAGGAAGCGTCTGGGACAAGCGAGGAAGAAGATAAGGCCAAAGCAGGAGAGAAGTCTGCCTCCGAAAGCGACACCGAGGGGTCTGATAAAGGAGAGGACAAGCCACCAAGCCCTACCGAAGAGGGTGTCGAAAAGGCCGAAGAGAGTACTTTAGAAGTCTTCGAGCTTGTGGACCCAGAAACACCGGTAGCGGGTAAAGGCGAAAAATCCTCATCTGAGGAATCAAGCTCGGAAGACGAGCACTATAAATCAGCGTCAGAAATCGATACGGAAGATAAAAAGCTTCCAGAAGGGCTTCCAGCAGCAGATCAGGAAGAAGCAGAAGCAGCTCCTGAAGAGCAAGCCGAAACTACCAGATCGGCCACGAAGCCTGAGTCTGTGGACTCATCTTCTGAAGAAGAGTCAGATAAAGAAGGCACCGCAAAGAAAGAAAAACCTACATCTGCTGCACATAAAGACGACCCTCTTGCATTTGGGGACGAGAAGGAAGAATCCAGTGAGGAGTCAAGCAGCGGGAGCGAAGGATCACATTCGGATTCTGAGGATAGCTCCAAGAGCTCTAAGGATCTGCCAGACACAAAGTCAGCCAAGAGTTCCCGACGTAATAGCGTGGCAAGTAGGGCAAGCCGGGCTAGCTCTAATATGAAACGTAAAGGTAAGCTTTTTAATATTTCTTTTTTTCTTAATTTTGTCATACCGGATTTTTGCCGTTTGGTTTCGCTTGCATATAAAGTCGAGTTGGTGCGATATCCAAGACTTTAGAAACGAAATGTGTGGTGGGTTTGTGGTTTTTTTCTTTTTGGTCGTTAGTGTGTGGATCCATTGCCTGTTGGCAAGCAAGGCTGGCAATTTTGTTGCTCCCATCTACAACATAGCCACTATATCAGCCCACACACAAACCCAAGAACATAAGAAAGAAGTAACAAGCAATAAGCCTTTTCATAAAAACAAAATTAAAAATGAAAATGATGAAAGAGACAAACACGGCTTCCGATATTGTCTCACCCCCACAAAACCAAGAAATGGCAGAGCTAAATTCTTCAACTATAGATCCAACATCACCAACTGGTTCGAGCATTCGCCGAGGTTCAATACCCGAGACAACCACCCGAGGAGCCTCCTCGGATGCAGATAAAGACGAGGATATAGTTAGTCCCGTTACCGCATCTAGAGATCTCGACGGAGATATTTCTATGCTCGACAATTTACAGGATATGGCTGAGAATATTGTTGCTCAGTTGTCAGGTGGAGCGAAGGAGGAGTAAGTTGTTATTCTTTTTCCCTTTTTGGATTTTTTTTGTTGCTTTAGAGATGAATCTCGAAGAAGTGAAGAAAGTTGTACTAACGTTGTTTGGGGGGTTCAGTTTTGAGGATATGTTGAAGAAGTATAAGCGAGATGTTGAAATTCTACGGAGTGCATGTGACGACGCTATTAAAGAGCGGGATAAGCTTAGTAAGAGGCTAGATAAGGCTGATAGAGCTTACGAGAGGAAGGATAATGATCTTAAGGATGCAAAGAAGGCATATGATGACGTAAGTTATTACCTATACCATCGACCTTATCAAAGACTAACATGATTACAGCTGAGTCGTCGAGTCGATGACCTTCGGGGACAGCATGACATGGACGTTAAGCGCGCCATCTCAGTGCGTGACAAGGACTGGGATAAGACCTGGACAGAGAAAAACAAGCATCTGATCAAAGATCTTGAGCAAGCGAGAAGCCAACGCCATTCGCTTGAGAAGATCATTGCTGAGAAAGATGAATTGGTTTCTGAGCTTGAGGAACAGATTCAAAGACTTAAGCATGATATCAGCATGAGCACTCGCACAGAGGCCCAGAAGACCGATGATCTGTTTAATCAGGAAATTGGGGATCTGTGGAGAAATATGCAGCAGTGGGTGTTTTTGAACTTCAAGGGCAAGATTAGTATGTACCTCCCACCTCTCTCTTTCCGTTTGGACAATCTTTATTAACGAACAACTAGATTTCGACGGTCTACCTGAAAGCGTGCAATTAACACTTTCCACTGTCACAAACGGCAATCCAAAACTCATCCTTTCCAAAAAGATATTTGTCATTTCCGCCCTTATCTCAAAATACCTACTTGACCATGTCTTCAACGCCTATATGTACGGTATGACCCAAGAAACAAATGACGGTCTCGCCGCTCTTGAGCAATACCTAGCTTGTAAGTTATACTTCAACTACATCCCCTCATCCTACCAAGCTAACATATCCTAGCCCTCTCCGACGCCCCCTCATACGACGCCGCAATCAACCGCTGGCGTGCCCAAACCCTTACCATGATCAGAAAGCACTCCATGCCAACCCTTGGAAACGCGCCACTCGCCAGCGCCACCAAACTCTCCACGACCGAAGCATTCCTAACCACCTCCCTCGAAGACCTACTTCTCCACCTATCCACCGCCCTAGCACCCCTCGGTCTCTCGACAGCATCCGAACCCCGAGAAAAGCTACGAAGTATTCTCGAAACGGCAGCAGGGATTGCAGTTGATTTGAGAGTTCAGAGAGCACGGTTCGCGGTTAGTCCGGTGAATTTGTTGGGAGAGGAGTTTAATGCCGAGACGATGGATGATCTTGATGGACATGAGGATGAGGATTCTAATGGACGGAAAGTTGCGTGTGTGGTTTGGCCGGCTGTGTGGAAGAGTGGAGATGAGAATGGGGAGAACACGCATTTGAGGAATTTGATTTATAAGGCGCAGGTATTTTTGGTTGATTGATCTTTTTGATATTTGATGATTTATTCCTCTTTTTTTTTTCTTTTTTCTTGATTGATTGGATGACTTTTTTTTTTCTTGATTGATTGGATGATGAGCAATGAGTTTATATGTCTTCTTTCCCCCTTATATGGATTTTTTTTTTTTATATAAATATTTGGACTTTCTTTTTTTTTGGTGGTGATGATGATGATGACGATGATGATGTTATGTGGGGAAGAAAGGAGGGATATGTGATTATTTTATATTTTGGAATAATTTATTCTATATTCTTCCGAATGGAACTAGGTATCATATTCATATATACCCTATATCTATATACCATAGTCCAAGTAAATATAACAATTCTCCAGGAGGGTTTAAGGTTTGGAGTAAAAGGTTCTTAATTCACTGTCTTTCCGGCCTCGTCGACCAATTCCAATTCCGTATCATTGGATGTGGCTTAAATAGTATGAGTACTTGGGAGTATATATATACTTATATATAAATATACATAGGGGCAAGAAAATCCGAACGTTCGGTCAACAAACCCAGGTTCCCGGTTTAATTGAATGCTATATTTTACAGAGAGCTTGTATTTTTAAATTTTGGTTATGCAAAAGCTAGCTAAGCTATAGGAAAAATAGTAAACTAGAAACCCTTGAGGATACTTTTGGGAGTTAGTCGTGGGAGTAAGTTGTATTTTAAAGATCGTATCCGCTGCAAATAACTCAATTCTAAAATCTGTTGTATTCCCTATTAGTATTCAGGATCGATGTCAGCGGGATTAAATTTTAGGCCTTCTACTTTGAAAAATTGTTAACTAATAGATTATATCAGGATGCTAGTTGTTTATCGTTTAGGCTTGATAATTAAGTATTTAGTTATTATAGGTGGGATGTATTTATATACGAAGTTAAAATTTTAGGAAGGAATGAAGGAAGTATCATGAATATATTTGATTCTAACCTTGGGCTTGAGGAGGCTATATCAATCAAAGGAGTCGTAATTGTGTCGATATCTAGAACGAAGATGCATGCGATAGAGATTCCTTCATATGAGACGCTAAAGTATTACATAAGGGAGTCGGGTATAATATGCCTATAACGTAGAAGTTTTAAATACCCTCCATAGTTTAGTACCTAAATCTTATAGACAGATCAAAATCTTCTTCTAAGTACGAGATATATATGTCGATATCAGAAAGCCATTTTTCCACAGTATTTTTTGAGGCTTGAGGTTCAAAAAATGGTAGTTGATTCGCTAGAGATTTATAACCTAGGCAAAATGACAAACTTGTAACCAAGAATTAACTCTTGATATTGGCTAATTAGGTATACGGCTGTAGATATCCAGCTTGTATTCTAATGATCTAGCTAGGTAATTGCAGCCAGTTATTTGAATTCAAAACGGTCGCGAGTCTGTGAATTGCTAACGTTATTTGATTTGTTGGGATGCGGTGGGTGGGATTCAAAGGAAGCTGAAGATTCGTCAGCCTCAGACGATCCTCTAACTATACGACTGAGAAGTTAAGTTACCTCTAATAAAACAAATTAAATGCGGTGCGTATAAACTGGCTTTATACATACTATCTACATATATATATAATAATATATAATAGAATACTCCTTTGATATTTTATGTTGTTTTATTTCTGCAGGTCTATCGGCTTTCGGGTTTCAAAAGTGCAAAATTTAAATGTTGTGATTTGCGAGCGACGGGAAAAAAAGAGGGGTCGACGGAGTCCTGACTGGAAGCTTCGAATTCCTCAGCTCGATCGACTGCCTATAATTATTCCCCCCCCAGCCACTTAATTATCTATTTCTTCGAGTCCAACTGGATGTGCTTATGGCTCACACACATTTTTATTTTTTACTTTTATTTTTACTATTTTCTCCGTTGTATTTCTGATTGTCCTCAAGTTTTCTAAAACCAAGTTCTGTTTTCCCCAAAAAAACGAGCTGGAGAAAAAGAAGGATACCCGAGGATCCAACGCAAGTGTCCGTGATATTTTGGAATCGGGAAAACCAAAAAAGTATTAAGATTAACATTAGATGCTAAAACGGAGGATGTATCTTGTGACACCTTGCCGGAACCGATCCAATCAGCCAAGGGAAGCCCCCCAAGCTTCAAATGAGGATGTTTAGTTCAGCACCTCGAACACTAAACTGGAAAATAAATGACCATGATCTTTTACGACGGACATGAAGACAGATAATAGTTTTAAAAAAAGTGGAAAAAGGATATCGCGCAAAAAAATTAGTAGACGATAATACGAAAATGATCAAAGTCAGGATTCATTCAATTCATAAACAAAGGATAATAAGTAAACAAAAAAAGGAAAAGAAGCACCACATCGAAAGACAAAAGCCTCATGACCAGCTTTAACTTTCTATGTTGTAATTAACTGAGCAATAGTCATCACACATGACGACTATCTTATTTATAAAAAAATATATAAAAAAAGGTGCTATCAAGGTTATCAAGTAAAACGATCGGGAGGAAACAGAAAAGCGAACCTGCATGAAGAAACCTCCTTGATACCACCTATCGGAGGGGGAATGGGGGTGAGGAGGGGGGAAAGCATGAGGCTTGTACACGTCGCAACCGGCTAACAAACCTGGACCTGGTTCCTATATTGCATGTCCGCACATACTAAGGTCTAGCCGACTGGACGGACTGATGAATGATAGATATTAGCTAGTTAGTAGTTAGTTGGAGCCCCCCCCCCCCCGTCGCAAATAATCATAATAACAACATGCGACACGTGCGGGAAAGGAATAAAAAGTTAAAGAACGAACGATGCTTCCAGAGCCCTTCCAGAGCCGCCGCCGCTGTCGCAGGATCTAACGAAGAAAGTTTTCCCATCGGATGATGAACATGAGCGATAAAAACCAAAACAAACTAAATAATAATAAAAAACAGAGCAAAAAAAACGGGAAAAAAGAGAAGCGAGTAAGAAAAGGTGTGGCAGAATAGAATAGAATATTATAAAATGTAATATTGGAATAGAATATTTATGGGAAAAAAAGGTGTGCATAAGAGCAGTCAGTCCGTCAGTCGGGTCAGTTGTGCTATAAAGCTGGTTGATTCCCCCCGCCAAATGTTGGTTTCCAAGTTCAGCCACCTCAGTTTCCCCCCAAACAATCAATCAATCAATCTCCCACTTCACTTCACTTCACTCCACCACCTCCACTCATCGCAAGACATCCTCCCTTTTTAAATTCTCGACAAGAGATATCAATCTATCAATCTATAAAATCTTCCATCGCAGCTGCTTGTGAAACCCACTTCTGCAAAAACTTTCCCGATTTTCCGATCGCAAAGGGTTTATATTTTGCTCTATCAGAAAGTTCCCCCCCTGCAGTGGTTATATTTCTTTCCGCACCACCAGCGAGCAGCTCCAAGCGTTCAAACAGGGCAAGAGAAAAAGACAAAGACCCGACTGATTCTGTCTTCTAACTCCAAAACTCTCCTCTCACCTCCTCCATCAACCAAAAAAATTCTCTTTCTCCATTAATCTCCTGCAAACTCCACAAAACTCTCCAAATCAAAACTATTCAGACTTGAAAGAAATCAATTGCAATGGCTCCTACAACTAGTTCTGCTACTTCTGTCGCCAAATCTGGCCCTGGTCGCAAGAAGAAGCCAACTACCCCAACTGAACCTACTCGCCGTTCGACGCGCGCTGTCGTTCCTCGTACTATCTTTTCATCAGGTGTCACTAAGCCAAAGGCTGCACCGAAGAAGAGGAAGCCAGCAGCTGCTGTTAAGGAGAAGGTTGTCGCTGCTGTGAAGAAGGCGAAGACCACTGTTACGAAGAAGAAGCCGGGTCCCAAGCCTAGTGCTGCTAAGAAAACAAAGTAAGTCGGATATCTCCACTTTCCGTTCAAAATCAGAACAAACACAAATGTCCTTATCAAACACTTGATTTTCGTATGCATAAAAAAAGTATCTATCACCAAGCTGCCTGCTAACTAGTATATTTACCAGGGCTGCTGACGCAAAGGTCACCAAGAAGACCAAAACAAAGGCTTGATTGAATTCTATCCAATTGCCTAACTTTGGAATCATCTTCGCCTTTTTTTTTTCAACGCTTTGCTTCTCCGTGGTGTTGGATGAAACTTGTGAAAAGCCATCACCAACAACGATGGTGTCTTTTCCTTGCTTTTTCCACATTCTATTCTTCCCTCTTACTAGGTTTTATTAGCACCATCAAAAACCGTCAATGCAGGTCTGAGACCTCATCTCGTCCTTTTTCTTCTTCTTCTGTTTTCTTATCAATTTTGATTCCTTTGTAAGATAACGCATGTTTTTCGCCTGTCCTCTTCCCCCCTTCTTTATGTCCGGTTTTTTCCCCCCTCCGTTTCCCTTTTTAAAACTACCTGCCTTTTTATATCTGGAGGGTCGAAAAAGATCTACCAGGTGCTTTCCAGGCGGAAAAATGAGAGGGATACGGCCTACCGGTACAACTCGCACTTTTTGATTTGCTTCAAATCGTGCATACTTCTACTATTACTCCTGGGTTCCGAATGGATTTCTTCTGTTCTTTTTAAACTAAAGGGGGGGGGATTCTCGTTTTTTTCCCTGTTTTCTATATTTTTTATACTACTACTTGTTCACTATCATGCGATCAGGGTTTTTGTGTCCACGGGAGGGAATCGTGCCATTGCATTTATTCGGTCTTGCTTTTAATGTTTCCGTTCCATTGCTTTATTATTTCTTCTCTTCCGCCTCCTCCTCCTCCTCCTCCTCCTCCTCCTCCTCCTCCTCCTCCTCCTCCTCCTCCTACTTCTACTTCTCCTCTTTATCTCCTCCTCTTCTCCACCGCCACACTCACAACTCCACCTCCTCCCACCCTCACATTTCTATAGCTTCTGTTCAGTCTAACTTCCGTGATACCAAATGAAATGATAACTCTTTATCCTTCAAACTCTCTCCCCGAAAACAAAATGAACTGTATTATCTAGATATTTACCCATCTGTTTTTTATGCAACCCACACACGGCCGGTATTCCTGACCCTGTCCTCTAAATAACTATACCCTACCTAGTGGAAGTTACTTGTGTCGAATTGCTTCGATTATATAGAGATTTTGATAAAACGGGTTTAATATATAATGCTACGGCGGGTCCTGAAAGTACTGAGATATATATGACGCTTGGATACACGAGATTACATTAGCCTTTTTCGATGAGGTATTCTTATAAGTTATGACCGAGTGGCTAGCTATAGTTTGATATTCATTTTTCATTCACTTTTATAAATTTAGCTAATTATAATATTAGGGTAGTTTACCTTCTCGAGTATAAAAGTTAGATGCGAGATATAGTATCAGATCTTCCACCATACTATAGCTAAGTTAGCTGCTGCCTCACCAAACAGCTTGAGTATTATATTCCGAAGGTAATTGGATTCATAGAATTGCTTGAATTATATCGATTTGGATGATTGGGTTCAGTAGTCCGCCATCGAGAATTTCGAGGTATTCTTGAGAGAACCAGCTGCAATTCGTTTTATACTTGATAATACAAACAGTACCGAACTATGCGTATGATTTAAAGAACTATCAAAACGACCGGCCCAGAAGCTGAGCATATCTAATTGTCGATGTAAATATGTAACTGGTACCCTCTATAATATATCTCATGGACAATTGCAAGCTACACATTTCATGTTACCTCACAAATTAAATTTCAACTAGCGATATCCAACATCCAAATTTTTTTAAAAAAATTATCAACTTCGACTTCCGTTCAATCTTTCTGTATTTCTATTTTTCGTTCTTTTTTGAGATATATATACTACAAACCGCTGGGGAACCATGAAATAACCTTAACAACATATTTACAAAAAAAAAGGACTGCAAGAAGCCCGAAGGGAAGAAAGTAAACAATCCTGCTTTTCCCCCTTACTAAGGATGAATGAAAGAAAGGGAAGAAGAAGACCAATTTGTATCTCTAATTTCGAGGCTACCAAATAAAAAAAAAACCAAAAACCTACTTCCTGTACCACATTCTTGTAATCTATATCCCTCAAAAGTCAGTAATCACTCAAAAAAAAAACCCCCACCTAACGAGGAGGAGGAGGGGAAAGATAAAGGCTGGGAAAAGGAAAAACCACAAACCTTAGTATTCCTCATCTTCTTCTGCAACTGCATAATCCCATACATCAACGCCTCCGCCGTCGGCGGACACCCAGGCACATAAATATCAACCGGCACAATCCTATCACACCCTCTAGTAACACTATAACTATAATGATAATACCCTCCACCATTCGCACAACTTCCCATGGAAATAACCCATCTCGGTTCACTCATCTGGTCATAAACCTGTCTCAACGCCGGTGCCATTTTATTCGTCAGCGTACCAGCTACGATCATAACATCGGATTGACGTGGTGAAGCTCGGAAAATAATTCCAAGACGATCTTGGTCGTAACGTGGGGTTGAGAGATGCATCATTTCTACGGCGCAGCAGGCGAGACCGAAGGTCATTGGCCAGAGGGAGCCTTGACGGGCCCAGTTTGCGATGGCGTCGAGGGTGGTTCTGGGATGAGGGAATAAGTATTTGTTAGTGATATGTGGTGGAGGTGGAGGTGGAGGTAAAGGTGCTTATGAGAGAAAACATACAATGCGTAGTCGACGACACCTTCTGGTTTCTGCTGGCTCGGGAGTGGGACTTCGCGTCTGACGACGCTGGTGGAGCGTTGGGTTGTTAGAGTGGAGGAGTCGCGGTGAGGTTGGGCTGCCAGAGCAGGGACGAGGGATGCTGGAGGATTGTTAGCGGTCAATGGAGTCCTTGGAATGGGATATATCGAGGTAGAAGTGGAAGGTAGTGAACATACCTCGAGGGATGAGGGCGGCAGCAGCGCTCCTGGCCGCCAGGGCACGTCGTGGTATTATCGAGGCCATTGTCGAGGTGTTTGATGAGGTTTAACACAGAAGGCCAAGGGTTGAAGGAAGGAGGAACGGTGGCGGGATGGAGGAGGGGGGGTAGGAGGTTTGAGGGTGGCGACTGGGGGGGGCGTTATAACATTTGGCGGGTGAGTGTGTTTCTTTGAGTTTGGAGGTTGAGGTTAGCGGAAGTGGACCCATGCCATCACAAATGAAATCGCAGGCTTCTCATTGGCTGGAGACAACGTCACGTGGGTAATATACAACACGCAAAATCCAACATTCGGATGTCAACCAGCATCGAGCTTCAGATCATCCAAGATCTGGGGATATTGAAGCTGATTTAACAGTCAAATCAGTCTAGAATTACGAGTACTTTTATCTATGAGGCTAAAAGCCTTTTTTGGGTGTGTTTTTTTTTACACTTATATGGAGTTTGAAAATCTCAGCGGAACATTGATCTCTTCAGATGCCTGTAGTAAGTCGATATGGAAGGACCACTAGATAGAGATATATCGGGTATCTTAACATCCTAGGGCCTATCAAACAATAAAATGCGTGATCCCGAATCCAATGATACGGTGGTATGCTTTATGGCACGGTAGTACATAATGCTAAAATTACACTTAACCTGACTAATAAAAGGATTCCACTTCAACACCAACCGCACAGCAATCAACCGCACAGCAATCACAGCCACCTGCACCCACCCGCATCGACCGATCCAAATCACCATCTCGATCCCAACCTCCCAACAAACAACCAAATAAAAATAAAAAAAAGAAGAAGCTCAGCAGTCCAACAAAGCAAAAAGAATCGTGCCCGCGGTCGGGTTCGAACCGACGATATCCAGAGGTCCCCCTCACTCACCGTTCTTCCTCGGCTAGAGGAAGGACGGTGAGTATGTGTGATTCTGGCGAGATGACCACTACTCTACACGGACCATTTTTTCTATTGATATGACAGAGAACAGATGAGGTATATATAGGGAGATATGATGTTTTGGTAGGTACTGCGGTTTGTTTGTTCCTGTGGGTATGAGTTCAACTCCTTCTTGAAGGCGCAGTATATGAGACTATCTGTGTAGTCTGTACATGCCTTTGGCGTCAAATTCAGGTCTATTTAGCAGTAGCCTCGGTCCCTGGTCTCGAGGCTAATTTAGCAGGTATTTAAGGAGAAATTATTAAGTAATTACTCTAGCCCAGGCTTTACCCAACTAACTATATGTCTGCATACGAGACTACATATACATACAAGACATCTAATTATTACTCCAATCAATAAGTGGCTTCGTCAGAGAGTACATACCTGATATGATACATTACGACTTCGATAGACCATAACCCTTCTAACCCACCACATAAATGTGCACAGCCTTTTATAGTACAGATCCTAGGTCTCCATTTAAGAAACTTGTCATATTACAGCCTCTTCCATGAAATTATAATATTATTCGCTATGTATGTGTCTATAGGAACTTTGAAGCATCATAGGTATCATAATGATCGGTGTTGTGAGCATCTGACACTGAGACGAGGCTTCACATATCACCGTCTTCATTCCTAAAATACTTTTTCTATAGTTGCTTTATCTCGTTACATCATACATAGATTAGAAACTAAACAATCCTCAGTCCTCCATGACCGGCCAACCAAAACCTCAAAAATTTTAAAACCTTCAAATGATCGTATTTAAAATGTACATAAATACATACATACACAAAGAGCGTCAGCCCAAAACCAAGAGAAGGAAAAATAAAAATAAAAATCAAAGCATCAACCAGGTCAGAAATAATATTCATACGACCGGTTGAGCCTCCTAAAGGAGAGAAGAAGAAGAACAAAAGAAAGCCGAAGTAGAGAAGAAGAAAAAAAACACGCCAGTAATAACCTTAAAGACGTAATAATATCTTTTTCTCGACTACCACCAGAAACATTGCAAAAGAGAAGAGGTGGGTCTTACACGAAACCCAACGATGAAGCGAATCATAGAAAGGTTTCCCGGAAGACCCTTGTTTTCCCACCCGCAGCCTTGGTATATATACGTATTTTTGTATTCGGAGGCAAAAGAACTAAAGAGAGAGAGAAGGAGGGACAAAAAAAAGAAGAAAAAAAAGAAAACTGAAGCGTTTAGCATGTCTACATGGGTAAAATGGTAAATAACAAGAAGTAAAAAAGCGGTGTTCAAATATGTTCCAAGGAGATAGGGCAAGTTGGCGTCCAGCTATAGAAGGACGAGAACATGAAAAAGAAATTGCGGCTTTGCTCGCTCGAAAGTGCTTGCTCGCTTTGTAAATTTCGAAGAGGGGGAAAGGACCTTGTTTTTTTTTTCGATCCTGGGTCTCTGTACAATCAAGGGAGGGAAACAGTGCAAAGATAAACAGACAGAAAAGTGACATGTATATTAGATGCAAAATCAGGAAGGATTTGTTTTTGGTATATAATCATTCCAAGTGTAACAGAATTAACGCCCTTCTAACGTCGACGAGTCATGCGGAATTCCTCCACCCATAAAAGCACATGCCTGAAAGAAACGAAACATCCCATAAACAAAAGAGGAAGAACATAGTGATGCAGAAAACAGGTGTACTGTCAGAGGAAAGAAAAAAAGGAAGAAAATTGTCTCATAAATCAGAACAGGTGAAAACCCTGGTGGGGTTCTGCGCGGTGGTTTATTAGTTGAAAAGCAGTGTTCTGCGAACCGGCTGAAAGGAGGAGTAGTAATGGAATGGACATGCAGGAAAGGCAAGATGAAAATAAGGAAACGCCATTAACACCAGACGAATTCCGCATGACTCCCCGACCCTAGATTTTCTTTTTGTCGTTAAAACATTTCCGTGCAAAGTGGCCGTTACAATAGGAAGAGTACAAATTTTAATAACATAAGACAAAATCAAGGAGATTACAAGAGGAGAAGAATTTGATTAGTAGACGAAAAGGAGATAAGGGATTAAATTGGAATGAGAAAAAAAACTGGGGAGGAGGTATCGTATGTGTTACACGCTAACAGTCGCGCGCTGGCGGGCAAGGGCTAACACAAACGCTGTGTACTCGATGTCTTAAGACAAGAGCCTTACTCGTGCTCCATGATGCCTTTGATGACTTTGGCGGGATTTCCGGCGACAACGGTGTGGGGAGGGACATCCCGGGTGACAACAGCGCCAGCGCCGACGGTAGCACCCATGCCGATTTTTACACCGGGACTATCAAAATGTTAGCAGGTGGCGAAAACAGAAAACGATGAGAGATACTGACAGAATAGTGACGTTTCCGGCAATCCAGCAGTCTTCCTCGATGACTACTGGCTTGCCAAACTCTGGGCCCTTGGTCCCGTTACGGGTTCTAGGGTTCAGTGGGTGGGTACCAGAGTAGATGTTGACGTTGGGCCCAATGAGCGTTCGGGCTTTAATGGTCACCTGGTTTGATTATTAGCAGAAATTCCAAATCTTAGTATAGAATCTAAAAACCTTACAGAGCATGTATCAATAATGGTACAACCAAAGTTGATAAAGACACCGGGGCCAAGAGTGATGTTGTAACCGTAGTCACACATAAAGGGGACCTCAATCCATGGCTCCTCATTAACCGGGTAAACGGTATCTGGCATGCCCAAGTTCTTTCTCAAATGGGCATTTGCGATATCTCCGTGCCAAGCGGTTCCTTGTGGGCCTCTAGTCCCTGCAGACGGTCTAAAAATTTCCATCTGTAAACGCAGCTTCTCCTCCCGAGAGATACACAATGTGGGATTCGCAGCATTGTTGAATCTCCAGCAGGCAGCGCGGCATCTCTCCCGCTCTTCAATCAACTCTGGCGTGAATGCATGGAAAAGGTCACCATTCAGCATCCTCTCCTTCTCAGTCGACGAGAATCTCTGAGGAAGTGGTGGTTGTGGTGGAACACGTGGACCAGAAAACGGTGAAATTTGAGGTTGAGACTTCGGTGGCTCTGGGCCTGATAGGTGTTGGTTGACTCCAGAGTCTCGTCGGATGGGTTGGACCTGTGGTGGAGGAGCAGGGCCGGATAGCGATAATCCTGTAGCGCCGAACGGCTTTGGTTCGGGTGGCATGGTTGTCTGTTGAATGACGATGGGCTGTGGAGGTTGGGGGAGCTGGTGGCGAGTATAATCCGGTGGAGGAAGTTGCTGGTAAGAAGAAATGAGACTTGATGGTTAGGGACGCAACCGGAAGAGAAGTTTTTACTCACAACTGGACGTTCTTGGGATGTTCTCATAATAGGAGTAGTTATAGTAGCGAAGCTGGCATTAATAGGAGCTGGACCGTTTGCCAAGATCGAATCAGCTTGTTGGCCTCGTGCAAAGAGGGAGCCGGATGCACCAGAGTTGGTTGACGCGGCGTCGTTATATAGATGTTGAGGATGTCCGGGAGCGTCGGTGGGAGTGAGTGGTCCCAGAAAGGGATTAATCTTACCAGCATATCCACCACAAGTAAATCCTCCACGCTTGCAATTATTACCTGGTGTTTGCCATACCTGTTAGCTGTTTCATTCGGTGTAAAAAAAGATCAAAAGTGATAGGTTTGTACTAACAATGAGGTTTGCCCTCATCACACTTCTTCTTCCTCCTTCGGCATGTAATACAGCCGGTCTTAGTCCTGTTGCTAAAGATACGCTTCCGCTTCGTTTCAGGCTGACCGGGAGTAGTCGGGCCGTTCCCGTTGATGGTAGTCATGTTCGGAGACATGTTGGGGTTGTATGAACGGATATGGTCACTTTGTGGTGTCCCCTGGAGTTGCTGTGCCACGTGAGCCTCGAAGACGGCTGGGTCCCGGTTTCGCATATCCTCCAATTTGGCGGCTTCCTCGCTGGCTCTCTGGGCGATATGCTCAGGGGCATGGCGGTCTGGCATGATTTCGTCTCGGGGCCCGTCAGATACATCCACCATACGGGTGTCATTGGTCATCGGCATACTATGACCATGGTACTGGACAACCTCAGTCGACATTTCCCGGATCTGGCCGTAGTTTTCAGCACGATTCCCAACTTCGGCGGAATTCGACCTCTTCCTTTTTTGGATAGCCCCTTCAGGACTGCCAGAAGGGCGAACAGACAAGGGCCTGTTATCGGCAGCAGCCTGAGCGTATTTCGGATCAGGGTGAGAATTCGGGGTTACGGGAGATTGTAGGTTGGAGCCTGTGATATCGCTGTGGTCACCGGCGTCCTCGTCCCCGCTGCCAGACTGGGAAGCGTGAGAAGCAGTCTGGCTACGGTGGTTGTGGTGCGCGTGGTGATGGTGGTTGTGGTGGTTGTTTTGGAGTTGGAGTTGATGGCTGGGAGAATGCGCCTGAGGTGGTGGTTGTGGTGGTTGTGGTGCTGCTGAAGGGGGCGATGGCCCCGCGACTCGGATGGATTCCGCCGGCCGCGGATTCGAGTTGGAAACCGAGTTTGAGGTCCCGTTGACAGCAGTGAAGGTTGAGCTGGCGGAAGCCTCACGAACAGGAGTATGATTGTTGGTCGTCCCGTTGGCGGTGCCGTTCGTTTTACTAATCGTGTGGTCTTCAGCGGAAGGCGACATAGTTTTTGTACTTCAGTTATGCTCTATTAACTGCCGCGATTGTTATACGAATTTCTCTTTGCAGTGCACGCACGTTTGGCGCGTACGGTATCCAAAGATCCTCCCCGTCTCCAGTTTTACAGTCGCTATCTTGTAGTCTAAGGAGAGTCGGCGATGAGGGTCGTCCTACGGTGCGGCGAAAGAGGGGCCCCCCGAAGTGCTAATAACCTTTACCAGTGACGGAATTCCTAGACGATTCGATCAAGGAAGGGTACGCCGAAGTTAATTTGCCTTCGAGGTGATTTTCAAAGTTTTTGGCCTTTTGCGGTAGATTCAACGTCGAAGCTTATATCCGCGCGTGTGTCGGAGAACTAGTCGCTATTTGATGGGCGAAGATGCCTGCTAGATGAGGGATTCGATGCGAGATGAGGACGGCGAAAAAAGACGATGCTGATGATGATCGAAAAGGATGAAAGGTTTCTTCCTAAATTATGTGAGTATAGATGCCCGCAAAAACGATTTAACAAATAGAAAAGGATATAAAATGATAATGTCTTCCAGAGAAGGAAGGATGCTATGGGACTTCAAGGCAAATGGTTGAAATGAATGTGGGAGTCGAGCTTTTGGCGCGATGCAATTAGGCCCTGAATGGCTTCGAAATGACCTCGACTCGACCAATGCTTCTTCGTCTCCTCCTCCTTCTTCCTTCTAACTAGCGGTGGGAATGGATTTCCGAAGCGGCAGACAGACGACTGGATAACACGTAACAACCCCCTCAATAAACGCCAACGGGAATCCAAGAAAATCAACGATAACTGTGAAGAGAAAGAGGACCCGAACGGAACACCGATTGCGGGTACAACAGACGGTACTACTGGGCTCAAGCGTGAGGGCAAGAAGGCCTGCTGGTACACCTTTTTGCACTCACCCTCGATACCGACGGTGAAAAAAAAAAGCTAAGAAAGGACTGAGGTCGAAACCTTTTTTGTTTTTTTACGGTCTATTCTCCGAGAGAAGAGAAGGAAGAGAGGAGAAGATCAAGAGGGAGGGCCGTTTCCGTGATAATATTTGGGCCCAGCCCAATGGAAATTATTATGAACAATGGGCTTATTGTTAGAAACTCGTGGGTGGGCGGGCGGAGAGGTAGCCGACTTGCTAACGCAATGGCAGGGCATGCCGACTCAAAAAAAAGTAATTCTGGCAAAGATACCAGCGGCAATTTTTTCAGTCTGCAGGCTTCCCACTCGTCTTTTTTGCTTGCTGGTTTGCAGCCCCGTCCTTGTGGAATACGGGCTTGCGATGCGCTGATTGGCCGTCAGAGCCGAACATGACCAGAGCATGGGCAACGAAACTCGACGAGGGGACGACGCAAGACAAGATTGGAGGGTCGGCTTTGCACCTACAGGATTTGCTGGCATCTTCGTCTTCCTTTTCAGATCAGGCGGATGTGGGACTCGGCACCATCTCAGCAGCCGAAAAGGCAGCGTATTTTTGGGTTTCCTCGGAAAGACATGGGATGTTACCCGCACGCACTTCTCCTTTGCATTCTCCGTTTTATTTTTCTTGGTCATCATTCCCCCTCCCCAAGAAAAATACAAAGAAAATAAAAAATGCAGTGCAAGGCAGAGGCGTCCCATGTAAGCTGCGAGCAGGTTGGCCTTCCCTCGTGTGGTGCGTGTAAAACTGCAGATTTGGGTGGGCAGGTGTGGGAGGGAAGGTCACAGCGGAAAATGCCCAGTGCAGGGAGTGTGGAGGAAGATATCGGCTCTTTCTCTCTCGCGCGGTTCTTTTCTGGCACCACCCAGTTTGTTTCTTTTCTTGGTCCCAATATTCTCGTCGTATGACAAAACTACCGGCGGCCCAAATTTGGTTGCCCACCGCTCCCAGCATGGGAGTGATCAGGGAAAAAAGAAAAGATGCTGGCGACCATCGTTTCCGCTAGCCACTCCTTCCTTAAGCTTCCTCCTGGTAACTGGCGGGTTGGCATTGAAGGAAAAGGCACAAGAATCCATCCATGCCCTCGACTACGGTTCTCATTCACTTACATGCATGAGAAAATTCTCGAGTCGGCAAGTCGACATGCAGGCCTGTAGAGGGGAACGAAAGGGACCAAATGACACTGATAACTATAGATGCAATGCAATAACAGGGACAGCGTATTGAACAGGACTCGTTTAAAAAAACTTGGTTAACACTCACAGGCTGGTCTAGCGTAGTCTTCCCATGCACACGCCCAATATTTAGCGGCAAATGTCGAGTATTTTCCCCCAGTAAATCGCTTTTGCTGCAGGTTTGTGTCGACTGCCAGATATTATTCGAAGAACAAAAAAAAAAAAAGAGAGTTTGAAAATGTCAGATGTATGTAAGATGCTGCAGCTTGTTTTCGTCGGATGCACTTATATACCACCTTTTTTGGCTATGTGATAAATATAAATAGTAGTATACTATACTAGTAGCGACACAAGTACCCTGAAGGCTTTGCACTGCACTGGCGGGTATACGTAAGTAGTCGGAAGTGGATAAGTTCGGGTTCGGCTATGCTAGCTATCGAAGGAATCGAATTATCGAAGGGAATAGTGAAGGGCAGATAGTTTCGAGTTTCGTCGTGTGAAAAGAGCAAAAGCCCGCGGCTTTTGGCATTAACGGCGGATGTTTTGCTTATATACACCAGGAAACTTTCATTCTCTCTTAGCCTTCAATTTCCTGGCCGCCCGCTTGCAAGCGATGACAAAAAATGCAACATGAACTCATCAGTGCTAACAAACTAGCTCCAAAAGAGGGCCCAATCCCTTGCTTTTCCATCTGGCAAGGAAAAGGGCCTTTTAGATGTGGGTATCCAAATAGCAAAGAGAATGGAAAGTTTTCTGAGACGCCTCGTCCAGCGTCGAAATGAACGAGCGAATGGCACAGAACAAAAAAGCAAAGGCGACTCGGCCATTGGGACCCTGGTTCCTCACGCTTCTCAATTGCTTGCATGGGATCAACTTCAAACATGCGCGCACTAAAAAGTTGCCCAGGATCCCGGGGATTCGAGCTTCTGGGCTTGCCTGACATGGGATCTTCCTCCGTGGAATTGCTTACGCCAGAGGTTCGAGGTATCGGCAGGCCATCCAGTTTGGATCAGAAATTTGCCTAGACGGTACATGTGCATGCGCAGTGCCGTTAACTTCCAGTAAGTATCCTACTGGTTAATATCGTTTGCTCTTGACCTTTACAGGGAATATTCAATATCGCCTTGAAATAAGAACTAACTGCGACAACGGACCAGATTGTATCCGTCCGGCTCTTTGGACTGGCAATCACGGAGACGGGGTAGGACAAGCAAAGGGCCAAAGAACTTCGTACTTCTTGTAGCACGAAGACCTGGAATGGAATCCAGATAGGAGGGCGGCATTTGCATATGATGATACTTGGCTCCAACTAAAAGGCACATCGAAACTCTAATACGGAACAGACAACCATCTCGCAAACAACATGGATGCGGAACCACTAGGTCCAAGTAAATACTCCAACGATATACGTAACATCCCACCTATTGATGCGGACACAGGTTCTCGCTTGGGACAAATCTCACGATAACGTTGCCGCTCTATCCGTCTGGTTCAAAAGAAAAGTTGCTTCTCCTTAACGTCAATAAAACAAATCTCGAGGCAAGAAGAATAAGAAGGAAGACCAGCAAAATTGTTGATAGCTGTCACTTGCAACCTTCTGGCCTTCCTTCCTGGGTGGAAAGAACTCAAAAGTCAGCCGTTCAAGGATTCGACCCCGAAAACGTCAACAATTCCTATTGTCCTCGCTAGCCTCGGGACTTTGTACTTCGTTCCTACGAGGATGACCAATGCCATTGTGATGGATAGGAACATCCCTGTTTTATTTCCGCTCGCATGTCGAGTGTAAAGATACCCATGTTGCTCACCGCTCAGAAATGGAAGCCTGTCAATGCAAAAAGCACATTCTCTGCCCTTGATAACCCGAGCATTAAGTCCTCATCAAATTTGTCTAAAACACGAGCGCGACTTTTCCCTCCTCCTGTTTACAGCCTGTTTACGCCTTGAGCCGGCGGGTAAGAGCCGTCCGCCGCCTTACATGCGTTGGTGCCCTGCTTCGAAAGCCAACGACGCAACCGCGGAAAATTGGGTCCTAATTCAAAAGCCAAGCAAAAAGATGGCGCAGGGCGGTTCAATTAAAAGTTGGAATGTTTCTGGTATATGTGCCACTGGCCTCAAGTAGCGGGTCCACCAGGACGACTCGTCTTTTATTCTTCATGCTATTGGTGCTCTGTCCTCAGCTGTCCCAATGCCCAGAATCTCGACCCCACCCCAACATCGACTTGTCCTTTTGTGAAGCAAAAGAGGAATGGAGCAGTTTCTGCCTGACGGAATGCGCTTACTGTGTGGTGTGTACAACCGCTGCTGCATTCCCCAATGGCTGGCCTGCGTCCCTCCGAGAAGTTCCAGCCAGACAATCGCCGGACGAGGGAATCCTTGATTGCTACTTCCAAATGGAAGCTTGGTCTTGTGATCCGATACGGGACACTCCCTCTAAACTTATTAAATGGGGTTCCAAGAAAAATAATATCTCATGCAGCTTATCAGTAAAGAAGATTTATTGCTTCGCTTTCTTCCTCAGCTCCTCGGAAAGAGCGAGACATTGCATTGACATGATACCTACTCACTAACAACAACACCATGAAAACCAGGTATTATCCAGCTCTCATGTGACCTTAGTTATTTTCCGAATTTGTCTAGACCGGAAGCTGGGCATCTTTCTCGCTGAGGCGAGATACGCTGGTGCATGCATGCAACAACCAACTGTTTTTTGCGCAAACGATGTATCCACTCGACGCACTACCGACCTAAACAGGGACACCAAGGAAATTCTTTGCGAGCCGTGAATCAAAAGCTTCTATATCTGGTGCTTTTTTCGACGCTACACAACATGGTGGAAACAAACAAAACTTCCCTTCTGTCCCCTGCACGTCAAGGGTTTGAGCGCAGAACTAGCGGGAAATTCAGCCAACT